CCAGAAATCGGGTGGTAGACTGTTGCCGGGTCTGAAATTCGTGCAGAATCTGACAAAATAAAGCGTGAGAGACCCGGTGCTCTTCGCGCAGGCCAAAGACCTTAGGGACCGATCCTTGTAACGCAGCATGGCACCGTTGCTTTGTGGTGAGATAGGCCCGGTTGAGCGCGATCGGATTATGGCTAAGACCACCGCCAACGGTCTGCCACGTCTTGCGAAGCTGGGGATCCAGCGCCAAGGTCTCCGTTGCAGTATTGGTAAATGGATATGTATTGCCGGCGGCGAAGACCTCTTTCACACTAGCGTAGAATTGACTATAATAGAGACCGGCCCGCCGCTGCGGTGATGTTCGCCGGGTCTCTAACGTCAGGCTGCCGGTGTCTTCTAGCATACTGATTGGGTAGAAGTGCTGCAGAGCATGGGGCGCGTCCGCTGGCTGCTTGCTATGGATCCACTGGCTATACGCGTTCAGGCAACAACGCCGCCAGAGTAAAGATTGCGGCGGCCTCTCTCGCTCGCTCGCCGTGGTTGGGCAGGTTTCTTTTCCAAGGTCGTAGAAGAACGGCTCAGCGAGATAGTCCTCATTAATAGCGTTCTGCCAGTGTTGTTGAAAGCCCGCCATGAGATCGGCTAATGTGTCTGCCTTAGTCAAGGTCTTTAGGTTTTTCCCCTCGATCAGAATCTTGAGATCCTGAAACTGGTGGAATCCGGGGCGGTGGGTCGCCTCTAGAATCTGTTCCCAGATCGTAGGAAGCGCCTCGGGAGGAAGAAAGTAGGCAAGGAGCTGCTCGCGGGGGATGGGATCCACTCGCTGGGACCGCATTTCTACTCCCCGGGCGGTTGCGTTCAGCCGGCTATGGTCAAAGCTAGAGGGGTAGTGCTGGATTAGGTCGCCGGAATAACACCGATTGATGATTGGGAGGAGGATTTCGTCCGTCCATTGCTGGAAATCCTGGTCTAGCAGACGGCTGGATTGCTGATCTTCCCGGTACAGTCGGGGAAAGAGCAGATACAGAGAGAGATCTTCGAATCCAATCAGACGACCAAAGGTATAGTGCGGGACTTGATGGACCGGCCGGCGAACATGGTGGGCCTGCCCGGTGGAGTCGAAATACTGGACTGAAACCGGATCTATATGCAGGCTGGACTGGAGGTCGGACACCGCCATCTGCGTAGGATGCCATCGGATCCCCCGACGAGCTACCGCCAGACTACTGACAAACCCACCCACGCTATCGATATCAACAGTCACGCCCAAGGAAGGATCGGGACGATGGTCGGCTGCCACGCAGAGATGCGTTGGGGATTCATCGGGCTTGTGAGGATCGATGCCGCAGTAGATCTGTTGTTTTCGTGCCTTGGTGACTTGCTGGGCGAGATTGGACTCGCGGGCCGCGATTGTAGCCGAGCCCAGCACATCCGGGAAGTCGCCAGCGATATTAATCTGGTCCACATACTCCCCCAGCCCGGTATAAACCGAATGCGTCTCTTGGTGCGCCGCGCAGGCCTGCTCATAGCACTCCCGACAACAGCCGTGATGCTGATATAGCTGGTCGGCCAGCACGCGTGCCAGCGTGCAAACATCCTCGCCATCCTCGGCAGCCGCTGGGGCAGGGCTTCCGGTTTCTAAATTTGATAGATCACCCTCGAGGGGCTCACTGTGCGTCGGTCGGGACTGTTCGGGAAGGTTAGGGGTAGGACTAGCGGCAGGTTCGAGACTGTTGAGCTCTAGAGGCGGCTCGTCAATTAGGATAGAGCTATCTTCGAGCTCCAGAGGAGCTGGATTGGGGCTTAACGGCGGGAGCAACTCTTCCAGTTCATGGGTCACCGACAACGCCGCTATGCCAGGAACAAGAGCGATCGGGCGTTCACCAGTTGCAGATGGACCGGCCGAGTAGTATTCATCAAAGAAGGTGTTGCGTTTAGCCGCTTGGGCGGCTTGTCGCTGATTTCGTTGTCGTGTTATCTTCGCGGCCTGTCGCTCTTCTGCAGACTGATACTTGGGGGGCCGACCGCGCTTTCGGGTGGAAGTAGAGTTAAGGGGAGACATAATAACGGAAGAATCACTAGAACCGAAGCCTAAGAGAGGGGAGAGAAAGTAGGCGGCGCTATAAGATAGAGAGATTTCAAGTGCCTTGGTCGTCGAAAGTTGAAATAAGAAAAAGGGGTAACAGGATGAATAGGTCGGTTTCTATTCTGTCTCGAAGATGATCTTAAAACAACGCATTATTACAACCTTCCCTAGCCAGGCAACCGATAGCAAGGTTTTCGGACATGACCGAAAGTCTTACACTTCCCTTATAAGTAAACCAGTGTCAGAATGTGCAAAGCATAGCGGTTGAAAGAAGCAGTGTACAGTATGCCAGGAAGTAGAGGTGATTAGAATATAAAACCAAAATAGGTCTAGTGTTGAGGACAAATCTGAAAGTAGTTTAGTGTTGAGGAATTTAATCGAAAAAGGCTTAGTTTTGAGACGTTAAGTCGAGCGGGATGATTAAGTAATCTTCCACCCGGAAAACCTCAAAAGTTGCCAACTTTGGCTAACGATTCCACGCGAACGGAAGAAGATATTAAAATTCTGATTGAAGGGCAGGATTGTGCATTAGCTACTCTATACCTCAGCGAATTTTTACAAGGCATCGACGTTGTTGGGACTCTAAGTCTAGTCGGAAAACACCCTATGGCATACGATGGAGTAGTGGGTATGAAATCAACCGTGATACCCTTGGTCAAACCTTCATGATGCTGCTTCGATGATGAATCTGCCAGTGCCGGCGTTGTTATGCGGTATTGCACCACCCTTCAGCTCGCCGTTTTCGGGTGGGCGTGGGAAATTGCAGTTGGCATCAATATGGTGCCTAAGTTGGTCAATTGTCTTTGTCCAGTGGGTAGGGAATGCATGCAATGCGGCATCCAGATAAGCCCCCATCCAAAGCACCTTCTCATGAGGCATGCTCACTGACGAATATTGAAGGGTGATGCCAACCTGGCCGTCCGGCTGTGGCTCAATTCCAAGGCACACCTCAGCGCTATTTCCAACACGACCGTTTGCTGATAAAGCGCAGTCAACATCACCCAGCTTGACAATATCATCAATAGCCTCGTGGTTCTGGAAGGCCACAAGGGAATTCAATGTACCTTTCGGCCAGTCCGTGGAGTTTTTCAGGATCGACAAGAGCCCGACATGCTGATGAGGGATTGAGTCTGTTGACTGTCGTTGCAGCTCCGCCACCAGAGATGCCGCGGTTATGTCCCCGTTGCAGCGGGCGTGCACGGGTAATATATTGATGCATGGACCAACAATCTGGTCGACGCCAGGTAAAGCGCAGCTGCGGTTTGCGCTGATGTAACCAAACACGACATCTTGCTTCTCGAGGACTTGAGAAAGAACAAGGGACCATGCAGCGTTGAAGACGGTTGCATCAGTGCCATAAGAGACTGGAATGGCGTCGACACGCGTTTTGAAGCAGATTTTGGAATCTGTTGGATTTCCGGGTGCAGACCAGTTGGATCGACGAGACACCAGAGACCTTGGCATGGACCCGCGAAGAAGTTCCCTCCAGAAAATGTACGTATCGGTTGTCTCCTTAGCCTTGATATGCGATATCCATTCGTGATACTGCGTCGGTCTCGTCACAAGGTCCCGGCCCTTATAGGCTGCGCCCAAGTCATCCAGCAGATGGCCCAGTGAAATGGCATCGTAAAGCGCGTGATGAATTCTCAATTCAAGGCTCCGACATGAAGTAGAACCGCTATCACTGGTCAGGTAAAAGGTCGGAAGTCTATTAAGAATGCTCGACGAGCTGAGCTTCGGCGGTCCTTTGTCCGTATGGACTTGTTCGATTGGGGGTTTCCGGAGGGCAACCTGTAGGACTTGAGATTCGCAACAGACAAACACTGTTCGTAAGATGGGATGCTGCCGGAGGACTTCTTGACACGCCCTCTGAAGCTTGGGGCGACTCAGAGCATGTCCAGGCAAAGGTATCAGTGTCAGACCGTTATCAAATCCGCGGCCCGCCCTCTCACTCACATCGAGCATCCAGGCTTGGGCGTCAGTGGCGGGGGCTACACTCTCGATATTATCGCGTTGTAACCATGGAAACTTCTCAGCCAAGTGCATAAGGTGAGGAATACTCTCCGTGTCTAATGCGGCGGGAGGAGTGCTTGTCGGTTGATCACCCGACTGGGCATTAGAAACGGAAGTTTTGGAGACCATATGCGCCAACGTACGAGCTCGAAACACCTCCTCGACTGAAAGCTTGTGTCCGGATTTCCGTAACCTTGCGATGAGGTGGATTGCACGGATGGAGTTGCCACCAATGTCGAAGAAGTTGTCGCCGCAGCCGATCTCGTCGGATGATATGCCGAGCACATCAGCCCAGGCCTGTTGCATGAAAGCTTGATCATCTGTGACTTCTTTTTGTGTTTTAGCCGGATTGGAATGGGCATGTCCAATGTTTGACACACTCTCACGCACGCGGTACGCTAGCAACTCAGCTCTGGAGAGACCGGCGGCCATTGTGCGCAAGGCCTTCCGGTCTGTCTTGAGGGACGACAGCATGGGAAGGGCTCGGATGCGTATGAAATATTCCGGAACCATATACGCTGGGAGGACGTGCTTCAGTGTCTCTTTCGCTGCTGAAGCATGCTCCGCCAATGGCTCGAGCAGCTCATGCCCGCTGGCCGGGGTCGGAGTCTCCATAATGTTTGACTTGTCGGTTACAAAGAAAGCTGCGAGACAAGGGTCTTTACCACCGCGAGGCTGGATGATATCCACGGCCCAATGCCAACCCGGCTCTACGCGGTGGCTTAAGTGGTACTCAATCTCTCCCAGCTCCACCCTCTGACCGTGAAGCTTGACCCGAGTATCTTTTCGACCTTCAATCAGGAAGGACTTCTCCCCGACTTGGGTCACCAAATCGCCGGTCTTGTAAAATCTCCGGGAAGCAAGATTAAGCGACGCAAACTCCTGAGCGTTGGACCAAGCGGGTGGATCTATAAAAGCAGACCCCGTAGCATCCGAAGTATGAAGATAGCCACGAGCCACAACCGGACCTTCGATGACAAGCTCGCCGGGTGTACCGATTGGAACCAAGCTGTCGCGATTGTCGGGATCAACAACCCAAAATCGGCAGCTTGATGGATGCCCGATATCTCGGCCATCCTGGTCGCCGCTGGTAACGTCTCTGCAGCTTACGATTATTGTCGCTTCAACAGGTCCATACGGAATGACCAGTCGGACATGTGGCGTCCAGGTCTCGATGATATGCCGCCCCACCGGTTCTCCTCCCACCGACACGGTTCGCAATGTTGGCACTTCTTCGGGTGTCAGGACAGAGAGTTGGGTCGGTGTAGTGAACAGGAAGTTTGCGTGCAGGCGATTGATTACACCAGCAATGTTTCCATTCCTGTCGCTTTCCGATGGCACACACAAGCAAGCGCCGGAGCACAGTGCATACACAACGTCACCAATGGCTAGGTCGAATGCGAAACTGGCCAGCTGTAGCACTCTGCTCCGTGCCGTTATTCCTATCCGCCGCGCGTGCTCTTCAGCGCCAACGGCAAGGTTTCCATGCTCCACCAAGACTCCCTTTGGTTTTCCAGTGCTGCCAGAAGTGTAAACCACATAGGCTGCGTTTGATGGTTCAATCGTCACAGACTTCAGGTCGCTGCGAATCTTGAGGGTTTGTTCAACCGAAGTCTCCTCGACTATATCGTCGAGTCGAGCAAGGAATATACTCTGCCGAGTCCAGGCTGCCATCTTGTTACGTAGTTCAGGGGTGTTCACGATTATTAGCGAAGCACCTGAATCGGCCACAACTGTCGCAAGCCGTTCAGGAGGGTGGGTAATATCGAGAGGAAGAAAGGCAGCGCCGGTTTTTGAGATGGCAAGAAGAATCACAATCGCGCTGGCCGCCTTTTCGCAGGCAAACGGCACCACTGCTTCTGCTCCTATACCGTACTGTGCAATGATCTTGTGGGCCAGATAGTCAGACAGCAGGTCCAGCTGACAGTAGTCAAGATTCTGGTCCCAGGAGCAGACAGCAGGGGCAAGGGGACGCTGGCGGGCGACCTCCCGCGCTCGTTGAGGGAAACATTCCTTGAACGCCAGTGGAGCCGGGGTGTTCCAGCGCTGGAGAAGTGACATGTCAGCGCGGCTTAGGGTCAGGCACGACTCCGGCATTTCGGGCTGCAGTGCCTGCAGTACAGGCTCTTCCGGACTCGCTATGATTCTTGTGATGACTTGGGCAAATGTCCTAGCGATGCACTCGACCAACGAGTCTGAAAGGCGTGCACGTTGATATGCGAGGTGAATATTCAAACTGTCCTTGGAATAGCCAACGGTGACAATGATGGAATATTCTGTTGTACCTTCGCTGTCGGTGTGCTCTATCACGAGATCTCCTTCACCGGGTGCAAGGTCTGCCGGCCAGGCATGCGCGACGGTCATGATAGTGTCAAAAAGCGGCGAGTTTGAGAGGGCAAGATCGTCATGCAATCGAGACAAAGAGCAACCAGGTTGTTCCATCGCACGAGCGGCATCCTCTCTGGCAATTTGAAGTAGATGCACGCCTGACACCGAGCGGTCTTCGAAACTGAACTTGCAAACCATCATTGTGATCAACGGGCCCAGAATGTCTTCTCCGCCATCCAGTCTGTCCTGATCGGATCGGGAACATCCAAAGTAGACCGAAGAAAGTCCAGTATACAGTTGCAGAACAACACCCCAAGCTGCTTGAATGAAGTTTGCAATGGTCACCCCTTGACTGCGACAGAATGCCAAGAGGCCAGGAGCATTCTGGCACGGCACCTCTAGACCCCTAATGGAAGAGCTCGTCTCCTCCATCGCTGAATCCCGAGGCAAAATGCAAGGCTGGGCCCCGGCCAGATACGTCTTCCAGTATTGGCGTCCAACCTCTTCTCGTTCCTGCTCCCGGGCTACATAGTCGGAGAAGCTTCGTCCCTTTTTAATGGCCCTGCATGATGTGTATCCCGTCGCAATATTCGCCAAGATTATTCGTAGTGTTCTTGCATCGAATATTGCGTGGCTAATCTCCAGAATGGCATAGACGGCTTTGCCGACCCCTTCGTACAGAGACAAGCGATGAGGCGGCTGGGTGTGCGCAAAAGGTAATCTTTCTTGATGTCTAAACAGCTCAGTAGTGTCAGAGCAGTTTGCCTGGACTCGGTGTATGGATATGGACGGCGCGCTATCTTTCAAAACAATTTGTTGAAAGGCACCGTTCTGGGAAAGGCCCGGGACGAAGATGGTTCTAAGGATAGGATGAGCTGCACAAAGGGCTTTCCACGCGTTGCTAACCCTAGTGATATCGACTTTTATACCGCATCGAGTCGTCAGTCTGAACGCAAAGCGGTTATTGTACTCCCGCTCGTCCCCGTTGTGCTTCATGCGAGCCAGAAGCAAGCCCTCCTGTAGAGCGGTGCAGGGATAAATGGCCTCCACATTGTCTCGAGGGACACACAGGCTGGTGGGATGGAGATGGCCTTGTAAGCCACGGTCGTGATTCGATTTCTGCAAGGGCAAATCTCTCGATATCGGCGATGGGGATGGGGCAGAGGCGTCAGTCGGTTCCTTGATCTCACTGGCAGCTTCCGCGAGTGTCCCAGCACGCAACAGCGCAGTGCTTCTGATGGAGAAGCCCTGTTTGTGGCACCGGGATGCAACTTGCATTGCTGTTATAGAATCGCCGCCAAGGCTCAAGAAAGAGCTTTCACGTCCGATGTGGTCCTCTTCCACGCCTAGTACAGAGGACCATGCAAGTTGCAAGGCCCTCTCTGGCGGGTTTGCTGGCGGCGTCAAGCCATGGGTGCGTCTTCCATCCCCAAACTGCCTCATGATAACCCTAGCTGATGAAAGGTCGACTTCATGTAGCCACTGTCTGAGCTTTACCCGGTCGATTTTTGTGGATGTCAGTTTTGGTAAGTGCCTGACGACCACCCATGCCGTTGGCACCATGTAGGGAGGCAACTGGCCTCTGGTAAAGTCGTGAAGAGTCTGCAGTTGGTTGCGTATATCCTCGTTGAGGGGAACTGCCGGCAGCTCATCGTCCGTGCTTTGAGGCGAGGGATGATAGCCAGGGACTGCAGACAACGTCACGAACGCAACGAGGTCCTCGCGCTCCTGACGTGGCAACTTGAAATTCACTACTGCAACCGCGCAAGTGCAGCCGTGGCGCCCGAGTACCTGCTCGACATCTTCCATCTCAAATCGCTGCCCTCGGAGCTTAATCTGATTGTCTCGTCGGCCGACAAACGCGATACTCCCATCAGGATTATACCTTGCTAGGTCACCAGTTCGATAGACCTTAGGAGAGGAGGCGTTTGGGCGCATCGGGATGAAGGGTGGCGGAGATATGAAGGAAGACGCAGTTTGGGTAGGATTGTTGTGATATCCTCGCGCTACACCCGGCCCTTCAACCAGCATCTCGCCCACGGCACCGATGGGCAAAAGCTTGCTAGGATCATCTCTATCGACTATCCACACAGCACCACCCACTGGAGTCCCAATGGAGGTTGGGTAAACGGATAGTGGACTAAGATCGGCAATAGTAGAAATGGTTGATGTCTCACATGGGGCCCAGATATTATAAAGACGCACCTTGCTGCCCCAGGTTTTATAAGCGTTCTCGGGGATCGGTTCGCCACCCACCAATAGCGATTTAAGGCTTGGAAGCATGTCGTCAGGCGTGAGATTTCGAAGAGCAGTGGGCGTCTGGAGGACGGAGTCAACTCTCGCCGAATTGATATACTCTCCGAGTGCTGATTCGCGGGATATGTTGGAAGGGATGCAGATACATCCGCCGACCATTAGAGGGCCCAACACTTCTAATGCAAACGCATCCCAGGCTGGTGACGAAAACTGCAAAATTCGGGTCCCCGAGGACCAACCAACACGATTGCAGATCGCGGTATACGATGTTGCGAGCGAGCGATGCTCCAGGACAACGCCTTTTGGCTCCCCAGTACTGCCACTAGTGAATAGGATGTAAGCTGCTCGCGCTGGGTCTCTGTTTATTCTTCTGCGTATGTCTACGCCACGATGAGCGACCCGGTGGAGGTCTAAGATGATGGATTCGCACCCTTCCACCGCTTCATGGGTTGAGGAAGTAACAATCAGTCGAGCTCCTACAACACGAACAATCGCATCTTTGCGAGCCCTTGGGAAGGACAACTCGATCGGTAAGCAAGCTCCGCCGGCTTTCATGATCCCCAATACAGCAACCACTGCAGAAAGAGACCTCTCTAGAGTGAATGCAATTGGCACTTCGGGGCTGATCTTGCGAAGCAGCAGCTCGTGGGCCAGATTGTCTGACATGACGTCCAGTTCGTGGTACGTCGCTTGCCCATCCCAGGCGTGCACGGCCGCGGCATCTGGCCTTCGGCTTGCTTGCGAAGTAAAGATGTCGTGCACACATTGATTTACCGCATCGGGAACGTTGCTGTTCCAATCCAAGATCTCGATGGTATCACTAAGATTCAGAGGAGACAAATTCCTGAGTTCGGTCGATGGAGGGGACCTAATCAGCGCCTTCAGGCGATGCTCCATTTGCCGTAAAATTCGTTGGACTTGAGCGTCAGGAAGAACAATGCTGTCGAAGTCGGCCCTTACAAGGATATCCTCCCCTGCAATCTTGCACATAAGCGTCAGGCCATGTACATATGTATGAATTGTTCTCTCGAGTGTTAGACCAGGGGCATTGGCTTGTGTCTCGTCCACGGAGAGGATATCGAGCAGCGTTTGAAAACCAGAGGCTACATGAGCCTCGTCGCTCACGGTGTGGCGGATGTTCGCTAGCCCGTATTGCAAGAAAGGGCTTGCCAACAGTGATCGCCGGAACTGGGTTCTGGATTTGAGAAGCTGCTCTATACTGGCGCTGGCGTTGAGCTGCACCTGCATCGGTACGGTGGAGATGGTGGGGCCTAGGGTCGTCTCGGCGCCCCCGATAGCGGTACGGCCCGACATGACATAGCCGAAGACAACATTTTCGCTCCCCGTGTAATCGGCGGCCGTCATAGCCCACGCGGCCTCAATATACGCGGGGAGAAGAGGCAATGGGGGTTTCTTTGCGAGTGAAATGGTGTGGGCGGCTGTTTGCGACGCCTTTATTAGGTGACCAGAAGGTACGGTGGGAAATACTCCTGGCGCACTTTCGCTGAATTGGGACTTCCAGAATGCCGCTGCACTCTTACTGTCGATGCTTTTGCAGTAATCAACAAATTCTCTAAACGGCGCCCGCGGAGGAGGTGACTCTCCCTGGTAGATCTTCCAAGCATCCTCGTAGAGATATAGAAGGCTATGAGAGTCCGCAATGGCATGGTGAATGGTGGTCACTAGCTTTCTGCCGACAATGGCAAATCTTGCAAGTGGCATCCCGAGGTGCATAGGCGACATTTCATCTTGTCGCAGATATTGTTCAACATCCGCGTTACAAGGCCGACTAAGGCAATCTATGAATGCCTCGCTTTTCACGATGACTTGGACCAGGCCTAAAGGGCAGTCCACGATTCGCGTCCGTAGGATCTGGTTAGATGCAACCACTTGGTGGAGGGAGGCACAAAACCGGTCCAGATCGAGGCTCGAGTCGAGAGAATGGATATTGCGTTGGGTATAGTCAGCTCCGTCCGCCATCAGGCCTGCTTGAAAGGGTGTACAAGCATAGACATCTTCGACCTCGGCGACGCTTATGTGACAATCCCGGCAGATTTGAGCAAGTATCGCACTATCGATTGTTTCCATGGGTTCGATCTGATTTGGGGTCTTCTCTGAACGGAGATATATCATCTTAGTTGTACACAGGGGAAAAAAAAGGACTTTCCTCTGTAAATGAAGATCTGTTAGTCCTCAGAACCGGGGCCAGTTTCAATTTCAGAGACCAATAACAACGTAGCCAGTACAACATTTCCTATAAATGTGACATATCGGACGTTCGGCTTCGTTGCCGACACGTCACCACTGAACTATCCCAGCCCATTGCAATCTTCGTGACACCATAGTTGCTATGTGCGACGCGTTCTATAATACTGCGTGTATGAGGACGCACTAGCTCAATGTCTGGCCGGGTTCAATTCTCGAAAACGTCATGTGTCTATCATAGAGTTGTGTAACTGTACCCTAGGTACCCAGATAGCGTTGCATAACACACGGCTCTGTACAATCAGGGACTGAACTGCAAGCTGTAATTTTCAGAATGAGGAATTTCTGTAAGTCAACCCTGTCATGTAACTGAATGTAGTACCTTTCCGGTTGCCAGGCTACCAGTTACATGGAAGTACTTTTGGGTAGTATCCCGGACATGTTCATGATGTTCCAGCAAGCCACCGATTTGCAATCCACCAATTGCCAAGGTGTTTCAGCGGTCGTTGAAATCCAACGAAAATCCAAATTGATAAAGTTCGAGTCTAGGCGCAAAAAATCAAAGTAATGAATCATTGATGGAAAAAGGAACCGCGACATAAAAGAAAATCCCTTTAGTCAGCTATATCAGTCATACTGAATTTCAAGAAAGGTTGTGCCCTGCCTCAAGTCATCCCGTTTGACACTATTAGACCCATTCGCTCGTCCAATAAAATAAACAATAAGACATTAGCCATGAGCCTTCCAGCACAGTCCCCAATTGCCGTCGTGGGCGTTGCATACAGGGCGCCGGGTATAGGCCGGAAAGGCCTTTATGAATTCCTTGCGGAGGGAAAGTCCGCGTTTTCGCCTGTTCCAAAAGAGCGCTTTGAGCAGGGGGCGTATCACCATAGGAACTCAGAGAAAGCGGGTGTCTTCTCACCAGAGGGTGCTCATTTCCTTCCAGACGATATTTATGCCTTCGATGCTCCCTTTTTCAACCTGAATGCAGACGAGGTCAGATCTATGGATCCTCAGCATCGTACGTCTTGATACTTCTGCTCCAGCCCGGTTCATTCATAATTGTGAAGCCGATACTGACAAGCATGGTGATACTAGGTATGCTGCTTGAGTGCGCATTTGAAGCCGCGGAAAGCGCAGGGATTACACTGTCCAAGCTGCATGGAACAAAGACGGGAGTCTTTGCCTCCTTGGAGCGATGCGGATATGGAGAAGAGCTCCTCAATGACCTGCCGTAAGATATAACGATCTCCAGAATCCGCTCTTTGCGTAACTGTCTTTTAGTACAAGTACCAAATATACGGTCTTCAGCACAGCCGGGTGCATGGCCGCGAATCGCCTATCCTACTTTTTTGGGTTGGAGGGACCCAGTATCTCGCTCGATTCCGCCTGTTCGAGCAGTGTATACGCCCTCCATTTGGCTTGTCAAAGCCTCCGCATGGCGGAGTGTAGCGCTGCATTTGTTGGGGCGGCAACGCTTATCATCAACGCCAAACCAATAATTGCCCTTGATACGATGGGTGCACTTTCACCCGACGGCAAGTCATATGCGTACGACTCTAGAAGAAACGGTTTCGGAATGGGCGAGGGCGGCGGGTGTCTTATCCTGAAACGTCTAGAAGATGCCCTGGAGGCCGGCGATCCAATTCAAGCAGTTATTCGGCACACTGTCTGCAACCACTCGGGCCGTACAAGAGGAATCACGATGCCATCACAACTAGCCCAGGAAGACCTCCTTCTTCGAGTTCACACTGAAGTTGGCCTGAAGACCGGTGACACGTCCGTGGTGGAAGGGCATGGCACAGGTACTCAGGTCGGTGATCCCATTGAGACCAGAGCCATTGCGAACATCATAGCGAAGGATCGGGCAGACCCTGTCTATATTGGGTCAGTAAAGTCCAACCTCGGCCACCTACTGAGCAGCAGTGGAATGCTCGCTATAGTCAAAGCCATCTGCATGCTGCAACATGCTACGATATTTCCGAATTCCGGGTTCAAAGAAATGAGCCCTGAAATTGATGCGCTGAAGCTGCGAGTGGCTAAAACTTGTCTCCCTTGGCAGGCTAGAGGCCCCAGGCGTGTCTGCACCACCAACTTCGGATTTGGTGGAAGCAATGCCGCTGTTCTGCTGGAGGAGTTCCAAGACAAGTCCTTGATAACCGGGCCTGGGAACGGAAACAAGATCAGCCATGGACCTTCTCGTCCGCCCCTTCAGACCAAGGACGGTATTGATGCCAACGGGCAATCATCCAAGTCATATCAGCGACTATTTTTGTTGTCTGCAAAATCCGAAAAATCTCTGACCCGACTTTTGTCATCCTTTGCTCTCCATCTCACCAAAGTACCTACCTCTGTTGCCGGCGATCGTTACCTCGCAGACCTAAGTTTTACACTTAACCAACGGCGCACGCATTTCTCACACAGAATTGCTTTGGTAGCCAACTCGGTGGAGGACCTCACACAGCAGCTATCCACGCGGAGCGAGAACCGGACCGGAAAAGCATATCCAGGGCAAGAAGTCGTACCTTTATTTGTTTTCACGGGCCAAGGCGCGCAGCATAGCCGAATGGCAGCCGAGCTTGACCAGTATAAGCCGTTCGCTATGGCGATACTCCGCGCAGAACGCTACCTGCAAGAGTTTGGCGCCACATGGTCATTAACAAAAGAGCTATTCCAATGCGATGGAGAGAAATCGCGCATAAACGAGGCTGAGATCAGCCAGCCTGCTTGCACCGCTATTCAATTAGGGTTAGTGCTACTGCTGCGCAGTTGGGGGATTTCGCCAGCCATTGCCGTTGGCCACAGTTCCGGCGAAATCGCCGCCGGCTACGCTGCGGGGGCTCTCTCCTTTAAGACGGCAATGGCAATAGCTTTCTTCCGAGGGAAATCCCACAATGGAGTGTCGCAGGAAGAATAGGTCTGGCCTCGGGGGCATGGTTGCATTAGGAACAGATGTCGAAACAGCCACAAGGCTTGTGGAATCGACAGCGCGCGTCGGGCGGGCCAGTATTGCTGCCATCAATAGCCCAAGTAGTGTGACGATATCAGGAGATATCGCCGCTGTCAACCGGATTGCTCAGATCGCAGACGTCCAGGGGATTTTCAACCGCAAATTGAAGCTGGACGTGGCGTATCATTCCCACCATATGGAGCCGGCCACGGCATCATACCAAGCTGCGATAGAGCCATACTGCGCCGCTGAGCGTACACGGAGCAAATCCAATGGCATCATCACGACTGACCGAGCAAGCTTCTTCTCATCCGTCACCGGCTGCACGGAGAGTGCTGATGTTATACAAAGTGCATCATATTGGACTGAAAACCTGTGAGTGTTATCCCGCAGATAAAGCGGCGCATCAATTTACTAATGATCTTCATTACACGTTATTATAGGGTGAGACCAGTCAAATTTTCGCAGGCAATGCAGAATATTCTATCACAGTTGGGATCCGACAAAAGAACCGTCGCTGCCATCATCGAACTAGGACCGCATGCGGCGCTCAAAGGCCCAATTAACCAAATTCTACAATCAAATATTGAAATTCAGGCGGCGTATCTTCCGACGCTTCTGCGTGATTATAAAAACACGGAGACACTCCTGGGTCTCGCTGGGCGCATGTTCACGATGGGCAGCAGCTTAAATCTCGCTGCTGTGAATAACACGACATCGAAGGATGCTCGTGTTCTGACGGACCTTCCATCCTACGAGTGGAGCAAAGAGACGCGCTACATCCACGAGTATCCAAGGTCAGTCCAAGAGAAGCATCCGGGCCATCACTACAACCCTCTTCTAGGATGGAAGATACCGTCTGAAGGCAACGATCACATATTCCGCCAGGTGTTCACACTTGACGAAATGCCGTGGATCCGTGACCACGAAGTGGCTGGTGATGCCATCTTCCCTTTTGTGGGGTTTGTGCGTCAAGCCGTGGAGGCCTTCAAGGCTATACCGAAGACAACGTCCGAGGTATCAAGCGTGTCACTGCGAGAGCTTCACATCAAGCGAAGCCTCAGGGTTGACAATGCTGGAAGGGTGGACATGATCACCAAATTACGACCAGCTGAGACAGGAATGGGAGCGTTCTCCTCGACTATCTGGGTTTTTGAGGTCATGACATGGACCGAATCAGCTGGCTGGACTGTGCACGCCCATGGCCGCATCGGATCTGAAGCTGTGGACTTCGCCGCCGGAGGTGGCCCGGAAAGAACTATGGCTGAGGAGGTATTGTCCATGGCTCAACCTACCGCCACGGACGCCGAGCGGGAATATAAGATACTACAGGAATCAGGCATATCTTTCGGGCCCAGATTCCGGAACATGATCGCACTATGGGCGGCGCCGGGCATTGCTGTTCATGAGACACAGCCGCCACGAACTGATGAAGACTCATTCCAAGGGTCACACACCTTCCTCGAGTTGGTCACACTGGATAGCATGTTGCACTCCGCCGGAATTGCTATCGGGCGGGATGACAACAATGGTGGCATTCGGCCAGTTTATGTACCGGTGTGCAGCTCTCGGCTTCAGCTCTCGACGATTCCGGTGACTGCTGAACACAGATTCATTACTGTGACACGCAGGCTGGAACGAGACAGGAAATCCGGCACTTCGCGCATTAATTTTGTCGTCTTCGTAATTACGCAGTCAGGTAGAGTTCCCTACCTTGAACTTGACATGACATTGCAACGCATCACGCAACTCAACAATATCGTGAACCTCAGCAGAGAAGAACTACCAGAGGGGTTCTACGACACGTTAGTGCCGCATATCGGTTTTGCCGACGGTAAGATGCTAGCAAGGCATTTCGCAGACAACAACCTGGTTGCTTCAGGACGGCACATGCGCCACCAATTGGCTAATGTGAGCCTGCATTTCCTGGCGTGCGCGCTGAAGACCACAACTGATGTCAATCGCGCGATCATTCCCTTCCACCATCAGAAGTTCTTACACTGGGCCAAGGAGCTGGTGGCAGACGCCGTGATTCCCCAGGTTACCCCTCAGTTGATTGAAGAGGTTTCTAAATGCAGCGCTGTCGGCGAGCTTCTCCGTGCTGTGGGTGAACAAATCCCCCAGATCTTGCGTGGGCAGGTGCAGCCCTTGGAACTCATGATGAAGGACGGGCTGCTTACTCGAAGCTACGAGGACAGTATTACCTTGCATACGTGTAACAAGGCGTTGGCCGCATATGTCAGTGGTTTAGGCGAAATCAACCCAGAGCTAAGGATCTTGGAAGTCGGCGCAGGCACCGGCTCTGCGACCCTACCAATACTGGAAGCGCTGTCAGGAGGCGAGGCTACCGACAATGACAGCGTGCCAAACTTTTCTAGCTATCATTATACGGACATTTCGACGGGGTTCTTTGAGAATGCGCGGAGGAAGCTGTCTAGATGGCCCCAGCTAACATATCAGAAACTTGACATTCGTCATCATCCAGCGGAACAAGGCTTCAAAGTTGGCTCATATGACCTTGTCATTGCCGTTAATGTGCTTCATGCGACTCCAGACCTCAAAGCGACAGTGCAGCATGTTCGCGCTTTGCTGAAACCCGGAACGGGGAAGCTAGGTATCGTGGAACATACGGACAATAACGATCCCACCGTTCTGCCTTTCGCGCTGCTCCCAGACTGGTGGTCGGTCTCAGATGAGTTCCGGCAATCGAGGGGAGGACCGTTGATGTCTCGGGAGCACTGGAACCGACTGCTTGTCTCAGCTGGATTCTCCGGAGTGGAAGGGGCAGTTGAGAGTGGTGAGGATAGCCTCTTCTGGACCTCGATGGTGGAGGAGCATACCGATTTTCTGTCCGATGCGCTCGATGAGGTCACCATCTACGGTTCTCTGACCGATCCTTCAGAGATAAAGTTGGCCGAATCGGTGGCACGGGCTATGAGTGAAATCCCGCATCTTCCTATACCACGTGTCAAACCCCTAGCGGAACTGGATGATGTCCAGGGTAGCTATTCCATCTTATTGGACAACCCCCAGCGCAGCGTTCTCAGCACGATATCGTCCGAAGACGAATTCAATAAGCTGAAGAGCGTTTTGTTGAGTTCAAAGGGACTGCTATGGGTCTCGCCAGAAAATAGATGTCCAGAGTACGCCCGCATCAAGGGCATTCTTCGGACTCTTCGTCTGGAAGAGAGCGCGAGGAAGTTCCTACAAGTTGACGGTATTCCTCTTGATTCTATAAGAGGGGCCTCGGCGGTTGCGCACCTCGCCCTTGCACTTGTGCGAGACAAGGCGCCTGCAGCATTCCGCGAGCAAGAGTTTGTATGGCACAATGACATGCTCCATGTTCCGCGCCTCCGCAAGCTCCAGGAAGCAAGGGAGACTTTTGCTCTTGAATCCGGTATCTCTATTTGCAAGGAACAGCCTATATGGCAGAGTCATGGCCCCGAGAATGTCCTCCGTCTGTCCATCGAGACGCCAGGCGATCTGGATTCGATTTACTTTGAACGACACAGTTTAAGCCGCACCGCTCTATGCGACGACGAAATACTGATCCAAGTGTCTGCCGTGGGAATCAACTTCAGAGACGTCCTCGCCTTACTTGGCAGAATTCCATGGTCTCCGCCGGGGCGTGAAGGGACTGGAACCGTGATGCAAGTTGGTGCAAATGTGTCACACCTGCAGGCTGGTGACCGTGTTTTCTTTATGGTGCTGGAGGGGGCATTAGGGACATACGTTCGTACTCCTGGCCAATTCGCGCGCAAAGTGCCACAGAGCATCTCTACTGCGGACGCGGCTGGATTGGTAGCTGCGTATGTGACTGCCCTCGTCTGCCTGGACCACGTTGCGCGCATCAGGCAAGGCGAGAGTGTGCTGATTCATGCCGCTTCTGGTGCAGTTGGCCAAGCATGCATTCTCCTTGCTCAGACCAGGGGAGCTGATGTATTTGTAACTGCTGGATCTGCGGAGAAGAGACAATTTTTGCACGAGACGTTCGAGATTCCCGAATCTCACATCTCGAGCAGTCGGACTCTTGAGTTTCGTCACCGAGTCCTGAAGCAGACCGGCGGAAAGGGTGTGGATGTCGTTGTCAACTGTCTTAGCGGCCAATTATTGCAAGAGACCTGGTACGTATGCTGTATAGGCCTCGATATAAAAGGTTCTGACATCACGGTCTAGGTCCATGGTTACCGACTTCGGTCGATTCGTGGAGATTGGGAAGAAAGACATCCTCGAAAACAGTCACCTTAGCATGGGGAAGTTCTCTTGCAATGTGACGTTCGCGGCTGTAGATCTTACACAGTATTTTCATCAGAGGCCAGAAGTCCTCCACTCGTGCTTGGACGAAATCGTGGATATGCTCGAGGCCAAGGCCATTTGGCCCATCCAACCGGTAACACCGATTCCGATCTCAGATATACAGTCCGGACTACGACGACTCCAAAGTGGCCACAACATCGGCAAGATTGTTGCCATCCTCGGACCGGACGAGAGAGTCAAGGCGGAACGCCAATCGCCATTGCAGCAAAAGGAGAAGCCGCTGCAGGCAGACGCAACATATCTCATCACTGGCGGTACGGGGGGTATTGGAAGATCCCTTGTGCCCATGTTGCTAGATAATGGGGCGGCCAACATAGTCCTACTTGGTCGATCTGGTGATTCCAGCCGCGATGTGAAAAGGCTGATACAACAATACAGTAGACCCCAGTGTGGAATTCAAGTACGCGCCATTGCATGCGATGTTGTGTCGCGAGTGAGCCTCTCGACTGCGCTCCACGCTGTCAAAGACCTGCCCCCTGTTCGAGGTGTGATCCATGGCTCACTATACCTGCGCGATTCTCTGTTCGTGAATGCAACATTTGAGGACTGGCGGAAGATCAGCGGTCCGAAAATAGACGCCGCATGGCACATTCATGAACTGCTTCCTGGTCTGGATTTCTTCGTCGCCCTCTCTTCGGGAATCGGTATCGTTGGCAACGTCGGCCAAAGCATATACGGTGGGAGTTCAACTTTCCTCGATGCATTCGCGCAATATCGCGCCCGCCAACACTTACACAGTGTTTCGATCAGTCTACCCGTGATAGACGATATCGGATATGTTAAGGAACGGGAGGGCTTACGCGCCAGGCTGATGGAAGAGAACGTTTCATTCAAGCTATCGATCGCACAGGTCCTTGCCGCGGTCAAGGGGGCTATCATCGGTCGCTCGTCGGGTCTAAACAAGGACAGCAGGGCTTTCCTTTTTGTTCGCGAAGACTCGGTTGCATCCCAGGGTTGGGAAAACAGGTGGCACTATCTGTATCCTGCTCGACGCCGCAACGCAGCTAAAGTTGCCGGCTCTGGCCAAGACGTTGACAGAAGTACACCTTCGGGAGAAGAAGGTAGACTCGAAGCTTTGTGCAACAAGGTGTCATCCATCACGATGATTGATCGCGAGGATGTGACACCCAGCCGGAGTCTGTCGGAATACGGCCTGGATTCATTGGTAGCAGTCGAGCTCAGACACTGGATAAGGAGAGAATTCGGCGCTGACCTGGCACTGACTCATATTGTGGGTGCAGAGAGTTTGCAGGCTTTGAGCAGTCGGATCGTGGCTCAGGGGTTAATGGGGAAGGAAACATGCGTCTCTTGAGTAGGGACTAGTTATACCGAGGTATGTCGCTAGCAGTCAGCTGCTGGTCACCTAGCCTTTTTATTACTAAATCTCTTATTTTTATTTAAATAAAAAGATTACTAAGATAAAGCAGATATTTTAACTAGTTATAAACTAGATAATGCTTAATTAGGTAGCAGTTCAAGAACATATAAAAAAATATTATATATTAAAAGCTTACAGATCGGTGTTTACCATATATTCTTTTAAGTCCTACTAAGGTCATATAACATCCGAAAGGGGTTTAGCGTGGTCTAGTAGCTCTTAGCCCTGCAGAGAGGAATACTAAAGAACAAAGCGAGCGGTCGATGCAGTCCCGGAATGGTCAGCGTTCCAACCGGTTGTTTATAATTGCTGTTTTGTTCTTGTTCTTTTGCTAGAACCAATCCTGCAGATCGTATCGACTTTAAGTTGAACAATATTAATGCTAATCTAAGAAAGAATCTGACAAGGGTCTTACGTAGCCAGGCTCGTTGTCGGATATCCATTGCTATGTGCTACGGCGCCGGTAGATATCAATATCGGGTATATATATATATTCCCTTTCGTCCTATCTTATGTCGCCTAAATCTTAGCTACGAATTATCCTACCCGCTGTGAAGCGATAATGCCATGTACTAGCGCCTGTTGCTACTACATAATCCCATTGACGAAATACTATCTGCGATAAGTAAACGCAGCAGGCGATATTTAGAATATAGTAACTGCGTTATGGGTGCTTATTCATATCATCCCATCTCTTAGATTCTTATACTGAGAAATCGGGTACTTCAAGATATTTGCACTTTACTCTAGACACCCCGTTTATCTAAGCGCCTTCGCTGCCTGCGCGGTTGTTAGCAATCTAGTTTCTAGGGTCCGAGGGGACCGTACTGTAGCGATAAGGCTGCTGTTACCGGATTTATCGCCGCTACTCTCCCACTATATCACCCCTCCCAGACCCCGTGAAGCGACATAGTGAACCTTTTGCTCGGTGGATTGCGGGGTGTCATAGCTAACCAACGTCTAGGCACTAGGATTATAGCTATAGTTTGTAATTGCACGGGCGAGCACATATTCTTTGGCACTAGATTGCGGCAGATCCTTGTAGTCCCAGACCTTTGTTTCCTAGAATCCATTCCCGACACCGGTGAACGGCTTGCCCAGTCTATCGGTGCCGACAAACGACCGCCCGTATAAGGGCATGCCGAGGACCAGTTTACTAGATAGTAACTTTAAATAGCTAGATTCACAATAAAGACTAGCTTACCCATGCCAAACAGCTTAGCATACATAGTTTAATAAAATAAACTCTGGGAAACTAAGGTTTCTTTATAACTTTAGAAATACTAGGCTAAATTGCTTTAAAATTTTATAGATAAAAATATAAATAGTTAGAAATAACTAGTAGTTTTTAAAATTTAAAAAGCTTTAAAAGTAATTGATTTCTAGTGTTGCGTTATTTGCTTCCGTACGCTGGAGTCACACCCGCGAAGAGAGCGCTGAGGATTCTGGGGAGCTACTGTCTTGGACTTCATTCCCGCACCCACTCGCTCATGTCCCAGCTGGGCACCACCCAGGAGGGAGGGAACGGTCTTCCCAAGATGGGCTGAAGCTGCGTTTGCATTTTTGTTACTGATATCATTGCTATCAGGCAACCTGAAGTAACTTAGATATTACATCTACTATATGTCGGCTCTTGGCGACTCCCTTGTGGAGAAAATTCGATAACACAATCAAAGATGCCTGTCCGTTGCAGACAACCTTATATCCGACAGTTAACCAGGGTTACCCGTGGACTTCGTATTGCTTCAGCATGACTTGACAATAAGAACGATGGACCAAAACCTAAGATGCTCATCAAACACGGATAGCTAAAGTTGTGTAACTATTACCTCATAAACCTGGTATAATCCAGGACCGGAGTGTTGAGTTGCATTGCCAGCAAGCCACTTTTAGAGTATATTTAATCTTCCCGGAATATCCAGATTTTGACGCCTATAAAAAGTGAAATGGTTTGTGGGTAGATCTTTGGTAACCTTATTTGAATGTGACCTATACTGTTTCCGGATGAATTTTCCAGTGTCTTCCATACTAAATGTCGCACTCTTGGATCAGCTTCTGCGCCGTTGAACTAGGTGGCTTAGTCAATCGTGCGTTATTGAGTGCCTGTAGAGGGAACACCTTATCAGCATAGTGGTGTTTACAGGTTCATACTGGAGCAGTAACTACTTAGAGCCTACATATAATGATAACCTGTCCTTATGCCGTCCAGCTGTATGGTGTTCTGTAAGGTCAATTAGGGCTATGAACTGAACCTCACACTCCGTATGAGTAACAGTGATAGGCAGCTACATTCTCTAAACAGTACCACTTTGGCAGTTAACATTATTGTATACTCCATTGTGATGCAGGTTCAGTTATAAAGAGATACTGTAGCCCTGTTCACGAGTTAACTCACCACCGCGGAATAATTCAGTTTAAACAATCTAGTAACTAACAGTGGCAAATAATCTCGTCACACAGTGTAATACACTGCTCCATTTCTTGCTCCCAGATCATTTGGGCTCGTAATTTCATAGGAGCCCGCCATCCTGATTGTGCCTCCTCATTGCGGAGTAGCCCGTTGTCGCGATTCAGGCCCTTGGTGATAGAGAAGAGCGAGGTCAGGGAGACCGAAAGACCCGTAGCGCATGCGCAGTATACATTCAGACTAAATATCGGTGCTCCTTCGTCCTTCCCCAACCCCCTCCCCCACTATCGTTGTAACCATGCACAGAATGTCGGCTAACGGGTTACTCAGGACCATTTCAGGGTTGTCAGTAACAGTTCCTTTAAGGTTAGAGTATTAGCATGTTTCACTGAGTGACGCTGATGGCTTTGGCTTGCTTCAAAACCTTGTGTCTCTTTCCAATCTGTTCTTGATTGTACGCCAGTAGCGCTGTTATCCTCGCCATTCGTCTTAGTGAAAGACACAAAGGATCAGGGGCACAGGACAACAAGCAGCGACATCAGAGGAATGGAAGAGTTTTGTGAGGGTTTCCATTCTTCTTGGTAGCGTAGGTGTTCAGTTTTCTGTTTCGTGCTGCTCATGCTGGTGAATGGACCAAATACCAAGAAGACACTGAGTGAAGGGACCAGAAAGGCCTACACAACCGGTCTGAAGAAGCTTTCAGATCACGTTTTAGTAACCCCTAATGTTACTGCAAGTAATGTGTGTATCATCCTCAATTAATCAGATGTGTTGGCAGTTCCTGGCTGCATTCGGATCAGGTTAATTTCACAGGTTCTTTGCCCACCATACTTGCTCAACCTGCCTGCAACCAGTAGCTCTCAGAGGACCCTCATAATCAAGGTCCTCTAGGGCAACCTTCAGTTCCACAACCACTTCACCGGATACTCGCAACGGACAGATCTCCATCTCTGAGGGTACCAACGATCTCCGGGTATTCTCAACAGACAAGGTGTTTAGGTGAGCCGGCTCAGGTGTGTGGAAATCACATCCGCTATAAGGACAGGTGAGCAAATCTCATTGAGATCCGGCTCTGAACAAGTCGAGGGCATGATGCATTTCCAGAAAGTGGCTCAATTACAGTGACCCTATCGGATGATGAGATTGACGAGCTAAATGGGAGATCCATTGCTGTGGGGCTTCACCTAGAAATGGTGGCTAACAATTACAGAGGCTTTGGATACTTGTTCTCAAGGATTCTGCGTTATTCAAGACAAGAGGTTGCTCCCGGGCTCATAACCGGTTGGGAATCAGAGGAATATCGGTGCTTTTTAGTCCTCCTCTACAAACTCAGCAAGCAAGACAGGTGCTCTTGTCAGATGTTTATACCAATGTGACGCCAAATAAGCAGTGTTCCTGTCGCCAGACACACTACCCCAATTCCAGGATTCAGGTATCGAATCATGCGGAGTCCGTGGGATCCAGCACCATGGCAGCATACCGCCTGAAAGACTGGCCGCATGTACACCGGCGTCATGATGCTCATCCAGACCCATACCCACAAAAATCCAACCAATCTCTTCCACAGAGGAGTGACGGTTGAGGCAGTGTCTTTTGACCTCCCTTCATTATCACCCCTATATGACTGTGTTTTTGCATATTTTCCTGTGATTTGATGCCACAGCTCCTGTATACCGTCCTCAATCATAAATCCCAATGTGAAACTGCAGAAAAATAGCAGAGCGCCTGATTCACGCCATGGAACTCCCTGGAGGACGTCATTGATGAGATGTAAGATACCTGACAGACTGAAGACACATAGTACATGGATGTATCTGTATACCGGCCCTGGCTTTGAAATTCTCAAGAGCTTCCTCACCAAGAATGTCGCCATGGCAGTAAAAGGCCATCGCAACCACTGGTGCCAATAGAGGCCCCAGAACCGGCGCAGGGTCCAAGCATCCAGTGTGCTATTGAAGAGCGGCGGCCAGTCGACTGGAGTACTTAGGCCTATGATGATGGAGGCAATGCTGTTCAGCCGGAAAGCGATATCCATAATTGAGCGACAGATGACAATCCATAAAAGAGGCAAGAAGCCTCGCCAGGCTCGTATGAACTCCTTAGTTAAGGGTGGGGCTTCACCACAAGTCGTCGATTCGGGTACAATGCTCTGCACAAACCGGACTGCAAGGGCTAGAGAAAAGAGCTGCCATGCTGCAATAATACTCTGCCTCATGCAGAATTGATTTGGGCTTAGCCACATGGCGTGTTTCACATAGGGCGGAAAATCAGGTGTGTTCTTCACCTGCCACTTCGTCCGAACACCTCGATAATTGTGGAGTAGATACATTCCGCTCCAAATTATCTTGCTCAGCCTCGCATGAGGGTGGAAGAGACCCTCCCTTTCAAGGTCTGCTGCATCAAGCTCGAGGAGGATCACGAGGTTGAATGCTTGCAAGGTCTGTAGGAAGCATTCCGCACCCAAAACCGCCCTTAGTGGGCGATATAACGAAAGTAATACTGCGCAAGTGTCTTGCACAACAGACAGAAATATCAGGGTAGCAAAACCAAAGTACCGGGATAGGGAACCCTTTCGGGTACAGGTAATCAGGACACTGCAAAGGGTGTGTCGGATAACACAGACACTGAAGGGAAGTGCCAAAGCAATCAGCTGCACTAAAAGTGGATGCAATAAGCTCATGTTGACGATAATCGAGTGCACTGTGAAGTTTCTAGGCAGCTACTCCCTGAAAAGGTGAAGTCGAGGTGCAATGCGACCTAGGCTTTTCGCTGTATCAATGCTCAGTTATGCAAGCAGATGGCTCTAACGGATGGTTGAACAAGGAATATAGGGCCGGAGGGATTGAGAAAAGTTTTTCAAGAACAAATAGATATTCAGCAACGCAGAACTCTTTTATTCTTATATTTTTATCGCCGCAGTTTCACTAACTCAAGCCCTGACACTGGGTACTTTTATGAGAGATATTAGCGATTTCTTTTGTGATGGTAAAGTAGGTTACATCAACGTGCCACAGGTGTTACCTGAGACAGAAAGTAAATCTGCAGAATTTATCAGAAGCAAGGGATCTTCCGGAGCTGCAGATTCCGCAGAGCCGGCGCATTCCACGGGATGAACCAAATGAAATGGACGGCTATTGGTGGTTGCAAAACGTCTGAATGTACAAATATGATGGCAAACACTATGGACGGTCGTGTACACGTCGCAATAACACAACAGATAGTGTAACACTGAAGAGCATCCTACCGTTGTATCCATGTCTTTCCAGTCATATACGTATCCACCATGCAGATTATGGGTAGGTCTGCCTAAGCCGTGCGGACTGTTCCCCACCGGATGCTGCGTTAGTTCAGCCCCACAAAAGAAAAAGCGGCGATGCTGTAACCAGGCATCTGGTAACACCATAGTTCAGTCCAGAATAGATGACCCCATGTTTTCCTAGAATCCTCTCAAGAAATAAGTCAGTCATCGTATCTAGGCCTTAGGTCCCTTCCAGCCATGATGTCACTTCATTATTCAGCGTAAAAAATGCCAACCAAGTTCTGTTGAATAACTGTACTCCCTCATGGACGGTCTACTGTAGCAGGCGTCGACATGTGTGTATGTTGGTTCGCTACTTACACTGGAATGATCCACAATTCGTTCCAAGACCGTACCTACTGCATGCCATTAATGGTACTTTGTTGCAATATCGCCTTTAAGTTTATATACTCCATGATTTACCCCCCAATTGAAGACACAATTCTTCAGTACCTCTTCGCAAGCTGGCTAGCGCTTAAAATCATGGTCATCTTCACGGCTATAAAATTCGCCCCTAACGAATAGAAGTATACCCCGCTAATTCAGCGGAGTATTCCTTGGATATTTATAGTCAGTATTGTCGGTTAGATAACTGCGAAGAGATTGCGATGCCTTGTTACGGTCATCACACATAATGCCTGGAAGTATTTGCTAATTATAGTTGTTAAAACTACTAACGCGATGTACTTTTTTGCAAACCAATAAACATGTAAATACTGGCAGGAAAACAGTTGCCTTCTGCGGTATATTATTATAGAAGTCCTCCTAACCTAGGTTGTTAGCCAACCTTCCTTGCAAAAATAACACTTATCTATATGACTATTACTTAGCGTAATCCGACTTTTTCGCCTTAGAAACCAATGTTTTACTCGGTCTAGATTCTAGAAGTATATCCTGTGAAGTTAAATATAGAGTCGTAAAAGATTTACGCGATAATTCTTAACTTCTAAGTTCTAATTAAAAATATACAAGCCGCGTAGAGAGATTTTTGGAGACTATATGTTGCTTAATAAACTTATAATTGATTAACTATATTTGTATACTACTTTTTACATCGCGGAATAGCTAGGGTGGTCAACCCGCACCGCAACCCGCAGCGGGCCACCGCACCGCACCGCAGCGGTGTAGTGCTGGTTGCAAAAGCTGCAGTCCGCATAGGCTGCGGGTTCTAATAGTAGGACCCGCGCGGGTTTGCGGGCCACTGCGCGGGTTAAAATATGCATAAATTCATAAAATTACATAAATTATCATATAAATAGATAATATTATAAAAATTATGTATTTTTATATATTGCGGTGGTTTGCGGGGTGGCTTGTAGGAAATATATATATTTACGGTAAGGGTCTAGCATATCTTTCTAAAGCCCGCAAACCCGCGTGGGTTGTATTCTAACCCACACCGCGTGCATCCCTAGATATAATAGAATTGCTCTAGAGAGTAAAGGTGCTAACAATAAGTTCTCAAATTACTAAGAGATCCGGTACCAGTGTAGGCGATCGTATTCATGATAGTCTTTTTCTGGACCCTTTCCTAACATGGCAAATACAGAAAACTGCAATAAGCGTTATGTCCCTACCACTGAAATACCGGGATAAATCCTTGCCTCAAGTGAGGAGGGAGTCTGTTGAAGACGGTAGCTTTAAGTCAGACCAGTTCTTGCAAAGTAGATGTTGCGCCGACACCAGCCTGTATGAAGTACTATATCTTCTCGTATGTCACTGGGTATTCCTGCCAGTTGTGTCCCACACGGGTTGGGCCTGCTTCCGATTTGAATAGCTCGCAATATTCCCGCCACTCTACCCAGTCGAAATATTTGCATTGGGCCTGCTGTGCGCATTTGTCTGCGCACTGGGACAAAGTGTGCCTTTCATATCCACTCCAATAGGAGATTCCTTTAGGAGCTGATGACCCACATTGTCAGCGTTCGCGAAGGCTCACTGGGCTCTAGTTGTAAAATATAAGGAGGAAGGGGGTCCGAGGAAGGGTGGCAGCAAGCAAATAGACATACCCGAGGCGCAGTACACCTTCCAGTTGCGTCCGCCATATGTAACCACCGTACCCAAGTTGACGGGGCCTATAACGAGTTAGTCAGCCTTCTTCTCATCGAGTTTCATACACTTACAATTCGTAGAGGACATGTGTATGGGGGGAGGGTTTCGACACCGGCCAAGGTCCGCCTGGGCTTTGGTAACTTGTGCCTGCAGATCTTTGATCGTTTTCTTGTTCTTCGACTCCATGTCATTTTTATCCCATAGACATTTGCCCCTCTCGGCTTCTGCCTTCTTCTTCAGCTTCTCGCAAGAGTCTCGCTCACCATCTGCTTTCTTTTTGTCGGTGAGGCACTTGGTGTTCTTGTCCGCGAGCTTTTTCTTCTCAGCTTGATAGGACTCTCTTTCTTTCTCGCGCGTTTTTTCACAGGCTTTGTATTCCTGGTTAAAAGCCGTTGCATTCTAAAGGTACTGCTCAAGCTGGTCTTAAAGATTAGGAGGCTTATGCTTCTTACCGGATGTTAATAAGACTGCTTTGTTAGCTTCCACTTCGTCGCCGCCTTCAACAATACTCTCTTAACAGATACCGCCCGTCTAGACTATAGTATAACAGTCTTCTTCTTGTGTACAGAGCTACGCACATTCCTCTAGACTCGCCTTAAATTTGGTCGTACGTAGGCTAGATTCCTCGTACCGTAAGGTTATGTCGTAAGTCACCGTGTATACCGTGCTGTCGATTGTAACCGCTGTCCTACTCTAGCTTGGGCAGAAGCGGTTGTAGTCGCTCGAGACGTAGCCACGAAGCGCACCCCATAGAATTACGATAAAGGCGGGGTGATACGCCCTAAGTGTTATTATCGTTAATGGTGTGAGTCGTGATGACCCGTTTTGTTATCTCGAAGTATCTACTAAACGTTATCTAGACACTTAAAGATAAACAACGATTAAACTTGTAAGAACGAGCTAAAGCCTCAGGCGCTTTTATTACTTTATATCTATTGTTATAGCAAGATACTTTACGTTAGGCTACTAAGATACATACTAATAATAGTTATTATGATCGGCTGACCTAGAGTAAGGGATAGCTCACCAGAGCAGGCCATATAAGAGATATCAAATCTAATATCACACCACTCAAGGACGATGCCACACAGTATGCTTTAGAGCTTAAATATCAAGTTTACTGAAGTATTACTGCCGGTCCGAATCTTGCAGCTATAAGCTTTATAGTGCCACAACGCCATGTAATTACACCTTTCCTTAATACTACTAATCTAACGTCCTCGAACTCGTAAAACAATTAATTTCGTTCTCTAATAAATAATAATAATAGATACAGAATAGGGGAATCATTCAGGAAGGGGAAGAGGTAGTCGGTAACAATAATCTTCCTAATAAGAAATGCGCTTCTTTCTTCCTTCCTCTAATAGTACTTAGCCTGGTTCCCGTTGCTTTATAATGCATCTCAACCCTTCGTGCCCCCGACTTCAAAATGCAGTCAGAGTGGCCCAAGCTAAAGCTCTAAATAACCAAACCCCCTTGTATATCTCGCTTTGAGTGGCGGACGCTGTTTCCACGAGGTTCAGCTGGCTGACTTTTATTGTACTTTGCAAGCCTATTCTAGGGTCCCCAAGCCTTGACGGGGAGCAAGCATGTATCAGATAACTAGTTTTAGTAAGCTGAGAAATGAGTATAGGAGACGGTTCTATGGTAGTTTCACAGTCTCGTCGCTTCGTCTCGCAGCTCGTGTAAGTCACTAGTAGAGACCATACACAAAGACCCACCCAGCCAGGCCGCGAGGAGGCGCCTCACCCGCTTAATTCAGTCCCCTAACCGCTCCTCTCGGAACCGCTGCCAGCTTCCAATGCTTTCCTTCTTGACGACATTGCTCTCTTTGGGCTTATGCCTTAGTGTGCCGGGTTTGGAGCCACTGCTGTACAGCGAGACGCTAGGGCCGTGATGCGAGCCTTCCCAAGACAGCTATCAACTAGGTTTAGGCTGCATGTTAATAGAAAATTATATATAATGCTTCAACCGAGCCCGCATCTTCCTTGCAGCGTCCTGATAGCTTCAGCCTTGTTCAACACTCCCTTGCTTCCGGCACAAAGAAGTTGATACATTGTACGACCTTCAGATACCCTAAAGAGGTAGTTTCTTATTACCTTGCGTGTGCTATGACGGTGTCCCGATGTCATATCGCCCAATGGTTTACCATAAAAAAAGCCCAATACTGTACTATAGCACTGGATTACTCCTCTCCTTTCCATTGCGGTGTCTCGATAGCACTAGTCTTTCAGCACTCCCTTGCTTCCGGCACAAAAAAGTTAATACATTGTACGACCTTTAGATACTCTGAAGACGCAGACTCTCACTACCTTGCCTGTGCTATGACTGTGTCCTAACATTACATCTCGCAATAATCTGCCTTATAAAAGCCATTATAAGCACTGGTCTACTCTTCTATCATCTGCTTATTAACGCCATCGTTCTTTATATAACCTATAATAGGATAAACAGGGTATATCCAACTCTCCTACTAGCTGCGGGTATTTTCTCCCAGCCTACTGCCGCTAACAACCCTGTCGTTCTGTAAGTCCCTCTTAGTGTCGGCCCTGCTCTTGCTACGGCAAGCCGTCCAATCTAGCTCAAGGATATCTACATCGCAAAGAACGCAGACAGAAACGCCAAGTACTGTCCGGTCGGCACAATCTTCGATAGTTAGCAGTGCGCCTTTCTATACACTGCTATTTACCCACCTAGTACAGTGTAGGATAGTAATTTCTATCGCGGCCCGGCAACGTGCCTTAATAGCGCTAAGCTGGAGAATAGCTAGTACTACTCGACTGATGATCCCGTTTGCCCGGTCGGTTCCGTCTTTAACAGGAAGTATTATGTCACTAACAGTCCGCCGATCTGCCCCCCCTAACACTATCTTTAATAGGGTAGCATACGTTAGTATAGCAGACCCCTCCTGCCCGCCCGGCTCTACTCTAAAAAATAGTGTCTGCGTGGCTACTGGACCCCCAAGCTGTTCGCCCGGATTAATCTTCGATAGAAAGAGCTGCGCTGGTATAGACCTGCTCAGTTGCCTATCTGATACACGCTTCGTAGAAGATATCTATATCTCCGAGAAGGACCCCTTATGCCCCCCGCCTCTCGTCTTCCAGTCTAATATCTGTGCCTATTTATCGCCGCTATCTTGCCTATCTAGCACCACGTTTAATAGAAAGGTCTGTATTTCAGAGACGCTCCCAAGCTGTGAATTCGGTGTCTTCGATAGGAATATCTGTAAGGACTCGCGGGCTCCTAGCTGCCCGCCAGGGACTAGTATGCAGAACAGACTTTACATCGCGTAAGACAAACCTTCCTGTCCACCGGGACAGACCCTCTCTGTCTACAATAATCAGAGTCGTTGCTGTCTTAATAGCCTTGTGTGGGACGGATCTACTTATATCTTCAGACCTGAGGATAGGAAGATCTGTCTACTAGGAAGTAGCTTCGACGGCGATAAGTGTATTTACACTCTAATCGTGGAGCTAAGCTGCGCTTCTAGTATCTTCTTTAACGGTAAGAATTGTATCTCTACGTAGCCGCTCTCCTGCCCTCCGGGCACTACATTCGACGGCAAGCTTTATCTCACATCTGAGAGCCTATCTTGCTCTCCCGATACCAGCTTCGATAGCACAAGTTGCATCTCGTCCGAGCGTCTCAGCTGCCCTCCCAGCTCAGCTCTAAGCGGCGATAAGTACGTCTCCTCCGACACTCCTTCCTGCCCGCTAGGAATAATCTTTAACGGCCGCGTCTGTGCCTCCTCCGAGCGCCCTAGCTGCCCACTAGAATCCGCCCTAGTCGACGGTGTCTGCCGCTTTTTAGACTCCCTATTCTGCCCGCCCGGGTTATTGCTCAGCGGTAAAGACTGCGTTATTCCGAACCTGCCTTTCTACCCACTATCTATAACGTTCGATAGCAAAGACTACGTGCACTCCGATCGCCCTTCCTACCTGCTAGGATATACCTTCAACAGCGAAAGCTATGTTTCGACGGAAACCCCCTCCTACCCTCCCGGAACTATTTTCTACCTGCATATCCTGCATATACACAGAACGATCTATATACCCTACAGAAACTATCTTTAACGGCACAAGTTACGCCGCCACTACAGACCCGTCCTGTCCCTCTAGAATAATATTTAATAGCCACAGCTGCGTCAACAAAGACTAACCTTCTTGCCCCCTTGGCTCTGTATTCGACGGGACTAAATGCGTGGCAACTGACGACCCCATATGCCCCCCCGGAACAACCTTCAACAGATCTTAGTGTGTGAATAAGAAGAGCCCCAGCTGCCCACCCGGAACTACTTTCAATGGACACATATACATCTCGAGCGATCCTCCTACCTGTCCTCCAGGAACCCGCTTCAATAGATTAAAGTATATTTCTTCGGAACCCCCGGCCTGCCCTCCCGGCAGTATTCTACAGGATAGTACGTGCGTAGTTAATCAGCCGCTAACCTGTTCTCCCGGGACGATGTTTAATAGTAAGATCTGCAGTGCGGCGACGAGGCCAGAGTGCTATAAGATATATGTGTGTCCCCCGGTTTTGAGCGTAGCCGAGCTGCTTTCTAGGATTTAGAAGATAAGTAAGTAGTTGAAAGAGGCCAAGAAGGTGGCGAGTTAGTCTGTAAGTTACCTCCGGCCAGGTCCTTTCTCTTTTTGGTTATTTTCTATTTTCCTTGCTAAGCACGCCGGTAAGTAGACCGTGCAACATAAATAATAAAAACAGTAATGATTTGTTTTTGCTTACATAGCTTGCTTCTTGTTTTTCTGTTTCCTTTGTCGATGCATTTTAATCCTAGTCGTTGTTTCGGACTTGGAATACATCTAAATACCATTGGCTCCCGACAGGCTTGTCACCAGATCTTACTCTCCGCTGGAAAAAGGCGTAGTATCTCACTCTAAAAGAGAATAACCTGGCTTATGGATGAATCTCGGGGTCCCAAGTTTTAAAGATTTGCACGCGTGTGGTTCCGTAGTACCGCACCCCTCGTGCGGATTGAGCGCCAGGTGTTGGGATGGATGGGAAGAGTAAACTACGAATGAGGATCTCCACAGCCAGAATGATAGATAGCCTTACTGGTCATCGGTAGTCTTGTTGTGTCACGTGCTCGCCGCCCTACCCTACGTCTCCAAGAACCATAGCTTCTATAGCCACAACACAAGAATACAACCATTCTCGCGCTTCGTCGTTCCTTCCATACGCGCATGTCTGACACCATGTGTACAATTAAGAGGCATGGTGGCAGTCGAATCAATTCAGATGATTTCGGAAACAGCGGGGTGTTCTTGAGTGGATTTTAAGATTGGATTAAGCATTGCCGGTCATAGCTCTACTGAGTTAAATAGAGCCTGACCGTACATAGATCCGACCCTGGAGCGGAAACTAGGCGTAGGTAATAATTAGAATCTAGGCGGAGGCAAAAGATGACCGTTGTTATTTTACGAAGACCCGCCGATCTTTATACAGGATAAGATCATGTCTAGCTATATTTCTACGTCCAGACCCTTCGCGGACATGCTAGGAGACAGGAACTTATATCCAGAGGCCATTTCGGTTTGGGATATTTCAAAGCTTAGCTTATTTTGCTAGCTCAGTAATCTCTTCCACTACATCACTGAAGTCCTTAGCTTTAATATCTTACTTAACCTCCTCACAAAGGCGTTTCCGATAGCTTACTTTCAGATCCTGTGTAAACTCAAGCCCACTAGCACGCTCGACTATATTAAATTCTACCTCAAACTCCTTCAGATTCTTATCGTCTTTAATCGTCGCATTAGGCAAAATAAATACTCTAATAGCTATCTTAGTCCCTACTCGCTCTGAGTTATTCTCCTTTTCTCCAAATATGACTTTGTAAAAGTAAGTCGGGACCGCCATATTAGACGGAGACCCATTACCTTAGTCCTAACTAATAACTTCGTAACTGACCCGCTATTTGCCGTCTTCGCCCTTATAAGGGAGATACAGAGGTCCAGTCATCATCCGGACGGATAGATATCTAGTAGTAAGGTTCTTACAGAAGTCCTCGAAATACGCCTAATAATAACGGTTGAATTCTACCCTAACCTAGGGACACATATTTGATATTTTAAGGTTGTATCGACTGCTTCTTGCGACCACTTAGCTAGGTTAGCAGGGATCTGGTAACCGCGGTCGTACTCTATATTACTGTAGTCGGACACTTTAGTCCGAAAACTGGCAGGAATAGTCTTGTCCTACCGGAAGTTGTTTCGGCGCTCGCCGATTACTGTTGACATAGATTCAGGAGTCATGTGCTCGGCTACCTAGACCGGGTTCCGGGTCCGGCGGTCATACGTACCGTATAACGAGATTTCCTTAAGCTTATCGTTGACGGAACCAGGGTAGCCGTACTTAAGGACACCGGTAGGGTCCACTAGTTTGGAGACTAAGGCCTTGTCTTCAGAGCCGGACCCTTCGTTAGAAAATAGGATAAGATCGGGGAATAACACAGGTTTGGATCTCACAAGAGGTGACTCGATTACTACTTACTTGCGGGATTCGGGATACAGCAGGACCGACCCTGCACCGGTTACAATGCCCACGGCGGCAGCAGCAGCGAGTTTCGCCTTAGACATATCTTAGTATAATAGTTGTAATAAAGATGATATATTTTCGTGCAAGAGAATTATGAGTTCTGTGAATTTGGTGAAACTGATGTGCGTTGAGAGTACATGTAGCAGCCGTCCATTGAAGCGGGGGGCGAGCAGTGATAATATGACGAATCTGCCGTTGATCCCAGTCTAGGCATCATGACCTAGGCTATATCAAGACCTTGGTCTATGACCTAATCTTAGCTCCCTTTGACGTTCGGCTAGTGACCGCATCCGGATGCATGGTCTTAGAAACCTGCGAAGCTATTCTGCTTCATTGCCCATCCAACTCAGACAATGGGAACGTAGTGGTAAAACGTATCCAGCAACGTTTACCGCGCTAAGAGACTTAAATAGTGGATCCTCTCAAGATGTATTATGCTTATTATCAGCCTTGCAAACCGCTCATTTCCGAGCGATTATAGATAAGGAAATCCGAGTCGGATTCCATACGCCTGGCTCGCTGAACGAAGTCGCCAAAGCATAAATCACTCTCTAAGTCAGTGCTGGATATTACGGTAGGCTGGCAGCGCACACAGACCCGCCTAATCCTATACGCCAGCGACGCAACCTTGTCCCATTCAGATCCGGTGCATTCTAGCCTGGATTTATTGGCGCAAAGGATGGAGAGATTAGGAAGGTGGTATACGTGATAGACATGTTCAGGTGTTTTCGGGCAACACTAGCTTATAAAAAGGAATGTACCTAGCGACGTACTAATCAAACCGTGGAAGGCACACGTACTAACATGTTCCCACAGATCCAGTACCGGTATGATCGAAGTCCAGCAAGTCGTCCGTAAGAATCTTCTCAACTTTGGGATCTTAGCCATACCACACCCGACGAATATTTCAAAAATAACACGCGTGAAAATGGCATAAATCTGCCCTCTGTTACTATCGGAACCTGCTGTTTTGGCTATATTGCTTTCCATACGCATGTAATGCCGCTAACCGGGGACTATCCTACTTTCCACCAAACACCGGCCGTCTAGTATAGTCTTCCGTCGGCTTGCGGTATTCGCCCATAACGTCAATTGACCGCTGCTCCGGCCTCAAGCCCCATCTGATAAAGTAATCTGAAAGATCAAATCCTGAGATCTCCGATGCTGTTATCATGAAAAGTGCTTTCTGTCGGCTTCATGTTGTTCCGGTGTTCGCCGAGAGATGAAGTGCAGACGGTGATAGAAGGCGTCCCCAAAAATAACGCGCAGCTGCTCAAACATCACAAGCTTTATATAAAATTTGTCGCAGCCATCTAAATCACTATTGTCATAGTCTCCTGCAATTGTTGATGAAGGGTTCGCCGGTACCGCTTATCTCACCCGGAAATATGGACCTTGGGTACACGGCTCTCCCTTTATCAAGTTCCTTGCGAATGATTCAGCGAAGCTGTCAACCATGCAAAGGACATAATGAACCAAGAAATCATGGACTATTTGCTTCCTTGGAACGGACCTTATTATCCGGTATCATCCAAATGCTCTACTCATCCTTCGTGGGCCGCATGGTATGCGTCAACGCACCACACATCCACAGGTAATAATCAGCCACTCATGGTATCAAGATTCTTTAACAAAGAGTCTTTGTCTGGCAAAGAACACGAGCTGTTTGATTTGCTTCAAATTCTGACCACCGAGGTCGGAGCAGGGGTACACACGCAAGCAGCACTGTGCTCCTGAATATCGTTGCCGGTGGAAAAGTTCTCAACAATGTGCCATACACCTCGGTTAATCCGGCCTGGAGGGAGACCTATCTCTTATTAGAAGGAATAGACATGTGGCCGGCAAATGCGGGCTCGGAGGAAATTCAAAAAGTCAAAGAGCAAGCGACTAAAGAAAGTTAGGAGCCATGAAAAATTTGGCTCCTGGAACGGGAACTTATGGGAATGAGGCCGACCCGTATGACCCGGACTGGAAGCAGGACTGGTTCGGCGATCAATATGACAAACTTCGGTCGATCAAGATGTACGACCCAGAAGATGTGTTTTGGTGTTGGCGATGTGTGGGCAATGAGGACTGGGAAGAGGTGATAGGTAGAGCGCTTTTTGGGCCTTTGTGTCAAGTGAACTAACAATAAAGGTTGGAAACTTGACAGCATTGAATTATCTATCGCTACTATACTGATTATTGTTATTGTGTCTTCACTGCATCTTTTATTCTTACTCTCATTAATGCACTTGCTTCAGAGTTAACCCCATTGAATTGTCCTATCTTGGAAACCTTCCAATACAGTATGGGTGATCAAACAACTGTGCATTCTATATAGACCTATAGTTATGGTAGGTCGCACTCAATTGAGCTGGAAATAATCTTGCTCATTTTATCTTTTCCGCCGCACCTATAAAACAGAATGTGGGCCGTATAGGTACTTTGACTTGGTTATGGAATTTGAGGTTGGCCTGTTTGATTCCCTGTCTTAAGCAATGCATGCCTCCAAGCCCACATGTCTCGGTTGTTCTGGGTAACTTGTACACAGTTCCATTGAAGTGAGCAAAGCTCTTGATCTAGACCATGTGCTTCACTCAGCAGTTGTCTATCACTCTCAGTCTCCCAACCATATATTCCCAGTCCAGGGTACTCCCACAATCCAAGACACATTGAAGTACTTCTGCAGAACCTTTTGTTCATACGTCTGATCATTCACGCAGTAATCCCCTCCAGTGGGTCCAATATGCGGACAGTGCATCTTAGGGTCATACTGCACCATATGCTCGTGCACCTCCCGGCATAGGAGGGTGTCTCGGCCCAGTTCGTAGTCCTTGCCGAGTGGGATTGCTGTAGTTAGGAAGTCATAGCAGGCTGTGCTGTTATCGTACTGCTGGTTCTCCCCTGTGCAGTACTTATCATGCGTGTCACAAACAGTCGTGGCAAGTAGCTGAGTTAATGCAGCTGTTGCCTGGCTGGCGGTACCGTTGATGGACGTCGCCAATGCCTCCACGAGAGTATCCAGCAGGAAGCCGAACCAGCGAAAAGTGGCATCATATTGCATGATACGTCCATCAGCATCCCACATGATCCATGTATCAATTGTAACGGGCAGTAACAGGTTGCCAAATGAGGTGGCATTGAACGTCACAACGGTGGTAGCAGATGCAATATTCCTCTCTGCAATGAACTGTGTAATGCTGTAGGCAATGGGCACCCCCACTAGACTGAGATGGTTGGGGTCAGAGAACAGTCCAAAGATATATTCCGTGTTTAGCTCGCTGCCGTTAAACACCCTGGTGATGTCTACTCGGCCTTGCACCTGCAGTAAGCTGTCAGTGGTTTTTGGATGGAAACAGCAGTTGGCCGCATACTTCTGTGGTGAACAAAGTTGAGTTGATCGCCTCCACCTGCTTGACGTTGGCGGGGTACAGAAAGTTATCCCAAAATGTAACTTCGAGGTCCCAGAGCTCTTCGACGGTGTAATTGGCGGTATTTGAGTTAGATTTCCCCGACACTAGGGCGGGCCACATAACCACTGGCGAAAGAAGTGCCCGGAAGAAATACATTTTGGGCAGGAACAGACAGTGCTTGGTATAAGCTCTAAGCGGGAGAAGAGCAGGTATGTCTCACTCTGCCATATGAAAGATATTTAAGTACAGGCTAACGGGGATTGTCAGCTGTTGTCAGCGGTATTTGATTCTGGAGAATGCAGGCCGGCATGTAGGGAGGCCAATTACACGACCCGTTTTGTGTGCCATGAAAGAATGTGGACTTTGTCCATAGGCTTTGTGGAATGCTGTGTAGGGACCTTTATTGGAGGTGACAGGATGAAAGGGGCAGCCGGGTTGTAACACCAGTTGACATTGTCCATCTACAGTTAGAACCCCAATCTACATTGGACCACCTTCAATTATATCCAGTAGTACATCAAACAGGTCATCTTAAGTCTACCTAGTTAGGCATATTGTCCATACCTTCCCTTGGTCGTGCCTTGACTATAGGGAGCCAATCTTGAGCAACGATTTAGGTATTGCCTTCCATGCTCGTGACATTGCAGTATAGCTTCGATAATGTTTTGGGACTGTGCTCAGGTGGGCTGCTGGTATTTGGGCGCCTTATTCTGGTAGCAAACAAATAGATAGTATGTGACTTTCTCTCTCTACTGCGTGTGTGGCGGCAGTTCTGAGGTTAGAAGGTCTGAATATGAAAAGCTTGCTGGATATTTGTGTCTGAGAGTCCTAGGCAAGCTCTGCCCCCTAAGGAAAATGTGACATGCCGCGGACGCGTAGATTACTAATAGTACTAAATAAGCGTGTTAGAGTTATTTTAGAGCCTCTAAGTATACTTAAAGAGTCCGGAGGACTCCTGGTATGACATTAACTTCGGTTAGTGGTTTAATCACTCTCTCGCTCTGAGATGACAGTAGCCTGTTGGAATTTAGTTCCGAAGATTGTTTGATGCTGGCCCAAAATTGCTGTGCTAGGGTGGAAGCAGCGACACTTCTGTAGGTTAGGTAGGTACATAATTAGAGTGATAGGGGTAACCGCGTGCCTCTATATTTTGGTTGCCTGCGAGTCCTTAACAAGACATACGCAGATGAACTATAGTATTTTATACTCTCTTCTTAAGCTGTAGTAAGTCGTTAGTATATATATTTCTACCCCATCTAGTAGGGAAAAATCAGGGTATGACTCGACCTTTAAATAATATCCTGTACCTATGGGGAATGGGGCACGCTGCGTACGATGCCTCTAAAGTATAGCAGATTTTTATAGAGCGCTAAGACTAAATCTAAATATATTAAATTTTAGGGTATGGCCCTAGTATCAAACTTAAATTTTGCTTGGTAGTGTACTATATGTATTTATATGCTTTAGCTCTATATCTTGCGTGTAGTACCATCAATCAATTTTAATACAATATAAATAGTCGGAGATTATCTTATACTCTATATTTCGGTAAATCCTGGTAGGGTTTCGATGCTGTTGGAGTTCCAAATCTACGTGGAAAATAAGCCATGGCTTAATTTAATTAGGTTGCGAGTGGCTTAAAATTTGACCAAGTAGCCGTCTCTAGTAAGTAGCCCCACCCCACCTTCGGGACCTACCCCCGAAGTGGGTGTAGGTCTGCTCTCTAGAGACGGCTACTTTGAGATGGGCGGAAGCCCCAGGAATTACATTAATAGTAAGAGTCAATAATAATCCATACGCAACTGCACAAAGAACAATAAAATCAAGACAGCCGAAATTAACCTATATTAAGAACTAACAAACACATGCACCAAAATATTACCACAGCAGAACCATCTTCAACACAACAAGAGTTTGGGACCCATTCCCAACAGCATCATCCTAATACCATCATTCGCACCTAGTCTATTCTCCGTCTCATCCAGAGCATGCATGAGTTCCTCGTGCAGATACTTCAAGACATCCTGCGAGTAGGCCAGCGTCTGGACCTCCTCCATCTCAGCCAGGATATATCTCTTCATCTCATAGGGGAGGTTTGTGCCGGGTTTGCGGTTGAACAGCGCCGAGGTGATCCGGTCGGGATAGCGAGTGTGACTGAGCAGGTGAATGAGGGGGAGCGAGAATTTGCCCTCATCGAAGTCTTCGCAGAAACCTTTCTTTGACTCGTACTAGGGCGGGTGAGCATAGACCAATCTTAAAAGGCGAGAGGCGACTGGAGACTCACATCTGCAGAAGCCAGGTTCAAGTAGTCGTCCCTGATCTGGTAATATCGCCCAGTCAACGTGAGAAGCCGGCAAAGCGCCGTGTCCAATGGCCGGCTAATCGAGGATTCGGCGGTCATAAGACGCAGCATCAGCCGGAACAACCCGCCGGTCTTATTGTCGACCATGACGATGTACTCTTCCATTGATGGGCAGCGTGCGTGGTGCCGCCAGTACAGGTCGAGGCTCTGGCCGCGGTGGAGGTTGCGGAGTTCGTCTGCACTACGTTAGCGTTGATGCCAGGTAGGGCTGTTCATTGAATACAGTGGATGCGGTACCGACGAAGATATCCATGCACTCAGGGTTATAGAGCCGAGTCACTTCATGCACGGCATGGACGTAAACGTAGTTGGCGCTGTTGATGGTCTGGCTGATGCCGTAGAAGGTGTGCGTAGCGGGCTGGCCTCGTCGGAGGGCCGATGCGTCTTCGATGTCGTCGAGCCTAGGGTGCTATTAGCAGTCACATCTTGCGACCAAGTTGCAAACTCACATTAGCGACGAGTTATGCAGCATATGGACGATGTTCTTGATGCGCTTGAGGGAGCTCGGGGGGACCTGGAGCCAGTCATTCAGGAGGTCGAGCAGCTTGTTTCGGTTCTTCTTGGATGGTAGCGAGTCGATGTAGCTGTACGGAGCATCACAGATCTGAGAGTGTCAGACTTATCATCATCGGCAGAGATTCGGGTGGCTTACGTCACCTGCAGCTTCCTGGAAAGGAGCTGTGTATATGGCCATACTGTTGATGCTGGTGCCATGTTGTTGCAGCTTCGCTGGCTGAACGTAGTTGCCATTGGTGAAAGTACTTTTACTCCCCTCTGTACCGTTCTGTTTGCCGTTCCTGGAGTTGCGTTTCTTGAAAGCATGGTGAACACCGTTGCGGACACTGCTATCTGCGACAGCATCCTTATGCTGCACATGACCATTGTCGTCCTGGACTGCTGAGGCTAGGGGCTCGCGCACTATGCCCTCCAAGTTCTTCGGCGGGGGATACCCTGCCAACACCCTCAGAGCACCACGGGATTTCCCAATAAGCGTTGCGCGGTCCTCAGCAGTGGTAGCGAGGTCCGTACGGTGGTACCGACCGGCATGGGACATCCAAAACATGCTGCCAGACATTAAGGCCATGGTCATGACAAGGTACCTACGGATCTCTCCCGTCTCAGGCCCAGCCTGCCGACTCCAGGCGTCGAACCCATCCATCCACTTCTTTTCTCTGATGATCACTTCCTTCTTGATGATCTCCTTTGCTTCCTCCTCGGTGTAGCCATACTCACGCATCAACAACGCCACGCCATTCTGAAGTCGGTCCAGAGTTCCCGACCGATGATGCTCATCAAATTCCTTGGGGAAGCTATAGTAGTCGTTTCCCAGGATCCCTCCTGCGCATGCGAGCTGGGTGAGGTACTTGACGGACTCCTTCTCCTCGTCGCTGATGCGGATGTCATTCGTCCAGCATCCGACGGAAATGCCCCAGCTACCAGCGTCACACCACGTCAGTGAAGCATCGCAATAGATAGAGTGTAAGGCGGACTTACTTCCCACCAGATTCGTTAACTCGATGCTCAACATACTTCTCCCACGACATGTTGTTGTGTGTGCTCTTCTCCTGCGCATCGAGGTGTCCCTTCCACTCCTTCAGATGCCCAATGCCCGTGAAGGGGTCGACGGCAATAAAGTCGCGGATGACCTGCACGGCCATCTTGTTGATCTCGAACCTGGGCTCGATGCGCCGGCCCGACTGCAGCTCGCTCAGCATCGCGATGCCGAAGTCCTGGGTGAGCTCGTTCATCTTTTCGGCGCTGATGCTGTCGCTGACGTCTACGGGACTAGTTATCATCACATTCGTAGACCTGCCAGTGACGGGAGACATACCATCCCAGAAAAATGCACAATCACTGAGAACAGCATTAAGCGAAACCCGCTCCGGCAAACAATCCGGATACGCCCATTGATTATAGTGGCCTAGATGGGTGGTGCATGCCTGGAAGTTGAGCTTATCCTGGTGCAGTCCGTCAACTTCACAGGCGCGCTTCCACTTGCGTGTAAACTCTGCGCTCGCTTCAATGGCCTCGGCTGTGGCTTTGGAGCAGAAGACCGGGTAGGTGGAAAAGTGGTCGGCTGGGAGAGGGTCGTAGTCATCATAGTTGATCGGCACGCAGTGCTTCATGACATCGCTAATTGTGTCCATTTTGACGAGCCAGCCAAATCGAAAATGTTATTACTTTGTTATGGTACTGAGCGGCCTTTTGCACACCAGCCAGACTAGGCAGTGGTATTTATGTGTTGGGGTCAGCGCCCTCGCAAACTCCCCATATGGCCTCGGCATCTGGAAGAGCACTTAGCTTTGCTCCGCGGAGCCTTTTTTTTACTTTCTGGGATGTCACTGTAGCTATAAAGTCTACTGCAGGAGTTTAAATTGAATTATTTAAGTTTTGGAAGAGTACGACAATACCATGGCTACCCCAGCCATGGTTATCAGACCCAGATCAGATCTAAATGTAACAAGGAACTCGTCGAGCTCATATTACAGCGACACTCGCCTCCCATACATGGGTACTCCGTACATTAGAGCCTACCATATCCATCAGTAAACGACACCCAAAGCGGGCACAATGAGTATCTCCAACATGACCAGCACCGTATGGCCGGGTACGCCTCGCACCCTTCTCACAGCGGCATTCATGGATCTAATGAGTTTCCAACGCCTCAGACCTCCAGGTACCGGCCATCGAACATAACCACCTACCGATCCTGACAGTGGCGCTGCTTACCGGCATTGCCAGCGCTGTCTACATCAACGTCTCGTCTGTGCAAGACCCGTGCAAAGTCGGCAGCATCCCGACGGTAAAGAGACCGCGCCTTCTGGACGCGTACCGCTCTGGCGTCTGGTGGAGGATCTTTGTTCCAAGGCTTGTGCCGTACATAGAGGAAGGATATCACAAGGTAGGTGCCCTAGTACTCCGGGCCCCCCTTGCTGAATGAGATGGCCTTGCTGACCAACGCAGTACAATAAAAATGATCAACCGTTTAGGATCTGGCTAGGCGGGTTTCAGGCATACGCTTATGTCCTGCCGGAACGATACCTGGACAAAATCAAGAACATGCCTGAGTCGGAGGCGAGCTTTGCCGCCATGGCGAACAAAGTAGGTCTAGCCGCTGTCGGGCTGAACGGTTCATGAACTGACAGCCGAGCAGTACTTCCACACTGGGCTTCCTACCGGGGAGGTCAATAACCTCGTTCTCCAGGTGGCCTCGAAGCTCGTAAATGGAAATCTAGGTGTGTGCGGTGCAACTTTGGCCCGGACCAGTAGTAATTAACGTCTTTGATACAGCTACCATCAAAACACTAATGCAGGGCGAGGTCCAAAAAGCCCTGGCGAGGGAGATCGGCAGCCCAAGGCAGTGGACGAAGATAAATGCCTGGCAAGTCGCAAGAAAAACCACAGAAGCCCCCGGCTTGCGAGTGGTCTTCGGCGAAGAACTCGCCAACGACAAGACGTTCGTCACAGGCGTATCGGAATTTGTGTCCAACATCACTGTGTATGCGTTCACGCTGCGCTATATTAACCTTGGCCCGTTGCGGGACTTCATCCTGTACCTTGTGCACTGGCGACACCGCCGGTCCCTCCCTGCCGTCTTAACACCGCTGAATAATGTCATCACGGAGCGCAAGAAGGTGCGGTCTAATAGGCACATCAGCGACGACGAAGAATCCTTCGACTGCATCCAGTGGGCACTGGACCAGCCTGTTTCCGACGATTGCAAGACCGCCGAAGCCATCGCCCGCCGCCTGGTCGTCATATCTCTTGGCACCATCGACACAGTGGCAGGAGTCCTGGTGAAGCAGCTCACCCATCTTGCGTCGCATCCGGAGTGCCATGAGGAGATTCGCGCTGAGATTCGGGAGTGTCTGGCAGAGGATGACAATGGCTGGACCTTGAAGTCCACAGGCCGGATGAAGAAGCTCGAATCGTTCATCCAGGAGTCTCTCCGCATGTCCTCGGGGGCAATCTCACGTACGCACTTGCCAGCCCCTTGGCCTATATCTACATGTGTCGGTTGATTAATCACCACCTTATTCAACAGTTTCCGGGATGCGCATTGTCACCGGCTCAGGGTTTCGTCTTGACGACAACACCGTCCTCCCCAGGGATTCCTTTATCGCAATCCCGACGCGAAATATCTTGTACGACCCAGAGGTCTTCCCTGAGCCGGAAAAGTTCGATCCGTTCCGGTTCTACAAGATCAAAGAGGATGAAAAGAATGCTGGGTCGCGTTCAAACAGGCGTAAGTCGTAGAGGACCCGTCTCATGCATTATGTGTATCTTATTAACCACCTATACCGCCATTAGGGGATATCCGGGCAAGTTGGCTTGCGTAAGACACCTATTCCCTACGCCTTGATCGCTTTCCATGGTCGTTCTAACAATTTCAACAGATTTGGGTATGGGCGGCAGGCGTGCCCCGGCCGGTTTTATGCAATCAACGCGATGAAGACCATATTGGGGGAGATCCTTCTGAAATACGATATCCGCCTTGCTGAGAAACAGGCGCCGAGGATCGACATCGACCTTGATCCCATGCTTGCCCCTGTTCGGTCGACTGATTTGGAGTTCAGAGTTCGTGCGTAGAGGAGGCGGTTATGATGCTATTGGAAGATGTACGAAGGGTGTGCTTCAACACGAGTTTCTTGGCCAATTCAACATGGCCTCTTTCTCTGAGACTGCAAAATCTTATGATTTACCGTACCTATGTCGTACTCTTACAGAATTTGCGTAGCACTGGTCGAGCATGGTGTACGTAGAGCATCGTAAGCAGTCTCCTCGTCCGGCGGAAAATCCAGTCAGCGGCACTGCAAATGAGGAATGGCCTAGAACGGTCAGGCCCTTTTCCCCCTTGCTCTCACCCTCGAAGCAGTCTTTTTGAAACTCCTTGCCTGGCTAGAGGTAGCAAGGACGTCAGGACACATTATCGCAGTCCGCTGTTGGCAGGCTACTACAACCGATCTAGACTAACACAGAGCTCTTCCAAGGTTACACAAAAGAAGGCTTTGACTTTAGCCGGCCCGAGCCCAGACCCAGCTGTATAGCCAGAATTTAGCATTCCAGACACCCTTGGGTTGCGCGGCAATCAGGTTACACTCGATACTGAATCTGTGTCATACGGCTGCTTACCTACAGCTGGCTTATCCTGGATCTGGGCTCCCGACAAGTAGATTATCGTTTATGGAATCCCGACAACGTCACAGCGAGCAGTGGTGACCAGGAGACGGCAAAAAAATACGGGATAGTGTCAGTTTTCTGCCATCCCTTCGCTGTGGAGTCAGCATCCGATCTAGAACGATGCCTATGCACGCAGTTAATCCGTAGGCAGAGGGCGGGAAATAGTCCCTAACGTACATTCCTCAACACCCGCGGTACGTGCAACCTCAGCGGTCTGTTGTCCTGGTAAGAAGTGTTACACAGGCTGGATGCTGACTACTTAGCCACCCGCAATCGATTATCTAGGGTAGACAAGCTCCACACTAACCCCGTAGCGTGTCGGATTTCAAATCACCCTGTTGCTGAAACGCTCATTCCAAGGCTCAGACGAATATACCTCACCTACTGACAGATACATCATTAAGGGAGTTTTGAGTTCCTGCTGTTACACTAGATACATGCCACTGCAGTTGTACGGAATCTCTACGTAATGCGATTCGACCTACTGAAGGTACAGGACAAGACGACGATAGACATCTTCCAGTCTTACCTATCACAACAAGCCTTCCGCGATTGGAGCAATAGGCCTAGAATCCGGAAGAAGCTTCCGGCTCCATCCAAGCTTCCAGCACCTCAGAATCACATGGATGTGGCTGTCATATGTAGCCTCCACCAGAGCTGCCGCTAGATACGGCATTGGAGCTAGTCTAGACTGCCCTTAGGACCGGACCGGCGGTGGGTTTATCATCTCAAATAAGAAGGTAACCACAGGTGGAGGCCCTAGAGGTCAGCTAATAGGGAGCCGTCACTTATGCTTTATGATATTCAAGACTTCAGCTTAGGATGCGAACTGTTTAAGTCCCTTTTTTGTTGTTAGTGGGGCATTGTGGGCATTTTACTTCAACTGAACTAGTAGTCTACTAACATGGTCAAATTATGACCTCTCCTAAAGTTAGAGCCGGTAATTAGGGAATAGATCTAGAAGATTAATTATCCCGAGCTAGTTACAAGTTCGTTCCTAATTAGGAATAAGTGAGCTGATAAATGACCTAATTTCTGCCTGAGTGATGCCTGGGTGCCTGAGGCACTTAAACTAGCCGCAGTAAGACAGGAATAGTCTATTCTTAGTAGGGGGTTAGGTACTTAAGACCTAGCAGATATTATTAAACTTAACGGCGGTTGAATAGAGCCGCTCAGAAGTACCAAAGGTCTTTCAAAAAATTAGGGCCGATATATAATAGCTAAGCACCAAGAGGCGATGTAGTTAGTAATATATCTTCGGTAGCTTACGTTATAAAACTCAATTAACGTAGTTCACAAACGAGTCGGCCACCGCCTACTAATTCCTGCCGACAGGCCATATACTAGAGCCTTTATCAACCAAGCAATTGAATTTCTATCTAAAAATCAATTAGAAACTCGATTAGGACATTGCAACCGCCTATGTCCTAAATTATGGCAATTACTGCAGCGTGGTGGCGCCCGTACGCGCGGCCTATCTGCAGAAAGCGCGGGATCTATAGGAAGCGTATCCTAAGCTCTAAAAACCTCATTCTCGCGCTGAAATTGCTCTAGACCTTCCTAAATAGATAGCCCCTCTGCAAGAGCTAGCTGCCTATTAGAGCGCTTGCGTTTTTAACTATTCTATTTATTATTCGCACGATAATCGCGCAGTTTATCACGCGCAAGAACAAGCTTATTTAAAGTTATTTCATAATCTTTAATAATCTTGTTTAAACGCGCTTCTAGTAGCGGTAAGAGGCTGTACACGCGTTTCTTAAGCAGTTTCTTTGCAGCAGATACCTGCTTTTCTAACTGCTTTGTAGTATAGGGTGTTTTCAGCGCTGAATTAGTTAACTAACTGCCTAGTAGTGTAGGGGTCTTTAGTTAAATATTCAACTAACTGAGTACTCTATCTAGATTAAATAGAACTAGGCCTGCGTCTACAAAACTATTTCTAATAGTTTCTAGTTAAAAAACGCTTTTACGGGCAGCTAAAAAGGCCTTTAAAAAGTCGAATTTGTTAATATAATTAACTCTTAAACGCGCTTTCTAGTTTACCTACAATTTATACGCCTTTTTTAAAGGCATAAAGCAGCCAACATCCAAAGATTAAAGCTTATAGAAAGAATAAGCAGGCATGCAGATAGGAATCACATCATTTTCGCTGCAGAGCTAATTAAATTAAGACGTAAGATAGCTGCTATGGCTGTTAAGAATTAAAAGACGATATTTTCCAGTCGTACGACTAGAAGTAAAAGAAATAAAGATGTTTTTAAACTAGCGAAGGCCTATTTCGTCAGTAGTCCATCTATTAGAACTAACTTTAATCCTGCTATCGCGCGAAAGCTCTATATCTTTATACTAGCCCTATATATAGACTTTTCCTTTAAAAATAATGCATAGAGGAAGCATCTAGCCAGTAGAATTAATACATTTAATTAAAGTAACCTATTTCTAATTACCTAGCTGTACGACAGAGGCTTTACCATAGTAATTAGCTCTAGTAACTACTAGAGCAGTATCTGCTACATCTATAACAAAACTAGTCTCGTTAAAATTATAGATATCCTTCTGTGCAATTCTATATTACATTATAGTAATTTGTACGCGGTTAAACTATTCCTTAATTATCTTAGGGTCTTCGCATTTCGCTCGTTAATAATTATAGCGTCGACTATAGCGAGTTTTTATCTCTAGGCGTTGTTTAATAAAGTTGCTAACCTAGTTCTAGCCGACTGATTAAATAGGCGTCGTACCGCGCGCAGCAAGAAGAATATTAGCTATTTCTCGAATATAGAAAGATTGGGGAGCCGCTCCGCGTCGATTTAGCGATGAAATCTATTGTACAAGCGATTCCTCTTTACTTTAAGTTATTTTATAGCTGTTGGCACGTGTTTTTAAGCGCGTCGTTTTTCCGCGTAGTCGGTCCTGCAAGATAGAACGAGGCACATTATAAAGACGCGCTGCTTCACGAATATTGCAGATTTCTTAATTTTTTAAAGCAGAAATAGCAAGCAGAAGTCTTCCCTCTTGCTCTGCTGAATTTCTTAAATTTTAACGCGCTTTTGGAGGCATGGTAGATGGTTGAATTAAGTAGAACGATAAAACGCGTAGATTTTTGATGAGGTGGCCGACTCGTTTGTGAACTACGTTACTGGCTTTTTATCGAGTAGGCAGGTAACTTAGCAAATATTAAAGAGCTGGAAGAGTTAAACTAAAGTGGTAGAGAAGACTATCTAAGTAGTTAGGCCTATATAGAGGTCGGCCTTATGGAGGAAGTGCCTGTAGTTGATAGATTTCTAACTTATTTATGTCTACGCCTGGCTATTATCTAGGGCGTAAGCATTAAGTCGCTCTCTGATATAGAAGTAGATATGGAAAGGTACGCTCTGTACGGTACAATTATCCTGTTTCTGCAGGATATGGACATGTATAGCTCTGAGGGCATTATAGATGGTCTTGGCAGCCTTAGAAGAGGCGACAAGGTCCCGCGTGCGGCGTAGTCTATAGGGATGACGGCCCATCCGGTGCGTGTACCGTCTATCTTGGGGATCTGGACCATCTGAAGATACGAGTAGGACAATGGGGCAGGACTATATGCATCGTCCATGGGCGCTGTGGGTATGGCAGCAACATACAACACCCCAATCAATCTTCTTCTGAATCAAAACATGTATGGATGAAGTCTGAATTAGGGATATTCCACTGAAAAGGCATTTAAACCTTCTTGATACTCCCAAACAGGTCGAAGGTCGAAAATGCCATCGATTCCCGTATCATAAGCAGCCCTAAATACGAGCTACATTAGAAACCCAGCAACAGGTAAATTGGTTAGGATAGGGACATGAAGACATTAACATCAGCCGCCGGCGCGAATTTCTATGATAAGCAGGATAGCCTTGAACCGTATGTAGAGAACAACCAACAGGCTAACAGGCTTAAGACTTGGTTTGGCCTCATATCAAACCTTTACTTTTACATAGACCTCTAGCCGGATTTCGCAAAGTCTGATTGATTCTTTATAATAAATCTATCCAGAAACATGTCTAGATCAACCATTCATTGACTTTAACATTTAGAGAGTGACGATGAGCTCGTCCTTGGGGGTGCCTCATCGGTCAAGCACGCGATAAAACCTTTCCGACTCAATCCATCCCTCAGGACAATACACACCGCTCCGACTCATATCATTTTCGAGGGCCAGAAACATAAAGGCTGCAGTAGCTGTCGGTGTTACGGTGCCCATAGACTCGGACAGGGAATATAGCCGTCCGCTCTGTGATAGTGCGGGGATGGCCGTTCCGAAGACGACGGCGCGGACAAGGTATATGCTGCTTACCTCTATGCCATGCTTATCTGCAGCAATGCTCATGCACTGCGCATCTATATTGGGTCTCTTGCAGCCGGGGAATTTGGGGCCGGCAGCGCCACAATTTGCCCGGTGCATATCCTGCTGGCTAGCTCAATGCTTGGGTGGTCTTCCAATGAGTACCGACCACCTGGTGCACCTAAATTGGGATCACGGTTCCAACTGCCGCCCGTCACACACTAAGGAATGCCTGCAATATAAGCTGGTCGCTTGGCAGAGGTGGTACTGTGAGCTGTGATCTGTGAGAGGGTGATACTTCTCCGCGGAAGCAGCGTGATGTGCTGTCTATAAGGCTGACCTTTGTCAATGTGGAAGGATTGCTGCATTGATCCCAAAGGTCGGGGAGCTCCGTTCATTCTCTGCAGCATCTTGAATTTGCCAGTCCGTATTTACAAAACAAGAGCCTCTTCCTGTGAAACAACGTGCAATATCCTGCCTGCCGCAGTTGGCGGGAATAAAGACAATGATTTAATTGTTGCTGGGGATGGGCTACAGAGATTTCGACTTTCCTGGCCACCATCTAACCTTGGTGATACTTGGAAGGTATTTATTTATAGAAGAGAGAGAAACGAATTCCGTTCGGCTCCAGTTCCAAACTCGGTGTTAGCAACTTATCAACGGACAATGCCCTTGGCTTGTGCCATAGCAGACGTGCTCTCGACTTCAGGACCTTTCATACTAGAACGATAATCTGTCGTGTAATTTTCTTCTTAATCTGGATGGGCCCCCGGGTAAGAGAAATCTGGTTGGTGGGAACTGGGCAGCAGACTGTACCCCGTGCGAGAACAGGGGGTTAGGGCCATGGGGCTCCAGTGTTTGTCCAAAATATTCAACTGCTGATTATGCGCAGGGAGAGGTTTGAATTTGAGCGGCGGAGGCTGTGAAAGGCTCTGCAGCGCGTTGGCAAACTGCCAATGTATGCAGTCAGCCGGACGGGCACTTCGGAGTACCTGCTATTGGTCCGCTAGGATGTCTCCCTGATACAAGCAAGCGTTGATTTATCCTTCAGTTGAGTGGGGCCTCAGCTTAATGCTATCATCTGCATCCGTTTCTGGCTTACGACCTCCTTGCTGAGATACAGCGGGGATCACTGTCCCGAGGATCCGCGTACACAGTCCCCGTCCCCGAGGGCATAATAATAATCTTACTATAGAATGGAGCCTCGGCAGGAGCACTTGGCTTGGACTGATATGGCTTTGCATACCTACGCATCCGCGTATGTGGGACGTAAGATCCTTAGCTGGCAAATAGTACTATGAAGTCGCACTACTTCATCTCTTGGTATGAACATCGTCGAAGATATTATGAGGTTTCTGGGGATTCTTTTGGCTCATACTCTTCTTATTGATTCTGGTATTTGCTGGTGCGACAGATCTATCGATGCCTGAGCTACACCTCTGCGCAAAGGATTATATTAACAACACTGCCTAGCAGTCTATTGTAGCAGCAAAACACAAGTAGATGATTATGAAAAGGCTGGTCTGGATAGCAAAGCCCACACTAGAGACCAGGATGTCACCCTTAAGAAAAAGAAAGTAAGGCAAAATGGAAGGAAATTCCGTATACGAATTCATTCCATTCTACCCTTCAACTGACTTCCCCGCAAGCAACCCGCCTCCCCGCGCAAAACATCACCACTCACGCAACATAGTTCCTATCTTCTTCCCATCCGCTTCAAAGGTCCTCTTACATTCTGAAAGGCTTGGATTATGTATCCAGCCCCTCCCTCGGGTGTCCGCCGCACAAAGAGCACCCCCATCGCGAGATAGAATACAGCGACGATTGCAACAAGAGCTCCTTGGACCCCCTGCATGGCTTTACCACGCGAGATATATAATGAGTCACCCAGAGCCCTTTGTGCTCCAGACGCAGAGGTGTTTAGCAACGCATTCATACTCTGCAGAGAGCCGAGGACGGTCACTAGTGCGAGCGCAAGGGAGAAGGCACTCAAAGCAATCGCTGTCACTAGCATTGCTCTGTACGATCTCTTTCTAGATGTTCCTGTAATAGCAACGAAGAGCATAATGCCTGTAACGAAAAATAGGAGGAGATGGACTAGGGGAGGTTCACAGAAGAAGACATTTTCCTGGAGATGCTTGGCTTGTGGAAGGGTAGTGTTCAAAAATGTTTGAAGGCTGGATTGAATGGTAGAAGAGTTGAGCTTTAGAGGTTCCCACAGATCCTCACTGAGGTCGTCTAAATTTTTGCGGCGCAGATTCGAGACGCAATGCGTGGATGTTTGTGTGGAGGAATTTCTACCAGTGTAGGATGCTTCGGTTAGTTCAGTGACCGAAACGCAGCCTCCTGTATGCAGTCAGTCGATACAATATATACAGAGGTTCTGTCAATAAAGGAAAGTTGTCACCACTTACCGAAGTAACCAACTCGGAGTGACATATCATACGTCGTGTTTGTCGAGAGTTCAGCAAGGTAAATGTTACTAGACTGTGCTGTGGTCGACATGCAGCCGGTCATGACATACACTATATGCCATTAGAGATACACCGTGTCATGGATGGACGCTGTTCAGACTTACGACCCAAAATCAAAGCCACGAGATAGGATAAAACTGCTAAAAGCACGAGTAGGCATGCGGCCCCTTTTCCTTTTCTATTACCAACTACCCAAGAAATTTCGTTAGTAAAATTCTCAAGACGTTGCACTTGTCACAGCGGAAGCTCAACTCTCTTGCCTGGTTTCTCAAAAACAACCGTTTGTCTCTGTGGGATAGGGGCATATGTTGGTGCATATTGAGTGTCCGGAAGTGGAGGGCGATGAGTGGGAAGGTGAACTGCACTAGCAGAGGGAGTTGTCTTTTTCTTGCCAGTAGTCTTCTTCCCCGTCTTTTTTCCTGCTTTCTTCGCCCCTGCTTTGACCTTCTTGCGCGGAAGACTCGAGGTGCTGGGGTGGTCCATGGCTCACGGCGGATAGTAGAATATAATAATTTGACAGAAGGTCGCTAAATTCATATACCACAGTTAAAGCTGGCAGTTTCTCCAGGGCTTATCATCCCTTTATGTACTCTTATTCTATTAAAATAAATATTTGGTCCCTTAGTTCAGTAGAGAGTGTCTTGGGGATCAAAGATACAAACGTATTACGCCATCTCAATCTCAACCACTTTCATGTCACACATGGCATTTTGAGCCAACTCCACATATCCAACGGTTGAATTAGAGTAGTGGAAATGCGGTTTGCCCCGGGAGCCTTAAACTCTATAACTCGTATCCATACTTGGAAAGTTGCCTGCCAATCCCATATATTGCAATTCAATCAGTACAATAGCCAACGCATGCCAGCCCCAACACATGACCAGATCACCTCGGTAGCCTTGTCGACCCTTGTCACTGCATATCTCCAAACTGCACCTCGTATTTTCGAACAAAGAAATGTTCAGGAAGAGGAGCGGGCGTTGTTCAGCCGCAGCACATGCGACTTGGTCTTGTAGCCTCGACCAGCCTTCCTGCAAGCTCATATTCTGGATTGAGCTGATCTTGACAGAGTGAGGCTATGCCAGGCTCACCTGCACAAAGAACGAACCTATATTTAGCACCGGGCTATACATGATACCTGAAGATGTACTGGTAGACCCAGGCTTCGTCTTAAGGCGACGCAGACCGTCTCTGATACTGCATGACCCCTTGACCCATCTTCCTATACCCCAGCACACCCGAGAGCAAAAGGTTGCATTGAAGTCTACAGGCGTCAGAATCGCACTATGTCTACACACGAAACACCCATACTTGGGAATGAGCAAGGTAACGCTGCAAATCTTGAGCTCCAAGCGCAGCCAAAGCAGCTCAACGAGGCCAGGGCCATTGACGTGGTAGCTGTCCATGGCCTGACCCCATGGGCTTCCAACACTGACTCTTTCTTCTGGTTACGGGATTTCATTTCCAAGGATGTTCTCGGTGCCAGAGTCTTCACATTCAATTATGACGTTAAGGCAGTCTGGTTCTGCGGAGAGCCACTCAAGAGCATGCAAGACATATCTAGGGCCCTGCTGGTGGAGATCGCTGCTGTTCGGGAGCAGGTACCGGTGACACGCCCGCTGGTGTTGATCTGCCATGGGTTTGGTGGCTTTATAGTCGAATCTGTGAGTGTTCATTTCAGCAGACGATCTTCCTTCTGCTGTAGCATCATGTCGCTAACAGATTTGTGGAAACAAGTGCTTGAATAACGCCTTCGCACATGAGCCGCCATTTCCAGACATACTCGATTGCACTCGGGGGATCATCTTCCTTAGTACGCCACAACGTACGTCCGATGACTTACCCTGGGAGGCGCTCTTGACGCGCTGCGCGGTAGACAGTATACCTCCGTGGTTGACCCGAGGCGAGCTGTCAGATTTGGAAAGCCTTGTATGGGCACGGAGAAATGCATATATTCTGAGCGGTATCCGCAAGTCCTTCCGGGCTAGCATGAAGACACGCATGAAGGAAAGTGTGGCTGGGAAGATGAAATTGCTTTTCTGCTATGAAGAGAATCCGATGCCATCGCGCCAGGGTCCTGTAAGATCTAGCTCGCAACCTGTTACATAAGGAGAACGACATACTGACATTGTCTATATAGACTTTGACCAAGTACTCTGCAGCTCTTGGTCTCGGCGGCGAGAAAACCATGTTGATGGCTGGTTGCAGTCACCTTTCCATGGCATATTTCATCAATCGGGAGGATGCAAACTATAAAGCAATTGTCACTGCCATCAAGAAGACCCGAAAACGAGGGCTAAGTGATACAGCACCAGTCCCAACTCTTGACGGTTGTGGGTCCGGGTTGGACAGCAATGCCCAAGATATTCACAACCCATGGGCCAGGGAGGTATCTCAGGCGACAACTGTGCATGCCATCCCAAGTAATTCGATCGTGGGTCGACATTATGTCAACTTGCAGAGTGCAGTTCCGGCTACCATTGATGCACCTGAAATCACGGCATTCCCACCGATGCCACTGCGTGCAATGGGTATCCGTGACTTAGGTCATGATATATTGACAGCTCGTATGGCCATGCCTACTACGCAGTCGCCTGCCCGCCGCAACACCCAGGTCGCAACAGTGGCATCTTCTCCTCCCAGTTTCGCTAGTCCATCATTCCCGCGGATCAAACCTAGCAAGCAGATTCGCAGGCGACCCGTCGGTCAGCCCCCTAGCAGGCCAATGCCTGCACCAAGTATACCTGAGCCGGCACGTATCAGGCCATCAAACTCATCTGTTCGAGGGATCCAGCCTGTTACACAATCCCTACGTCCTACTCATTCTGCAACTAGACACTCAGGGCAGGATATACAGCATACTCAGCAGCCACCCACCATCTCTCCAGTTCCAGCGCTCGCATCAGGGCCTTCTACGAAGTCAGGCAAAAAGTCCGAAGAGGCACAGGAGGTTGGGGTTTTGGGTGCTGCAAGCTTGAAGGTCGGAACTGCAGCATCTAAGCCACCAGTCGCCCATCAACCAATAGGCAACCAGCCTGTGATCTCTAGCCCTGGCAGCTTTGACAAGAGGAACCAAGGAATCCATTTTACAACTACCAAGACCATGCCGACCGGTCCAAATCAGTGCTCCGCCCCGCATCCTACTTCAGGCGTCTACCAATTTCCTACAGTTGTGCATGCACCTGCTATAAGCCACACTTCAGTCCTTACGGTCCAAACAACGTCAACTCAGGTGCTACCTCGAAAGAAAAAGGCAAAAGCACCCCGAGCACCCCCAACCGAGCGAAGTTCCAAAAGCAGAAAAGCACCAGAGACAAAGTCGGTGCCGGAACGGACTCATCCACAGAAGGTCGACACAGGAACTAGACGACCAACCCCCCCTGGTGGGACCATCCCCAAGATTCCTTCAACGCATGGTCATCCCACTCTACAACAGGGTCAGCGAGAGCTGCAATCACGACCAACCCATCCTCCTCCTCGTAAGAGCTCCGGCTTCTTCAAGAGGCTTTTCTCCCCTGGCAGGGGTTCTGCACCTGCCCCCGACCCCACGAGTGCGCTCGACAACCCAAAGTGGCTCATATCAGCCGTACACGCCCCAAGCAAAGCAGCCCATTTCGGTAAGCCCTGGGGCATACTCGGGCTCACGGAAAAGCCCATACCAGGCGTATCAGGCTCCGTCAAATGGGCCCCTGCAGTATCATGACCCGCCCAGGCACGGGCAAGGCCTATTCGTGCATGGAAGCCATCCTCATAGTCTTTTTGAGTCAGGGCAGCAGCAACCTTGGGGACTTGGTAACCATATGGGACATGGTTATGCTCTTGACCATGGAGGAAGCCAACATTCTGGTCACAGTCATGGTAGCGGCAATGGTGCGCTTGCTTCTGTGAATGTTGTTAATTCTATACAACCAATCGGGCCATTGAGCCTAACGTTGCCGACACATCATGTTGAACCCACAGTTCCAAATGAGCCTACCAGTCAGATAGAGCCCACAGAGCCGGTGAAGCCAACAGATCCAGTTGGGCATACAGGACACAACTTGGGTCCATCTGAGGAACATGGCAACGATAGTATACACAATCACGATTGCAATTCAGCCCCTCAGCCCCAGAACCAAAGCAGTGGAGATGGTACTGTGGCCGCTGGCGTTACTGGTGCATTGATTGGATTGGGTGGTGCAGCCATACTGGGAGCAAGCATGAGCCAAAGCGAGGCCAGCGAGGCCGGCGAGGATAGCGAGGACGGTGAGCACAGCGAGGACGGTGAGCACAGCGAGGACGGTGAGTACAGCGAGGACGGTGAGTACAGCGAGGCCGAAGCTGCTGAAGAAGCTGAAGATAGTGAAGAGGCTGAAGAGGCTGAAGAGGATAGTGAACACAGCGAGGACAGCGAGGATGGCGAGGACAGCGAGGACAGCGAGGACAGCGAGGATGGCGAGGACAGCGAGGACAGCGAGGACAGCGAGGACAGCGAGGATGGCGAGGACAGCGAGGACAGCGAGGACAGCGAGGACAGCGAGGACAGCGAGGACAGCGAGGATGGCGAGGACAGCGAGGATGGCGAGGACAGCGAGGACAGCGAGGACAGCGAGGATGGCGAGGACAGCGAGGACAGCGAGGACAGCGAGGACAGCGAGGACAGCGAGGACAGCGAGGACAGCGAGGACAGCGAGGATGGCGAGGACAGCGAGGATGGCGAGGACAGCGAGGACAGCGAGGACAGCGAGGATGGCGAGGACAGCGAGGACAGCGAGGACAGCGAGGACAGCGAGGACAGCGAGGACGGCGAGGATGGCGAGGAGAGCGAGGAGAGTGAGGCGAGTGAGACTGAAGACGCTGAAGAAGAAGAAGAGGAAGAGGATTATGGATACGACGATGATGCTTATAGCCATGACGAGGAGTACTACGAATAAGCTACTTAGTATATACTATGACCTAGGGAATCCAGAGAGGAAACCCAATAAACCAAGTTTAACTCAAGCATTCATGTTCTAGCATGTTGTGGTCCCTTCTGTAAGTTGTCGCGAGAGACAATTTGTTTGACTTCCAAATGATATGGATGGCCGTGATATTTGAAGCTACCTATTCTCAACACATTGGCCGACTATCTACATAAAAACCCTCACTATTCCCATGTGGCTACTCTGCTTGGTAATATAAAATTTCTTCTACTGCCTCCATGAACGGTTCAGCGTCTTGAGCCTTTCTTGGAGTAATCAATTGATTTATATCGTATACTTCGAATATACCGGCGGTTAGATGATGAATGTCCTTTACCTAAACTACGCTACCCTTTACCCAGTCTAGATGTATGGTTGGTCAGGCCAGAAGCATAATTCACTAATTAATACAAAGAAATACTCTTTGTGGTTTACCGGGAACTGCATTTAGATAATTGCTACAACCTCCGTTTCCTATACTAGAGAAGGCGCTCCCTTAGGTATATGTATAACAATAAGGACCCGCTGTTGGGCTCATTAGTTCATACAATGGCCGCGGCTCATCCAGAATCCCGAACTCCACTGTTGTCTGTAAAGTAACCTCCGGAGTGTCGTCCTTATACCAGGTGGTGCTACTTCCATTGAGCGCGAACCGCCTCCACGGCTCGTCTGCATCCTGCCACACAGTCCACAGTCGATCGACCATGCCGTGATGCTGCCAGAATGCTGGGTCCTGCGGTGATGCAAAGAAGTCTAGCATGTCCGGGCCTAATGACCGATGGCCCATGGCATGTGGCCCAATGGGAATGGGTGGGTTTGGAAAACCACCCATGATATTCTGAAATTCGACGATGTCTGGTGAGTCAAGGAGGGTGTCCACAACTGTCTGGTTATTGTATGTCTGAATGACCCAATCATTAAGGCTTCGGACCAGGCAGCGGGGGTTGTAGTCGAAGGCATGGTCGGGTAGGGCGGGTTCATAGGACTCGTTGAAGGCGAAGGGCCCCATGTTGATGACCCAGTCTTTGAAGGGCCCTGTCCGTACACATCCCCCGCCTGCACCTCGAGGAATGGTTATTGTTAGACCAGGTTCGGGATTCAGCTCGGTAGGCTGCTCGGTAGCATTGAATTCCCCGTCGCCGGAAAGGGACGTTTCGGTGCCATCAAAGAGAGGGCTCGCGGCTAGATTAGGCCACATGACCCAATCCCAATAACTTTGGGCCTTCTAGTTAGCCGAGTCTCTAGGTGTAATAGAACAGGAGGACCTACGGTAGCGTTCCGGTGAAGCCGCACTCTTCCCTCAGGGCTTTCTCCCAAAGCCAGATGAAATGCCGATGCCATGGTAGAAAGATTCCGCTATTGTGAATTTGGAGCGTATAGTTGATATGGACCCTTGCTATTGCGTAAGAAAGAGGCATTGTGTCGCTACCGGATCTGAACTCACGCAGTGAAGTCATCATAGCGGCTCCGAACCGCGGGAACCTCTTCGACTGATAGCTCAGGAGGGCGATCCTTCATGCACTGGACAGCACTAATATAGGAAAGCCGGTCCTCTCTGCTCAGCTCGCCCCTAGTGGTCCATTTAGTAATTTAGCACCAATGGTACGTGTCAATATACCAACCACTCATGTCTGATGTCAGGACTGTCGCATCTCGGAGCTGGGCAGAGACCGAGTGCTTGGGTGCACGAGGCCGCCACAAGCACTAGATTCCTGTAGAAACCCATGGTACAATGTCCCCGGCAAACTCAATGGAAAGGATTGTAACGTCGCTCAAATGACTTAGAGTCTTCTCCGTGGTCTGTGGGGTGAAGGGTTCGATCTAGACACCGAAGCCATGGTACGGCCAAGTCGGGGCCCGCTAGCGATTTAAACCTTGAATCTGGTCCATACTGTATGTCCGCATGCGGAAACCGGGGTAGAATGCATAATCTCGGTTCGTTCGGCATATCTGGGGGATTTGCACATATTCGAGACCGGATCTGGGTGGAAGTTCAGCACGAATGCCGGAGCCCACCTGCCGCTTTGTAAAGCAAGGGCCGTGCTGATCCCCAGGTAGCCGCTCGCGGCGTGCCGGACACATACCCTTATCTCGGCCCCACACTCCGCTGTTTTCTAGCATTGGAATGCCGGATTCTTGGCCTGCACAGAAATGATCTGCAGGATCTACATTCCATATCCCCCACAAAGCCAGGTATTCAGAGCCCGGTATAAATAAATACCTACAGTAGACACGGCACCCCCGGAGACGGTAGCGACCAGAAGGGTGACTACAGGCCGCGTCCGTAACCATCCAGAGCCTACGCCGGAAAGCCTCAAGAGGATAGTAAAAGATAAGCCTCTGGAATTGCAAAGTCTAACTATAAACTCCTATAGCCAATATGAGCCTTCAATCATGGCTGTTTGACCCACATCACTCGCAATTGGCAGGAGACAAGGCTGGCCTAGCCCAGCTAGGTCAATGGTTCGGGCCGGGGTAGAATGGTGCTTGTTAACTTGGTCTTCTTCTCCATGGCATCATCTATACTGGGTGCCGGATGTTGTGATGAAATCAGTAATCACCACGCCATGTGCTGCCTGGTCTAGACAGACACCCCTAGTGGGTTGATCCCCCAGGGTCGGTCTCTGACGCATTTCTTGCGATATTGACATCGATAGTAATGGCCTAGACGATATGAAGACCAAGGTGATGACGACTTAGAATACACATCTTGGTGGATATTGTAGTGGCGATTCGCACATAAAGCTCCGGCGAAGCCTGTCCTTTCGGCTTTTTCCAGGATGTACAGGGTGTATCCACAAACACCATTGCCCGGAAACATTGAGGGGATTTCTTCATCACACCATGCAACCAAGCCTTATTCCCTCTCTTCTGGAAACAGCCGCCGCCAGGAATGGCGACGGCCGGGTGATACTATACTCCCAAGGCAACCGGGAGGACCCGAGGTCCATTACCTACAGGGACTTGCTGGAAACCGCATCCAAAGCCTCTGTTGCCGTGCACAACCATCAGAACTATACTCCAGGAGCTGCAGTCCTGCTTCACTTCAACAATCATCTGGATAATATAGTCTGGTTCTGGGCCGTGCTCCTCGCCGGTTGCATCCCTGCTATCACCCCTGCATTTTCGAACAATCCAGTGCAGCGTGTGGCTAATTTGGAGCATCTTTCGTCTACCCTTATCACCGACTGGTGCTTGACGAGCCAGGCACTGTTGGTGGAGTTTGCTGGCCAGGATGCCATTGAACCCGTCTCGGTCGAGACCCTTGGGTGGGAGAAAGCCTCTCCGGATTCAAACACCGCAAGTGTCAAGGCCAAACCAACAGACACTGCTCTTCTCCTGTTTACCTCCGGCAGTACAGGGAAGTCAAAAGCTGTCTGCTTGAGTCACTTCCAGATCGTGTCTGCAATCGCCGGCAAGCTTTCAGTTGTGCCCCTCCCGGAACAATCGTCCTTCCTCAACTGGGTCGGCCTTGACCACGTCGCAGCCATCATTGAGATCCATCTCCAGGCATTATACGCGGATCTGGACCAAGTGCATGTTCCGGGATCGGACGTCATCTCTGATCCTATTTGGTTCTTGGATTTGATGGCCACCCATCGCGTATCGCGCACGTTTGCGCCAAATTTCTTCCTCGCCAGGATTCGGGATGCTCTGGTCCAGAATGCGCGCTCTGCCTCACCACGTCAGTGGGACCTGAGCGGTCTTCGCTATGTCGCATCGGGCGGTGAAGCGAATACAACGAAGACCTGCGATGAACTATCGCAGCTGCTTAAGAGTTTTGGTGCCCCTCTGAATGTTATTGTACCTGGTTTTGGCATGACCGAAACTTGCGCCGGTGCCATTTTCAATACCAATTGCCCTGATTATGATAAAAAACATGGGCTCGAATATACCTCTGTCGGGTCTTGCATGCCCGGTATCTTCATGCGTGTTACCAATCAGCAGGGAGACCCTTTGCCGCCGGGCGAGATGGGCAGTTTGGAGCTCGCAGGACCGGTGGTGTTCAGACAGTACCTCAATAACCCAGCTGCTACACAAGAGTCATTCACCATGGACGGATGGTTTAAGACTGGCGACTGTGGAACCTTGGACGAGAATGGGTATCTCGTTCTGGGTGGCCGAGCCAAGGAGACAATCATAATTAATGGCGTGAAATACAGCCCGCATGAGATAGAGACCGCAGTGGAGGAGCACAACATCAAAGGCCTTAGCCGAAGCTTTACTTGTTGTTTCTCTTCCCTGTCTCCTGGCGCAGAGACCGAGGAAATCGTCCTCGTCTACCTACCCACCTATGCGCCCGAGGATATCCCTGCCCGCGCAGCAACGGCAGACGCCATCTCCAAGGTCGTTTTGATGTCCACCGGCTCCAGACCGCATATAATTCCACTTGAGCAGGCCCTACTACCGAAGTCGACCCTGGGTAAGCTCTCCCGGAGCAAGATCAAAGCCGCCTACGAACGAGGAGAGTACCGCACCCACGACAGTATCAACCGATCGCTTATTGCACGTCACCGACAAGCAACACGGGCAAGCCCCAAAAATGATTTCGAAAAGGGGCTACTAGAAATATTCCTCCGCTCATTCAAGATATCGGAAGATGAATTCGACGTCCAGACTCCTATCTTCGACGTTGGCATTGACTCCATCGAGCTTATCAATCTCAAGCGAGACATTGAACAGCATCTGGGTTTTGCGGATGCAACTATTCCAATCATTATCCTTCTGGAAAACACCACGGTTCGCGAGCTTGCCGCTGCACTGGACAATCTCTACCGCCCGAAGGAGTATAACCCTGTTGTAACCCTCCAGGCTCACGGAGACAAGAACCCTCTATGGCTGGTGCACCCAGGAGCTGGCGAAGTCTTAATCTTTATTAATCTGGCGAAGTTTATCACAGACCGACCTGTGTATGCTTTACGTGCCCGCGGCTTCGATGAAAGGGGAGAAACCATTCGATTCAATCGAAGATGCTGTTACCTCTTACTACAACGGCGTCAAATCCAAACAGCCGCACGGACCATACGCTCTCGCCGGCTATTGCTATGGGTCGATGTTGGCGTTTGAAGTGGCCAAAAAGCTGGAGGAAAACGGAGACGAAGTCCGATTTGTCGGGTCTTTCAATCTACCTCCACACATTAAGATGCGCATGCGCGAGCTGGATTGGAAAGAATGCCTGCTGCATCTAGCGTACTTCCTAGATCTGATAACGCAGAAGCGGTCACGCGAATTGGCCGTCGAACTCGATGGTTTGGATCAAGACACAATCCTCCAGGCCATCATTGACGAAGCGGACAAAGAGCGCTACGCCCAGTTGTCACTCAGCCGACCGTTTTTATCCCGTTGGGCGGACGTTGCCTATGAGCTCCACCGCATTGCGGGCGATTATGACCCTGACGGACGCGTTGCGTCCATGGATGTGTTCTTTTCGATTCCATTGGCAATTGCCGCGGCGTCCAAGAGTGAATGGCGAAACGTACATCTGAGCCAGTGGGACGATTTTACTCGGTCTCATGTGCGCTTCCATGATGTTCCAGGTGAGCATTATAGTATGATTGGGCCAGAGCACGTCTTTGCTTTTCAGAAGATACTACGCTCGGCTCTTGCTGAGAGGGGCATGTAATTCGGTTTGGTTTTAGTCGTGCATCCAAAAACATGGATCAGGATGTCGACTCTACGGGTGGTAATCGCTATTTTGACGTTTTCGCAGTGTGAATCTGATAATTGTCGCCTTTGTCGCTAATATGTATGCCACTCTAATTTCTAATATCCTACGGGAGTCACCCCTAATGTCAAGGACTATGCAGATCTGTATTCTGTTGCCAAGATCTTGCTCCAATAGTAGTAACAGTCCCCGCTGTGTTTTGGCCTACGAACATCTATCTCAGAAATTTTTACTGGATATTCTCAAACTCTCGAGGAAATATTGGACAGTAACAGAACGGATCAACGTAAGTAAAAAAAATCTCCAGCGTGGGTGGAGGACACAGCCCTGCATTCCATTAGATATTTCCCCAATGGTAGGGGAGAAATGTACTACATCAAAATAGAACAAAAGAATTAAATACAAAGTAGATCAACACCTCTGACAGCTCTCAGAGATGAGGTAGAATGGGCAAAGGGTATGATGGATTCTATCATGGCACAGCACAGATCTCGGGATGATCTGGTGATGTCAGACAGAGTGACTGGGCAATGACCCCAAACGGCTGGAAAGGACCGGCAGCAACGGCTGTCTTGCTACTCCCAGAACATTGGTTCGCCGCTTGAATAGCAAAGTTCCTCATCACCTGGCCGGAAATGACCGACCAACCAGGGAACGAACTGCCAAAGAGCTCGGATTTGTCTGAAATCACAAAGGCACAGGTGTTAAACTGGTAGACCAGACACCATCTGTTGGTGATGATGCCTTCCTTGTTCTTGGTCTCGCCGCTGCGGATACAGTTGGATGTAGGATTGCCTGTAGTGATCGTCGCGGTTTCCGTGAGAAGTTGGCCCTGGACGATGCCGCTGATTCAAGAACTGTTAGGTACTGTTCGCCGATTTAATCTAGATGGGACCACTAACCTATTGTAAGAGAACATGCAGTCGGTCATTCTGCTCACACCGGCGACGCTATCAGAGCCGCAGACAATGTCGCCGTTGAGATTTACAGGGAAGATAAGCTCGAGAGACGAGTCTCCATCGCCGCCGGATCCCGAGCTTCCAGAGCCTGCAGGATCGGGGATAGGATTGCCACCACAGGATTGGCTGGCCTAGATTAATTCATGTCCAAATTAGCCATGTCGAATTACCCCGAGGATATGATACTCGTACCCGGATCTCGATGTGAAGGTTGATTGAGGAGGTGCCTCCAGGCAGGCTTGGCGTCAGGGTGATGCTGGCTGCATGGGTTACATTAATTAGCAAAAATCCTTTGAACGCTTCGGTGCAGATTGTATACTCACTGGGCAGTGGATTTGTTGGAATGTCGAAATCAATGAACGTTCCCGAACTAGTTGGATTAGAGCTGGTCGGAGACATGGACACGCTCCATCCCGTCGCGGACACGGAGTACGCCTGCATGGTCGCTCCATCCAATGTATACCCATAACTACCAAATCCCAACAAGTTGAAGAGGTCAATGTTCACAGATGTTTGCCCAGAGGGGACTGAGATGGTCCAGGTGTTGGAATAGCTCTGGATGGTACCGGCCCATTGACAAGTCCCTCCGGTCTCGCCCGTTTCCTGGCCCCAATCTGGGACATCACCAGAGCTAGGCCAATCTGTCAGAGACGTTTCGAACAGGATGCCACAGTCACCGTTGTTTTCTTCGACGTCTGGGTCATCTGCACCGGCGACCACCGGCGGAGGAGCCCCGACAGGAAGTGGTGGACCGTCAACGACAACAATTGGGGGTCTGTTATATGATTAGAAACATTTCATCTGGAGAAGTTCAGACGGACAAAGAGAACATACAAGATTGGCGGCCAGTCGGCGTCAGAACAAAACTGATAGCAGACTGGGACCAGGGGAGGAGGAACCGGCAAAGGGATCGGTGGGGGTATGATGGGCGGCGCGCCTCCGGGCCAGTTGCCGGCAGTTGGAACAATAAGAGGAACAGTGATGCTGGGACTGGGAACGATGATTGGGGTAACAGTTTGGCCTGTGGGCACAACAACGCTAATCGACTGCACCGATATACCAGGAGTCTCGATCACCGGTGGCGTAACAGTCACGGGCGTACCAGATATCGTCGTTGTATAGGCGGGCGGTTGGATTGGCCTGATCGGAGTGGGTGGTGGCTGAATCACACAGGGGATATGGCACGATACCGTTGGGGATGGAACAGTCCACACCCATGGGGGTAAGGGGATTACCGACGAAGGACTATCCAGCTGTCCGATGGTATCGAGACCAGTCCAACCCACGATAGTACCGAGGAAGCCGTCCATATTCTGTAGGGCCAGAACATCGGAGGTGCTACTGCCCTGGATCATCGAGTAGACACCTTTCGTATACAAGTTGACGATGAAGATGTTGTCGCTGTTGACGACGCGGGAGATGCGCTCCTGGCAGGCCTCGATGCTCAAACATGCCTGCGAATACCACTGAAACCAACTGTAGAAACCAGCTCCATAAATCATGATGTTGGACGAGCCGATGATCTCCATGCCCCAGGCATAAGCACACGTTGCCGAATCGGGGCTGCAGTAAGTAAAGGTAGGATCATCTGGCAACGCATAGGCTCCAGTGAACGGAGCGGGGGCCTTGGGATTCGGTTGGTAGTATGGAGTTTCGGTCTGCAGTGTCGCGGCGAAGATGTTCTGCGAATGGTAGAAGCGGTACTGATACAGCGTACAGTGCTCCGATCCGGTACCCCAGAGCCATACGGGGCCCTGAGATTCAATCAGTAGACATCGTGCAGTGTATACCGAGACTTGGCTCTGTGCGGGGATGTCTAAATCATGATCTGCTGTCCACACCCAGACATTCTCGAGGTATAGGGAAGCTGAGGAGGTGATATGGAACAACGTGGTGGCGGCGATGCAGTCAGGATTCGGCTCTACCTGAGTCCACGGACAATCGTCGAATTGTAGATCACTGCCTAGGGCGCCCCCAACGCGGAAATGGGCATCCCACATGCCGGCAGATCCTTGCGAAGCTTGTGCCAGATTCCACTCCATCAAAATCGCCCCCGCTGTGGCGCCTTGCACTTTATGGGTGTGAGTAATTGGTAGCAACAACATACGGTAGAGCAGCCTTACCGGTAAAGAGCATGTCTGAAATCTCCACATCTCCCGTTTGACCTGATGTTCCCACGCGGATCATCACTCTTGGGTTCGATATATCGGCAAACTTGTCTCCAAAACCCATGATCTCACTCCAGACCTCACCGACAATCTTTGTCCCTGGAGGGATGGAGATGGTGTCCGAAACCATGTACGTGCCATGAGGGAAATAGACTATCGAGCTCCCGGCAGAAGAGGCCAGAACACGGTTGATCACGGCAGTGTCGTCAGTTTGACCATTGCCAGCGGCTCCGGCTGCTTTGATATCTATAAATCCACCGATACCCACGTTCTGGTATTGGGGCTTGGACCGCGCAAACCAGCCACTCGATGAGCGCAATGATGATGGTGCTGCCGCCTTAGCTGATGGTGAATATGCGCCATTGAGGAATGTCTCTGTCAACGTGGCACCGTTCTGGATGAAGTTATTCCCGTTCCCATAGTTATCTATTAGGACATCCCCGCCTTGAAGGACCGTGGGGCCACCGGAGAACCCAACGGCTATCGGGGCATTGTTGAGCTTCACATTCTCCATCATGATGTTAGTTTTTCCGCTTGTCAAGACGGCAATAGGTCTGCTCATAGTTAGCATGTCCTTGGTTGAATGGTAGCGCGAGGCACGTACACGTTAGTAAAAACGGAGTCAAGGACTGCAATTGCGGCGACACCTTGGTTATGCTCTGCAGTCGCGCTAGTAAGTGCTGTGACGTTTATACCAATCTATCATATCTGTTAGTGCATAAAATTCACCGTTAGGCCCAGTAATAGGAACTGTACCTGGCAGAGAAGAATATCCAATCCATGCCATGTCCAGCCCCAATCCCAGATCATCTCTATGGCCTGGATGCAGTTTCGGAATTTGAGGTTCCGCGAAGTAAACTGCTGACTACCACACCACATGCCGATGGCACCGCCTGTGAAGGTCAAATCTCCAAGATATCCACCAGATCCATTCTCCATGAAGATTCCCACGTGGGTGGTACCATCTGCTTGGCTCATGACAAACTGTATGTTCTCAATGCTCGTGGCCTGGCCAACTTGCCAGTGAATACCCGTCGGCGCTATAAAGAGGTCAGCGCGAATTCCGTGGAGAATAATCGTGGGACATACCAAATCCATCGGGGGTCACTGTGGGACAGTCCGAAATATCGATGATGAAGTTCCGTACTTGCCGATAGAAATTGCTTTGAGGCACATACCATTCGGCTCCGGATGCGCCAGGGATATAGACGTTGGCAGAGATGACACCAATACCAGCAAAATTGGGGGTTGCCTTTAAGGTGGGCAACGCGTTGGGATTCCCCACAAATTGGGTGTAATAATATTGGATCAACGGCGACGAAATCAGGTAAGTGCCTGATGGAAAGTAAACGACGGCTGGAGTGGTTGTCGATGAACCACATGTCTCCCCACAGCGATTGCCGTCAGTGATGGCCCGATTGATGGCCGCAGTATCATCGGTGACCCCATCACCAACTGCTCCGTAATCCTTCACGTTACGGAAAACTTGATAGCTCGGGTCTCCAAAGGCTGAGATACCATGGCTCGCGGACTCGTACCAGTACCCACCATCCTGACGCGCGTGTAGGATGTGAGAGGTACTATTCTCGGGCGCGCTGGGAGGGACAGAAGCAGATATGGGCCATTTTTGTACTACAGTCCTATCAAAAGGAATCGACTGATCGACTGGCCATGCAGAGACAATGGACTGGCAAAGAGTGAAAAGAACGAAGGCTGAGATCAACCTCATCTCGACAGCAGAGCGGTAGGCCACAGGATATGAGCTCGTCAAGATACCATAATCGAATAATAAATAGATATAAGAGGGTTCGTTCAGACCAGACTCACATAGTGGGCAAAGAGTAGGTAACCAACATATCGAAACAGTTACAACAGCCTTAATCACATTTGCACGTATCTCACCTCCCAATCGCATGTATGGTCCGCATAATGCGGATGCAATTTCGGAGAAACAACTATCCCAACCCACTATCCGGTCGGTTATTATTGCCAACATGCCATATGAGGCCGAAAAGGGACCATTATCAAGCACTAAAGCATGCCAAGATGGACAAATGGGCGGATGGAGGGCTAGTGTGGTAAAAAGCCTAGTCCAGGCACATAAAACCCTGTACCCTTTTCGGGAAATTGCAGTCAGCTGCAGCCACACGGCTTGCAGTAGCAGGAAGTCTAGGGATTTGAAACCATTTTTTGCATCTTTGCCGCCCTCGTCGTGTGATCTGTTCCCCGGCACTAAACTAGGGCCTCCAGCTGCCCGTTCTGGATTGGGGGCTGTCTTTGAATTGTCCTTTTCTTACCCCTGCTTTGGATGTTTCCGATAACCATCATGGAGGCAACAATACCCGACGGACATGGTATCCAATATGACAGCTGGGGCATGTTCGAGGCCATTGGGCCCTTGCGGCTAGAGTCTTAGGTGAGTAGGTTGTTTAATCATGTCATTCCCATGTCTTTGATGAATCTCTCTCGGTCTTCTGGGCTATGCCGCAGCTTTTACATCGATATGAATGCATCCGGCCTTCTTCTGTTTCTGTATGTCCTTGTCCAGGCATTGGCTCTGGACCGGGTGACTTCAGTCGTCAATGGAGTGGCCGAATATACAGGTCAACCGGTCGATGTCTATAATCCCTTACCAACTCTCATCTACAACTGCGACAATCTCCCGTCAATCTGTGCCAATGTTCAGGATTACCTCAATGATAATACCATTGCCATGGGGAATGGCTTGGACTTTCACTACGACAGCTTTTCAAAGTCCACAAAGAAGCGCCGCAATCAATCATGTCGCACAAATGAGCGCTGGACGACCGACCTCCCTTTCCCGTGTGGAAGCAACCCTGCGCAGCCCAACGTGATGCCCGGCAACCTACCAGCTCGCGTCGGACCACTTACTACCTGGCAAAATCCCGAGTTTAGAATGGAGATCCCCAACCTGCTCGGCACAGGGCCCAGCGGGATGAGGTATACCTGCGATGAATTCCCCGCTGCTTCGTGAGTGTCTCGTCCAATCTTACGGTGTGGCAGCCATTCTAATGTAAATGTATTACCACAGTTGGATTGAAGGCGGAGTGAACAACCTTCCTCCATATACCAGCATCTATTGTGCACCCAAGGATGTCTCATGCGAATCAGATACATGGGCCTCTGTCCTGCTCCAGAACCCGAACTATCCTCATACACAGAGCGAGCAGGATTGGCAAGGCAACGCACATTCGATGCTCGGAGTATGTGGCCATACCGCTCCGCCTACACTCATTATTACTTGCTAATATTGGTCAGGCCTACGGCAAGGATCGAAGTCAATGGGCAACCCCTGTGATGAAATTCCACTTTACTACGACAAATTTGGGTGCCGGTGGCGCGGCGACAGCAGCTCAAATAGTGATGCCCGCCTACAATGGTAACCCCGATACTACCGCCGCTGCCGGCACCAAAAGGGATGTGAACTTGGATGTTAACGGCCGTTTTCATTGCACTGGTAAATTCTGTGGTGCCTTGAAAAAAGCCGGGTTTTCTTTTGACGAGCCAGCATCACCTTCTCCTTCTTTCCAGATGCTTAAGGTTGCTGGCAGTGGCACCGAGCCTGAGTCACCACATGCCACAATCCACGTCTTAACATCCTAGCGTGCTAAATTGTTAGGAGTGGTTTATTATTCCCCTAGCCAGAGTAATGTACGACAGAATTGGATAGCTAAGAGAGTGAAATTAGTGTAGACATCCAACGATTTTACATGTTCCAGGTGATTATGTCCGTGCTTCAAGTTCAGGGTATAGCCAGGCTCATGATACTACATAAAACCAAAAGGGTTGTGTAGAGCCCATATGGTGCCGGCGGCGGTGGTCTGGGCCTCTCTTTTTAGCCATCGGCACTAGGTACCTGCCAGCCCCGCCGGAGGCGTATGCTCATTGGGATTAAAGGTGGGGGGCGGGAGCTCTTACTCCCGACACTAAATGAGAGACATTCATCTAGAATATGGGCCGCCCATGTCGGACTAGCTGTCCGCTATTTAAGAGCCATTCCTTTCGAACGGCAAATCAATCCTTTCGGCCGTCTTTTCCACCATCCATCACATCGCCCCTGATCTCACGCGCACCGTCCGGATCTTTGTGCACTCGGCACCTCCACCATGGACCATTCAGACGCTCTGACGCGGGTTGTACGCACCCCTGAGTTGCTGTGCATGATCCTGAGTCATCTACCACCCGGTGATTTGCTCAGGCTGCAGCGTGTGTGTCGTTCATGGTGCTCGCTTATCACCGAGGCTCCGAGTTTATGCGCTACAACCTTCACCGATCCGGTGCCGGCTCAGCATTCGTTCGAGAGAATACCATGCTTAAATAAATTTGTTATCAGCCGGCTGCGCTGGAGCCCTAGTCTGGACCCAACACAAGTGAATACAGGCAAATATCACTCCGTTGAGGCAAACCCAAACCTGCAGGCAATGGCTTATCAAAATGCCTCCTGGAGAGACCAATATCTGACGTGGCCGCCTGTGCTGAAATTATCAATTGTCCTTGGAAGCATAGCACAGGAGGAATACGATCTTCCTGATCTGGTGCTGAGCTCTCGCCAAGGAGTCCCACACCAGCCTTGGGGGACTGGTGACGAAGAGAAGGACGATGTCTCTGACAGTGATGACTCTGACGATGCCGAACCATTCACCCTGTTCATAGAGAACTTTCCGCATAACGGAGATAGAACTTGTCGGGGGATCCGCGTTCTCGATATGATCTACGGCCTTCGGATGTATTATCTGAGGTACCAGCCTACCCTGGAATCTTATCTTAAGCCAGGCTTTGGAGCAGTCAGAGGAGGCAAGGTTCTTGCCAACATTGGGGTGTACCGTCGGGAGTTGCTTGTTGATGTGACAATTCTCAACTTCTGACTATGGATGTGGAGCCGAACGAACGTTGTGGTAGTAGGCAGGATGATGTCTTTATTGTATTCCCTATGATCTTCATATGCCATGACCCTTTCTCGATTACATGAATCAATCTGCCTGAAGCTAGACATCTACGGCACTCGAGTTGAAATCACTCAGGCTGCTGTAAACAGAATTGCGATAATTGTGCTTATTGATGCCAGCATGGCCGAACAAGGCTTCATATGGCTGGGTGATGTTAGACATATCCTCAAGAAATGAAGAATGGATACGAACCCGTTCAAGTCCAATTGTCAGATCGTGTTTCTTCCCAACTCTGACCAAGTGCGCTTTGTTGCTGATTCTGGGAGGAGTTGTGACCGGAGCCTGCCCACCAGGCTGTGAATGAGGGCCCTGCCTAGAGTAAGAATGTCTCGACTTGTAGAAGAGTGGAACAACGTACGCCAGTCGCGAATCGACCCTGAAAACCGCTCCCAGCAGCCTTAGCCTTGACCAGGGGATACTGCTGGCTTCCAGGCTGTGGGGCACGGACAGACTCTGCTGGAGTCATAGCCAGCAGTACGAGCGCCAGCACAGAGAAAATGCGGACCATTTTTACGCAGCTCGCTTCGCGTTGAAAACTGATGGGCTACGGAAGTGGAGGACAAATCTGATGGATATACCGTCAGAGTCTACATCCCAGCGTGACAGGGTACGGTGACTGTCTGAGTGAATTCAGGGTGCTCATATCTTAGCGTCTGAGCTAGAATGGATTAGGAAATACGTACCCAGGCCCCCCATGTGTATATTGCACTCATTCTTGGCTATCCTATCAGTCCCACGTGGCTGGCCAGAATCACATCCGTCAGGAGAGCTGCAGCAAAGTGTCGGATTACGGCGAGTCATTCAGGTTCGCGGTTGGCTACCCTGCTCGGCAATCAACGCCCCGTCCACCTCCAGGAGATTAGTCCGAGACAGCCCTCGTTAGTGCTGATCACACTCCAGCCCCGGCCCGTGCCTAAAGTGTATCTGTGAATTTTCAACGACATTATTTTGGACCATCTTACCCACCAAGACGCCTCGACGTGAGCCCAGACGGTTAGATTGTTTTTCGGACTGTCTCCGAAAACCTGTCGCTTAATTATGCCTACAATGTGTCCTGCAGCTAACATGTACGGACTTCTAAGAGAGCTGAAGAACAGCCGCAGCTCACATTGTAGTGGGCCCCAAATCCCGAAGGATGCAGGTTGGAAGTCGTTGCCGTTGCTTACTGCTGTCAGCCGCTTCCTCAGCGTTCTGCACCTTGACTACTTGCTGTATTATCGGAGGCTCCCCGCACTTCTGTTGTTTCCTCCAAACGCAGAGGAATATAAGCTGTCTCATTTCCTGATCGTTGTAGCCTAATCAATCCCCACCGGCAATCTCACATAACAATTTAGACTATTGAATCTCCATCATGCGTACCGGTGTAGTCTTTGCTTGTCTTCTCTCGCTAGCGGCAGCAGCACCTGCCGAGAATCTCTCCGAGAGAGACTCTGGTAGTATGATTGTGTCCGTCACCGAGGCCAATGGCCTGCAAAAGCGCGTGGAAGGTGGTGTAAGTTCTTTGCTCATCTCATTATTAACGGCTGGTCGATATACGTACTGACCGAGAATGATGGACAGGTATATATCTGCACGGATATCAACTGGGGTGGGAACTGCGGCTTCGCCAAGCAGCCGTGGGACCAGTGCATTCAGCTCGATTCCCCTTGGTAAGTATTTCGTTTGGGCTTGGGTGCCCTGGATCATTATACTGAGTATCTTGACTTTAGGTGGCACTCGATCTCATCAATCGGTCCTGATGAATATAATGCCATTGTGGCCTACGAGTATGTTTCCACTGTCTACCGCATGCCCGCCTTGTGCTAATCAAGCTGCCACGCAGGGACTACAACTGCGGATCTTCCAGTACTCTCACTATCTGGAACCCTGGCTATGTATGTCATGTTTCGTTCTTTTCCCTTTCTACCCGTATCCAGTCCTTCATTCTAACATAACTATCCTAGGCCGACTTGAGAACCGCGGGATGGAACGACCGTATTGGCAGTTTCAGAGTCAAGCAAATTCCAGGGCCGAACTGCCTGTACGACTTGGGTACTCCTTCCCTCCCTAGTGTCGATTGTACTGTCTGTTGCAATGGATGTTCCCGTAGTGGTACTTCATGCTGCCCGTCAGGCGCCATCTGTTGATCATGGAGCACTTGAGCGGGATCTATAAGGGGGAAGTGACCTTGGTTCATTTTCAACCCATGAACACCTGCCATTTGAGATGATTGTCAGCGTTATGCTTAGGTGATAATCTTCCACTAGTGAGACTATGAAGACAGCTATCAAACGAGTAATCGAATGATGACTGTAACTCCGACTATTGTATAGTGCCTTCCAGTATCTTTTGTCCATTGTTCTACTTTATACGTATCATTCAAATTAATTCGATGAATATGCCGTTGGTATGGCATCAATGGCACTGACGTGACCTACCACGAGATTGTATCACTGCTCTATAGTAACGACATAAACTGATAATGTTGGTTTAACGAAGTCATGGATTCTTGTTCCCATATGCAGCTCTAAATCGCGAAAAGCCCTAAAAGCAAGGGGTGATATACGTCAGATGTATATATCTCTACTGCAGGTGGAACATATGTACATGCGAATGTCCGGCTTTTATAACAAGTACATCTCTTAAAGAGTAATCACGCAGACAATACAGTCTAAGCCCACGCAGCAGCCCTCGTTCTCCTTCTCGTCTTCTGCACTTCTACTTCTCCTACAGTGGCTGCTCATCATGGGAGGTGCTCAGTCATCCTCAGGCCACCCCGCGTTTTCGGAGCGGATCAACCAAGCCGCCGGTGGCTGACTGAGGGGCAGCGGGAAAAAAAATAACCCTTGGCATCTGTAGATTTGACTCATTCATCACCATCCATCTTCTGCTATACTTGTCCCCCGTGACGACGAGTTCGGTGACAATGGCTGTAATGACCCCCGCCGAACGGTTCGCCCTCATCACAGAGAACCTCCAGGAGGTTCTGAACCCGGATCTCATCAAGGCGATCCTGGAGGAAGGAAAAAACCCACGTGTCTACTGGGGTTGGTGCTCTCTACCCTGGGATGGGTCAATGGATATGCGACTGACGATAGATTCTTTTACATAGGCACCGCGCCCACCTCTGCTCCCCATGTTGCTTACTTATACGTCTCCCGACCTGCCTAGTCAGCGCGATCGCGACACTGACCATTGTATACAGTGCCGGCCATCAAGATTGCGCAGCTCCTGGCTGCGGGTTGCGAGGTGACCGTTCTGATCGCCGACTTGCACGCTGTTCTCGACTCGCTAAAGGCATGATTCTCGGACCGTTCGCGCGCACGCTCCCTCTAACTGTCGAATAGAGCACGATCGAAGTCGTCGAACATCGAGCGAAATACTACCAGTTCATCGTTACTGCCATGCTGCAGGCAGTGGGGGTTTCCACCGAAAAGCTTCGGTTTGTCCTCGGCAGCTCTTACCAAACCACGACGAAATACTGCATGGATATGTTCCGGTTGTCGACTCTGGTGTCGGAGCACGATGCGCGCAAGTCGGCCGCCGAGATCGTCAAACAGTCCGCGAACGCGCCGCTGAGCGGTCTGCTCTACCCGATTCTCCAGGTGTTGGACGAAGAGTATCTGGATGTTGATGTGCAGTTCGGTGGTATGGATCAGCGAAAACTGTTCGCCGCATCCACGGAATGGCATCCCAAGCTGGGCTACCGGAAGCGGGCGCATCTGCTGAACCCCCTGGTCCCCGGTCTGTCGGGCGGCAAGATGAGCTCCAGTGAAGCAGGTGAGACTTGAAGACCCCTTCGTGTCTTCCAGCATGTTCTAACGCCACGCAGACAGCAAAATCGATTTGCTAGAGCCCGAGGAGAGTATTCGGAAGAAGATCCGCAAGGCCCAGGCGGCTCCCCGCGAAACCGAGAACAACGGACTCCTTGCCTTTGTGCAGTACGTTCTTATTCCGGCCTCCGGCTTGAAGGACGGTAACCCGGGCTTCCGGGTAAGCCGCGAGCGGGACGGCCTAGAGCCCCTGGTTTACACCAATATCGAGCAAATGCTGGAGGATTATAAGAGTGACATTGTAACCCTGCCCAACCTCCCCCGGGATGCAAACTTGATCGCTAACTCTTGCGCAGCTGTCACCGCAGCTGTTGAAACCGGCAGTGGCTGATGCCATTGTTGAATTGACGGCACCGATCCGGGAGGCGTTCGAAAAATCCCCTGAATGGCAAGAGACCGCGAAGAAAGCCTACCCACCGCCGCCCCCGAAGGTGAAGAAGGAGAAGAAGCAGAAGGATAAGAAGCCGAAGGACAAAGCTCCTGGCAACCCTGGCACCGGGGAGGCCGAGACGCCTAGCGCTGACGGTCAGTAGACGGAGGACAAGGTTCCTTTCCCTGCGATGGATGGGAGGGAGGTCTTGTCACCATGAAGCACTAGATGATCATCCTGTACTTATGAAGTTAGATAGCGATCGAATGAACATGATAGATACGCCCAAGGTTAAACCCAAGTTATAGGCCTACTGGCAGCGTGGAGCTAGTGCAGAGACGAACACGGATACTGCAGCCGATGAGTGTTCAGAGATAATGCCTCTCCATCTGATATTTACTAAACGCCAAAGAGATGCCATCCCCGTCTATCTACTTCGCCGCCGCCGCCGCCGCCGCCTTCTTCTTGGCAGCAGAAATATCAATGAAAACATGTCCCAGCGGGCCAGCCTGTGGGCTCCAACCGCTACATTCGATCTTGTAGTCCTTGTCGCCGTCGATGACCTCAAACTCGTTGCTAGGCCTCTTGGTCCGGTTGTCCCAGTGAAGCTCGCAAATCTTCTTCTCGCCATCGAACAAGTCCATCCATCCTTCGCTCCCTCTCCGTCCGCGGGCGCAGACCTCGCCGATGCCCTCGGAGGGGATGATCAGCTGGTCGATATCGTCCTCGGTCAGGGCTTTCTTCTCATCCTCAGGACTATGGAATTGACCTCTAAAAAGCAAGGGGAGACCCGACCGTGAGCAACTGTCGGAATACTTTAATGGGAGGGTTGGAAGAGGACATACTCGTAGAGGAACGACTCTCGGATGGTAATATTGCCCTGGGCCAGACGGTCGCGGATATGGATGGAAACCCATTGAGAGTCGTCCATGGTGTCGGAGGATAAGAGTGGTAATAAGGTCTTTCTAGGATCTTGATTGGAATGTCTGCTAGAGATGAAGACTGATCAGGTACTTCTGCGGGTTATAAAGACGACCTCCGCCTGCACCATTCCATCCTCACTGCGGGGAAACTATCACCTGATGGACTCTCGCATGGGGTGATGAGGTCATGATGATCGCCATGAGACACGTCGCCTTTGTTGTGTGAAAGGGCATTCTGCGGAGGGGAGGCGAAGCGGGTGGTGAGATCATGAAGGCGGATGTGCTGGTCTGATAGGGTGGAGGATCATTGTTGCGGAAGTCAATGGCATGATGGACCCTCTTGGATCCGGAGTTCCCCAACATCCAGCCCGCTGGAAGGCCCCCGAGATGCGGGGAAATTACGACCACTGCCTGGGTAGATGCTGATCGTTGGGACGGAGGGACACTGGTAGTTGGAAAGGGATGATGGTGATGATGGCAAGGGCGACTTCATTATGCTTCACTCTGGACGAGGACTGCAACACCCGAGCATCCATCCATATGGTCACGAGACCAGCCTCGTATGATTCGGATGATGGGGAATAGCCTCAATATCATGATCGCACGGATAAAAATAGTCTAAAATATCGTCTAATGCTGGTGTGATGCTCAAGTCGTTCCACCCATCTATTCCCTATTCGCAGCATGCTTGCTGAACTTCCGTATGCTTGGTCCATAAATATAAAGCATGTACGGAATCACCGCCATCACCGCACTAATCGCTCCCAGAATCGTCAGAGTATACTGGACACCGATGGACCGATATATGGGAGCTCCGGCGACCGTGATGCCTCCCGCGACCAGGTACCGCGAGAAGACGACAAACCCCAGCGCGGACGCTGAGTAAACCCCATAGGAGTCGATGATGTACATATAGGCGACGATGAAGATCGTGGTGGTGCCAAATCCAAATAGGACAGAGGCAACCAGAGGCGACCAGATGGAAATGTTGGGCTAAACAAGAAGGTCAGTTCTCGATCGTCGTTGGGTCTGCGAGAGATCACACTTACATAGCTCGTCCAACCCATCCAGAACAGGCTGACTGGAACCGCAGGGGCGCCTCCCAACATGGCATACCACAATCGCGTTTCGGGGCGAATCCGAGACGTCGACCGGTACTCCCGGCTGGTCCACGAGTAGACCACCGGGACGATGCAAGAAACCAGCAGGACACCGATCAGCATCCCGGTCCACGCAATGCTGGTCAGTCCCTGGGAGAGGGAATACGTATCTCCAAAGATAAAGGCGTAGCCCTCGAGAAAGGTAAAGAGAACAATGTATATGACCGAGAGATAGAGACCCATGAGGATGATAATCAGCTCACTGTAACTCCAGACAAAGGTCCGGTATACGGCGACCATCAACCGACGGCCCAAGCTCTCTGAACGCAGTTCCATCGGAGCCTTGTATCGGCTGTTGCCCGTTTGCGCTCGAAGGGCAGCGGCCTTCCACTCCAACAAGAGGTTTCCGTATGTCTCGGGTTGTAGAACTGTCACCAGCACCAAGATCAACCCTCCCATGATGAGCATGATCCATTCCAGCCATCGCCACCCCAGAGTACCCGGGATAAAACTCCCAATGATCTGCCCTAGAATGGGTCCTGTAAATGCAGGGACTGTATAAAGTGGGAACGCCCACGTCTTTTGGAGAGGATCCCACAGGTCTGCCACAGTCCCGCCAGCACAGGTGAGCGGCGTAGACCCAAAGAACCCAGCAAAGAACCGAAAGATCAAATGCCCGTGAAGGTTGGGGGCGAGCGCGGCAGCCATGATGAAAATTAAGAACAGGAGCATCGTCACAAGATAGATGGCGTTGCGCCCGAATGTTTCGGAAAAGGGACCGGAGAGCAATGAACCGACTCCGAAGCCGATCAAGAAGAGACCTAGTATGGAATCATAAGCTATAAATCATTCCAACACGCCCAGGTCGTTGCTGCATCGCGGATCGACTTACCTGTTGCGAGGGATCCAACCACATCGGAGACATGGAAATATTCACTGTACTGCAGCACACCACAGGCGTCGATTGAAGAGGCTGCCGTGACGGAAATGGCGAGAAGCGAGACCAGCAAGGTCATGAAGACCTTTCGCGGCGTGCTATAGTTGGCGGGATTGAGAGGGTCATTCTCGCCGGACCAGCCCACGAGGATCGGCTGATCGGCATCATCGAAGCCGACTTCCTGCTTGCTGAAAGGAACTGTAGGAGCGACAAGAGACGGATCATTGAGTTGGCAACTAGATATTGGTGTCAGTCTCTGCGTGGACTGGGGTGGCAGTCTCTAGATCCTGTCTTGTACACACCTTGGTTTGTGAGAAAATCCGACCATGTACCCTGGGCATGTACATTTCTCGTTGATCTCTGTTAGTTCGTCCTGCACGGCCCTATAGATCCGTCGGTATTGGAAAAATGATTCCATTGCTCACACCAGGGTTGACGGTGTCACCAACCGAAGCAAACTGCTGCAGGATATCCTCTAGCAACGTCGCTTGAACAGTCAAGGCACTTCTGTCTGCATAGACGGCCAAGGATCTGCGAATGCTTAAGTACCTCCCTGGGCGAACTAGTCATGCCTGGGCTCCACTAGAGCTCCATCCTGTCTCGGTCTCTACGAACAACTTGCTCGGGGCCAAGAGTCGATAAAAGTTTTGCGCCCTGTAGGACGCCTTGCGGGACTCGGAGAAAACTACTGCTCGGGGCATGGAATCCCGATATGAGCAGGTTTCTTCCCTCACACTACTCGGGAGTACCCAAGTCTTCGCCGATATCCTTCGGAGGGCCCACTGAAAATCCTGCAATTGCTCGGTCTCCGAAGGATAATAGGATTACAAATCCTTACAAGAATGGGCTTTTCGGCCGACTGGTAGCATCATAGCAAACGCCAATGACGGTCTATATTATCCTCATAGGGAGGAAGGTTTAGGATGGCAACACACTTAGTATCTGTGGTGTGCGTCTATCATCCTCGACCACAGCAGAGATAACTTGTCCCTGCTGCGGATTCGGTCAAATTCTCACTAGGGCTCTGTTATTCTTGTCCTAACTCCCTTAATAGCATGGTCATATCCCCTGTCTGTGAGTCATTTTTGTGCCTACTGCGCAGGGGAACAAATCGCCTTCGGAAAAGTACATGCTTAGCGCATCAACCCAAGTCTCGTCGCAATTTCACCGCAGAGGCTGCAGAGCTCTCCGTGTTGATGCAAGCTAGTTCTGCGGGCTTTGGATAGTATAACCAGCTTTCGATAGAGAGAATTTCCATTCCCGATTCTTTTCCCTCAAAGGGTCAGCACCTGGGGAACTCGAGTTCAAGATAATGAATCCACAAGGGCAACAGTGAGCGTACGAATGCCAGTCTCATTGTATACTACGGTTGGAGTACTATAGGGAAAGGAAGTATCACAATGTTCATCTCTATTTTGTGAAATTGTTCCTCGATCTAGTGCCGTGAACTCGAATAACCATTGAGCTACCAAAAGCGCCAAGGCACCGAGTAGTACGTAAAGTAATATATGACTGTGGACTCAGGCTGACGGGATGAATCAAGCGTATCTCTCGCTCAGAGGGCCCTTTGACTCGCGGACATGCTTCCGCGCGGTTTGGAGAACTGACCACGGGGCCGGGGCGACTGTGTCGTCGCCAACGTCTGCCACCCCACTTATGGCCTGCACACTAGCCAGATTCCACTGCATCTCTAAGAGTTCTTTTGATGGAAGCGGGTGTTCAGTGGGGTCATTGGTTTTGAAAACCAATATATCGCCGGAGCATATGACCTTCTCCGTGATGTTGTCGAACAACTTGTATCCTTTGCCACTGAACCGCACTTCGCTTGGAGCTTCGGGAGCTGGCGTAAGGGGTCGTTCACGCCATTTGTTCACGGGAAGCCAATAGAATGCAACATGGAGCTCAGTGCATTCATCGTTTATGTAGAGTGGCTTAAACGCAAACCGTGCTTTACCCCAGAGTCTATGAAGGTCACATCTCAATGTTATGCGATTGGCTTTCTCTTCTTAGACTCGTCATCTTCTTTCTGCCGTTTTCTGGTCGACCCTATATGACATGTATTAGATAACGTGGCATGATTTTGTGGGCGTAATCATGTATAAACCCACAGGTCTTCACCATTTCCCGACTGCATGCGCTTTCAAGATGCAGTTGAGAGAATTCCACTTGTTGCCAGTCACAAGGTCCACGAAGTCTTGGAACGATGTGTGGACACAATGTCCTTTGACTACTAATGGTGCCAAGGCACATGGTTATAGATGGGCTGTACATTGAGGTCTTCTCTTGCTTGACAGGACGGCAGGGCGATTACCATAGCGTTTTCCATGACGCCTGGTCGACGCCCAGTTCCCTAAGACCTTTCTCGGATGGGACAACGCCGCGGCATACTTGGTCAAGGATGTCTCAAAAGGATTGATGTCGGGGAGGTGAGAGAGGGGAGAGGGGAATGAAGAGTTGTTGGATTTATTTATATGGAGTCGTATGTGATAAGCTGGGGGAATGGGAGGTGTCTTGGTGAATGTTCTCTATGTGAAGAGGCAAAATCCGGCTATCACTAGAGGCAGGCATTTATCTCCAGACTCTACCAAGTAGTGATAGTCTGTTTCGCCTGCCTCTAGTGATGGCCCCATTGCATCTCTTCACTACCAGCGACAGCCATCTTTGCGTTTGCATACCTTTATCAAAAGCATAGTTTGGCAAAGAGGACTCAGAGTTGTAAACCTCATGGGAACCGCTGACATCACCTAAAGAACGTTCAGATCTCTTCCCGTCTAACATTATCCACCAAGTAATGAGCGTGATATCAATATTTCTAAAGAACAATCTAGACGAAACATACAGGCCATCAAGAAAATGCTTGTATACAACAGACAATCATTGGGGAAAATGCTCGAGGATCCCAAGTCCAACTCTGTACAATTGCGCTCATGCTAGCCGAAACATGACAGCTTGTTTACAGCCAGCCCTTCGGTCCACCCCAAGTGCCCTTGACCATGGAGTTGTAGTAAACCCAGGGGAAGAACTCCTTCTTCAGGTAGTAAAATTCCCGGCGCGGCGTAGCCTGATCAATACCGAACCAGCTGTTGAAGGTCTCCTTGGGCTCACCACCATACTTGAACTCGGCCAACAAGACCTTTCCATACTCTGTCAGCAGCGGGCAGGAAGTGTAGCCGTCATAGACCGCCTCGGCGGCCTTGCCCTCCATCGACCGGAGAAGGTTATGGACCAACACCGGGGCTTCGGCCGTGACGGCAGCAGCAGTCTTGGACGTCGGAAGGCTGGACGCATCACCGGCCGACCACACATTGGGGTACTTCTTGTGTTGCGTGGTACCATCATCGACATCAACAAAGCCAGCCTCGTTGGCGATGGGGCTGTTCTTGACAAAGGCGTGGGGCCCCATCTTAGGGACCACATGCAGCAGGTCAAACTCTTTGGTTACCTGTCCCTTGCCCTCAGGAAGAGCAAAGGTGGCCTTGTTACCCTCGACAGCGACGAGGTCATGCTGGAACAGACCCTCCACGCCACGCTCTTTGCGCAGCTCCTCGAGCTTGGCGCTGTACTTGGGGACACCAAACATGGTGGGGAGGCCAGTAGCGTAGCTAATTTGGATGGCCGAGCTGGAGGGGTTGCTTGGGTTGTAAAGGCCAGCCCGCTTCCAGTAGTCGAGGGCGAGCCACAGTACCTTCTGGGGAGCACCGGCACATTTGATCACGCCGGCAGGCTGGGTGAAGATGGCTTTTCCTTTCTGGAGCTTCTCGATCGTGGCGAACACTTTATCGCAGGTCTCATAGCCATAGATCGTCGAGACTAGCGAATCAGGCGCAGCCAGGGCCTCGGACAGTCCTTTGATGGCGCCGTAGTTGATACTGATGCCGGGGGCGACAACCAACTGCTCATAGCCAACCTGGCCGCCATTTCCCAGGGTGAGCTGGTTGTTCTCGGGAGAGAAAGTGGCAACACTCTCATTGTAGAACTTGAGCTTGGGATCGATCAACCCGTGCAGGGGTTGTCGCAGTTCTTGTTTTGTTTTGAGACCGCCGCCCACCAAGGTCCACCCCGGCTGATAATGATGCCAGATGGCGGGATCAACAATGGCAATGTCGTCCTGGGCGAACTTGCCGGTGCGAAGCAGCTGGTGGCTAATGGTCAGGCCGGCAGTACCACCTCCGACCACCAGGACCTTGTGATTCCGCGCTGCAGTGCTTACTGGAGAGGCCGTTGCGAAATGGCGGATGACATGACCAGACGAGGTGGCACTGCCAGAACGGCCAGCAGCACAGGCTGCGGTCAGAACCCGACTGCGAAACATGTTGCCCGATATCTCAGCCGTCAATTGGGGAGGTGGATGTTCCAACGATCGTCTGATGGATGGCCTTGTAAGATCTGCCACGAGGCCGAAAACGGCGGGCGAAAAATATCCGAAGTGGTCACGTGGTGCTTAGTCAGAAAGCCATGGAGTGAGAATATGTACATCAAACGCTGTCAACAGTTATCTGGCGAATAGTAACAAGTTCTGGTCCTCGAGGAATTCGGATTGACTGACCATTGGTCAGTAGAGTGGTTGTTGCAGCGTTGTTAAGTTGTGTGCATCTCACACCTGGACCGAGATATATCTTCCGATGCCGGGGCTGACTTCCATAGTGACAAAATCAAGAAGTTATTTCAACATGAAAGCATCTTCTGTGCATGATCAGGTCTTCTGATACAGTGTTATCTAGGTCACTGATACTCTCATAGGTATAGCTCAAAATACTAGAAGACCCCAATGATACGTCACAGCAATCCTTCAAAGACATCTGTTAGTGCTAATGGTCATTGTGGACAGGATGCACCCCAGTCATAGGGTATGATCTATGGAATTATGAAAAGCTAGGCTATGAATTACATACTTGAAAAGTAAAAATGTACATCTGGGAAACAGCAAGAAAAAAATATCAAGAAAGACCAAACACCAATGCAACGCTCCAGTCTAATCGCACTCTTCTGTACTCAGCACTTGATGAAACAGACTGTGGAATGGATAGAGTGGATGTTCCGCGGAAGTAAGCTCCACAGAGCGATGCGAGAGCCTGATAGCCTCGTGGAGGTCTTCTTGTACTCCGGTCTCTTCGTATCGTTCATAGAGTCGTCGCGCGTGACTGCAAAGGTAGATCGGTAGACTGGGATCATCAGCGGACGTGATGTCCAATGCTATCCGGATCGCCTCGAGGGCTCTATCGATATCGCGCGGCAATCTGGTCATCCTGTACCGGGCCCCTAACCAAGAGGCGAGGGTGCTTCGGTGCATCGCCACGATTTTGGCGTCGTCAGCACTGATTGACTCGGCAGTGGCCACGGCTTCTTCAGCGGCCTTGATAGCCAAATCGAGATCCGCAGCGTCACCGCCGTCCAAATACCTCTGTCCCAACAAGTTTGCAAGATAGTCCAAATAGCGTGGTTTGGCCGATGGTGACGGGGAGACCAGTTCCACAACGCTGAGGATGTCCTCGATAGCCTGACTGATAGCCGTGGCGTCCTTGGTGCGTTGGTATTGTCTTTCAAGGACAGCAGCACGCTGATGCAAGACAGCCGCGCGGCGAGGATGGCCGGTTGGAGTAACAGTGACAGCTTTGTCGGCCTCACGCATTTCATTTCCCGTGATGGGGACGTCACGGTCCACCACATCCCAAAATTGCATGTTCAACCCCTGATCAAATGTAGCCAATCTTTGGGTCAATTGCGGATGGCCACGTCGCGTTCTCTTCAGGACCTGCTCTGCTAGGTCAGCGCCGTACTCCAGATCGACTCCATCGCCCAAGTGACAGTATCGGGCCATGAGACTTTGACTCAGCGCGGTGAGGATGCTGTCGCGAGCAGGGTATTCCTGTGGCAGCATTTCGACAAAGGTCCGAACGTCGAACGACGACGCCATCCCGGAGCAGCAAAACAAGGAGAGGGCCAGTTCCGCCTGGAACTCGGGAAACAGCTCATTGACCTGATCGATGAGAAGACGTGGGTGATGCCCGTTTTCATCCTTTGCCGTGGGCACTACGTCTGGCTGGCCTTCTGTCTGTCCAGGTGTCTGGTCCGGCGTATGATACACCTCTTCTTCTGCATGACCTTCGGTCTGCTTCTCTGTCTGCTCATCAGCCAGTTCCGGGTTGTGATCTTCTGTTTCATCCCCTGCATGCTGTCTAGTTTCCTTCGTAGCGTGGCCGGCATCCTCGTCACCATCATTTTCGGTATTTTCCTCCGTCTGCTCTCCAACTGTTTCTTCAAACTGCTTATCAGAATCCTGTTCGGACAGCTGTGCGGGCGGCTCTGTGCACTGCTGCCTCAGTTGTTCTTCGGTCTGCTCTCTTGCACCTCCTTCCATGATCTCTTCAGACTGGTTTTCAGGCTGTTGCCCAGACGACTGTTTGGACAGCTCTGCGGACAGCTGGCTAGCCTGGTCCTCCATCTTGTCGGAACCTGCCTCCGTCTGACTCGAATCATCGTGTATCTTTGGGATAGCCTCGCCGTCGCTCTCCTCCCGCTCTGCCGTGTCGCGGTATTGCTGTTGAGCATTCCTGACATGAACCACCCACTTGGCAAACGCATGTTCCGCAAACGCAAACGATTCTCGGCACCACTGATGATATTGTCTCTTTGCGTAAAATGGCGCCTGAACATACTCCTCGGTCGCCATAAACTTATTGTTTGTAACGAACGGAAGGTATTGGTAAGCGAAACAACTGTGTGCCATGGTCTTGTGGCAGGATTCAATACAGAGCTGCTCCAACCACCCAGGCTTCTCGGTCTGGTCTCCGACAGGTAAGAGATAGTCCCGGACTGTCTGATGGGCGAAATAGATACGATCATTGTAGACGTTAAAGAATGGACCACATGTGTCGCGAAGCCAGGCTTTAAAGTCTTCTGCTGGTAAGCCCAGTTCGTCCTCTCGATCGCAGCTCGTGCAGTCGTCGATATGAAGGGCCAGGGCAATCGCCATCTCCCGGACGGTGAGGGGTTTCGTCGTGGCCAGCACTAGTTCTAGCATGATCCGCACATCATCACGGTTGCTCTCGTGGATCTGGTCCAGCAAGGCCCGGTAGATCTCGAATACGGTTGTAGGCAGCTGATCAAAGGTGCGTGACCAGTAATTTGTTCCCGGTCGAACTGGTAGGGAATAGAGATAGGTGAATAAGAGATCGGTAAATAAGTAGCTCGCGTTGTCGTGGGCTTCTAGGTGCGAGAGCAATTTGGACTTGGTGCCATCATCGCGGATACATCTCTCACGGGCAAAACATTCCACCCGGTCCTGTGCCACTCGAGCGATATCGCCCATGATAGACTCACGACACTCGGCGTCCTCGTCAAGGTTCAGAACGGTCCCGTTTGTGAGTAACTCGAGGAGGTCAGGGACAGGCCGAGTCGTGAGAAGAAACTTAACCCTAGAATCAGGGAACCGTGACTGATAGTCGTTGAGAAGTTTCAGCGCAGTCGCCAGATGCGCGTTCTTGCACTCATCCAAAGCATCCAGGATAACGGTCACCCGCCCATGGGGAGTTCCCCGGCTGGCGATTTCGACCAGTTCCCAAAAGAGATCAGAATCAGGTCGCACGCTGTGCCGAGTGGCCTGTTCCGCCTTTTCTTCCACATCGTCTAAATGGGAACACTGCCGCAAGATGCTGTTAAGGACTTCATACATGGCGGTGTTGAGGTTGTTCTGCTCCCCACCGTCCTTGAAGAAAAAGGAGCATAGAGACATGGGTCGCACCCGGGGCAGCTCAGTCAAGAGGTATTTGGCGAGGACCGACTTGCCCGTCCCTGGTTGACCGGTGAGGACCAGCAGGCCACTATCAGTGTTGCTCCATTTGGTGAACGTCGGGTGGCTTAAAACGCCATGGCCAGTGTTGTTGTGCGGGTTGGCGATTTGATTCACGTAATCCTGATACGTATCGGCGTGAGACAGGCCAGCGTCTGGCATGATCTTGTCCATAAGGTTGGCTCTCCGCTGAGCGATCGAAAAGACGCTGATAATGTTCTTGATATGTTCCCCCTGTCGGACACCTTCGTTGAGCGCACGCTTCAGCGACTTGCCGCTATGGGTCTGTATACACTCCTGGAGCTCTGTTTCCGCGGCCTGGATGTCGACAACCATGGCATCCCAGCTGGCCCATTTGGCCGAGTTCGGGGCAAAGCGATAGGAAGAATGATCATAGAAACGAGCGCTTGCAAGGAGATAGCGAATGACGAGTTTGTAGAGGTGGACCACCTTCGCGTTTACGGCCGCCTGAAGCTCTGGCGTCTTCCACGAGCTCACCGTTGGGACCTTGGTTAGTTCAGTGTACCATGGCATCCTAGATATCACATAGTTAATTCCCGGTTGGTGCGAATCGACCCGACGAGCGTTGTTGATGATAGTCTAGACCAGGTTAGTATGATATCCGCTGGAGTAGTAGTCGCGGTATCGCATACCGGTGCAATGATCAAGCAAGCGGCCAGCCACGCGGTCGACGAGGCCGGACAGATCTCGACCATGCTTTCAATTGTCGATTTCATCTTATCGATAGACAATGCGACAAAGGACAGCATTTTGCGCCCGTATGAGGATCGTTCGAAGGCATCGCAGCCGCGGGTAACGAGGGACTCGATCAATGCGCGCCGAGACACCTCCTCCAAATGCGTTATCCAATGCGAAGGATTTCGGTCCAATCCGTGAGCGTGTTCCGGGCTGATGGGACGAAGGGCTGCGACCAAAACGTGTTCATAATCTGCGATCATATCGGCAGTGGCGGGATCAGTCTTGAGTTGAACGTAGGCTTCGTCCCAAACATCGCGAACTATTTCGGAAGGACTTTCTACGTCCTCGTCCGGGGTCGCCTCTCGGGAGATCAGCTTCGGGGATACGAGAGTCGTGCGCGAGGAGTCAGGCCTCGACCTTAGGGACAGTCGGACCTGGCGAAGTCCCATGGTGTCGGCAACAGCAAAGCGTCAGAAATGCAGAGTGACATGAGGAGAAGATCATCCAGCGTGGAGATGGGGGAAAATGCACAATGATATAAACAAACCGCCATCAGAAAAACCCTTCCCCTGAAATGGAATCCAACCCCCAATCTGGTGCCGACGAGGCCAAGCTGAGCACCCACCCAAACCCACGGTGTCCCACGGCAGTCCTTCGCTCCGACGTAGAGTGGAGCGGCCCTGACTCCTGCATCATTAATTTGCCGGGAAACGTGGGCCAGTGGGCACGGAACGAGGGCAGTTCCGTGTTCAGGAACCGCCAGGCACCAGTAAGCTGGGGGCGCACGAACGCCCTGATTGTCCGCTGCCTCTTTGAGGCTTCGGGTGGCCTTTAGGGTTGGCGGCAATGCGAGATCGATCTGGCAAAGATCTCCGATCGGCTCCACCAAAGCGGGAGAAAAATTTGCAATTCTGATGGGAGGCATGATTCGTCTAGGAGATCGGAGAACAGCTGTGCCTATGATCAGGTGGGTTTAGCTCATGTCGGAGATGATGTATGGAGGCTATGCGCCAGGTGAGTAATGTCTAGGCTGTGACGACTCCCAGGGTGTCTATCATGGCCGGTACACCATCAGGCACAGAATTCCAGATCTGCACAATAGGATCATGTCCAGTGTCACTCCGTTCCAGCACAGAGGACATACTCCATCCTCTATATCCAGTCAGACTGTCTCCTCCCGAGTAATGATCAGCGTGCATGGGGTGGATCACCCGATTAACTGCCCGACAAAATCCATAATGGTAGAATCACCCTTTTGATATGCTAGGGTGAGACCCCAGGGGAAATATCGAAAGCCACGGGTTCATGATGACACCGACATCCCATGTGCAAGAGAAGAACGAGATCAAACCCCAGAAAGCTCTATATCATCAAACAAGAGACTCCACTGAGATAGGTCCGGGTCCAAGCCAGCATTGAAAACATCCGACCATAGCTGACCCCAAATCTCCGAGTCGCCAGAGTGGGCTGGGGAATCGACACCAATGCCCATGGAATCACTCGTCATATGGAAATCGTTTCTCGGCACCACAACATGCCTCATGGGCGTTTCGGGAGGCAGAATCTGTCGCTCCAAAACGGAAGCTGGCTGTCGCGCGCTTGATTGATAATCCGGATCGCTGAGACCGGGACCAATATCGGACTCCCGCTGCGACATCGGTATGGACTGTTGGTTCTGCAGGATAGCCAGCAAGGTCTGAGTGTTTTTCTGGATTGCCTCCTTGAGTGGTGCCGACTCGTGTTTGGACTTCTCCAACATCTGGCAAGCTGCCAACACCTCGCTCTTGCGGCTGTCTGCACCTGGCGCTTGTGGATTTAAAGACACATCCATAGCGAGTGTAATCGCAGCAATAAAAACATGTTGCATGAGCAGCCAAAAACGCTTAGGCTGCAATCCCACTAGGGCGCCAATGTTGTCCATGGAGCGCCGCAAGTTCAACACAATCTCAGCAGACCGAATGCACATTTCACGAGAGTAGGCATATTTCGGATTCCGGATCCCTTCGAGATGGAACGGTCGATGTAACCGACAAATGCGACCGTGGATGCTCAAATGCAGCATCGTACGCTGCCACGCGATATACGGTCGCTCTCGACAAATGCCCTCGCTTTGCTGGATTCTAGCTGGATCTAGTTGGAAGAAGGATGGAAGATCCTGGATGAGAAGCTGGAATTTCATGTCAAGGGATAGGATTACTTCGTAATCCAGGGTTTGAGTGGCCTGATCTGACGACTCCAGGAAGACGACTGGTATCGTGTCAATAACTTCACGACAGATTTCAGCAAAACGAACTCGATAGATAAAGCACGATGCTGACGTAGGCATCGTTAGGGGCAGACCCCCGTCAGTTTTGTCTGTCGCAATCAACTCATCGTCAATGTTTTTCGGGTAGTCAACCCTCATTTGTTTTGGCTGCATGAGGTAAACGCCCTCTTGGGGCCCTCCCATGAGCGCCAACAGCCTATATGGTCAGAGCCATATCACACCGTCCAATGAAGGAAAAAAGGTTCTCACCAGTCTGAGGCGACCATATGCCACCAGATGCGGCGAGAGATTTCAAGTTCCACAACATCATACCCCTTGAGCCTCCGCTCCTCGCGTCGTTTGGCCGTATCCAACCGATGCATCTGCATTGACTGGGCTAGTAGAAGTTGGCGAACTCGCAGCATGTGCACCTTGTCAGAGTAGCCGTCTGTGTGGGAAAGAACGTGGGTTAATGTGCTGATGGCAAGCAAGGTCATGATATATGGGGTGGTCGGGTACGCGTTGTCGTCCAATATCGACAGAGCGAGATCACTATAACCGACAAAAAGGGTTCTCATTTCCTCTTGGCTTGCACACAGACTGCTCAGTGATTCTGGGCTGCCTGACAATGCGGCGCCGGCGAAGATGCTGAAAAGTAGGGCAAGCTCAGGAAGGCTTGGACTTTCTCCACTCTCTCTGTTTTGATAGATCTGTTCCATCACGGCTTTCGCGTATGGGACTGGGATGACACCATGGGTTGGTTGCATGCAGCGGACAAACAGAGAGAACAAATCTTGGGCTTGACTCCGTGCCGGGAGACATGTCATTATCCAATTCAAACCCGCAGGAGGGCGTCGGTCTCCCGTATGCTCCTGCGTGTATGGAATCCACGGTCGTTGCATCCGTGGAGGGGGAGGACGAACATCTGTCCATTCCTGATCCTGCTACTCATAATTAATAACGTTCGGACGGGCATGATATGTTGCTAGCGTGCCGATTAGATAGAAGGCACGTACGATATCATTTGTAGCAGATAATCTCGGATCACATCGTAGAACAACGTCCTCAAGCCTGCGAATCCGGTCAAGGACATCACTAGATCAACCTGTTAACATGTGAGGCCCAATTGATTGCCGAGCCGCACGGACTTAGTAACAGACATACAATGAGGGCGCAGTGGGATCCCGCGGGCGAGACTGGGTAACAGGACTTGGCTCGGATTCTGGCCGGATGGTCTGGATTCCTGCGGTCTGCCCTGCGTTCAGGCCGCGGCCTCGGCCATTAGTTCCCAACTGAGGATGGCGCCCAGCGGGATAGACACAAGGGAGGCACCGTTGCGTGCAGTTGGAGCAAGGCTGGACACGATCACATCGGATTTTACGCGACCGGCACGAGGCACACGACAGGGGAGGGCGGCTCCAGCGTTGAACTAGAACCTCGGGACCGTCTCCGTCCTTGCGCTTCATGATGTTTCGCCAGTCAAAGAGTGGCTCCGGAGGAATGACTCTCTTTGAGGATGTTTTCGTACAACATCACCGGAGCTCAGTAACATCAAAAGGATGGTCTTGCTGTAAGCGGTGAGAGAAGCCGCGGAGTTACCCGATTGGGAAGGCCCGTCCGCGGACAACTTGGAGAAGCCCTAAAGGAAGAGATGGATACTAGGTATGCGATATACGAGAGGAAACTAACAGTGCAGGCCTAGACAGAATAGCGCACAGGTTTCAGTGGTATATAAATACTCATAGACCCCCAATGTTCTTATTGTATCTGCATCAATGTCTGTCCCGACCACACGCCCTTCTCTTTCGCTGGATGAGTACGCTCGCCAACATTCATTCAGAAAGCCTCCTTGTACCCTCGCTTACAGAGTATATCGGAATTCTGGCGATCCCATGATCACTTTCTCTCCGCGGTCTGCCTTCCGGTTGCTGTTCCAAAAATGGAGACTGAGAATAGAAACGACAACCAAGACGAGAAGCTGGCACCTATACATAGGAAGTTGTTAGTCAGTGGGCTTCCCCAGCATATCTATCACGGAGAGTAGAGGGACCGTACGCAATTGCTGCCCAGATACCGGGAATATACGCTGGCGCATCTTGCCTGCGAAAGACGAGACTCCCTGCAATGCCTCCTACGCCCCCTAGACCGACTAGAGTTGCACTTGCAAGAGCCCGCATCCATTGACCTCGGATGTTATTCGCTTGGTATGCAAGCGATGCGGGGATGTTAGCATTGGCTCCAGCGACAGTGACGAACACCCCGAAGAATCGGACCGCAGGGTCTTTTGCAAAGCCCATGATTGGAAGGCCAATAAGGGTGATGATGCTATTTAGTGCGAGGATAGGACCACGGATGCGATACTTATCCCCAACCCAGGATGTAGCCCACATGAGCAACCCAGCTGCAATGTAGGGTGGTGCACCCAAGCATTGAGCTGCAGCAACGCTGAATCCCATGTTCTCACGTAGGATGATTGGCAGGAAATATGCAATGGCGTAGGTAACGGTCGTCAGCGAGCTATTTTGTGCCACTATCGTTAGTTCTATGACCAGGATCCAGGCGGACGGGGGTACCCCTCTGTGTCCATACAAGAAAATGAGCCCGAAGCCCCAGATCTTGGGGTCCAATGCTGGGGAAAGGAACTTTTTCAAGCTGAATGGTTCAGGATTCGCGTCTGCTCTGTCTCGATTCAGGCGTCGGATAATAAATGCGCATTCCTTTTCCGTTAGGAATCCCCACGCATGGTGGCCCTTGTCTGGAAAATCGACAACAAAGATTAGGCAAAGAAGGCCAACAATAAAGGTCAACTGCAGATCCCGTAAGGCCGTATCCCAATAGAGAGGCAGACAAGACCTACAACACCCTGCATGATGAATATCCAGCTCCAGGCTGCATGGCCTTGGAGTCCTTTCATCTGGCTGAACCCAAAGGCCAATATTCCTAGTCGTTTGGTCAGATGAAATGCTAATGTGGCGCGACGGAACGGGAAATGGTATACCTGAAAGTGCTCCAGCAACGGAACCGATGATGTAAAACAACGAATAGCGCTGCTGAACTTCATCTAGTCCAGCCAGGCTAGTCAGTATACATCAAGGTGGACGGGAGTACATCACCGTACGCACATCGGGAATACCATGTAGACAGGAGATAGACGGTGCCTGGGAAGAATCCAGCTTCTAGGACACCAAGTAGTGCACGCAGCCCAGTCAGGACTTTCCAATTCGGGGAATACGCAAATCCCTGCGGCATAAGTTACCTGAAAGCTCTTTCCGGAAGGAATACCTAGTCATCAGGAGACATACGATCATCACCGCACCCCAGGAAAGGACAACAGAGGATATGAATATTCTGGGGCCAATCTTGCGGATAACCGCAGTTGCAAGAGGCTGAAAGACCACATAGGTAACGAAAAAGACTAGAACCATGATGGACTGCCGTGGGTTAGTTCATCTTTCTCGCAGTTTGGGTCTCATCGAACCGACATATCGGAATCCAACAGTCATGTCCAAGTCCTCGAGCATTCTATGAGCCGGCTCGTCAGTTCACTTCAAACACGGATAGGGTGGCTGCCACGCACCCTACAATTGCCGCCACAGACACATTGGTTCTATCCATAAGGCTGATGCAGTAGGCCAGACCACATATGAGAACCAATCTTCGATCCACTCTGTGGATGATTTTGCGCTGCTCCTCATAAGAGTATTCCTCGTCATCATCGATGTTGATCTCATCCCGCTTTTCGGAGGGAGAGTCGACGTTCTCAATGTTCTGGGTTGATCCCTTCTCCATATCTGCCGACATCTCTAATAAGCCTGCTCAATAGAACACTTCTTTGGTTGATATGATTCTCGACGGCTTCTCCTCTGGGTCTTTGGAGGACAACGTCCAACCTCACTTTATACACCTCGTCATGGCGCGTGCCTACTAAAATCAGTGACGCGTGGGGAATTGGATTTCACCCTATCAGCCCCTTACCTGGTAACACTCGTGTCACATTCTTCAAGACAGGTAGAGATGGAGATGCGGGGTGACTTGGCGTCTAGGTCAAAGACGCCCATATCCAGTGATGGTCCAAGTGAAAGGCGGCTTGCAATGAAGGCCTCCCTTCTGCATGGACTTCCTCCATGAGCTGCCCCTCAGTATTGTCCCCACAATAACCAGCAAGCAAGCCAATATGCTTCATTAGTCTCGACCTATCTACCCCAGTGGCGACCGATCAGGATGGACGTGGTCCCATGCCCATCAAACGAGGGGGCCAGCTTCCCCGGATTTGCTCGTCCCGGTACTAGTGCAGACTAGCGGGGCATAGTAAACAAGAGTAGGCGTTAGATTTATTGCTATCTAGGGTTTTAAACCGCGGGGCTAGATGCTCGGATCATCTGAATAACGTTTGGCTTCGTACTAGACTTCGTTCTCCCCAATATTCTCCGACTTGTGTTACGGGATTCAGAGTTTCAGGGGGGGGGGGTCTCGAGCACCAAAAGAGTCGGTTTAAGAGTGTCGATAAATAGCGTTCTCCTGAGCAGTTTCCCAATCACCGTGGACATCGGGCCTTTTACCCTCCCAGGATAGACACTAGATGCGCCTTGTTCCTTGAGGCTTTCTCCTTACCTCGGTCTCGGCTATACCCCTTCAACGCGATGCCCTTTCGAAAGCTTTGGTCAAGTAATGCTGCTGTGGAAGCCAAAACTGCTTCAGTATATGAACCATATTTGGTATTCAACAAGCACATCCTCATTAGGCAATGGATTCTCTATCGCGACTATACAAGCCTTGAACGGGTATAGTATTGTCCCCACAGTATCAACCCCACTTCTGACTCTATTCTGAGGGGTCGATCCTTATCTCGGCCCTCGGTCTTGGTGCTCTCTCTATGCTGTGGTGGGCATGGATTGGAGTAAGGACAGCGCCCCGAACAGAGTTGTTTATGGGAGTTTTCATCTTTTTTTACCATATTCGTCCACCTACGTACTTCAAAGGTGGATGAGATAGTGGCAAAACAGCGGTAGTAACTACAACATAGGTCTAGAGCGTGGCATATCAATCGCTTTCCTGACCCAATTTAAGTGGAGAGGTGGGGAAGCCATCGTATTAAGCGTCTGAGAGCAGATCCTCATGGCATAAGTGTTGTGCATACTCGTTGTATGTCAAATGTAATGCCAGAGACACTCCGTAGTCTGGAAATAGAAAACATGACTGTCATACCCCTCTCCGAGGAAGACTACACAATTTAGGAACGGACAACCTGAGGCAGCCGGACAGTAGAGAATCTTCTCATTATAATACCCGACATCGATACCTCCGATGGTCGACTCGGCTACCCTAGCATACCACCCAGAATGCTCTGCAAAAAGGCAAATATCTCTTCGCCTAGAGTCAGAACCGTGGCCGGATCCAACTCACTCAAGACCACCTGCTTCGTGCGGCAGCCTTCATCAACATCCTCCCCGTTCAGCCGTTCAGATACCCAGTTCATTGCGCTCGCGGATCCAGCAATGGCCTCAGAAACATGTTCGCCAACCCAATCGCGGTGGTATTCGATTCGGGCCCCCTGTGAGCAGTACTTGTCTACCAGCATATCGGTGTCTTCGACAGGGCTCACTTCATCTCCCACGGCTTTGTACACAAACAGCGGCACGGTCGGCGTATCCCGGATGCCCATTTGGCCGGAATAATGAAAGATTGACTGCGGAACAGGATCATAAAACGACTCCTTCCCGTTCTTGAAATAAGTGTACATGTCTTCATTCCCGCCAACGTCGCCGGCTCCGGAAAGGCAACTATTAGCTGCAGCCCAGAACTTGTCTGCCTTTTCGGGAAGCAGATTTTGATCCAGCCATGTTGTGAGGTTGGGATATGCCTTGGCCTGTCCGTATATGCCAGAAAACGCCAGGCCAGTGAAGGAGCTATTGTTGATTGTTTCAAGGACAGAGCTAACATTGGGAGTGAGCCCCCCCAACGCAATACCAGCGAAGCCGAGCTCTGGTGCATATGTTGGTTGGAGCTCAGCAGCCCATGCAGAGGCGAGAGCACCGCCAGAATATCCCCAGAGGGCGTATCGGGGGTCCTTGGATAGTCCAACACGGGGCGCCTCCTTCAGCACAACGCGGACTGAATCCAGTGTTGCATGACCAGACTGTAAGCCAGCGGTGAATTGTGCTTCGAGTCCCTCATAGTCGGTAGTCAACACCCACCATCCTTTGTTGAGGGCGGCAGCGATCTGACAAACTTAGCATGTTCCGTTGTCTAGAGTACATTATGGGGCTCTGAGGAGCTTACAAACGGAATGTCCGTTGATGTATTGGTCTCGGGAAGGCTGAAGCCCCCAAAGCCGTCTGATGTTCGCGCCTGGACTGTGTATGAAGGACTGCAGTCTAGAGAAGCGCTGTCATAAGGTGTCTGATAGGCGAGCAATTTAGATGGGTCTGAATTGTAAGGCTCGATTAAAGTCACCACGGCGCCGACAGGGTCCCCCAGACTGTCAGTGGTGCGATAAAAGTACTGGTATGCCGCCTTTGTTGAGACATTAGCGGGAATGGATGACAAGAATGGCTGCAGTTGTGCCGGGATCTCGCGAAACCGAATCAGGTCGCCAGGCGAGTAACTGGCAATATCATCGGGCTGATCATACCAAGGATCCTGGGATGGGGGGATGGGGTTGGCAGAGACTAGTAATACAAGACAGGCTGCAATGACGGATCGCATGTTTATGGCCGACATGTCGCTTGGGGGTGCATCCAGCTATGCCGCGGTGCTGCTCTATATATACTATGCTACATGCTCCTCTTTATGTTCACGGCACATTCTACTGCTGTGCTGGATGACCTGGCTGTATCCTGACTCTTCGACAAATACTACCCTGGATAGCGACATTGTGCTGATCCCCCGCACTGGCTTCATTGATCATCTCGTTCCACTGCCTAAGCGAAGCAAACAAAGCTGTGCTATTGGGCGATAGCTGCTGGGAGCTGAACTGCCACCTTGGCTCTGCAATTAAGTGAGCATCGCGTGACTACTGTCAGTCAGGTCTGTCATCAACAAGTTTCCATGGAGGGTAGTAGCTCACAACATATGGCGACGTCGTGACCTGCAGGAACCGGAACACGGAGAAGAGATAGAGCGAAGAACTCTCGCTCAAGGGTGGTTGTTGTATTTATCTTCCCAGTTCTATACTTACCACCATCTATATGTGGTGATCTATTTGGCTACATGGCCCCTGGCAAGGTCAAATGCGGACTGGTGATTTCTCCACGGAGGAAAATTCGCCGTCTAAAGGGCCAGGCTAAAAAAGGAGTAGGTCAAAGCTTTCCATTCAAGCAGGTAGGTACGTATGGGATTTGAGCAAACTGTTCGAAGATGTAACGGAATTTCAGGGTGACTTCTACAAAAGGTCATGCATCGAGAAAGCGGACGAGGGTACGACCCAGTGACCTAGGGGGCTCTTTGAAGCGGGAGATTCACAGAAACTGAGCTTCTAGAATGGCTCTGAATATCATTCACGAGCCCAGGGAGCTATTCACACTTTGATATATATGTTAGCACCGTTGGTGATATCTGTTGTTGATCTATCAAGTCGAAAATCAAGAGCAGGTTGGATCCTTGTCCTCTTATTTGTTCTTTTGTAATGGCCTGTTCAATCCCCAGTAACAGCTGCCATATAGTTAAATTCATCCCTAGGTATTTTCTTGCAGCTCCAGTCTGGATCAGCGTACTGGTTTTTCTCCTGCCTGTTGTAAAGACACCATTTTCTCTTGTTAGCTCTAGCACAACCACGTCTTCTGCACTGGACTATGTATCTACAAGCATCTCAGGGGTTCCACTTGATTCTAATATAAAGTATCATGGAACTACATGTGTTAATACAGTGCTCCGTTTAGCTTATCCTAGTTCATATCCAGATGCCAATGGCTCGTTGCGGCACTCGCCGAGAAGCGGCGCTCGGTAGTTGCCGAGCAGCGAAATCGTGACCTAGCCATCTTGATGGACTGTAGGCAGCCATAGAGGCGCAGCAATGCATTCCATGGATCTGATGTCTGCAAATGATTAACATCTGGTAGCCTAACCTCACAGTGGCCTGAATTTATCTCATATCGGCCTTGGTCCCAGGGTAGGGACTTGGCAGTTGTCCCATTGAGTGGGCTACTTCTCATCGAATTTCTATTTAAGTACGGAAATGTCCAAGGACCTTGGTCCAGTTTCTGGTCCATGTCTACGAGCCCTTCCTAACAGATATCCACGACCAATACGCGTTTCCACGCATCGGTACATTACAACAAGAGCGTCCGAAAACTATCCAGCCCTATACAAGGCTACAAGTTGGAAAGACAAAATGGTGATGAAGCCCTGGATCATTCTTGGCTGCGTGGCAGCAGTCTTCTCAACCGCTGCATCCTCAAACGTCCTTCAACAACAAAATATCCCCCTTAGTCTGGCTCTCGATATCGCCCAAGAGGCCGTGCAGGCCTGTGCCCAAGAGCAATACAGCGTGTCAGCAGCTGTTGTTGACCGTGGGGGTGTGTTGCGCGCTCTGCTTCGGGCTGATAATGCAGCCATTCACACCCCTGAGGCGGCGCGCCGAAAGGCCTATACGGCTGCGTCATCGCGTACAGCAACAAGCACCATGGTGGAGAATATTCAAAATCCCGGCGCTTCTCAGCTTGTGGCAATTGACGGCTTCCTCATCCTGGGTGGTGGTGTACCAATTACCGTCGGCAATGAAACGATTGGCGGAGTCGGTGTTGGTGGTGCTCCCAGCGGAGATTTTGACGAGGCCTGTGCAACAACTGCACTGAAGAAAGTGGCAGGGCGGTTGGAGTAATTCGACTGGTGGACTCGCTGTCGTCTTGGAGAAAGGGATGTTGTCTAGACCAAGGGCCTCATTGCCCAACCATCCCTTGCGTCTGTTAGTTTGATATTCTTCTTGAGATATCCTTGGAATGTCAAGCCAGGTTTCTGATTTGTCTATGATGTCTCGAACTGGACTGTGCTCGTTCCTATCCTATGCGTGAGGCTGGCGCAGAGAGACTCTTTTTGGGATAGAGAAATAATAGATGAGAACCTGGTGTGTGAAGATCTATTCGGATGACAGTCTGGTCCCTAACATGCCTTGTGTGTCTGTGGTGTGTGTAATTAGTTCAGTATTGTAGTTGCCATTGATATGTGTGTTATAACTATGCTTGCGTTCGGCAGAGTGGTCGTGGAGGTTGACCAGGTAAGAAATATATGTCTTAATGATTCGTGTGGTTGAGATGGTTTCACCAAAACATCAGCAACTATTCACCATATAACTTACTTCCTTATTCTCCTATTATGACGAAAAGAGTGTGCATTTGTCAAGTCGCTTTAATATCCCCCATTTTCACCAAGTGGATAAAATCCTATATAAGTCTTTCAGGGACATACGTGATATCTATATAACATGGCTAATCACTGGCACATCCAATCCGACACGCTACCATTCCATGCAAGAATATGCTCAGGAAAGGATATTAATTTGCGGCCTCACCAGTCCTCCTTTGCTCTCGCAACACTTTTCTATCGCCCATGGAAACTCCAAACTCCCTGACGACGAGCCAGGCAGGAACAAGAGAAACTGCCCACAGTCCGAAGTTGAGATAAATATTACCGACGCTTGCCATGACTGGAATACTGCTAACTCCGTACTACAGCACATATATAAGTCAGTCTCAAACACATTATGGATTGGAATAAAACTCACCGAAACGGCTTGAGCTGCAGATTCCGTGCCTCGAAGTAGACCAGCAATGCGAACGACCTCTTCGTCATCGCTAGCGATGTTTCCGACGACGAAGTACCTGAAAGGAACCCAGTCAGCATAGATCTGGTAAAGTCTGAGTAAGACATACAGGAACATGTAGTTCAACTGGAATCCAGCCACCCAGAAAAGATATACAGCAAACCCCCGACCAAATCCCGCATCTACCCAGTCATAAGTCGGCTGTGTTTTTCTGTATTCCGTGACCAATATTGTTGCCCAGATCCACCATCCTCCCTGGAGACTGAGTATGGTGGCGAATGCTGCACGGCTCCGGATCTTCAGGCGAATCCACTCCTGGTCAAGGTACGCGCCGAGGAGATTGCCTGCTATCAGTGCCATTATTCCGGACAGCAACGAGCCCAGCGCACGGGCACGGACTGAAAACCAAAGTGAGAGATAGCTGAACATGACTGCCTCGGTGAAGACAGCTTGACAGATGAGCGGCACGATCAGCAGGTAATTCCGGCTCACGAACAACTTGCACATTGCCTTCAACTCAACCAATGGGCTGTTGCTGATGCGAAGTTTGACTGGAAGGCCGTCTGATCGTTGCACTCTGGACGGAGAATTCAACAGCAGCCCAGCAAAAGGAGCGATTGCCTGAAGCGCAATGAATATGATGTAGACAGTGTAGGAGACACTCCCGGCAGTCGAGCGCTTGGCGTTGACTCCGAGGTTGATAGCACCGCCAACTATTTGCCCACCGACTCTGAAGCTCAGCCAGAAACCAAGGAATCGTCCTTGATTATATGGCTCTGGATAGGATAGAGCTATCGCACTCTCTGCCATCCAGAAGATTCCGGCAGAGAGACCGCAGAGAGCGGCGCCGAAAATCGTAAGCCATTCGCTGTCAAACCGGTTATTGGTGTAGAGGCCTGCAGCGTATGGTGCATAGCCAATGGTCCCTACGACCAGGGTCCATTTGATCCCGATGTACCGAACAACAACACTGCCAAAGAAGCATGAGACGACCATGAGACAAAACGTGAGCGCATTCGCCGTATTGACGAGGTATGGCTTCTCAGCGCCGCCTCCACCGAGCGAGTTCATTGCTCCCCAAATGCCTGGAGCGAGAAAGTTGCAGAGCCCTAGGACAAGAGCATTGTAAAAGGTAGATCGGTACCATTTTACTATTGTTGTTAGGTTCTTGATTGGAGGAATGAGGACACGCTGCCTACCTGGCTCCTTCTCTCCGTGGCCGATATCTTCGGCAGTAGGTTGTATGGACTTTTCCATCCCGACTAATCTGGATATATTATGAGATGTTGGTGTTTATCAGTGATACCAGGAGCTGGGAGCATTGTTTATAAGGCTGCGTTCATGCTATACGCCCACTAGCGGACAACTGCATTCTAGCTTTTTCAACCGTCTAGAATAAAGTCTCCATAATACCGGGACCTCCACAACTGCAGAGCTACGCGGGTAATTTACAGAAGAACCTTGTGATTGCGTCTTCGATGATCTGGGTGTCGTCGGTTTGAAGGAAGATTACGTGCTCGCACGGCATTTTGGCAACAATATTGACATCTCTTCGGGACAGACCTGCCCCACAAAAGGTACGTATGAAGAACTCCCAACATACAGACTCAAAGGCGCTAGAAGAATAATTTCATTGATGATAAAGGAATCCACCATATATTAATGATCGTATGTATGAAAAATGACAGTAGACCAAGCGCTAGCAATTTCCCTCTGTAATCTTCGGAACACAAACAGGCTCGGCATTTGACAGACCCTTGCTTACAGTGTCACCATCCTAAGCTCCTTGTAACAAGAAGGATTGCGCCACGTTTCACTCCCTATCGTCAGGATGGAAAACAAGGGCGCGAACTTCGATACTTTCCCGGGGGGCTTCATGCTCCGTCGCCGGATCGACAAAGGCAGAGTGCGGGACCCTCCGGGCCCGGCCATCGGTCTTAGAATCGAAACATTTGATCAAGGTGACCAAGTCTGGGGTTTGTCCATACCGGTAGTACCACTCGATATTAGGATTCGGCTTGACCGTACATGTCTCCCCAACCCTATTAGGGTATATGAGCTTGACGGGGAGGATATCGCTGTCGGATACGGAATGCGCGTTCGCGACTGCCAAGGGGCTCTTCAATATGGTTTTAATGGGCCGCCAGACGTTGATAATCTGATATCTCCCCTTGAGAAGTTCCGGTGCATCCTCGGGGAGATGATACAGGACGCGCTCCTTGGCCGCGTCGTAGGATTGGTCGATATGGACACGCTGCACCGGTCCTCGCCTCTCGGACTCGGGAACACCATCATTCTTGGTCTGTCGCCGGATAGTGTGATCGAAAATAAACACTCGAGAAGCACCGGTTCTGGTGAAAGTCCTAATTAGAAAGGGCTCCTTGACTTAGGGCGTCGGTTACGTACGCATCCTTAAGCAACTGCTCCGTCTCTGGATAGTACTCGCTCCTTACTTGATCGTTATCATCAAAGTTCTTCGTCCGGCTTTCATGATAGTAAAACTGGAATCCGTGGCTATCGAGTGTGTATTCGAGTTCTCGACCACTGACGTCGTGAATTATGACTGGTAGGGCTTCCACGGGTCTGTCGTACGTCTCTGGCCGGCCAACGTAATTCGGAGCGAGATGGGAGCCATCCGGCATGACTTTCACGAAGTTCAATGTCGTGTGGACGTCATGAGGTTTCTCCCGGACTGAGGATAAGACATTAGAGCTCGAGGGCCGTGAAGTCTCGACGAAGGAGCTCTGAGATTGGACAGTAGCGGCGGCCATTGTAGATATAGAATGTGAATTAAATGGTGGATATAGAGATCTGCTGATGATAGAACTCAGGATTCATCGGTTATCACAGAGCTTTTATAGCCCTCCGAGTACAGCACCGTGGATTTGTCATATTCGCACGCAATTTCTGACGACAGTAGCTATTTAAAAAAAACCAGCCACTATCAACGAAGCATTAGACACTCTGGTGAAGCAAATGAAGCACCTGTGACACATTCCCCGATGGTGGTGTGGCATAAACGAATAGAATGTACTAGGCATATTATAAATCGGATGTATTTCTAATCCACCACATGGGCCGGCGCAACCCCCGCATCATCGCTTCCATATACACGAACAAGCTTGGTAATACGAGTGCCATCATTCAGAACGTCATCCTTCTCGTCAAGTTTATACCCACCCATTTGAGGTAGCAACACAGTCCAGACATACCAATAAGCAACACCAAACACAACCCTGGTCAAGTTAGTTACTGTAGACTAGGCTGGGGGAGGCATGGCGCTTACACTCCCATCCCAACAATAGCGTATGTCGCGTAGAAAAAATGTACATCACCCTTTCTATCTGCTGGGGGTACGAAAGGCGCAGTCAACAATGCCAGGCAAATTAAGATCCGCAGATAGACGGCCGGTAACCACGCACGGAATGGACGTGGGCGGAGAGGCTCCCTTCGACGTAAGATGATAAGACCGACTGTTGACGCCAATGCAAACAATTGACCTGGATAGCCCTCGACGTCTAGTATGAAGTTGTAGACGTCTCCCTGGGGCGGAAGCGCGATCACGAGAATAGAGGGCACATAATGCACAAGAAGACCTCCCAGAGGTGCCCCAAATGGAGCCGATGATGATAGGATCCTAGGCCACGGCAAAAAGCCTTGCCGAGCAATTTCCTGATTAACCCGTGCCTGTTCCTGGATGTCAATAACGTACACATTGGCGTAGAGGTATACAACCGTACCAGTGCGAATGTCACCACCATCACATTGCCAGCAGCCGAGATGGCAATAGCAATCGGAAATATAACCCTCCCCACGTGAGGACCCAGGACACGTTCGAACAATAGTGCCCCTACAAGCTCTCCGCTCTCCTTGATCTGGTCCAGTGGGATGACCAAAAAGTAAGAGATATTGGCCACAAGATAAAGGGCACTAGCGGTAAGCATAGCAACCGGAGCAACTGTTTTCAATGTCCGAACGGGGTCCTGTACTTCACCCAGAACATTGTTGACATTGTTTAACCCGGCATATGAATATAGGACCTTGAACAAAGACGTAGATAGTAGACTCCAGCTCCATTTCGAACCTTCCCATATTCGGTCGTAAGAGAATGCCGTCAGATTGTCCTGGGACACACCCGAATAATTATGGCGGAAGAGAATGACCCAGAGGCCTGTGACAGACATGGCGGTGACGACAGCAATCTTGGTCCATCCCAGTAGGTTCTGAATCCATATCCCGGTCCTAGGAAAAACGCCGTGGATGATTGTGATGAAGGTGAGTAATCCAACAGCCAGATAGATTTGTTGGCGGTCTGTCGGATCGTCGCAAAGTGCAAACAGGGTGTACTTCGAAAAGATAATACAGTTACTAGCTGTGAAACCAAGCAATACTGCTTGGACCGCGATTAGTGTTGAAGCAAGAAATCGCGGTTTTCTGTATGTATATTCGAGGTAGACCTATGCCACTGGGATTTAGTCATCAACAATCTGCTTTCGCGCGCGGTATGTATACCTTCTCTCCTCCGGATCGAGGAAGCATACACCCATACTCCAGTGAGACGACTAGCCCGCAGGCAGCCAAGAGAGTCCCAACCGTCCAAACAACAAAGGCTAATCCCACGCTGCCAGTAGACCTTACAATGGACCCGGGCGTCGCAAAGATTCCGCTCCCAATCACACGAGATACGACTAAGATGTAAGAGCTCGTCCAAGACAGTGACTGTTCGCGTGGCAAATTCGGCACCTGCGGAATGGAGGCTCGTCGCAGGGTGTCGTACTCCGTCGGACGGTTCCCTAGGAGCGGCTGTTGTTCCATGTAGACCATATCGACAGGAGCCGGATCAGTATTTCCAATGGTTCACACTTCATGAACGTCGAGAATACACCAGGTGACAGAATATAATAATAATGCATTATCTCTATGACCATGCTGACAAAAGGCATTTCCAATCACCAGGCACGCCATCACTGCGGTATATTAGGCACTGTCATGCAATGAGTAGTACAGCATCAAACATGCCGAAGATTGGTCAAAAAGATATGTGCATTAGGCTTACATCCCAACTCCTCACAGCTGATGGTATAGAGCAATTCTAATATGCTTGTACGTCCTATTTTGGTGTAGTACGACAGTTGCAGTGGAAGGGTATTTTTCCAACTTACTCATATATCTTCAACGTCTGTAACTCTCACTTATCAATGGTGATTGAGCCTAGGGTGTTCAGCGTGGGATTTTGTGGCAATATCACAATGGGACGCGATTGGAGCACCATATCAAATGCATGATTACTACTGCTTCACCTGAGACATCCTGTCTCCCTTTTTTATGGGTGCAGATACCCATTTCACTATGGGCTGGGTTTCTCTATTATCGAACTCCAGCTGTATGCGCAAGCATTTTCCCTTATCGTGAGTATTTGCAAGGAAGTGGGTCCTGATTCAACTGATGGGGAGGAAGTTGGTGGCTGTCTTTGGCCATCACATCACAATATCATCTATTGCACAATATTACACCATATCAGTGCCTATCAACCAGCTGATCCAGCCTAAACGGCGCCCCCAACGCAGGTAGGCGGTTCCTGCCCTATGGCCATTACCGGTTATCCTCCGCCGGGCTGATCCCCTCCAAGACAATGTGGAGTCCGCAACGAAGACACCTATAGTTCTTTGCAAAAAGCCTTTGTAATTCCGTTGCGGGGTAACCACCACAGTTCGACCCTATAGTAAAATATACCTACCTGTATATCACTCTGAACCAGTTCAATGGGCTGGCATCAAATGTTCACAGCATTCTGTTTGGAATCTCGTCTTTACCTTAATTATCTCAGCCTTAGAAGCGACCTGTAGCCTATCGGCACTGATCCCAGCGTGGCAATCCGAGTACCCTCATTCAGACATCATGGTTCTCATTAAGTTTAGGTAGCAAGACAGTCCAGACATACAAGTAACGAACCCAAATGCAATCCTGCTTAACTACTGTAGAACAGACTGGGGGTGAAGTTGCATACATCTCCCCGGAATTTAAGGTGGAGCTCCCTGGCTCCCAGCTTGACTGTCAACAACCGTGCCTCCATGTATGCGAAACAGTTCCTGGCAGTTAGCGCACGGATCCCAAAGATTGTTCCAAACTCGCCCGGCCAATCGATCATCATAATATGGGGTCTCTATATATGTACTTGTCACTCAACGCTAGCCCGTGAAACCTTGCCGCTTCATCTGGTGGGCAAGACATGAGGAGCTTGCGAAAGGGGTACGTCTCCCCGCAGCGACCAAATTGTTTGCCGTGCTTCTTGCCCCTCTGTCGGATGGTGGGCGTCCACGCTTGTGACCAATTGGCCAAGGTTAGCAACGGAGATCTAATGATCCCGCAGCGCGCACGGTCTATGACAGCCAGCCAAGGCCTCTCTTAATGCTCCAAGAGAGAACCTGGTTTTGGCTCTCTACGATCAGCTTGCTGCACCAACGTCCGAATACCGCTGTAAGCGGCAGATAGAAAGCACGCATTGTTGCTCCCAGAGGAGCCTGGGCCCAACGAGCTCATGAAGAGCCCAAGGAGATCGGACAGTGCCCAATATCCGATGCCATTGTATTCTGATTTCACTAGCCGATTTCTGGACATTGCACGGGGCCAGTTTTCGTCTGGCTCCCAGTCGATATTCTGGGGCGGCAGGGGCAGGAGATAACTGCGGCCGTCCGGGCAGCTGTTGCACGTGTTAGCTATATCTAGACATGTTTGGATTCATGAGTTCTGCTTAAGTACCGAAGCCGTCCGGACAATGTCTTGGTGTATCAACACCAGGTGGAACCCCCGTTCGTCCCCTGGTGGCTCACGGTACCCTGCAATCATGGCTTAGCATGGCCGAAAGCGAGCACCCACACCGTTCGAATATCGATACGGCCATTTTAGGCAGGGGAGCGACTGATGGAGGACTTGAATCGGTTGGGAGAGGAAGGAAGAAGGAAGAGGAAGCGACCTGGTGGTGGTGGTCGTGATGGGCCGGGATGGGCGACCTTCACGGGTCACTTGAGTGCTAGTCACCGATTGCTTGATAGTGAAGCCTTGGTGGTAAATTTTGTCAACGGGAGTGAACAAGGAAGCCTGTTGGGTTGGATTGTGGGTGAAGTCCTGCAGGCCTCTCGAGATATTAAGGCAGGCAGGCGCTAGGCCGAAAAAGGCAACTATACAATGAGTGAAGCCAACACCCGAGACCATTTCCATTGCGCTTTCCTCCCCGACTGGCAACCGTATTATGTTTTACGGTGGAAGAGCCGAGGAAGCCGCCCTCCATATCCGGAATGGAGTCAATGAAGTGATGCGGCCTCAGGCACCAAGACAGCAAGATGTCCGAGACTTACCTACTCGACCCGGAAAAGCTTTCAGTCCAAGCAGCGCAACCAAATTAAACTGACATCCTGCGCACCTAGATACGTAGGCACGTAACCAATATACGTTGTAGGACGTCCGCTTGCAAATTCCCTTATAACGCAATTGCTTATGCCAACTGATCCATGCTGTTCCTCATCCAAGACGATGACTATCACGTCATCCGCACCCCGACCTTCGCAATGGCTACGAAGTGCGTTGACTCCGAAACGCGATAAATGACTCCAACTACGTTTTGAAAATTACGAGATGATTAGAAATCGGGCTCTTGTTCAATGACGGGCTTTGGAACGACTCGTGCGGCTATCGCGAGGGCCGATCTGGTGGCACATCCTTTACCCAATACACGTTGCCGTGCTGATCCTAGCTTAAAGGACGACCGAGATCCTGCCCTTACTCCTGAGCATCCTGGAATAGTCATTGTCCAGCCTTTCCGAGAACGATTGGACCGACAGCGCCATGGCGGCCATATCAGCGTACACGCACCCCGCGCATCTGGAAGAGAAGCACCACCACTCTATGTTCTACGATGCAGTCACGATAGAACAGAGAGCCTCGTTCCATTCTTCTGCTCCTGCCGACGAATCCGGTGGACAGCATGCACAGAAACCGATACAAAAGGCCCTGCTCCTGAAAAGGGCTCGCGAGCAATATACCCTTGTGGACGATCATGAAATCCCCCCGGTCCTGAATAAAGACGAAGTCCTGGTCAAGGTAATATATTTCAGAGAGTGCAGATACTCAATAAACATCTAGCTAACGGTGTATAGATCCAAGCCATCGGGTTAAATCCCGTAGACTGGAAGGGGCCGTAAGAACCCTCCCCGTTGATCTATCCAACCGCCTGCTAACAAGCATTCACCAGGGCGTACAACTTTGGAATTCCCAGCTTTCCCTGGATCAACGGTCGTGATCTTGCGGGAGTGGTCGTCAAAGCAGATCAGTCGGCACGATTGCGCATCGGAGACATTGTGCTTGTTCCCTCCACCGACTATCGGGATATTCGCAAAGCTGCCTTCCAGGAATATGCCGTAGCTACCCACTATAACGCCGCGCGCATTCCACGAGGAAAGCCGATCCACGCCGCATCGTCTTTGGGGGTCGCATTTGTGGCATCAGCCCTGGCTCTGGGAATATCGCTTGGACTGGACTTCTCGCAGATCGCCGCCTGTCGGGGGCCTAATTTGGTGGATATTATCCGCCAGGTGGACGAGGACCACATCCCAGCTGATATAAGGAACGAATGCTATTCGGGACTGAATGATGTTGAGCGCCTCAAACCAGGACAGTGGATTGCTATCTGGGGAGGTGTGTCAACTATGTTCCCTTACGACTGTGTTGCTCTAACCACTTCTAGCTTCGACAACTACTGGCTTTATCACGCTGCAACTTGCGAAAATGGCGAACCTCAAGGTGATATGTGTGGCTGATATTGCACGTCACGGATCAAGACTAGTCGAACTCGGCGCAGATGTGTTGGTTGACCGCCACAATACAGAGAGGGCGATTGAGATCATTCGTGGGGTGACACAAGGACGACTTCGATATGCGATTGACATAGTGGGACAGGATACGGCGGCACTCCTTCAAAGAGCCCTTGACACCTCTGTAAACGAGGACGGATCGCATGCCCATCTCCTTGGGCTGACGGGGCTGCCGAAGGAGCGAGCAGCCGGAACTATCTACCACACGGTCCCGATTAAAATCTTCCACACGTCTCCCGCGGTCGGATCAAGCTTGGTGACATGGTTAGAGAAGATGCTACAGTCCGATGCTATAGAACTACCGGAGGTTGTTCGCAAACCCGGCGGGCTGGCGAGCATCAATGAAGCGTTGGAACTCCTTCGACTTGGCACGGCGTCAGGAAAACGGGTGGTAGTAGATCTGGAAGCCTAGACATAAGACTAATTTCATTCACTCTCATTCCTCTATATGAACGTACTTCTAATATGTGGCGGGCCAATAATGAACGATCCACGCCCACGAGGTCATATCAAGCAAGTCTCATTGCAACTGCCTAGTACAGAGAGCTCTTATGCGCCACCCGGCCGAGAAGCCAGGGAACATCCATAATTCGCAGCTAAGGGCCCTAATCCAAATCAGGTCCATCAGACGAGGATATGCATTGTTGGAGAAATAGAATACAATCTCCAATTCATCTCATCATAGGTGCCCAGACTGGCGCAATCGAGCACGCGTCTCCCGCTATCCGGGAACGTAGGGAATGAGTAGGCTGGAGTAAAATGATTCACCTGTTCATCAGGCATGTGGAGCGGATGTATTGTTCCCAAGTATTATGGTGAATGTGGACTCTAGGTACCTAGTCTTGACTTTACCACTATTACCGGAGTATGTCATTATAGGGAGAACTCGTTGTCGTGCGTCTCAATATCACGGCGTTGGACCACTACTGAGCCACTCAGTACTCTCCAGATCACAGCCATATTCGTCGATCGCAACTTACAGAACCTTCGCATTTCAACATGGGTTCAATCGATAAGCCAAAGAAGCAGCTCATACTCAATGCATTTGCGATGCAATCTCCCTGCCATCTCAATCCCGGCTTGCATCGCTATCCAAAGGACCAGGGTCCGCGATACAAGTCTCTCCAACACTGGATCTCCCTAGCTCAGAAGCTCGAGGCTGCCAAGTTCCACGCCATTTTCTTCGCCGATGTTCTCGGTGGCTACGATGTGTACAAAGGACCCAGGAATCTTGACCCTACGATTCCAGCCGCGGCGCAATTCCCCATCAACGACCCACTATACAGCATTCCGGCGATGGCTGCTGCCACCCACAGTATTGGATTCGGGGTGACAGCTTCTACGACCTACGATGCACCCTATGCTCTGGCCCGCCGCTTCTCCACGGTCGACCATCTAACCAACGGTCGGGTGGGGTGGAATATTGTCACGTCTTACTTGGACTCGGCGGCGCGGAACTTTGGTTTAGACACGCAGATTGAACACGATGAGCGATATTGCATCGCAGATGAGTACCTCAACGTGACCTATCAGCTGTGGGAAGGCTCATGGAGAGACGATGCGGTGAATACAACAAAGGACGGCGTGTCGGGGTATGCCGACCCAAGAGCCGTCCGCCAGATCAACCACAGGGGCAAGTACTTCAACGTCCCAGGCCCTCATCTATGCGAACCCAGTCCGCAACGTACTCCTTTTCTGTTACAAGCTGGGACTTCGACTGCAGGGAAGGCTTTCGCCGCTAAACACGCGGAGGCTATCTTCCTCGGGGGGCAAAAGCCAGAGCTCATTCGGCCGTCCGTGGACAGTATTCGGCAACAGGCACAGGCCCTTGGACGGGACCCGTCCTCGATCAAGATAGTTGCCGGTGCGCTCGCCATAGTGGCCGAGACAGATCAGGCTGCTCAAGACAAGTTTGACGAGTTGGCGAAGTATGGGGACCCCGAAGGAGCATTGGCACTCTTCGGCGGATGGTCTGGTTACGATCTATCCAAGTATGCCGATGATGAGGATTTCCGATTCGTCGAGCAGCCAGCCATTCGCAGTATGGTCAACCACTGGGCGAGCACAGTGCCCGGAACTGAAGGGAAAAAATGGGACAAGAAGACCATCGCCGAGTACCTTCGAATGGGTGGGAATGGAGCCAAGATCATTGGAAGTCCACAAACAGTGGCTGATGAGCTTGAACGCTGGGTGGAGGTTGGTGATGTGGACGGGTTCAATCTGAGCTATGCCAGTATTCCCGAGACGTTTGATGACATTATCGAATATCTGATCCCTGAGTTACAGAGAAGAGGAATCTTTCACACTGAATATGCAGTGAAGGGAGGGACATTCCGTGAGAACATCTACGGGCAAGGGGGACACTCACGCCTACCGGAATCCCACCCAGGAGCGAAGTATTTCTGGCGAGAGGGAGAAGATGTGCCCAGTTATGTATTGGACCAGGGACCATAGTAAATATATATTGTGTGTTGAATGCACTCGATTGAGTAACATGAGGTATAGATAGAAATATTCTGGAAAATGTGCCCGATACATTCTATAAATAATCTACACGTCCCACCACCCCTCTAGATATGAGCGCAAATCAATCTCATCCGGCCGCTTCAAGTGTGGCGTTAAATCTGCATCTTTCTGCAGTTCTCGGGAAGTCCATCCATTTCCGAAGTACGCAAAACGGTTGCCACTGGGATTCGTGTAGGTATATTCCCAGTCTTCCCAGCGAGGGTCCCTGCGAATATAGTTCAGATGAACAGCACTCCCGGGGAACAGTCCATGGACACGCCCTCCTGGACGACCGCCGTTGTACCAAGAGCTGCAGTTTTTCTGACCAGGAGACGAGTCATCGTTGGCAGTCCACACGGTTCGAGGGTAGAATCGATCACAGTACTCGACAAAATCATCCGTCGCCTGTTTCGATGGGGACATTGCCTTGATCCCTTGGCTTCGCAATTTGCGCAGCAGCTTGGCGATATATGTGACCAGATTTTCGATACTATTTGGGACACTACCACTGTGGCCTGTCGAGTGGGGGCCCCCAATCCAAAGGAGATTCGGAAAACCAGGAGTGGCTACACCGAGGTAGTTGTAAGGGAAACCAAATAGACCGTCGTGTTTCCATGCAGTCTTCAAGTCGACCCCGTCGGCGATGATGGAAAAGGGTGGAGCGTGGTCCACGTTGGCGCCGGTAGCACAGATCACCACGTCCACTGGACGCTCGACTCCATCCGTGGTGACAATTCCGGTAGGTGTGAATCTCTGGATCGGCGTCTGGATATAGCTGACGTTCTCCTTCGTCAGAGCCTCGAGGTACCCTGGACCGGGGGTTGGTCGACGACAGTTGGGCGGAAAGTCGGGGATGATCTTATCAGCCAATTCTGGTTTGTCTTTGATCCGCTGGAGCATGAGTTGTGTCCATTTCTCCCGTTGGTCCCGATTCTCTGGGGAATCCTTGAAGATGGCGCCAAAGCGGGAGAAGTAGCCACTTTCCACCTTCTTGCGGTATGCGAGATAGACATCCGGGTCTTTGAAGCCCTCCAGCTGGTCGGCGGGGAACAAGTTCGGTTCCAATCGACGTACACCTGTTGTGCCGAATGAATCGGCAATCCACGTTTTGTTACGCGCATAGTGATCGACGTGCTCAGCAATGGGCTGGATTGATGGCAACACCTGCAGCCCAGACGCTCCGTTTCCAATCAAGGCAATTCGTTTGCCCTTCAGGTCAACATTGTGGTCCCAGTGCGAGGAGTGGAATAGAGCTCCTTGGTATTCATCCCGGCCAGGGTAATCTGGCAGCTTCCAGGCATTGAAGTGGCCGATGGCGTTTATCAAAACGTCAAGGTACTCGTCGTAGATCTTGCAAAGTCAGCGTTGGTCCATTTGGCCATGACTTCCTCGCCGCCCTACCTTTCCTGGCTCACGCAAGTCCTCGATCGTCACTTTCCACTTGCCCTGATTGGAGATCCATACGGCCTGTTTGATCTGTTGCTGAAACCGCAGGTACTTATACACGTCGTACTTCCGAGCCAGTCCCTGCCAGTAAGCCCGGATTTCGTGTCCTTGGGCAAACTCTTCCGTCCATTGCGTATTCGGTGAGAATCCAGACTGGTATACATGGGCTGGGATGTCGCATCGAACGCCGGGATACGTGTTTTCGAACCTGTACCGCTCAGTTCGCGACCTTTGATGTGGAAGATGTTGTCTTACCATGTTCCTCCCTATATGAGATTAGCATACATGAACATTTTCAAGCAAGATTTGAATCGGTGTGTACGCACCACATCCTCGTTCTTATCGTAGATCCGCAGATCTAGCCCAGGTAGTTTCGCCGGTAGCAACACCCCGGCCGTAATACCCGATAGTCCTGCTCCAATGACGCCGACCTTGATCGGACGAACCTCATCTATCGGATGTTCCTCCAGCTCGAATGACGGCTTCGTGCCCTCCACCTCCTTCTCGGTCACAGACAGCTGTTTGATAGCCCGAGAGAAGTCCCCGGCCGTTGACGACGCATGGCCATTGGGAAACGGGAACACGGGCTGGGGGATGGTCTGTCCTTCAACTGCTGCCATCGGGGAGACTCGTTTCCTGAACGTGGCTGGGATCTTTTTATTGGAGTAAGAGGCAGTTGTACATTTCTGGGGGTTCTTATATTGTCGTCCGGTCCAAATGTTGCATGATGTAGCTCCAATTGCGCATACTCGTGCGGGGTGCCATCCTTCATTTCGTGACTTACTTCTTGCCGGGTATCCTGGGCGTGTTATGGATACCTTTACTCTTGGTATTTCCACCGTCGGATATACTGCGCTCCCTGGACCTACGGTGTTTGGTCAACCAAGGCTGCCGGATGATCGGCTTCGCATCATTACGGCGCAAGATGATGCCACAATTTACGGTAATGCTTTTTGCAAATCCCAAAAACTGTGCGTATTTGAAATCGAGGATTCTTATCGGTATCGTTGTAGCAAGTGGCCAACTATGGCGTTCTGTTGGCGCTGGTCACCAAAGAGGCGGAGTAAATGGCGTCATTTTACTGACTTACTGTAAGCGTCCAGCAGACAGATAGGATTTCAATGTACGTTGTGTATTCAGACTAACAGAGTCAATATCCCTCTCCAACAAAGCACGTCAACCAACTAGCCATCGATGGTGTGTTGTTCCCGTCTGTCCGAGTCAAACTCCGTCCACATTGTGTCTATCATTTCATGCCGCTTGATAGCCCAGTCGAACGTCGGATACCAGTCTCCCACTCTATACGCCTCGTATAAGCGTGCAATATTCTGCACTGCAATAGGGAAGCTATCCCACTCATCGGAATCAGCCTTCACCTGTTGAACCTCGCTTGTGTCTGAGCGGAATATCTCGAGTTTCGCTCCTGGGTCTCCGACATTCAGGAACAGGACGGGAGAAGTCAATCTCAACCAGCCTTTGGTGCCCTGGATCTGCCAGTCCAGCCGGGGCGATCCGGGAAATTCCTTGCCAGCATATAACTTGACCGTCACGGGGGCGTTTGATGGCCCTACCGCCCCATAGAGCAAAACGTTGTCGGGGACCGTATTCAGCACCGCTCTCTGGACAATTGTGTCACCTGCCTGATGATCGACGATATCAAGCTCAGGCCGAGTAATCGTGCTAGAGCTTTTGTATGACTTAAACTGACCCAGTACTAGTTCACTGTAAGATTCTGGCGATCGTGAGGAACAAACTATGACTTACCGGTGATAATCGACTCGAGACTGTGCCCAACATGGATACTCATAACATTACCTCCGACGCTGCGGTCGAGGAAATATCTGACGTTCTTGCTCTCCGTGTCGATGTTATTGCCGAAGGAACCGATAAAGGTGCTGGTGAGGATTCGCCCTATCTCTCCGCCCTCCACGAGTGATCGCATCTTCCGAAGAAGCGGCGAGAAATTGCTTTGGAGTCCAACAATAGTTCTGGCATTATGTTCGTTCGCCAGGGAAGCCATCTCCTTGGCAGTAGCAAGGTCACGGTCGAGCGGCCACTCCACGTACACCGTCTTTCCCGCGATGAGACTGGGACGGACAGTGAGCAGATGTCGGTCCACCCTAACACAGCAGACGACCAAGTCAACGTCCGGATCGTTGGCCAGATCTAGGATAGTAGTATGAGTGACTGTGTTTTAGCAGAAAGCAGGGAGCTTACCGGTGGCGTCTCCGTAGGCCTTTGTTTCTACGGGAAGATTACACTTTGCGATAGCTGCTCTGGCCGATTCAGAGGAGCTGTTCAACAATGCAACAATTTTGAAGTGCGGTGACGCTGTAAGAAAGGGCAAATGCGCACTGGCAGCCCAGGAGGTCCCTTCATACTGGTCACTGGGGGCCCCCGACAGACCGATTAGTCCCACCCGAATAGGCGACATTTTGGCGAACAATGGCCGCGGATATTTCCGAAGGAAGGAATGCCGTTAAATTTCAATCCTGTCCTTTGATTCCTATTTAACAACTTGGCTATGTCTGTCAAGTTGATTAGAAATCATTTCCAGCGTCAAGTGTGATTAGAAATCAGGCCTCCAATCGTATTTGTCTTGTCCGGTTGAATATCGGGATCTAACCTATACGTAGTCCTTGGATCCAACTCATCGTGATCAACGCAAGCTAGGATATATGCTTGAACTTGGTACGTCTACCCAAAAAGTTTTAATTTATGAAACTTGTCTTCTAGTTTATCGGCTTGGCTTGGTATGGGAATAACACATAAAAATGGGTATCAATGTACGGTCTTTATGATCACAGAAACTATACACAGACAAAAAGAAACCAGACCAGAACAGAAATGAATCTCGCTATCGCCCTGTTATAACAGGAAGGCCATGAAACCTGCGACTGCAACAGCTCCTATGCTCGGACTAGACAGGATGGATGCGCCACTTTTTTCCGACTTTTGATCCATCTTGCCATTCAAATCCCCAGGGCCAAATGGCTTATATCCTCCACTGATGCTACTGGGCTGGTTGGTAGATCCATTCACACATTTGCTGGTATCCTGGTACGCACCCCATGCGGCCTCCCACATCGCTTCAGGGTGGAACAGCGTCTTTGTTGTGTAGTATAGCCGACAGTCAGCGGCTTCGTAGATGTATTGGAGAGCGGCTCCTGACTCGTCGCCCTTTCGGATCTGGTCCTGCATCTGAATGCGGCTCTGGTCGTCACCGGCACGCGTGAGAAGAGGGTGAGGGTTGGCGAGTGTCTCAAGCCCGTCGTAACCGGACAATCCGTATGCTTCTGTTTTGTTAAATACCGTCTGGATATAACCTGCAAGAGCGAGGTAACTGGGAACTTCCCCTCCCTTGGTGCCACCGACAGTCTGCATAGGACCATCTTGAGGGCGACCACCCACGGCAACAGCCTGTACACCGGCAATGTTCTTCAGTTCCTCGTGAAAGGAGGCACAGGCGGACCCGCACAGGCCGTCGGTCAGCATTACAGTATTCTCTGCTGTAAATACAGGCTCTCCAGTAGGGTCGAGGAAGTCGAAGGTGGTCTCTAGGATACTATTACGGTTGCTGTTGGACATCTGCGATGTGTGAGTGGCTGCGCTTTCAACTGTCCTTCTCCCAGGATCTAACTTACGTTATACCGCATGTTCGTCGTGAAGTTGTCGCCGTTGTAGAGGTGAGGTCCGTAGAATTCGTTCCATGAGTCAAAGTTCTCGCCATTGACGTCGACGAAGTCCCAGTATGACCAGTAACGGAACATGGCAACTAATCCATCAAACTTGTCAGAAATGAGACACAGAAAATCTTGACCACGGCGTGTCAAACGTACCGGCATATTCGTCCATCTCGATTTCCGTCCGAATGGAATTGTCAGAGTGCATAGCATTGACAGCGTCACCGATGAGCTTGAAGTTCTCCTGGGCTCGGTACCGCTGCGCGCTGAACGGGACGTCGCCGGGGAAAAGCTGCATGAACGTGTCGAGAAGAAGCTGGGTACTGCCTCCGCCATTCTCTCGCAGGTCGATTACCAGCTTTTTCTTCCCTGCATTCTTGCTTTTTTGCAGGAATTGCCGGACTGTTCTTTGCCAGTAAGTTGCGTTCGGGCCGCTCACATCAAAACTGATGATCTTGAGCACAGCAAGGTCGTCGAAGCCCACGCCGTTCATGAAATAACCGGCCAATTTGCCTGACTCGTCTTGAACAATGGGATCGGGGTAGCTATAACTGGGGATCTGCCGCTTGCTCCAAGCATGTGTACCGGACTTTTCGGACAAGTATGCATCCAGACTCGCATATTGGCCGGTGCAGAACGTTTCGAAGAACGAATTTCCGTCCGTGATGCCGTCCAGCGGCTTAAGTACATATGCGACATTTGTCCATGTACGCTGAGTGCCATTTTCGAACGTAAGCGTGGTTGTGGGCCCGTCGTAAGCATTGTATCCATTGGGGGTGTTGAAGGCTCCATAGCTGGAGGCGGTCGCCATGAGGCTGTTGTATCTTGCATCGCCGTCGATGTACTGCTCCCGCGCTGCCATTTTGCTCAGATAATCCTGGACGTCCTCGCCGTTGACCTTTGTAATGGCCGTGATATCTGCGCTGTCGTCCTCATCCTGGAGCGCCAAGTCCTCCCAAACGTATGCTTTCGGGGTGGTGGTCCCATCGTCGGAGATACTGGCGATCTGCACAGTGCGCATGAATATGAAGACTTGCAAAATGTCCGGAACGTAGTTGAAGTGGAAATTGCCGGTCCGAATCGTCAGCTCGCGGATGGCCTGTTGTACGTCGAATTCGCTCTCATAAGATGATATATTCCCCTTGATCTTGTCGAGCTCCCCGATGAGATCGAGTGGACCGAGATCCCATGTTTTCGGGGGGTTCTTCAGGTAGCCTGTCTCTGAATGGAAAGCCCAGTACAATTTCAGTTGGTCGATGAGATCCTTGTCATCCTCGACAGCCACGGGGACCGACTTCAAACAGTCATAAGCATATTTGGCGGGGATCACGTTCAACGGGCTTTGTTCGTATAGTCTGCTGGCTTTGGCGCAGGCCTCGGATGCTAGTGGGGTGGAGGAGACGCTGGGAGCTGCGATCAATGTCGAACTCTGTGCAGCAGCCACAGCGGCGAGCGCCAGAGAGCTTCCGAGAAGACGCATATCCTGTCAACTCTCGGTATGCTCTCTTGGGTGGAGAGAAAAAATTATGATCGTGTGTGACAAGCCAATCTAGAGGTACATTACGCAGTATTTATATCGACAGGCTTTTCTTAGCCTGGCTCCTCTTCGTATTCCTCGACGGTTGAAGCCCACCAAGGCTGATAATGCGGATCGGTCGAGAAGCCTCTCTAGAGTGCAATTATTATTGGCTCCGACGCATCAGACCCTTTGATGAGGCTCCTCGTATGGGGACCCTTTTTACATAATAGCTGCGGAAGTGGTCAGCAGTCTTACGGTGGGACGAATCGGTGACAAGTCGGCAGCATACGGTGGTCGCAGAAAGGACTGTCCTGCGGCAGTGTTGCATCCTCCCCCTGAGGCTATGCCAGGCTAAGCAGCTTGACTAGCCAAATCGTCTCTTTTAGTGTGTGTAGTGCGCTAGGCAGCCGTGGATCGGCATCAAAAGCCTCGTTTAGCATCCACGCCAAGGAGATTTCCGCCCCAATCTCTGGTCCAGCGGGCAATCACCCCAAAAGCCCCCGATTCCAGGGTCGGACAGGGTCTCACATGGTCTTCCCCGGTTCGATTGTCTGAGGCTGAAGCAGATTTTGGTGGAGTGGCTTCCAAGATCAAACAAGAATTTATTTTCCCACGCATCTGTAACATCATGACTGCAAGGAAGCCCGCTATTACGGAAGCAGTGAAGAAGAATTGATATTCCAAGCTCCCATGGCACAAGAGAATCTAAACCACTGGGTTACAGCAAGTCCAGCACTATCGTTGTTAGTTCTACTTAACGTCTCGTCGGGGATAGCACACACATCACCGCTCTTCTTGGCATACTAATCACCATCTTCTGTTAGTGCCCACTGATCTTGAATGAGGTTAGAGTGACTGATGCTGCTGCTTACCGCTGGCTCAGTACAGTTCGGCTGCTGAAAGTAGCAGATCATCAAGCAGACATCGCTCGGTGGCTCCTCGGTGGGCGCGGCGGTGGCGGAGCCCGAGAAGACTGCCAAGGCAGTAGTGAAAAGGAGAGAGAACTGCATTTTGAATCCTATTCTAGGTGGTGAAAGAGACTTGAGGGCGTAAGAGTGGTGATGTCTGATCAGAGCTGCTTCTGCCTCGGGGCTAGAGTCATTTTATCTTCTTCATGGGGTTGTTGTGGGCTCAAGTAGGAGACGATCTCTCGGGACCGCGCTCTTGGCCATGGCTTTCTAGGCATGAGGTCAGATCGGACTTTGTATGTTTCACATCTGCCGATTGTTTCATAACACACGGAGGGAGACTTGGCGGCTCTCGTAGTCCGCCACTTGCTCTATATGGAGACTGATTGACACTATCTCTCATCCTATTCCAGAGCGGGTCCGAGGCTGCTCGGTACTTGATCATCACAACTGTCGGGTTATCGGTCTGGTTAACAGGATATATGGAGAATCTGTGTCTATTTGATCCTCGGCATTCGTCCATATGCTTGACCGTGAATATAATTATCAAAATAAAGGTCTCAGCGTGGGGATATTCTGTCCGCTGCTGTAGAGCAGAGATATATATCCTCTCTGATACAGAGAAGCGCTTTCTACCACACCACGCTCACAAAGCTCCATGTGTGATTGTACAATATATATCCAGATTATACGTCATATAACGCACAGCACGCGTATTATTAACAATTATAATAGCAAAAAAGGGCCATTCAACGGTGGTTTATGATTATGCCATCCGGACAGAAATCACGTGATGTCCTACATGTAGACAGGCCTTAGTCATCCCAGCCAGATCTCCTTTCCAACACTCGATAATAATGTTCAATCACACATTAAATGCCAGCAAAAAGGACAACATGACTGCCCTTGTGGGCTGACAATCCGATGGCGTGCAGGAATGGAATGAGAACTAGGACTTTGTTGTTATTGGCAGTTGAGGGCCATACCGTCGACAGCCACATTCCGAAGAATGCCAGGGACTCTGGAGGCCATTTCCCAGTCTGCGTTGGAGAGCAGCCGTCTATACCCTCGAACAAGTGGAACTGTTTCTTTACAAGGAAGTGAATTGATGAAGATGGACGTCTGGTTGACATCATGATAGTGGACTCGATAACATTTCCTAGACGAGACAGGCTCATGGGCCGCGTGGATAGACGTAGTGATGTCATGGAGGTCGACAGAGTTCGTTCCTCGTGCGCATGTCCTCGAGAATGAGCCGTTCCTGATGTGACCCTGTCTAGGACTCGCCCGGCATTGCAATGTTATTCGCAGTGCCCCTCTCCACGGGTCGGTGGTGATTATTATACTATCCCTCGCTCGCCGGCCTCGGTTCGGTGATGAGGGACGCCATCTCTCCTTATGGACTCAACGGCGCCATCCCACGAGTACTCGCCCTGCAAGCCACCCGCAGCGCCTTCCGAAGGGTATTCTACTGACCATGTGGGCGTGTCTTCTTGCCAGGCTCATTCTCGGAGTTCTCACCCTGTCTGGGTTGACATGGGCGCGAGCGGACCCAGGGTCATCGACGAGGGAGGATGTCGAGAAGAAAAATAATAGTGCGCCGATTACCTTGACGGTTGCAAAGGAGGGCGGAAACCAGTCCAGTTCCCTCCTGTGGGGGATCATGTTTGAGGTTTGATCATCCTCCGTGTCATTTCGCTGGCATGAGCTAATCTGCGACTGGCATCTAGGAAATGGATCAATCGGGTATGATCCCTCAACCACCACCACCACCTCTCTCCTCCCAATGTAAAATTGCTGAAAACGCGCAGGAGATGGCGGGATTCACGGTCAACTACTGCGGAACAACGGTTTTCAGGGGTCCGACCCTGGCTTAACAGCCTACGCGCCTGTCGGAGATGTCGACATCTTACAGGACAACCTCAATCCGGTCAGCCATGCCATCACCTCCTCGCTCCAAGTGCAGGTGATGCCGTGGGAGTCAAAGCTGGTGGGGTTCTCCAACTCGGGCTATAATGGGATCCCTGTGATGAACGACACGTATCGATGTGAATTCTGGATGAAGGGTGTTTATTCGGGGCCCATCACCCTGCAGCTCGTCGGGTCAGCCAGTGGGATCGTTTATGCCAATCACAACATCACAGTGAACAGTACGTTTGGGGAATTCACTCGCTACGAAACCTTCTTCAACTCGACTGCTTCTCCGGACGGCAATAATGAGTGGCGTCTGCTGTTTGATGGTTCAAGAGTGGACGGGGGATCGCTCAACTTTGGGCTACCGCAGCTATTCCCACCCACCTATCATTCAAGGTATGGGATCTTCTTGTTTGGTAGGATTTTACTGACAGGAAATAGGGTGAATGGTCTACGTAAAGACTTGGCGACTACACTGGAACAAATCAAGCCGTCCTTTCTCCGGTTTCCCGGTGGAAATAACATGTGGGTCACCAGTTGCTATAATAGATGTGTCTACTGATCGATATCCAGAGAGGGAATCCAAATCGACAACAGATGGATCTGGAACCAGACCATTGGGCCAGTCGTTGAACGTCCTGGAAGACAGAGTCAGTATCTCTACTCGTGACGATGACCATAGTACTAACAATCCAGGTGATTGGCATTATCCAAACACGGACGCTCTCGGTGAGTCTAGCCTTGGACAGTGAGCAGGATCAGGCACTGACATGTGCAGGACTCGATGAATACCTCTGGTGGTGTGAGGACATGGGAATGGCCCCTGTTCTAGCCGTGTGGGATGGCAAATCGTATGGAGGAATCCTTTCTGGTTCCGATCTACAGCCTTTCCTCGACGATATCATGAACGAGATGGAGGTCAGTATATACCAATCCAGCGTTCGCCTTATGCGTATCTGATCGTTTCCAGTACCTCTTTGGTCCTCCCAACAGCACCTACGGCAGCATGAGGGCAAAGAACGGTCGCAAAGAGCCCTGGTTGGTAGAGTATATCGAGATTGGCAACGAGGATGATTTCACCGGCGGATGTCCAACATACCCCGATCGCTTTACTCAGGTCTATGATGCTATTCACGAGAAATATCCCAACGTCACTCTGATCGCATCTACCAATGATTTCGATTGTTTGCCGGAGTCTCCCCCGGACGGAATCATGTACGATTTCCACTACTACCGCAAGCCGGACGATCTGGTTGCGATGTTCAATTACTGGGATAACCAGCCACGCTCCCAGCCCATCATGGTCGGTGAGTTTGGTTGTCGCAATACCAGCGACGCCCACGGAGTCTACTGGTCTTCCATGAAAATGAGCTGTAGTGAGGCCGCACATATGATCGGTTTGGAACGAAACAGTGATGTGGTGAAGATGGCGGCGTATGCGCCGTTATTGCAGCATTTTGGCTATACACAGTGGTCGGTAAGATCATCAACCATGGCCTATAATCTCGATAAATGCTGACATATCCTCATTAGCCAACGCTCTATGGGTTCGACTCGAGCCCGGGGTCGATAACCCCCTCTACCTCATACTACGTCCAGCAGATGTTTTCAACCAACCGAGGGTCTACGATTCTCCCCGTCAACTCGACCGCAGGCTTTGGACCGCTGTACTGGGTTGCCTCCCACACAAACGACACATACTACGTCAAACTAGCAAACTACGGAGAAGACCATCAGACCGTCTATGTGGAGGTGCCAGACACGAAGTCTGGCAAACTGGAGACGCTTTCGGGTCCGAGAGACGACTACAACATTCCTCATAATGTGACCATCAAGCCGGTCACCAAGAACGTGACCGTATCTCATGGGAACTATACCATCGAGATGACCCCATGGTCTGTTGCGGTACTGGTGGTCTCGTGAATAAAGATGCAGTTGGTCTACTATCTTTCCATATTTGTCTCCGGACGCATCTGGGTTGGATATATTATGCATTTGGCGTTCGTCCATGTAGATACATCTGATACACTACTACCATTTAATTCATCTGAGAACAACCCTCCTACCCAGGGATTCGACCCCGACTCATACCGTTATACACTTCCTACCACTACCCATTCACGCTCGCAGCAGCAGGAAGCTCCGTACCCACAGCCGCCGTGGTACCACCATCGATAGGTAGAATGACACCGGTCATGAAACGCGCCTCATCGCCCGCTAAGAAGCGCACCGCGGCGCCCACATCCCATCCATTACCCTCCGTCTTCAACAGACTTCTATTCTTCCTGGCCTCCCTCGCCTCCGGCGACATCCCCTTGGCGTACATCATCGGCGTATACACCATACCCGGACAGACACAATTAACCCTGATCCCATCCTTAGCGTGGTGCGCCGCCATGGCGCGTGTCATATTCACAATCGCCCCCTTACTCGTCGGATACAGGAGATGCGGCGTGCCGCCTTTGAGCCCAGCAACACTGCCCATATTGACAATGCTGCCGCGATAGCCAGGCGCAGGGTCGTTCTTGCGCATCGCAGGGATGGCATATTTGGCCATGAGCACCATGCTCGAGACGTTCAGATTAAGTCCCTGCGCCCACTCCTCCATGTCCACCGTCTCAGCTGTGCCCTGCGCACCGCCCACACCCACACAGTTGAACAGGATATCGAGTCGTCCGAAGTGATCGACGGCCGTCTTGATGACGCGTTCGCAGTCGGCGGCAACGGTCACGTCTGCGCGCACGGCAATTGCGCGCCCTTTGCCCTCGGCGGCGATCATCTGGACGGTGCGTTCGGCCAACTCCAGGTTCACGTCGACACAAACCACTGCGCAGCCGTCCTCCGCGAGTAGGATGGCCGCTGCGCGTGCGTTTCCGATCCCGTCACCTGCTGCGCCTGCGCCGGTCACAACAGCGACGCGGCCGTGCAGGGAGCGTTGGGGTCTTGATACAGGGGGATCTTCGGGTGTCGCGAGGCTCATGATGAAGTCGGGGCGGCGACAGAAACAGCAATATAGGGATGTGGTGCTTATGTAGATTGGTTAGCGAGTGTGGGAATTTGTCATGGTTGTGAGATACGATGCGCCCCCGCATGGGAACCGAGGCGTCTGTTGTTCATATTCGGTTATCGGTATTGCCGGACAGATGACCGACAGTAGAACCTGGTAAAGATTGGACTGACGCTACGGAATCTCGAGAGACAATCAGAAGTGGGGAGAGCAACGACTTGAGATTTACGTATCAAGAAGTATCGGCTACTGTGAATGCCTCGGCTTTCCTTTTTGGGTTAGCCAGTCAGGGACTACCGAAGTTCTACTGACAATAGGACGACCTTCAACATCTTCAACAATTTCAGTAGCATGAGGGTCAGCTGGTGATACCGCGCGCCAGCTTGAGACGATATTGAACAGAGCAACAGAGATTGTACAACATGGTCAACACGGGCGTGTCGACGCCGACAGCCCTCGCCTCGCGCACTACCTCCCCAAGGATATTCTCGTGTTCGATTAGATTTCCCTAAGTCATTAGTGGGTAGACCATTCCTATCACGAGAATAAACATACCTTTCGCAGATCTACCAACATGCTCGGAGCGATGCGCTGTTCGATTGGATTTCCGGCAAGGGTGCGTTCGATGATATCGTCTGGGAGCGAATATCCTCCTGCTGATGCTACCGAGACCACCTCGCGCATCGCCGGCCTGACCAATGTCACCATACTATGCTCATGTAACTGCAAGCTTCCCGTATCCAGTCCAGTCAATGTGCAGATTGGATTCAGACAGGCGTTGTAGACCAGCTTAGTCCAGCGGTCCAGTCCGACATTCGGCTCATGCTTGCATTTCGTCCTTCCTGATGCAGAGTACACCCGCACAAAATCCTCTGCAGCCCTCTTGAGATCATGCACTGGACGATTCGGATGAGGAAAGACACCGATGTTCAGCATATCGGGCTGCTTTTGTTGGATGTGGCCCGGTTTTATTTCGTGCGCGTCCGCACGGCTCACCCCGGAAAGGACGATGTTGTCCGGAAACCGGGCAAGAATCGGTCGTTCAATGTTTAACCCGTTCTGGATTAACACAATGACGGTATGTTTGTCAGTCACGGCAGGCGAAATGATATCCACGAGCGCTGGGGACACATCTGCAATGTTTTTGGTACAGCAGACGATGTAATCAAAGGGACTGTTGCTGTCAGCCGTGGGAATGCGTTTCAAGACTATCATCTCGTTAATATCTTGAAATTCCAACCAAACTCTGCGTCAATACCTTCGGTGGGCTTCCAATTCTCCAGCTGGCCGTGATCACACGAGTCTATCGTGAAGCCTTTTTCATTCACCACCTCGAAATTGGACCGCAGAACGCAGGAGACGGACGCCAGTTCGCCATGCTCCAGATTCAGAGCTGCTACCGTCCCAATGCCTCCGGCACCAACGAGGAGAACTCGAGATTTCGCCATGGTGAGTGGACTCTTGGAGATGCAAAGGCGAGTGACTCGATGGAATTGACCCCTCCTCCAAGTGGGCCATGGACGCGAAGGATTGAACCCAGCAAACTAGCCAACCTAGTTCTCGGCATTGTTCCCGAGACGCTAACCAAACAATCAGATAGAGATAGAAATTATTCTATCTATCAAGCATCTATACCTGCATCAACCAAATGTTGCACCTAAACGTGAAAAGCGCATTAGGGTTTGGATTGCGGATGCGGCGGCGACGAGATGACGTCGAGTCGGCCCGAGGACCAAAGCGAGTTCTCCCGACAGATCGAGTACCGAGGCTTGAACAGAGACTGGGAAGTTGCCATTGCTACCTTGGACATTGCTGCTACACAATTGTCTATCCAGATTTCTGAAGGAAATGGAAGATGACTGGATCCGAGCACCCTCTTGGTAACGAAGATGGCGTCCATCATAAACGCCGCATCTCGCTCCCCGCGTGGCTGGACCACTTCAACAGGCGCGATCTTAAGCTGCTCTTCCGGTGCTGGGTGGCAGCCTGGGTCGCGTCGTTGCTGATCTTCATTGGTCCTGCTCTGCACAAAATCGGCATGGCGACGTTCTTCGGCGCCCTGCTGCTCTACATTGTACCGCCAGCGGGAATCCTCTTCATCTATCTGCTTGCTTCGCTATCGTTACTCTTTGGAATGTGTCTGGGTTGGGCCTGGGGACTACTGACCATGAAAGCTGCTCTGGCAGCACGGCCAGCCTCCCAGACGCAGGCTCTACTCCAGCAGTTGCAGCAGGAAGCCGCAGCGCAGGCGAAAGCGACTGGAGAAGATCCCTCATTTGTAGCTGAGAAGCTCATACATGATGGCTTCATGCTCGACGCACGCGTGACGGTGATTTTCTACGTGTTGATCTGTCTGTTCGTCTATGCCATGTCGCGAATCCGCGTCGCGAACCCGAAATTCGTCCTTGCACAGCTCTTTGGGATAGTCGTGACGGACCTCTTTTTGCTATTTGGGCCTACGCTCCCTTCGTTCACGCCATTACTGGCTAAGGTCCTGGTTGAACCAGCCGCCATTGGGATTGGAATTGGGGCTGTGTGCTGTCTCATCTTCTTCCCGCAATCCACATCCTACGCTGTTCTCGCCAAGATGGAGCAACTCGTCCGACTCGGGGAATCACCGCTCCGATCTACAAGGGGACGCCTCTCGAGGAGGACCTTGAACCTACAGAAACTTGAAGCTGAACGAACGCAGATCATTGGCACATTCAAGGCCATCGCCCCTGCTATGGCGTTCCTTCCATTGGATCTCTCTCGTGGTCGCTGGGGTCCCCATGACATCAAGTCACTTAATCAGCCGCTACGTCAAGTTATGATGGCGGGATTGTCTCTCCTGGACTTTCATATTGATCGTACAGCCCTGGATCAGAGGCTGGAGAAACTGGATATGCAGCCAGAGAACGAGAACATGCAGACGAAAGAAAAGGGTCTTCATGAGGTCGGGCGGCGTCAGTTGCTGGAGACTGCCAACATGATGAACGCGTTGAAGGATCCAGAGAACGGGGCGATGCGGTCTAGTGCATTGGACGCAATGAGGGAATCTACCTCTGCCGTACTGGATTTGTGTTCGCAGTCGGTCAATCTCATCGCCGACAGCATCCATGCCGTAAACTCCACTCGATGGTTTGCGCGAAACCAAAAGATCAAGATGGCCGATCTTACTGACAGAGTGAAACATACTCGAGGCACTCTATCCTCGGCTCGAGCAACATGTATTACGAGAACGACTCAGCAGTTGATCGACAGCCATGCGGACCTGTTCGAGGAGAATGGAGAGCTTAAAAGCCCAGAGGAACTCGGTTCCTACTCTCTGCGAGGAATCATCCTTGGAATGGTTGTAGAAGAACGGATCATCGCATTAGCGGAGGCAACAGAAACCCTCCTGGACCATCTGCACTGTCTTCTGCAGACCCGCCCCGACAATAAATTCTGGCTACCATTTCGACTTCAATACTGGCTAGCATGGATTGTGAACGGCCATCAGAGGGTACCTGTGTCAGGCTTTTCTCCTGGGGCGAATGACGACGACCCGGACGTGTTGGAGGAGCAGACGAAAGAAGCTCATCGACAACTTCGTATCAGCAGGGGATACACAAGACCCGTGCATCGAAACCAGATACTCAAAACATTTATCATGCTCTATAAGTGGTTGACGAACCCCGGGGGCATGTATGCCCTGCGCATGGTGGTGGTCACAATTGCCTGCGCGATTCCGGCATCACTGCCACACTCGTCAGGCTTTTATTATAGAGAGAAGGGCGTCTGGGGCATTATTACAGCTCAAACAACCCTTGTCGTGTACATGGCGGACTTTACCTTTTCGGTGGTGTCTCGTGCGCTCGGGACAGTGCTGGGAGGAGTCTTGGGAATGGTAGCATGGTATATCGGCTCTGGGCATGGAACAGGGAACGCATACGGAATGGCCGCCATAACAGCAGCAATGACGGTGGTCCTGATGTGGTGGCGTCTGTTCCTCCCACAAGCCTTCATAATGGCAGCGATTATGAGTGGTGTGACATTCGTTCTTGTTGTCGGCTTCAGCTACGATGATGCGCATATCCAGCAATATGGTCTGCCTGGCCATGGGTATGAGGCGTTTTGGAAACGACTAGTCACTGTATTACTTGGGTTCGTCGCGGCCTTTGTCGTGCAGCTGTTCCCCAGGCCGCCATCGACGACCCGTCATACTTGCAAAACGCTGTCGAATACCGTGCAAACATTATCGGATCATTACGCGTTGCTACTCTCATACTGGGGTCGCGCGGACCACCAGAATCCTGTTGGGGCCGTTGCGGAGAAGATCTCTCTGGAAATCGCTGAGACATTGACGTCGCTCAACGGCCCCATCGCCATGCTGAAGTTCGAGGTTAGCCTGGGGCCATTCGACCACCATGTTCTCGCGCAAATGAAAATATTATGTCAGAATATGAACTTAGCCCTAACACGGTTGCTCATGTTGTCCACATCCTTGCCACTGGAATTCCAGCAACGTCTGGTGTCTACAGCTGGCATCCTGGATGACCATGCGGTTGGAGACATTATGGCCGTGCTCAGCGTCATTGAGCAGGCTCTTCGATCTGGGCTTCCCCTACCGGAGCGACTCCCAACACCGTTAGTGAAACGCTGTCACGAATCGTGGCATGCCCGGCACATGGGCGTGGCCTTGAATACGACGCTTATCAGAGATGAAAGCTACCGTCGCTACTGTGTTGCGGTGAGTGCATACTTGAAGTTTCTGTCGACCATAGACGACATGGTACTCGCATTGAAGGAAACGTTGGGCGAGTCGCACGTCATCGACCACTGGGAGACGGATGTACCCGTATAGTATTTGCACAGTTGGTGTGATGTAGTTGCATACTTGCTGGACGGAGGTATGTACATAGTGTGTGAAACCAAGATTCCAAATCGAAACTCATCGACATGCCTACTATACCATAGCATTCTTGTAGAACAGATTCGACCTTCTGTCGCCAGCCTCCCCAGAGGCAAATCCCAAGAACAGTCTCACCTCCCCGGCATCGGTGCGGTAAATAGCCAGTCCTTCCGGCTCACGGAACGAGAGGGTTGAGCCCGCCTTGGTCAGCGTCGGACCCTGGACCACCTTCCCAGTATTCAAGTCCACGGCGGTCACCTGCGAGTTGACCACACCACCAGAAGCAGCGTACGACTCTCCCGTAAGAAGATAGACGTACTTTCCATATGCAGCATACCCCTGGAACACCTTGGATAGCGTATCCAGCGAAGGATGAGCGATATCCGCCAGTTTCGTAGAAAAGTCACCCTTTGTTGCGGCCCCCAGATCGAACACGGCAATGCGCTTTTTCCCGCTCAGAGCATATCGGACCACGAGCCGGTTATTCACCGGGTCAATAGAGCAGGTGTGCTCCGTTGCACCCTCAACAGCAGTGAATTTCGCGAGCGAGGCATCGGTATGCGACAGAGTTTTGCCATTGACAAACTTGAACCGGGCGAGCTTCTTCCCGTATCCATTCGAGTTGGCATCGACCTCGGTCCAGAGGTATGTCGACGAACCGACTGGCTGAGCGGCAAAGGACACGCCGTGGCCAAACCCGATCAGGTCCATTGATCCGACAATGTTTCCGTGGAAATCAAGCTGGGTGATACACAGATCGCCGGCGGTTTCGGAGGACCCGTCGCGGCGTTGGGCGACAAAGAGGCGATGATTGACATTGTCGAAGGAGAAGCCTTGTTGGACTGTCGCGTCAGCAAGGGGCTTGCTGCGGAAGAGGTCGTAAGATGGCGCTGACAGGTCGAATTGGGAAGAAGACGGTAGCGCCGCCCAAGCCAGGCTTACGCTGGATGCGAGGAGTACAATAGTTTGGAGGAAAGGACGCATGGTGAATATTTTTTTCGTGAGTAGCTGCCTCCTGATCTAAAAGGAAGGAGTTGGCGGGTTTATATTGCTTGTGAGTCTGTTGACCTCACTCGAATTGAAAGTTCGTATGTCGTTCTATTTTCATCGTGTATACGAGCGACACGAGGATCTAAACCACGACTCCGGCCCCTAAAGGCTTGGCCAATTCTCTAATTAAGCTAAAAACAGAATACGAGGATCAGCAGAAGAGAATGCCAAACCCAGTTTAACTACTTTATTGCTCAAAAGGGCGTCGACCAAGCCTGAGCACCTTTATCTCCCCAGCCGCTCCTTCGCGCGGCTCGCCTGTAGAAACCCTTCCCCCTTTCATATATCTGGCAATTTGGGGGCTGTACTGTCAAGCGTTCCGTCAAGCGTTCCCTCGAAGAAGAATAGACTTTTTAAGGAGGTTGCTGACATGGGACCCTGGTATGACCTGCCTGCCTTGTCGGAACCCCGTCGGGCTGTGGGTGACTTGTCGTCGACAACTGAATGGCAGTGCAGTCTCCATCCATTAGCCCCCGTATCACCGCTCACCTCACAATCGTCATAATATTGTATGGCGTCAGCCAGGCGAATAGACTCTTGTGGTTGTGGCTCCAAATCCCTTGATTAGCTGCCAGCAATGCACATTTGAAGCCATATCCGGATGGCAAGCCGAACATCATAACGCCTTCAGACATTCAATTTGTCATACTCATCAATCTAGTTAGAAACATTCTTTTTCCTTCCCAGTCTATTCCACAAACGCAAATAGTCCTCGCGCGCCCATTTCCAAGCACTGGTACGGTGCTGCGGTCTTCACCATCTTCAGCCCTTCAATATATATCTCCTCCCAATCTGTACCCCAACCTCTACCACTCTCGCTGTCGCTTACGTCTTCGGAGTCCGCTGTAGCCATAGTGTCAACAACAGGCCCCTTTCTTCTTTTGTTCGCTTTCCGAACGAACAAATAGGGATGATGCATTAGCAGATGGGCCTGGAAACCCGCCGTGTGATGAGATAGGCGAGCTCGGAGGCATTCCGCGGCTTACCAACATAGCCAAGAGCAGTCAAGCCTCCTGCAGGACCCCCCCCGCGGTAAGTCGGGGTGTCATCCCGGTTAGTTAGTCTGACGTGGGGTCTGAGAGACCTGTTGGGTCTCTCTGGTCTTCGACGCAGTCAGCTGAGACATGCACACACTATTTGCATAGCCCCTCGAGCCTGTACAGTAAGTGCCCTGTTAGGCCCCAAGGACAAGCTTTCAAGGGGCCGAAACTTAATCTAGTATGCTCCTGAGCCAATGCTTAATGTTCTTTTGTACGGGTGGGGCTGCTTACTAGGGGCCTAGGACGCCTATTGTATACTACTCCAGAGTACTGCCATCGAAAAATCACAAAGGTGCGGGGGACTTTGTGCTCTTTCCGTATGCGGTGCCAAAGTGAGACATCGTGAGATTTTAGGTGAGTGTAGATACCTTGATCGGCCGTTCTGAAGGTCAAGGAATTGGAAGACTCAGGACCGGCAACAGAGCAGTGCCTCCATTCCGGGGTTCGTCGAAGGTATAAAAAGGCTCAGATGTCCCCCTTGGTGTTGGAATCATCTACAATCATCCTCAACTGTTCTCAGACTCACCTTCATTCAATCTTCTTCCCTCCACGCTTTATTCTTCTTCACCAACCGACAAAATGGTCAAAATCGCTTCCATTACACTTGCTGTTCTCAGTGTCATTGCGCCTCTCGCGGCCGCCGACAACTGCAAGACCGGCCTTAACTACTGTGGTTACAACTTGCTCAACATCGGTACGCTCTAAGCGAGCTGTTGTCCAGCTAAACAGACTGGTTGCTGACCGACACATCTAGGAAAATATTCCGCGCAAGTGAACGGTGCCCTGGAGGCCGCCAACCAACCCACCGATTACGGCCACATTCATGAATCTCTGTTCCATTGCAACGGAGGAGAGAACGGAGATATCTCCTACATCACCTACTGTGGCGGCGGCTGCAAGGATGGTGGATCGGGCAAGAGCGATTATTGCTAGACTGAAGGGCTGTGTACTTAAGAGGTACCTAGTAGACTGTCGAGTTGCTCAGGGGATAGGTCGACTCGGGCCTATTCAACATAGGCCTAATCGATAATGGGAAAATGGATCAAACCTGATCCTTCAGTTAGCGCAAATTGAGCATTGTAGCATACCCGTACCTGCCTTAGCAAGGCATGAAAGTTATAATATTCGTGAAGCAATACGTACCGAGACGAAATCAACTATCATTCGTGGCGATACAGTTACCCCGATTAAGATCTTACTGGAGACTATTTGCTCTGAACGTAAGAGTTGGGGATTCTGGGAATGATATTTCTCTCCCTATAGCGTTGCAGCAGCGGACAGTGAATGCCCTGTGTGTGTTCTCCCCATAACTAGAAGTGCCCTATGTCATAACTCCCTGGTTAGGAAGGTAGAGAATTACTCTGAAAGCCCATAATATATAGTATCAAGCAGAAAGGGGGTAGCCCTATATAACGATCTGTAATATTGATTCTGTCATCAATCATTGGGTTCTCGGCATAGGGGCTATTCATACACCATTCCATGTTGCGCCTCCTGCACTGCATTGCTTGAAAACGCACAATGTCCCACTTCGGTATCCTCGAACTCTTCCACTCCCCACTTCAGAGGTTCTGTTTCATTGATGGCAGTGATATCACCATACACCTCGTCACCCTCCCCAACCAAAACAGGATGACACGCCGCAGCAATTGCGAGACTACAACTACCAGCCACTGGCATGCCCAACTTGAATCTCTTAAACGCTAGCCCCCCCAAACACGCCAGCATTACAAGCCCCAGCGATAATGTCGTCACAATTGCCATCGGTGAGCACCCTAATCTTGTTACGTCCAACAGGGGGTTCCGGGTAAGGTCTGGTGAATATAATGTGATGCTAACCGGATATAGGCTCTGTGAGATGAGCCAGTGGAACATGCCTGAACACATCATTAAAGGGAGGGAGTACCGGTACGGCAGGGAAAGAAAATAGGTGCTACGCTGGGACCCGGACGGCACCACCGACACCCGCAGACCTTTGCGTTCAACGGCGTAGTCACTCCATTCACTTGAGAGTGTCATGATGGTGTAGATGCCATTGGCGGAGAAATAAAGCACGCAGAATACGACTTGCGGGGTGTTGGCAATCATAGTGTTTGAAACGAGAGAGGTTGGCGAATCGCCACCAATAAGAGTTACCAACCTCAGTTGCCCAAATCCAGTTTCCCAGGGATTTTGGCCACTATTGATTGTACTGATGCCGCAGGCAAGGAGGATAATGCAGACAATGATTGTCATTAAGAAGCTGAAGGGGTCAGTGGAGGAAACACTGGAGGCAGGAGGGGGTCGGTGATTGGCACCGTACAGTAAGAAGCAGCTGATCCAACGTTGAAATGAAACAGATGAGCCCCATCTTCGAGGGGTCGCGCAATATGTTAGGGGTTTGATGCTGGGCTTTAGCACGTTATCCCGTGAAAGGAGTGATTCGCCATGTGTAGTGGCATCTGGGCTCCTGAGAAATGTGGCGATGGCATCCCCCATGGTCAAGATAGGCGAGTCTGCTATACTCGCCGTGGTAGCCCATGAGGTGGTAGCTTTGATGAGATTCACTAGAACGACGATGATAACCAACGGCAAGCTATACTCAACGGTGCACCTTTCTGGTACCGTCTCGGCTAGGCAATACCGCACTCTGAACGTCATGGGGCCAATCACTGGGTACGTCTGCGTTGTCGGATCAAAAATCCTTTCACCGACCCATTCTACAATCTCCTCTGTTATCGTCCAGTTATCTGGATTGACCTGGTGAATCATCCTGGAGCAGGGGGAGGCCTCCAGTGCGGTGCACATCCAGTTATACGGATCGTGAGCGTCGTTCCAAGGACCTATGAGAGCAAAGTCGTAATAAGTGGAGTTAAAGTCGTCGGCGACTAGAAGCAGGCTACCATATCTGGTCCGGACGTCTGTTGCATATGTGTTGATACAGTCCCTATTGCTGAGTTCGGTAGTTGTAGCTCGCCCTTTGAGCTCATTTCCCGCAGTCGGGTGAAACTGGGCGGTGGGAAGTCCTTCCACTGTCGAAAGTAGGTCCAAATGGCAGCACTTTCGTTGTAGCTGGAGAACGGCCTGTTTCCAACAAACACAGAGTACTCGTAAGACGCCACCGATTGGAATATCGTCGCGTTATATCTGGGCCAGGAGAATCAGATAGTCACCTCCTATTAGTGGCCGTGAACCCTACACGAGATGAAGCGGCAGCGACGAAAGTGCCAAAGAAACCCAGAGAGCAAGCTTCTTCCGGGGAATGTGCCAGAGGTTTCGCATACTCTGTACACCGACATCCAGCCACCGTCCCTCCAAATGGGCCAGATCTATATCGCGCCTCGTCGGGGCGCAGAGGCATTGCTGTTGCACTGTCAGCGACAAGCTGCGCAGCACCACCAAGTCAAGAACAAACCATGCCATAGTTACCTGCTGCCAACATGGTCGTCCCCAGAAGGTTGATCAGCAAATGGAATCCAGTACTAATCTTCTTTGTCTGGTCGCAGGCTCCCGAAAACAAGACCCCTCGTCCCCCTTCCAACCCGAGATGCGTCACCGCCCACAGCATAAACCCTAGATTAAACCCCAGCACAACAAGAGTCGCCATACATCCCATATAGAGGGTCTTCTTCCACTTTTCAACTGTACCTTTTGCCCCTAGACATCGGAATTTCAGCCGAGATGATATCCCATTACCGTCCGGACTTGCGTGCAGTGGCACATCTTCCTCCCCGGACTGCGACAGTGCCCGGGGGTGGAGCTCAATGGAGGTCAACTTTGTCCTTTCCATTGTGCCTTGTCTCAATCGGGGATAGAGGATAGTGGAAAAGAGAAAGAGAACCAAGCCCTTGTTGACAGCAACCCCTGGCTCGGATTTATACATATATCGGAGGCACTGGCCACGGAGCCGCGGCCTGGACTAGGCTGCAGTACCCCTATATATTGGCGCTAGTCTAATGCACTACGGGTAAGTTCGAATCATTAAATAGTTATGTACTGTGGCTAGTATAGTAGTGATCACCTTACTGCGCCTTCGTCGCTGTGTAACTACCTGCATTCGAGCGCCTGGCTATTTGAGGCCCAGCATGTCGACCCCTTGATTACTAGTAGTAGGCATTAGTGAATTAGCATTCCGTTGGTTTCTGGATATACTAGGTCCTCCTGATCAATCGTCTGAAGGGTACGTCCAATCAGTTGAAGTCCTTCATCGGCGAGTCATGGGTCCATAGAAATTACACCTTAAACCGAGTATAAATACGATAGATCTCTGTTTTGAATAGAATTGTTTTCTTACTACTATCCTTCGGGTACCTCTATCAAGGAATTTCTAACCGTTTACGTTTATGTTCAATACTTAGAGGAATTACCTAGGGTTATGCCGTTGGTTCCTGTATCTCCAGTTCCTAAACCATTTTAATAACCACTTAGTCTGTGCAGTCCGTACTGGAAGGCACATGTCGAAGTATGTCTTGTTTATCGGTAGTATGAATATAGCCAGCCCAGATTGCTTGAACCAGTAATCTCCGTGTCTGTTCCACAGGGGGAAAGGTCCTACTACTATGTATCTTGTTGCGACCGGGAGATAAAGGACAACGAAAAAAAGAATAATAACCAAGCCCTTGGGGGAAATCTATCGACAGCAGTACTCGGCTTGGATTAATACATAGCGTCCTGGACTAGGCTGCCAGTTTTGCAGCTCCCTTACACGGGACTTGGTTTTCATACAATAGCGCTTCTTTCTAAAAACATCGACGGAAATATGCCTTGCATCCCTCTGCGGCCAATAAAGCCTAATAGAAGGTGTAGAAACAATCGATCATTCTGTCATCAATTATTAGACTCTTAGCATTAAGCGCCATTTATGCACCCATCAATGTTGCGCCTACTGCAGTACATTGCTTGGAAATGTACAAGTATCGTGACAAGTACAGTCAGCGTCCATTTCAACCTTCCTTAAGCGAACGCCGCTGTAGTTAACCCGTATGCAATAGAATTGAGTTGCCTTTCTTCCTCAGGGTAACGTGGAATACGGGATAGCACCGCTTCATTGAAATCAATGAAAGACGGTTGTATTGACAAGGTCGCACTTTCAAAAACAGGAGGATATGCACCAGAATATGCCCAGTCAATCAACCACACATGACCATGTTGATCTAAGATTAGATTGTGCGGACTGATGTTGTGGTGTGTAAGGACAAACTTGGTAAAATGGAGTGGCGGAATGTCTTTCGGGGCTTGACCGATGCTCTTACAGATATCTAGCTTGTGGTTAAACCAAGCTTCCATGTCGGCACTGTCCATAAAAGGCCCAGCACTATAATCTGTGAAGAAACGACCCCGACATGGCCCGCCACCGATAGGGCCAGGTGGTGAAAGCTCTAAGGACTGCATCTCTTGGATCATTTCAGCGACTTGCACAGCGATATTCCCTCGCGTGTCACGGGACAGGCAATCCCAGCACTCGTCCAGCGGCTGGCCTGGGATGAAATCCATCACAATAAACCCCGTTGTACCAAAATATTGTGTATCGTCTTTGACCTGAAAGGACCGATAGACTCGTGGGGTGCGAATGGCGGTTCTGGAGGTAAGAAGACGGAGCATTTCCGCTTCACCAGGCAGGACATTCCCGCCACCCTTCATGACCAAAGTGTTTGAAAGTCGCACAACTGTCGTTCCGCCTCGCTGATGAAGAATAGGCGCAGATGTGAGAAGGGCTGCCAGAGCCTCATCCGAGACGGAATTCAGATCTTTTCCATCTAATGGAAAACCCCCTTCACGGTCGCGGCTGTGTGGCTTGGGGTAGGGATGTCAGCAAATGATATTTAGCATATCTAGCATGATCTGAATGAACGTACATGGGATATTGGGCGGAAGGATAGGTCCATTTCAGTGAGACGGCAATAACTGTGAGGATATCTACGGATATTATTTTTGCAAACTTGCGGAGACTCCCCGGAGCTGCCGGGCTGCCCTCTGCGAGGGGCTTGATGAGATCAGGTCCAGGCCGCCCATTCTTGGCACTATGCGCAGTGTCCACCAACAGCATCACTCACACGGTCGGTAAATCTTCCTGATTCAGCTCACATCACCTCAGCATGCTATTGCCAACACTGCGGGCTAGTTATGATTTTCTGAATTCAAGCTGTTGTGCTATACTATACTCCTTTGATCAGCTCCAGAGGCGCATGGATATCGCACCGCCACGTGTTGGGGCTGTGTCCCTATCCCCATGGAGAACCTGGGCCCATTAAACCCATATTAAGCTGTTCCGCAGAGGCTTGGAGCGCTGCGTTCTGCCTAAACCATCCCGAACAGCCATGATCTGCATTCGAGCTGAGGACGATCCCATCCTGAAAAGGCATGAAATATGGCCAAGCCTGCAGCCAAGTCCAACACGGTCGATTGGGCTTAACCACATCAGCCTTGCTGTCTCATGAAACCATTTATCTTCCGAGCCGCACCACGTAGAATGTATTGTGCGAAATAGCCTCATCGCATCCCCTACTCAACTACCGTCTATGTCGCGCAGTCTCCAACGGCCGTGCTGGGAGTGTCGGCGCCGTCGTCTGGTGTGCGACTTCTCCCTGCCTGATTGCAACAAATGTCGCGCAGCAGGGGTCGATTGCCCGGGGTACGGCGAGAAGAAACCGTTGAAATGGCTTACTCCGGGGAAAGTGAGGTCTCGGAATCGGCAGCGGAAATCGAGTAGTCCTGGTAAAAAGGATGTTGCCGCATCGACGCGAGATTCCAGCGCAAGTTCGTCGAGTTGTCCAAGCGACGAGGAAATTCAAGAAAGGCCGATGATGCTGCATCAGACCGGCCATCTTGGAATACCAAAAGACCAATTATCAGTCCACGAAGTCAATATGGAAGCCTGTGCGATAGTGCAGGCCGTACAATACTGTGGGTTGACCTTTTTCCATCCTGGGAGCAGGATTTGATGTCAAACAGACAACCAGTGTATCTACCCAGAGTATATACCGATGCATCAATTGGCACCGAGTCCATACTCTTCCTTATTTCCGCTCTCTGGCCTGCACCTGTATCCCGTCTCTATCTGCCATACATTGGTATACCTCGCCCTCAGCCATTATATCCATCATCATCTTTCAACCGCAGGACGACCTGCAGTGGCTGAAGCCCGATCTCGTGTGTATCACCATCGCGCGCTCGCAATGGCTTCTCTCACCAACGAGATCGGTAGAATTACCGATCGGGCGGACGATTCGACCATCGTCAGTGTCCTGATGGTTCTTTTTGCAGACGTAAGTCCTGCTGTCGTGTTGTGACAAGATCAGTGGAACAGAAGTAACTGTATACTACAGGCCCGGCAGTCTCCTTCGATCGACTGGCGCCACCATTTCGCCGGAGCAATGCAGTTAATCAAACTGCGTGGCGGTCTAGAAACGCTATTCCACTCCACCGAGTACATGAGGCCTGCACTTCTGTACCTCATGGTGTATGTAGATCCCACTTGAGCGGCCAGTTTATTGTCGCGAAACTAACCGCCCAAGTGTTGGAGTTATGGGAAACACGACCAGCCCACCATCGCAACAAATTCATATCACCTCCCAAAACAGGATCCTTCCGTTGATAGAGGAAATGTATGGGGAAGGCCTGTTCCCCGCGCTGCTCTGTCCACCTCAACTGTTTATAAAAATAGCAGAGATCAACCAATTCCGATATGAAACAGACAGACTCGAGATCATATCAGACGACACAAGAGACGCCGCTCACAGGCTACTGGAGGATATCGAGCGATTCGCGCCCCAGGATTGGTCCGACTCCGCTCCCAACAATCAGGAGGACTGGCTGGTACTAGGCAGCGTTTATCAATCCGCCGTGCTCATCTACTGCATTGCTTCATTGCAGAGCTTGTCCGTTCTTCCGTCCACATCCGAACTGAACGCTACCAGAGCGGCACACGGGCATTCACTCCTAAATCTTCTAAAGAAGGCCCTCCTGCTGCCGCAGATGAGGAAGTGCATGCTGTGGCCGCTGGTTGTCGCTGGAATGGAAACCGGCCGTGCAGCAGCACCGTCTCGTCAATTCGTTGGCCACGAATTGCGTATCATGAGTCAGGACCTCGGGACACCCATCGCATCATCGGCAAACACCGTCCTTCAACGCTTTTGGTCCTCTGGGAAAGACACGTGGGACGACTGCTTTGATCGGCCTTGTGCATTCGTGACATAGTCTGTGCTGAACCGGGTGGTGACGATTGTCCAAATGCATGAGATGCGTTGATTCTCTGGCGGGATGAACACAAGAGCTGCGTAGCCAACGCATCATAATGGCGCCTGCAATTGACGAGAACGTCCGTCTCCCTGCTGGTTTCCCCGCCACGACTAACCAATACATCACCAAGATACACAATGCGCGCACAATCCCAGTTGAAACGGCATGGGACCATTGGGGTGACTAGATAACTACCGGCTGTCCCGCCTCGACCAGTGCATGACTCACGGAGGGGATGGGAATACTCCATCTGCATAGTCCTCATGCAAACGAGGGAATCACTTGGAGACCCTGCCAACCAAGAGTCGTGAGGGTGGGGAAGAAACGCTGGGAGAGGCCCTCCATCGGCTGAACACCCCGTTTCGGCGAATGATGCCGTCCGACTCAGCCCACACACAACGGTCTGCAGACAGCCCAATGCGAGAATCATGCAAGTGTCTACGCATCCGTTGTGTCAACTCCACGCCACGATCATCGATCGACATGACTACTTGTGGCCGGAGCGGGCCGTTCAGAGCGGATCTGCGGAGCGTTGGGCTCTAGCGTGTGGGCGGAGACAGGGATGGATGAGACGATAGGCCATCTCGCCTCGGAGAAAGACAATCTGCAGGGTACCGGACATTGGGGCAACGTCTAGACCTCGGTGATCTTCCGAGTGCAGAGTTGTCGCTGCCATCGTATGGAACACGAAAATCGAGGTACATGAAGTCGAAGAACAAGAGCAACCTATCGTGGATGGGCGATAATCAGATACTTAAGCGAGCCATTTGCCTGTCTTTCGATTGGTTTTAGGATACGACGCACTCGCAGGGATATGTCATCTGCATGCGGGATTGTCGCGGATTGATGAGGAGGAGAGCTGTAGGAGACATGGTGTTCTTGCAACCCCTCATCCTGTAGGCTACTAGAGCTGGATGTTGTATATATTGCTCAGACTACCGCTATAGAGATAGAGTCCTCATAGTGCCATTTGTCCCCACTGACGCTCTCGAAACACCACCCACTGCCAACAATGGAGACACAAACACTGTGGGGCATACTTCTTGCTTTCTCCGTCTATCAATTCTTCAAGACAATATATCGTCTTTACTTCCACCCTCTGAGCAAGATCCCGGGTCCTCGGCTGACTGCCGCCACTCATCTGTATGAATTCTACTACGATGTCATCCTCGGTGGGAAGTTTCTGTTCCAAATAGAAAAAATGCATCAGACCTATGGTAGATCATCCTATCTTCTCGATCTTCAAGTCTCTAACCTATGACAGGGCCCATCGTGCGCATCAACCCCAGAGAAGTGCACATCAGCGACCCAACCTTCTACGATGAGATCTACGCCTCTAGCACGGTGAAACGAGACAAAGATCCACACCTCGTCAGAATCTTCGGCGCGCCTTTCTCTATGGTGGGCACCGTAGGCCATGAACACCATCGCTTCCGTCGCAGCCTCCTCAACAACTTTTTTTCCAAACGCTCGGTGCTGGAGCTGTCTCCGTTGGTTACAGAGCGAGTGCAGAAGTTGATGGAACGCTTCGAGGGGCTCCATCGATCCAATGCCGTGGTGAGTCTGGACGACGCCTTTTCAGCCCTGACTGCAGATGTCATCACAGCTTACTGCTACGGGAAATGCTGGATGTTCTTGGAAGACGAGTCGTTTCGCAATGATATCCGGAAAACCGTCAGCGACATGACGTCTTACATGCACATTAATCGTTTCTTCCCGTTGGTCCTGAGTGCAATGCGGGCGATCCCTCTGTGGCTCCTGGCAGTGCTGCAGCCGGGAAAAAGCAGTTTGCTCAAATTCCAGGAGGATATCTTCAAGGAGACGGTGGACTCGGTGCGGGACCGTGGAAAGAGCCTGTCTGGGGAGAAGTCCAACCCCGCTCGCAGCACTATTTACGACAAGCTGTCTGATCCAAGCGTCCCTCCGGAAGAGAGGACGCTGCAGCGGATTCAGGATGAAGGGGTTATATTGCTCTCTGCTGGCACTGAGACTACCGGCCGAGCTTTGTGTATGGCTGCTTTCCATCTGGCCTACGACAAATCTATCACGAATCGACTTCGAGATGAACTGCGACAGGTGATGCCCCGGCCTACGGATACAGTGTCATGGACGGAACTGGAGAAGCTCCCTTATCTTGTATGCACATCCTGTGGGTCATGTTTGACATGGATACTTACTGACTATATCAGAATGGGGTTGTATACGAGGCGCTTCGTCTTTCATACGGACTAATCATACGCCTGCCACGTATCTCGCCAACCGATGCCCTGCAATACAAGGATCATATTATCCCACCTGGGGTAAGTACAAGCCACTCATAGATAACCCCACAAGCTGACAATATAGACACCGATGAGTTCTTCCTCCTACATCGTCCACCGCGACGAATCTATCTTCCCTAACGCCGACAAATTCGATCCCGAGCGCTGGATCCGCGCAAAGAACGAGGGCAAAAACCTCTCTCGCTACCTTGTCTCATTTACCCGAGGAAGTCGTACATGTATAGGCATGAAGTAAGCACCCCGCTCGCAGATGTCGAATTGTGGGCACTGATACTATGGATCGCTAGCTTGGCATACATGGAGCTGTACCTCACCCTTGCGTCTTTTGTGCGCCGGTTTGACATCGAGTTACACGACACAACGCCTGAGGATTTGCGTTTTACGCATGATTTGGGGATTGGGTTCACCCGTCGTGGTGATATGCAGGTGTATGCCAAGGTGACTGGGGTGGTTGAAAACTAGGACTCAACGGTCAAGTATCTAAAATTAGGATTTGTTGGCTACTGGAAATTGGCTCTGATTCTGAAAGCATCCGGGGTATATATTCACACGTGGAAATGAAGAAGTAGTAAGGAAACGGGTATAGTAAAATCCAAACACTAGCTCAAGCCAGGCATCACATAGGGTCAAGTAATTCATGCTCCATTACCGCATCGAAGAAATATATCTGATTCCGACACCGAAACCTCACCGGACGTTCTGAGGTACAAACTGGTAATGAGGTCCGTAGTTGGTCGCCGGGGGAGGAATATGGCTTGGGAAGCTGCGCTCTGCGCTGACACGCGGCGAAGATATCACAATAGTGGCACTCAAAGCCGCGACTGCAAAGAAGAGATAATAGAGGAAGAATCCGACGAGTACTGAGGCAACCGTGCGGCTGTCGGAGTACCGGTTGGCGAGATACGTTGCAAAGTCACAGATGGTAAAAGCGAGAGCGGAGCCAATCAGGAGTATAAACAGCACAGGAGTGATCTATATCGGTCCGGTTAGAATCTATGCATCATTGCTGGATGCAGGTTGGCAAGGCTTACCCCCTTTCGAAGATGCGACTTGCGGATAATCTGCACAATCATGACTAGCCCAGCAAGAAGAACACCAATGACCATAAAGACACCAAGGGCGATTCTGAGCCCATTCAGTGCTATCCGCAGACTATCAGACCGGAAGCCGTAGTAGTAGTCGGAGCTGCCATCGACTGCGAGCTTTGTAGAAATCGCGAGGCTCGCAGTCCACAGAACCGCTAGGAAGGTCACGTAAATCCCACCCAGAATGCCGACAATCTTGCTTCCTTGCGTGACAATCTTGCAGATCGGGACCATGAGAGTCGCGACGAGGAAAAGGGACGCAGCGCCAAGAAGCCAGTCGATGGCGATGGAGGACGAGTTATAGTCCATGTTAGACATGGCACCGCATTCGTAGACGGGCTGAATGACCAGAAAGACCGTGACACCACTAAATCAAAAAGAAGTTAGCGCACGCGAAGTGTTTGAAACGGAATGGTCCATACATGAACATGAACACGATGGACAGAGCTAATGGGACCCATCCCACAGGGCTGTCGCGTTTCCGGCGGAAGACATTCCATGTCAGGCCCAGAAAGACCAGAAAGTAGAATGCCACAAAAGCCATGATGACGATGGAAGGGGTCGTCGAAAAAGCATCATGGTCTTTGCAGCTTTGTATGCCACTTCCAACAGATGAACTGGAGTGACCAGATCCGCCGCGTCGAGGGGCCATTTTCGGGATATTCCTGGATATAGTCTGTCCCCTGTATCGGCAGTCGGAAATTGAATTAAAAGTCGCACGAATTTGACACGAGATCTCAGAATTGATGCAAGTCCAAAATGATTGATTCTGGGGACTATAAGGGTTTTGTACCCTTCCATCTCCTCGTACCGGTGTGCTGGCCGCCAAGCTCTCTGAAATATCCTGTCCAATCTCTCAGTACGCTAGCAATCCTCTAACCGATCATCATTTCTTGTTTAAGCGCCTGGTTGGTGACGCCAAAGGCATCGTCCGAGCCAAATGAGGCTCAGCTACGGGCAATACGAGGCAAAGACGGCTAGTCAGTCAGCCTTGCTCGTAACGCCCGAAGCCGTCCCAGCGATTGGCGGTGTCGCGAGGATTGGGCCCTCTGCGGCTTGAACTTAGGCCCAGTTGGGCAAGATCGTGGCTTCTGGGACTATTTTTTTCACACGTTCTGCAAGCGAGAGCTCTGCCAGGTGCCGCCCATCACAAGGGGAGTGACTCTGTGCTTGCACTCTGTGTCATGGTCTAAGCACATGATCAGTCCAAAGGTGCTCCATGCCAAGGAGCTAGACATATTCAGCCACAGACAACCACTGGCCATGAGGCTATGTTGATGCCCCTGAGACTCCTGCGGGAAAGAGCTGGATCAAACCCAGGATAAAGAGTGAGGGATGATTGCTAATTTTAGGTGTCGACGTTGATGCCATATGATCAACACTGAATATCGCGATGAAGGTGTTTGGCAGAGTAGTACCCTAATGGACGACATTCGGGATATGGAAGGCGGTTGCCTCGGTCCTTTACTGTCGATGTAGTCAGTCTGACAACGGTAGGTGTCGACAACGTCTACAACATGAAAATTCCCGTAATTCACACTGCGCACTCAATCATACTCCTCAAGCCTAATTTACCGACAGGCCGACGAGATTCCAAATGGGTGGGCGAACGAACCCACACATCTCAAGTCGTATTTGGCAAACTGTACCAAGCCAAGTGTCATGGGCTGAAGGATGGCTCTATTATCCTCAGAGATACTCATGAGACACGAGAAATGCCCAATATCATTGACTCAGGGGAGCATTGCTTCATGGAGGATCTGATGGGCGACTATATATTTTGAAATCACCAGACCCCGAGTATCCCCCCAAATTCTGCGGGCACTTGCCGGCGCCGACAAACGCATGTAGTACAGAACGCTCAGGCTGAACAAAGTGAAATTTGTAAGGTGGATTCAGGTTGAGGAGGATGAGAATGAGGGTAATCTGTTTGGTCCTGATGCGGCTGCTTATCATGATCCCAAGTTTGATGTAGACAGCATCGACTGGAGTGACCCAACAGCTTTTTATCAAAGCAATGGATGCTGGCCAGCCTGGCGCTATGCCCATGCCGGAAATCAAGACACCGGCAGAGGTCCGTCGTGAGGCCAGGGCGCGATTAGACAAGATATTTGCCAGCTACGAAACGTTGCATGAGATCCTCCGGCGCCACGAGGGCACAATTCAGAAACGTTGGTTCACAAGACGCGAGCGCAAAGACTAAAGGTTCTGCTGACCGCCTGGCCAAATATGCCGACAATCCATCGGCCCGATTTTGCTGCTTTTCGGAGGGAGTCCGAGCTCGACCGTTGCAGTGGCACCAAGTACAGGGAGCATTTAATGTGGCCCTACGTTAACCAAGAGGATCTGCTGAACCCAAAGGTGCTACCCTTGCTGCCGAACGCCCGAGGCCGCCACGATCCGTCGCACTTTGCTGCCGCTGACGTCGATGCCATGCACTTGGGCTTTGTGACCAAAGCGGTCGTGCCCATTTTTTTGAATGGCCATGTTATGATCCTGAATGGCGTGGCTGGAAATCGCCGTGATTATGGGAAGCTCATGGCTTGGGAAGAACATCCAGATGCATTCAATTGGATGACCAAACAAAAGCAATTTATTCCTGGCGAGGGCCTGATGATACTAGAGGCACAGGAGCGATTGTTGACGTTTCTTGTTCAATGCTGCTTGGAATTGCTGCATGATATCCCCCAGTCCACCTTGACCAGTGACTCTTTCCCTATTCTACCAGAGCCGCAGCTGAAGCCCGAACGCCACAGGTCAAGAAAGGCGAAGCCGATCTGAGTGCTTCATATCAACCACTATCAACGATTTACACGGACCTTCCCTCGACAAAGGTCGAGGTCGCGCGGCCCAAAGCCAAGGTCAAGACTCGCGGGACACCTCGACCAGTTGCCAAATCGCCCACCGAAGCCGAACCGGTGCTGCAGCCCAACCCTATTGACCCTCAACCGTCCTTCGCTGTCGACGCTCGGGCACTGAAAGTGTTCCGAACCATCTTCTTCAACCCGGCCGTAACCTCGACACCGGGCGAGATCCCGTGGAATGACTTCCTCCACGCCATGACTTCCGTTGGATTTACGGTCATGAAACTATACGGCTCTGTCTGGCAATTCCAGCCGACCAAGCTAGATGTCGAACGGAGTATTCAATTCCACGAACCACATCCACGAGGGAAAATCCCTTTTACAACTGCCCGGCGGTACGGCCGACGACTCCATAGAGCTTATGGCTGGTTCGGGGAGATGTTCACGTTAAGCGCAAAGTGAATAATACAATTGTAAGACGAAATACTCAGCATATTACCACCACAGACTGGACCAGTATTGTCAATCAAATCTGCCTCAGAATGAAACGCATACTATGTACTCGAATGGGTGCCCGGCTTGCAATCCCCCCACCACCTCTCCTGACACGTCGTGCGTCGGTGCCCCAGATGGCTTAAGATTTCCTCCTTGCTTTATGCAGTGAATTTTGCTGCAACGTGGAATGGATGCCTGCATGATCCCCGGGCAAGGCTGTCGGATAACTGGCGCAAAGGAATGCAGGGCATTGATGCACAGTTCACCGCCTAAAAATTTTCGATCCGTTCGTCGGAAGAAACTGCTCACGGCACGGGAGTCGCCAAATACTGCATGTTCAACATCACCGGTACAGCCTCGCTTAGGACTACGGCAAATTTTCCAAAGGTGCATGTGCTCTTGTGGATTTGTGGACACTGGAATCTTCTTCCGAACCTGACATGATCGGCACTCCGTCGATTGCCGAGTGACGATCACTAACTAGCCAGCACTCGGTTAGACGCCACTAGCAGCAGATCCTCTGCAAGATCTGTCCAAGATCCGAGTTATTGAAACTGTGGACGAACGATCAACATCTGCGTGTGGGCTGGAGTGGGACAGACTCCCCTTTGGGACAATGGAGGGCATTCTTGGGAACTGCAGGCGAATAAAATGGCCCACCTACGGACTCCTTCTCAGCCCACCAAGTTGGATATGTCCACTGTCTCCACAAAGGGGCCAGATAGCTAGATCGAGAGGCTGCTCCTATTGCTGAAGGATCGGCTCTGTCAGCGGTGAAAAGAATGTACTATATTTTCCTCTTCCCCGTGCTCTCTTCCCGGATCCGATTTTCTGCTTGTTGCGCAGTATTCCCAAGCTGATTGATCATGACATTCCTCGATTTATATGACGGGCAGCCACCTCCGGACTTATTGGAACTCGAATCCATCCAGATTGCCCTAGCAGGTGACACGATCGCTCGATGTCGCGATATTGGTTGGGATTTTTCTGCTTTCTTCAGGGCCGTATGGGCCATCATACTTTATCGGCACACCGAATCGCACCATGTTACATTTGCTACCTACACCGGCGATACAAGAGACAGACCCTATAACGGTGATCTGAGGCAATGTGATCTCTCTGTCGAGCCCGAAACGTCCATTGATGGCCTATTGGCCAGCCCACCACCTTTGAATCCCCCGGAAAATGGAGCCTCTGGGCGAGGAGACTACAACACCGCGGTGATCATCGAAGAAAATGACATCGACGGAGGGAAGGAGTCACATTGCGTGGAATCTCTTTCACGGCATTTCCAGATTGTTCTCTTGGTGCAGAATACAGAGGTCCCCAGGTTATGGCTCATGCACAGACTTTCCAGTTGCTGGGACGCAGAAAACCTCGCATCGGTTATTGAACAAGCAGCCTCAGAGGTTTCTAGGAATCCGCAGCACGTCAAGGATCTGAACCTCTTTAGTGACCATAACCGTCAGCAAGTGGTGAAATGGAACGAAAGGGACCGGCGCTGTACAAAATTCATCCCGATCACTGATATCATACGCCAGCATGCGGTGCAAAGACCAAACCACAAAGCCATATGTGCATGGGATGGAACACTGACGTACTTGGAGCTCGATGTGCTCACAACCAAGCTGGCTTATTACCTGCGACACATTGGCGTCCAGGAAGGCTCCATGGTATTACTCGCTTTTGAGAAATCCATGTGGGCTGTCGTTGCCCTTCTATCTGTCCTTAAGGCCGGCGGGACATTCGTCCCTGTCAGCCCTTCCTACCCACCGTCCCGATTGAAGGTCATTATCGACGCCACCAGGTCCAGTATTATGCTGACCTCGAAGGAATTGGCGCCGGGATTACAGAGCCCCGGCGTTCAGGTTATAACATTCGACGATTCGCTCCTCGACCACCTACCGACGGAAAGATCCGTATGCAGCCTGGCTAAGCAGGACCCACAGCGTCCTGCCTATGTGCTTTTCACCTCTGGCAGCACAGGCACCCCGAAAGGCTGTGTCCTCCACCACGAGGCCCTTTCTACTTTGGCTAGCCAGGGTTCACCATTGTACCTTCATTCGTCGAGCCGCGTTCTCCAATTTGTTCCAGCCATCTTCGCGGCATCATCGATTGACACATATCTCCCCCTCTTAGTCGGCGCAACCATCTGTATTGGTTCGCAGCACGATCTCATCAACGACATAGCCTCTGTGATGAAGCAATACCGTGTGACCTGGGCAAGCATGACCCCCTCAGCCATCAGTACTGTTGAGCCTGCTCAGTTGGACGGACTGGAAACCCTCGTACTTGCCGGCGAACCTGTGGGGGAACACACTCGGAATCTATGGGCGAACTCAGTCCGTCTTCTATCAGGATACGGATTATCCGAGATCGTCGGCGCAGGAGCTATTTCTACTCTAGAACTAGGACGCCACCCGCGTAACATTGGTGTGTCCCCGACCTCCAGGATCTGGGTAGCTGATCCGGCGAATATACAGAGGCTTGCACCCGTTGGCGGAGTAGGTGAGATGCTGATCGACGGACCAAACATCGGCCAGGGCTATTTGGACGATCCGGACAAGACCACCCGAGCCTTTGTCCAACCTCCGGAGTGGATCCATGATTTTTACCCAGAGGGTGCGCCGCATCGCATACTCCGGACTGGCGATCTCGTTCGGTACCAATCGGACGGTTCATTGGTGTATATCGGTCGCAAAGACACACAGGTCAAGATTCGTGGCAAGAGAGTCGAACTGGGAGAAATCGAGGCCCAGATTCGACTCCGGCAATCGCCCATGGATGTCGTGATAGTCGAGGCAGCTGCACCACTAGACGCCGATTCTGTGGTGCTTGTTGCGTTTATCCGGTCCACACAGAGCGGAGCGTCATCAACCACATCCGGGCTTATTGGCGAGGCCAGTCCCCAATTCCAAGGCGATGTTGCAAATCTGGATTCGACCATTCGGACTGTCCTTCCTGATCATATGATCCCCAGTTTCTATCTTCCACTCGCTCGCATCCCTAAGACAGCCACTGGGAAAATGGACCGCCGTGCCTTACGATCGGAGATCCAAGGCCTGACATTACAGCAGTTGGAGGGCTTGACCTCAGACGTTCGGTGTATTGTTCAGCCGCGAAATGACGTGGAACGAGTACTCCATGGCTTGTTTGCGAAGGTCATCGGCCGCGATCCCCAGTCATTCGGTATCGATCAAAAGTTCGTGCGGCTAGGGGGTGACTCCATCAAGGCGATGACCTTGGTTCGCCTCTGCAGAGAGGAGAGCCTGTCACTTGCCGTCTCGGACATTCTAGATCAAGGAACAGTCGGCCATTTGGCCACAATAGCCTGCCAGTCCGCTTCGTCGGATGAGAACAATAGCACCATGCAACATCAGCAGATGCCTCGCCAGGAGGTGATGACACAATTGCAGAACATGGGCATTTCTGAAGACTCCGTGGAGGAGATCAGCCTATGCTCTCCAATCCAGGAAGGCATTCTGATAAGTCAGTTGAGAAACCCAGACAAATATGCATTGCGCTTGTTATTTGAAGTCAGGCCCCCTAAGGGTGAGCAGTCAGTAAGTGTTAGTCGACTACAAGAGGCATGGGCTCGATTGATACAGCATCACCACATGCTGCGCACCATGTTCGTTAGTCATGTGAGTCCATCTGTGCACATCGTGCAGGTCCGATTGAAGGAAGGGTCTCTGCCATCTCTCCGGTCCATCCCTAACGATAAAACACCTGAGCAACTACTAGCCCTGGACCAGACTATTCAGCTCTATAACACACTGCCTCTGTTGACGCTGTACTCAACACTTAACGGTCGAGTATTAGTTAGAATGGAACTTACCCACGCTGTGGTTGATGGCATGTCAATGGCCATCGTCGTTCGTGATTTCTGCAAAATGTACAACAGCCCGACGGGTTCGCCCTCGACGTTTCAGTACCCGAAGTATGTCGACCATCTCAAACTCACTCATAGCAAAGGTGCCATATCGTATTGGAAGGAGTACCTGGCTGGTTTCGATTCCTGCCGGCTGCCCACCAGTATTGGGCCACCCACCGATATTGACCCTAGCTACGACGAAGACAATCTATCCTACTTCAAATCAGTCCCCGTGGACGCAGGCCATATGGCGGATTATAGACGATTTTCCACGGAGACGGGCATAACGACGGCAAGTGTCGTCAAGCTGGCATGGGCCCTGACCCTTCGCGCCTTCTGCAACACAAACGATGTGTGCTTTGGGTATCTAGCATCTGCACGCGATGCTCCACTTGAGGGTATAGTCGATGGCGTTGGACCATTGATTAACATCATGATGTGTCGCGTGAATATGTCCCAGGACGGCAAGGTCATGGATATGTTGCGTTCGGTGCAAGCCGACTTTGTGCGCAGCCTGCCTCACAAAACGGCGGCCTTAGGTGATATAAGGCGTGCGATCGGCGTTGCCAGCGACGAAGTCTTGTTCAACACATGCATTAGCCAGTTTCCTGTCACCAGCTCTGACACAGACGACTCAATCTCAATGATGGAGATCCTGCGCCATGACCCGACTGAATTTGACGTCAACCTTGAAGTCATGGTATTTGAGGACGAACTACGACCGACGCTCAAGGCGTATACTACGTTAGTGCCGACAGAGAAACTGAAACATCTGGCTGCGGTCTTCGGCCATGCCATGCGAACCATCATTCGGCAGTCGAATCATGAGATCAACCAGTTGGATTTGCTGCCGCCGCAGGACCTATTGACAATCAGCCGCTGGAACCAGGACAGCCCTCAGCCCGTTGACAGCTGCGTTCACACATTAATCTGGAAGCATTGTGAGGAGCAACCCACCGCGACAGCCGTATGCGCCTGGGATGGGGACTGGACCTATGAGGGGCTTGACCGGATGTCGTCTGCGTTATCTCAGAAGCTCATCCTTACCGGCGTCAAACCTGAAGCATTCGTGCCTATCTTGATGGAGAAAAGTCGATGGGTTCCTGTGGCCATGATGTCGATCTTGAAAGCTGGAGCTGCATTTGTTCTCCTCGAGCCCTCCCAGCCCTTGAAGCGACTAGAGGATATATGTGACGACATTCGTCCTGGGGTTATCCTCACATCAATGGAGTGCCAACCCGCTGCCTCTACCCTCTGCCCCGAAGTCATCGTATTAGGCAACACGAACGCGCATTCACTTGCAGCACAAGCCAAACACCTTCAGGACGCTATGCCAGTCACAGTCTTGCCCCGTAACGCTGCTTACGCAGTCTTCACATCCGGTTCAACCGGGAAGCCCAAGGGCGTGGTGATCGAGCACCGATCCCTGGCAACAAGTGCACTTGCGATGATGCGGGCCTCTCCACTCAACCGGAGCACTCGCCTGTTAGAGTATGCCTCATTTGCATTCGACGTCAGTATTTTGGATTTGATGGTTACTCTTATTGCGGGTGGTTGTCTGTGTGTTCCCTCGGCGGATGCAAGAGAGAATCGTTTGCTCGAGTCCATCAACGAATTCGAGGCCAACTACATCGCTCTTACTCCAACTGTTGCAAGAACTCTGCAGCCAGAACGTCTCATTACCCTCAGGACCCTGAAAGTTAGCGGGGAGGCCTTACTGTCATCTGATATCGAACAGTGGAGTGTCACTCCTCATATCCGGCTGATCAATATGTACGGACCTGCAGAGTGCACGATCAACGCAACAGCATGTACATCTGTCACCCCAGGCCCGTTGAGTTCAAGCATCGGACATGCCATGTGTTCTTCAACCAGCTGGATTGTGGATCCAAACAACCATCACAAGTTGCTCCCCATAGGCGCAGTTGGCGAGCTCATCATTCAGGGTCCTATTGTAGGACGGGGATACATCAATCGTCCGGACCAGACGGAGGCCGCATTCATCACACCCCCGGCTTGGCTATCGCGGTTCAGAGCTGTGGGCACAGATCAAAGACTTTACAAGACTGGTGACCTTGTAGAATACGCCCATGATGGCTCTTTGCTGTACAAAGGGCGCAAGGACTTCCAGGTCAAGCTACGCGGGCAGCGATTTGAGCTGGTCGAAGTTGAGGAGCATCTCCGCCAAACGTTTCCTCATGCTTCAGAGGTGATTGCCGAGGTTGGCTCCCTGTACAAAAATAGATCTAAGACTCTCGTTGCCTTTGTCCTTTGGGGTGGCGTTTCCGATCACCAGGCGCTTGACGTGCAGGAAGACAACGATGCAGACCTGTTGTGTCCTGCATCCGAAGCATTTGATCATGAAGTCTCCCGCGCAAAAGCTGTTCTCTCTGCGTCACTTCCAAGCTTCATGCAACCGATGTTGTATGTCCCACTGCTTAGCGTCCCACGATCACGCAGTGGCAAAACCGATCGTGGACGCTTAAGACGCATCATCAGCACGGTTCTTTCAGAGCGGACTGGGCCCAAGAAAGCTCGGAACGAAGTTGTCCAAGCACCCAGGAACAAGTCGGAAACCGCCCTGCTCCAAGCGGTAGCGGAAATGATTGGCATTGGATCTGAACAGATTGGCCTTCAAGACAATTTTTTCCGCCTAGGAGGAGATTCGGTCACAGCCATGTCTCTTGTTGGTATTCTTCGCCAACGCGGATATGACCTTACAGTCGCCGAGATCTTCAAGCAGCCTGTCCTGGGAGTGTTGGCGGAGAAAATGAGGCCTACTTCTGGTCCAGGCGAGGTGTCTCTTTCGATTGCTCCGTTCTCCCTTCTGGGGGACAACCCGGCATTCCAGGAAAAGGTGATACAGGAGGGAGTTAGCCAATGCATGGTGCCACGATGTGATATTGAAGACATATATCCTTGTTCCGCTGTGCAAGGAGGCCTGTTTATGTACAGTTTCCTGGGAAGGCCGGACAGCCTTGTTGTGACTTGGGTATACAAATTGCGGATGACAACGAACCTCGAAGATCTCAAATGCGCATGGACGAAGACGACACAGGCCCATCCGATACTGCGAACTCGTATCATTACAATTGATGGCGATAACCCACAGCAGGTACTTTTGCGTGGATCTCCCGAACTGGAATTCATCGACTCGACAGACACACAGCCTGAGCTCCCCATCACGTTTGCCTCTGGAAGCCCTTTGCTCCGCGCTGCAGTGATCCGTCGCTCACCTTCTGTCCCTCAAGATCGCCTGATCATCAGTTTGCATCATTCGATTTACGATGGTTGGTCTCTAGGGTTACTGATTAAAGAGCTCGAGCGAGCATATACCGGCATCCAGTTACAAACCCGGCCTTTCAGTCCGTTTATCGACTACGTTGAGCAGACATACACTCCCGCCTTGGACTTCTGGCGGGAGAAAATGACTGATCTACGTGCACCGATCTTTCCCGCCCTTCCTCCGCATGTCGGCAAGGCTGACCCCCATGCCCACATGATCCGGTGTGTATCCATACCGTCCGTCAGCAGCCTCCAGTTCACACTCTCTACGAAGATCCGATGGGCATGGGCTCGCCTCATTTCCCTGTACACTGAAAATCCGGACATCGTCATTATGTTGGTGACAACTGGAAGAACAGCTCCTGTTCCGGGTATCGACGAAGTTGTTGCACCTACGCTAGCCATATTCCCGCATCGAGTGCACGTCGATCGGTCCCAAAGTCTCAGCGATGCCCTTCACAAGGACCAGGTCCAGCAGATCGAAACCATTCCCCACGAGCATCTTGGTTCTCGCGGTATTGTCCGGGTGGCTACTGGCCCTACTTCTATTGCCAACATGCAATTTTTGCTTGCGGTCCAGCCAGAAGAAGATCAAAGCCAGTCGTGTCTGTATGACGAAAAGGAAATGATGCCGCAGAAGAAGGCCTTTCACGTTCGTGCGCTGAATCTACATTGCTACATCAAGAAGAATTCTCTCGAATTACATGCGTGCTATGACAGTCGCGTTCTTCCAGAGCAGGAAATGGACGGGGTGCTGCGCGCTTTCGACTCGATCTTTCAGCAGATTTTCCACGAGCCTCAGGTCCTTGTTGAACAGGTTAAGGTACAGCGGTAGCGGGCTGCGACTTGACTTCTGTTGCAGCCTCAGGCCCTTCACTTCCTGTTAGGCTGAACGCTTCTCCTGCTCGTGACTTAGGCTCCTCTATAGAGGACCTCACTCTCGCACACATCCAAATCTACCTAGTTGACTCATTTTGAGCTTCACCTCTGTCATCCTCTTCGACAAATTCCAATACGCTTCTACTAGGCGAATACCTAGAATTACTGCTCTGATTTATAGACAAATGATACAAACTTCTACATACCTATTATACAAGCAACGCCATCCGGGCACAGCGCCATCAGTACTATTACATCGAAACATCAGGACCATCGAAGTCCCAGGTTACACGCTCTCCGTAGCAGGCCCTTCCCGCCCATTCCCGTTCCGATCAATATGAGCAACCCGATCTTTCTCAGCCGACTCTCTGTGGTGGGGGAAAGCCGTCTCTGGGAACACAAACTTGGAGCTCTTCCACGGGGGCACCTTCATGACATACATGGTGTCAATCTCCTCCAGGGTGCGCCCACGACCTTCAATCACCGCAACATACACAAGCCCAGCCGCAAGGAACAGACACCCTGCAAAGACATACCCTAGCCGGAAATCAATGGCGCTAGTGATGAAGGGCGTGAAGAACGCCAAGAGGAAGTTCCACAGCCAGTTCGACGCAGTCGCCAGGGACATCGCACGGGCTCGGTACTCGGATGGATACAACTCGGCAATGATGGTCCACACCATCGGCCCCCATGTACTGGCGAAGCCGAGGATGAAGAGACACGCAAAGACGACCATGACCACGCCCGGGGTCTTGGTCCGTTCGGGATTCTCGCGGTCGAGGAGGAAGTGGCCGACAGACGCGAAGATCATAAAGCAGATGAACATCCACAAGGCGCCGGCAATCAGCGAGCGACGACGACCGTAGTTCTCAATCAGGTACAGGCCCAAGAACGTGCAGCCAAAATTCACGCCGCCGAGAATCATCTGGGTGACATAGCTGTTCGGAATGCCGGCCCCTTTGAAGATGGTGGTACCGTAGTAGAAGAAGTAGTTCGCCCCGGTGAGTTGCTGCAGCGCTTGCAGGGCGACTCCAACCGCAACACGATACCCCATGCGTGGTGCTCGGAACAGACGGACCCAGGTTACCTGGCCGCGTTCCTGCTCCTCTTGGTATTTCTGCTGGATTTCGTCGAACTCTAAGATGAGGGCGCGGTGGTTCTTGGGGACGCCATACATCTTGGATATGGTAGAGATTGCCTTGTCCACTTTCCCATGTCGGAAATCATACCGCGGACTCTCGGGGAAGAGCGCCATGCCGGCACCGAGAATAATTGCCCAGAGGTAGGTGATACCCATAGGGATGCGCCAGGATCCAGTGTCACTCCGGGCTTCCGTCCCGAAGTTGATGCAGTTTGCGACGAAGATGCCCAGAGTAATGAACAATTGGTACGTGCTATGCGCCATTAGTTTCCTGCTTCATCTCCAGGGGCAATTAAGCTTACCTGACCAGTGATCCACGAATATGCCTCGGACCAGACTCGGCTTGGTACATGGGCACAAGGAGTGAAAGGGCACCTACGCCTAAGCCGGCAACCCATCGCCCCATGGCTACCTGGTACCACTTTCCAGTCGGCGCGCTGATTTGGATGGTGATGCCCACGCAGAGCATGAGACACCACCCGGTGATTGACCACTTTCGGCCGACTCGATCGGCGATGGGAGCCGCAATAAGCGCACCGATCAGCGTGCCAATGGAAAGCTAGAGAGTCAGATGAGAATCGCTACAGATCTAAAGGCCAAACGTGAACATACCAAAGCCACAATAAGCCCAGAACGGGCATTGGAGAAGTAATAGGTCCCCTCCGAGTTAAGCTCGCCATAACGCTGGAGGAAATCCTTCATTTCGAGAAACCCAGAGATCTGACCCGTATCGTAACCGAAGCAGAATCCGCCCATGGAAACGAAGATGCCCATCACAAAGGATCGCCAGGTCAAGAGCGGGATGGGCGTATCCACCACAGTCTCGCCTGTTGGGGCGATCTCGGTTTGCGAGCTGTGGTCTCCGGGGGCCCCATTCTGAAAGTGGGATTCAGGTTTCGGCTTCAAGTGAGGTTTCTTTGGCAGCGAGAATTTCATAGTGGCGGTTATAGTAATCTAGTCGTAGGCAGTGTTTACTCGGTGGTCTCTCAGACGGCAGACGTCCGCAGCAACTGGTTCCAATCCCATTATTATACCGAGTCTGTTTGTACCCCCCCGACAAAGAACATGGTATATGGTGATTCATGACGACAGTCACGCGGACATGATCGTGTATGGTCAAACCCAGCGTCCTCTGGTACCGCACGAGGACTGTCCAGGGACGTCGATTACCCCAGATCCCCAGCATGCTCCAGCAGTGGCGGCGGCGGGAGCAATTACCTGTTCCAGGAGCTTGCGGGGGTTTGTCAGGAGATTGGACATCCAGCCGGATATCCATGGGTCGATCCAGCAATGGACAGGCTAGACCACCCTCCACTCTGGGGAAGTGCCGATGTTGAGTGTAGAGCATCCGTGGTAGTGACATAAGTGGCTTGCCACCCGGCTGGGGGAGCTGATGGAACATCGTCATCCCAGGGTCATACCATGAACAGTTGCTCGTGGATAGTAACCTTGATTTCACACAGAGGTATGGGAAATCGATGGTAAGTTGTGCACGATGTGCCTGTCGGTGTGGAACTATACAGAGTACATCCGGGATGGTACATATCGGAACACTTGGGCCGGAGTTACCCAAGTCCAATTTTTTTCGAGATGAAGCTTCCTGGTGTCTGTCCATTGAGTATGTACACCATCACAATCAAGACCACTGCGTAGTCGCCCCAATCGCCTCCCCAGACTGGGGAAGTAAGAAGTCGCTGGCTTGGATCCGGCCATCTGCTCCCCGTGCACCCTGCACCAGCGTCGCATCCACACTGACAAAACTCGAGTTACTCCACGTTCCACTTCCATCCCATGAGTTGCCTTGGGACATCTGGTCATCACTGAGTGAAGCGGGCTTTTCCCTGTTAGCCGCAGCAACATTGCTCTTCAGGGTGGCAACTGCGGTTCCAAATCTGAACCCCACGGCCGCATTGTTCCACGCCGTGTTGCACGTCAGGACAAAGTTCCCGGGCTGCGAGTTATCAGTAAACCCATCCTTCGCATTCCCGAACGCTATGCAATTGGTGATAACGTGGTTGGCTGGTCCGATATCTGCGTCATCGCCGCCGCCCAGCTTGAAGCCGTTTCCATCGCCTTCAAAGGGGGTGAAGCCCCATCTATCGAAATCAAATAAGAATGGTATCATCGATGCAATGCGAGAGACATACCTGTTGTACCCATTGCCCCAAGATATGGTGTCCTCGATTGTCACGGCGGATTTGAATTCCCTGGAGAATGAGCGTAGCCCTTGGAGATGATGCCTGCGGACATACCATAAATCAAGCCCGTCATCGACATTGTTCCAGAGACGCGCGCCGCGCAGAACGTTCCCTTCGCCTTCGCCCTCCTTACACGCGAACCCATCGGCGCTCTCGCCGTTCTTCCGGGGATCGCGGTTCCCGTAGGAGTCGAGGTAGAGGACGGTGTTGTTAGATGCTGCGCCCTGGAGTTGGAAGCCTGCAGTCGGGATTAGCCATACAATAGCCATCCAACATACGCTTCATCATATTTACCAGTTTCATAGTTGTCCCGCGTGACGATCCGCTCGTAGTGGTTGTTCGAGGCATCGCGAGAGTACACGCCATACGGCCCATTGATCAGTTCCAAGTCATAGAACTCCCAGTATTCAGCGTCTTGGATGTGCAAGATGCCTCGATCCTCGTTGGGTAAAGATGCGTCCAGGTCTGCCGGCGTTCTACGCGATGTTAGTTACGCACATTACCAGAGAAGAATGTTCGTACCCGGGGAGCGCCTCGCCGTCAATAATCACCACCTCCCCGTCGTACGCGCGGAGCACGTATGGCGCCCCGGGTTTTCCGCTCTTGGTTATCTGGATATTGGCCGACGGTGAAAAGGTGCCTTTTCGCAGGTAGATCGTAGAGCCAGCCGTCGCCAGGTCCACTGCTTTTTGGATCGACAGTAGAGGCGAATCGATTGTACCATCCCCACTGTCTGATCCGGATGGAGAAACATAGAGATCGGCCGCCAAACAGGGTGACAGCAATGCCGTCAGGCAGAAAAGATTGGACTTCATGTTTGTTGATGGAGAGTGAATGTATGTACACACGGCGGATCCGCGATCTACAAATAGTCGAACCCTGCTGGCTTCCATTGCTGGAATATCCAGCGCTGCAACGGGGAAACTAAATGAGCCAAGCCCCGGGTTATCGACATCTGGGGAGAAGTATTTCCGCCAGTGTTTCAACAGCTGCTACGAATGTCGCATACAAAAACCGCCCAGTCCGGGTATACATTGAGATCGTCCAAGCTAAGTACTCTTATCCGTCTCACCCAGGGCCCATGCCAGGAGCTCCGGATACCACCGCCTACCGACATCCTGGTGACTCGTCACGCGGTGGATGAGAGTGCCTTCGCCAATGCGACCGCGAAACATGCGATTGAACGTGGCCTCCGCATCCGAGCGGACTCTTTCGTCCCGAACTAGGTCCCGAATATGGGGAGGGATGTCGAGCGATATATTCTCCGCCGACAGATCCAGGCTGATTCCCTGGAAAACCGGAATTGAGAACCGCGGTCCCAGCGAGGAGCCCTGAGCATCTACAAAATTGTGCGGCGCCAGACTCACGCGATGCGTGGTTGCTGTACAGACACCCCCGGTGAGGGCCTCCAACGCGCGACCGATATTCACGACCAGAGAGCCGTCCATCGGAGGCGCGGGGATCCACTCCCCTGCTTTATTCTGCACTTCCAGCCCGGGATGGGGCGTCGCTTGGAGGAGAAAGGTCAGGAACTCCGAGTCCTTGTGCGGACCGACGCCTTGTGTCTGGGCCGCGGACGAGGCCGGCGGCGGAGGATACTTGATGAGTTTCATTTTGTGGCGCGAAGGCACGTCGAAAAACTGCTGCAGAGCTTCCGGGTGCAGATCCAGCGCTTCTGCGATGAGAATCTGGAACTCGTCTGCCAGAGGTGCCACTGCGCCTAGGTAGGTCTCCAGCGTCTGACGGAATCCCGGGATCGCGCGTTCATCGGGCCACTGCTTGCGTCAATTCGATGCTGTTGTACGGAGGCGCTAGAACGCACCTGATTAGGACCACAGATATTGCGGTAGAGAGGCTCATCTGGTCCTGGAGCCGGGAGCTCGGTTGCAAACTGTGTCGACGAGCTTCAGTCAGTCTGATATGATCAGCTGTGCCGAGATTTACCCGGGTGAGCGTACGTCAAATTGTTCACGATAATCCGCCTTGCGGGCAGTGGTCTCGGCACCGAGACGAGAGTATCCCAGGAAATGTTTACTATTGATCATCTCGATCTCCAATTTCTTCTCGAGTGGAAGATCGAACAGCTCCCGGGTTTTGTCTATCAGGTTCTGCACCACGGCGGGGTCAACCGGATGGTGGATCAGATAGAAGAAGCCAACATTGACGATGGCATGGCGCAGGTCTGCTAGAAACTCGGCTTTTGTCGTGGCTGAAGTGGACTTGGAATAATCCAGGACAGGGATGGCCCTAAAAGATCCCTGGGTAGAGCCCATGGTGGTGATACTAAGATGATGTTCAGGAGAGAAATTGCGTGTTGGATGCTCGGGATAACAACAGCCTAACTAATGCGACATCATTTCCGTTGTTTCCACGTCCTTGTACATCGTTCGCGATCTTCACAATTCCAACTGATATAGACCACCATCATGCCGTCAATCATCAAAGTCGGCATACAGCCACACGGATCCTGGAGTAATTCCTTGGCCGTACTCCGTTCCTCCGGACGCCATTTGATCATCCGTTTGACAAAGTCGATGAACATTCTTTTCTGATCGCCAAGTACACCACCGGTTCTATCGAGTCGACCGTCAAAGCCCTGTACTACAACAAGAGATTCATAAATAGCACGTCCGAGATCCCCAGCGGCGCCCAATTTGGCATCGTTCTTGACAAGACCAACTTCTACGCTGAAGCTGGCGGTCAGGTCTTCGACACCGGACGATTGACCATCGAGGATGTCGCCGAAGTACATGTGAGCAATGTGCAGTCATACGGAGGCTACGTACTACACACTGGCTACTTGAAACATGGCACCTTGAACGTTGGGGACACGGTGACTTCCGCATATGACGAGCAGCGGCGACAGCCAATTCGCATGAATCACACCGGCACCCATATTCTCAACTTTGCACTGCGGGAAGTCCTAGGCAAGGATGTGAAGCAGAAGGGATCGCTCGTCGCGCCGGAGAAACTGCGCTTCGACTTTTCTTTCAAGGCCAGCCTGACTGAGAAGGACATCGAGCGCGTTCAACAAATCTCCTACAAGTACATCCAAGACGACCAGCAGGTGTTTGTATCAGACGTTGCGTTGGAGAAGGCCCGTCAGATCGAGGGTGTCCAGGCTGTTTCTGGCGAGACGTATCCCGATCCGACCCGGGTCGTTTCAATCGGGGTCTCCGTCGACACGCTGGTCGACAACGTCTCCAACAAGGACTGGTGGAACTACAGTATCGAGTTCTGTGGCGGTACGTATGTCGACAGGACAGGGGAGATCCAGGACATGGTTTTGCTGGAGGAGTCCGGGATCGCCAAAGGCGTTCGACGCATTGTGGCCGTCACCGGCAAGGCCGCGCACGACGCCCGACAGAACGCCGTTCGTCTTGAAGAGCGCCTGGCGAGACTTGAGCAGATGACAACTATGTCTCCGGAGAAGGAGACGCTCGTCAGGCACGTCCAGGCCGAACTCGCCACCACGGCGGTCTCCATTCTCGACCGGAGAGCGCTCTCACGGCGCCTCGAAGAGATCACCAAGGAGATGCTGAAAGAACAGAAGGCCAGTCTGAAAGTCCAAGTCGACGCGGCCCTCACCCTTGTTGAAACCGCCATCAAACAGGACCCCGCGAGCAGTTCGTTTGTTGTCCAGCTCCCGGGCACCGACTGCTCCGCCAAGGTCATCTCGGAGGCCATTAAGCAGGTTTCTTCTCGCCACCACGACAAGTCCACGTATTTCATCGGGCTGGATGGGCCCGCCGGCAGGGTTGCCCACGGGTGCTTTGTGTCCCAGGGACACGTCGAATGGCCTGGTGGCCATCGAGTGGGCAGCGCATGTTGCGAAGACTGTGGGAGGGAAAGCCGGTGGAAAGGGGGCCACCAGTATGGGGAGCGGAATGGAGACGACCAGAGTAGAGGATGGGATAGAGGCTGCAAGGTCGTACCTCGGACGTCTGAGAATTTGATCTCTGGGAACGACTTGCCCCTAGATTGAAAATTTCGGTTACTTTAGCAATACATACTTCTTCCTTTACTCAGGCCGATCAAGTCACGTCACTCGAACGACCTTCTCAGTCGACCCTCAGATACACTCTCTTCGGAAATATGCCAATTGGAAGTGTTTCTTATACAGCAGAAAACTCTGGCTCATATTCATATCCATAGCATCCATAACCAAAGCGTGCGAAAACGCACTGGAACACAGCGAATTCAACAATATCCACATACTGCGCAAAATTACATAGATGATATGCAGAAATTCACATCGCCATGAAAAAGGCCGCGGCAACCGCAGTGGTCGTAGCCGCCAGGTCGAAGCCTCGACGAGCCGCGCCCGATTTCGAGCTCGAGCTCATCAGCAGCCCTGGGTTGTAATCTTGCGGCGTCCGGCTGTCGATGGTCCCGTTCCAGCAGTAATTCTGGAAGCACGTGTTGCAAATATCCGGCAGGGTGGTGCCCGTGCGCTCCGACGAGCGCTGCAGAATGGCACATCCCACACACGACGGCCAGTCCGCGTCCATGGAGGCGTTGCCGCGGGTGACCACGTTATATCCGTTCGTGATGATGTCGTCGCGCTGCGAGTCGCTATACGACAGCTGGAAGGTCGACGTGTTCGACTGCGTCGTGTACGGGGCGTTGGGCAGATAGACCACGAGGGGCGACGGACCCGTCATGTTCGACGAGTTGCAGCCAAAGAACGTGGGTCGCTGGTTCATGCCCAGATTGACGAAGGTGTTGACGTCGGGAACGGCGGGAAACACCGTGCCGTTGCCGATGCCCGTCGAGTTCAGGCTGCGCTCGTAGGTCGCCACGAGCGACGTCCCGTTGGGCCAGTTGTAGGTCGTGTCGGCGGACGAATCGACGGCAAAGATCACGTCTACGTGGCGTTCGGGCTGGATCAGGGGATGGAGGGGGATATTTTGTCCGTCTTCGCCTCCGTCTACAACGGACAGCTCCTCCGTGCCGCCGTAGGCCTTCACGGCCGTGTCGTACTGGTAGAACGGGTTGGGCTCGTAGATGGCGATGTCGTCGTTGTCTTGACCGAGGTCCTCCAGGATGTCGGTGAAAGCCGACTTAAGAAGGCTGGGTAAGCTAGTGCTGTTGATCTGCAGCAGAAACTGATTGAACAGGGACGACGAGGTACCCATGACGAAGCCGGCATTGTCAAACCCGCGGACACAGCTATCACTGCGGGACAGCTCGCCATTCTCGAACCTAGACCCGAGAAACTCCAGCGGGGCGAAGCCGTAGACGGTGGGATCGAAAGAGCCAAATTCCCACGGGTTAAATTCGTATACGGTCGAGTTGCTGCCGACGATAATTTCACCGGCGCCTCGCCCATCGGCAACGAGGATGGGAAGAGGCATCTGTCCGCGCTTGAAGTTGTCTACGAGGGCGATGGAAGACCAGGTGTAGTTCGGACCACCGTCATCGGTGGTGACATTGATGAACTGATATGAGAGGGCTCGACCCCAGTAGTCCGTCAAAGAGGTATTAAATCCGGCATCCTTCTTTGAACCAACCGACTTGAGCAATTCATTCCAGTATTCGGCCGTGCTGAGGATCTGGAGGTGTTTCGCTGGAGGTCCCTCCAGAATGGAGGTCGTGAAGTCCCACACTTGGTCGCTGGCCTGTAGATCGGAGATGGTGGTAAAGTTATTGACATACACCGACCCGACCAGCCATCCACCGCCGCTCAGACCAGCGAGGTAGGTGGCCGATTGCAACAGGCCGCCGAGCTGTCCGGTGTTGGTGGAGTTGGAGGTGCGACTATCAAAGGCCTTTATCGCGCCAGCGCCATTGGTGAGCGCGCGATAGCCACCACCGGACACGGCAACGGCGATGTTCGGGATGTTCGAGATGTTACTGGAATGTTTGTTGATATAGGAGGTCGCATCGAAGCCGGTCAGGTTCAATCGACCGAGGAGATCCTTCATCGGCTGGAGGGTCTCGTTCCGCCGGATCTTCAGCCACTCCGTCTCATTGGAAGACAAGGAAGAAGCACTGCGGATGCTCGGCCGAGTAGCAGGACAGGAGACATTGGCTGGGGCGTAGCCATCGGGCGCATTTGGCAGCGCACGGGGATAAGCAGGAATGGAGGCGGCATGTGCGACGCCGGCTGCCAGGGCCAGGAGAGAGAGCTTCATGACGGCAGGCAGGGAGTAACAGACCCCATGAGAGACATAGCGTAGGACGAAGCAACGCAGGGGATGTGGGTAATTATACAGTCATGGCCGGGAGTCCATGGAAGCAGCGCCTCGATGGCCGTGGATCTCACCGCTGGTTCACTGCCAATCAGTCGCTGTCCGGAATTCGGCAGACAACAATAATAGGGCTGAACAGGCAGCATCATTCCGACATTGCCAGCGAGAATGAATAATGGATGGAACATGCCCCGTTGTGTGACATGCGCTGCACGGGTCCGATCTGTCCGATCCGTCAGGCAGCACCGAATCACCGATATGGGGTTCCCGGAGCATCCGGAGTGCACCGGCCAGTACCGCGGAAGGATAAGAGGCTGTGCGATCGTTCCCGCTGGTGTTGTGGGTTGAAGCAATGGAAATGAAGGGAACTGAAGGGCGCATTCCATGGATCATGGGGTGGTTGGAGGTTGGAGCATTCTGTACTGTCTGCATACTTGGCATACACTACTAGGGAAGGTACTTGTGAGATCACAGGGAGCATAAATTGAAGCTGAGTCAGCTGCATACTTATGCCCAGTGCACTTGCATTATTGTCCTCCTACTGACAGTCCTTTTTGGCTGGATCTGTCTACAAAGACATCCATCATTGCCATGATATTGCACTGATTGCCATTTCACTCGGTTTATGAAAGGTGGAGTCGATTTGGTCGTCTTACAGCAGTGGACATGATATATATATATATATTGGCGTCTCAACATCGTCCCAGAGCCCAGTCTAGTTGTTGAAGAACCGTCGACACGCAATAGAATATCGTTCTTATCTGATTATAGGCTATTCCAGCAGCTACTAACTAACCAGACAAGATGATAGACGTAGCAGCTCATATCGCATCTACATCTGTTCACTCCAGTGTGGCTGTGTTCGTCGCCCACTCCATGACATCACCACTCAACCCGCAGCGACTCCAAGCAACTACACTCCGATCCTCGACGGACTATTGTATAGGTATGATTCCGTGTCTTTCTCGCCAATCTCATGGACGGTCAGACTGCGATCGAGCGACCCCTCAGTGATAGCTGCACATCCTACCGAATCGGCGTGAAACTTCAACGGCTCCAACTCTGTGATCGCGATCGGTGGTGATAAACGCGTCCAAACGAATGAGATCTTGGATCGTCCGGTATGGCGTCATAGAATCAGCCCTGAACGCACGTGGTTGTGGGGGACTCCTATATCATATCCGACCGTCTCTGTTTCTCTTTTCTCAATTTTCTACATCCTACATCCTATCTCTCACCGTGCTTGAATCTATCCTAACAAATCATGGACAAACTCTCCGGTCTCGCGTCCAAGCTGGGCGGCGGCAGCAAAGGCGAGTCCCACAGCTCCGGCAGCAGTGGCGATAGAGACTACGTCGACAAGGGTATGTATATATGCCCCGGGCTTGTCCAGATGCTAAAGTACACCCAACTAACGAGAACAGCCCTCGACTCTGCTGAGCAGAAGTTTGGCGGCGGCAAGATCGATCCCAACTCCGACAAGACGCGCCAGACCAACGAGAAGATCACGGATGCTGGGCGCGACAAGTTCGAGAGCATGACCGGGTACGTTGTCTTCATCCATAGCTGGATGCTCTGCTAACGACCCGATAGAAAGAAGGTCCCCGAGAAGTTCTCCAACTAGTCTATCGTACTGTTAGCACGAAGGGTTGTGGCTTATTGTTGTTGTATTACTTCCAGCTCAATACATCAATGAACATACACCCATAGGAAATCGAAACGTCACCCCAATCTATAGTTCTGAAACCCCTGCAGTAGCCCCGAGATGCTTGACCGCTGCGGCGTGAGCCATCGGGTATTCATCCGGCACAGCTGCAGCATCTGTTGTGTGTTGGCTGGCACCGGCATGTTGGCCTGCTCACAGGCCCGCACCTGGATCTCGTAGAACGTCTGCGCCGCCTGGTAGTTGCCTCCAGACATGTTCAACTGGCCGAGGAGCTCGAGAATGCCCTGCGCCTCCGGGTGGGTGAGCCCGACATGGGTTTCCGCCCAGGTCAAGTACCGTTGCAGCCAGGGACGCGCCAGCTCGACGTTTTGTCCGGAATTGGGGTAGTAGATCCCGGCGGTGTTGCCCTGCGTTGCATACAACAGACCCATGCAGGCCACGATGCTGAGCGTCTCCGGGTGCTCTGTCCCAAGCGACTCTTCCGCGCTTGCCAGCGCGCGGCGCAGCGTCTCCGATGCTTCGGTCGTGCTCTCGTTGGCCATCATTTGGATGGAGCCCAGGATGCGAAGCGCTCGGATGCTCAGGATGCTTAGCGGGCCAAGGAGCGACTGCAACTCATTGGCGATCTTCGCTATCCGTTCGATGGTATCCTGGGTCTGGCTGCTGTACCGCATCACGGCGCGTTCGGTGCTGTTGGCGCCCTTCAGAGCGACCGTTAACTCGGCAACGTCCAGCACGGCATCCCACACCTTGATGTGATTGGAGCCGAGTAGCTGCTCCAGACTAGCGACGCGCTTCTGTGCGACTTCGACGGCCTCCTGCCGTCGGCCGAGCGCGACGTACGCCATCGCCACCCGACGCCGGGTCGCCAACGTGTCGAGGTCGTTTTCGCCAATCGTCATCTGCTGCCGCGCCAGGACGTTCGCGCACACAGATTCGCCCTCTTGCGCCTTGCCCTGTCCGCAGAGGACCTCGCCCATGAGACTCTCCGCTTTCATGGCGAGCGGGTGGCGCTTGTTGAACACGCGCTGGCTGTTGTTCGAGACCCATTCACACCATTCGGCCGCTTTGCTCAGATACCCCGACTCCAGATCGATCTCGGCGAGCTGGTAGCCCATGAGTAATGTGCTGTGGTGATCCTGGCCCAGCGTGCGCAGGTGCTCCTGGAAAATCGCGTACTCCAGCTTCCGGGCTTCCTCCCAGCGCCCGTGGTTCTTGTGTTCCGCGGCCTGCGTCGACCGGGGATCATTGTCCACTGCAGAGTACATCGTGCCGATGACACCGGCGACTTGCGGCTGGGGTGATCGGTTGGGCGGGTACGGAGCGCTGCTGTTGATGTGTCGTGGGGGCAGGGGAGGTCCAGGTCGAGGCGATGGAGAGGGCTGGGGGATGTACCCCTGTTCCGCGACGAGAACCTGGTCGACGATCTGCTTGATGTTGCCCTTGATCAGCTTGTACATCGGGCCGCGGACGCCCACTTTGCACATTTGCGAGTGGTCGGCATCCAGCTTCAGCCGGGTCTCGCGGTTTCCAGGCAGACCCAGGACGGCTGATTCTTCATCGACAACAAGCTATGTCTGTTTAGCCATGAACATTGCTTGGCTGTACACAACTTACGTGGCTGATGGACGCAGGCCCACTGCCTCCCAAGAGCACCTCTTTCCCTTCGATGAAGCTCACCACGCGGTAATCTTCCAACTGATGGCAGAAACGGCTGCTCATCTGCCGGGTGAAGAGCGAGTTATGCTCCAGACAGTCCAGCAGGTCGTTGCTGGCGTGTCCCTTGCCTACGAAGCGCGCCACCTTGGCCGCAATCTTGCCCAGCTCGACTCCTTTGGTACCGTGGTGTGGGGTGCCAAAGAAGACGAGGCCCGATGTTCCAGTGCGGATGGAGGTGTATTTTGGATCTTCTTGCGCGTTGAGGAGTGCCTAGATACGTCAGTATGTTGGAGCTCGTGGTACAGGGGGCATCTTGACTGACTTGCTTGATGACCAGTCCGCCCAGACTGTGGCCGATGAATATAATTTTCGGGGGGCGAGTATTCTAATCTCATCAGTACGTGTCAGTCTCCTGGATTCGATCGACGCACCAACTGGGGGCTTCGCTCCATATCCAACAGGTTCAACAGCGTATTCGCATGGTCCTTCACGCTGGCATTGGACATGGTCTGCGGGTTAGAGATATTGGAATTGTACCCATAGACGAAGACGCGCGCCTGCGGGATATCCATTGGCAGATAGTCTCGCGGCCAGAAGGTGCCGTTCTGGTGCGTCCAGGTTTCGAAGGCATGATCGGTGCGGCCGCGCGGATTCAGGCCATGGACAAAGACGAAACTTTGCCCTGTCAGTACTCACAGACCTGTGTCATTCCTGGGGACATACTCGATCTTGGGTGCTTCGGAGGGAGTATAGACCTCCTCCAGGAAGGGGAACTCATAGCTCGCGGTATCCTGCTCGTTCAGCCAAATCCAAGTATAATGAATGGGGGGAGGGTCCTACCATAGCGAGTCGCGAGAGTCTGAGAGTAGAGAAGAGGAGACTCTCGACTCAACGACCTAGATAAGCTGACAGCTCAGCCGCAGTCCAGAAGCCCACCAGGTACATGTGATGATAGTAGTGGTGTACTTGCAACCACCGCCAATCGCTTCAAATGTTTCAATCAACACCCGGATATGCGGGCACTCGCGTAAGACGTACAATGGCGGCAGGCGAAGCGAGATGGCTTGCACCGCCCGCGCGGATTGGTCGCTACAAGCCATACACAGCCCATTTCCGGATTCTACGGATCTTATTCGTGAAGCTTAAGGGATGCCAGGGATTGCATTGGCGTGTTGGCTATCTGCAGACTTCTGACTGATCTCGTGTCGTGGGCGTATTCGAAACCAGCCACTAAGCCCGGGCAATGACAGTCTCCTCTGGCATGTCTTCTTGCTTCTCCTTCAGGTTCTGCAAGCAGGGCGCATAGAATAGCGTCCCCCGCCATGCGCCTTCTATCGTCCGCGCAGCCACCACCAAGTAGAGGGAAATTACTGCTGCGCCGAAAATCTGCGCCGGGTCAGCCTACTGTAATTTGTCGTGTTGAAGTGGTGTCAACTCACCGTCCCACAAATCTGGAAAAAGATGAGATCCAGCTCCTTGCCCAGTAGCATGGTGTTTGCTGCGTACACGCCGAGCGGGAATGTGAATCCCCACCAGCCCATGTTGAAGGGGAAAGGAGAGCTGGCGTATATCGTTGCCAGTGCAAAGACTAGCCAGATGATCCCGAACGCCCACATGAGCAGGGATACGAAGATTCCACAGACATATGCGATATCCCCGGCTACAGGGGGCAGGGTGTTGAAGTTTGTTAAGAGCTCCCGCGTGACCTTTCCCAGGTACAAAATACTGACATAGTGTCAGCACAAATGACAACCAGTCTTTCCAATACATAACTCACCTAAATCCACCGAAGCCCAGCGGCCCCAGTGGGAGGAAGCAACTGACGATCGACTCGCGCGATGGAAGCTTGTGCACGGCTAACCGCTGGTAGTAGATCACTAGGATTACCATCGCGAGGGGCGTCGCCATGCCCCACAGGACATAGGAAGCGATGACCGTTCCCATCGCATACGTCGGATCGGGGAGGATATCTGCGACTTCTGCGCCAGCTCCGGAAGCGACAATCGTTGCGGCCATCGGCAGCAGCTGGAGAGCGGTGATGCGTTCCAGCGATGTGACATAATGTTGAGAAATTCTGTCACTTATTAGACCGACTCGCACATGAGTTCGCGCACACTTACAGTATAAAAGAGAGCGAAACGGTCACCGACGCAGCCGCGACAGCATCGACCATCCACAGCGCCCAGGCGAACGTCTTGGCCCAGTCGCCCCAGAGGGGGACACAGACAAACACCCACATCTCGATGAGCGTCGCGAACCCCATCGGACAGGTCGCTAGAAAGAGTGAGTTGACTGGATCCTGAATCATCACGCTCCATATCTCCGGATAGAGCACGTATCGCAGGATCGACATGCTCAGGACGATAGTGAACAGCAGCACATTAATGAGAAAGAAGACGATGGAGATATAGTGAAGGACAGGGTGTCCAAACGGGATGAGATGAAACAGAATGGCCACGATGCCCGTTCCCATCGTTGTCGAGAACCATCTATCTTCGTCAGTGCGGTTTGGTTATGTTGTACCTGGATGAATGACGTACGACGGACTGAAGTGGCTCACGACACGGCGCCAGCCGGCAGAGTATCTGGAGAAACTCCTGCTTCGGGGTTTTGGAGGGGATTCGTCGGTCGGCATGATTGATATCTTTTTAATCAATCGATTCAGATGGCTGTAATGTAGAAGAGGGTGTCGATGGTGATGTCTACTGTAGGTGTAGAAAGATGCTGTTCTGCCTCGGCCGAGAATCGCATCCACCCGACACAGGCGGCGATCGCCGAAACAGTCCTTATAGATCAACACTACATACAAATCATTTCGTCAACGTTGGTAAACACTACCCTCCATACATACTAATGAGCATAAAGGGCAAGATCTGCATCATGACAAATTCGTATGTTCATCTGCATATCAATCTCTTTAGTCACGACAACCTGTTCCGGCCACTACCTACATATGGGAGAGCGAGCTTCAAGAAATCCCCCCGTTACAGGAAATAACTGAACATGTCAAATGACATAGACATCCAGCATGCGAATCAGTGAAATAACGGATATCCGTACGCATCTCGACGAACAAGACCGCTAACACCGGCAGCCTCCTCCAACATCCGGGTATACTTCACACGCTCCAACGACTGCATAGTGGTCGGCCGTCGTTGCCAGCCGATCTCAGTAGGCATGCGTTCATTTCCTATCCCATGGGGGTTAGTCTTTGAGCAACAAACATCCAGATGGGAACACTTACGGAACCAGTACTCGATAAAAGTCTTGTTCACCGTACCAGTCGTCCCATCAGCCATGATCTCAAAGAAGGAAGCACACTCGCCCCAGCTGAAACCATCCGCCAGCAAGGACAGAGAGTGCTCGGGGTTGGTCTGCTCTGAGGTTGCCAGACGGGCCATCCGGGCTTTGGCTACCTGTTCAACGGTGATCATGGGTGTGGTGAAGTACGATGCTGTCTCGGCCCAGACAGTTTCGTTGAAGGGGTTCGGGTCAGCGAAGTATGCATCGGAACGACTTGTGAGGTTAGCGGCCATCTAACCACAGCTTAATCACAGACGAATGACAGAATACCCACCTCAAGCTGATGTCGTGCTCCAGGATGTTGTGACGGCCAAGGTCATGTAGGTTGAAGCTGTTCGTGGCAGGGTACTGAGGGCTGGTCCTGATGGCCTGCGTGAACAGAAGCAAAGCGTCGCTGCGCGCAATGTTGAACCCATCCAACATAGCATCCGCAAGGATGGACAGCGTAATACCTTTTCCATCGTGAGGGAGGTAGCCGTGGTTGGCCAGAGTATTGAGACCTGGACAAGGCCCGCGAGCTAGCCACATACTCCATTAACGCCATTCATGATGTTCAAGCCGATGGCACTTACAGTCCCCTGGACCAGGTGCGACCCATGGCTTGGGTGTCCAGGCCTGGCGAGATTCCATGTAGCCTGGAAACGCGGTGGCTGTGGCGAGAATGCCGCACGCTGCGGACAGGACTGATGTCTTCATTTTGGGTGGGCTTTATGGGGTTAGTTGAATCTTAGCTATAATGGCAATGACAAGAAGTGGTGCACCATCCTCTTGATGGTGCCTTTTATGTTCTTCAGTTGTCATGTCTTCGGTAATTGAGGGGGACCGAGCTACAGGGCGCTTTGCGATCTGGATGCATTCACTCCGCGATGCAGCCAAGACTGGTGTCGAGCGTTGCGAGTTTGATGTAGACTAGTTCGAGCGCCGGCAGTGGTAGGCCTCTCGATAACAGCCGAGGTGAATGAAGTGCCGCAGGGTCGATTTAGCAAATGCCGTCCAACTTGATAACAACTAGCTTAGATGCCGGCAGAGAGGGCTATACATAAGTGGTGGAATCTGGAACGCCCCCTTTGATTATTGGGTAAAGAAGTATAATATCCCCATTCGGTCGGCCTCAGTAGCTCTACAGGCCATACCCAGGTATTCTCGGACACGCTTAGACCACCGGCCATCCGCTCGAAAAGTCCAACACGTTCCAGCCAAACAGCTTCTGACCATCGGCATATCCAATATTAGTATCGACATAGTGATAGTAAAGCACAGGCCCAAGATTCGGGTCCGTGAAGACACCCCTAGATGAAGTCAGCAGGCGGTAAATAAAGAGCAAACGGGAAGCATACTGTCCACCAGGACCGTAGACATTATCATGGCTTTCCAGCACCACAGTGCCACCACCATTGGTGCAGGCAACCCCGTCAGCATCGACCTAGCAACTAACATCAGCACGGTGATATGTTATGAGGAAATGTAGAGACCCACAAAATTGCCAGTCGCCGAAGTCGATCGGCAGACCTTAATCTTATACTCCTGTCCCGCCGCCGGCCGGGACGTATCGTATCCGCAGCAAATTCCCCACGAGTAGAAAAGATAGTAATAGTTGCCGTACTTGTAGAGATACGAGCCCTCCACCGCATGCGTTCCACTCGGATCATATGCAATACCGTAGGAGGAAGAGGCCACCTTCGTCGCCGCAGAATTCATCGGCGCCTGGAAGATGTCGGCCCAGAAAGAGCCGAAATTCATGTAATAGGTACCGCCGTCATTGAACAGATTCCCGTCGATGGCATTATAGTTCTTGGACGAGCTTGATTGGATGCCTGTGCTGCCGTGGTCCGTCCAGGTCCCGGCATCCATGGAGGTGGATGTCGCCAGACCGATAGCCGAGTTCTGACTGCCGAAGGACGAGACGGAGTAGTAGACGTGGTAGACGCCATTGACGATTTGCGCATCGGGGGCCTGGTACTCTCTGTTAGCATGTGGGACACCAGTCCATGTGGCATGGGCACTCACCCAGAGATCGTCATTCCCGGGGAGATCAATACTCGACCCGTCGGGTAACATGGACCCAATCGTGGTCCAGGGACCCTCGATGGACGAAGCCGAGGCGTACGAGATTTTATTTCCCGTGGAAAACCGAAAGTACTTGCCATCCGACTCGCGTCTGATCAGACTGGGGTCATGGATGTTACAAGCCCCCGAGCAGGCCCCGGGTGCTGCATAGCCATGGACGGCCGCGGCCAGCAAAGGAGCCGTAACAACAAAAGAGGCACGCATTTCTGATGCCGAGATCGACAGATGGACAGACTTTTACGGATAGGGTGTGGCAAGAGATACAGGCCATCCTTTAACAGTGCCGTATTTATATCGAGTCCGCATGGTTGCTCCGAGAGGATCCGCCATTAGTGGAACATCCATCCCCCTGAAGAGGGTCAAAGGCGATATTGCAGGAATCTCCGGTGGAGTAAGAGACAGCCATGTGTCTTGGATCTCCTGACCGGCAGTTTGGTGCTTGGCAGGGCTGTAGTCTGAAACCACGGACGTCGAGTCTCGCAGCCACACCGTTTCAAGTTCGGCATAGCGGCAATGAAGGAGTATTACCCTTCGGCGTGGCTGCAGGATTGACTGAACGCGGAGAATTTGCGGGGGATCTTTCTTCATGAATCAGTCAATACTGTCTTCGTCGGATTTACCCGAATCGAGAGGCACAGCTGGCGGTGGTATTCGTATTGGCATGTTCTCCGTATACTGCAATGTTCCACCAATGGATGTCGCAGAGTGCTACAAGTGCCAGAGTCCCCCACTTCGCTTCATACATTTCAATGAAATATAGGTAGCTCTATCGCCTCACAATAACCCGGCCATGACCTTGGTCAAGGCCTCGTCCTCCGCCTGGAATACATCGATCCCGTCAATTCCAGAGTCGGCCACTGGTCTCTCATCGCTCGCGCCGCGTGGTTCAAAATAGAACCCTCCCGCCATCTCAAAGAAGCTGGTGAGATCATCACATGTGTTACGCACAGGATCCTCGAGGTTCTCCGCCGTCGGCACTGGATCTAGGGAGGACAGGGGCCACAGAGGAACCGAGGCCTGTGGCGTAGGGATGCCCGAGACATGGTTCTGGGATTGCGAGCGAGAGAATGACGCTGTAGTCGGGGTGGATATGCACGAGGGAGACACATCCTGGACATAGCCTTGGTGTCCAGTATGCGTGCTTCTCCGCGGCTGCGGCGCTGGCTGCTTTTGATGGACACCCTGCGATCGCCGTGGTGATTTCCCGCCCAAGTTCAATCGAATCAGTTTGAGACTTCGTATGATCTTCTGTAGACGCCGGGAAGTCCGGGCCCGTGTGGATGATTTGCGCACCATCTCAACTGCCACATAGAATTCTGGGCGACAGACCTGGCTGAATCGTGCGGGCGCATGTAGCACGGCAAGGAACAACGCTGCCAGCGCCGAGATCAGGAAATAGTTGAACGGCTCCGGGCGCTGGAAATAAATGTCCGAAACGCGCGAGAAGAAGTTCAACATATGGACGGTGCTCTTTGCAACTTCGACGGCGGTAGAAGCCCCAGCGATGTTGGACTCGATGCTCTCGCTGGTCATCAAGTTCTGTCGGTACACCAGGATGCGCAATTGGTTCGCCTGCAAAGCCAACAATACCTGCAGCATGGCCATATTTTCAGCTTGAGGGTCGGAAACAACCTCAGAGTGCCGAGACGGGTCGAAGCGCAACTCAGGCGGGATGGATTGAATCCATTGCTGGACCTGGAAATCGAGGTACGCACAGTAATCGGACGTCGCCGAACGGGGCCGACTGCGCCAGCCGACTACCAGCTCCCAAATCTTCGTGCTCAGGCGGGCATAGGTGATCATGCAGGTGAGGTACGGTGTGGAGGCGCCTGGCTCGGGCAGATTTATATCCATGTCGGAGTCCTGTATGGCAAAGGGCAGACCGGTTCCGAATGACCATTTCCGGTCAAGGACGTATATACACCAAAAGAGCCTCGTCGCCCAAGTCCACTGCAATTCCCCGGGAAAGACACCGCCGGTGCGGAGCCAGGTCTCCTGGCAATGAAGACCCAACTGCATGGCCCCACGGACAGCCAGTCCGATAAGACGCCAGGCAATCACTTCGTCGTCGCGATAGGAATGAAAGATGGACTGGGGTATTGGTTAGACAGTCCTTTCCAAGGGATTGACCACGGAAATCATTTACCAGCAGAGTCAAACACAAGAGTTCCTTCATATCGACCTCTGGGATTTTCATTCGCTCCCCAAACCGATCCTCGACGCTATCGGCCAGCAGGGCAGCCCTCTCACTCTGCCCATGGGACTCAGCCAACAAGGCCGTAGCCAGGATGATCTTCAGGACCTCCACGTTTCGAGCAAAGAACCAGTCCTGGTCGGCGGTGGCAGGAGACATGGGTCCACGTTGGCGCCCGCTCCGAAAGTAGTCCTTGACATAGGTGCGCACGCTATCCAGATCGACGCACGGATACATGATGCCCACGGTGTTCTCGTACACAGTCACCAGACGGAGAGCCTCCTCCATGTCCAGACACCCAAGGGGATCCCCTGCTATGGGCTCGGTATCCCTAGGGGCCGCGGGGCTCGCGGCAGCGGTGGACACGAAGTCGTCGGCGTCGCTATCGTCGGAGGCCTTCTGTCCAGCAGAGATACCGAATTCCGCACTTGTTGGGCCGACGTAGGTGGGAGACATGGGGCGGTTCATGATACGTTGGAGACCTGCATTGAGTGAGGACGATGACACCGTCGACATGGTAGTGTGTACGGTCTTTGTGGTGTTTGTGGGGGATGTCGCCACAGCCTCTAGTTGTCGCATGCGAGCGGCCATTGCCCGCATCTCACTCTGGAGGATTTCAATCTCCCGGTCGACGGCTTCGAAGCGGGACGACACTCTGGATACGTTAGCCTGAATTAACTACACTGATATGTCGGCGTTTGTCTCTTACCCATCATGTGCGCCCGTCTGCTCCAGGGAAACTGCCCGGTTGACCACATTCGGCCCTGGGGCGTAGATGCAGGGCACACTGTCGCGCGCGCATCGCGCACAGACAGGCTCCCCGCTGCACTTCAACTTGCGTCTCTTGCACTCATTGCTGAGAGGAATAGTGCATTAGTAGGTCACCGACTCGGGACACTATGGAAAGGGGAATACACACCAGGCCACTTGAGTGTACTTAGCGCGTTTCTTGCTCCGAGACTGTTCCGGGGAGTCGGTACGTCGCTTAGGCGACTCATGCTCCATCATTTGACTAAAACGAGCCCCTTACGTTGCTCTATCCAACATCAGACAATCGGCGGAGAAGCCCAGAGGTTCCGAGGGTGGATCAGGCCATGGTGGTGGTGGGATTCATAAGGAGAGCGACATCGGCCGTTCCGAGATTTCCGAGATTTCCGAGCGTCGCTGCCTGCCTGTCTATCACCCAGCCATCCGCTGTCGCCTTGTACTTTTTACCCACGTTTTATGAGGTACATAGTGGAATAATAATGATCGTCACAATATATATCAGAAGCTCGCTATATGTACAAAATACCAAGGTTTAGGATACCACCCCGGCTATATCGGGGGTCCATTCCGCCCATCCAATGCATTCCACAGGTAGTCATGAAACATGAATCTCCAGCCTTATACACAAAATACATCTTTCGCACGCCCTCAAATGTGGGCATTCCGGCAACACTCTGAACTCTTTCCGACAACGACCGAAGCGCCATTCTTGCTCGAAGGCACGTCTAGCGCCGGGTTTTCGGTGAAGAAGTCCGCCGGACGGATCATGAGCTGGAAGATCTCAACCGGCCTGGATACGTGTTAGTATGTCGGAATCAGTGAACAATGTCGAAGAACTTACATCACAGGCCAATCCTCCACGCGAGGGTTGTGGGTAATGCCAAAGGTGCTCCAGACCACAACGTCCGTGTCCTCCACCACCTCACCACGCTTGACAGCGTCGGCCACACCATCCGCTTCCTTCTGACTCTGCAGAGTGTAGCGGCCACCGGCGTAGTACTCCTCATCACGGTACTTAGTCACCCACACGTGGTGCTGGGCGAACTGAGCACGCTGGGCTTGAATCGACTTAGGGTCAGCCAGCAAGGTCTGCGTCGCCAATGGCGTAAACTTGTAGGCGACTGGCTTCTGGCTGATCGGGTTGATCTTGTGGGGGTTCACCATCTTGATCACTCGGTTGAGCTGCGGCGCAGCATCCAAGTAGGTGGCGCGCTGCACGGTCGTGTTGGTGACCTGGTAAAAGTTGCCCATGGGGTTGGTAGCCTCGTTCATGGGGACCGGGTGGGATTCCTCGACCACAACAGAGTTGTTTTCACCGTCCACAGCCGGGTCCATGCGGACACAGAAGATGTGCTGGTGGTTCTGAGCCAAAACACCGCCACTCACGACGTTTCCGTACTCGCTAGTCTTGCCAGCATCAATGTTCACCACGTTGAGGATACCGGTGGCACGAGACTCCACGGTGATACCACCAGCCTGGTCGAACTTGTAGGCGAAGATGTATTCGTAGTTGGCTAGCGTGATGATGAACTGGACGACCAACTCACGATGACGAGTTACGACCGCGCGACCAGTACGCCAGTTAGAGTGCTTCCAGCCAATGCCGTTGTCCTGCTCGTGCAAGCAGATCGCATTAGGCAGCTTCTGAGCGGTGCCATCAGGTCCGGTGAGGACAGCATCGAAGTACTTGATGACACCCAAGCAGTCACAACCAATAGACAGGTTGTTGGCCATGTTTCCGCCACCGCCGTCACCGAAGTCGAACGCCTGCTTACGATGGAAAGGAGGCCGAGGATCGGCATAAGGTACAGTCTGGTAGTTCGGTTAGACTTGAGTCTCATACTAGAACTGGTTTGACTCACCATCTCACTAATCGCCAGACGGTACATGACACTCCGGCCATCATACCAGACATCGTGGATCGTGGCACCCTCGCGAGGGTTGAAAGCCACACGGAACCGCCACTTCTGCCACTCGACAAGAGACTCGTTGGTAATACGGAATGAAGGACCCTCGGGCTGGAGCACGTTGAGAGGCTTAAGATCCTTTCTCGTTCCTTGGGGAAGTAGCTCGGGGACGTAGTCCGAGTCCTTGCAGTGTCCGATGATATCGCGCTTGAAGGTCTGGTCCTGAAGGCCGTCACCTTTTCCTCCAGTTGCGGGACGGTCGACTCGAATGATCTCGCGGGTCTCGTAGTCCATGACGGGGATGATGGGGAGAGGGAAGGAGTAAAAGTTGGCATCGTCGTTGTTCTTGCGCTTGTTGGTGGCGAAGCACAGACCCTGGAAGAATCGCTTATGATCATCGGCGAGATCGCGACCACCATATGGCCAGGGCTCAATGACCAATTCGAAGCCTTCTGGGAGGTCGAACTCAGCCAGGGCGGACTTGAAGAGAGGAGAGGCCATGCACGCCTCGATCAGCTCCTCAAACTCGGACCTGGGCCAGAAGGTTAGCAAACTGAACGTTCAATCACACAGGCTAATAGGGAACATACACCGTCAAGGCAGCAAAATGCTCCTTTCCCACAATATGATGTTGCACACGCTTCCGCGTGCCCACATCGACCTTTGCCTCCTGATATACATGAACACGGTCCCCGCCAACGACATCGTACTGGACCAGAGCCAGACGAGGCGGACGAGGAGTAGTTGGGCTCAAACGACCCGCATGCTCGAGTGCCAGGAACTCACGCAGCTCTGCCTTGGGGGGTTCGGAGAGGTAAATCTCACGGAAGTGAAGGACGGCGTTGGGGTGCAGGGATCTGATGACATCGCGAGCGATGTTGGTCTCCTCTTCAGTGAGGATGGCGAGGGGGTGAGGCACCATGGTCACAGAGGCAACGAAGAAGAATCAAGAACGAGGAGGGTAAGAGTTGACAAGTTGAAAGAGACAAAGAAGTCCTCCCCGCAGAGCGGTCCGGCCGTTTTGTACCTCTGTAGCGTTTCCCTTTCCACTTTGGGACAAACCTGCGCGGACCAATAGTGGAGGCGCATAGCTCGGAACCTCGGAAACGTCCAACGTCCGGAATCGTTCCGTAACCCAAAGCGGCAAGTCCATGCGGAATGCTTATCGATAAGCAATTGGTACATAGTAGTACTACGTTGGCCCTTTGACTATCGCGATAGATCCCCCGCATGCAGTCTCCGCATTACGTTGGATAAACTTCATCCTTCGACCGACTATCAGTCGTATCTGACATCAACATACGGATGAAAATGAGGGCTTCACATATACTCAGAATCATCCACTGGGTCGTTCCCATCATCAATTCCTCAATACATGTTCCTATATAGAATCATCCAAAACGCCATCACACCTATATCCAAACGCCTTTCTATCATCTGACTAGAGACGCTTCAGAAAATTCGACTCGTACTGGGTTTCATCCATAGCGGCTTTTCGCACTGGTGAGTCTCCCGCCACCGCTGTATCTTCTTGGTATCCCATCCCGCTGACAACTGCACATCAGACGTGAATGGTTTGTTAGCTCCCAGCCGCATTGTCCGAACGAAGATGCAGTGACCGGCGTAGTCATATGTGTACGACAGGCACTCCGCGTGATTATGACAAGCATCCCGGCAGGCGTCGAACGAGGTATGCGCGGCGGAATCCGGGGGCTCCTGAAATCCACCCCAGTCGCCATTGTCCCATTCAGACTTCCGCTCAAACGTGCCCAACTGCAGATAATCGAATAGGTCAGCGTACAGGAGAGGTTTCTAGATGGAACAGTTAGTTCAGAACCTGGCTATGAAGCATACTCGGCGCAACACCATACCGTTCGGTCCCGCTGGTTCTCCCATTCTGTCAGGCCTTTCATATCCGACAACGACGTCTTATGCATACTAATTACCGGCTGACACCAATATGCATTGTCGAACGGGATCCCATGTAGCGGATGAGGGTTGAACATGGGCCAGAGCCCAGACAAGGAGACTCCTTTTTCATACAACGCCCACCCCAGTACGGAATCCCCACAGCAATCCGCCTTCACGATGTCTTCATACCTCTGGCTGAGCGGAGCCTCGCTATACTCCCCATAGGGTCCTGCCTTTCGAGAAACCAACTTCTCTACTGCGGCTCTCGAGAGAACGAACCCGGCCCCGCCGTATGCAAAGAATGATCGTTCCTTATCACTAATGCTTCTGCCCGGGCTCGGCGATCCAAAATACAGGGCCACGGAGGGATCGAACTGGTCCAACAGTCGGAACAGATTATCCCAAACGTAGTAGGTATCGGACTCGAGGAAGACAAACCAATCTGCCGTCGGGTTTATCTCATGCGCGCGTTCCACCATGGGCAAGAACTTGTAGCGATCCAATTCCCAGCCCTGGCTGCTACTGATGGCGTTGTTATCGGCTCGTTGTAGGACATCGTATGCTTCAAAGGCAGAGGTGTTGGCTCGGAACGACTCGGGTAGGGTCGCCAAGATGTTATGAACCCGATGACCCTTGATCTCGGCTTCGCGATCGGAGACAATAATCAAGTTCGAGATGCACCGGGTGACGGTTGACGTTTGGGTGTCGAGACGCTCGGGACTTTCGGACGCGCCGATTTTCAGCACCACCTGGATGCGCGAAAGGAGATATGTCGGGAAGGACTTGCAGAACCCGGGATCATCGATATCGCCGCTGCTACTATTATGTACGGGGACGAAGCGGGAGGTGGTCTCCCAGTCCCAGTGGTCGACCTCGTCGGTCGGGTCGGCCAAGTGAGGGTACCAGTCGGAAGCATGGAGCGATGGATGGCGAAATCCTAGGCGGAGGACGGAGGAGACGATGAGGACCAGACCGATGAAGAGGATGATATTGCCGGTTTTGCGCGACCAGGGCATTTTCGCGGTGATTATGCGCACGTACTGAGATGCGGCATCGACGAGATCAATGAGGGTATTTATGAGGGATTCGATGATCGGGACATTCTCATCCTAATATCTGCAAAGGAAGATGGTATATATGCAAAGATTTATGCAGAAGGGAAATACTCTGGTGAAGTGGGAGCATGTTAAGAACGATCGGAGGCCGAAGCCAGGTCGCACAGAGGGAACCAGAATCCGACGGTGACCCTGGGTCCCTGATAAAAGATTGACAGGCAGACCCGTTCTCTGGTTCTATTCTGGGGCAAATTCACGGCAGACAGCACCAGCACCGACGATCCCCAGTGGCAATATCGATATACTTGGGAGGATGAGGATGCTAGGTACACCCCCAGAGATCATCCGTCCTTCATTATCTGGTGTCTGTCAGTAGGATGTGCATGCCGGTAGTTCCTTTTTATGAGAATTATATTCTCATCTCTTGTCTCTTGATCTGTACTCCGTACTGTTGGGATCGTCCTTTGGAGACCACCTTGGGCAGTTGAGTTGAGGTCATCCCCACCGTCTCTTCCGCCGGTCGAATCAGTCTGCGTTCCAATGAAATCATCACCCGTCCGATTTTGCTGGAACTGTCACCCTTCCATTTTCGTTTCTTCTACATCTCAGGGACAGTCACAGTAGCATCAACTACTGTTCTTCTTGACACTCAGTAGACTTCTTCCGGATATCGAGATGGTTCTGACTCGTGAATAGTGGGAGAAATCTTTCTCGCAACATGCGGACCAGATGACATCAACGCTGCAGGACGATCATAATTTATGGTGGGGCAGGAGTATGAATAAGGTAGCTTATTTCCACCCGTATATGTATTTCCACGTGCCCTTTCCATGACTAATCCATGCACGAGATCGTGTTTACATGGACCCTGGAAGAAATGTCCATGAACAAAGCAGGGGATCTCTCCCATCGCCATACTAAGGTCCTAGAATCCATCTCATCGGGAACATCTTCATCCTTGCCCGATTAGGTTCTGCCATGACTCCTAAGTCGGCCCACGTGGGCGATCCGGCGCCATCACTGGCTATTACCCCTTGATGTGAACCATCACAAACACTCCTAAGTACCTCCCTATTTATTGTCCTGATCTCTGCTTCTCCTCCGAGGTCATGTCCTCTGTCTATCAGGCATTCCTCGACATGATCTCCCTGGCTCTCGCCCTTCTTTCCGCAGGGACTCCCTCTCTGGCGTCCCGCAACTCCTTCTACCCGCCCTTGGACCACACCACCTACATCTCCAACACCTCTCTCGGCACGTATGGGGGCATCTATTCCGCCCCGGCCAGCCATGCGAGCCCTCCCCGCACAGGAGACCCTTACAACTACTGCACGATGCCTCATCCGCGCGTAGAATCGTATTCTCTTCCGCCTCCTGTGGCCAATCACTCCGTCTCCGCGCGTCTGGTCTACCTCGAGTATGTCCAGCGCCACCAGCGACGCACCCCCTACAACATTCTGCCCGGCGGAGAGGTACGCCCCTGCAGCAATGTAACCGCCTTCCCACTGTATCTGTATTGACAGTCCCAGAACCAACCATACAACTGCGACAACATCAACGCCTATCTCTACGCGACGCCGTCACAGGGTGATCCTGCCTCGGTCCCCGTCTACGGCCAGGCGTACACTGACCCGTCCAACCCGTTCCTCGCGTCCTATGTGAACGGCAGCTGTCAGTACCCCCAGTTAACCCTGGGCGGTCTTCTGGACGGGTATCAGCACGGTCGCGATCTCTGGGCCGTGTACGGGGACAAACTCGGGCTCTTTCCCGCGACCCCCGACGAAAAGGACCGCAAGGTCTGGTTCCGCTCCAGCTCCTCCGCCATCACCCAGGACACGGCTAGCGGCGTCTTGCGCGGCATCTGGCCCGACCACCAGGCGTCCATCCCCCTCCATCAACAGGCCGCTGGCATTGACACCGTCAACAAAGGCTTCCCCTGTCCCGCGCAAGACGCGATCCTGTCGGCCATCCAGTCGACCCCCGAGTGGAACGAGCATCTCACGGTGACTGAGCAGCTACGGAACCAATTAGCTGACATGTTCGATGCCGGCGATGACGCCGGCTGGACGTCCACCTTTGATCACTTCTGCGACAACTTCCAGGCGCGTCTTTGCAACGGGTACGACCTCCCGTGTCGGGTTGGTGACGACGCGACTTGTGTCACGAGGGAGCAAGCAGACGAGGTATTCCGCGCGGGCGACTGGGAGTGGAACTACTGGTGGCGGCACAATGCCAACGCGACGCGGTACATCCAGCTCGTGGAAGGGCTGTTCATCGGCGAGATCGTGCGGCAGCTGGAGGCGGTCAAACGGGGGACGTCGAGTGTCGTCTACAGCCATAATTTCGTCCATGATGGCGATGTAGGTCCGATCCTTGGAGCGCTGGGAATTCGCACGCTGCGGTGGCCGGGGATGGCGTCGAACATTGCAATTGAAGTTTGGTAGGTCCTGTGGCCGTGGAGGTGGGAAGTCTGCTAACGAAGATAGGGAAACCTCAACGTCCGAATTCTACGCCAGAGTTTTGTACAGTGGACATCCGGTGGAGACCGTCCATGGCGTCCTGGACTGGATCCCATTGTCGGCCTTGATGGATATCTTGAAACCCTTTATTCCGGAGGATATTATTGCAATGTGTAATAGCAGCTGATATGGCTAGATTCTATATAGAGTGTTTAATTTCCCAGTCCGTCCATTGAAATCAATCTTCGCAACAGTAACAATAAGCACCGTCAGAGCAACACTGCGGAAACCGGCCATGACAGCAGACAGCGTGGGAACAGGGGGGTGAACAGATATAGCAGCCTTGTTCGATCAGTATTGAACCTGCATGCATTATCGACTCGACTAACGTTCGTTCTCCAGCCCAAGAACAGTCTGGTCCGCTGAGCGGGCCTCGGCCTTTACCTCTCGTTTGAGAGCAGGTCTCATATCTACCCATGTTAGGATCAGATTTGTTGTATAGACAGTGGTGCATACGTGTATGGTGCTCTGCTCCGATAACGCAGATACCCCAACCCAGCGCCCACAGGTAGGATGTTCTCATGTTGTACAAAGGAGTTCTCGATGGAAAGTGTCTCACTTTGATGGGATTTAGGTAATAATGAAGGGTGGTGTTTCTCATATATTCTGGCGTGGTGGTTTGCTAGAGTCAGCTGCAACCATCAGCTGCCCGTCTATCCTCACCTGACGAATCCTCCACAATGCACAACGGCTCACTTGAACAGGACATGCATCTTTGTTAGAAAATACATAGTGTGCTTTTAAAAAATATGTAGCGAGTGTTCTAGGAAATAAAATTAGTGCGAGTTGTTTATTGGATACTTAGAATATACCACGTTCGCATCACGCAGCTCCTCATATATATAGTCTGCCCGGAGAATTATGACATGAATGCGACATATCCAGACGCTATTTATGTTCCTACCACACTTCAAGTATGGACAATGAACCCACGCCATAATGTAGTCCTTTGGATTCTATCACGGAATCGACGTCATCTGGAATCATGATAGAGTGAAGTATCCCATGTACTTACCCTGAAGTAGATAAGAATACTAAACGAAGAACAATTGAAATCAAATTCATGTTGGTAAAAGTCAACATTGTACGGGCGGAATCGAGACATTCTTATATAGGAGCATACATTTTCTACATGATTTCCAGATCAGGGACCTCTATGACGGTTATGTTTTCCACATGTCTACATAACTTTCAACATAAACTATAATCAACATCATCTCCATCGTGATCATTACCGAATTGTTGACTGATATCGAGGTCATACTGTCATCAAGCATGGCTTCACACCTGGGTCTCAACCGTATTTCTTCTACGCACAGAAAAATGTGCCCTTTCCATCGTCCTTCAGAGATAGATTCCCTGTCTAGAAGAATACCAATATGCTGCTCGGTATCCTCCCGCGTCCACGAGGACGCCGTTTCTCTTCTCGCAGAGCATGGTTCCCTTACTGCTTGATCGTTACTGCTGCTCTACTCTATACTACCTTCTACGGGACTTTCAATTTTTTCGACGCCATCTCAAACGTCTTGTCCTCATACGTACCGTCGTTTGACTGCCCTCTGTTCTCTGACAGCGTGATTCTACGTCCAGGAAACTTCATTGACCCAACTCGTCAAAAAAAGTATCCAGACGCCCCAGAGGGACCTTCTTTCCTGGCACCCGAAACAGCAGGAATCTTGCATGATATACGGTGCGTTGGAAGAAGATCAATCACCAGGGGACCATTCTAACCCAATCAACCACAGCGACGACAGGTTCTACTCCGGAGGAACACTGTCCTTGACCACCCAGACCGAGCCTTTCGAGGCCCCACCATCACCCATCGTCTATGATCCGTACCCCGACTACAACAGCAGAGAATGGAAGCAACAGTGGAAGGGCTATTTCTACCGGTGTATTGGGCCTCGGGGAACATACCTGGACCACACGAGCCCGGACGACATGGTATCTGCTTACCCTGGTACCCAAAGAGGTAAGGCTACATAAGTAGTTCAATGTCCATTGTGTTCTGACTGTTGCAGATTTCCCCTTTCCTATGTTTGGCTCCTACGACGCCATCGATCTCGATGGGAACGTCTGCTTCGATCGCTACTCTCGATATAAACCCTACGGATATGGCTTGGATACTGGAGTCGACGTCCCAGCAGCCCATCCCTCGGTAAACGTTACCTGGGATGAGGTTGACTGGGCCGACTTGCAAGCCCAGTGCCTGCACAGAAATGCAAGGAGATACAAAGGACATCCGACCAAGCGGCCCCCGGTCTCCCATCCGCTTACGCAGTCTTTCTCCAAGTCCGAAGCTCCACTTTTGATGCAGGAACCGTCCGCCCCCGTGTCGGGTCCCCAGTATCAGCCGCGGTCTGCAGTCCTCATTCGGGCCTGGCATACGATCAAGTGGACACCAAACCATCTTCAGTATCTCCGGTCTCTCATAATGGAGCTGTCGCTGCACTCGGGTGCGGAGTATGAGGTGTTCCTGCTGATCGACGTAAAAGACGACTTTCTGCCGATTTTCTCAGATGCGAGTACCGTTCGATATCTGAAAGATTTGTTCATCCCTGCGGAGTTCCGAAACATGACCATCTTTTTCAATAACAAGCTGCTGGAAGGATGGTATCCCCTGCTCGAGGAACACAGGTACTGCCCTTTCCATTACCCGACGGCAAGCCCATCATGCACCGAATCTAACCCATCCAGACCAATGTACCAGCACCTGCAGCCGGTGCAGATCTTCTCGCAACTGTACCCCGACTTCGACTACTACTGGCAGTTTGAGATGGATTCCCGGAACACCGGACATATGTACCACTTCCTCGACCGAGCCGTCGAGTTCGCCAAGCAGCAGCCGCGGAAGTATCTCTGGGAGCGCAACGCCTACTTCTACACGCCGGGGGCCCACGGTCCATGGGAGCAGTTTATGGGAATGGTCAATGAGTCGATGGTCGGCCGACGGAGTGTCTGGGGCCCTGTTCCCGCCAAAGGCATCATGCCAACTGGGCCAATGCCGCCGGTGTCAACTCCAGAAGAAGACGACTACGAATGGGGAGTGGGCGAAGAAGCAGACCTCATCACCTTCCTGCCGATCTTCGACCCCAGCGAGACGACCTGGACGTTCCCGGATACGCTGTACAACCTGCCCCTGGAGACACCGCGACGCGCCTCGCCGGTGACCATGTGGCGGCTGTCCAAACGGCTGCTGGACCTGATGCACCACGACCAAGCGACAACAGGCATCGGTCTGGGGTCGGAGATGTCCGGGCCGACGTGGGCGCTGTGGCATGGGTTCAAGGCGGTGCATGTGCCGCATCCGCTGTATCTGGACGGACATTGGACGGCAAAGGAGCTGTCGCGGGTCTATAACCCGGGCGAACCGGACAAGATTAACGGCGGGCCGCATAGCGTCTGGAACTGGAACCACATGGTCGACCGCATCATGTATCGCTTCTCGTACATGTTCACGACCCAGACTGCGGAGGATCTGTACCGACGGTGGTTGGGATATCCTCCTGATCCGAGTGAGCGGGAAGATGGGCGACTGGTAGGGACTTTTGTTGACTGCTGCAATGACGTGACTGACTGACTGTTTTAGCCCAAGGATACGTGGGGTTTGATGTGGTACGAGGGAGGACAATTGGTATGTTTCACTCCTTGTTCATCATGTGCACCTTTGGGAAACATTGACGCCGATTATAGAATGAGGAAACCTATGGTCGTCTGTGTTTTCCGCCCATGTTCCTCCACACGATCAAGAATACGGAGCCTGAGAAGGGACCCGACAAGGCTGTACCTGTGTGAGAATTAGGGGAGTTTAGTAAGATCATCTCCAGCGTATGGAAGAAGCGCAGGATTTGCTGCCTGATAGTAGTAGCAATAATACTTAGTAGTAGTGGTAGTAGTACTAGTCTGAGAATGCTTGATTGGCCCCATCTGGTTATCTCCATTTTATCTCCATCTTGATTAGAAATGCGGATCCGCCATCATCCACCTTCATCATCTTCGCTTCCTCCTACAACTCTCTCCCGATGGATCCAGGGTGAATCGCCCTATCTAACATCATGGCTTTGCAAGAACAACCACCAGTACCGATTGAGGAGGAATCGCCCACTGAAGCGACTCCCCTCCTCCTGCATTCGCCGGCCGAGGAAGATGGCCGCAAAGTGCACGTCTCGTTTCTTCAGGGACTCACCATAGTCGCGTCGACTGGGCTATTGCTGTTCATTCAGGGTATTTATTGCATCGGCGGTGTTATGTCCAAAGACTGACTCCATTGAGCCACCAATATGTCGATGATGACCACCGCCCAGTCCGACATTGCAGCCGATCTAGACGCGTTCTCCGAGACAACCTGGTTCAATTCGGCGTATCTGGTAGATCACCCTCAAGGCATGCTGCATGGCTAAGTCACTGACCCTGTCAGATCGCAATGTCCAGCGTCACGCCTCTTGCAGGTCGGCTGTCTCAGATTTTCACCCCTCGGGTGTATATCCTCTTCTCCTGCGCCGTTCTCGCCATCGGGTTGTTTATCACGGCGGCTGCGCAGAGTCTCGCAGTGTTCCTCTTAGGACGAGCGGTTAGTGGGTGTGGAGGCGGAGGGTTGATGGTCACTGCGATCATTCTCACTCTTGATCTCACCAGCAAGAAGCGGCGAGGTTTATTCATAGGTCTGATCAACGTTGGAATGACAACGGGTGTATCGTCCGGCGCAGTCCTGGCTGGTCTCTTGACTCCGACTTTTGGATGGGTATGTTTTGTCTGCTGCGATGTTTCTGTTCCGCGTATCCACTGACAGATTATAGCGTATCATCTTCTGGATCCAAGCGCCGGTAGCGTTGCTTCTCGGTCCGGTCCAGTTTCTGGCTATCCCTCCTCCCAAAGAGGATCAACATGGGTCTTCATCTGGTCACTCACTACTACGGAAACTGGCTACAGTCGACTATGCCGGGGCATTTGCGCTGGTAAGACCGGCCAAACTGATTACTCCGTCCAGTCTAACATTCTAGGCCGCGTCTGTCTTCCTGCTACTCTTCAGTCTGTCTTCTCCAGAGATCCCGCTCCCACCTCTACTCCTCTGCTTTGTCTTCTTCGCGGCCTTCCTGATCATCGAATCCAAATATGCTTCGGAACCAATCATCCCGACGGAGGTCCTCAAAACCCGGAGTGTGTTGTTGACCTGCCTCGGAGGATTGATCTCAATGATGGCCCGCTGGTCGGTCCTTTTCTTCACCCCAGTCTACGCGATGGTCGTCCGCGACTGGTCCCCGGCCTCAGCCGGGCTGATCCTCGTGCCCACGAACGCCGGCTTCGGCCTCGGTGGGTTACTGGTTGGCTGGATACACATCCGCAAGACGGGCAGTTACTACATGTGGGTGGTGCAACGTCCGTTGATACGTCCTTGCTAATTGCTTCTTACAGATCCTGCCTAGCAGCTTTCCTGCTGTTCGCCCTCGCCAATCTCGTCCTGTGCCTTTTGTCCACTCCGTCTTCCCCTGCAGTAGCCTATCTGGCCACCACCTTCTTGAACGGGCTCTCCGTCGGGGCGTTGATGAATTACAGTCTGTCGCATATACTCCACCTGACCCACCCAGACGTGCACTATGTGGTGAGCGCGCTGCTGGGCATGGCGAGGGGCTTCGCGGGGAGCTTTGGCTCCGCGGCGGGCGGGGGATTCTTCCAGCGCGAGTTGAAGCAGAACCTCGAGCGGGGATTCGCGGTGCATGATATCCCGCAGAAAGACGAGTTGGTGCGGAAGCTCCTGGGGAGCCCGGCCTTGGTGAAGACTCTGTCTGGGATCGAAAGAGCGGTGGCGGTCCAGAGCTATGAGCAGGCCGTCAAGATGCTCCTGCTGGGGGGCTGTGTGCTGGCGCTCGTGGCTACTGTTGCCCAAGCGGGAACCGGCTGGACATCGTATGCTGATCGAGAGAAGCGGGAACAAGAAGATGTGGAGCGAAGCACATAGATAGTAGATGAGGTTATATATAGCGTATTTGTTGATGGGCTTTTATCGGTTTGGTGCTACGCATTAGGGCCATACCAATTGTCTAAGTCTATCTGAGGCTACATAGGTATATCTTGGAAATAATGAGATTGGACTGATCCAATTTTTAATTCTAATACTAGCATAGAACGGACACGGGATACCAGCGACCCGTGCTGCAGCGGCCGTTGTTGATGCCTTGGTGCCTGAACCCTTCCGCTTCATCTCCGTTACCCACAGACGATTTGCTCTTCACCTCATACATACCCCAGCACAACCGTTTGGATAATATCCCACACCACAATAACTCCTCGCTCTCTACACAATGCCCCGCGCAGTCCGAGGTATTGATTATCCCAAGGCTTTCCACTTCGTATCCATCTAACTCTCCTCGCAGGTGTCCTGATCGAGTGCGACCCGTCGGTCAAAGCCATCATCCTCAAATACGACGAAGAAAGACACGACTACATTGTGGAAGATCTCGACGATGACCGTCACCTGGTAATCAAGGAAAGCCAGTTGCAGAATCTGAAAGCCAGACTCGGCAGGGTATGGATTCCATAGCTGGATTACATGGCCTCCATGCCAGTTTGCTAACGAGCGGCAGGAGCTGGACGAGAAGGTCATGCAACCCGACGAATCCGAATCCGAATAAACAGGACAACGACGAGACGCTACGAGAACTCCCTACTACTTGCGCACACCCTGTCTTAATCGTCACACCTATTCCCCCTCTCCACCCATCCGAACCACCATGACGCCGCCAGGGCATCCATACCGACGAATCGATATCTGACATGCCAACATCATCAGACGCACTACCACAGTCCACTCTCACCTGCACGGTCGAGAAGTTTCTACAACAAGGGTTGTTGAAGTGACTGGCGCGTCCGCCTGGGGTTCTCCAGTCAGGCGAGGAAGAGTCTGGAATGTCCATGAACCCGCCCATGTATGGCACACACCCCTCAGAGAGTCTGTGGTGAATAGCACTCGATGTAATCCCCAGCCAATAATTCAGCTCCCTATTGCATCACCCATACACCTGTGGCATGATCTGCCCATGTCTGCGAAAGTCACGTGACGCAATCGAACCGCCGAGAATATGCGGGCATCCACCAGCGCCTACAACCAAACTCCAGCTGCTTCAGGAGCTCCCCAGAGCTTGCCACACCTCACGTCACAGCTCCCCCTCCTCGAGCTTTCTCGAACCATGCCTCGAAGCTATATATACGACCTCAGGGCATGCCCATGGGGTCATCATCTCGACCAACAATCAAGCAAGAACATCAGAAGCTCTAGTTGACTCAAAGCGCTCTACACTTTACAACCACCATCACATCTTCCACATCAACCAAACCAACCACAATGTCGCTCTTCCGTACCATCCCCAACCCCGGTGACTTCTCGCCTCTTTTCCGTCTTCTGGACGACTACGATATTCACCGGTCGACCAGAGGCCAGACCGGGGCGGTCCGCTCGTTCGCGCCCCGCTTCGACGTGCGCGAAGCCAACGACGCCTACTACCTTGACGGCGAGCTGCCCGGCATCGCGCAGAAGGACGTCGACATCGAGTTCACCGACCACCAGACCCTCGTGATCAAGGGTCGCACCGAGCGCGAATACCACTCTCCCGAGGGCGGCGAGGAAAAGCCCGCGGCTGAAGGCACCAGCAGCGAGGTGGCCAAGACCGGCGACAAGCAAGTGTCCAAGTCCGACCGCGCCAAGCACCACTACTGGGTGAGCGAGCGCTCCGTCGGCGAATTCCACCGCACCTTCAGCTTCCCGACCCGCGTCGACCAGGAGAACGTCAAGGCCAGCCTGAAGAATGGCATCCTGTCTGTGGTGGTGCCGAAGGCTGCTGCTCCTACCGGCAAGAAGATCACCATTGAGTGAATGAATTGAGACGATCATACGACGACATGGTAGCATGGTTGATTGCATTTGAGTTGTTGCATCTGCAGTGTGTTTCGATGGTTGCATTTTCGGAGTTGAAATTGACAGTCATTGCGATGGATTGAGTTTGGATTGCTTGATAATGTTCTAACAATAGTTGTTAATCAATTTGGCTGTTGTTATTCAATTTAAGAGGTCTGTCGTAGACTGTATTCCGTAAGAGTAGAGATCATAAAGATCATTAATCATATCCGGTCGATGCCTCGGCACGTGAAGGGCCGACAACAACCAAACGACCCCAACCTCTTTTCTACATCTTTATAACACTTCCAACCTATACATTGCATCTATCCCAGAGATAGACAAACAACAAGACAGCAGAAAAGACAACTCTCGTTCCCGTCTACTCCGCGCCGACACCTCCACATTCCGTTACCGAGGTCCAGCTCCGCGGACTACCACACACGACGTATATAGCAGCTCCTCCAGCATCACTCATAATTCACACCACCAAACACCGTCAACATGGCATCCACCTACACCTACAAATACTTCAACGTCACCTTCCCGCAGGAATATGTCGCGCACGTGGAAATCAACCGCGCCGACAAGATGAACGCCTTCTTCGAAGCGTACGCTTCCTTCCCACCTATACCCGCCCACCCACTAACACAGCTCCAGGATGTGGCTCGAACTCAGCCAGGTCTTCACGCGCCTCTCGCACGACTCCTCCGTGCGCGCCATCGTACTTAGCGGCGCCGGCGAGAAAGCCTTCACCGCAGGCCTAGACGTCAAGGCCGCGTCGCAGGGCACGCTCGGCAGCGACGCCAGCTCGGGGTCGGCGGACGCCGCGCGCAAGGCGGTCGCGCTGCGGCGGCACATCGCCGAGTTCCAGGACTGCATCAGCGCAGTGGAGCGGTGCGAGAAGCCGGTGATTGTGGCGATGCACGGGTTCGCGCTGGGGCTGGCGATCGATCTGAGCACGGCGTGCGATGTGCGGGTGTGCGCGGCCGACAGCAAGTTCGCGGTGAAGGAGGTGGACATCGGGCTGGCGGCGGATATTGGGACGCTGAGTCGGCTGCCGAAGGTGGTGGGGAACTTTGGCTGGGTGAAGGAGGTGGCGCTGACGGCGCGGGTGTTTGGCGCGGAGGAGGCGCTGCGCGTGGGGTTTGTGAGTGGTGTGTATGAGAGTAAGACGGCCGCCGTGGCGGCGGCGGTTGAGCTGGGCGTTCTGATGGCGAGCAAGAGTCCTGTTGCGGTGCAGGGGACCAAGGAGATTTTGAACTGGTCGCGCGATCATTCCGTGCAGGATGGTACGTTCCGATCTCCCCGTTTGGCTTGTGCTTCTGTTTGCCGCGGTTATACTGACTGACTGCTAGGACTCCGGTACACGACGGTGTGGAACAGCGCGGCGCTGCAGACGCAGGATGTGGCGTCGGCGTTGCTGTCTGGGATCCAGAAGCGGAAGCCCACGTTCGAGAAGCTGTAAAACAACCATCTTGCTTGGCTTGTACGCATACATACATAGTTCGCTAGTGTTTGATATCTACTACCTAGTCTAACGGGTCTGTGTCAGACCCCGTGTTTCGCCTGCAGACATCTATAAATGCGCCAATCACGGCGTCATCTCCGCATCAGTCTACGACAGGCGGAAAAACCAGTATATCTGCCGCCCTGCTCCTGCGGGGGATGCTCCGTTGCTGTAGAAGACAGGGTCTCATAGATTAATCCCCGCATGGTGACCTGCAGCACTCAAGATGCCGAGATCGACGATATCTTCATGTAAAACAGACGCTCCGCTCGTCCGTGTCTTGTCTGCAAGAAGTGTTTCAGCCAGAGGCTCGGCGTCTGATGTCCCGACGATGCTGCATTTTCCACGTATGAATCTCGGTCTTGCATTCCACGGGTGTATATATACCTGGAGACTACCGAGAGGTATGTACAAATATCCCGTTCTGCCAGATAAACCCATCGTTAGGCATCCGCCCCATTTCGCTTTACCCTTTCTTGCATCTTCACCATGAAGTCATCTCTCCTGCTGTGTCTCATCCCCGGCTCCTTGGCCGCCACCCTCTACCTGGCCGGTGACTCCACCATGGCCGCCGCTGGCGGAGGATCCGGCACCGACGGTACGTTCCCCTCCGGTGCATGACAGGCCTCCCCTAACACCCGACAGGCTGGGGCCAGTACGTCGCCTCCGACGTCTCCGTCACGGTTTCCAACAAAGCCATCGGCGGACGCAGCGCTCGCTCGTATACCCGCGAAGGCCGGTTCCAGGCCATTGCCGACGTCCTGCAACCGGGCGACTACGTCGTGATCGAATTCGGCCACAACGACGGCGGCTCGCTCTCCACCGACAACGGACGCACCGATTGCCCCGGCACGGGCAGCGAAACATGCCAGACTGTCTATAACGGCGTGACGGAGACCGTGCTCACCTTCCCGGCGTACCTGGAAAACGCGTCCAAGCTGTTCCTGAACAAGGGCGCGCATGTGCTCATCTCCAGCCAGACCCCCAACAACCCGTGGGAATCGGGCTCGTTTGTCTATGAGCCGTCGCGGTTCGTCGGGTACGCCGAGTTGGCCGCCCAGGTGGCCGGCGTGGATTATGTCGATCACGGGGCCTATGTGGCGAGTATCTTCGAGACCTTGGGCGCTGGGACGGTCGACTCATACTTCCCCAACGATCACACCCATACCAGCCCCGCGGGAGCGCAGGTGGTGGCGGATGCGTTTTTCAAGGCTGTCGCTTGCAGCAATGTCGCGCTGAAGAGTGTGCTGACCACGACTGACTTCCCCGGCGAGTGTCTGTGATGATGGTCGAGATAACTCATATATGCAGTGCTGCGTGTCGTTCCATGGTGTTGAGGCTATGTATGTTTGTGAATATCAGTCAATCCAATGATAGGACGGACAGGCCAAAACCAGGATGAAAAGCTCCAAAAGACGTTCATTAGTAGTAAGCGTCGTAGAAATCGTGTCGTCGTATCCAGCAGTAGGGATCATCCCATTATTTCTTCTAGCGTCTTCTTCACAATCACTCGGTTCAGCACACGCTGGTAATACTGAGCCAAATTAGGGTATATCTTTCCTGATAGGGGCCCACCATCCTGTACAATCTCTCTCAAAACGGGCCAAAGAGCGCAATCGTCGATATTCAGGGCCGCCCCGCCCAGATAATACTGCTCTTCTAGGGCATCTTCCCATGTATCAAAAGCATCCGGTACGCCCCGGTCGCGTCGTTCTTGGTGCTCTCGCCATTCCTGCCGAAGCTCGTCGGTTGCGGCGATCCTGTCGCCGCCTTGCAGCGGGGGTGCACCAGGTCGGTGCGCCACGGGGAAGTGTTGCACCAGATGGTTCAGGATGTTGATATCGCCGGCGACTTCAGTGCCGTTTGGTTCGATATACAATGGCAATTCGCCGCTTGACTTGCGGCCGGTTTTCTCGGCCTCTGGAGGGGTGATCTCATATCGAAGGCCATTCTCGGCCAGGCTCAAGAGGACCCGTAGGTTAGCCACAGGATCAGGGCCGAGGACAAGCTTGATGGTCATCGCGGTGACAAAATTGACCACATCAAACCCTCCGCCATAAACTGCTTCCCAGTCGAAGTCACTCGACCGATTCTCCTCACCAAAGGCACGGACCATCCGTTCCGTTTCTGTGGGATCACCATGGAGCACTGGGTTGGCCTTGTCCTGCTGCTTGGAGACCGCTCCCTGGCCCCAAATGGTGCTTCCGGTAGGATCTAAGAAAGTTCCAATATGCCGGAAGGTAAGAGAAATTCGCTCCCCATTATACGCACGTTCCTCGACGGTCTTTTCCGACGCCGCTCGCTTATCTGGTCGAATGCCATGTAACCACCGCATGTTGGTCTTCTCACCTAGGACAAACATGGACTCGTGGGGCATGGGAATCCGCTGGGTTAAACGATTGGCGTCACCATCCTCAGATTCTTTCCCCTTTGTTCGGATTGTCATCACGCGCTGGGCACCCAGGCTGACATTGCAGATCGACGAACCGCGGACGATATCTAGAGTCTTGTCTGAATGCTCCGAAATACGGTCTTCCCCATCCCGGTATAGCTGGATAAGGACGTGATTCAACGGGTGTCGAAGGATGGTCTGTACAATGTGACGGATCCGGTTAACGGTGGTGGTGAATGGTTGCAGAGGCGGTGATTCGTCAGCTGGATGTCGATATATCGGGATGGAACCATCGGGCGAGACTTCTCCCTGCACGGCAACGAGGCGGGGTACTTCCCCAGACATATGATACATCTTTTGCCAAGCGACCTCTTTGCGAATCTCTTCGAACGCATCCGACGGAAGGTCAAGGTCATAGACAATGCGCGAGTCGCCTTCCCCGATTTTATCACCGGGTTTGCAAATGTCCTGGGGCTGCTTTGGTTTGCCGCTGCGCCGGTGGCTAGAGCGAGAGGACGATTCGGGCTTTTGATCAGGGCGTTTCGAGCGGCGCACTCTTACGCGCAACTTACTTTCGGCCGGGCCTTCTGCCGGGCCGGGGGATCCCCTCGTGTGGCGTGCGCGCGCCCGCGTCAGCTGGGCCAATTCCAGCAAATCGCCGTCTTCATCATCAGAGTAAGTCGATAGGAGGGTGTCCAGCGTACGGCGCGTACCTCGGCTTTCCGGTCGATCGGGTTTCTCCCTCCGGGGATTGGATCTCCGGGTTCTCTTGAAGTCTAGTTCGTCCATGTCTCCTTCGATGCCGGCTGGGGTGACGGAGGAGCGAGGGACGTTTAAGCCGCCTTCACGCGCAATGGCATCCGTCTCTTGCCAGTCTAATTCCTCGTAGAGCTCCTGGGTGGTGATGCCACTGGCGCCGAAGATGTCCGCCATGCGACGCATGGCTTCTTCATGACGGGGGAAAGTGCGGTAGCCAAGACAATCCTCGATGAGCGTGACGGAGAAACCGTGGCGGACGGCATCAAGAGCTGTTGCATAGACGGAAATATTAGAGAGAGAACCGCAGAGGTAGATTTCGGTAACGAAGCGAGTGCGAAAAGAGAGTATAAGACTTTGGTTCTGCAGGGCCGAGTAGTCGGATTTATCGATGACCGTGTCGGCTTCGCTGTCGATTGCAGTCAGAATGGGGGCGGGAAACTGGAACCCCGGGGACTGTGGTCGACAACACTGCGGCTGGTCGGTGGACAGAAAGGCTTCTTCATCAACGGAACCGTGGGAGTCGGACGCTTGAGTGGTGTCGCGGCTGCGACCGAGGATGACTAGTTCCTGCGCATCGGACCCGACGGGGGGGCGGCGCGACTCATAGTAGGAGCGCACCCAGACCACATCACCGTTGCGACGAAAGGTGCTGGCCAATTGTGGCAGCGACTCAATAAAGTCTGCGGTGTTGGGAACATGAAGAGCGCCGGAAGATCGCAGGAAGTCGTTCTGAAAGTCCAGGAGAAGCAGAGCTTTCCGGGTCTGGATGGTGGGCAGATCGGCGAACTGGGCTAGGAAATTCATCTTATGGGATGCACATGGTAAAGGAGAGGGGCAGGAAGAATGCAAAGGGGAGGAGCCCCGGGGTTGGGGGATTAGGGGAATAAATTCGACGAAAAGTTGAAATAAGGGTAAAGATGGAGGAGACAGATAAGACGATGGGGAGGAGAGATGGGTGTAAGAAGTGGGCCAAGTGTGGTAATGGTGGTGGTGTTGATGGTAGTGATGATGGTGATGGTTGAAGAATAAAGTTGACCGATCAACAAATGAAATGGGTTATTGACACCTCAGGCATCCAGGAACATCGCTTTAGTCAGCATCACATATTGATGGATATTAACAACGACCAAAAATCAATGGGATTCATTTGGGATTGATGGTCTGATTTGACATTCTTCCGGAATAGCTACTCATCAGGTCAAATGTCTGAAGGTTTGGATACTCTCTAAGTCAAGTGGCGATAGCACACCTAGATTCCATCCATCCTAGATATGTATATAAGACTACCGAGGTAGTCAAGAGAAGTCTCCTCAATTGATGTGCGCAAGCTTAAAGGGAGGTCGAACTCGTGACCGATATATTAGTTTTGTTGGTTGGATTGGTCTTTTACACTTGTTGGAGGTTCTTCTCCGTCTAGTCAAGTCTCAAGAGCCATGGCACTGGATATCGGAAGCTCGAACCAAGGTAGCATTCTGCTTTGCCAGTATGTACAATGTCGGGATAATCCATCATCCACAGCTCCCTTCATCTCCTCATAAACTGGGCGAATGACCCAGTCAAACACGGTCATCCAGCCTCTAGCGATGTGTCATATCCAAGACGGCAATGACACTCGCAATCAGATAGCTCAGGAGAAATTGTCCTCTTGGTCATAAGGACCCCCCAAAATGAATCACCAGAGCGATATCAATTAACCTTAGGTAACAGATGGATGTCTGGAGCAATGGACCCACGGGCGACTGTGGGGGAGATTCCCCAGGTCCGACGTGGTGAGTCACGATTTGGAGAGCTCCGGAGAGGGAGACGCCGACCGGGGAGCCGAGCGATCGGCTCTGATCAGAGTGTACATCGTTGAAGAAAGTGAAAGGACCGAGATGGACATGCAAATCTCAGACAGAATGATGGACCGTCCTGGTTTAGGCCGAATTGGGAGGACCAGCCCTCAGGGCCAATCAGACCGGAGAGAGGCCGACATCGGCCGGGGAGCAGAGGGAAAACTCCGGATCACGTGGCAGCTCTATCACCGCAGTCGGGTCGTTTAAATTCCTTCCCCCATCCTCCCCTTCTCCATCGTTTTTTCTCTTCACTTTTCCATCCTCATCTTTCTCAATTGTCTTCCTCAATTGTCTCCTCCCTCTCCTCTCCTCTCCCCCTCATCCTCCCTTCCATCATACACAATGGCTTCCCGTGGTCTTCCCCGTGCCCTCCGCCTGGCCCGCGTTGCTGCGCCTCGCTCCGTCGTTTCCGCTGCCCTTCCCCGGCCGGCTCTGGCGAAGGCTGCCGCTGCCTCCGCCGCCCGTGTCACTCTTCCCGCCGCCCCCATCCGTGGTGTCAAGACCATGACTTTCGCCGATTCCCAGGAGACCGTCTACGAGCGTGCCGACTGGCCCCGTGAGAAGCTCCAGGAGTACTTCAAGAACGACACCCTTGCTCTGATCGGTTATGGTTCTCAGGGTCACGGTCAGGGTCTGAACCTCCGTGACCAGGGTCTCAATGTCATCGTTGGTGTCCGCAAGGACGGTGCTTCCTGGAAGGAGGCCATCCAGGATGGCTGGGTTCCCGGCAAGAACCTCTTCGATGTCAACACCGCCGTCGAGAAGGGTACCATCATCATGAACCTCCTCTCCGACGCCGCCCAGAGCGAGACCTGGCCCACTCTGAAGCCCCTCATCACCAAGGGCAAGACCCTCTACTTCTCCCACGGTTTCTCCCCCGTTTTCAAGGAGCTCACCAAGGTCGATGTCCCCAAGGACGTCGATGTCATCCTCGTCGCCCCCAAGGGTTCCGGTCGTACCGTCCGTACCCTCTTCCGTGAGGGCCGTGGTATCAACTCCTCCATTGCCGTCTACCAGGACGTCACCGGCCAGGCCAAGGAGAAGGCCATCGCCATGGGTGTCGCCGTCGGCTCCGGCTACCTCTACGAGACCACCTTCGAGAAGGAGGTGTACTCCGACCTCTACGGTGAGCGTGGCTGCCTGATGGGCGGTATCCACGGTATGTTCCTCGCCCAGTACGAGGTTCTCCGTGAGCGTGGCCACTCCCCCTCTGAGGCCTTCAACGAGACCGTCGAGGAGGCCACTCAGTCCCTCTACCCCCTGATCGGTGCCAACGGCATGGACTGGATGTACGCCGCCTGCTCTACCACCGCCCGCCGTGGCGCCATCGACTGGTCCAGCCGCTTCAAGGACAACCTCAAGCCCCTCTTCAACGAGCTCTACGACAGCGTGCGCGACGGCACCGAGACCCAGCGCTCTCTCGACTACAACTCGCAGAAGGACTACCGGGAGAAGTACGAGAAGGAGATGCAGGACATCCGTGATCTCGAGATCTGGCGTGCTGGCAAGGCCGTTCGGTAAGTTATTCTGTGGCGTGTTGTGATGGACTTCTGCTAACGAGAAACAGCTCTCTTCGCCCCGAGAACCAGAAGTAAATTAATGTTGTACCAAGCTAGGATTGGGAAAAGTTATGACTGTATCATGCACTGAAATTTCTTATATAATTGGAATGAATGAGTTCACAGAAACATTACGTGTCTTCGTAGGGGAAAATATCCGCTCTCGGCGTACGGAGTAGGTCCGGGGATTCCCCAACATAAAAGGTCCCCCGCCCTCTTGTGCCTCTCGTATCTGACATCTCCCACCGCACCACCGTCACCACCATGACCGACCTCAAGTCCAAGGTCGAGGCCCTCACGCCCGAGGCCATCCTCGCAGCCTACCAGCTCGTCCAGCCCTTCGTGTACAGCACCCCGCTCCTCACCAACACGACCCTAAACAAACTCGCTTCAACCCCGCAGACCCCCGAGTCGCTCATCGGCACCCCCTACGAAGGCCAGCCCCCGGCCAATCCCACCTTCCGCTTCTTCTTCAAATGCGAGAACTTCCAGCGCATCGGCGCCTTCAAGGCCCGCGGCGCGTTCCACGCCTTGCTGCGACTGATCCTCGAGCGCGGCGAATCCGAGGTGAAAAAGCGCGGCGTCATCACCCATAGTTCCGGTCCGAGCTGCCCCCGGGGTATCATAACGAGCAATGCAAATCTAACGGAGATCCTGTAGGAAACCACGCGCAAGCGCTCGCCCTCGCCGCCGCCACCCTCAACATCCCCGCGTACATCGTCATGCCGAGCATCAGCACGCCGTCGAAGATCGCGGGTACGCGCTCGCACGGTGCACAGGTCATCTTCAGCGGGTCGACGAGCACGGAGCGCGAGGCCGTCGTCGCGGAGATCCAGGCCAAGACGGACGCGATCCTGGTCCCGCCCTACGACGATTTCAACGTCATCTGCGGCCAGGGCACGACGGCGCTGGACATGGAGAAGCAATACCGCGCGCTGGGTGAAGGAGTCGCCGCATTTGAGCGGGCACAGTGCCGATGTCTGTCGCGCTGCGCCCGCGCTGGACGCCGTGATCACCCCCCTCGGCGGCGGCGGGCTCAACGCCGGCGTGGCGACCTACTTCTCCGATAAGACGACGCGCGTGTTTGGCGCGGAGCCGAGCTTCGAGGGCGCGGACGATTGTCGGCGCGGCTTGTTGGCCGGCGAGCGGATCGCGGCGGTCAAGACGCTGACGATTGCTGATGGGCTGCGCACGCCGGTGGGCGTGCTGAATTGGGAGGTGATTTCGGATCCGAACAAGGTCGCGGGCGTGTTTGCCGTGACGGAGGAGCAGATAAAGGCGGCCATGCGGTTGGTGCTGGAGCGGATGAAGGTGGTGGTTGAGCCCAGTGCTGTGGTTGGATTGGCGGTTTGTCTATTTAATGAGGAGTTCCGGCGGATGGTCGAGAAGGAGGCGCCGCAGGGATGGGATATGGGTGTTGTGTTTAGCGGGGGGAATACCACGGTGGAGGCGATTGGGAAGCTGTTTAGCTGATGAGGGGAGGAGGTATACATTAGATTAAGTCCGTGACGGATTGACTTCGCTGTACATATCCATAGAACGCATACACATGTTCAATCGATGTGTACTCCGTCGCTTCGTACATGGAATGCAAACATCCCCCAGTTCATGCTGTCTAGTCCATCCACGATTCGCCGCGGCCAGTCTTCGCAGCCCCATCCATTCACCCACGCGGAGAACCGCCCCCGCAAGACGACGCCCTGCCGCATGGCTGCATCAGCCTGCGCTTCTGCAGGGGTCATGTCCGACGGAAACGGACGAACCGCCTCGCGTCGAACCAGCAACCGCACGGTCGGGAACGTGCCCCACGGAGCCGGAAGCGAGGGACGAGCCGACGGGAATTTCAGTGTCGATAGATGGGGTTCATATAGCGTGAAGGGGCCGGGGTTCGAATCGCCCGGACCGGTTGAAGCGGATCTGCCGCTCCAGGCTGTAGTGGTGTAGATGAGGGCGCAGCTGAATCGATGCTGAAGACGCTTCAACTCGGCGACCAGGTCCGCGTACATCTCTGAGAGGTAGAAGCTTTGCTTGTGGCGTCTATCGTGTTCAATGTCTGCGTAGGCGCGGCCGATGTCCTCCACACGGGCGACTTCGTCGTGGAGTTTGTCTTGCCAGAAGAAGGCGCTTGCGCTGTCGATGAAGATAGCATGCAGGGGTCGGGTGGAGGAGAAGTGGCGGGTGAGATCGAAGAGGTACGTGTCGAGATGCTGTAGGGTAGAGAGAAGAGAGGCAGAGGATTGTGGTCGGAAGATATGGAGGTGCTGTAGGGAGGTGGTGATGATGGAGAGGATGTCGTCAACATGTCTAGTTACATCTTGGTCTGGGAGTCGTTTGCGAATGATCCCTTGGGCAATTGTCCGGAGCCGCTCGACGTCAAACCGACCGTCGGTATCGATGAACGCCACCGCAGATTCGCGTCCCCCGATTTGATGTTGTCCACAGCGCGAGGGAAGAATCGCGATGGCGGTGAGATAGTACAACAGCTGGGATTTTCCCGCCGCGGACGCCGTGCTGGAGATTTCAATGACGGGGGCTTTCCCACGGGATAGGGATGGCGTGTATTCCGTTGCATGCCGTGCATTCACGCGTTGGTCGGATTCTGACTGCACATGAGGCTGATCTTCCTCTTCTCGAGGCTCGCGGACGTGGTCGTCCGGCTGTGCCTGGACTGGCGCTGGATGTTGAACTGGCGCAAAAACCCCCAAGAGCGCGTCGATCTCTGTGAGACCTGTAGGCTCTTCGAACCTTGCATCCGAAATCCCCTCAGTCAGCTCTTCCAAGTCATGTAAGACCTACAATCGTCAGTCTAGGCTGTTCGGAGCACCAAGCGAAGGATCCTACCTCATCCAACCTCTCCTCGACGACTTCTCCAAGTAGTCTCTCTCCCAGTATGGCAGCCATCTGTCTGCAATCTCTGTTCGGAGGATCATAAGTCATTCATGATTGAGGTTTCTTTGGCGTGACGGAATGCAGTTGTGAAGGCGGTTGGGAATGTTGAAGAGGGTAAAGTCCCCACCACGGTTGATGTTGTATATGACGTCCCGTGATAGCAAATATCAACAACATTTTGATATGCCATATTCTTATACATAGCGCAGAGGAACATGGAAATTGTAATTCCTGATACAAGGATTATCTACGGGGTCAAAGCAGCTGTGTGCCACGGTTCATGGCATACCATCTCCTATAGATGATACGAGTCGGGCACCGGGCAACTCGGGCGAGGCTTACTTGCACCTGACTGAGCCATAGCATGACCACGTATAACTAGTCCATGACCCCGTGGCCGCTCTCGTATTAGTATATAGAGCACTAGGCACCACACTCGCTGTCGCAGTGCACAGAAAATGGATCCATCCTCCATCGCAACACTATCAGCTAACCTGAGCGGACGCTGCGCGAAGGTATCCAGGCCCTAATCTCCTTGCTACTGTTCTAACATTATGATTAGATCGCTTCATCTACTTTGACATATGCAGATTTCGACTCGAGGGTTGCGAGCTATCTTGTAGACCTCCGGTCCGCCCTGGCCAACCTCTCCAACAGCTTACAGTCCATATGCAGAGCCTGTGAGCGACATGCATCTGGTTTGATCACGTTCGACTCTACGATTTGGTCTGCCATTAGGGCCAATCTGGATAGCAGTGATATCGCGCTCCGCCGATTGGAGACCGCCGTATGTGTCCAGGAAAGCAGTGGCATATGGGCTTCTTTGGTATGGCGAGTGAAAGTCCACCTGCTTCTTCGAGAGATTCAAGCAGGTCAGCGGGATATTTGCAGTCATCGTGCTGCCATTGATGTGGCCCTCCAAGTTATACATCTGTGAGTGACTTAATCCCGGACATATGTGCAGGTGAACAGAGCCAATATGTCGTTAGATGCCTTGATCTTCACCGAGTTGCGTCACAGAGGACGGTAGAACGCTCAGCTGACAAGCTCAAAGTCCGTCTTAAGGAGCTCAAAGAGGAAATAAAATCTACACCGACGGAGAAGAGGGAGATGCTTGGCTGCCTTGAGGCGCTTTTCAACGCTGCCCAAACATTCTACACGGATGTAGTCACACGTCCCACATTCGCGGATCGAAGTAACCACCAGGAAAGCGTGCAGCAGCGAGAAACCTCTCATCCTCCCCCAACATACACGGAGGCTATCGATAATGGTCCGTCCCACTGTCGCCAACGAGCGAAACCCCCGGACGGGTCTTCTTGCGCCAAACAACGCTGGACACTCTCCCGTGCACGCCGCTGCTACGTCGGGCAATGTGGATATACTCGAAATGCTGTTCAACAAAGGGGCAGATCTTTCGGCCCTTGCAGCAAAGAATGAGACACCTCTGTACTTTGCAGTCAACAATAATCGACTCGATGCTGCGAGGTACATTCTGAAACATGGAGGGGACTTCTCGACTCCCACCACCGATGGGATGACCCCTCTATACGCTGCTTCTTATAACGGGAATACAGAGATGGTACGAATGCTGCTTGAGCAAGGAGCAGACTGCAACCGAGCCACCGGTAGAGGGTGGACGCCTATTAATGCAGCATCCCGGGGTGGCCATTTCGATGTTGTGCAGTTGCTCTTGCAACACGGGGCAGATCCCACAATCCGTGAAGCAACGGGGCAAACGGCTCTCTACTCTGCTTGCATTGGAGGCCATAGAGAAATAGTGAAGCTCCTGATGGAGTATGAGTGATCCTAAAACACAGGAGTAGTGGTCTGTGTTCCTAAGGAGGTGACAGTTCCAATGTCGAAATGGAGGATTCGCCCGTCCTCTCCACGAAGGTCTGTTGTTTCCCAACAACACCAGATGGACAGGTGGCTGGATGTCCTTTTGTGTGCTTCTGGGCTTGTAATATACCTCCACTTACATACTTTTAGGCCATCCGAGTAATAGTGGAGGGGAGCGACATATCCATGCTCAGTATGTGCGGTGCATGTCTTCAAGTCTGAATAACCATACTGGGAGTGATCGGTACATAAGAGGGCACTGTCCTGCAAAAAGATGAAGCAGACGCAGACTAATGGGTGCCTGAAATCGCTAGGCGCGAATAACGACGCACTGCTCAAAGAGAGAGTGCTCGGTGTTTCGCTTTAGTGGAGCTAATTGATCATGCAACGGTGGAGGTGTGGCGTGAGAGTACACATCTAGAGCGTATCAATTAAATTGGAAGCAAGTAACATGGTTGAATACAGAGACTTAAAGGATAGACAGTCTGAGACCCCCGAATAAAAGGGTGTATAACTCGCCGGTATGATTTCCCGAAATGGATGGGTGACGCTACTCGATGTTCCGCGCTCCTCCAACATCCATTCGCGCTCTCTTTACTTCGCAATCGCCCTCCACAACAACGCTCTTCCACTCCCTGCGCATCCAACAGTGTTTGAGACCACATCGCATTCCATCCGATAAATCCTCTACCAAATGGCGCCTCTCGTCCCCGTCTTCTCCGCCGAATCCCTACCAGACCATGTCAGCACCGTCCGCAAAAACTTCCAAGAACGACGGCGCAAGGGCGGTCCGGTCGAACTGGAAAAGTGCAAGCTCATGGAAATGGTCCAGTACTCCTGCAATCCTCCGTCAGAAGGTATTCCCAAACCGGGAGTCGTGATCTGCAAGCCGGTGGTGCGCTTGTTCCGACGGTATGTCCTGTCTCTGATGACCACGACGATGTTACACTGCTGACTGATCTTTTCTGCACCAGATGCGCGAACGGATTGACGATCGAAACCACGGCGTGGGAGCCCATCCGACAGGCCCAAGAAGAAGCCAAGCGGAAAGCCGCGGAAGGCAATTCCCAACCGGAGGGGAAGTAAGTGAACTATCTCGCATGCGATACGGAGTTGGGAGCGGTTTGTTCTACATTCAGGGATATTGGACAGCGGTTTTAAGGCAATGGCACTCGCATTCTACTCCATGGGTATCTTCTCAAAATGGCTATAATACAAAAGTCAAACGCCCAGACGCCAACCCCGGTCCTTCATGTGGTCACCCAGTTTTCCACCTTTGCGACATTCGCGGCATTCGCAGCCTCCTTTGCATTATGAGGCTTGTCCTCCGCCTTCCTATCGGAGGCCACGGCGGAGCGACGCCACAGATCCCGTTCACAGTTGATAATCGGTGGGAGCTCGATGTTCAGTGACACCTTGTTGCGCGACGGCTTCACGTCAGAGTCAGTCGCGGCGCCCGAATCGATGACCATCGGCGCCGCAGGTCCAAGCACCGTGCTGTTCTTCTGCATCCTCTTCGCGAGACCCTTGATCGTCTTCTCGAACATGCTGTCCATGCTCTCTGTCCGCCGGCCCCACGGTTTCTTATCACGGCCGGACGACCCAGTCTGGTTATCCTTGAACGCTGCGCGAGCCAGCTTACGCAGTGCCTCTTCTCCGTGCCGTCCATCCTCCGTTGCCCGCTCCCGGATCCTCCGTGGGTCTTGTTCTCGTTCCGTGAAGACCGGCGTGTGTCGGTAGGTGTGTTTGCTGGGGAATTCCGGAAAGTGTTTCGGGATATATGCGCTGCGGACGCGATCATCGTCCCCGCTGAGTTGGGGGCCAAGAGAGGGAAGGGTTTTGAAAGAGTCGTCCTCCGGCGGATCGCTCAGAAGGGTCGGGACTGGCTCGAGATTTGGGTTGGGTTTCACATGAGGGAGGAGGTCGTCGACGCGCACACGCTGTCGCCGGAGCGCATGTTCGAAGTCTGGCGGAATAGGTTGGATGCGCCGGCTCGAGAGCATCGATTGTCGTACATAGGACGCGAATTTCAACAGATCTGGGAGACAAATTCTGATCAATACCGGTTCTTCTTCCGGCAGCTGCGGATACGGAACCAAAACAACGTACATTCTTCCGCGGTAATGCGGAAGCTCTCCAGCGCTGCTGGATCGGCAATGTCGAAACCTGACTCTCGTAGAGCCAGCCCGATCGATCGGTTCATCACATGGTCGACGTAGGTCTCATCTACGATGGCGGGCTCCGGTAGGGTGACGTTAACGGGGTGGGCGAGGCGATGGTGGTGATGGTAGGGGCGCTTGAGTCGCTTGATGTCGACTCCATCGTTAAATCCCGACGGCGATGACGAGCGCTTGATAGGAGGCCCCGAGGAGAGCATGGCGATGCTGTTGATGAGTGAAGCGGACAGACGGATGGAGACAAACAGAAGTCGCGGTGGTCACGTGAGCAAGGCATCCAGGCATCATTAGCGTATTGAGTCATTAAATTGTATCAATGGGAGAGATAATAGGTATATAGTATATTGAATAGAAACAGAGAGAATACCTACTGAATAAGCGTCCTATTCCACTGGGCAGGAATATCTGCCTTATTGTAGTACGTACACCAACCGCAACGTCAGGTCTGCCTGAGGCCTCTTCCGCTTCCAGCCAGTCAGGCCACTCCCAGCGGTCGCTTACTACATACTCCGAGCCGAAAGCTTCGACCTCACTTCGACTTCACCCGCAACATCACCACTGCCTCCGTCTCTCCTCTCCCCGCTCCTTTCCACCACCCATTCGCTAGAGCAGGTATTTCTCTGCATCCCTCGCTTCAGCGCCCATTACTAATTTATCCAGACATCTCCTTCCATCACAATGGCCGCCGTCGCCCCCATCACTGGCGTATGTCCATCCCACCTCGGGTTCTCTCCCCCCCCCCCGGACAACCCGAGTGTTCCCGGTCAAGAAACACCACAGCTAACAGGTTCCCCGTATAGATGCTCCGCCGCAGCCTGGTCCTCGACCTGAGCACTGCTTTCGGTGAGTGCAGTTCCGATTCCTCATCTACGCGGACGGGGCCACCGTGAAAAGAAGGATCACGCCTTCGGAACACCGGAAGCCCCTACGTCCTTGTCAAATTCCGCCTGCGAGATCACCGGAAGCGCAATGGGAACAAATAAACATTGGGGTTTGCAGCGGCTAACCACGCACGACAGGTTTCGGTACCACTTTCGGTTACCTCTGGTGGTACGGTACGTATACAATTTCCACTTTTCCCAGGGATATATGGTCTATTTTTGCAATAGCAGATGATTAATGGAAGAACAGGCTACCACCTCCCCCGCGTCCGCGCCCGTGACAACTACTACACCCGCCTCGAGCAGGAGCGCGCTGCTCAGCAGGCTTAAGCGCTTCGCATCCAATCTCTCGACTCGCTACCGAGCTGTCGGCTCGACCGATGGATTCTGTCCTTGAATCCTACGGCACTCCGCACGCTGTATATTGGGGCTTCGCAGGGTGAAGGTTTCTGGTTGCGGGCCTGTGCTGGAGTCTAACATGTTAATATCGGTTGACACTCGGTGATTCTGGTGATTGCATGTGCAGGCGAAAAGACAGAAGAAACAATGTTCCATTAGTTCTGATTCCGGTGTTTGTTGAGTGTATATATACGCTTGTAACGGGTGGTTGTGCCTATACCTATATTCAAGGCCCATTGTAGGTATACCGTCAGGTAGTTATCGTAGGCACCGTGCCATCCATTCGCAAAGCCCATCACAACAAAACACAAGAGGATCGTTCATTGCTTTCGTGGTCACGGAATCTATCCAGTCGCTAATATTAATTCATAACTATAAATGCACGGGGTGTCGGTGGTCTGACGACCTCCCGGACCCGAATGGGATATCCGCATCAGCCATCAACCGGCCCATGGACCGCCGCTCATTTCATCACTCGCTCGAATTGCACCCCGCGAACCATCCCTCCAGCCATGGAGTTGCGTACATTCTTCTTGAAAGCGTCCCGGTTCGTGCGCAGGTCGTCAGCGGCTTCTTTATTGAGGGGGTCGGAAGCGTTGGGCTCGAGGAAGAGGAACTTTTCACATCAGCACGGATTCTTACCCTTACAATAATCAAAGGGAGAAAGGAGCACACCTGCATGCCCACAATCACCGCATTCAGATTCAACACCGGCTTCCAGTCCTCCCGCAGGATATTCAGACACACGTTGCCCTCCAGATCGATATTGGGATGATAAATCTTCTGCGTGCACTTGACCTTTGGCGGGTCATGCGGGAAGTTCTGGTTCACAGAAAAGTTGAAATGGAATGAGCCGCCCTTGTACATGCCCTCGTCGGGCTCGATAGTGAGGACGAAGTTGAGGATGTCGTCCGGGTTGGGGAAGGACATTTTCATCGTGCTTCCCAGCGCCAGCTCCTGCAGGTCTGTCGGTCGTCGCGAGCATCAGTCTCTCTCTCTCTTATTTATCCCACCTGATTCGACCAGAGTGTCCGAGGGGGAGGCATACCTCGCTGCACGCGCAACTGCGCGGCGGTAACCTTCTTCTTTTTCTTCCCCGCGGCGCCCTCCGCATTCTCAGCCTGCTGCTGCTTTTGTTTCTGGTCCAGGAGCGCCGTTAGCATCGTGGACGGCGCGAACGGGTCCGAGGGGCGGTGACGGAGCGCGACGTACCATCGACCATATCTTCAGCATCTTGAGGGTATCACCGGCATGCGACCCGGGACTGTGTGCAGATTGGATTGGAGATAAAGAGTGTATCAACAAGAGAGTATCGGACACGCTCGACGGCCGGTGATCTCAATCGTCTGGTGAGAGGGGCGCAGAATGAAGCGATAGGACTGCGGGGTCTGGTGGGTGAATATCGGGATGTGGTCTGCTCCGACGGCCGACACGAAGCTCGGACGGAGAAAATACAGTGTCAATAACCAGCAGAACGCAGGTATAATGGCCTGGGTGCAGGAAGAGATGGTCAGGATTGCAGGGATGTCTCGAGAGTGAGCAAGCGTCGGAGGCGTAGGACCGAAATGCTGATTCAGGCGGAGCGGCGGCAACCTGACGCCATGCGCCAAAACCGCCATCACCGCCTTCCGAGTTCACGCTACTCCATACAGTCTACACATGTATGTATGCACCCACACTTCACATCGCATCCACGTATATGCCGAATTCATTCTAATCGCTAAACTTCTACGACTCATCAAATGGCAAACTGCCCATCGCACACATAATCCAACCATAACAATGAAACACGTGGGTAACTAAGTAGCGGTGCAGAACACGACGAACACATCATATGTAGAATACAAAATGTCAAAATCAAGAAAAAGAGAGAAAGAGAAGGGAGAGGGCTGCCAGATACCCTGTATAGAGTCCTGCAATCCGTATGTCCGACAGACAGCCCCTTTTGTTCATTATTAAAGTCAAGTATTGTTTCTACCGGCGGGCGAAGCAGCACATCAGGCCAGTCTTGCCCAGGAACCAACAAGCACCGATGAAACGGAAAAGCGCAACAATAGCGTTGGCCCACAGCAGAGCCTGGAAGAAACGCGATGTCCGTTCGGTGGCGGAGTTCTGCACAATCGATTAGCTCTTACGCCAGGCCGTTCGAATCGGAGCGAGGACTTACCGTGAAACCAAACTTGTCCAGACCGTCGCTGGTAATGCAAAGAACAAGAAGAGCATTGCTGAAAATCCAAAACGTGACCAGTCGGGTACGGAAACTCTTGTACGAATCATCCAGAGACTTCTCTTCCTTCTCCACAGGAGCAACGTAAGGCGTGAGAGCACGCTTCACCGTCGCTTCAAACTGACTGTCGATATCGGCCTGGGGCTTGTCGATTTCCTCAATGACCGCATCTTTGCCGCCTTCATCTTTCGTGGTCTTGGCCGAGGGCAGCGCATCCGCCTTGTCAGATCCCTTGGTACCCCAGGACACATCGTGCCAGTTGCTGAAAGCATACACGTTCAGGATGTTGATGTAGGACGACTGCACGGCCAAGTAGGCGGGGAACGAGGTGAACATGTGCCACGGGTCCATGTACATGAAGGACGCAACAAAGTAGAGACCGAAGGTGGCGGCGAGGGCGATCACGACAAGACCAGCATTACCGCCGAAGAAGGATTTCAGGAATTCGCCAAGGCCCTTGTCCGTGACGAAATCCATCGGAGCAGTGCCACTGAAAGCGCGAACCACCAAGTACATGGCATCGACCAGCACATAAATCTGGATCACACCGAAGACCACGAACGAGGCGAGATACGAGAAGCGGGATCCCTTGGGACGGTTACCCAAGGCGAGAATGAACTGCAGAAGCAAGAAGGCCAGATAGATGTATTTCACAAGCGTGTTGACGATCGGCGTCGCATCCTTCCCAAAGGGGAAACCACGCTCTCCGTTTTCCTTGCTGGGAGTTCCGACCAAATCCATGATGACGGTGGTGGTAAGCCAATACGACGCTGGATAGGCAGTGTTAGCGAAACTCCGGCTCGGGGACAACGACCAAGCAACTCACCCAAAGAGAACCACGTCAGGACCGTATTAAAGATGTTGTAGAACATTTGAATGTGCAGGAAGAACATGCGGACCAGGTTATGACCACTCTTGTACATCCGTCCGAAGTGCATGAGGGAGTAGATACCGGCGGCGAACGAACCGTTCAACCAACGACGACGCTGAGAAATGAATTCGGCGGCACCCTCGGGCACGTCAGTTTCGGCCTTGGAGGCCTTCACATAAGACAGATGCCACTTGGAGCCGGCCTTGGCGACCAGTTCGAAACACAGGATACGGTCTTCGGCCAAGAACATGTTCTTCTTGAAAATGTTCATGCCCTCGATACCTTTCTTGCCTAGCTGCTTCGAGAGTGTGTGGTCACCGTGGAAGTACTGCTCGAGCGGCCGTCCCATAATCGCACGGAATCGATACGCAGAGAAAGCACCGGGCAAGACACTGACATATCCGAACGAACTCTCCAGCGGTTTGTCGAGAATGTTACTGATCTTGTACTCGAAGTTCTGAGCGGCGACCAGCGGATTGACCAGGTTTCGCCAGCCTTTACCCAACATGGCGTGGATCTCACCACAAGCACCACCGAGATCCTTGTCGTTATAGAAAGCCTCCCACAGCGCCAGGAGAGACTTGTGGCCGGGCTTCGTACCAGCATCCAGCAGGATACAAATTTCGGGATTGAGAATGCGTCCGAACGCGTTGAAGAGCCATCGGTGAGAGTTGATCTTCTTGCTGTTCTTCTGCTTCAAACAGAACATCATCTGCACCGGGGGAAGCGTGCTGGGACCGTCATCGGTGGGGCGGATGAGCTGCTGGTTGGGAGTCACAGACAACTGTGTGGTGTACTCGAAGATGTGGGCCACAGTCTCCTTGCCGTCGACATCACGCTTCATGACACCGTCCTGATAGATACCGATGGTGGCCAGGACGTCCAGAGTATCTTTGTCACAAGGATCAATACCGTCAAACACCAGAGCCACCACGATCTTCTGCCACGCGGGACCACCCTTGTTCCAGAATTCGGACTTCTTCAGGTTGACGATCTCACGAATGTTCTGCATCACACCATGAAGGGTACGCGAGGTGAGTGTCTTATCTTCGTTATAGTATGTAATCGCAATGAGAAGTTCGGTATGTCTGTTGTACATGGCGGGACGAAGATTGTAACCGTTGTGGAGGGTGAATTCATTCGGATCGCAAGTCGCGGCGGTATCTATAAGGAAAGGAAGATTTCGTTAGAGACGCGACGAAAAGGTATATACCCCATGGAATCGCTCCAACTTACACCGCATGTGAGTGAATTCCTCGCTTCCACCCTCGAGGTCGTTGCGGTACTTTGCCTGGATGGCATTCTGAATGGCACTGGGGACTGGGTAATCCACACTCAGGACGGAACCCTGGACCAGCTTGACCTTTCTCGTAGCGTAACGACGGAGGCCGCCGCCACCACCTCCGTTCGCTCCTCCAGGTGCCTGTCGCTGGCGCCATGCCTCGGTAGAAGAGGTCTCGCTGCGCGCATAGGGAGACGCGACACGACCAGGAACACCAAAGGCAGTCGCGGGGTTCTCCATGGAATGACCGGAGTAGACCGAGCCAGACCCGGCATTGTAGGGGTCGTTGTAGTTAGCATCGGCGGCATAGGTCTCGGTCAAACTGTATCCTGAAGCGGGTCGCTGAGGGGAGACACCGCGCTGGTGCGGATCATCGAAGGGGCTATTGAAAGGGCCTTGTTGGCTCGACAGCAATCCTCTGGAGGCCTCTTCTTCATACTGTCAATCAGAAGCATTAGGATGTTAGCGAAGATCGCGACTGGGAGGAACGGATGGCAGCACGTACGGAGGCACCAGCTGGAAGATCCTGAAGGCGATGGGAGCCGTCTTCATAATGGGGGGGCGAGTGATTCCCCGAACCTTGATAAGCCATGGTGACCGGGGTTTCTTAGATTCAAGCGACAAAGATCGCTAGATGAAACGTAGGGACTGGAAAAACGCGCAAGGGTGACAAGAACCAAAAGGGGTATCAGGAAAACACCGAGTGCAGACAGGCGAGGTTAGACAGCGAAATCCACCCGTAAGAAGTTCGACAAACGGATGATCAGGCCCCCCGGGAGTGATTAGAGCGAAGGGTTGAGAGAAGCGAAGGGAGCAGCAGAAAATCGAGAGGGGGGAAGGGGAGAGAGCGCGATGAAATGTCGGCGGAGGGGAGAAGCGGGCACAGCAGGAACGTGGTCAAGCCGCCAGGGCTGGAAAAGGCAGCCCGCGAGCTGAAGAAAACGAAGAGGCGGAGCGAGACAATAGACTCTGCGCGCGCGCTTGGGGAGTTGCCAGGCTGAGAGGCGGAAACGGGTGGGAAAGGGAAGAAGTGAGAGGAAGGGCGAGGGAGGGAACAGGAGAAGGGGAATGTACTCAGAGTAAGGTTGAAGCTGGCGGAATGGCTTTGTAGGGCAGGGGAAATAATAAAAATGGGGTCCCCCAAATCAATCCATGAATGAATGAACCGAGATGGAAAGAGTGCGAGAAAAAAAAAATTCCTAAGACAATAAAAACGAGAAGAATAAATACGATGATACTAAAATAATATAATAATAATAATAATAATAAAAATTCTGATTATGTATTTTTTTTTTTTCCTTTCAAACACTCGAGATGGCCACTTTCCCATTCGTTTCTGGCGTCTTTTCGCTTTTTTGGCGACAGTTTGGAGGGGACGCCGAGTGGGGATGCACGTATTCCGTCCTGGTAAAGGTATTTTCGGGCCTGTCTCGGTGTCCCAAATGGCCCCAAATTGACCGCTTCCACCCGCCAAAGGATGAGGCTGAGGGGAAGTCTCTCTGGCTAATTAGGTTGCAGGATACTTTCCACAGGCCTCAAGAGGATCCAGCGTCCTCGAGGTAGTTACGAGATGGCGTGGATGAATCAACCTTCCATAAGTCGATATCGCATTATTATTCACAGTTGAGAAGCTCTCCCCATCAGACAAAAGGAGATCGCCGCCGACGATCACAGACGATACTCGACCACTTGGCATCTCCGACTCGCTACAGACCGACTGTTTGATAATCGACTTGAAACTAGGAGCTAGTATCGTACAGAGTACCCGGACGATGCCAGGTACCTGAGTACATGTATCGCAGAGCGTTATACCTATCCGAAAACACTCTCGATCTGCTGCACGGTGCAGAATTCCGTAGCCACAGAACGCTGCATGTACCTGGCGGGACCTGACCTATCGTCGGAGACATCCAGACATCTCGACGAGGAAGTCAAGAATGATCCCTCTCCAGTCGGGAAGAACCAATCTCCGCATAATACGGTATTGGATTTAAATTATCAAGGGTCTCATGGTACTTCCATGGTTGGTTCGGTGGTACCCGGTGGGTAAACCCTCGTTCCATGTCCACTGAGAGGTTGGTGATGGATTGGAAGCTACCTAGCAGGTACCTTAGGTACTACGGAGTATGTATGGATGGGATGCCGGTCGAACACGAGGGTACCAGTACTTGGGATAGATCGATGAGTTTTGAATATCATTTCCTTGCTCTGTACAAGCACATGTGAGACAAATGACAAGGTCACTATGGTCGAGTTCCGTGAGTGGCGTTCCAAGAGTTGTTTGTCTTGTGGCATTCCTGACATCCCTTGCCAGCATGACTGCCATGGCAGAGGGCATGTGGTAACGCGGGAACCCTACTGTTGAGATCACCAGTTGGTTTGGTCCAAGAACCCCTCATCATCGGATCAGACGGGAAAGTCGGGTTGATTTGTAGTCTTTGATCTCTTTGTTGTATCTGTATCCATCCACCTAACCTCCCAGAACTGAAGTCTTGATGGAATACAGTCACTGTCTGGTAATACGATACGATTCAGGGGGCGGGGGTACATGGTGGCCGCCAACCCAAAGCAGCTAGCAGCGAGCCAAATATAGCCTTGTGGGCCCGCGCCCAGTAAGTGTGTTAATCGGCCGTTGGTCAGTCCGACGCCACCACCGGCGCTAGTCCAAGATCCTTAATTCTGCCAAACTTCTACAGAGTAGACGGTGGTTTCACATTTGCTGACATGCCCACACGGGGATACTCACTCCCTCCAACGGCGTCCACTGAGATGCGCTACAAGTGTTGAATGAAGAAGCGGGGTTTGACGCTCAGAAATCCCTGGGTTTATGAATGTTGTTCCACCGAGTATAGGGGAGCGACTAGAACAGAGCTAACTACTCATTAGTCCCAATTTAGCTCGTGGAAGGTTCCAAAGGTTGATCATCACTGCCACCCCAGGCTAGCTTTTCCCACTCCTATTCTTAGACTCCATCGGACAACAGCTGAAGGTCTCGGACTGTCGGAAGAGCCGCCTCCTTTTCCAATCAATCAGTCTCCTACCTTGGGTCAACCTCACTATTCCGTCTTTCTCATGTTACTTCGGAGTACCATTCATGGTATAGATGCTCTCCAGCTGACTCCAGGAATGGAAGAATGTGTCTCAGTCCCTGTCACATTCAATGTTCATACAAGGCCAATAGCAATGTTCGCCAACCCTACCAAGTAGACCAGCCAGCCACCCGTAGGCATTCAGCTGAAGATGTCTAGGAGTACATCCTTATCCAAACTTCGTTCAAATGATGTCAATCACAATGAAATTTCCTCTGTCCTCTATGGACTTTGGATGCTGCAACCCAGTCCCAGTGAGACAATATACCGAGTTATGTTGTACTCCGTACTGATTGCCGATCAGCAAAACAAGCCTCTCATCGCCACTCCAGCCGTATCTGACACGAACCCTGCTGTCTCCGATTGCCAACGGTTGAGGCGGTGCGATGTACGGAGTAACGATCGCTCCCACCGTGAGAGCACGTGTTGCTTGTTATCAACAGAGTCGCGTGTCTTAACGACTACCGCGTCCCGATACTCAAGAAAGTAGTGACTAATAATACGGTGTTAAATAATGCCTGTGGGAGCCTTACAGAGATAACAAATGCATAGACGGCGTGAGGTACCTGCATACATGTCGTCTGATGTAATGAGTTGCTACCTGGCTTGTTCGTCCCTGCATGCGTCTGAGCATACCTTTGAAGCAAGGGCTCAAATCGGACATTCTGTACCTACTGCTGTGGTCAGAATGATGTAATCGTCATCTAGATTCGCCGGAGTCTTGTATGCTTCTTTAACAACTGAATCGATCATCTATATGTGATCAGGAGGTACGGATGTGGCGATCGATGTACTCGGCATAGTGTATATCAAGAGAATCTAGGTTTATATATGTTTGCTGGTTCTGAAGTCTGAAAATATGTACACGGCGCACCTAACAATTGACCTGATAAGGTAGATATATATCTTGCCGCGCACCGCCTCGAAAACATACTCCACCATAGAATATACATACAATATGACCAACAAGCATCGAGACTTGAAGACACTCTGATACCGATCCGGTAGCCATAGAGTCTATCTAGTTGGTCGATCTGTAGCTGGGCCTCCCCGGGGTCCCTAATCCGGTAACAATCACACTCCCCACCAATCTGGTGATTTACACAGCGAAAATCTCAAATGCTTAAATTTAATACCTCTGCATCTAACAATACAGGAAAAGTGCCCAGGAGAAACCTGTACTAAGACAAGTAACGAACAAAGGGAGCAGTTTAGTGGAGGGTAACCCACTGCTCATAGCCTCAATGCGTTAGAAGTGAGCTGGAATAACTTCCCTGATCCCCTGATATAAGAAAGTATCCCCACCTCGTTGATATATGCTAGCTATCTAATCTTTGGCTAACAAGTCTGTTTATATACTTATATTACCTGCGAGGGATGGGTGACTTTCATTAACCCCATACTCCCTGCATCTTTACTCCATATTTGAAAATCATCCGGAGAAGGAGAGCTTGTTACCCCACAGATACCGTAAAGATCTCCGGGGTGATACCTACGTCCTGTTTGCACCTACCGTGTTAGTTCTTCCAAGTAGTCAATGTGTGATTTACTCACGCTAGATGCCTTGTGTCAATCGCTCTTAATATCGGATGGCAACTGTGTCGTCGTCACGCACCCACTGACCTCCTACCCATATACTATTTCCATGAGTATTGCGCTTGTGTGTTGAAGTTTCAATGCAAGCTCCCCATCGAATGGAGAGGTGGGACATATCTAGTTTTATATTAGGTGTCACCCATCTATCTGACCGCTCATGCAAGGGACAGAGATGTAGATCTTGCAGATATTGCGTGTCTGGGACATGCTGTGCATATTGTGTGAGAGGTACCATTCTTTTGTATTGGGTAATCTGATTGTATGCGATAGCTCTCACAGGTTTTCTTAATGCTGAGGGCCTCCCGCCACCAATAGTCACATTGTATGTGAATCTAGTGGCGGAGTATGTGAATTGCTCGTGCTGTACTCGTTACATCATGTTTATGCATTGCGGACATATTTGCGGCATGTCAGGATACGAATTATCATGCCTACCTCCTGATATAGTGATTGGAAGACTGAGTGTACTCTGTATGCATAAAAGTCGTAATTTGAGGCCATCAGAGATGGGAGAAGTCAAGAGACAAGGTGCATGGCATGTAAAACACCAACCGACACTTTCCCCTCAACACACTCTTATTGGTCAAATTTAATGAATGAAGGGGGAGGCAGTCCAGATGTGGCTGGTTTGGTGACAGCAGGCAATCCCCCGTCCGTGGTGTTGGAAAGCCACACTCTGATTGATGAAAGATTGAGAAAATGGACTAGTGGTGGAGAACTCGGACAGGGGCTTTCATATCGGATCATTCGAGTATTGATGAACCGTGGCTGTTAATTGCGTGTTGTGGCCCAGGCGTAGAGTGGTGGACATCTAGACCACAGATGACTGCACTCTGTAAATCAGTCTTTGCGAGTGCTCCACCAAGATGACATGAAGTCTGATTGTCACCCCAACCAACCCTGTACAACACTCGGAGGATTGTGTATAGGTTGCAGCCTGAGAGTTCCGATGGATGACGCGTAGCTTAGGTGTCAGATTCCACTTCGAGGAAGACCATTGTTATGGTGCCATACTCCCTTTGGCATCAATCCAGAACAACTACCTCGATGGAGATGACCTGAGATCGCGACCCCAATAGATCGTCAGCCATCTTGTCGTGGTAGAAAGGATCTTACCATCCTGGACAGAGTCCGCGGTAGTGCGACAACGGAGGAAGTTAGAGCCTTTGTGGCACCGAGACGCAGGAGATAAATGGAGGAAGGATCGGCCAGCCAGCCGAGAGAAAATGAGATGAAGACTCCTCTCGGTCCTGTTGATTGGTACAGGCGGAGGAGTGTAATCTCCCGGCAAGGGAACGTGGTTCGGTCCAGACCAGGGGGATCCCACGCACTTACACTCTATCACCACGCACGGCTCCAACCACTTCGGATGTAAGACATGAAGAAATTGAAAGGCAGGATCCTGTGCGGAGTACGATTCTTCCAAGAAGACATAGTAGTCATTGGAAGGGGTATCATTCGTATGTCACTGACCGCTATGATGCTCGCACTAGTAGAGGGGAGGATATAGTCTACTCTGTATACTCTGTCGAATGTCAGACTATTGTGTTTTCTCCTATTCCGGACGGGGATCCTACGGGTAAATATTGAACGTCCAGGTCACCATCTATCAGATCCCTTTAGTTTTTATTGAAGAGATATATGGTTGTTTGCTTGTCTCCTCTGCAATATACTCCGTATTATTATCATCATCATTATTTTATTATCATTATTATTGATCGGATTATCGAATATTGTCGCATAGTCGCTCTGGCGTGGCAATAACGGCAAGCGAAAGGTGCCTCTCTCTCCACCCCCATCCGCTCCCTCTCCGTCTCCTCCTGCTCCTCCTTCTCTCCTCTTTGTTCATCCTCTCTTATCGTTCTTCTTCTTCCTCCTCTTCTTTCATCTCCTTCTCTCCCCTCGTTTCTCACACCCCTCTTACCCTTCTCTCCTTCACGGACCCCGTTTGTCGAGTCCAGGCGAGAGACCCCCTGTTCTCGACATTCCTCAGGGCCATCGGTGTCTCGACTTTCCCACGTCTTGACATCATCGCGATTGGTCTCCTTTCGTTCCTCAGAAAAGATATCGATTCGCCGTATGATTCATTCGCGCTCTCAACGCTCACGACTTGACGTCCTCTGGAGCCTTACACTCTCTTTCCGTCTTTGATTTTCTTGCACGTTCTTTACGCCGTTGACCGGCCTGCCTCTCGTTTCATACCCAACCCATCCAGACTTCATCCTCTTTGTTTACTCTTTACGACTCTTTCCGCCTCGATCCGATTCTACTTCCTCCATCATGTCTCTTTATTTCCCTGATCCCGCCTTCTCTCCCCAAGGTATGGCATCATCCACCCCCCTGTTCCCTCGCGTCGCTAACCCCTCGTGAAAGCCCTTTCGGGCCGCTCCATCTTCAAACGATGCGTCGAGTGCTCCTCGTCCGCGCCCGCTTGTCCCTCCTGCGAGGATGGATACACCTGCACCATGATCAGTCGATCCTGTGATCAGTGTGCCACGACAAAATGTATCCAGACCTCGACCAGTAGCAGTTCAGACGACTCCCAGGACAGCTCATCAGGTGGTGGAAGCAACGCGGGCGCCATTGCAGGTGGTGTCATCGGTGGTGTCGCCGCCGTCGCCATCATCACATTCTTGGTCTGGTGGTTCGTTATCCGCAAGAAGCGCAAGGAATATGCCCAACAAGGCGGCAACGAAGCCGAGAAATCAAACAACTCCGCATTCAACGACGCCCGCAATTCGCGCAAGTCAACGCACTCCATCGCCTCCACCGTCTTGACCCGTGCCTCCAACGTCATTCAGATCGCCTACATCCCCGGTGTTACGAACCGTTCTCCCCCCGAAACGCCGCTCGTGCCCCCCGTTCCTCCCCTCCCTGGTGCCACCCCCGACCAGCACTTCTTCATGCCCGGTGACCTGCGCGACTCGTCCTGGTCGGATATGACCACCGAACGTCGCAGTATCGCCCCCAGTCTCCGCAGCAGCGTGGCCACCACCATCTACCGCAACAACGCCATCGTCAGCCCCATGCCTGCCCAACAGGCCATGCGGACGAGAGCCGCCGTCGTCAGCATCCACAACGGTGGGAACGCACCGAACGGGTCTTTGGCACCGCCCGATGCCCCCGCCGTTCCTGCGATCACGCCCGCCCAGCTCGCCAAGGCTGGTGTCGCCGAGTCCAACAGTAACAGCTCCATTGTGGCACGGACGGTTACCGCCAAGCCGGTCATGGTGAAGGGCACCGCGAAGAAGAACAACAACAACACCAACACTCCCACCGTCCAGACGATTGAGGAACAGCCTGAATCAGGCGCCTCCACATCGGCATCGAGTCATCAGCAGACTCCTGCATCTGGCTTTGACGCCAGCTCGTCCGACGAAGAAGACGAGACGTCCACGACTTTGAGCGCCAAACGCGCTGAAACCAAACCTGGAGATCGCCAATCGCGCGCCTCCACACAAAGCCCATTCAGCGACCTGCACGCCAATGCCGAGACGAACTCCCGGACGTCAGTCCATGAAGGATCCAGGTCCAACCGAAGTAGTAGAGTCCCGCCTCCGCGCGTCGAGAGCCCCTTCTCCGACGCCAACGAGGTGAAATAAACGAATGACCAACTGTCTATGCTTTGCTTTTTGTTCTCTACTTCACATTTGGACCATTGATTGGATTGGCGGCTACCGGCGCAAAGGATCTGTTGCACTGATGGGACTTGATAGATGCGTTGCTCTTTTTTTTGCTTCCATTTCTTTGTATCTATGAACAGATATGCTTCCTTGATCTCATTATCAGATCGCTGTCAGATATTCCCCATTCTGAAATTCATATGGCTAGCGAATCGACCCTTGTCTTTCATCGCCTATCTAGCTCAGGGAGGTCCAACGTGGATATTACCGTGGCTTTACGGTTGAAGAGATGTAGGCGGTAGTTTCAACTATTTGAAATCGCACTATATGTATGTCTCATAGAGACCGACAGGGTATCTACAGGCTAAATGTCACATTCACCACACCGCGTTCAACAACCAACGTCTATCCATAACGCCAGTGGTAAGCAACCTAATACTCCTCCAAACCCATCCCCCTCCCAATCTTCCGAATGAGAGCCCGTTTTAAGAACGCTTCACGGGCAAGGCCACGCGTATGCCGAGACCATGTCTCGACGCCAATCACACCCTTCACCAGGGCCGCCTGCAGCGCGTAGATGGCCTGTTGGATGCCGCGTTCCTCGGCGACGAGGTCGTAGAGCTGTTTGCCCACGACGGTTGGGGCGACGAGGATCTCGTCGACGGACGGCAGACCGGACGCGACGGGGTCTGTGCTTGCTTGTGGGTTGGACGAGGCGATGCGGCTCTGGGCGTCGGCGATGACGCCGTCGGCGCGGTGGAGGGATTGCTGCAAGATGGAGGTGTTGGATTGCAGGGTGGCGTTGAAGTCCTTCAGGGAGGAGATTTCGCCTTGCAAGGTGGCTATTGCGGCGTGGAGAGAGTGAGACTGGGACTGCAGGGAGTGTGCGGCGGATTCGGACTGCGCGATGTTGGTTTGGAGGGTCTGGGCGAGCGTTTTGGACACTGCGTGCAAGAGTGCGTCTTTCTCGGGGTTGGGTGGAATGGGCGGCGCCGGGCCTGTGGGTGCAATCGAGGGCAGCTCGACTTCAAATGGCGAGGTGAGGAGATCCACTTGTTCGGGTTTGGGTCGTGGTGCCGGCTGGGTCGTCGGGACTGGTGGGGGAGCACCATAATGTGGGGAAGGGTGGGATGGTGGGAGAGGGGATTGTGGAAACCGGCCATTGGGTTGCTGGTATGCTGGGTGAGGAAGAGGTTGTTGACCGGAGACATAGGGAGGCTGTTGTGGCGGACCCTGGAGGGTTTGCGGAGTTGGGCTCGTGGATATACCTCCGTCAGCCCGGAAGGGTGCTTGTCCTTGTGGATGTAGGGATATTGCTTGGCCCATAGAATGGTGCTGTTGCTGTTGGGGAAAGTGATGTTGGATTGAAGGTCCTGGTGCCGCGTCTGTCTGCCCTGGGAGGTATTGCGAAGCTCTGTTTGCGGGACTGGTGAAACCCGCATGGGGATGGAATGATTGAGGTCGGGGGACCTGCTCCTTCGGCGGCAGTGGGGGCATCGAAGATGGGGGGCCTTGGTGTATGACCTGGGTAGCTTGTCGGGGTTCCGCAGCCACCATTTGTCCCGGTTTCGGCGGAGGCGCAGGGGGCACGGGGGATGCGGTTTGAGGGGAGGGTGCATTCTGCACTGTCGGGGAGCGGCTCGTTGAAACCCCCAGCTCTGGGGGGAGGGGTGGTAGAGGGGGCGGCGTTGGTACGTGTCGTGGTTGCGGAGGCTGCACAGGGAGGGCTTGGTGTTGTTTGTATTTGACGGGGGGTTCCTTTGCGAACACTTCTCGGAGGATCAACAGGAGATCAACCAAGGAAGACCGCTGTGATGGTACAGTCGATTAGTATGTACGTGGATAAGGATAAGCAGGGAGGGTTTTTCGAAGATCTTCGACTCACCTCCCAGGCTTCCGTCCAATGCGCGAGATAATGATGATAAACTCTCCCCTCCAACGTCACATGCTGCCCGACTCGAACGGCCATGTCTTGAGTTGGTGTTACATAGACCAGTGGGGGGTCTCGCGGATAGGTGTTGGGGACCCATAATGTGATCGGAAACTTGTATATCGTGCCGCGAAACGACACGGGGACGGTGCCGCTCAGTTGGAGTAGAAGGGCCGAGAAGCCGTTCTCGTAGGCTGACGGGGGCTGTTAGGCATTCTGTGCGGCTCATTGACCATGATGCAAGTTTGTGTTCGAGGAAAGCTCACTGTAGACTTCGGTTCGTGGCGAAAGCGAAGGGTACTGGGCGAGTACATTGGCGACATCTGAATAGGTGCGATTGGGGTCTTGGTAGGTCTGCCGGGGATCGTAGTGGTCCTGTAGAGGATTAGCGGCTATGAAGGCGAGGAATAGAAGAAAAGGTCGTACGCGGATCAGGACACTGTAGAGCCAGTTGAGTGTCCGTTGTGGCACGGCAGCCATGGTTAGGAGATGAAGAGAGAGACAGACAGATAGAGAGAGTGTGTCTAAGGAGACTCGCGATCATCGGTGGAAGTGGTGCTTCCCCGCAGTGCTGAGTCAGCAGCCCCATACAAGTTCACTAGTTAACTACTGTATACAATGGATGTATGTCGAGACCTCTTCTCTTCCAGGTACTTCCTTACTGACTACCTTACCATGCAGGTGCAATTTCAATACTCAGTCCAGCCTAATCAGCGATTATTTTGAATGCAGGCCGTGTCTCAACTGCAACGCTGTGATTGTCCGTACTGGACTCGCAGTCACCATGTCCCACCCGAAGAATCTCTGTGTACCCTCAAACAACCCTGGCCGGAGCTCCTTGCTGCCTCACCTGGGTGTGATCGATACTGCCACCTGAACCATCGGCGGAAATACGATTGGATAGAGTTCCTTGAACACCGAGATGTCTACCTAGTACCATTCCTGAATCCGCAAGTCTGTTGTGACGCGTCCTCTGTGAGGCAACACGGGATGCCGACGATTGATCAGACGAAACAATCGGCATGGTGAAATAGATCGGCAGTTGCAAGTCCTTCAGAGGCTGTAATTCCGAATCAATAATGGCTCTGTTTCAGGCAAACAGTGGGGGTGGGTGAACAACTCTCGCCACTCCCGTCTTGATATTGTTCTCTTACTATTGTTCGTCTCGGGATGCTCGTGTCGTCCGGCCGCATAAAGTCCACCCATTGTCCCTGGTCCACCATCATTCCTCACTCATATTGTCTGTCTCAAGTGTTCCACCGCATCAGAGGGAGCCCATCATGTAATCTCTGGGCCGTCATGCCGTCAATGTTGAGATTCCGTCTGACCTCATCTCCCTCGAATCTCGTTCACCATATTCGAATGCTTATACAAACCGGCTGGAGCTCGACGTCCTCTTCCTGACCATCTCTTTGAAAATTCAGATTGATCATTTGACCGGTGGCCAACGCTGCTATTCTAACGTTGCACGACATACACCACTTTCTTAGCTCCACGGCCCAAGATCTACTGCTCATCATGGGGTCTACATTCGATCCGTTCTCGCAGAGCATCACCCTCCGCGGTCCTGCCGAGAACGAAATCACCATTCCCATCGAAACGGTGGACTTCTTTTACCAATACTGCATCCGCATCTGCATCAACTATGGAGCCCAGCTTGGGGCTTCCATCGTCCTGTTCATCATCCTCCTGCTCCTGACAAGGCCCGAGAAGCGCCGCTCGTCGGTCTTCGTGCTGAACATCACGGCGCTTCTCTTGAACGTGAGCCGATTGATCTGCCAGCTCATCTACTTCACGAGCGAATTTGTCCGTCTTTACGCCTATTTTGGCAACGACTTCTCGCGCGTGCCGCCCTCTGCTTACGCCGATTCCATCCTGGGCGTCGTCCTGGTGACACTTCTGATCGTCTGCATCGAGGCCTCACTCGTGCTGCAGGCCCAAGTGGTCTGCGCAAACCTGCGACGCGGATACCGCCGCATCCTCCTGGCCGTCTCCATTGTCATGGCCTTGGTCCCCATCATCTTCCGCTTCGTCTACATGGTCCAGAACTGCTGGCATATCATGCACGCCGCCGAGACCATCCGCCTGAACTGGCTGGAAAGCGCCACCAACGTGGTCATCACCATCAGCATCTGCTTCTTCTCCGCCGTCTTCATCACCAAGCTCGGCTTCGCCATGCACCTCCGCAAACGACTGGGGATGACAGACTTCGGCCCGATGAAGGTCATTTTCGTCATGGGCTGCCAGACCATGGCGATTCCAGGTATGCACCATGTCCCCACCACGCCATAACCAACCCAAAATTCTCACACAGGCACTAGCTATCTTCTCCATCCTGCAATACATCGTCAGCGTCCCGGAGCTTGCGTCCAACATCTTCTCCCTCGTCACCATTTCTCTCCCACTGTCTTCGATCTGGGCCGGCTTTACCATCGACCAGCGGGCTCGAGACTCCGGCATGTCATCGTCCCGCAACAATCTGTTCCAGGCCCTGTCCTTCTCCAAGGAGGCGAAGACCAGACAGTCCTCAACCGTGACGTATGCGTCGCAGCCGAGCAGCAAATCTCATACCCTGTGCTATGCGGAGTTGTCGCCGGCGAAGCAGCAGAGCGATGCGGAAGCCGCCTATGGCATTGCTGTGGAACGGGACATTTCTATCCACAGTTGTCGGAAGGATGGAAAAGCGCCGAATGTGTGAACTGGAGGGTGTGTTGATCATGGCGTGACGTAGCTATTTTTGCCTTTCTTTCGTCTGCTGCACCGCCGTGTGGCGCGCGAGTGAAGCATGTAGACTCCCGAGACATCTTGCGCAGTGCTTTTACTACCTAAGTACTTTAATAATACCTTACCCGGGACACAATCCCCGATCGAGACTTGGGAGTCAACAGGTAGAAATATGCATTAAGTATACGTAACTGACAAATTCTATTTGCTCCGTCAATTGTCCTCCGTCCCATTCAGCCTTCCCGGCCTAGCTTCGCCAACGATTCCGTGATAAACTCATTCGCATTCATCAAGTCTGTGCTGCCGTAGACCACCCTCCGTCTCGGCGCCCCGTGGACACCAGATCCACGGCCCCCGGCTGCACCGTCGCTGCCCGCCTGCCCGCCTGTCTGACGTACCCAGTCCTGCAAGTTGCCGTATTCGTCCATGCTGCCACCACCGACGGTAAAGACAATGGCTTCGTTGAAGGCTTGACGGCGCTGGCCGAAGCTGGCCCCCGTTCCGGGACCGGGCGCGCTCATGCCAACGGGGGACTGCGCGTTTCGAGATGCAGAGGCCGGGGGCATGGCGCCGCGGGCGTTGGCGCTGCGCGGATCGAAGTAGAGATAATTTTCGGTTTTGGCGATGGCGGAACTCGATGCAGAGGCAGGGTCCATGATCGACTCGGTGATCTTCGTTAAGGTGAGGTCCTTGTTGGCTGGAAGAAAATTTTTGACCCCGGAGATGAGCGAGTCGAAATTGGCGCCCAGCGCACCGGAGGTGATGCGGTCGGTGAGTCGGTTGGAGAGGGAAGAGAAGCCCTTGAAGAGATCGGAGGATTGTTGCTGGGGAGTTGCCGTCGTCATCATGGTCATCCGAGTGATCTCTCGGACCTGTCGCACGTAGGCTAGCGAGCTGACGTCCTTGACGCCAGCGCGGGTGAGGGCTTCCTCGAACTGGGTCATATCCGCGCGAGACAGCTCGGTTTCTGTGCTGAGGAACCAGATCAAGAAGAGCCGGAGCTTGTCTGTTGGCTCGCTGCCCTTGGACGCATCGTTGATCAGGTCCATGATTTGCGTTTTAGATTGCTTGGTGATGTTTTCCTCCAGTTCGAAGAAGTTATCGAGCTGGCGGTCTTTAATGCCTTTGAGGAGCGCGGTTGCGATGTTCATGTGCATGTCCAGGGTGGCTTTGCGCTCGCGGAGTTCGGGGAGAAGCGTGATGGCGGCCTTGAGATGCTGAGCCGAGGCGCTCGTGTCGTTCTGTAGGTCCTCGATGGAGGAGGCGCCAGTCTTTCGGGTTATCTCATTGGCGTCTTCTTTGTACCGCGTTAACTCGGCATCGATGTCTTCGGCGACCTGGGGGAAGGGAGCCCCTGCGTTGCGCTTCCAGAAGAAATCGTTGCTGTTGATATCATATGCCTTCTTGGCGACACCCTTGGTAGGGTTAGACTCGTCCACCGCGGCCTCCAATGTGATCCTGTTCAGACGCATCTGAAGCACGTCTTGCACAAGAGACTGATATGTCCACGAATGAGAGAGCATGGGGACAAGATCCACGTTGCGGTCGACGATGATGAGGACGGGTCGGGATGAGGGGACTCCGGGAGCGGATTTTTTGTTCGAGAAAAGGTTGTCTTTGGAGTTTAGAATGTGGTCTCGTAGCTTGCGGTCCAGTTTCGTCGCGATGAGCTCCGCGGCACCGCCTTTGGGACAGCGGATGATGGGCATGGTACCTGTTCAGAATCGTTAGCGTAAGTGATTTCAGATACCAATGCTCTGACGCACCCATCGTGACGCTGACGCTAAACAATCCGCTAACAATCTTGTCGACGATCGCATCCAGTTCCTCGTCGCTGGTTTGCGCACTGTTGATTTTCCAGTAGGCATCATTTCCGAGACCGAGACTAAAGAGGTCGGGCTCGGCGACAATGAAGTTCAGATATTGATCATAGACTTGCGCAATATGTTCCGCCGTTCCTGTGGTCGCGACCTGGGAGGCGAAGTCTTCGAGGAGGGGTCGGGGGACGGAAGATAAGAAGTTCACGTAGGCGGGCGAGTATAAGCCACGAGACAAGTCGTTTGTGATCACTTGGATATTGGCGGGGGTCGGTTCAACGAGATAGACGACAGGAACATCGGGGATAGGGTAGCGGGTAGAGTTGAGGTTTCTTCAAGCCGGTGGTTAGCTGTAGGGTCGAGGGGGAGAGACTATATAGTCCAGATGCGGGTGCGTACAGGTGGATGGTGATGCCCCACGCTCGGAGATCGTTGACACGCAGTACACTGCTGATGACGTCGCGACCCATGTTATCAAACACCAACACCTTCCAGATAGGATCGCCATCCTCGTTCAAAATTGGGGAGGAGATCAGGCCCTGCGCGGAGGCCTCATGGGTACCGTCTCCGGAGGGCTGAGGGTCATGGTTCAGATTGAGGATTTTCTGGATGGAAGCTGTAGATTTGACGAGTCAGCACATGCGACCCAAAGACCTGGAAGAGATTCATTTAAGAAACCTACCAACCTGACGGTCGCGAAGGGACATGGGAGGGGATGCCATTGTGGTTTACCCCGTCTGGACGGAGCTAGTACTTGATCGCGGAAGTGGTATTCACGAGGACGGGGTGAGGGCAAGATTCATGACCAAGAAAGCGTGGCGCAATCAAGACAGACCTCCGGGGGACTGGAAGAGAGGATCGCCGAGTGCAAGACGACCGGATGAATCGATCTGAAGCTGTACAGAGTGGATTGTCTCGACCTTGTAACCGCTAATTCAACGGACTTACCTGGCATGTCGCGTTGGGGGAGCTGGACGGGATTATGTCATCACCAAAACAAACCGTGCAAACCGAAACATGCACGTGATATGCGGTAAGCGCCGACACGAGCTTTTTCCCTTGGACTCTCCTCCCTCTCTTCCCTCCATCTCCTTTCATCCTCCACCATCGACACTATCATCTCTCTCGCCGCTTCCGCCTCTCACCCTCTTCGTAAACCGAATGGCTATGCTGCAGATCTGCAGTCCTGAGTGGTTCTTTGTATGAGAGCCTTTTCTTTTCCTTTCCGTCTTACTTAAGAGTCAATCTAAAGAGGAAGAAAAGGGTCCACAAGGACCAAGACTGTACGCGCTAATCGTCACTCAGAGGAGTACGAAAGGCCCAAAAGAGGCATCAGAGTGAGAGGAAGAGAGAAAGACTATAAACAAACAGGAAGGACTACAGAACGAAGCAAGAGACCGGCGAGGAGAGTGACCGTGAGAGAAAGGGGATCATACATAACAGGCAAAAAAAGGGTGCTCATATCGCCGCAGGAGAAGCTTTCTTTTTTAACCTTCTTTGAATATCTTACGTCTGCTATTACGGGAGTACTGGGCCAGTTGTGTATACGAAGCGTTGACCCGCGTGTCTGCTTCTAAGACCGACAACTCGCAGGGATACCTATCGACAGAGGGGCTGTTGTTAGAGGAAAGGAGACCAACTGGCCAATAAAGGTGGTGTGATTTGAGCGAGGGTGGGTAAGGCTATATACACCTACTACCTTACTACTGCCTACCTAGGTACTGGTACACCGACTGGTATCTCCCCACACCACCCGCACACAGTCCCAGACGGCTGCACCAACTGCAGTCTGCAGTGTTGTCCACGCTCTCTCCTTATCTGTCCCACCCGACCAGCATAAGCGGAAGGTACCTGCCAGGTATTTTTCGCCCCCAGGTACCTCTTGACCGCCTTCCTCCTTGGTGGACTCTCTCTTCGCCTGGCAAGACAAAAACAGCAGCCACCCGAAACCAGAAAGGGAAACCAACGCCTGACACCATTCCTAATTGGGTCCTTCGCTGCACGTGGATGCATGTGACTTATACTTTTGTGTACCTGCCCATCCCATCAACGACTGTTGTTGTTGGTCTTGTTCTTTAAAGATTCTCCGATTCTCCCCCAGTCCATTTTCCTGTTCTATCAACAGTATGGATCAATTCCCTCCACAAGATCTCATGCGTGGGGTGCCCAGAGCTCCTGTCAACCCTGCCTCATTACCGCCGGAGTACTGGGCAGGCCTGGATTCTTTGTACACCAACTCCGATCCCCCACACCAACAGCCGCGGGATCAACAGCAGCAACAGCAACAGAATCAGCCTCAAACACAGTCCCAACCCCTGGGGATCACCTGGGATCATCCAGTCTTCTCACAAAATCAACCCCTTCCCCAATCCCAGTCTCGAAGCTCGTTACCCGCCCAACACCAGGATCAGATCCATAGCCTATACGATACCCAAACTTCCCAGTCCTGGCGTGGAGAATCTTTGCAGAACCAACCCATGATGTCGGCAACTCCCCAGGGGTATGGCATATCCTCGCAATATCGTCCGTTGCGGCCATATCCCCAGGGACAGATGACGCTGGAGTCTCAACCTCTTTCGACTCCGGACAATGCAGCCTTTCAGCAATCCTACAGTTACCCGCGGAACTACTTCCCACAGCAACAGCTTTCTGTCCCCGATACCTTCCCTCAGTCGTCTTCCTCCCAGAGCGCTTCCTCGCTGCCTTCTCAACAGACTTCCTACCATAACGATGTTGCTTCCTTGGGGCTTGATTCATACTCTCTTCCGGCTGGTTTTCCGGATGATTCTTTGGTACGTTTGTTTTTTGCGTCTCCATAAGCTCCAGCTGACCGAGGACACCAGGTTTCGATGCCCTTCCCTAATGACTTCCCCGGCGATACTTCGAATCTACCTACACAAAATACGATCAACCCCCAACTGGTAGCGCAGCAGCAGATAGGCTTAACGGGGCCCCAATCAGGCACCCAGAATACGTCAGTGAACAACTACCCATATCTCAACATGTCTGGCTTTGAGCGCACAAATGAGCCAAAGTAAGTCTCCATGTCAATTCACCTTCTGGGCCCCTATTGACGCATTATAATAGGGGATTCGATTACTTTCGAAATGACCTACAAATGCCATCGGCAATGGGTCAACAGACCCTGAACACCCGACACAGCATTCCCCAAGGTTCTAACATTCAAACGGTGTCGGTAAATGGTATAGCGCGTCCTTCTACTTCGGTGTTACCACTGTCTCCTGTGACTAACGTTTTCTTTCATGTAGGCCAACATCATGCGCTACCCCAGTTTCCTGGACAAACTGTAGATGCAACAAAAAAGCAACTCAAGAAGCAAACGAAGAAGGCGGCCAAAAAAGCCTCCGGAAAGAAAACGGATGGCAAGGCGCCGGCCACCTCCAGCTCTGAGAGTGAGACTGACGATTCGGATCTTGAGATTGTATCTCCCGAAGAGCCCTCTCCCATTCCCCCTACTCGCCCTGCTGATCCCGAAGCTGCTATTCAATACGATACTCTCCAAGCGGTGTGGTCGCCACGTAATAGAAGGCCCAACGTCGACAAAGTCAAAAATGCGCTCGTCGCATTCAAAGATGTCGTCAAAACTGTAAGGGACGCATGGAAAGAGAAAACCCAGGCCATGAAGGCGGCGGAGAACAAGAACGAGAATGAAAGAGCGGCCCAGATAAAGAAAGAAGTCCTTCTTCAGCGACGGCTGATGAATGTGATTGTCAGCACCACCTTGGAGAAGGGCCACCCCATGATTATCGAGAAGTATGTCTCCTTCCCCTTCCCATGTCACTTCCACCTGCATGCGCACCTGGCATATTTTTGTCAAGGCCATAGAATTCACTACCGAATTGAGAGCCTCTTCAATGTAATCTCCCTAGTGACATAAGCACCACTTCCTTTTTTATAAAGGGTGCTTATCAGTAAGGGGGGACTTAATTGTCCAACCAAGGGACCTGCATGGGTAGTTGCTTGCCCCATGCAGAGAGGGACGAAAAGATATCGCTCCAAAACGGAACCATCGTGGACATGTGTCCCGAAGACTTTGCCTTGAGCGTCTACTCAAATATCAAGGCAGAGATGATCGGATCACGTCCACGGGCCTTTTGGATCGGGCGCATGGGGTTATTCACCTTGTATTGCTTTACAGGCAGCTAACATATGTATTCTCTAGGCTGGGTGAGCATCCTATGGCGGTTGCTGCGGTGTATTCGTTCCTGTTGGACCGGCATCAAGCTGCTGACATCGACGGTGAATTCAATATCAATCTTCTCAAGGTCAGTGGCTTGTGACGTGTGGATTAGGCCATCACTAACTGTATCCCAGCTGCTTTCCCGCTTTGTAACCATGGACGAGGATGTTCTTAACAAGACAAATGTCGCTAAGCTTCTACCGAGATTTGTCAAGAAGGGGGGTCCCACCGTCCGAGAGCTTTCCCAGAAGATCTTGGATAATGCAGCGGCTTCCACGAAACGGAAGCAGGACGCAGGGAAACCCTCGTCCAAAGAGAGCTCGCCCAGTAAGACTGCTGCAACGGACGGATCGAATGCGCAGAAGAATGATTTGGCTGGCCTCAAGCGACCCCGCGAGGGCGAGGGCCATGCTCAGCCTGCGGCAAAGAAGGTGGTGGTTCCGTCTGGTGCCAAAAATGCTTTGAAGCCAAGCACAGTCAGCGCCAATGGGTCCTCCAAGCGCCCACAAGAGCCGGGCCAAGAGAACAAGGCAATTCCGACAGTTTCCCGCCCAAAGGCCAACATCATTGCCCCTAAGCCTACGAATCTTTTCGGCAGCCTGAGCTCTGCATCCAAGAGACCGGGGACCTCGAATGCTGAGAGAGCGGCCGCAGCGGCGGCAGCTGCAAAGACAAGGTAAGTAGATTATGTCTGATGCATAAGAATCACGACTAACTCATCCTAGCACTCCTGCTGCAAAGAAGGAACCTCAGCCGGCGCCATCCAAGCCAACATTCTCCTTTGGCGATCTCATGGCGGATCTCAATAAACAAAAGGATCCCACGCCGTCCGAACCTGCCGAGGAAAAGACCCCTGAGACTGAGGAAGAACGCGAGAAGCGATTGCGTAAGGAAGCTCGGCGAAGGCTGCGGGTCACTTGGAAACCGGATCATTCTCTTACGGAAGTGCGCTTCTTCACCCATGATCCTGACGAGGAGCTCAGTCCTGGCGACCGCTCCAGAGAAGCAGGGGATGTCAAGGGTGAAGGCAGCGTTCTCAAACTTCATCGGGATCTGGATGAGTTGGAGGAGGACGAAGATGGCGGTATTCGCGAGGAGAATCTGCTAGACTACCACGAGACTTCCGGTAACTTCCCCGTGGATCATGGGTGTGTCTTGACGCCACTAACGGGTGCAGAAATCGACCTTGCGGATATTGAGGATGGTAACTATATCAAGCGGGGCGGCGCCCAGCAGCCTGTCAGTCCCGAAAAGACCGCACAGGAACACAGAGAGGCCACTACGCTCATGGTCTTTTACACGTGTCCCGCCGATGTTCCACCAACTCCTAAGGAGCCCCCTCCATATGACGCTGAAGAGTCAGCTGCTGAAGTGCTCTCGTTTGGCGAACTCCCCGACCATGTGAAGGTGAGCCTTTGGCAGTTCCAATTCATAATCCCGCGTTTTCAGTAAGTACTAATGATTTGCAGGCACGACAAGAGCGATACTATGCGATGGTCAACCCGAACCGTGCTGCGACTGCTCAGCCCGCTCCTCAGAATCCGCCTAATGGAGCTCCATTTGACATTTCAAATCTACTTAAAATTCTTCAGAAACCGCCTCAACAAGCACCAGGGCAGAATTCAACCCCTCCTCCCGCCCCCCAGCCTACGTCGCAACCACCAATGTTTGATTTGGAGCGGACCATCAGCATGTTTCGTCAGCAACAGCAGCCTCAGCAGCCCGCCCCGAATCCGCTTCTTCAGATGGCTCAGTTCCCAGCTTTGTCACAGCCTCCAGCAACACAGGGCATTGACTTCCAAAAGATCCTGTCTGTCCTCAATAATACGCAGAATCCGGTGCAACAGCCCCCAGTTCTTCCCCAAGCCCAACAATCACAACCCGGGATTGCACCAAATATCGCGGCCATAATCTCCCAACTTAACCAAACCCAACAAGCGAGTACGTCTCAGCCTTCCGGCCAGTATGAAGATCCGGAGCGCAAGCGCATGCGTGAGAATGGCGGATATGACGGCCACGATGATAGCTACGGATATCCCAAAAGGCCCAAGTCAGGTGCGCCAAACAAGAGACATGTAGGTTTTCTATCCCCTTCGAGACTTCCAGACCCATGAACTGACTGTTTGCTATAGCCCAAGGCTGGGCTGGTTGCCTGTAGATATTGGGCGGAAGGCCGATGTCGGAAAGGGGATGAGTGCACATACCGTCATGACCCTTTGAACTAATGTTTCCCCATTTCTGATACCCTTGTGTATTTGTGATATCAGCCAATTGTTGCGTTGCATATAGCCACTATACCGGGTTCTTTGACTTGCATGTACAGTGATGCAGATGTGTCAGCTGGCGCGTTCATGGCGTTGAGTTTGGTTCTTTCGCAACATCGATTATCTGATTACTTCGGAGCATGCGGCATACTGTATGGACGGAGGGAGTTTTCGTTTTTCGTTTCGATTTCATGTTCTTCTGTGGGCGTTTCGGGCCCGATTCTTAGCAGCCAGGTACTCGGGAGGAATTTGCGACGGGTTCATATGCATCGGGTGTTTTGTTTTCATGGTCCATGTATATTAAAGACATCCCGGGGTGGATTTTCGAGTTTCAAAGACTAATTGATGAATCGGCATTACTTTGATTACCACCATTGAATGGGCTAATCTCCGGGACCCGAATATCTTCTCCACTCTTTATCGGTGGAGTCAGCATGGGACGCTTGGAGAGGTTCTTTAATAAATAGCCAACATCACTCTCTTCGCTCTTGACATATTCTGATCGATCAATCTATCAGCCCTTACGTTACAACACTACAATGGCCCCTCATGTCCTTCTCACCGGGGGCAACGGCTTCATCGGATCTCACATCCTAGCCCAGCTTCTTGACTACGGCTGCACGGTCTGCTGTGCGGTCAGAACCCAAGAAAAAGGCGACAAGATTTTGAGGGACTTTGTCGCGCAGCAATCTCAGATATCCATCCGGATTGTCCCCGATATCGTCGCTCCTGGAGCATACCACGCGGCAGTTCAGGGCACTCCCGCCTTTGACACCGTCTATCATACGGCATCCCCTTTCACATATAACAATATGGGGAGCAATGTTGAGTTCCTCGAGCCGGCGACCAAAGGCACGTTGAACTTGCTTCAGGCCGTAAAAGACAATGCCCCGAGCGTGAAACGGGTCATTTGGACTGGTAGCTGCGCCAGCGTGATTGACTACGACAACCTGGTCTCGGACCCACCAAGGGTTTATACAGAAGCTGACTGGAACCCGATCACATGGGAAGAGGCTGTTCATGGCGACTCGTCGAAAGCATACAGGGCGAGCAAGCTTTTCGCCGAACGAGAAGGTGAGTCGATTATTCTGTTTGTTGCTAGCAGAGGCGGTACTAAGACAATTTTCTCAACACAGCATGGAAGTTTATGAAAGAAGAACAGCCGTCGTTTGACCTGGTCACGTTATCTCCGCCGGCAACATTCGGGCCTTTGCGGCACTCCATCACAAGCATCCGCGACCTGAACGAATCCGACTCTCGGTTGTGGAGATTCTGCTTCAACTCGACCAAGGATGCCCCTGTGCCGTACATGCCGGTGCACACTTATGTCGATGTCCGGGTAAGTCGCCCAGCTGAGCACTGTTTCTACTCTTACTAACATTCATATTTTGTAGGATCTTGCAGCTGCTCAACTCAAAGCTATGACGGTCCCAGAGGCTGGCAACCAACGGTTTATAGTATGTGCCAGGCAATTTGACTTCCAGGATGTTTGCGACATTCTCCGATCCCACTTCGCCGAGCTAAGTGAACGTACACCGCTTGGGAAACCTGGGACACGCTCCTTACCGAACGGGGCGTATTCAATCGACAGTTCTAAAGTGAAGCAATTCCTAGGCGTGGAGTTCCGGGGTCTGGAAGAGACCGTTTTGGATGTCGCACATTATATGTTAGATCTTGAACGGAAGGAGAAGCGAGCCCATACTATCTAGAGAAGTGGCCGAATGAAACAAGACAATTATCTTCATAGTTTTTTCTCCCCGTACCTAGGCCGTAGTGGTACTTCGTACATCAACAGCTGAGCCAGCAACTTGGCTACCCCGCATGCTCCACTACCTAACTCCGGTCCAATGCGCAGGCGGAGTTATCTCTGGTTGCTGCGGTTAACCCCGAGAGTGGAGGCTGGATCTGCTTCCGATTGGACAACCTAGTCAAGGATGGCCAGATCTGAGCGGGCCAGCTCCACCAGACCCACTTCACCTGGGTTAACGCCGAAATGAAAGTAGATGCTTACGGAGTACTACAGTGGGGTGCAGGTTTAACTAACTAGTAAGTACACTACCTCATCAACACCAGAGAGGAGACTTTCGGCCTAAACCTGGCAGGTGTAATGGCTTTGTCCTTGCAGGGCTTCTGGAACGCCGCAATATACATCTCAACTACCTTTGTGGCGTTCAGGCATCTGTGGCAATGAGTTAGTCAAGTGGAAAATATGTTTATGGCGGTTTCGGACTTCTTAAACTAATGCGGAACACGACAAGAACAATGTTTTGCTCCATAATATGGCAGCTGGTGGAAGGAAAAGTGTTGAAAAGTGTACAACGCTGCCACGGTGCCGCCTGTATTCTCGAATGTATGTTTCTCTTTCATACAGTGTCGGACTGAAGCATGCTAAAGCAGGAAAAACATTGATATTTCAAAGTGTCCAGGATCAGGTCCGTCAAGGACCTTTTTTTACTGGCCCATGGAACGCACTGACAGGTCGCATAAGCAGGGCACTGGATCACTAGGCGCAAAAGAAAGGTCTTGGATTATAGAAGACTAGGATTCCCTGTGAAGTTTACTTGGTGGTTTTGTTTTGTTTTTGAACTACAGGGTTTATTATAATCGGCTTGTATGTGCATTGTGGGTCTTTGGGAACTTGACAATCACTTCATGCCCGTTGCCTAGAGCCAATAACAACAGCATCCGCTTCGTCGTTGTCATTCAGGTCCAGGCAAGCGCCCTTTTCAACCAAATACTTGACCACAGCCTTATGGCCGTTCTCTACAGCCCATAACAGCGGTGTTCGGCCATAGTATTTGTCCTTTGACTCCAAGTCAGCACCGTGCTCAACCAAATACTTGACTACCGCTCCATGGCCTTCCTCTGCAGCCCATGACAGCGGCGTTCGACCATAGTCTTCGTCTTTTGACTCCAAGTCAGCACCGTGCTCAACCAAATACTTGACCACAGCTTCATGGCCTTTCTCTGCAGCCAAGAACAGCAGCGTTTGACAATTGTTGTCTTTCAACTCCAAGTCAGCACCCTTCTCAACTAAACACTTGAATACCGCTTCATGGCTATGCTCTGCAGCCGATAACAGCGGTGTTCGGCCACAGTGATCTTTTGACTCCAAGTCAGCACCCTTCTCAACCAAATACTTGACCACAGCCTTATGGCCGTTCTCTACAGCCCATGACAGCGGCGTTCGACCATAGTATTCGTCCTTTGACTCCAAGTCAGCACCGTGCTCAACCAAATACTTGACTACCGCTCCATGGCCTTCCTCTGCAGCCCATGACAGCGGCGTTCGACCATAGTCTTCGTCTTTTGACTCCAAGTCAGCACCCTTCTCAACCAAATACTTGACTACCGCTCCATGGCCTTCCCCTGCAGCCCATGACAGCGGCGTTCGGCCATAGAAGTCTTTTGACTCCAAGTCGTCGCCCGGTGGTGCTTGATCATCAGTTTTATTCGCATTAATTTCCAATGTTTCTTGAAGGCGAGCCTTAACCGCCTCCTCAATCCCGAAGTATGCCGCCAAGTGAAGACCTGTCATGTGCGTTCTCGCTGAAAACGGCCAGTAAACTTCGCCACCCATTAAGGCCTGGCTTGATGCCTCTACCTTCAACGTGCAACGTAGAAAGGTTATGGCTTCTGGGCATAAAGTCAAAGCCCCACGAGCATGATGTCCCCAGTTGGTTGCAGAGTAATAGTAGAGCTTGTTTAACCGCAGGCGCCATTCATATTCAAAAAGAGATTGACAAGGCCCGCCCTCAAACGAACGAAATGAGAGATAAGACACGCAGATTCTCGTGATATTGGCCTCTGCATCTGGAAACCAATGTGTCTGTGTTTGCTGGAAATACTCCTGTGTTGTATAATGGACCAACCGGATAATTCCGCTTTCTTCATCGACTGTAACCAGCCCAGCACAAACAGAGACCATGTCCTCAACTTGTGGAAGGTTGTATTTATCAAGTTCAGGCTCACCAGCTTCCACAGCAAGTGCGTGCTGCAGTTGCGACGTATTAAGCCGACTCTTCGCGCAGACAATCCACGATAGGACATCCATTGCAAGCTGTCGGGAGTCTCTGTCCTGCCCCTCAATTCTCTGCATGGCATCCTTGTACGCATGATTGTATGCTTCAGACCCTTTTGAAAGGCTTTTTATGGTCTCCAGGATTCTTTTGACTGTTTTCTTTGCTTTTACTGAGTCGAAGTGAAGCTGGGCTAGGAGAAACCTGATGCATAGTCAGTTTACTCCGTCTACAATGACACGGGTGATCACTTACATTCCATCTACAGCTTTTGTGATGCCTGTTTGAATCTCTTCACTGATTGAGGCCAAAAGCTTCGATTCCGATTGCACTATCCGAGCCTTCAGATATTGTTGCACGTCTTGATCACTTGCACGGACTTCCAAGGTAATGCTGCCGTTAAACCTCTCCCATATTTGTGGGATAAACCTTGAAGTGGCGTAGATGTTCGCACCGCATGTTGCCTGGACGTGGAAGATCTCTGTCAGGAATTTTGTTCGGCAATCATCAGATACTTGGCATTCATCAAGCGCATCAACGAGAATGAAGACTCTCGAATATATGCCCGCCACGGCCCGAAGAGCATTCGAGATTTCGTCAAATGATGGTCGTGTCCGCTTGTTTTTATGCCTGTCATAAAGACTGCCAACACTTTCCGGTAGGGAAGGCTGCCCTTGGCTTAGCTGCTTTAGGAGACTGGCAAGTAAGTCTTCCACTTTCTGCTCATTTTGCCGGCGGAAGTTGCAGTATATGTATGCAATTCCAAAAGATTGGTCGAGCGGAAACCGTACAGTAAGGTCGTCAATGACAATTGCGGTCAGGATCGTTTTTCCTGCTCCAGGAATGCCTGGACAGAATAACGTCTGGTTGCTTGAGCTTAGCCAAGTCTGGTACTCAGCAGAATCTAAGAACCATTTGCCAGTTCCCGGTTGTCGCCTTTTCAGAAAGTCACTATGCTGAGGACCGTAGTCGACCGATGTAAGCCAATTAAGGACTTCGAGGTCTTCTTCTCTGTTCAACTTGGACCGGATTGTTCCCACATTGGTGTCGGTTCTCTGCATTGTATCAAGAACTATGTATTTCGTTAGAAGGTTGACAAAAATCCCACAGACAGTCTCAGGGATAGCTAACCCTCGAGAAGGACGTCCTTCACTGGCCGCTCCCCATCAACATCACTTGGCTGAACATATTGAAGGAGTTCCTTTGCATACGCTGCAGCTACAGCAGCAGCGTATTCCTGCCAACGGTCATTCTTTCGTGAGTCGGCGTAATCACAAATTCCCCGGATAACAAGGCATGGGAAATCATTCATGACCCCTGCCGCCTCCATTTCAACGCACAACACGTTCCCGCCAAGACTCTCATTAAGGCTGTCGCGAAACCCAGCGTCCTTAACCACCTGGTTACCGGATGCGATCAGACCATAATGCACGCGTGTATTCCCATGCCTGCTCCGAGTCTGTGTGCTTGTAATCTGCTCCGCGCCACGATCTATGGGAGCAAACACCCACCAACCTATGACACACCCAACCAGAGCCAGGATGTTCTCCAAAATTATAGAAACTATGGCATGCCATCTGCTCCGAGGGTGATGAGGGATGTCTGGGGTGAAGAGTGGGTCTTTGAGGGACTCGGACCAAGTGTATTTGGACGCTAGGTTGGGATATTTCTTTCCCAAATCATCGAGATGATCACGTATCTTAGAGCCATGCATCTCATGCTGGGTCTCTAACTTTGCCAGTGCTGTCAGCAGGGCGCTCGGGGGGTTATTCAGCGCCCCAGTCCGTTTGAAGGTACCGCCTTCTTCTGCCTTGCCTATATCCCACTGAACCACCCCAGGGTACTGGTCAACAGGCGAACTGACCACGACATCCCCGAGTCTGACCTTGGGTGGAATACCACCACCAATCCCAACCATGATGCCGAATTTGATAGACGGAAAGGTGCTAACCATGCGGGTCACGACCGTCGCCGCTGAATTAGTGCCGTACTTGCCTTTCGGCAGGCAAGCTATGACGATGTTGTGGATGATGTTGTCTCTCTCGATAGAACCCAAAGTATACGTATTATGGTCATTGGGTGGTTTTGGTAGATCTGGGTGTATCCGATCTAGCATTGCTGTTGCTGCAGTCTGCTCCTTTGACAGCGCACAGACCCAACCCACAGTGTAGTTACTGTGCGTCAGCTCCATCGAACGAGACTTGCAGTCCATGTTGCTATTTATTGTCTCGCTGGACGCAGGTGCTTTGTCATCAACGATCGCTTCGTTTACCCCTGACATTTTTTGATCGTTCTGGATTTCGCAGGTTCGTGCGACTGGTTAAGTGACTCCTGGCGACAGGTATGCGTTTATGCTAGATCTCTTGCGGCGAGAATGCGGACACGGAGGTTTGATCGGATTGGCAAATGCCTTGTTTAGTCGGTTGTTCGAGCTTAGGCTTGGTAGATAGCCTTGCTCAAAAAGAAAAGGAGCAAGAAATTTGAATCTGTCCTAGGAAATGATATGAACTGGGAGAGCTGATGAGAAGGGACAGGGAAAGAGAGGGGGTTTCCGTATGAGATGTTATGGCTTAGATAAGTATCGTCCTTCAAGACATGAATGATAGAAACACTGGACACTTCGTTCCATCCTGTGGACCGGACTCTTTAAAAATGAACTTGGGCCTCCTGCTCGCCAAGAGATAATACAAGCGAGGCTGAGTATCCATCCAATTATAGACGCTGCAAATGTACTCCTCAGCTGCAACATGTTGTGAGCTGAGCGACACGTTGACCGAGACGTGCAGGCTTAGACCCCTAATGCGCCAATTATAAACCCAGAGGTCCCATGGAGCCTCGCCAGCCCAAATTAACTTTATGTAAAGACAAACAAAAGGGTATGCATGTTAGCGTTTTTGACCTATAGCATACGGATGGTTGGCCACACGCGCCGCCTCGCGCAGCCCCTCATTTGTGAACCAGGTAGCTGAGGCTCACCTATCCTGAAGTTGTGGAGAGGCTAGATAGCAATACTTAAGCTATGGTTAGTCTAATAATTTATTATTTATAAAATGACTACTTCGCTTGGAGGTATGTGATATAAGCGAGATTCGTTAACCTTATCAATCATTGAGAAGCTTCTAGGAGTGAGGTTTTTAGGGGTTTCGAGCTTCCTTCTGACTATGATGCGTATCGAGGGAAGTACCTAGACCAGGACCTTTAATCTAGATTCATCTACGGCGACATGGTCCTGAACGGTGTCGGCACGGGTATGTTTCTCAATGCCCTCTTTGCCGTCGCCCAATGGCGGGCGCCTCCTCAGGAGACATTGAGTGCTGTTGGATTCATCATGTGTGCTCGAAGGGGCGGCTTCGCCGTTGCATAGTCTCAACCTGGGCCAGAATGAAATCCGCCATCGGTTCCCCACCTTTGACACGGCGCAGATCCAGAGTCCTATCTCCGGTGCCGGCAGCCATCTTCTGGAAACCCTCAGTCAGGCCCAGCAGCAGGTCCTCGCGGCCATTGTCCACGAGATCAGTCATATGCCCGTTCTGTCCATCACCTCCGGCTGCTTCTGTCTCTGCCTGTCGGTGTACATGGATCGCAGAAAAATCAAGTATGGCTAGCTGCCTGGATGTTCTGAGTTTCGTGTCGCGCTTCTCGCCTGGCAGGAAATTGCTTATGGAGCTACTATAACGCAACTACTGTCACAATTGTCAAATATTCTTGTCTACTCTGATCCTGGATGTTTCCTCGACATATACCAGTGAATGGAATCGAAGGCTCTATATTGTAGTTGCCCATCCCTGATGTTTCTCCGGACACGGAAATCCGAAGTGCACAAGTATAGTTAGGCTTGGTGTATACACATGTTGGTGATTTAGCAGTCAGCTATCGCTGAAGGCTCTTTAATCAATACTTTAATGCCTAGACATTGTTATAAATTCCCTGGAGTGGTTATCACAACACAGCATCTTGCCCGATCTGTTTGGATGAGGCTGTGTCAAGGCAGAGAGCCTTGAGGCTGTGCCATCAGACGTGGTCGTAGGTGGTCGGATTATCAGATAATCCTTATGAACTAGGGTAGTCAGTTAACTGCTCAGCCTTGTCGATTCCCCCATGGCTCGAGCCCGTTGACTTCTCTCCAACACGTTCTCTGCTCCTTCCTCGCAGTTCTCCCAGTCTCGACAATTTTGAACAAGCAGTACCCTCCAAAAGAGGCGTTGTCATCTAGCCAAAATGGACGAGGATATATCAAATCTTAACGAGTACACTGAGCACACTGAGACGATTCTATCCCACCAGCCGAAGCGACTGAAGACGTTCCACCACAGCTTGCCAACTTCGCGGCATGACCAATACACAGTTGGTTGGATCTGTGCACTGCACATAGAAATGGCAGCCGCTCGGGCCATGTTAGATGAGATTCGCGAACCTCTGCCAAAGCATGCAGATGATAGCAATACCTATGTCCTCGGAACTATCAATCAGCAAAATGTCGTGATTGCCTGTTTACCGGAAGGGCAGTACGGAACAAACAATGCCGCGATAGTAGCGACCAACATGTTGAGAACATTTCCAAGGATTCGCACCTGCCTGATGGTGGGTATCGGTGGCGGTGTACCAAGCAGAGCTGATCTACGCCTGGGTGATGTTGTTGTTGGAACAAGAGTGATGCAATGTGATCTCGGCAAAGTCATTGAAGACGGACGCCTGCTTCGAACAGCCGTACCTAGGATTCCTCACCCGTCACTCGGGACGCTTGTGTCTGCCCTACGTTCGAAGCACGAAATGAGTCCCAGTCGAGTCCCAACAATCCTGCAACAGAAGCTAGCTGGTCAAACCGCGTATAGTCGCCCAAACATACCGGACCGCCTTTTCCACGCGACGTATAACCATGAGTCGGCAACTGGATGCGACAAATGCGATCAGTCAAAGCTCGAGAAACGGGGCAGCCGAACGGGGGACGCGATAAGGATTCATTACGGTGCAGTAGCTTCGGGCAACCAGGTTATGAGAAGCGGCACGACTCGGGATGACGTGGCTCGACAACTAGACGTTATATGCTTTGAAATGGAGACTGCTGGCCTTGTTGATATTCTTCCTTGTCTCCCGATCCGAGGAATCTGTGACTACTCAGACTCCCACAAAGGCAAAGAATGGCAGAGATATGCTGCAGCAACTGCAGCCGCATACGCCCGGGAACTTCTTGAGGAGCTACCTGTGACTGACGTACATGCAAGCAATAAGTGCATCCATAACCCGAGTAAGTCTTTGCTGGCCATTGGTGAACTCTTATTCTGCTAACACGGATAAGTAGATTGTCACCTGTCAGATAACCGCCGGCAACATTTGTTGGATTCTCTCAGATTTGAGCAGATCGAATTTCGCAAAATGAACATCAAAAAACCCCTGACGAAGACATGTCAGTGGCTTCTTAGCCATCCCAGCTATAAAGGCTGGCTCGAACCCGCCAGGTTGACGCACCATCATGGTTTTCTGTGGATCAGTGGTAAGCCTGGTGCCGGCAAGTCAACAGTGATGAAGTTCGCATACGAGCGCATGCGGAGGAAGGCCCAATCCAATAATACCGCCACGGCTTCCTTTTTCTTTAATGCGAGAGGAGAGCAATTGGAAAAGTCGATCGCCGGCATGTATCGTTCATTGCTGCTTCAGCTTCTTAAGGGATATACAGATCTCCAGAGAGTCTTAGATGACCCAGAGCTCGTTTCCCATAGCCTGAAGGGCTGCCCTCCCTTAAACAGTCTTAAAGATATCTTTTACAGCGCCGTTTCCAAACTCGGTCAACGTGAATTTACTTGCTTTGTCGATGCTCTTGACGAATGTGACGAACAACAAGTCGTTGATATGGTCCAGTTTTTCGAAGACCTGACGGAGCAATATTCAGCTAGGGGTGTCCCGTTCCGGATATGTTTTTCTAGTCGACATTATCCCTATATCGTCATTCGACGGGGAATCCGGCTAACACTGGAGGACCAGCCTGGTCACACAAAAGACTTGGAGACATACGCTGCCAATCGTCTTCGAATTGACGACCCATTACTTGCCGAAGAGTTGCGGACTAAGCTTCTTGATAAAGCTTCCGGCGTTTTTATGTGGGTCGTTTTAGTAGTCGATATACTTAACAAAGAGTCTCGACGCGGTGGGATGTTTCTAAAAAGGAGACTCGCTGAGATACCAAGTGGTCTCAGCGAGTTGTTCAAGGACATTTTGAGACGTGACAGAGAAGATATGGAAGCCCTCCTGTTTTGCATTCTCTGGATTCTCTACGCCAAACGCCCATTACGGCCAAAAGAGTTTTACCATGCACTTTGGTGTGGCCTGTCACTGGACAGCATTGTTGATGGCAGACTTCCAGACGTCACCGTTCCCGATTTCAATGCCGACTTAAATCGGTTCGATAGATACGTCATTCACTCCTCCAAGGGACTGGCGGAGGTCACAAAATCTGAAACCGTGCAATTCATCCATGAGTCTGTCCGAGACTTCCTTATAAAGGACAAGGGCCTGCATGAATTATGGCCGGAGATCGGGTTTGACCGTGAGAGCCCCGGCCAAGAGAAACTCAAGCAATGTTGCTGCCTCTACATGAACCAGTTCTTGAGTGGCACATCGCTTAGCGAGCTGTCAGTACCAAGCCCGGACCTAAAGAAGGAAACCTTGGACAAATTCCCCTTCCTGGAGTATGCAAGTCAGTATGTCTTCTACCATGCCAACATTGCAGCGAAAGAGCATCCTCAGGACGGCTTTTTGTCTTCATTCCCGCTTTCCGATTGGATTGGAATTCGCAATACTTTCGAAAAATACCCGATCCGCAGATATTCCCAGAACTCAAGCCTGATCTATATTCTCGCGGATAGTGGACACTCAGAGCTCGTCCGAGTAAGGCTGAGAGAAGAAGTACAAAGCTATTCTCCCCAGGAGAGATACAAGTACCCGTTATTTGCTGCTCTGGCGAGCGGTCATAAAGATACTGTTGCGGCTCTCTTGGGCCTACCTTCGTTCCTATACCGGGGGGTAGATATCACTGATGGTCTGGCGATTCGGAAAGAATTCAAAGAATGCAAGGGGCGAACACCTCTGTCTTGGGCTGCTCAAGAGGGGCGCGACGTTATCGTTCAGCGGCTCCTTCAAAACGGCGTTTCCATTGATGAGAAAGACCCGGTAGGCTGCACACCCGTTTTGCGGGCATCGCAGAATGGCCATGAGGCAGTGGCAAGGCTCCTTATCGAAAAAGGTGCTGAAGTCAATGCCAGTGACAATGAAGGCAGGACAGCACTCCAATGGGCCTCATCTGGAGGGCACGAGGCAGTGACAAGTCTCCTTATCGAAAAAGGTATTGAAGTCAATGCCAGTGACAATGAAGGCAGGACAGCACTCCAATGGGCCTCATCGGGGGGGCATGAGACAGTGGCAAGGCTTCTTATCGAGAGAGGAGCTGAGGTCAATATGGCTAATCTATTGGGCAATACACCGCTTTCATGGGCGTCACGGAATGGCCATATATCAGTAGCAAAGCTCCTTCTCGAGAACGGAGCCGAGGTCAATGTGGCTAATGTATTGGGGGATACACCGCTTTTGGGGGCGTCACGGAATGGCCATATATTAGTGGCAAAGCTCCTTATCGAGAGAGGAGCTGAGGTCAATGTGGCTGATGATTGGGGAATACACCGCTTTTAGGGGCGTCACGGAATGGTCATGAGACAGTGGTAAGGCTCCTTATCGAGAACGGAGCAGAGACTCGCGATATGATAGATATACGGAGCCCAAAATGATACCCGGTCTCCATGAATGCACGTTACAAGACGGCGGATGACCTCCTTCAAGTAGAAGTAATTAAGTCGTGAAACGGTAGAGGTTCAACCTGCACATCTCGTGTTAATGTGCCTGCAATCTACGTTCCTGGTGAAAACACATCGATCATTGGCACTTGAGTGCTTGATGTACATACCGTGGGGTCGAATGTCGTTAAGCTTCAGTCAACTTGGAAGAGCATATGTCGGGTTGGGACAGATACTTTCCGATGATTTCGGATAAAACAACAAAATATTATCACTGCTGGCCAACTTGACACTGGATGTTTCGGTAAAACTATAATCTGCAGGAAATGTCGTCTGTCTAGCATTCGTCCATACAACTAGAAGTTTCGATGTATCTAGGTGCTTCTAACAAAGGCTGTATCAATATAGCATCAAACTTTGGGTCAAACAATCGTCTAGCTGCTTGCTTCTCGAGAAAAAGGATGCTCGTGTGTGAATCATTTACCTTCCATTCTACAGGAGAAGTATACGAAAGGAATGAAACAAATGAGCTTCGGATTAAGCTTATTCGTGTTTCCTCTTTCGCGGTCGAGTAAGGCTCATCTACCTAAGATACTAGCTAGTCAGCGCGACTACTCTCAAAGCCTTCTAGTTTTGACACTTCGAGTCTTACAGAGGTGGCCGATGAAGGGAATTATCTGCCATATTACCTCTCCATTGGCAGATGTGTGCGATCATCGCAGCTGACACTATAGTGAGCCCTATCGAGGATATCAGTTGGGGGAGAGCTGGTGTCCTCCATAAGGAGCGAACAAAACATCACCGTCTATTGAGTCGGCGGCCTAACTGAACGACAAGTTAAGATATGCCTCAAAATGTTTTGGTTGACAATCTCCCCCTTGGCGTCGGTGAGTTTGATTTCCCCAATTTGTTGGTTTAGCTCTGAATGCGTCAATCCGAGAGGCAGGCTATATATGGAACACGTGTGATAGAGAGAGATATAGAACGAGGCTGCCTGATCTTTAGATGGCCCGCGAATACTACGTCGTCACGCTCATCTACCTCATTGTGCAGACTTCCGTTGCGGGGCAACAACCACGGTTCGACCGAAGGCTAGACTCTACTAACGTGGTAGGTTGGATTCCATCTTGACTAGAACCGCGCCATACCAATCACTTCTGGGCTATTGAAGTTATTACAGCTCAAATACGTGTCTATACAAACATGCAGACATCATCAGACTCTAATCCACCTACCCTTTCCCATCTGATCATCGTGTGCTGTCACGCAATATATATCGGTGGGCCGGCCCACGGGGCTCGCGAGGAAGAATGGTCAGAAAAGCAGTCTACCAGACGGTGTATTCTGCCTGTCCAAGCTAACATTCTTGTACAGGCTAATAGAGCCATTTCAGAAGGGAGAAACTCCCACCTTCACGAGCCATGTCAAGGCTGGACTCGAAGCTCTAGCAAGTGATCCATCCAGCCTATTAGTATTCTCAGGGTAAGGCGATCTCTCCCCATCTGACAGCCAAAGACTGACGCCTACAGAGGTGCAACAAAACGAACAGTCACCAGTCTAACAGAAGGACAATCATATCTTGTATGGGAGCCAATTCACCTGACCAGGACTGCTAGACACTGATATATTGAATAGACCCTAGCCAAAGAGAACGATTACTTCTCGCATGCCTCAAACATTAACACCCACCAGATCACGGCCGAAACGCACGCCACAGACTCTTATCAGAATGTGCTCTTCTCACTTCTCTTGTTCAGAATGCGTACAGGCTCGTATCCGAGTCGAGTCACCGTCGTGACGCATGAGTTCAAGAGAAAACGATTCATGCAATGTCATTTCCCGGCTGTTGGGCTTGTACCGATCTCCCCCGATGGACAGAAACAAGACTACTCCGCTCGAGTGAATCTTATCGGGATTAACCCGCCCGAAGAAGTGACTCCGGCGCAGTCCCTCATCACAGGAGAAGAGCAACGCGGGATTGGCCTCTGGAAAAAGGACCTCTACGGAGTCCAGCCCGACTTGGCCGGGAAAAGGGCTAAGCGAGGGTGGACTGCAGGAATGGAGGAGGTGGTATTTGTGAACGTCGGTCTCGAAGACGTAGTCGAGGAACTGGTCAGGTGGAATGGTGGGAAGGACGGAAACGAATGGTTCCCCATGCTAGCCCAGCTGCCGTGGTATACGTCCCGAACATAACGTTATGATAATGCATCCTCATTAGTCGTTATATATGAGACCATCCAATGTACACAAAAGTACGTGGTACCGAAACCCGCAAATGCAAATACCGACCGACCCTCTTATCCCGAACGCCATGCGTAAACACCCCAAGCCACATGTATACCTCCGCGTTCAATCCGCAAGCCGGTAGCTGACCAGTGTTTCCACGCGGTGGTTGTTGGTGCTGAAACTCCGGAGCTGCACTTTCTCGGCGTTCTTGATCTCCTTAGCGTCGCTGTCGCCCCATTCCACGGGGACTTCGGAGTCGGCGTCGGCGTACACCAGAACGTTGAATGTGCAGTCGCCGTCGAGGACGGGCAGGAAGGTCACGGAAGCGGTGATCTGTCGGAAGATGGCTTGGATTTCGTCTTGGATTTCCTTTTCGGTCTTTTCAACCGTAGGCTCGGCATCTCTGTAGAAGACGGTGTTAGAAGCAGAGATTTGCCTAGAGTAATTGTGGAGAAGGACATACGTTGGCCCAGCATTTTCCTTGTCACCAGACGACCGCGAAGACTTGCTCTTGCTGTGCCTTCCGAAGATTTGAACGTCGAACTGCCACCGTTCGACGTGTTCTCCCGTTTCCTTGCTTGTAATGACGACGACGAGCTTGGAAATCTTTCCTCCGACCATCCATTTATTCAATTGAGACATGATCTTTTTGATGTAAGCCTTGACCTGGTCGTCGGCGGTGACTGAATCGATTAGCGGGGTGTCGGACGGAGGCGGACGTAGGAAGAGACGAACCCAGCATGTTGAGCCCATATTTCTTGACACTGTACGGAGCTTAGCGAAGCCAAAGGGCTTGATGAGACAAGAGAGGACTCACGTAGTAAAGTCTTCGGGGGGATAGACACCACGTTGGAAGCTGGTGGTCAAAGGCATGAGACGAGCACTCCCATGGCAAAGAAGCACACTTACAGGATGGAGTTGATAGAGTATTCAAACTGAGAATTGTTAGTATGCGTCCATGTGCAACGTCCATTGCTGAAGAATACTCACGAATTCTGCCACCAGCTTCGCCGATCCTATCTCCGGGTGAGCTCCTGCACCACTGCGCCCGGTTTGGTGGCTTACCTTTCAAGGACAGCTTGTGGACCTTGGATTTGTCTTTCGATGCGGTAGACATTGTATCGCTGACGTTGGTCGGTGTTTTCTTCCTGTCGGAGAGCCTTCTGGGGAGTTTCAGATGGAAGTCGGGAAAAAGACAGCGAGGATTGTTTACGCCGATAGTCGCCCGAGCAATAGCTACCCGATTCGGTAAGGTGTGTGCATCTCTGACTCAGCCGTTTATGCAGATGCACAAGTATCTGACTAAGTCTATACACATCAATATCAGCCTGCAGCGCTAATTCAATGAATACTATTACTTTCTCTGCCTACAATATTATTGTGATATAGACAATTAGTACATTAGGGTACCTGACCTCAACATCCATTACGTTTGGTGAACTCGACTCTAGACCTCAATTTACCTCCGCTCGGCCCGCGACTCTCTCCGCCAAAGGAACATCCCCAGATCACCAATTTTTACCGACCTCACCCTCGCGCTCGACACCCCGACAATCCCCTCCCATGCAACTACAGACCTCCCAATGCGAGGATGCCTGCAGTTAGCCAGATGGCTGAGCGCAGCGCCAACCCGCCCTGCTGCTAGCCATTGGCCTGGCCTTTGCGCCGCTCCGCGGTTTTTCTCCCATTCAGCGATCCTCCGAGCCTCCGCAAGGACAGCCCGCGCGGCGGCGAGCAAACCTCCCTCCGACCTTGAATCGCGAATCGCGGCGATCCCAATCGAGCGGTACCGGAATTTCTGCATCGTCGCGCACGTCGACCATGGCAAAAGCACCCTCTCTGACCGACTGCTGGAACTGACGGGGACGATTGAGCCGGGGACAAACAAGCAGGTTCTGGACAAACTCGATGTGGAGCGTGAACGGGGTATCACAGTCAAGGCGCAGACATGTACGATGATCTACAATCACAACGGCGAGGACTATCTGCTGCATCTGGTCGATACCCCGGGACATGTGGATTTCCGTGCGGAGGTCTCGCGCAGTTACGCCAGCTGCGGCGGTGCGTTGCTTCTTGTTGATGCGAGCCAGGGTGTCCAGGCGCAGACCGTGGCGAACTTCTACCTCGCCTTTGCCCAGGGTCTGGAGCTTATCCCTGTCATTAACAAAGTAGATTTGCCGTCGGCGGAGCCCGAGCGCGCCCTCGAGCAGATGAAACAGTCTTTCGAACTCGACACGGAAAATGCTGTGATGGTTTCGGCGAAGTCGGGACTGAATGTGGAGAAACTTCTTCCTACGGTGGTGGATAAGATTCCAGCGTAAGTTGACTGACCTGTTTCCTGTATCACCTGGAAGGTGGACGGACGGACTGACTGACTGACTGATTGACTTCAACAGACCGATTGGCGACTGCAAAAAGCCCCTGCGAATGCTCCTTGTCGACTCGTGGTACGACTCCTACAAAGGCGTGATATGCTTGGTCCGCGTATTCGACGGCGAAATCCGCGCGGGGGACCAATTGGTGTCGTTCGCCACGGGCATCAAGTACTACGTGGGCGAGGTCGGCATCATGTATCCCAACGAGACTCCTCAGACGGTCATTCGTGCGGGACAAGTCGGATACATCTTCTTCAACCCGGGTATGAAGCGCAGTAAGGAAGCCAAGATTGGGGACACCTACACGAAAGTCGGCTCCGAGAAGGCTGTTGAGCCGCTTCCGGGCTTCGAAGAACCAAAGGCGATGGTCTTTGTGGCGGCATACCCCGTGGACGCCGACCATTTCGAGCATCTCGAAGACAGCATCAACCAGCTTATGCTGAACGACCGGAGCATCACGGTGCAGAAGGAGTCTTCCGAGGCTCTGGGCGCGGGCTTCCGGCTCGGATTTCTGGGAACACTGCATTGCTCCGTATTCGAGGACCGTCTGCGCCAGGAGCACGGCGCCAGCATCATTATCACCCCGCCTTCAGTGCCCGTGAAGGTTCTGTGGAAAGACGGGCGGGAGGAGATCGTCACCAGCCCTGCAAAGTTCCCAGATGAAGATGAACTGCGGTCTAAGGTCGCGGAGATCAAGGAACCCTACGTGCTGGCTACCTTGACGTTCCCAGATGAATACCTCGGAAAAGTCATTGAACTGTGCGAATCCAACCGTGGTGTCCAGCAGAGCCTCGAGTACTTCACGTCAACGCAGGTCATCCTCAAATACGAACTGCCAATGGCTCAGCTTGTGGACGATTTCTTCGGAAAGCTGAAGGGATCGACGAAGGGCTACGCGTCTTTAGACTACGAGGAATCCGCTTGGCAGACGAGCAACATTGTGAAGCTGCAGCTCCTCGTCAATAAAGCTCCTGTGGATGCTGTGGCGAGAATTGTGCACTATAGTCAAATTGAGAGACTTGGCAGGAAATGGGTGACCAAGTTCAAGGAACATGTTGATCGGCAGCTCTTCGAGGTCGTGATCCAAGCCGCTGTCGGACGGAAGGTCATTGCGCGTGAAACGGTCAAACCGTACCGCAAAGACGTCCTCGCCAAACTCCATGCCAGCGATGTCAGTCGACGGAGAAAACTGTTGGAGAAGCAGAAGGAGGGACGGAAGAGACTGAGAGCAGTCGGCAATGTCGTGATAGAACATAAGGCGTTCCAGGCTTTCTTGTCCAAGTGAGAGGATATGTTTATACTATTTTTCTTGTATATTATGCTACACGACATCGCTTATGTATTATATATGGCTATCCTAGACCCCAAAGTGCATGTTATTTATAGACTATGCGGACTATACTAAAAGCCAAAGCTCACATTCATTGCAACTAATCATTGCTGGACAAGTTATCAACAGTCTTTCTCATTGGACATCCGTGAATGCAATTCTTCGATTATCGAATTTTCGAGTTCGTTGAGGGAACTATCCTCGCGCCCCGATAGCTCTCTGATCTTTTGTTTGATCCATCGCCGAGCCTTCACTACTTGAAGCTCCCAGAGACCTTTCGAACCGGCATTCCGATCTGTTATGTAAATAACAGCAAGGATATTGAGGCGGAGCGAGGAGAAACTGGTGTCCTTGTCTCTGATAGACGGCGTATTGCGAAAGACGGAGTCTAAGAACTGGTCCAGCACGGTAGCTTGACATTCTTTTAACGGACTTTCCTCCAAGCCTGTGCCGTGAAGACGGAACTCGCTGTCAGCTGCCTGTGTATGGAGTACGTTGTCCAGCGAAAATTCGGGTACAGTGTTATCTCTCCTTCCCCGAAGGGCGTCAACATCTGCAGTATCTCCCTAGTAGACAGGCGGTGCAGGAGGTGGTGCCTCCCGAAAGATTCGGTTCTCTTCCTGTTCGTCCGTCTGCTCTTCGTAAGAGAGTTCACGACGCTCTCTATTATCTCTTCTACCATTCTTTGGTGGTGACCGTTATGACGATGGCGCGATGTTTGGTGTCACATTGCTAACCTCCTTAAGACGAACGTCTTTCCTTAGACGCCTTAGGCCAGGCGGTTAGCTTCTATGTTTACTCAGATACACGCAAGGCACAGCATGCGGCATGGTTTTCTCACTATACTCCGAGGAACCGCATACGTATGAGGCTGTATTATCGTTCGACGGTGCGTGCTTCTATCCCAAATGGCTTGAGAGCCCGGATGAGCTAGTATTCAGATGTAACTGTCATTTCCTACAAACAACCTGAAGCTATCGTCAGACACGACGAACAATTACGACAGTACTGAGGTATGACTCAGTCGAGCCTAGTTCAAATAGATTTCTAACCCTTGTCAGTATCTCCTACGAGTTTGATTGTTCGCTTGTCGGATTGAGATTACATCAACGCATGAGCACAGAGCAGCTGTTCACAAAGGGATAGGGGAGACATATGTATTGCCTCGTATTGACGAACATGGATATATTGAATAGAGGGATACATGGGTTCACATGAAGTACTTGGCAAGTACGTACCTAAAAGGGAAATGAGGATATAGAACGGTTGCTTATTTCTGATTGGCTCGTTCCATATCCCTGTCGAATATGGTGATTTTTATTGGCTACAGTGACACAATGACTTACATAATCTGCGCTAACCGCTGATTGGTGGGAGCTCCAGTGAGCTGCCGGGGAAAATTAAAGAAAATCGAAAAGTTCTCGTCGCCGACCCCGCCGCCCGCGCTCTGCTGCAGTTTTCTCCTTCGCCTCATCCCCTCGTCTTCGTCGCACACTCTTTGATTGACACACGCTGCGACGTCAAAGGGATCTATACCCTGTGCGTGTGGTTCGAGGTCTCCTACTCTCACTCTGCGCGCGCTCCAGCGCACCCAATCCCTCTCTGAGTCATTTGTCGCCTTGCCATGCGCAACTCTTGATCGACGGCGATGCAGCCTCCAGAAGGTGTGCAGGTCGACCTGGGCAAGGCCCAGGTCATCGACCGTGTCCCTAAAGTGATTTCCGAGCTCAAATTCGGTGTCTTGTACGGACTCTCTGATTCCTCTCCCCCGAAAACTTCGTGGGGCGTGTGTCGCTAACTCCGAGGCTGTTGGTCGTACTAGGTCCCACGATGACATCGTCAGCCAGGGTGTGGTGGAAGTGTCCGATCGGAAGTTTTTTGACCTTGATCATGATCGAGCCGTCGTCGCCCACGGTCCCCTCGATGCGCGCATGGGTATTTCGAACAAAGCGGCAACATGTCAGACTTGTGGTCTCGATCTCAAGGCTTGCAACGGCCATTTCGGCCATGTGAGACTGGTTTTGCCTGCCTTTCACGTCGGTTACTTCAAGCGAGTTATCACGATTCTCCAGGAAATTTGCAAGGAGTGTTCCCGTATTTTGCTCCCCGAAGGCGAACGCCGCTCCTATCTTCGTGAAATGCGACGCCCCGGACTGGACAACCTTCGACGCCTGCAGATTGCGAAACGAGTTCACGAACGGTGCAAGAAGACAAAAACCTGCGAGGCCTGTGGAACTATCAACGGTGTGGTGAAAAAGGCCGGAACCAGCGCGCTCAAAATCACCCATGATAAGTTCCGTGCCTACAACATTTCGACATCGACCAAGAAGGTCTTGCCTCCCGGCAAGGGCGCTTTCGATGACTCGCTTATGGAGGCCAGACGGCACAACCCGGAGGTTGAGAAGCATCATAAGAAGGCTCAGGATGACTTGAACGCCCTTCGCGTTCTAAACCTCTTCAAGAGAATTTCGGATACCGATTGTGAGTTGTTGGGATTGAACCCACGAGAGGCTAGGCCTGAAATGTTCCTCTGGCAGTTCATCCCCGCTCCTCCAGTCTGTATTCGTCCTTCTGTCGGCCAGGATGCCGCATCTACGGAAGATGATCTGACCGCGAAATTGGGTGACATCGTTCAGAGTAATATCAACCTCAAGAATTCCTTGTTGAAGGGAGCGCCGGTTCATACCATCATGGAATGTTGGGACTATATGCAGCTGCAGATTGCAGTGTACATCAACAGTGACGTCCCGGGTCTGAACAAGGCGGATCTAGGAAAGCCGATTCGAGGTTTTGTGCAACGACTGAAGGGTAAACAGGGTCGGTTCCGTGGTAACCTGTCTGGAAAGCGTGTTGACTTCTCTGGTCGTACTGTCATTTCCCCCGACCCGAATTTGCGAGTCGATGAAGTCGCTGTCCCCGAGCTGGTCGCAAAGAATATGACGTACCCAGAAGTTGTCACACGATACAATAAGGAAAAGCTTCAGCAAAGAGTCAGGAACGGAACCAAAAAGTGGCCAGGAGCAAACTACCTCATGAAAAAGGGGGCCGATTACAAGACTTTCTTGAAGTATGGTAACCTCAACATGATTGCCGATCAAATTCAGGAGGGAGATGTTGTCGAGCGTCATATTGAAGATGGCGACATCGTGCTCTTTAACAGACAGCCATCTCTGCACAAACTTAGTATTCTTTCTCACTTTGCTAAAGTCCGACCTCACCGAACTTTCCGGTTGAACGAGTGTGTGTGCAATCCGTACAACGCAGACTTTGACGGAGACGAGATGAACCTGCACGTTCCACAGACTGAAGAAGCCAGAGCTGAGGCTATGGAACTGATGGGCGTGAAGAACAACTTGGCCACCCCGAAGAACGGTGAACCCATCATTTCGGCCATTCAGGATTTCATCAGTGCTGCGTACATTCTTAGCAGCAAGGATAATTTCTTCGATCGGCGTTCCTTCACGCAGCTGTGTCTCTACATGCTCGGCCCAGAGACGCGGTTCGACCTTCCTCCTCCTGCTGTGCTCAAGCCACAGATGTTGTGGACTGGCAAGCAGGTGTTCAACATCCTTATGCGTCCCAACAAGGATGACCCCGTGCTGGTGAACCTCGACGCTGCTTGCAGAGAATTCAAACAGCCCAAGGACGGGCGTCCGAAAGACTTGGATCCCAAGGATGGCTGGCTGGTCATTCGTAACTCCGAAATGATGTGCGGTGTTATGGACAAGTCCACCATTGGATCTGGAAAGAAGGATAATGTGTTTTACATTATGCTGAGAGATTACGGTCCTGCAGCCGCTGCAGAGGGTATGAACCGTCTGTCGAGGCTGTCGGCCCGCTGGTTCACAAACATGGGCTTCTCCATCGGTATCACGGATGTCTACCCCAGTCAAAAACTTCTACAGTCGAAGCACGACCTGGTCGAGACGGCTTACGCGCAGTGTGATGAAGTTATTGCCAAGTACAAGGCCGGAACACTGGAGAAGTATCCTGGTTGTGACGAATTGCAGACCATGGAAAATCAGCTCTCTGGTATTCTCAGTAAGGTCCGTCAGCAGGCTGGTGACGAGTGTATCGCCCAGCTGAGCAAGTACAACTCACCCCTGATCATGGCTACATCCGGTTCCAAGGGTTCCAGTATCAACGTGTCCCAGATGGTGGCCCTGGTCGGTCAGCAAATTATTGGTGGACAGCGTGTGCAGGATGGCTTCCAAGATCGTACCCTGCCTCATTTCCCAAAGAATGCTCGTCAACCACCCTCGAAGGGTTTCGTCCGCAACAGTTTCTTCTCCGGACTTGAGCCTACGGAGTTCATCTTCCACGCCATGTCTGGTCGTGAAGGTCTGGTCGATACGGCCGTTAAAACAGCTGAAACTGGTTACATGTCCCGTCGTCTGATGAAGTCTCTCGAAGATTTGTCGTCTAAATACGATGACACCGTTCGAAACTCCTCTGGCAGTATTGTCCAGTTCCAGTACGGAGATGATAAGCTGGATCCCGTCGATATGGAGGGTAAGGCTAAGCCTGTCCACTTCGACCGGACATTCATTCACTCTGAAACAACTACGTACGACAACGATGAACGGAGTTTGCTCCCGCACGAGATTATGGAGGTTTGCGAGGAGATGCTTTCCAAAGAACGTGCGAAGTTGGTTCGCAAGGACCTCATGGGTAATGAGCTTGGCTACATGGACCGCAGCGACCACGGTATCGACCAGTATGAGAGTGCTCGCGATTTCCTAGAGTCGATTCAACAATACGTGCAAACCAAGGCTGACAGGCTGATATCCCGTGGTGGTGACATTGACCCCAATGACGAGCGAAGCCAGAAGGGGTTGAACCACACTGGCAAGCTGACCGAGACGACCTTGCGGACCTTTATCAACGCCTGCCTGATGAAATACAAGAAGGCCCAGGTTGAACCTGGCCATGCCGTTGGTGCCGTCGGTGCCCAGTCCATCGGTGAACCTGGTACCCAGATGACCTTGAAGACTTTCCATTTTGCTGGTGTCGCTGGTATGAGTATTACTCAGGGTGTGCCCCGTATTAAGGAAATTATCAACGCCTCCAAGGAGATCAGTACTCCTGTCGTTGCCTGTGAGCTTGTCACCAAGGATAACATTATCGCCGCACGTATCGTCAAGGGTCGGATTGAGAAGACGTATCTGAGGGATATTATCCATTATGTCCGCGAGACATGGACTGGCAAGGAGGCATTCATCACGGTCAAGATCAACTGGAAGACGATCCAGGATCTGGCGCTTGAATTGAAGATCAACAACATCCTAGCCGCTATCAAGAATCACAAGCGCTTCAAAGCCGATGATCTCAAGTTCCGGCACTCGCGGTCCCACATCCATATCTACATGGACCTCGACCCGTCCAGCAAGGCCTCGCTGTCGAAGACGGAGATCGCAGCCACCAGCGCCGACCCGTTCCTCCGGTTGAAGCATCTGAAGCGTATGCTTCCTGACATCCAGGTCCTTGGTCATCCCCAGGCTTACCGTGCCATCATCCGAACGGATGAAACGTCCACCACCAACACCCTTCTCGTGGAGGGATACGGTCTGCGGGAATGTATGACAACGCTGGGTGTCGACGGTCTTCATACGTCTACCAACAACGTGATGGAGATGCGCGAGGTTTTGGGTATCGAAGCAGCCCGTGTTACCATCGTACAGGAAATCAGCGAAGTCATGAAGGACATGGACATTGATCCTCGTCACATGCAACTCCTGGCTGACGTGATGACCTACAAGGGCGAAGTGCTGGGTATCACGCGGTTTGGTCTGGCCAAGATGCGTGATTCGGTTCTGCAGCTTGCGTCCTTCGAAAAGACGGCCGATCACCTGTTCGACGCCGGTGGTGCTGGTCGTTCCGATATGATCGAGGGAGTGTCTGAATGTATCATTATGGGTAAGACGGTGTCCCTCGGTACGGGTGCGATGGAAGTGGTGCGCAAGATGAACTTCTTCGAAGGCCAAATGGGCGCTCGGAAGACCACTTTTGAAGACGCGTGGAGTGAGCTTTGCGAGGCTCCTGTGGACGCGAAAAGATTTCGGAAGAGAGCACGCGCTTAGTACTCCTGCCGGGGGATTCTGTCATTTGAAATCAAAAGCATTTAAAGGCGTTGGATTCATCTGTCGGTCTTTGTCTTGATATGCATCTACTGGTCTTGCAGTTAGCGATACCGTTGAATGCGGATGGCGTGGCTGTCCTTGTATTCTTATATTGTCCGACGAATTAAATGATGATATGTTCCTAGATCTGCTTTACCTTCGCCGTTCCAATTCCTGATACGTCTTGAGCGCATCGACGAACTTCAACCGCATTGATCCACATGGCTCGAGGACTTCTTGTAAGACTGGAAGCCACCAATCCTCGATGCAGTCGTGGATGGCCATGGTGACTGCATATTCCATATACTCCGGGAAAAACCCACTGTACTCCCAGTCCACAATTCCAGTGATTTGACCACCGTCCACCATGATGTTCCGGGCAGCCAAATCTCCATGGGTCAAGACAAATCTGGTCGACTTGCTCCTCATGGCAGGCAAGCACGGCCTCCAGAGTTCCCGAAGAAGCCTGTCTTCTATTCGGTTCAGACACCACTTGTCGAATTCCTTTTCCGAATCGAATGGACCCATGGTCTCATGGCCCAAACGCTGGAAGAAACAATGCGTTTTTTGACGGTCAATGCGACCAATGTAGGGCTGGGTTAATTTGCGGAACTTACTCAACTTGTGCAGGGTCCATGTCAGCGAATAGAGAGTAAAATGAAAGTAAAGGGAATACGAGACGGCTTACCTCCTCTCGCAGTTGATGCTTGATTCCCTCCTGCGTGGCTCGGTCCATCGTATGCCATACTTGGTCAAGCGACTGGCCCGGGACCCGGTCTGATACTGTCACCACCAGAGTGGGAGCCACGTTGTAACAGCCCAGTACCCGTGGGGCGCGTATTCCGTTCTCCGAGGCATAGTGCATCATCTGGGCTTCGGAACGCTTGAAGGTGTACTTGGACTTGATTTTCACGGCGACTAGCCGCCCGTTGGTTGAGCGCGACTCGAGCACTCGATTGTTGAAAAAATTGTACAGCTCGCGGCCTTGGATGATATTCAGGAACTCTTTGGTTCTCCGCTCCCATTCAGCGAAGAAGGTAGCGTTGTCGACATCATCCGCAGGCGGAGGAGGTTCCATAGCGGTGGATTGGCGGATGGTGTTGTTGACAAAGACGCGGCACCATGTTTTTATATCATGTTGGATTATGCGCCGCAATGCCCCCGATTCCTACAGGGGTATGATTTGCGGATATTAATAGACTTCGGTGCTGTAGTGGCCGCGATTGTTGGAATAGTTATGCCGTAATTAAGCTACTCCGCATGTATCAATGATATTAGTTCTTGATGGTTGGATGCATCGCAATATCCAGTATCCAAATATCCATAGTAGCTAGGCCGTATCTAAATGGATGATAACGGCGGGATCAACGACCCACCCCGCCTGCGATGATCTCATACCTCAGCAAAGACCAGACAGACCATCTGCAATCCTTTTCTTCACCACGTCCTACTTCTTAAACATAGTATCTCGAGTACATACGACCGCAGCAACGCAATGGCCGCACTCCAGAGCCTCCGCTCCACCTACCGCATGAACTCGGGCCACGAGATCCCCGTCCTCGGATATGGCGTAAGTCCGCCCTACGCGACTCGATTATCACCCCACTGACGAGAACGACAGGTATATATGATGTGGGTTGGAACACCGTTCCCTTCAGACCTGCTACTGACCGTACCAGTCCGGCGTCCAGAACCGAAGCAGCCGCCAAAGAAGCCCTGAAGATCGGCTATCGCCATGTAAGCCATCAGTAACTACTGCAGTCGACGAAACATCCGACTAATCCCCCAGGTGGACTCGGCAATCATGTACCGCAACGAAAAGGCCTGCGGACGCGCGATCAACAACTCAGGCCTGGACCGTTCGGAGATCTTCTTCACGACCAAGATCCCGCCCGGATCGATGGGCTACGAGCGCACTGCGCGCGCCATCGATACCAGCCTAAAGGAAGCTGAACAGGATTACTTTGATCTGTATTCTCCCCTTCCCTCAATCAATTACAAGAACAATACTAACGTCCGCAGAATCCTAATCCACGCCCCCTACGGCGGCAAACAAGCCCGTCTAGGCTCCTGGCGCGCGCTGGTGGAAGCCCAAAAAGCGGGCAAGACCAAATCGATCGGGGTATCCAACTACGGCATCCACCACCTCGAAGAGCTGGAGCAGTACATCAAAGAAACCAAGAGCAGCCCGATCGACGTGGGACAGTACGAGCTGCACCCGTGGCTGGATCACTCGGACATCGTGGAGTGGCTGCAGAAGCGGAATATCGTGGTGGAGGCGTACTCGCCGCTGGCGCATGGGACGCGCATGGGTGAGGCGCTGCTTGCGTCGCTGGCGAAGAAGTATAACAAGTCTCCGGCGCAGATTATGATTCGGTGGGGGTTGCAGAAGGTCAGTTTTCCTTCTTTTACTTTCTTTTTATCTAGTTTGTTGGATGGTGCTAATCTTGTCGGCTTGTAGGGATTTGTTCCTCTGCCGAAATCTGTCACACCTAGTAGAATCAAGGAGAACTCGGAGGTGTTTGATTTTGAGCTGGAGGAGGGGGATATGAAGGTGCTGCATACGGGGGAATATGAACCGACGGATTGGGATCCTACCGTTGACTATGATTGAGCATTGGAGGTAGTAGACATTGTCAGCAGTGTTGATAAATGGTAAAATATAGGAGTAGAATTGGCAAAGAAGTGAAAATATGAGTGAACCTCATAGTTGATGACTGGTGGACAACTGGTGACGGTACCCCGCGGGCTGCTTAGCAATTCGCCTCGATTTATCATCTCCGCCTTCAGGAATTCTCCATGACAGTCGACTCTCCTCACCACCAACGGGGTTGCACCCAGGCCACCAGAACATTCTCATCTGCCCCAGATCAACCGCCACCATGAAGCTCATCCTCTCCACCTCGTAAGTGACACCCTGCGATCTCTACCCGTGCGCGACGGCGACGGCGACAGCGACGGCGACATAACTTCACACCACCGAATCACCGACTGACGCATACAGGAATATCATGACCGCCGGCGGATCCTCCGTCATCCGACACCCGACGACGGCCAAATCGAACGTCGAACTGATCCACGCGCTGCGGTCGAACTTCCAAGCGTCGCAGCAATTATCGTCGTCGGAGGCGGGGAGCGGGGCAACGTATCCGGCCTGGACACGCATGGAAGACGGCGCGCTGTACATCCCCGCGATCGACTTTTCGCAGCCGGGGCTGGCGGAGGAGCGCGCCCAATACGACATTACAGTAAAACTATTCTATCTGCCCGGGATCCCGGCGTCGCGACGCTGCGCGCACACCCGGGAGGCGATCGACCTCGTCCTGAAGGAGCTACACGCGGACTCGATCGACCTGCTCATCGTGTCGTTCCCGGGCATCCTGTTCGACGCCGAGGACGACAGCGAGGAGGAGGTGTCGTCGGAGAACGGCAGCGAGGAGCCGGACGATTTCGACAGTATCATACAGACGTGGAAGACGCTGGAGGGGCTGCAGGAAAAGGGCTTGATTTCTCAACTGGGGGTCGCCGAGTTTGGCAGCGAGCGGCTCGCCCGGTTCCTCCCGCATACGAAAGTGAAGCCATCGGTGGATCAGATTAACCTCAAGGACTGCTGCGTCGTCCCGAAATCCTTGATTCTCTATGCGAAACAGGAAAACATCCAACTGCTCACCCACAATGACTGCATGGACATCCTCCCCAGCGGCACCACCCGTGAACTCCTGGGCCCCGGCGACAAGGGCGCGGGCATCCTCGCCTCTGCGCCTGATGCCGACGACGGAATCCAAGGCGACGTCGAGCCGCAGTGGGTGGTGAAGTATACGGCCGTGGTGAAGGATCGGGGAGTGGTCGAGAACAAGGGATATTTTGCGCTGGCAGATGTAGGAAACTGTGTGAAGCCCCGTTCATGACCTTCTCACTCTCTCCACTTATTCTTTCATATTTGCTTTGATATTTCTTCGGGTATCTCGAGTATTGCATTGACGATAGAAGCGAGCTGGCGTTTGTTTGTTTGCTTGATTGACGAAATGCACGTCCTGGTCCCATTAGCCTAGCCACGACAAAACCACTGTCGTACATACCTCATCCGATCATGCTCCTCTTTCTCCCGCGCATGCGCACCTCCTCCAGCTTCTTCAGCACCACATTCGCCCCCTTGTAGCTCGCCCCGTACCCCTCCAGCACGGCATCAAAGAACCGCTCCGTGCGCGGATGCGTGCTCCCAAACGCCCGCTCCAGCACATACAGATCCACCGCGCGGTCCTCCGTCTGCGCGCTCTGGCTCGCCAGCCCAAAATCAATCGGCACCACGTCGCCGTCCATGGACGGGTGCTCCCCCTCCTCATCCACCGGCGGGGCAGCCCCCCACGGCCGCAAGATGAGGTTACTCGTGGTAAGATCACCATGCACAACGCCAGCCCTGTGCAGCGCGCCGATCGTCCCGCCAATGCGCCCCATCAACGCGCGCACCGCGTCCTCCTCCGCCGCAAGCTCCGCGGCCCCCATCCCCGCCTCGCGCGCCTTCATCCACGCCTCCCACTTCTCAAACACAACCCGCACAACCAGCCCGTCAATCCACTCCATCAGCAGCCATGCTCCGCCCGAGTTTTCGTTTGGAGTATTGGTTTGGCCCTCCCAGTCCAGCGCCAGCACCGCGGGGACGCTGACGCCCTCGCGGACGAGCTTGGCCAGACACCGCGCTTCCTGGAGGATGCGCTGGCGCGTCAGACGGCGGTCGAGGATGGGGTGGCGGTAGGGCTTGGAGGGGCGGATTTTGAGCGCGGCCGGGGTCGACGGGGTCAGGTAGGTGGTTTTGTAGAGGTGGGCTTCGGCGCCTTGCGTTAGGAGGGATGGTGCGGGGGTGGTGTGTGTGAAGGGGGGTGGGAGGGGTGGTGGTTTGTAGTCTTGTTGCATCTTGCTTTCTTCTTTTTGGTGTGGTGGTGATTGCGTGTGGGTTGGATGTGGTTGAGTAGTGGCTATTGTGGTGGCATGGAGGGGTTGGAGTGAATTGAGTTGGTGGGGAGCCTCCGCGGGCGGAAAATTGTTCGCTCCAGCCATTGCTGCATTTAGCAAACTGATATGACGAGTCTAATAGTTTATGTCTTAAATGTACATTTATCCGAGAGTAGTTAATAGTTGAAGTACACTCAAGTACATCGGAGATCTACTGTCTTCAAGAGTAATCGAGTGTTGAATTGATATCAATCTACACTACCATAACTGGCAGCGTCGCGTACCCAAGCTCAACCTGCATTGAACCCACATCCAAGATTATATACAGGCGAAGAAACATGCAAGATCTAAACACCACGCAAAATGCAAGACAAACGATTGACGTTCCGATCAGACCCAACCACAACTCCTGTAGACTGAACGACGCAAGGCTAAACAAGATATATGGCAAAACACTAAGTGAATTGAACGTAGTTCGCTTTTTCTGTTAGCCTCTATCTTTGTTACTCTTATCCTGAGAGAACTCACCTGGGAACTGTCCCTGTCTTCCGTCCACACGCCCCGTCCACCACTCGTTCTGGTTGTCCGTCCGCTGGACAATCTCAATCACATCACCGGCGGAAAAGCTCAAGTCACCATGTGCCTGCGCCTCGTAATCATACAAGGCCGTCACAGTCTCGACAGGCGCGCTGAACTTGGCCGGCTTGGGTCGGGGAGGCGGCGGCGCGGGCTTGGACTTAGCGGCGGCAGCGAGGGCGCTGGGGTTCGACCCGGCGGTCGTGTACGGAGGGGGCGGGTTATCCACACCGGCTTCGGAATCACTCCGCTGTCGCGAGGCAAAGGTGCTCTTGTTCTCATAGGCCATCTTATCCTTGGGGGTGAACTTGGAGTTCTGCTGCTTGCCCAGTCCCTTAGTCTTGAAGTGCACAATGACCAGCTCCTCGGCGCGCTCCTTGACGTCGCCGCGCTTCATCTCGTAGCCTTCCTCCACGTCCATTTCCAGATTGAAGTAGGCAATGTTCATGCCCTGCATCTTCTCATGCAGCGTGTAGAAGACGTTGAGCTGCATGTAGTAGAAGGACTGGAACAGCGGCCGGATGAACTCGGCCTCGAGCTGGAACAATCGGGGCAGCTCGTCCTTGAGCAGGTCGTTGTAGTAGTTGAATTCCTGGGTGGCTTGTTCGACGTCGTTCTCGGCCTTGTAGAGCGCCTTCTCGTCCTTCAGAGACTTGTCCTTCTTGTCCTGCAGCTTCTTGAGGGTGTTGCGATGCCGGTCGTAGTCCAGCTTCTTGTGGTCTCGCTTGACGGCCACCTTGCGGATCACCTTGATCACCTCGAGGAGCTGGTCGGCGGGACTGATGATGCGGGATTCGATCATCTCCAGCTCAGGAGCGAGCGACTCCTGCAGCTCGCGCACGATGGTCTCGTATTCCTCGCACGCCTTGATTCCTTCGGGATTGCCTTCGATGGTGTAAGAGCTCGGGTCGGAGGCGCGGCCGGAGATGGGCTTGTATAGTTCGGTCATGGCCTTGGAGAATTCGATCTGGTGGTTCAACATGCCTGCGACGTTGTGAGCGGTTGGAGTCTGGAGACTCTACGCGACCACAGGCGACCTACCGTTAATGGCCTCGAAATACTTTTTCGATTCATCGTGTAGTTTCTTGGTCTCTTTTTCGAGCTCCTGGAAGCGACGCTCAGCGTCACTGTAGACGGCGTCCTTGGTGTTCTCGCCGATGTTGAAGCGAGCCTTGAAGGTCTGCGGCGCCCGCACAATGCTCTTCTGGAAGCCCTTCAAACTCATTGTGGGAGCGCAGGCAGGGATTTGCGGGGTACCGGGATCGAGAGGATGGAGTGGTGAGAGGGAGTTCGAGGGGGTATTCGACAGGGGAACGGTCCTGAAGAGTCTGGGGGCCGTCCAGGGAGATTGAGGAGGAAAGTCAGCGGAGTGGGGGGGTGCAGAGATCGTGTCTTCAAGTTCGGCGTACGGAGTACTCTTGCCCAAGAGCCGGTGACGGTTAGACTGCAGTTCGTCTGCTCGGCGCCGTGGCTGAGCTATGACATAAGACTTGGGTGAGTGTGGCTGAGCACATAACCATGGATCGGCTGAAAGGGGGAGTTGTTTACTCCGTACGGGGTAGAGAGGGTGATTTGAACAATCTGATAGATCTTCATGAGTAACTAGACCTTGACAGACCGTCTTCACTGAGATTGAATGGCAGAATATGAGTCTCATACGCGTAGGGCAGAATCAGCTGTGGCGCCGACTCTCGGACAATGACGACCGAGTTGCCCCATTCGGGTCTAGCGTGCGCCTCGTTAGGCATCCGAATATCCCCAGTAGTACGGAGTACTAGTCCGAATTCTCCTCTGTAGGTGAGATTCCCTCCCTTTCGGTTTCCTTCTGCTGTCCTCCTATCGGTTACCTAGTAGTTATGCCTAGGTCGGCTGACTTTCACTCCGGGATACCCATGACGTCGGCATTTTTTTGTTTATACAACTTTCTTTGTTCATCTCAGCATCACGTGGATACAACAGTGCAGCCATATGTTGCATTAATTAGTGAGGATAAAATAGAGTAAAATAGAATGAGAGTTAGATGTATCTTATTTTATTGGAATTTTCATAATCAGAGGATACTAGTTCATTTGCAATTTGGAGGTTTACCCATATGATGCTGAACTATATATATAGTGCTAAAGCAACTTCCACCAAGTGTATGTAACTGAAAGAGGACCGTAGCCACCAAACTAGGCATACTAGGCAGCAGAGCACTCACCATCTTATGCCCAACAGTAACCCTCCAATATTCTCGCCTAGCTGGTCAAACCAGGCCAATCTACAGAGATCAGTATCATCTCGAGACAACAGCAGAGAACTCACCAAAAACCGTTCTCTCCAACGCCCTCTCTTCCACAACCACCTCGTCTCCCACTCGAATCTTCCCCTCGATACACTTCGGGTCCAAGAACGAATATCGCCCAAACACAGGACTATACTTCACGCCTGGATCGACGCGCCGATCACTCATCAGCGTCTTCAACACATTCCCAGACCCACTGTTCATCTTCCCCGTGGTGAAGTCGATGTTCAGACTCTGACAGCGAAGGCAGTTCGCCGTTAGACGCAGTCGCGTACGTGCAGGACCAATCGTCAGTGTAGACCAGAAATCTTCCTCAAAAGCAGTCTCAGCCCCAGAAACCACAATGTTCGGCCGGAACTTGGTGAGATCCATTTCTACTCCGTCCGGTAGACGTCCTGAAACGTTCGCCACTGACGTTTCGGAGATGACGAGGTACGGTGCACAGTCCGCAAAGGTGATCTGATCCTGCTTCTCATCGCGGAAGAAGTAATAACATGCCAGCCCTAGACTGGCGAGAATAACTGCCGGGATGCGAAGAGTCTCAGACGGCATTCCGCCATTTATGATTCTCTCGAGCAAAGGCATCCCGTTGGCGAGGCAGATCCCCACAAGAAACACCAAACCTCCGACGCCCTGTATGTAAAGAGGACTGTTCCATGATTGCGCTCGCTTCTGTTTGCTTGGCGGAAACCGGCCCAGAACCTCTCTCGAATGTGATCCGAGATAGGCGAGAACCACAGGGTATCCAAAACACCCGCTGAACCAGTCGTTGTACCGCACTCCCATGTCGTATCCGGCTGTCGGGCTTTTGTGCAAATCGATATCCAGTCGTCGGAGCTGGAGGTCATTGACGTCCGGATCTAGGGGGATCTCAATCCGTCTGGATGCATTCTTTGCTTCTTCCCCGTCCGATGAGGGAGGATTGTACGTGACAACCACCGTCCCCGCATCCGCATCGATGTCGGTTTGAAATAACGCCATCTCAGGAAAGTGCGCAATCTGCATGTTTTTCAGTGTCGGAGCCGCATCTCCCTCTCTGCCTCTCTCGACTTTGAGCAGCATGAAAAGGCGATCATACGGTAAGCCCCGTGGAGTGAGCGTCCCCTCCGTGATGCGAGTCGGTCGTAGGGACTTGATCGGGTAGACGTACAGCTGCGGACGGTGGCTTAGCTGCGTTCCAGTTCTTGTGCATATACACTCTTCCTGACATACCTGGCTGATCTTCATAGTCGAGGTTACTTGCCGTTTGACCGTGGGTTTACTCATTCAGTAGCACAAGACGTCTCGGGAGGATATCCATGCAGACTACATGCTACATGCATCTTGGCAAAGAAAGGTGGGGTATCCATTCCGTGTTAGAGTACTTCAAAGCTGGATCATTGCAAGGTCGAGCAGATAACTTAAGACAGACCCATTAGTTATCTAGAATAAAACATTAACACAACCAAACGGACACTCACCGCTACATTAAGACAGACTTTATAGCTCACATTGATATCCCAATATTAGTTACCCAAGGCGCTTAGAAAATTGAACCAGCCAATCAGCAATCATTCTGACATGACATTCTTGCGACTAGCAACGGGCGTGAAGGCTGTGAGGCTGTCAGCAGGGCGCACTCGACTACCCAACAGACTGTTCAAATTGAGGCCAATGGCTTTACCTCCCTTCGAGAGAGTCTATTCATTTCTCCCTTGGTGAGAAAAATGTCCCAACTGTCCATAGTTGGTCTGGGAGGGGCCGGCCTCCCACAGAGACTAGACAGGTACTATTCCTTTAGACTGATGCAGCACAGGTTACAAGGTGCTAACTATAGGACTCATAGTGACAATCTCTGGAAAGCGGCTCTCAACTCTCTATCAGAAGACGATCGGTCGAGGATCAATTTCCATTCCCCAAACCTGCAGGTGCTCTCCGAGCTCCACGAGCTGACCACGAAAGAGATCCAACGCGCAGAACAAGGACGGCACAGTTTCAAACGGAGGAACGGACAGAGGGTCATTGTAAAGGACTTGTTTGCGAAAGTCGCAAAGTGGATCGACCATTTCAAGCAGGTCGTGGATGTTGCAGTCCAATACGACCCAGGCCATGCAGCCCTACCATGGGCGGGTGTGAGATTCCTTTTGGAGATAGCAATCAGCGACTCCAAGTCAAGAGAACTTATCCTGGAACATGCGACGTCGCTGGCAGAGATTATCTGCCGTTATGCTGTCTTCGAAGATCTGCTCCTGAGATCACCTTCTGCGGCAGTTTCAGAGATGAAGAGAGCACTGCTTACGCTATACACAAGAATCCTGATTTACCTTGCAAAGGCAAAGGCGTACTTCCACGACAATAGTCTTCGTGAGTCCTTCATACCGATTCGGGTGGGGGATGTTCCAGCTAACATTAGTATGTGGATGGCAGAGCGATCAATTAAGAACACAATCTTAATCAATCCTGATTTTGACTCTCACTACAAAGCCATTGAGTCAGCCCAGGTCACAGTTGACCAGTGTATCGCCGTAGCGAATGTGCAAGGAAAGCACAGACAACAAACTAATGGAGAATGAGCCTATGTTCTAACCCCATACAGGCCAGATTGAAAGACACGCAGACCTGCAGAAAATGTTTGCCGATATCGAACGTCCACTTGCCAGGTCGGCAAATATACTAGGGGACATCAAGGATGAGCTTGATGGTATACACCGGTACCTCTGTTCTGAATCCTTGCGTCCGCTAATGTGCTTGACGTTAGCTTCGAACCGTACCAAAATCTTGCAGTGGATCTCGACCGAGCCTTATGAGAAGCACCATAAACAGGCATACGCGGATGTACTCCAAGGTACTGGTCAGTGGCTTTTGACCAATCCAGTCTATCTGAAATGGAAGAAGGAAAGTGCGTCTTCTATTCTATGGCTTCATGGAATTCCGGGATCGGGAAAGACGAAACTGGTGTAAGTCAGAAGCCGAACCGCAGTTCCAATCACTCACAGCTAACGTAAACAGATCCACTGTCATTGAGGATGCAGTCGCAGGTCACCAACAAGGACTCTGTCCAGAACCAGTGTACTTCTACTGTTCCCGAAATCCGGCAGAGCCAGGACGCTCCAGGCCCCGTGACATCGTTGCAAGCCTTCTTCGACAACTTGCCCGTATAAACTGCAAAGGTCCGCTCCTAGACCCAGTGACAAGAGCATACCGGGACGAAGAGGAACAAGGATTTTCACAAGGCTTGTGGGAACTCGACATGTGTTGTGATCTGATTATGGACCTTCTTCCTTGCCATCAGATGGTAACGATCGTCATCGATGCGGTGGACGAATGTGATCCCTTACTGCGCGATGACCTTCTGGCAACCCTGGAGGATATTCTCCAGAGTTCGCCTACCCTCGTCAAGATTTTCGTATCTAGCCGAGATGACCAAGGTATTGTCTGTCATCTTGAAGGGTATCCGAACCTTGAGCTGTCTTCTGAGAGGAACTCAGACGACATCAACAACTTTCTCATATTCGAGACCGACAGATTGATACAGAGACGCAAGTTGTTGAGACATACATCAGATCGAGATGGGCTTCGATCCCTCATTATTGAGAGGCTCAGGGAGGGAGCACAGGGAATGTGAGTCTTAATTCACATAATTCAAGCATACAATTGATCATGGTTTTCAGGTTTCGCTGGGTTGCTCTACAGTTGCAAGCATTGTGTGATTTGAAAACAGACCAAGCAATACGCGAACGGATAGGCAAGCTCCCACCAAGGCTCGAGGATCTCTATCAAGAATTGTTGTTCAAGATTGAAAATTCTCCTGCTCAGGCTGACCGACAATATGCCCGCAACACATTCAGCTGGCTTCTCTCAGCCCGAATGCCTCTGAAAACCGATGAATTTCTCGTTGCTATTTCAAAAAGCATAGGGCTAGGACCAGGTACATTGACCAAGAAGCACGTGCTGGATCTGTGCTGCAATCTGGTCATTTTCGACCCAACGCTTGAGACGTTCAGATTTGCACATCTCTCAGTCCGAGAATACCTGGAAATGAGGACAGAATATACCACAGAAAAAACGAACGCCCTGATCGCGGAAACGTGCCTGCTGTGCTTGATTGGTAGCACCGATACACAGGACACATGGGCGTTCTTAAGGCCGTGGAACTTCACCACGTCAGACCTTGAGGCATTCAAGCAACTCTACACCTATGCGGCTTTGTTTTGGACTTTCCACCGCCCGAAAGAAGGAGAAACCAGACCAAACGAAAACCTTGAGAAGCTGTTGTCCTACTTTCAGTCGGATGAACCCAAAGATAAGTCTCCATTATCGCGCTACATGTGCGAGTTACCAGAGGTTTGCAAACAACTTGGTTATACTGAAATCGAACTGGGCGGATCTATCAGTATCTATCACCCACCGGACTACAAAGTCACTGACAAAGTCACTGTCCGTTACGAACTGGACGATGGAGGCTGTTTCTATTGTTTCTCTCACGGACGCGACGACGAAATCCCTCTGTGTTACGAACTGGATGATGGAAGCTGTTTCTATTGTTTCTCTCACGGACGCGACGACGAAATCCCTCTGTGTTACGAACTGGATGATGGAAGCTGTTTCTATTGTTTCTCTCACGGACGCGACGACGAAATCCCTCTGTGTTACAAACTGGACGATGGAGGTTGTTTCTGCCACGAACTGGACGAGTTACGGAGGAAATATCATGAGCAACAATTGTTGCTTGCTCGTTCCATCTTGCAGCACTTTTCTTAAGGCTACGACCTTGATAAACTGGCAGATTTTAATAATATAAGGAATAGGTGTGGCCGCACCTGTTTTCAAGTAGCTTGTGACCATGGGAGTTTGCCCGCATAGAAAACTTGAGGGACACAAATAGTTGTTGGTCAAGTGAGAGCTTATTGTCCATACGATTGTCGTCTTTAGTTCAGTCGTTGTGACACCTATTGGAATGCGACTCGATCAGTTTGAAGGCCAGAGAGTTCACTCTCGAGCGTGCAGCAGAAGATTCTAGATACGGACGGGAGTTGATGAAACTCCTACTCGATCGCGCAGGACAGCCGTTGCCGGTTACTGAAAGGGCTATCAGTCGCGCAAATATCAGATCAAGTAGCTGGCAAGGGGATTCTCATTTTTTTAAATAGCCCATCTCGATGGCCACTTCCAGCAATTCGTGACCAAAAGTGTCGCAAAGCATGCTGGTCTTCAGGACAAGGAAGAGATCATGAAATCTATCTTAAGCCAAAGATTTGTTGAAGTAGGCAGCGGAGATTGGGGTCGATAAAATGTCAATTCTCCTCGGGTTGACCAAAGCGGTGGACATCTCGGAAGATGTAGTGGTATCTAGAACCATGCCCAAAGTTTGGACATGGCAAGCAGATTTTCCAACTGCTGTTGGGCCAAAAGGTTGCCCAGGTTCAGGCAACTGACAGGGTTTTGAGAGCAACAGTAAACAATACGCCCCATGGTTTAGATATCATCATTCTCTTCATGGACCAGGAGATCAAAATCCGCATCACAGAAGACATTGTTCAATATGCGGTGGATGAGGACATAGCAATTGATGCTATGCTATCCTACCTACTGAACCAACATGGCAGTCGAATATCCGTCATTATGTGCACCAAGAATACTGGTCGATTGCTGCCCTGCGCAACGCCTGTCGAGCCCGCGATTCAGATACTGTGCGGAGACTCATGGAGGAAGGGACTAATCCCGACCATCCTGATCACTTGGGACGGACACCACTCTTTTCGGCCGTCAAAAGGGGAAGTATGATGATTGTGGACATGCTCATACAAAGTGGATTGGTGGATGTCAATAGACAGGACACGGATGGAAGATCGCCTATTTTCTTTGCTGTCATGGCTGAGAATCGGGAAATCATTCGCAGCCTGTTGCAGGCTCAGGCAATCATGGAAGTGTCAAACAAATGGGGCCATACACCGGAATCTCTTGCAAGGAAGAGAGGCTTCTATGGCATGTTTCGTTATCCTACAACAAGGTATGCATGATTTGCTGCAGTGATAGGACATATGAAATATATGTGAAGCCATCATTGCATCGCAGGAGGCCCACCGGATTGTTCCACAACCTTCTACTTGCGTGACCTGTTTTCACTGTTTATGGAAATGTGATCGACTGCGGACTGGGGCTTTATCTTATGTTGACGACTTCTATTAAGATAAGAGATTGCGTAGTGTGGGTACAGAGTATATGTAGTAGAAATATCGAGAGATACGCAAAGATTGCAACAGTTGATCGTCGTGGGTAAGGTGTCGCATGAGATGTTTCCACTGTGAGATAATGGGAGAGTAATCTGTCAGACTGGTGGGTCTTGGAGGTGTTTCCACTGGGGTTATTCAGCTATAGAGAGGATTGTTAAGCTTATAAATAGCGTTTGTCAGCCCCTTAGATCATTGGTGGATATATAGGGTATGTTCAGCCCGTTCAGGTCCCCAAAGAGGTGGATATCGAGTGGATAGGATGGAGGGCTCTTATACTGCGTCGACCGGTATTGGTTGTGGCAATGGGGAACAAATCGAGGGAATCCCGAAAGGGAAAGGCGCATCGGGGCCGGTGAAACTTGCTCCTTGCGGCGGACCAATCACATTGAGTGTACTTATCAGGATGCGCTGACATAATTACCTTTTCTTTTCTTTTCGCTTCTCCCTCTCTCTCTCTCTCCTGCAGCAACCCCAACCCAGTTAACTTTCCGATCTCTCTCCAACATCATTTTACGAACGAACCTTGTCGATCGTCTGACAAGAAGTTCTGGGCGCAAATAAATCCCGCATATCTACCGACTGCTGATGACTGCAGGATGCAACCGGATCAGCACCAGGCCAATATTCCCTATGCGGAGAGTCTCCGTGGGTCCCGAATTTCCCCGACATTCCGCCACACGGACGGAGGCTTCGTGTTCGCATTATGATAAAGTTTTACTAAACTCGGCGCGCTCTATCTCTTGGCCGCCGGTGCGCCCGGCCTCCCCTTTGGTGCGCCCAATGTTCAAGATAAGGCTAAGGCTGCCGACGTTCCCGTGGCGTACCCCCTAGCGTCCTCGGGTGCCCTTCTGGAAGCCGTGCCGAAGGAAAAACAAGCATCGAGCCAGCGAACGGAGCCGCATCCTTTTCTCGACGTGGACGATGACCTCCAAGACTCATCGGAAAAGCGTTCGCAGGCCAGTGCTAACCCCGCATGACAATCCTCGCACAGTCTGGGGATTAGAAAGGGCGGGGTGGCCGGCATTTGGCTCCAACTGTCTCCATGCCTCCAAAATGCCCCCATCGGTTACCTAATGTAAACTGTTGAGCGCTGCCCAGAGTGGACTCCGGGCGGTGGGCTCACCGAGAGTGCAGCCGTCGCAGGGAAGCCGATGGAGCCGCCTATGCCGCATACGGCCTGTCCGTCTCGGTCTCTGGCCGTCTGGTTGGCAGAGCCAGCCCTGGCGGCGAGCTTGATCCCCACGTGTGCGGCAAGTTCATGTAACTCAACCGCCTCGCCATTAGTCACAAAAATGTTGGCTGACGGGGTCATGGCCCCAATCAGGGAACCCGCAAAGCGCGAGATCGATATGGCCGTGTCCACGGTGGCGGAGGCTAGCGGGTCCGTACATTAGTCGTGACCGCTGAGTGCAGAAAATTATAACTACAACCGGGTCTGTCGTAGTATTCTGGAAAAGTCCTCTACTACCCTACCTTTTCTCCCCTCCAACCACCTCATCTCTCGCTCCCTCTCCTGCTTAAACCCCTTCTTCCACCTATTTTCGGGGTTCCTACACACCATCCCCTCAAGATGGGCTACCGGACAGAACCCATTGATGAATATGACGCCGACAAAGTTGTTGGGGGTGAGAAGGGCGAAGTCATCGCCGACCTTCCCCAGTACGATGGGGATATGGTCGGTGAGATCAGTGACCGGGAACGGGTGATCGAGCGAGGTGAACACAAGTACAATCGTCTGGGATGGAAACGCTTGACCATCGTGTTGATTGTCGAGGCCATTGCACTGGGAAGTCTGTCCATTCCGTCGACCTTTGCCACGCTCGGAATGGTGCCTGGTGTGATTTGCTGTGTCGGTATCGGTTTCATCGCCATCTACACCAGTTACGTGGTCGGTCAGGTGAAACTGAAATTCCCTCATGTCGGCAACTACCCCGACGCTGGACGTCTGATTGGAGGTCGTTGGGGATATGAGATTGTCAGCATCATGCTGGCCTTGCAGCTGGTCCTCCTCACCGCCTCTCACTGTCTCACGGGTACGATCGCCTTTATCAACATCACTCAGAGCAATGTGTGCTCGATTGTCTTCGCGGTCGTGTCCGCCGTCCTCCTGCTGCTGGTCGCTATCCCCCCTAGCTTCTCCGAGATGGCCATCCTGGGTTACATCGATTTTGGCTCCATTGTCGCTGCCATTGGTATCACCATCATCGCCACTGGCATCACGCACAATGAGTCTCCCGGCCTCGAACATGTTCCGTGGTCGGCCTGGCCGAAGGAGGGCACCACCTTTACCGACGCCTTCATCGCCCTGACCAACATCATCTTCGCCTACAGTTTCGCCATGTGCCAATTCTCCTTCATGGACGAGATGCACACGCCCAAGGACTACGTGAAGTCGATCTGGGCCTTGGGTCTGACTGAAATCTTCATCTACACTGTGACTGGTGCTCTGATCTACCGCTTCGTCGGCCAGGATGTCCAGAGCCCGGCCTTGCTCTCTGCTGGCCACACGGTGAGCCGTGTCGCCTTTGGTGTGGCTCTGCCCGTCATCTTCATCAGTGGTTCCATCAACACGGTCGTACTGGGTCGCCTCATCCTCAGTCGGTTCTGGCAGAACTCCCCCGTCCGCTATGTCAACACCAAGCGCGGATGGATCATCTGGCTGGCCATTATCTCTGTCATCACCTGGCTCGCCTTTGTCATTGGCGAAGTCATTCCCTTCTTCAACGACCTGCTGTCGATCTCTTCTTCTCTCTTCATCTCCGGCTTCACCTTCTACTTCCCTGCGATCTTCTGGTTCGTGCTGATTCGTGAGGGTCCGTGGACGAGCCCTAAGAACCTGGCTCTCACCCTTCTCAACGGTCTCACCCTTATTATCGGTCTGGTGGTTCTGGTTGCCGGTACCTATGCCAGTGTCCAGGATATTGTAAGTTCTCTTGCATCTTGTCCGTTCATACCTGAACTAACGGTTCATTACAGATCAACAACTACGCGACGGGCAGTGTGAGAGGCGTTTTCACTTGCGCCGCTCCGGAGTAAGCAAGCTTATAACGGATACCCACGAAGGCGCAATGGTTTGGGACCCTGATCAGGGGAGCTCCGCAGCTAGACCAGAACACGTTGATCGTGTTGCTGTATTAGAAATGGGAGGGATCGTCTGGGCCTTGAATAGGACCAGTCGAGGAGGTCAATGGCGGCTACTCTGTCACTGTCCTTCACCATGATGGATGCAAAGTCGCATCCTATTGGTATCCTCTCGGAGCTCTTGGCCTTATTATTTCTTGGCCTTATTATTTAGCAATGTATATAGACTTGTACAGACATTAGTATTATATGGCATCTTTCTGACTTATGATCAATTGTCGCGCATATTGAAGCGGGAAGGCATCCTCAGGGTGTATCCGCGGCGATCGCTGTTCTACCCCAGAGTCACTCCGTATGATCTTTTTACTAATCATGGACGGTACTACCCCAGCATGCAATCCATTCCAACGATGACAAGCGATCAATAATTCTATATTCTCAAGAAAAAGATGTCAAGCGATTACATAACCGATCGGAGTATCTGATAAATCCGATCGGGGATAGCGGGCTCGGCAATGATATAACCGGATCCAAACTTTTCTCCCAACTTCTTCGCTCCGTGTCATCCTCATCAACTGTCCATCCTCAATACGTGGTACAGTTGTATATTCATCTTCATCATGTCTAGCATGGCTCCCGCTGCCTTGAGACAGGCATCTCGGGCCTACGCCCGTCGTCTCTCCACGACGCAGCATGGCCCCCTTTCCGCCGCCCTTCCTAGACGGATGCTCGCCACTCCGTCGCGCCGGTCGTACGTCTCCGAGACCAAGGCTGGAAATGCTCAGGTTTCGGTCGATACCGCCATCAAGGAGGAGCAGAAGAACTTTATGAAGCAGACCGGCCTGCAGCCGGGCAAGGTGGAGCTCCCGGGGTCCTCCGTGTCGGGCGACGCCTTGCTGAGTCCCTCCGCGGGCATCCTGAAGCAGGCGACCGTGATGGACCAAGGAACCCGCCCCATCTATCTCGACATGCAAGCGACGACCCCGACCGATCCTCGCGTTCTCGACGCCATGCTCCCCTATCTCACCGGCATCTACGGCAACCCGCACTCGCGGACACACGCTTACGGCTGGGAGTCGGAGAAGGCCGTCGAGCAGGCGCGCGAGCACATTGCGAAGCTCATTGGGGCCGACCCCAAGGAGATCATCTTTACCAGCGGCGCGACCGAGAGCAACAACATGAGCATCAAGGGCGTCGCGCGCTTCTTCGGTCGCTCCGGCAAGAAGAAGCACATCATCACCACGCAGACCGAGCACAAGTGTGTCCTGGACAGCTGCCGGCATCTGCAGGACGAGGGCTTCGAGGTGACGTACCTCCCCGTGCAGAGCAACGGTCTGATCCGGATGGAGGATCTGGAGCAGGCGATCCGCCCCGACACCGCGCTCGTGAGTATCATGGCCGTCAACAACGAGATCGGCGTGATCCAGCCCATGGAGGAGATCGGCAAGCTCTGTCGGTCGAAGAAGGTCTTCTTCCACACCGACGGCGCCCAGGCGGTGGGTAAGATCCCGCTGGACGTCAACAAGCTGAACATCGACTTGATGTCGATCTCCAGCCACAAGATCTATGGCCCGAAGGGTGTTGGCGCGTGCTACGTGCGCCGTCGCCCTCGTGTCCGTCTGGAGCCCATCATCTCTGGCGGTGGTCAGGAGCGTGGTCTGCGCAGTGGTACGCTCGCGCCTCACCTGGCTGTTGGCTTTGGTGAGGCTTGTCGCATCGCCGCGCAAGAAATGGAGGTACGTTAGGATCTTTTGATTTTGAGATTGTTGTGTTTTGTGTCTTTTATTTCTGTGACATCACTTGGTTCCCGGCGATGATTATACGCTATAAGTCGAGCATGACTATCCGAGGTGACCGTGGAGGTAGCTTCCATGCCTTGGCGTGGTCCACGGTCCATTGACGTCCGCAGCAGGGGTAATGAGTCGGCGTTTTTGATTGTTCATGTGCTCTGTTCTGTTGGATATGGTTCTTAACGACAGTGCTAACAAGCTCACTAGTACGACACCAAGCATGTGCAGCGCCTGTCGAAGCGTCTGACGGATGCGCTTCTGTCGATGGAGCATACGACGCTGAACGGCGATCCTGAGCACCACTACCCCGGATGTGTCAATGTGTCGTTTGCCTACATTGAAGGCGAGTCCCTGTTGATGGCGCTGAAGGACATTGCGCTGTCGTCGGGTAGCGCGTGTACGTCGGCGTCCCTGGAGCCCAGCTACGTGCTGCGGGCGCTGGGCAGCAGCGACGAGAGTGCGCACAGCAGTATCCGGTTTGGTATTGGACGGTTCACGACGGATAGCGAGATTGAGTATGTGCTGAAGGCGGTGCAAGACCGGGTGCACTTCCTGCGCGAGCTGAGCCCGCTGTGGGAGTTGGTGCAGGAGGGAATTGATCTGAACACGATCGAGTGGAGTCAGCATTAGTTTAAGTGTCTGAGATGTTTGATTATTGGTATGGACGGCGTTTAGTGTCTGTATGATTGTACTTGGGATGATACCGCTGTACAGAATGCCTTGGTACCTAGGTATGGCAGAATATGAATAAATCATTAGCATAATATCTCACTACTACGTGCATAATATACTACGTGCATAATACCTAAGTGCATAATTATACAGTCATCGACGACGGAATAAGATGGCTCACCGCAGACCGCAACGGGGTGGCGTGGGTGTCAGCGAAAAGACCCGGGGCTGCTAAGCGAGCCCGATTTCGCACTCAGTGGGGGCGAAAAGCGGCAGACCGGGTGATTCTCTAGCACCCACGCTAGTGCACGTGATCTGGACACCCATTGCGCTTCCACCCAGTCTCCCTGCCGGCGCTGTATCCCCAGCATGCGCCATGCCATCCGGTTCTCGATCTATATCTCCCCAGATCGCGGAGATCGTGGCATTCTGGTCCGGATCTCGTCCAGAATGTCCTTCTAGACGTCCCTTCCATGGATGATTCCCTCCCTCCATGCACCAGCATGCTCTCCCCCAAGTCACCCACCTTCCCCCATACCTCTCGCAGGCCATTTATTCCGTGCAGCCATAGTCCGAGCGGCCCACCTGCCGGCCATGGGTAACGGTCATCCAGCACCCAGTCGACGACGGTAACGGAGCCTGGCCTGATCCTCGCCCTGTCCGGTCCCTAAATCCTCCGTCATGGACGCGCAGAATAGACTTTGCTCCCCAAGCTGATTAATTACCTCCGGTGTCCTAACCGGTTAATATCCGCGGATCTCGCCATCCATCCGATGAGCGAGGCACGAGACTCTTCCCCGAGTCCATCTTTTTATTAAGCGTGGCGTCCCTGGCTAAGCTTCTTCTCCTTCTCGGTCTTGTCTGCCTTCCTGTCAGATTTCCGTCATCTCGCCACGTTGAAGCGTTTAGACTTGACTTTCTGATCTAACCAGGCGTGCATCTCCACTATCCCCCGCCTTCCTGATTCATGAGCCGCTGGCCTGGTCAGGATAGAGCTGAACCGGTCAGGCCGTGACCTTTGTCGACGCCGGATATTTCCGTCGAGAAGTTGTTTTCCACCAGAGACGACCTGCTGAGATACCGCCAGTTGCCTGTTTGGTGGCTCTGTGGCTGCCTGTAAAAGCACACTGGCTCACATTCCTTGTTATTGAAAAAGCCCCTCTCGCGTTAGAATTCAGCCGTGGCGGGCTAAGGATCCTGTTTGAGGCTCCAGTGAGGACTGCAGGACCTATATCTCGCGCACATCGCCGAAGCATTGACCCTGTGCAACGCATCTTATTCTGCATTCGTTCTTCATACGACAGTCGGAATGCTTCCTCCGGTACCGGCTCTCGCAGACTACGGCATTTCGCCGGATCATGGCTTCCTTCCCACCGAGATTCCCCTCGATGTCCTCCCGGACCCATACTACGCCAAATGGGAATGGATTGTGTCGAACTTTCAGTCGCTGTTGATCACACGGCGGATCCGCGAGGTGGTCGATCGGATGCCGTTGCTGTCCACATCATATCTCCACAGTGAGGGAGAGTGGCGGCGCGCCTATGTTGTTCTGGGCTTCATCCTACATGGATACGTATGGGGCGGCAACAAACCCGCCGAGGTACGTCCGTCGGATATAAGCTGACATTCGTATACTGATTGTAGCAGAGGATCCCCCCTCAACTCACTATTCCCCTCTTCGCCGTGTGTGACAAGCTGGAGCTTCCGCCGGTAGCAACCTATGCCGGGGTATGTCTCTGGAACTACCGGCCGATCTTCCCCGACGAACCAACCAGCGACATCCACAACCTCGCCTGCAACAACACGTTCACGGGCTCGTTTGACGAGCAGTGGTTCTACCTCATCTCGGTGGCTATTGAAGCCCGCGGGGGCCCCTCCATCCCGCTCATGCTGCAAGCCATCTCGGCAGCCCGCGTTGGAAACAGCCTGGTCGTGACGGAATGCCTGCAGCGATTCGCCGAGATCCTCGACGAAGTCGGCGTACTTCTGGAGCGGATGTACGAGTATTGCGATCCCTACGTGTTCTACCACCGCATCCGGCCGTACCTCGCGGGGAGCAAGAACATGGCGGATGCCGGCCTTCCGCACGGACTTCTCTACGACACTGGCCATGGGGAGCCGGAGTACCGGCAATACGGCGGTGGGAGTAATGCGCAGAGCTCCCTCATTCAGTTCTTCGACATTGTCCTCGGTGTTGAGCACCGACCAACGGGAGAAACCCGGCCCAACGAGGAGAACAAAGACAAAGAGGGGATGGTAGGGGCGCCCCGGCATGGATTCATCCAGGAAATGCGAGACTACATGCCCGGCCCGCACCGTCGCTTCCTCGAACACGTCAACGCGGTAGCCAACATCCGCGAGTACGTCGAGGACCGTCGCTCGGACAAGGCGTTGTGCATTGCCTACGACGCATGTCTGTCCATGCTGCGCGCCATGCGCGACAAGCACATCCAGATCGTGTCGCGGTACATCATCATCCCCTCGCGCGACGCGAAAACCCGTCCACCCCGCGCCACCAGCCCACGCCGCCAGTCCAACGCCATGAACCTGGCCAACACGCGCGCCGCGGACGGCAAGCCGGACAAGAAACTCCGCGGCACCGGCGGCACGGCCCTCATCCCCTTCCTCAAACAAGCGCGCGACGAGACAGGCGAGCCAGCCATTGACGCGTGGGCCAAGCGGATCCTCAGCAATGGCCCGGCGGAGGCGAGTTTCGCAGCGCTGAGCAAGGTGGGCGAGGGGCACGACGGGAACCTGGAGGTGGTTGGCCTGTCGGGCACATGGGCGGCTGACGACAGCGAGGGAGGGATCTGTCACTGGTGATGACGTATAGCCTGCATTATCTTATTAGCGAATTTATCATGTTCTGTTTGTCCGTATGTCGTCATGGTTATATCTGGGATGGTTCCTGATGACGTCATTGTATATACTCTAGTATATAGCCACCTACCTTTGTACAGACAACAACATACTTCAGACATCATACTCTTACACTTTACTACACTGAAAACTACTGAAGACTACATCCACAATGTCTGACACTTCCAACACCAACACCACCAACCCCTCCAACTCCACCATCAAGTCCTACGTGGACCAAGCCACGGGCATGGCCCAGCGCGCCATGGGCAGCATAACCGGCGACTCGTCCAAAATGGTGCGTCTCCCCCACAAACAACCTAAACTACGCTCACCCCGTACGAAGTACTAACATATAACAACCAGGCCACCGGCGAAACAACCCAATCCAAAGCAGACGCCGAGCACGAAGCCAGCCACACAGCCTCCAAACTGGGCCCCGTAACCGCAGACCCGCACACAGGCGCGACAGCGACAGACAACTCGCAGCGCACCAACGGCACGTGGGACCAGACCGTCGGCTCGGCGAAGGAGAGCCTGGGCAATCTGACGGGCAACGAGGGGCTGCGGCGCGCGGGCGAGGAGCAGAACGCGCGCGGTAAGGGCGCCGAGGCCGAGGGCCAGTTGAGGGATTTTGGGGAGGGCGTGAGAGACCGTGTGCAGGGGGGTGTCGGTAAGGTTGCTGCGGCGGCGGCGGGGGATCGGGGGGAGGAGGAGAAGTGGACAAGGGTGCATGATGAAGGGAAGGTGAGGGAGAGAGGGGCGGAGGTTGATATGCAGAAGAAGGCTTAGTGTGTAGATGTTTTATGGGTTATGATTGTATTACTACTTAGGTACTTTGTTTGATGGGATGAAAGGCCAATGTACTAGTCACTAATGTGATCTGCATTTCAGTCAACTCTTATCCTTGGCTAGATGAACGTGCAATAAGTGATGCATCTCCGTGGCAGGATTATACTGTCCTTAGTCCCTCAGCTGTACGAGAATGAAGTAAATGACCCTTGTCAAACGGAGCCGGCATTTCTCCTCTACTAGCCACAGGCGCCTGCAACGACGACATCGACACTCTTCTCCGCGCCGTCAAGCACAGGCACGCGCAGATAGTCAACACGCTGCTGGTTTGAGTGCCGATCCAAATACTACTAGCCCGACAGGTCCAGCCTTTCTTACCGCGATTGCGCACCCGCACGTTTCTTGGTAGGTTTTAAGACTGCCATAACAGGTGTGAAATGACCTTATCAGGCCCAGTCCCTATTCTGTCTACAAGCCTAATCCCGCACGAGCATAGAGTGCCTGGACAAGATGCCCAGGCTGCGGAACAAAGGAATGTAGACAACGTGGACATCTCGCTTCACGGGCGTTGCCGGTGAAGTCCGAGATCACGGAGATCCTTTGGCAGAGTGGGCACGTCGCCTCCAGTTCGAAGAGACTGGGATATTCGGTTGCGTAAGCGCGGAGTTTCTCATCGACTTTTGCTTCGTAGGCCGCTCGCTCGCTCGCAGTCAGGTCCCTTTCGTACCAGAAGACATCATAAAAGCGCACAGGAGCCAGACCGTCCGGCCCGTCTGTTTCGAGTACGGCGGGACTTTGCACCCGAAAGCTCCCATTTGAACCCCATTTGCTGCCCCAGGAGTTGAGGAACGATAACGAATGGGGATCACAGGCGTACAAGACGACGGCATGTCCACCGCCCTGGGGACCCCGACGGTACGGCCGCATGTCGGTCTCGGTGAGCACTGATCTATGGGTCTGAGGTCGACGGAAATGTTGCCTGAACTTCGTCCAAGCTGCGTCTGAGAGGCGAAAGGTGGTCAGCACAGGGCGCCGATGTAACACTGCCTTCCGGGCCTCTATCTCGTCCACGGCCCGGTACCGAAGGCGATGCCACTGGACTGCCTGGCTTAGCACCTCTTCGGTCCGACGGCCATGCGCGCCTGGGGGGAATTCGCGGAGGATCCTATTTCGGATCTCTTCAATACTCGGACAGGGATCCCTACGCTCTATGCGCAACAGCGCCATGTGCATCACGGCAGCGATAGCATGCGCATAACAAGTTGCAGAGTTGCCCTGGTTTGATGGGTCATTGCAAGCAGTTATGTGCCTGTCGTTGATATACTCGTCAAGACTTAGTCGGCCTATGACGTCTAGCAGCGCATCCGTAGACCCGAGATGCGCCGATACCAACAGCGAGCAGAATTCCTCGACTGCGGTCTCAGTACAGAGAGAGACTTGCAAGGCGACTTCCCCAGAGTACGGGACCTGCCAGCCCACCGACACCAACACCGGAATGGGGTGCTCGCTGGCAGATACCTTGGAGGCCATGTGGAAAAGCGTCCGCTGACCCTTATTCCAGGAGGAGGCCGGTTGGTCGTATAAGCGTCGCTGAGCAACATGGCGATCGTTCGTCAGGTACACTCCTGCCAAAGTGACCCTCTCCGCACGCAGCTCAGAGGCGATGTGGCTAGGATCACCGTCAGTTCCGTACCCATCCGTCATCAGGACGAGAACCCGCTGGCCAAACTCGGCATTTTCGCGAAACACGGCCAATGACTGGTTCAATGCGTCGCGCATTGGAGTGTCTCCGTACATGAATTCCTCAATGGTTGCGGATAAGCATGTACGAGCGCCTGTAGCATGCAGTTGCAGCTCCTGTAGCAAACGTACCACATCACTCACTGGTCGAGGTACGAAGTCGACAAACTCTTGAAACCATTCTCTGCAAATACGGCGCGCGAGCTGAAGACCCTCTGAGGAGTCTACTACCCAGTCCCCACATTTATCGACACCACTGTTTGCCGTCTCTGCCAAAGTAGCACCACCGACTGGTGTTAATGGTTTAAATATGGTCTTAATGCCAGATTTTAATTCATCCTTCTTCCTCTGTGAGAGTAGGGTTTGTTCCGCACTCGGTATTGCGTCAATGAATTCACAAATCCGCTCCGGGTGTCGACGAAGGCACGCGTGGACAATACGCGCTACGGTATCTGTAAGCTTGCTCTGGATGTACTCCGTTATATGGGCCAGATGGTTCTCGTTCGCGACCTCGATAAGCAGCTCATGACCGCTTCGATCGTCTTGACCGATCTCTCCGAGGAGGGCCTTAACAATGCCGCAGAGGTCGACAGTTGGTGGATACCCGGCCTGGCGATCAAGACCGAACGCGCCAACGAACATTTTAGCCTTGGAGTCGCTTTGTTGCTCCTTGCGGGCAATCTGGAGGGCTGCGCCCAGCACCGCATGGAAACGATCCACCGCGCGATCATCAGCTCGGCCTGTCTCAAAGACCTTCCGCATCGACCCCGATACATCGAGTAGGCAGCCGACCAGGGTGGATGATTCCTTGTGAGCCATAGAGATACAGCTGATGATTTGGGCTTTTCGGACGTATACTGACTAAGAGATGTTATGGATTTGAAGATCTCATATGCCCCGCTTTGGATGAATGGAGATTCTAGTGCTTACTGGGCATGAGATTACTGTGGAAGATTAGGCAGTCATATGATAACCATTATGCGCTTGAAGTGCGGGGCTGACCATCCAAAACTGGGCTCATTCGGAACAATCGCAAATATACAGAGGTTGGTTTTTTGAAATCGTGTGTCAACCAGATTGGCCACTATGCTACCACGAGGTGCCTTGGCAGCTAATGGTATAGAAGATGCGATATACGGCTGTGGGCTTGGTTTGAACGCATACTAGCTATCGATTATCCGATGCGGAAGTTGTCATTGCACGTCAGAAAGCATATCTTCAAGGGGTGCCTGCTGTGCGTGCCATTCCTCTGTACATACCACCTACCACTCTTTAGCCCTAGATCGCGTTATCACGGATATCACGGCGGAATTAGTGCTGGCTATACAAGGTAAAGGAGTACAATCCTTGGAAGTAACATGCTCCTCACACCTTGCCTTATCCCTCGGTAGCAGGAGAAAACATTAGGCCGACTTGTCAATGCAGACCCGATAGTGTATCTCGTCGTACCTGGAGGGCCACCTCCGAAGACTACTCTAGGCTCACCTCAGTTGAGATACGACGGGGGAGTTCATGAAATACGGGAAACTCAATCCAGCAGACACAATTCAATCACTGAATCTCGAAAGCATGCTGCAAATGAATGACTAGCAGAAAGCTTGAGTCCTCGTATTTCCTCAAACAAGGTCTTGGTTTGGGCTACAAATCTACTTCAAAAGATAAGACCTTCCAACATCAGCCTGTTTTCGTCCAGTCAACCTCGTCCATGGGTCATCCAGTCGTTCATGCATCACTAATATACCCACCTAGTAATTCGCGTTCTACCTCTGTCTGTTATTACCTACCCCAGGGCTTGATTGTCACGCTAAATAGTTAGGTAGATTCCCAGGAACGGGCAGAATTGTTCGGGATTTGTATAATTTACTACTCGCCCCGGTAGAACTATTCCATCAGTAGCCAAACATCTGTCATTTCAAAAAAAGTATACGTAGATCATCATGGCTTTATGAAAAACACATATCATGAGGAAAAGTGGTGGAAGAAACCACCCACTCAGTAATACCTCCGCGAGGCAAGGCGGTAAGGCAAAGAGTTCTGAGACGGCTAAAAATTTCCTAGACCTCACCCCTACTCTACACCAGCCCATCAAAATGTCAACACCACCACTCCCATCACCAACCCCCAATGAAAGCACTCCCAATTCATCCACTCCAGACACATCCAAAAAACGCCGCAGACCCGAACTCTCCGAATACGACCGCGGCGTAATCTGCGGCATGCGCCTAGCAGGCGCCAGCCTAAACGAGATATCGCGCAAGCTCAACACCTCCCGGTCAACGGTGCAGTACACGATCAAGAAGCAGGAGGCGCGCGAGGCCGGCAAGTCGCAGAAACGCAGCGGGCGGCCGCACATCATCTCCCCGGAAGCGGAAGACCACATCGTGCGGCTCCTCGAGGCTGACCATGCCGTCACGTACAAGGCGATTCGCGAGGCGGTCAACTTGACGGCGTCGGACGAGACGATTCGGCGGGTGTTTAAGAAGAGGGGGCTGGCGCATTTGCGGGAGCAGATGAATCCGGAGGGACAGGGGCGGAGGGTGTCTTCTAGTATGTATACGTATGTGAAGTTTGGTTGTTGATGCTGATTGAGTAGCGTCTTTGAATAGGGTGCGGCCGGAGGGTACGGCGGAGACTATGTTGGGTACTCCTAATGGACAGTAGTTACGAGTATGCTGGGAAGTTCTTTAATGAGCTGGACTGGCTTAATGCTGTTGGAGACTGGTGATAGTTTGTAGAATAATCCAGACTATATCCGACAACTTCTTATCAAAAGCATGTCGTCAGTCACATCTTACGCACCCTCATCAAAATCATCAAAAGGAAAATTATCCCTAACTCTTTCTTTCTCGTCCGCCTCTGCACCGTCAACCATCTGCTCCTTGATCGTCCGAGCAAGCTCTCGAGTCTCCGCGTACGCTTCATTCGGAACCCAGCCATACACATCTACATCCAGCATCTCTCTCAAATCATGCATGACCACATCCATTTCCTGCTGCTCACGATACAGCTGCATAATAGACGCCGCCGACTCTTTCGAGTACTGTATCGGAGGGACATCACATTTACGACACCCAGAACGCAGCACCTCCTGCCAATGAGCGATGGCACCGATAAGCTCGGCTTCCAGCGTGATAGAGTCGCCTTCCCACGGGGTCCCCGCGTGCACATACAGACGCTGGTGGCGGATCACGCCATCGTTAAAGATGGCATCATAGTGCTCCGGGTTGTGGCGGAGAGTCAGCGCAGCGTATAGGAAGTGGTTGTGACGCTTGAGATGCCGTGCTTGCACGGATGCTTGTTCGGCTGGACTCATGCCCTCGAAGTCCGCCGGAAGGTCACGGGCAGGCTTTGCCATCCGGTCCGACTCGGGGTCGCCGTAGTTCTGAAAGTACTTGGGCATGCTGGCGGCAAGACAGAGGGGCATGATCGTAGTGTGTTGCCAGTCTACGAGGCCATAGACGTCGAGCGAGTCTGAGAGCAGGATATTATTCGGCTGGAGGTCCAGATGTCGTAAGACAGGGCGGTTCAGGTTGCTTCCCTGCGGATAGCCCAGGCAATTCGCTAGCTGCAGGTACTTTTCGAGCGCATGGAGATGTACTTGGGGGTGCATTTTCTTGAAGCCGTGCAGTTCGCGATACGACCGTTCGTAGTGGAGGCGCTGCTTCGCGAATGTTTTCGTCCACTGCAGTTCCCGTTCCCCGACAGCGGGGAATATCGCGCTGGACTCAGACCATGGAAAGTCAGACACGGTCACTGAAATGCGGCGCATACATACAAGGTCCTCTGTCGCAGTCCAACAGACTTCTCTCTCCGCTCCACCAGCTGTGATGGGCCACCGGGCCGATGCAGAATTCGCCGTCTTGGGTGCGAAGCGGAACGGCCTGCGCTCGCTCGTGCTCATTCAAAATCCCCGGGAAATAGATACTGCCGCTGGCAGGAATCTGCAAGTCGAAGAGCTTGCGCTCCAGCCGGACGATCTGCTCGATGACCTTGTAGCGCTGCTTGAAGTCAAGAATGTACCACACGTCACCAAATGGCGTCCTGTGCAGCCTCTCCATGATGATATACTCCGCGCCGACGGCATTGTCGGTCGTCGAGGACCATGCATGCACCCTTGGAACGGGGAATCCATTCAACCGCAGGTACTCCAGAGTAGCCACTTCGCTGGCTGTGGTATAGTGTTTCGGGACCGTCGAGGGGTAGGGTAGGCGGGCGAGCACGCGTCGTCCATCGCTGCAGGTCGCTTCAAACAGTCGATTGAATCCTCCTTCGGCGACTTTTGCGAACAAGCTAACGCTGGACGCACCAAGGGCAGATGCAATGGTGTGCTGTAGAGCCGGGACATTGAATTTGAGATATCGTTCTCTCAGCCGGAGGTCCTCGTTGTATCTACCGGGTTAGCTGCGTACGAAACGCAGGGCGATGAACCCACATCCACCTGCTCGACGTGTAGCGAAACCAGTCATCCTGCGCGTGCGTAGATTTCGCAGTCCCCAGTCGTCTCACCTGCACTATTGGCGTGTGCAGCGCACATTTCGAAACACGCCCCATACGCATGGACGCTGTTAATTGACGTCGTTCCGTGCATCTCGGAAGACTGCCGGCCGGGCAGCGAAGATGCAGGCCCACCCCCTTTCCGGGATTCACCGCCACCCCTGGCTGTATGTCTGTGACACCCTAGTCAGATTCACATAGATTCACTCGACAAAGCACGAATATGATGATCGCGACCAACTTCCTCCCCCTCCAGCCGTTCGGCAAACGCCCAACTGCAGGATCCCGAGGATTCACCAAAACGCCACATCCAAACTATCCAGATCCCTGGCGTCGACCCAGACCGTTGGCGCGGCCCAGCCAGGGACTATGAATGACCTAGGTTCAAGCACTAACACTATCTGTAGGTAGTCCACGTGGAGCTGCTATCGGCCGAAAGAGGGCTGACGATGAGATAGTGGTACAGTCGCAATTCCGCTCCAATGAACCACCGCCAGACACCCCCCACAGCGGACAGATACCGATGCAACAGCCGTTCTCGAGCAGTGGCAAACTGTTATCTATCCAGTCTTAGCTAGGCTTATGCGAGACGGCAGCTTGGCCTTCCGTGGATGAAGGAGGTGGAGAAGTCGGGGAAGTCTGGGGAAGTGGAGATATCTGTTCCGGACAATGCTGAGTGATGATGATGAATAGATCACTGTTGGCGGGACCAGCATACACATAACCAGTTATAGTTTCCAGCACTATCAGATCCCCGCATCATCGTCCGAAGCTATCGGCAAATGGGCTGGAGGATTGCCGGTCGACTGCCCCGGAGCCATTCCGCGTTGACGGGGGAGGGAAAGGGGTTTGGCCGATCATCTCTTATAAGAGAGAAGGATGGTCGGAGGAGTGATGGGCGTTGCATAGTTACTCAAATCGACCCGTCAGATTGAACCATTGCTGGACATAGCCCAGCATGGAGATGAACTATGATGAAGCTGTATGTATACGCATATCCCGTTCCTCAACTATGCTAACGATGAGTGATAGACTCTCCACCAGTATGTTGGATATCAACCACACCGTCGTCTCCCGCTAACTATGCAGGCTCGAGCGCGAGCTGGACACGGAGATATACCCCGGCACAGAAATCATGGCAGACGTTGGATCGCACCATTTCGTCAAGTCGTCGCATTCGGATACAGCGCTCGTCCCTCAGCCCTCGCAAGACCCGCACGATCCTCTCGTAAGACTCTCGCCCGATGTACAGAGCCGAACTAAGTCGCGCAGAACTGGAATCGATACTGGAAGCTGGCCGTCATCTCGCTGACCACGCTGGTGACATTCAGTCAAGGCTTCGGCCCGCTGGCTCTGGCGCCCATGTTTCCGCAAATGATGGAGTCATTCGACGCCGAACTGGCCGATGTGGTCAAGTTCACCGGCGTGTGTATTCTCGTTCTTGGATTCAGCAACTTCTTCTGGTGAGTTGCGCCTTCTTGTTGCGCCCTCTTTCGAATGAATGGCGCTGACAGGATAGGATCCCGATCGAGACGGCGTACGGTAGACGACCGGTACTGATCTTCTCGACCCTCATCTGCCTCGTGAGCAACATCTGGCGCGCCCTGGCCACATCGTACGGGAGCTACATGGGCGCATGCGTGCTGAACGGCTTCGGCGCCGGTCCTGCAGAGGTACTAAGCTCTCCCAACCATCCGAACAACGCTCACAATGCCAGACGTCGCAACCGGAGATCATCGCCGACGTGTTTTTCCTTCACGAACGCGGCCTCTACAACACCCTCTACTTCACCTTCTACTTTGGCTCTCTCATGGTAAGCCCACACCCACCACACTCAAACAAACCTAACATCCACGGCAGGTCGGCCCCATCATCTCCGGCCCAATGGCCGAACACGTCGGCTGGCGCAGCTTCTTCTGGCTCAACGTGGGCCTCCTCGGGCTGGCTCTCATCCTCACGATCTGCTTCTTCCCCGAGACCAAATGGCACCGTGTGCACCCGTCCGAAGTCACCCAGCCGCACGAGCAGCAAACCCCCGAGACCAGCTCAACCGAAAAAGGCGGCGACACCGCACATCACGAGGAGATGCCCGCCGAGAGCGGCGCAGAGCTGGACCCCTACCTGGGCCGGGGCGCGCCGTCCAAGCGGCAGTTCAAGATCCTGCAGCTGGAGGGCAACAACTTCAAGACGGTGCTGACCAGCTTCTGGATCCCGTGGAAGCTGCTGACGTTTCCGATCGTCGAGCTGGCGGCGTTCAACGTGTCGTGGTCGGCCAGCGTGTTCCTGACGCTGAACCTGACGCAGAGCCAGGCCTTTGCGGCGCCGCCGTATAACCTGTCCAGCCAGACCATTGGCTTGTTCAACCTCGCCATCTTGATTGGAGCCATGATCGGCCTGCTGACCAACGGCCCGCTGTCGGACTGGATCTCGATGAAGGCCACCAGGAAGAACAAGGGCATCCGCGAGCCGGAGATGCGGCTGCCCGCGCTGATTCCGTACGTGCTCATCGTGATTATCGGAAATTTTGTGGTCGCGTTTGGCTACGAGTACAAATGGGACTGGAGGGTAAGCCAAGTCGCACGCCTAAGATACATATTGTGTTGGTCTAACTTGCGACTCGCGCAGGCAATTGTCATTATCGGATACACCGCCGCCGGCATCCAGGTCGCGGCCATCCCGGCCATCATCAGCACGTACGCCGTCGACAGCTACAAGCCGGTGGCCGGGTCGGTGTTTGTCTCGATCACGGTCAACAAGAATCTGTGGGGGTACGGGTTCAGCGAGTTCATCACGCCGTGGATCGAAAAGAGCGGGTTTGTGCGGCCGATCATGCTGAACATGAGTCTGGCCGTGCTGTGGAGTCTATGCGCCGTGCCGTTCTACCTGTACGGCAAGAAGTTCCGCAAGTGGACGGCCAAGTCGTCTGTTCATAGTTTGTGATGGCTCTCATGTCCCTGTTGGACCATAGTCATATCAATGTCATCTGCTAAGCAATGGTATCTACGTAACTCCAACCAAACCCATAGAACACATGCATAATCATATATCATCATCCTCCGGATCATACAGATCCAAATCCAGCGCCGCCGTCGGCTTCACCGGTGCCGGCGGCTTCCTCGCAGTCGCACTGGCCGCAGACCCAGCCTGCGCCGCTGCCTTGGCCGCCTCGCCTGCATGCCGCGCCTCCTCGCCCATCTCCGCCGCCGGCGCAACCCCATCCGCAGCGCCGAACCCCTCCGCCTCGCGGATGAGCCGGTCCACCTCCTGGTCGGGGTCAAAGCCCGGCCGGCCCTCAGCCGCCGCCAGCTGGATCTGGCCCATCAGCCCGAGCCGGATGCGGTCTTCCATCGGATAGGGCAGCATGTAGACCTGGCGCGTCAGCTTGGCCGACTCGTCGAGCCAGGAGGTAGCGTCTTTGGTGACGGTGGCGACGGGTTCGACGGGGCCGGGCGTGTCGATTCCGAGGCCGTTTGTCGCAGCGTCGCTGTCGGGGAGGTTCTTGGGTGGAGCGCCGGCGGCGGCGTCCGCCGCGGCCTGGTGGTTGTATTTGCTGATGCGGCGGGCAAAGTCGAGGAGGAGCTTGTAGTCGACTTCTTTTGTGCGTCGTAGGGTGGGTTTGGTGTCGACGTCGGCCATGGCGACGTCGCCGTCGTCGGACGAGTCCGCATCGGAGTCGCTGGCCGTCTCGTCGTCGTCGTCGTCGCAGGCGGCGCGGATGTCCTTCTCGTAGCTGACGACCTCGCGGACGATGCTCTTGACTTGTTCTTCGAGGGTGGCGGCTTGCGCGCGCAGGCGCAGGATGCGGGCGTAGTTTTGTTGGTGCTGGCGCAGGGTGGTGAGGGCGGAGGTTAGAGAGTCGTCGGCTTCGAGGAGGTTCAGGGCGGCGGCGGGGGCGCCAGAGCCGGTGGGAGAGGTGGTGAGGCTGGTGAGGAGGGCATTGAAGGTGGATTCGAGGTGGGAGAGGGCGGATTGGAATTGGGCGTTCATTTTGTTGGTCGTGAGGGAGTTGGAACTTCGGACGGGTTCTGGATGTCGTACATGTTTAGGGTCACGTGACACAATCACCCTCCTAGGTCGTTGCCAGTCTATTCATTTAATTCTGTGTTCAGATATCGGATACAAATCTCTATACAATGGTCACTCACAGTCTGTTGTTTGCTAAGCAATGAACAGTAGTAGGGAAAACCAAGTATATACCTAAGTACGTCGCCAGTAACAACCTCCCTCTCAGAATGTATATATTCCACCAGTCACCAACGCCTATTACTCCCAATCCAGCTACTATACTCTGGCTTCTACATCTGATGCTCTTGCCAGTAAGGCGACTCTTATCGGGACCGGCTACGCTACAGCTACCGAGGGTGGGGTCCCGGCAACCAAATCTCCAGCTGTCATCTCCAGATCATCCTCCACACCTCCTGGCATATCAACTGATCCAACATGGCAGCTACACTCCCCAACGCACCCGTCATCTCCCTAGGAGACAACATCCTCGTACAACCGCCGCTCTCCCGGTGCGGACACGGCCCCGGCCTGATCCTTATCCGGCCCCGCATCTTCGCAGCCTGCCAGGCGCAGAATACCAGTCTCGACCCGGAGCCGCTGCAGAAATGGGCCGAGGAGAGCTATGCCGTTGCGCAGGTGACCCTGGATGCTGCGACGAGTGCGGATGAGACTCGCGTGCTGGAGATGGTCAAGATTGCGCTGGAGGGGTTAGTCGCGCGAGAAGAGTGCGGTAAGAAGGATGCATTCGGCCTGTTAGGTATGTATATGTAGCCTTAGATGTCTAAAGGTGGTCCTACTGATATGTCCAGTCTACGGCTCAAAAGCCGACTACGCCGCGGAGTTTGCATCCATCCTAGCCACCATCGCAGCAATGACTACTGTCGCAGCGGTGGTGTGCTTGGACGCGTGGCCGGTCCCGACAACCACCCCGGTGGTGCTACACCTCCCAGGAAAAGAAAAAGTCCAGCCAGAACCGCACGCAGCAGTATACACCTACCCCGAGACAGCCTCATCCGCCTTCGCCGTCCCCGGCCACGCGGACTTTAGGATCGCCTCCGCCGGGGTCGCCCACACGCGGTCTCTCACCTTCCTCAAGAAACACATGGACGGCCCGTTCTTCGACCTCGAGAAGATCTGGGACGAACACACGTACTACGAGTTCGGCGACCGGTCGGTGGAAAAGACCATGGCGACGATGGTGCAGGAGCCGTACGTGAACCATGTTCCTACCGTAAGTTCCCATCCAGGTGTACGGAGCGTACAGAGTAAGGCCGCAAGCTAAGGGTTAGTTGACCGGCGGCGTGGGCCGCGCACGCCTGAGCAAATTCTACCTGGAGCATTTCATCTTCAACAACCCGGCCGACACGTCGCTGGAGCTGATCAGCCGGACGGTCGGGACGGACCGCGTCGTGGACGAGTTTATCTTCTGCTTGACGCATAACCAAGAGGTGGACTGGCTGTAAGCCGCCCTGCCCGAGTCTCCTGGGGATATCTTAAGCTGACGTGACAGAATCCCCGGCATCCCGCCCACGGGCAAACCGCTGCGCATCCCGTTCACGGCCGTCGTGAACATCCGCGGCGACCGTCTGTACCACGAGCACATTGCCTGGGACCAGGCGACGGTGCTGGTGCAGCTGGGGCTGCTGCCGGAGTACCTCCCGTACCCGTATGCGCTGCCGGGCGGGCAGCTGCCTGGGCCGGGGAAGCGGTTCGAGTATCGGGTGCCGGCGGCGGGCGCGGAGACGGCGCTGAAGCTGCAGGATGAGCATTTGGTGCCGTCGAATGGGATGTTTGAGTATCGGGTGAGGGAGGTGGATGAGTGACGTTCCAGGTATCATACATGCTCGCACGACAGGCGACAGGGCCGTCAGTCGAGACACGTTGAATGCAGCAGTACGGATCCCATAGACCGTACGAATCATACCTAGTAGAGACTGTACGATCCATTGGTCCGGCGGAACCGATCCTGGTCTCAGATGCGGGGAAGCATATACATAAACGTCAGACGCTGTCACTGTCAGACTGTCAAACTGTAGATCCCCACTGAACATCACTGCAAAGCACCATGGCACGTCGCACGGCAATCATCACTGGCTCCGCACGGGGAATGTAAGGCCCAGCTGCAAGGTATCAAGCTACCAGCTAACCCGCCCAGCGGCAAAGCCATCGCCCTCCGCCTCGCCCAAGACGGCTACAGCGTCTGCATCAACGACATCCCCTCAGCGACCGACGAGATCTCGGCCGTCGTAGCCGAGATCAACGCCCAGACACAGGCGGAGGATAGCCAGCGCCCACGCGCCATCGGGATCGCCGCGGACGTGACCTCGTCGGCGGCAGTGGAAGCCATGGTCCGCGACACCGTCGCACAGCTGGGCCCGCTCACACTGATGGTGGCCAACGCGGGGATCGCACATATCAATCCGCTGCTGGAGACGACGGAAGACGAAGTCGACCGCGTACTGGCCGTCAACTTCAAAGGCGTGCTGCACTGCTACACGCACGCGGCGCGGCAGATGATCGCGCAGGGCGAACCGGCGTCCGCGGCCGGGGTGGACGTGTACAAGATCCTCGGGGCGGCGTCGATCGTCGCGCACAAGCCTCTCCCCTTGTTGGGCGTGTACTCGGCCAGCAAATGGGCGGTGCGCGGGCTGACGCAGGCGCTGGCGATGGAGATGGCGCGACACAAGATCACGGTGAATGCGTATGCGCCGGGCATCGTGGGGACGGCGATGTGGGAGGAGATTGATGAGCGGTTGGGGGGGCTTGAGGGGCGGGCGAAAGGGGAGAGTGTGAAGGTGTATTCGGAGCGGCATGTTGCGCTGGGGCGGACGAGCGTGCCGGATGATGTGGCCGGGTTGGTTGGGGGTTTCCTTGCCAGTCGGGATTCGGACTATGTGACGGGGCAGACGATGGTGGTAGACGGGGGGATTGTGTTTACTTGAATACTGCTGCCTGTCCAGGGTATGAATGATGATTGCACTGAACTAGTAGTAACTTGTACTACGGAGGAGACCGAAGAACAGCCATGGCATCCGCGGGTCCCGAACCACCTATGTAATGTTGTACAGAGATGCTTGGTTCGGCCGAACGGCATGCATGCAAAGCTTAGCTTAGGCAGAAGGATTGAGTGGATCGGAATGAGACATGGGATTCCGAGTATGTCGTTACCTAGATACAGTGTCGGAGGGTAGAAGAGTCCGTGTTTCAGTGTGGTGGACGGTGGACAGAGGCCTTGCTGGGACTGGCCAGGTGCCAGATCCACCACGCGATAACCTCAAGCCAAGCTTTACAGCGCGGTGCCATTGGTGAGGTTAATCCCGCACTGGATAAAAGGGTCGGCTGTGATAGCCCGGAGGAGGATGGAGGAGCCTGCAGGAGCACTGCCCCCGTTAGTCGAGGTTAGGGTTTGGGGGCGCTGAGACAGTTGGCGCCGAGGACCACGGAAAAAGGGTCCTGCAGGGTTACATGCAGACCAGTAAACGAGGCGTGAGCAGATTAGCAGAGGGAAAATTTAGCCGAGTGATAATTTGCGAGACGGGATGGGATGGGATGGGATGGGATGAGATGAGAGATGGATGGGAGATGGGCAGTTAGATGTAGGCAACTGTCTCTAATAACTATACTGACGCAAGAACTCCTCCCCCTTCCGTCACCTCCAGCGTCTAATACGGAGGATTTAACTAGTCTAGGACAGTCGACGCCCCTGATCAAAGCTTGTCGTGGACCCTGGAGGGGCCCAACAGCCAACGACGACTGTCTCTGCGGCCGATCGGTGATGGCGACATTTTGGCACAGGCAGCATCATTCTTCCTCTACCGAGTACCTGTCCATCGATTGAGTACTGTCGATGGCACAATACTCAGATCGATACATCTTAATAGTTCTTCAATAGTCTGTAGATGTGGTATAGGATAGTTAGCATAGAATTAATTTCAATAGACTAGCTATCAGCCTAACCGCAGACATCCTCGGTAGTCTACTGGTACATGCTGAACGCGTCAGTCGTGCCATGCTCCATACTTCCCCAGATGAGACACCCATTACGATCCGAATTATTATTAGATTACACCAGATTACATTAGATCATACTTTCCTAACTACCTACCGTCTAGCCCTATATTCCTATATTACCCGCCTGCTGCCCATCTCGCCCTCCTCCTTACCTCTACTATACTATACCCTCTACTTCCTACACTCGTTCATCCCTCTTCTACACCCCCAACCACCATGCTACTGCGCTTCCTGTCTGCGACAGGCGCCCTCTGCCTAAGCAGCTGTGCTGCCCTCTCGCTCCCTCCCTCTCCCTCCTCCCCAACCCCGGACATCGACCTCGACGTCGTCCCCCAACCCCCAACCAGCCACATCCTCTCCCACTTCCGCCAGATCAAAGTCCCCTGCGCCGAATGCTCGTTTACCGATTCCTGCGACGGCAGTAGCGGCAGCAATAGCTACCTAGTACATCCCCTCCCCCCTCCCCCTCCTAGGAACACACCCATACTAATAATGTACAGACCCTCTCCTTCACAACCGAAAACACCACCCTGCTCGCAAACGATGACCCCATCTTCCCGTCCACCGTGCCCATGCAATTCCACGCCCTGCGCCACTGGGCCGCCGGCCAACAGGCCGTGCTCCTCGCCTACGCCCTGGACGCGCGCCCGCTGCCGCCCACCCCCGGCGCCCTCCTCGGCGACATCTTCCTGCTCAAGCTGAAGCTGTTCGATCTGCACGGCCGTCCGGCCTCCGACCACCTCGTCTCCATCAGTCTGGCCAAAGACACCGCCGGCGACCTGCTCATTTCCGACATCGAGTCGGTGCCGTTCCATGGCCGCGGGGGCGGCGGACACCGCCGGCCGCGGCCGTCGTGGCTCGCCCGGCTGGGCGAGAGTCTCGAGGCGGTTAAATCCGCCGCGCAGAGCTGCTGGGAGGATGCCCCTCCTGCTGCGGGCAACGACAGAGCCACTGGTACTGCGCATGGCGCCGTCATGGACGCCCACCGCACCATGGCGCCGAACCCGAATCCCCACCGACCGGGCGGATATCGGCCGCCGTACTGGATGGGCCGGGGCGGCAGCGGCAACGGGGCGAAGATGCTGCAGCCGGTGGTGCTGCCGGCGTTGCTGGGGGTGATTGCCGGGATTGTGGCGTGTTTGACGGGGTTTATCGTTGGGCGGACGGTGATTGCGGTGTATTACTGTTTCCGTGGGGCGGGCAGACGGCGTGGAGGTGAACGCGCTGTTGTGCCGGCTGACGGGGTGGCGGATGAGAAGGAGAGGTTGATGGAGGAGATGGATGATGAGTCGAGGTAAATGCTTTGGGAGGTATTTTCTTTGTATGATAGATAGTAATGTGCATATCATGTTTCCTCTTCTGTGCCACCTGTATGGTCTGTCAATCGAATGACCGCTAGGCTACTAGGTACCAAAGTGTGAGCACCCTAGGAGGTATAAGGTTGTATAGTCTGTATGTAGGTTGACAGTTCGAGAGTCCGTGTGAATTGCATGGATGCTATTCCGTACTCCCTATGACTCAATTCATAGATCCACTGTATCCACTACCAGTGGAGGTAGGGCTGGATTGTGTAATCTTGATGGAGCAACCTTCAATGCCCAGGACGATCGTGGGGCTTTTATATGAAAAGATGCATATCATCTTGGCAGCTTCATCATCAATATCACCACAAATCCAGGAGCTGTTCTTAGCATACCCACCTCCTCTCCATCGAACTATTCCTCCAATTCATCTGGGCTCATTCACACCAACTTGTTCTACCCGGACATGTAGATCCAGACAACCCGTGGGTTTAATAGCACGTGCATATTAGAGGATAGCCACCCAGTTAGTTACCCGGATAAAACACGCTCAATCACTCTTAACTACCACTATCTAACGGGTGACTGCCTCGAATGAACATCGTTATTAGCTCGATATTAGCCGCAACCGCCTGGACTGTAAGCATGGATATTACGCGATAGAATACCATTAAGGCGCTCTAGTAAGAGTGGACCGAAGTGAATCGGCGGGAAGATGGAATGATGGCTGGGCATCTCGGTTCGTGTAGTATTCTGCGCACAAACGCCCTCACATGTTAGAAATTGCAGCTCAAACGTCTCATCGGCAAAGGGGAATGGCTCATTGCGAATCGTGCGCGCCGCCATCCATCAGCTGAGCTATTCCATTTGTGGACGCCTGCGCCACTACTTTCCGACGCGTCCACCCACCCGGTCTTTTCACGGAGAACACTTGAGAATAACCATGTTTTGCTCTCTTTGTTGGTACGGGCAGTGAAGTATGTCAACCTTCCAGAGGAATAGACAAAGAATCAGTGTTCTGTTCCACTCCCGTGTCTGCTCACAAGACTGTTCAGTAATGAACTCAATATCACCTAGGCGGCAAGCAGTGGTGTTTATGGGCGACTTCAAGATCTGCTCAAAGCATTCAATGATATCTGCAACATGCTCCCCGGACAGATAATCTGTTGCGTAGTCGCAGATCACATCAATTGAGGATCCGGAATCCCTCACACTGACACGAATAATGCCGCTGCTCAGATGAATGTCGTCGGTCGATGTGAACGGGGCACTTTTCGTACCTGTGCTGGCGTATTGGAAGAAAGTATTGAACAAAGCGCCATCCCGGTCAAGTTCTTGCTGGATATCGAGGAACGAGAATTAGTGCTGCGAAATCTGCGTCGAATCTCTCATCGATTTCCAAATAACATCTTCGAGGATCATGTCGTCCTTTAGGGATAATCTGACAGGCGTCACCTCCGCAGCTGGTCTTCCATTCATCTGATCTTAGTCTGGGGTACAGTTTCCGAAACAAACATCCTCCGATCCAGTGTAACAGCGTAAGACCAAGCCCCAAGCAACACGTGTAAAGGAGCCAACATCAACTCCAAGGCCATTGCAGAACGAGTGAATCCTCTCTGCATTTTTAATTGTAGACTTAAATAAAGAGAAAGCCCTCGGTATTGGTTCTGGTTGCAACCGGGGAAAGAGACAAGTCTCGACATCAGCCAGGTATGTTCTCCACCAATCCAGATGGCCTTCAGCCTGTCGGTCTTTCTCTCCCATGTACACCAACTGGCCATGCGAATGGTAACGTGCGCATAAGTCCCGTCGAGGAAGGGCTTCCGCGGCTACGCGGTCCACCGGGAGAGCGCATATCTAGCCGACGGTGTAGGAGTTGTTGCCTAACATCGTATGGTTGCTATCATGGTGCTTACCGTGTGGACAATGGCTGTTAAGGGCTGGGGGACGAACCAGTAGGGATGTTAAGGTAGCGTTAGGCGCTCCCAGTCAGCCGCCGTTTTACCCCGCCTAGCTTCGTATACCGGTACTGTCTACTGGCCGTCTGGCCAGGTTCAATCTTAGATTTGAACATGTATCTATCATTTAGGGATTTGGCATCGAAGATATTCAGGCCTTGATATGAACATGCGCTCATTCTATAGGTCGCATGAGGGTCCTATGGAGGGATGGATACGGTGAATCTGTTCCTCTCGCGATACGTCCGAAAGAGCCTGACCTCGCTGTTCACCAACTATAAGCACATAAGTCTCCGAAGGCTCCGACGCCAATTCCAAGGTACTCACTTCCAGCTATATCAGCACAAGCCCATCCTCATTCGCCCAGCTATCAGACAGACACCTCAATCATCTCAAAATGGCCGACCTGACCGAAATTAACCGCAAGCACTTCGAGTCCGTTGTCCATCTCCACAAAGACCGATCAGTGAACTAACATGTCATAGCAAAGTGGCCTCTAACCACCAAAACGACTTTGGCGAGCTCATCGACGCGGTGATTGCTGAGCTCAAGTCGCGGCGTGGCTGGATCAGTCCCAAGTTAACCAACACCCCAAACACCGACCCTACTGCCGGCGATGCGGTCCGGTTGTTGGATTATGCCTGCGGTGCCGGGACCGTGTCCAAGGTATCTAGACTAGACACACCTACCTATCTCCACCCGCCCATCGCCGACTTCTGGACTAACAAGGTGTATGCCAGGCCCTAGCTCCGTACGCAACACAAACGATCGGCCTCGACCTCTCAGCGAACATGGTCTCCGAGTACAACAAGGCCGCGCAGGAAATCTTCCGTCCCCACAGCGCCGGATTTGCGCGGATGGAGGGCTTCCAGCACGATCTCCTGGGAGATTCCAACCTCGGTACTGTCCTCCCCAGCGGCACCCTCGCGCCCTTCGACGTCATCGTCACCGGGATGGCGCTGCACCATGTTGTCGACGCCGGCGGACTGCTGCAGCGCTTCGGCCAGTTGTTGAAGCCCGGCGGGGTCTGCGTGGTGGTTGATATGGTGCCGGGGTCTGCGCGACTGGGTGACCCGGGCTCGGAGTTGATGGAGGAAGGGGGTGTGTTTGGGACGATTGCGAAGCACGGGTTTACAGAGGCGGAGATGCGAGAATTGTATGAGCGGGCCGGGATGGGGGGGTTTGACTATGTAGTGTTCGAGCAGCGGTTTCGGTTTACGCTGTTTGGGCAGGTTTGCAGTAGTCTTGGGTTTATTGCGAAGGGGGTGAAGGGAGGGCTGGCTTGAGGAGGGATAACTTATGTGGCCTGTATTCGCAGCTGCGTCTACGTCGACGTCGAGATGCTAGTTAAGCTCTAAGGGTTATATCGTGAGAGTCCAACAGTGAAGATAGTATGATTATGTCAAGTCAAATCACCCATAACTATCCAAACATTCAAGCACTCTTTCTCTTCGTCGACATCCCAACAGCCCCCAGAACCGCCACTGAAAAAAGCGCCACAGCCAAATACCATGCCGAAACCAACGCGTCGTTATAGACCACTTTCACCGCACCCATATGCTGTGCGTCAATGACCGTGTCCAAATTTGTTGCGCCGACCTCCTGCACGAGGCCCGGACTGACTCCGGGCACGGCTCGGAGAAGCCCAGTCTGCAGCCGGTTCGCAAACACCGCCTGCGCAACAGAGACGAAGATGGCGCCGCCGAACGTCTGGCAGAACGTCAAGATTGCCGTCCCGACGGGGATATCAGCCGCGGGGAGCACAGCCTGCACCGCGATGATGGGGAGCTGGATGCCCATTCCCACTCCGGAGCCCAGGAGAACCTGGTAGCCGATCCACTTCGGATGGCCCGTGTGTACTTCGAAGGTTGTCATGAGGCCTGCGCCGGCGGCTGCAAGCACGGTAGCGATATAGAAGAACGGGACGGGGTTACCCGTCGCGGTGACGCCGCCTCCCGCGACGAAAGAGAAGATCACCATGGAGAGCATGAGCGGGAGACACATAATGCCCGAGTTCACGGCAGAGGCGTTCTTGATCGCCTGGAACCAGATGGGGAGGTAGTAGATGATCGTGAAGTAGGCACCGGCGAAGAGGGTCATGAAGAGGGAGGAGAAGGCCACGGGATGCATGGTGATGATGCGCGGCGGCACCATGGCGTTGTCTTGACGCTTTCTCTGGATGGCCAGGAAGGCGATGAGGAGCACGCCGGCGAGGACGAAGAGGGCGATGATGCGCCCGTTGGCCCAGGGGAAGGTCGTGCCGCCCCATTGGAGGGCAAGCAGGAGGCAGACGATGGCCGGGAGGAAAGTGACCACGCCCAGAGGGTCCATGTGCTGGAAGAGGGTTTTGGACGATGCCTCGACTGGGACGGTGTTGGGGACGTGCAGAAACTGAAGGAGAACTACGATGACAACGGCACCGATGGGCAGGTTGATGTAGAAGCTGCCTGCGCTTAGAACATGATCAAAGGGCTCGGGGAGGTAAGTACTGACCACCATCTCCAGCTAACATGGGATGTGAATGCGCCTCCAAGTAACGGTCCGACGATGGACGAGATACCGTATATCGAGCCAAATATTCCATTGTCTGCGGGAGTGGTCAGAATAGCCCGACAGAAGCGGAATCCGAGAAAACGCACACAAAGGACGCTTCCGCGGCTCAACTGAGTAGGCGACAATCACCATGGCCCCCTGAAAGATCCCTGAGGCCCCAAGTCCGGCAATCGACCGACCTACGATGAAAGCATCCGAGGTGGGTGCCGCGCCGCAGACCGCAGACCCGATTTCGAATATGATAATGGCCGCCAGGAACACCCACTTGATCGGAAAGTAGCCGTACAGCTTTCCGAAGATGAGCTGGAACATGCAGGTCACAAGCAGGTACGAGGAGCCATACCAACCGACGTCTTCGAGGGCCTTGAACTGATCGGTGATTCTAGGGATAGCAGTGGCGATAATTGTGTTGTCCTTAACAACAACTGTCAGCCAGACATATACTGATGTAACTCTGCGCATGAACCGATCTTACTAACCAGAGCAACCAGAAAGACTGCGAGACAAAGCACGGTGAACACAGCAGCCAGGCGCAAGCCGCTCAGCTCCGTGCCCGGACTGACATTGTCAAATTCATCCTGGACGGGCTCCTTGCTGACCGGAGCCTGAAGGCCCTCCTCAACAGACATGGTGTACGTAACGAAGGTACTCAAGACAGACAAAGCGTGGTCGACTGGATTACTGATGTATCGGCTCCGATTCACAGTCCAATATGTCGCGTTTTAAGCCACTCGACGACTACGAGTTTGTCATCTAGCGAGTCTGGATCCTCCATTGATCCTAACTACTGTCCGCCTGTGCCTGGGTACCTTGGGCGTCGGTGTCTTGCCAGATTGACGCCCCCGAACAGCAGCTCCAATCGGAGGCATTAGATGCTAGGTCCCGTTCCTGCCAGGGTGACAGCTAATTGATCTGGCTCCTTACACTGGATATGGTGTTATATTAAACCCGATGACTGACGCTAGTCTATGCACGAGCGCCCCGTGGTGTACAGGTCAGCTCGATCGTAGGATGTGTAATCCAAGCGTCTAGATCGCGCTTCCACTCCCTCGAGTCCGCAATCTGGCCGTCTTCAAACCCCAGCCTCCAATTGCGGACAAGGTGAACAAGGAAAACGCGAAGGATGAGGTCAGCAACGTACTTGCCCAGGCACTGGCGAGGCCCGAACCCAAATCGCCACATATGATAGCGTAGATCGGCCCCCTTCACCCCTAGGAAACGTCCAGGCCGATATTCATGGCGATCAGGGCCCCAAAACTCGTGCTCGACGTTCAGTGCGTAGGCGTCGACAATGTAGTTTGTCCCTCCGGCAATGACATAACCATCCAGAACGCGCGCTGTCGGCGCCGCTTGGGGAACCGAGAATGCGGCCAGCGGTTTAAGACGGGACGACTCTAGGATACATGCGGCGAGATAGGTGGAACTGTCTTGCAGATACATGGGCATCGCGGGCCCCTCCGCCTCCTGCGCAGCGGTGATGTTCTCATAGAGCTCCTCCTGAACGGCCGGGTTGGCGGCTAAGAAGACCGGATTCCACGACAAACCGCCCAAGGTGACGTCTAGATTTGCAAAGAGCATCTCATCCAGCGTTTGGTAGGCATTTGCAGCTGTAATCATCCCATCGGATACTGCCGTGAACAGTTGATACACGGGCGTTGCGGTGGCACCACGCTCCCTGGCTCGGCAATAGGCGGCTTGGTTGAACGCTACCCACCGCGAGCGGAACTCCCGTAAGGCGTGGTTTGCCTCTGTGGGCAGATACTGGGACCATGTGTATCTGGCCAGCCCGCCCCTGATCACGAATTGGAACAGACGTTCCCGGAGAGGAGCCATCTGGCGCAGTTCGTCCTCCATCTCCTGCGTCATGTGTCCGTACAGGATATCTCCGACGACCAGGAACGGGAGGAATTTGAAGTCGTCTGCTGGGTTGAGCGTGCCGCGCTGCAGGGCGGTACATTTTTGGAGGTAGTCGCCAACCCTGGAGTGTATGAGATCGAGATAGTTGATGGCCTTGCTGTGAGTAAAGGCGGCTTCACAGACTTCTCGAACTCTCCGCCAATCTCCTCCACTGATGAGGCCCAGACATTGTCCCAGAACCTGTCCCATCAGATAGCCCGAGTCATTGTTCACCGCTTTGGAATGCCGGTCTGAGTCGCGGAACACCAGCTTTATATGTTCAGGCGTCTGAAGAACGCTGAATGTAGCATGTCAGTACGTGCTGCGGTGGACTGTGGAGCAGATCTCCTACACTTCTGGCGTCGTGCCCGCCCAGATGCGGTAAATCCGTCCATGCTCCTTTGCCCACTGAGCCCGGTTCTCGATGCCGTCGAGGAATTTGCCCTGATCACCCTGTCCGTTGGGCCAGCGGTAGGACCGCCCGGGAATTTGCTGGCCCGTTTCGGAGTGGTGGATGGGATACCGTCGGGTGAGATAGTACTGTCCTCGTTAGACGAACTTTCAGAAACATGAAGGTGGATGAGGCGGGGCTTCGAGCGTACATTCAAGAGGTTTGACATCAAGTCAGTTATAGCTTCATTGAGAATGTCAAGCCTCAGAACCCAGCGCCAGCCTGCATACGCCAGAACGGCCCCGAAGAGGATGTAACAGAGCTGGGACTGCTCTACCACCAGATGCCTCACGCTCTCCAGGGGATACATTTTCTCAATGATATGATGTGTTTTATCGAACTCTGCCTCCACCTACAATAGTTTTTAATGGCAGGGGATGCTGGAGGTTCTCATCCTTTTGCTTGTGCAATGCGTCCACGGTGACCGAGCAACGGGCCGTTTCCTACGGTATGACATATTTACCGAATATTCATGCTACTGATTATAGTAAACTAGTACATTGAGTTAAGGTCCGTACCAGTGGCCGTGCTACTGGGACGTGTGTTTATGTGGACTTCTTCGAGGCTAAGATCCTCTCCATGTCCTCCATTATCAACTGCTGCACGATCCCAGCTCCGACAGTAGCGCCTAGACAATTAAATCAGTTGGGAACCTCTAACTGAGGGAAGGAACATGAGGCACACTCACCAGTGCCGATGGCATTCGCAACAGCCTTCATCGGCGTCGCCGCATCACCGGCAACGAAAACACCCTTGACGTTTGTCGAGCCCAATGGATCGACAGTCTTGACATGTTCGCCCATGACAGGGTTCTCTTCGATCTCGGCCCCGAGCCTGGTGATCATAGCCTTACCAGCCACGACGGTATACGGTTTGTGCCCTAAGTATCCCAACTTGTACTCCTTGCCTCCCTCCACGACGACAGTCACGCCGATGTCCGGAGCTACGGCGGGCACCAAGCGAATGACTTTGCCAGTCTCCACATTGAACTTGAGTGCGTCCACCTTTCCGAGGGCCTCTTTCATTGCGTCATTATCGGGAATAGGCCCGTCGGTGAAGACCGTCGCCGGGCCGGAGCTGGGCGTCACGAGGAGGTTCAACATCTGCGCGAGGTGCGCATACATGGGGTTCGGAAATGTCAGGACACCCGCCGGGAGGTGAGATCGTTCATATCCATCGCAGAAAAAGCACTGGAATCTACACCAGCGTCACAATCAGCGGTGCGGAAGAGGCGAGAGCCGAAAGCGGAGCAGATCTTACATATTTTGAGGCCAATTCTCGCGATAACCCTCGATATCCGGAAACACTTCGACAGACCCCATTGCCAGGGCCAGCTTGCGCCCTGACCAGGTTCGGCCATCGCGGGCGACAACATCAAATGAAGTTGGGGACACATTCTCACCGTCTCGACTCTGTTTTATGTCCACGACCTCTGCCTCGACGAAGTCGATTGTGCCGTATTGCTTGATTTGCTCCGTCGCGATGCGGCGAAACTCAGCTGGGGGGGTACCATCTCGCGAAATCACATTGTGCATTTCCGCAGCGCCTTCGTTTCGGAAGCCTGCATTGTTGGGCTTCGTGAAAATTGCCGCTCGTCGGCGAACGCGAGCGAGGCTCAGGGCGACAGACAGGCCCGCAGGGCCGGAGCCGATGATCAAGGCATCATATGCTGCTGGGATGGTCATTTCGGGCGATATGAGGGCAGGCGTATATACCAGATATGTGAATAATGCGAATGCAGTTACCAGAGCCAGGAGCAAGCGAAGGGAAATGTGATCAAGCATAGTCATAGACAATAGTCAATTGGGCGAGACCGTATATCTTCCTCCTGCCTCACCCCAAAGGTTCTCATCGCGCCGTGTCAGCGGTCCGTTATGTGGAATCACCGGCCCGGAGGTTCCTACACTACTAAGCTAACAAATAATCCATGTTGACCTAACACTTTCACGGCCGGAGACCGCGCGTTCTTCCCTGCTCGGCCAGCATCTGGCGCTGTTCTGCCGTCCAGATTGGTTTGACCACATCACACAGCACCCCGGTAGACCCCTCTGCCTGCTCCCGGACCGCGACATCCTCCACTTGCTTCATGACTCGAAGCGTGTTTAGACCAACAATTTTCTCGATCCGCTCCTCGCTCACTCCGCGCCGGAACAGGTCCGCCACAAGCTCCGGGAACCGGGAAACATCGTCCAGGCCCAGGGGGCCCTCCAGCATGCCGTCGAAGTCGGACCCTATTCCCACATGGTCGTACCCTATGGTTTCCGCAATGTAGAGGATGTGATCAACTACGCGGGAGCCGGTAGTGTTGGCGTCGTCTGCGGAATTGACGAGGTCTCGTAGGAAGCAGACCATGATCAGCCCGCCGTTGCGCTTCAATTGGTGTAGGATCTCGTCGGTGACGTTTCGGGGGGATGGTGTTAGCGAAGAGCTGCATGGGCTGCGTTAGAAACTCATAGTAGATGATAGGGCTATACATACGACGCGGAGTGGGAGAATATCACGGGTGCCTTGGAGATTGCAATTGCATCTCTCTGCGTTGCTTCGCTTGTGTGGGAGAGGTCAACGATCCTGCCATGGACAGCCGTGAGATACTTGAGCGTAAGGGAATGGAAGCCAGTTCTTACATTCCTAGACGGTTCATCTCCCGGATCATGCGTTTGCCCCCCGTACTCAGACCATGGTGAACTGGTGTGTCTGTCTACTGCATCGTGAGTCTCACACTATTCTCGCCTTGTGTAGAGCATACCCACCGCCGAATCACAGTATCGATTGTTTTTTGTATGACACAGTGTTGCATACCGCACTCCTAGCTTGTGCATCATCCGTAGGGCACTCGGACTGTGTGCGATCTGGTGGAGACCTTCGATTCCAATGAGGCTAGCAATGCGGCCTGCACGGAATATTTTCCAGACGTCGGCGGCGCTCTGCGCCAGACCAAATACATCGGGGTGTTCGCTCACCATGCGGTGGATTACGTCGATTTGCTGCAGGGTTTGACGCAGGCATTCTAGGTAGGCTTCATCAGACTCCTTATCTGAATGCACCGGGCTGACGGGGAATGTATTAGCATTCTGATCATCCCGTGGGTATGGTATAGGTAGTCGAACTTGGGTACATAAGCGCTCCAGAACTGCCCTCCCACGGAGCCCTGACGTAGCCTGGAGATGTCGGTTTGCCCAATGGGCAAGTCATTCAGGCTTGCTCTTGTGAGATTGTTCTGATAAAGCCCGCGGATTATAAAGGGGAAGTCGTTGTGTCCATCTCCCCTCAGTTAGTCGACGACAGTCCGAACCGACGGGCCGGCTTACCAATAAGTGGTACCCTACAAAGCAGCTGTTGCGCCCGCACTAGGTAGGGGTTTTGATTCAAGTCCGTGGTCATCGTATCTATCACTTGGGATGGAATCGACTGCGCTTGGGCAAATGAACCACGTGAAGGGAGGTGGGAGGTCCTCCACAACTATATAACCACCGGAATCCACTTTGCGGGCCGAAAAACAATTACTCTAACATCCATCCCCTCGACTCCAGATTTTAGAATGGACATAGTCATGATACCCCCACATAAAGCGATACACTGCCACAATCACCACTCCTACCCACCTCGGACAATGGCCTCTTTCGTTTGTGCTGACCTTCGTCAGCCGTGCCAGCCCTCGGATTACCCGTCGCCAGAAAACCAGAAAGGTCCAGCTGCCGAGTCGCGCTCTGTAAGTCAAGACTGGGGTGTATACTGGCAGTGACTGTAAGAAGCCTTGATACGGCTGCGGCAGATGGAATTCTTTGGCACCGTCGAGGATCAAACCCTGGAAGTATTCAGCCTAACCCACCGACGTTGATGCAATATAGTGGAGTGCGTTTACCATATATCGTTTGCTCGACGCTCGATTGGGCCTGAAAGGGTATTTTGCCTTCAGCGTGTAAGCCATGATCTCTGCTTGTTCTTCGGCGGAGTCCAGGACCCTGGCATGCACGATTATCTCCTCGTATCCAACTCCGGCACCTTCAGTGACCACCAGGCGCCGGTAATCATCTGCCGTAAGGAGATAGGCAACGCCGTGAACTGGCGGAATCGGTTTATCTCCAGAAACCTCATTTTCGAGCAGATGGGCTATGCTGGCAAAGGCGGGTTCTGCGTAGGGAATGCCGAAGATGTCAAAGCAAAGCCTATAATCAGGCACAATGACGGCTTGCATTTTGAGAGGCGTAATCCCGCGGCCCTTCATCACCAAGGACCTCATGTTGGACCCGTAGGCAAAATACCATATACCTTTGGCATGTTTTCCTGTCTCACTAAAGGGCGCTTTGGGTACCTGTCGCGACATCGTGACGGCCGAGGGAAGAGACATTCTCCGGAGTGTGGACGAAGCTCCCTCATGGCCCTCTTCCTGGTTTATGTTCGCTGTCTTTTAGCTCTGCGGATCTCCACCTCTCGGCGGCTTAGACATTGGAAGACGCCGGACCGGCCGCATTCCGAGCTATATCTGTGGTACCGTCCCCGTACTCTTGAAGCCGAACAAGCTGGTCAATATGGCGAACCTCAGTGGCCTATCCAATAGATCAAGGACAACGCTTGCTTCCCTCCGAAGATTCGGGTTCCAGACTACCCAGCAAGCCAAGCCTACCGAGTCCAGCAAGACGCCCATTGACGCATCTGTGGCAGAAAACTGGTCTATTCGACCGGAGCTGCTTTCGCTTTTCCAAGAAACGCTTCAAACCGAGCTGGGAGCTCAGGTAAGAAGTGGTTGTTGCTGTTATCATGTGCGTCGATTGACTCTGCTAGCATCTGTCGTATCCCAACAGCCACCACGGAGACACGAAAACTCTCCAGGCTCTATGTACCTTCTTCAATCGGTATTTCCGGCCCCATCTGCAAGTCAAGGATAGTCATATTGCGCTTGCCTCGGGCTCAGCGAACTGCTTGACCGGCCTATTATACCATATCTGTGAACAAGGTGACGGTGTTCTAATCCCGGCGCCCTACTGGAGTAAGGCCGCGTCCCCGTATCCTGGCCCTTTCACATGGGAGAAATACCAACACGGTCTCTGCAGATGGCTTTGACTTCCATTTCGGTGTCCGCGCACAGGTCAACCCCGTTGCCGCACCCATTCGCGATCTCCACGATGCCTTCAATCCAGATGGACTGCTAGAATCGCTAACGGCGGCGTTTGATACCTCGCCATATCCGATTCGCGCCGTTGTACTCACATACCCTGGAAACCCACTCGGCCAATGCTGCTCAGCAGAGGCTCTCCGCCGCTGCGCTAAATTTTGCCACGATCGTGAGCTTCATCTGATCTGCGACGAAGTCTACGCGCTGTCGTACTTCGGGGCAGCCGACTCCGAAGCAACTCCGTTCCAGTCTATCGTCAGTTTTGATCTCAATGCTATGGGGTGCGATCTTTCGCGGGTCCATGTCGTTTGGAGCATGAGTAAGGACTTCGGATGTAGCGGGCTACGATTGGTAAGTCTTGTTCATTGCTAGCATACTGCTGGCCAGAGTCAATATGGCCATCAAATTAATAAGCTCCGGCCCAGGGTTGTGTTATATCCCAGGCAAACCCAGAACTCATCCTTGGCCTGCGGGTGCCCACAAGCACGGAGGTGTCTTCGCTGTCCACGCTTTGTTCGACGGCACTCCTTACGTCTGCGACCTTACCAGACATCATTGAATTAAACGTGAAAAGACTGTTATTATCCTACAAAGCGGTAATCGCGACCCTTGAATGCCACGGAGTGGAGTATATACCAGCTACAGCGGGACTATGTGTTTTTGCTCGATTAGCGCCAGAAGCAAAGACCCCAGATGACGAAATCGGTTTTCAACATCGCCTGCGAGACAGCGGGCTGCTTGTTAGTTCTGGGAGCGCATATCATATTGGCCCTGCGCGGCTGGGCTGGTTTAGAATTACGTTTGCGTTGGAGGAGGGAGTGCTAAGAAGGGCATTGAACATTCTTGATCGCTATCTGGGCGGTGACCACACTGCTAACTAGTTAGAGAGCTTCATCAATATCATACAACTCCATGGTTAAGGGCTCCTCGGACAAAATGTACGAAGAACGAACGGCCCGGCCGCCAAAAATGCCGAAGCACCGCCTCGGCCCGATACGCACTGCTCAAATGCCAGGTGTATGTAAGGCCCTGATTTGGCGGATTCAGACGACCGAACAACGTGAGACAGAAAAAAATGGAACCCACCCTCAAGATCCTCGGAGCATCGCTCCAGGAGGCTCTCTCGCAGCTCACCGGACCACTGAACAAGGAGCGGCTCGCGGCGCTCCACGACCACAGCGAAGGAAGACTTGTGGATGCAAACCTGGGTGAGGCGGCAGCTTATACGATTGATTTACTGCATCAAGTGGAGCAGTTGCTTGAGCCGTCGTCTTTGGTACTGGCTGACCATTTTCTCGGTGAGTAACGCAATGCACCCTGTCCGATGAGCATAGCGTTCTGAGAACGTCCAGGATATCTCAACACCAAATGCCTCTGCGCCGCTGTCGAGTTCCACATCCCCGACCTTCTGGTTGAGGGCCCGAAATCTGTGTCGCAGCTGGCTCAATTATCAGGCGCCAGAGCCGACAGACTCGGACAAGTTCTACGACTTCTTCGGAACAATGGGATCTTTCAGTACGACACAGAGAATGCCACGTACAGCAACAATCCGACATCGAGCATGCTGCGCAGCGACCACTGGACGCAATGGCACAATTGGGTCGACCTGTATGGGAACGAGTTCTACGACATGGCACGGGGAATTCCAGCATCTCTAAAACAGGGCACAACTCGAACACCAGCGCAGATTAATTTCAATACGGACCAATGTATGTTTGATTACTTTACGGCCCAGGGATGGCTGCCTCGGTTGCACCGGACTTTGGGCGGCGGTGCCACTGCGCAGGCACCCGGCATTCTGGCCGACTATCCCTGGGAGGACTTTGGAGACGGGCCCTTTCTGGATATCGGGGGCGGCGAAGGTGCCCTGATTGCGCTGATCCTCCGGAGACATACTCGCACCAAGGCAGCGTTGCTGGACACGCCCCGGGTCATCGAGCATGCGCGGACACTCTTCCTGTCGCCGGATGGGAAGTACGCGGATGTTGGAGACCGGGTCCAGGAAGTAGGGCTCATAGCGGGAGACTTTCTTGAAAGCGTCCCCAGCTTCGAATTCTACACTATGAAGTGGTGCCTGCATGACTGGGATGATGTGAAGACAGCTAAGGTGCTCTCCAACATTCGCGAGGCTATACGGGTGACCCCTGAGAGTAGGCTAGTGGTGCTGGAGTCGATCTTGGCTGATGGCCGGAGCAGTAGGCTCTCGCGCTACGGAGACCTGACTATGATGGTGAGTGCGGACGGGCAGGAACGGACTGAGGCCGAGTGGCGTACTCTTGCCGGACGGACCGGTTGGGAGATCCGGACGATTCGGAAGCTGCGAGGGGCCTGGCCGTGTGCGATTGAAATGAGGCCGGTTTAGAGAGTATAAGTACTATAGACACAGAGGTATTGAATATGATTACCATTCTCGAAAAGTATACTACTGCAAAGCAGTATATATGGCTTCCCAAATCGGAGCACAGTCCATTTCCGTCAATCACGGCGACGTGGGGTATAATGGAAAAGTGATACTCTATGTCATCAAAGGTTTCAAGCGGCCATGCTATGAGCAGACTGTGGATACTAACCAGCATAGCCGATGAAACGTCGTACATCAACTACATCAAGCCCCTCATACTCGCACACGAACTGGAGATCCCTCATGTACTCTCCGTAATCGACACGAAGGACGAATGGTTCTACCGCATCCACCCCGAGCGCATGGTCCCATCGCTCAAGGATCAGGATCCCGAGACAAAAGCAGAGGTGATTGTGTTTGAGAGCACCGCCTGTCTCCAGTACCTTGCGGACCGGTTCGATGACGGGACATGGACCGGACGGAATGCAGCGGAGCGAGGATCAGTCCTCTCGTGGACAGCATATCAGACCGCCGCACTAGGGTACATTCCCGGAGCTTTCCCACGTATTCGCGTACCTTGGTGTCCGGAGCTGATTGTGCACTCTGAGCAGGCCGACGGCAAAATATTGGCTCTACTTCCTCCGGGGATATCCGACACGCCAAAGCCCCGTTCAGCTGCCACGAACGATACAGAAGTATGGCTTGAGTGGGACTGCTAAAGGCATGGAGCTAATGAGTCCAGACTACACGAAAACTGTCTCCGGCAATGGGATATCCTGGAAAAGCGGCTTGCTAGGGATGGACAGGAATACATTGCCCTGAAGGACCGCCCGACCATAGCGGATCTGTCGTATTTCCCCTTCTCAATGCCGTGGATGTTCCAGTTCCTCGGTGTCGATATTAAAGATTGGCCTAGCATCGAGCGATGGAGCCAGCGCATGCTAGCACGGCCAGCCGTCCAGGCCGTTATGGAGATGGGGCCGCAGATCGGACACTAAGCCTCTGTCATCGAGGGTAGATTGGATAGCATCTCTGAATGAAAGCAAAGTGCCACCGGTCCGAACGCTGCGTTGGCCATAGGAGCATAATAGAATGATTTCTATAATAGATTACCACTACAGGATGCACTGGGTGATCGTATGTTTCATATTTCCTACGCTAGGCCACCATACTGCTCATCATTGCAATGTCTTTGGCTTCACTGGACCTGAACGCGCTATGGCTGGAGCACTCCGCGGTGATCGCCACCTTGTTCGCATTTGGGACTGCGCTGTTCTTGGTTTCCAGGTCCCAGAAACAGTCCTTGAACTTGCCTAGATTCGAGGTGACCAACGACGTTCTGAAAACAATCGAAGAAGCTCATGCTCAAGTAATTGCCCAATCTCCCATAGCCATCCCACCAGCAATCTCTAACCCGACCAAAGTACCCAGATGACCCCTTCATCCTCTCCATGGTGGGCATGGAACTCGCCATCCTCCCACGATCCGGAATAGACGTGATCAAAACCCTCCCAGAAGACCAAGTATCCATCAAGAGACACCACCACGACGTCTTCCTCGGCGAATACACATACATGGGGACAAAGTCCCCCGAGTTTGACGAAGCAATGCGCTACGATCTCACGCGCAACACACCTACTGTCCTTGCATCATTCGTGGCAGAAGTGCAATACGCAGTCGAGGACAGCTTTGGTCGACCGGATCAATGGACCGCATTCCAGCCACGGGCTTGTATGTCGAAGATCGCTTCGCTCATGTCCGGGCGTGCCTTTGTCGGTCTCCCGCTTAGTCGCGACAATACTTGGGTCGACGCGACGGTGAGATATACGCAGGATGTCACCCGTGCGTGGTTAGTGTTGCGGACGATTCCCTGGGTCCTGAGGCCGTTCGTTGCGCCTTTCTTGCCGCAGGTGCGGTCGCTGAAAAACCAGCGTCGTATGACCGAGGAGCGTCTCACGCCGTTGCTTGACCCGTCTAATGCCAAAAACCGGGACGAGATCCCCGGAGGAGACATGCTGCGCTGGTTTCGACAGCGATATCCCCAAGGACCGACCCCCAAGCAACTAGCTCGCGACCAGCTTCTGGCAACATTTGCGTCGATATACAACCTGTCCAATGCGCTATCGTACCTCCTTTTCGATCTAGCGACGTACCCGGAACACATTGAGCCGTTACGACAGGAGCTGCAGGAAGTACTGAAGGGCGAGCCGGTCAACAAAGAGAATATACAGAAACTGAAGAAACTAGACAGTTTCATTCGAGAGTCCCAGCGACTCAGCCCCCCTTCTCTCGGTAAGCCCCAACGGAAACAAGATGCGATGAATTCTGACACAGGACAGCGAACATGCCTCGAATCGTCACCAACCCGCGTGGACTGAAACTTCCCAGCGGCCACACGATTCCTTGTGGAATGCGCATCATGGTCCGCGCGCACACCCTCAATCTCGACCCCAATCTCTGGCCAAACCCAACTCGATTTGACGGATTCCGGTTCTCCAAACTCCGAGAGATACCTGGAAATACCTTCAAATATCAGCATGCGACAACCGGAACCGACAACATCAACTTCGGTCACGGATTGTGGGCTTGTCCGGGGCGGCATTTTGCAAGCAGTCAGATGAAGGTGGTTCTAGCGCATTTGCTGTTGAATTATGACATCAAGTTGCCGAATCGGATGGAAAAGCCTCAGCAGCAGCATTTTGGGCTGGCCATTGTGCCTGACACGGAGCAGATGGTGTTACTTAAGATAAGGGGCTAGGGTCGTAGATCGTTACGCTTATGTAGAAAGAGATTGCAGAGGGACTTGGAATTTAGCATGCAATGGAATATGTGCGCGGTACTACCGGCCTCTACACGTAGTAAAAATGACGATGGTGCTGCAGCTTCCACTTCTTGGGTCATATAGCTCCGACGTTAGTGAACACGTAAATGTACAGACAGTGTCCTGCCCTGATAGATTCCAAGAGTCTCGTGTGCAGTCCCTGAGGTTGCCTGCATAATGTGGTATATTGATGCAGTAGGATCTAATACCCCAGGAGGGATGGAGAAGATACATGCTACCATACGACATATTGCCGGCAACCGTGTCGGCCGGTGACCAGATGGCTCTGTTGATGCCCGTACGGGTTACATCGAGAGCAATAGATGCCGCTGTGACTGTTGTAATCGCGCCGGTTGTTCTGGGCTCCTATGTTGGCCGATGAGCACCTGGATAACCGGAGTATCCTTTAGACTAACCGGGGAGAGGCGTACTCGGAATATCGGTCACAATTGTCGGACCGGAACCATTGTACACCTCTTGGTGGACTATTCTCTAAGGGCCGATAGGGGCGTCGTAATCTAGGGCCATATAGGCAGCACCAGATGATGACATTGTTGCACTCAAGCACCTCATTCCTGGACAATCCTTTCGAATCTCCCTGGATTTGGCGCTCCATTATCTCTGACAATGCAAATCAATATTCGCAATGAGATTGCTCGTGAGCTCAATGTCCCAACCACCGAGCTGGATGACTCGCTGAGCTTTACCGCCCTGGGAGGCCACTCTCTGTCTGCCCTACGTCTGGTGTCTATCTGCAAACGAATAGGCCTCTCTCTGGCTGTTGGCGAATTGTTGCATGACATACCCATCAAAGATATCATCTCCCGATCTACGGGGATGTACGACACAGCAGGCAGCCTGCCCATCCTGGAGAACACAGACCCTAGCCACCCAGACGTCAGCTTCAATGCCATTATAACTCCCTCTCCTAGTCCTTCTGGCCCTTCTACCGGGTGCCCGACACCAGACACCCTCGACACGACCGACTCGCAAGATGCAGACAAGATATCGATTCCGGAAATGCAACTGTCCCTGATACAATCCACACTCGCAAACCCCGGCAATAATATCTTAGCCTATCACTACATGTGCTCCTTGGCAGACTTACCGGCTACGAGGATGGCCTGGCAACAAGTGCTAGAGGCAGAATCGATCTTCCGGACAGAGTTCAGGATAGAGCATGAGGGGGGCTATCTTGTTGACACGGGCTTTACTCCTTACCGATGGAGGGACACTCAGGTACCCAACTGGGAAGCATTGCATGCTGAACGCGATAAACGTCCAAGCTTCGATAATGTCGCGTTCGAGTTCCAGGTCATCACCGTTGCTGGAGACAACTCAGTCGCTTGTATTCTGTGGCATGTGCATCACTCCTTCATTGATGGATTCTCTATGCAGTTGGTTATGCGAAAAGTCTCCCGTGTTGTGGCTGGTCACCCTGTAGAGGCTGGTCCATCGTTCGCTACTGTTGCCTGGGAAAGAGACCAGATAATCAAGGAGCGTGAAGCTGATGCTCGGCGGTATTGGAAGTCACAAAAGAGAGTCCTGGAAGCCGCCGCAAGCGAGATACGAATGCCCCGTTGCGATTTTGCGCCTCGGTCCATCGAGTTCTGGAACAAGGTAGCTACATTTGTGATCGATGTTGCGCAGTCCGACCTCTTGGGCTACGCGGCCCGTCACCATGTCACTGTGCCGTCGGTATATTATGCCGCGTGGGCCCTGGTACTGTCCATCATTTGCGACTCCAACCTTGTTCTACTGGGCGTGGTTATGTCGGGCAGGTCACTACCTGTGCCTGGCATTCTCGATGTCATTGGGAGCCTGGTAAACACCCTACCGATGGGGGTTGAAGTCGAACTTGGTATGGATACTGTTGGTTTCATCAACAGAGTGTTCAGGCAACTTGTACAGCTATCATCCTTCGACTGGAGCCCACCCGAGCATGGCTATCGGCGGCAGTTCGCTTCGGTACTCGCCATGCAGTTTGACGTCGGAGGTCACACTGGGACAACAAACGAGCCATCGTCACGTATGAACAGTGAGATTCCAATAAGCATTACTGTGGAGAGCGATCAGGTAATTCATCTGCAATTTGCTCCCGAGTACCAGGAGACCCAGGTTCAGCTCATGGGTACGCTTTTCACTCGGGCCATTTCGTGCCTGGTAAGACAAAATTATACGATATCCATGTGCTTAGAAGACATGCTATCGATATCAGATCGACAAACTCTTCTAAGCTACGGAAATTGTCTATCCGGCCTCACTACTGAAACATCCGTCCATGACGATCTAGTTGTTTTGATGAAGGCTGCGGCCGCCGAGAACCCTGAAGCCTGCGCCGCACGCCTGGGAGCACAGTCAATGTCGTACCAGGAGCTTGACAGGTGGAGTGACTGTGTAGCTGTACATTTGAGCATGTATATCGACAAGGGGGCTGTCGTTTGCGTCCATGCCAGCCCATGCATGCACTGGCTCGTTGCTATATACGGAATTCTCAAAGCGGGTGGTGTATACTGTCCGCTGAACAGCAAGCTCGACCCTGAGCTCAGGAATAACATGTTCCAGTCTTCTGGTGCTGCGATTTACTTGACACCTTCAGCCAGTGAGACGAAATACCGACCCAGGGCTAGCCGGTATGTCTGGGCCGTGGAGGATCTGCTTCAGCGGCAAGACGACAACAACCAAGATGAGTTCGATCACATTCCTCGCGCAGAAGGAAATGCGTATCTGTGTTTCACATCGGGCTCAACCGGGAAGCCCAAGGGCGTGCTATGTACCCACCGAGGCCTAGTTGCATTCCAAAGAGACCTAGAGGTCCGCCTGCATGCACAGCCGGGACGAAGGATTGCTCAAACAATGTCTGTCTCGTTTGATGGGAGTATTCACGAGATATTCTCTGCGCTGAGCTACGGAGCAACACTTGTCCTGCCAACCCCCGAGGACCCATTTTCTCACCTCTACGATGTTGATAGTTGCATTTTCACGCCCTCGTTGGCTGCAACTTTGGACCCGAGTGATTACCCAAACCTTTGCTATGTCAGTATTTTTATCCTCTCAGGGCTCAAATCACCTGCTGACCATTGCTCCATTAGGTATACCTTGTTGGCGAGCAGGTTACACAGGATATCAACGACCGCTGGGCTGCATCGGTGGCCCTGTACAACATGTACGGTCCAACAGAAGCCACATGCGGTGCGTCAATCAAATGCCTACTTCCTGGACGTAAGGTGACTGTCGGACGTCCTAACCCAACAACGCGGATTTACATCCTGGACCGGAACGGTCGTCTAGCACCACCAGGAGTCATGGGCCAGATTTACCTTGCAGGCGTCCAGGTGTCCAACGGATACATAGGCCAATCGGACTTGACAAATGAACGATTCTTCCCTGATTCTATCTGCTGCGGACTTGGAGAACGAATGTATGCGACCGGTGATATTGGATACTGGGACGGAGATGGTGACCTCATCTGCCTGGGGAGAAATGATCGGCAGATCAAATTACGAGGTTTCCGGTTGGACTTGGACGATCTTGAAGTTCGCATCTCGAAACTCCCCGGCGTCACCAGGGCGGCTGTTTCGCGGCGTGGAGATGATCTGGTGGCGTTGGTGCAGCCTGCAACTGCATGTGCAGCCGATTGCCGGAAACACATGGCCGCCGTTCTCCCAACGCATGCCATCCCACGGTACATCATTCCGGTGGAGCGGTTCCCTATGACGCCAATAGGAAAGTTGGACTACAGGGCGATTGCGCAGACTGCGGATGTGAGGTATAGCGCGACGCCGTCAAATGAGATGAGTCCCACGGAGCAGCGTGTTGCTGCTATCTGGGCCGATATATTGAATATGGACAGAGCCCAGATCTCCCGAGATTCGAACTTTCTTGCGGCCGGGGGGCATTCCCTGTTACAACTACGGCTAGCCGGCCGTCTGAACAGAGCGTTCAACTGTTCAGTTCCCATCACCGACTTAGTCAAGGCTGCCACCCTGCGCGATCTATCTCAGAGGATAGACAAACTGCAGGAGCAAGCATGCTGGAAAGCGCAACGGCTTCCTCCCAAAATGGACAAACGAGCTATCTCGCGAATGGAAAGAGAATGGATATCGAAGTACGAAGGTAACACTAGCAATACGTCGTTCACTGTGTCTTTCGCTTGCCGGCTGGACTCTGCTGTTGACTTAGCCCGTTTGAAGCAGAGCTGGGACTCTGTCATGGAAGCGCATCAGGTCCTCAGGTCCCGGTATTGTGCCTGTGCAGAAAGATATGAACGGGTATTCTCAGACCATGCACCTGTTGCTCAACGGATCGCCGAATGCCGGGTGTTGGAGGAGATAAACCGTCCCTTTGATCTCGCCAATGACGACTTAGTTCGAGTCGTCATCTCACCGGATACACTGCTAGTCACTATAAGCCATATCATCTGCGACCTGACCACCATGCAGCTTCTTCTAAGTGACGTGGAGCGGGTTTATGACGGTGCTGAACCACTTGGCCACCGCCCGATGTATATGGCGGCGGACGCATGGCAAAGAGTGGCGGCCGACGCCGATCTCGCATTCTGGACATCATATCTCCAAGACTGCCCCCACTCAAAGGCAAAGCGAGAGAGTTATGCAGGAACCTCCCGGGTGGGTATAGTTCCTCGCGAGACGGTGCTGGCCCTGGAGGACTTCATGCGAAGCTCGCAATTCAGCCACCATCAATTGGCCCTGGCAGCTGTTGCTCTGGCTCTCAAACCCAACCATGACCGTATTGATAGTGTCATTGGCGGGCCCTTCCTAAATCGTTGGTCCGAGGCCGATATGAACACGATCGGGCTGTTCCTCGAACCACTGCCCTTTCGCATCCAATTCGACCCAAAGGCTGTTCCGAATGCTGATGCCCATGCGTTCCTCCAGTCAGTGAAATGCTCCAGCCAGGCCGCTATATCCCATGCCGTCCCTTGGCAAGAACTCGTATGCCATTTGGGCGTGACTCCAGAGTTCCCAAATCACCCACTGTTCGAGACAATGGTCACCTTCCACACTAAGGGCGGAGGGCTGAGCCTCCAGATTGATGGTATTGAGCCATTGTATACATGGTCTGAGGGTGCGAAGTTCGGTTTGATGTGCGAGTTTACGACGTTGTCTAACGGGGATATCTTACTTCGGCTGGAATATGATCAGGGGATATACGCGCCACGCGACATCTCTATTATCGAAAACAGGATTATGACAGCGTTGCGTCTCTTAATCAAGAATGTCCCCTGGCTGGACTTGATCGGTGAGTTACACGAGGTAGATGGGGCGACAGTATGTGTTACGCCTGGGCACAAAGGAAGTTTGTTTCTGTCACCGTTGAAGCGCACATGATGCAGGTTATAGTTTGTTTCATGAACAAAAGAGGATATCTATCTATCTAGCCCATGATCGTTCGCTACTCTCCACGACTGAAATCAAGCTCCGTAATCGCCGCTTTAGATCCTGAAGCCATCCATCCATCGCAAGACTCGCAGGATCCGGCCCGAAGCATCCAGTCTGGAGGGGCGTGGACAGCGACTGCACCATGCGTAGACTGCGATGTAGCTCGATAGAGATAATCTGAGCACGGAATACTGTCTGCTCCTGCGGATCGAGCAGGAACGAGCCAAACCCGATCCCAGGGGCAGGGAACGGCCCATTTGCACGCCCTACTGTCACTCCAGGTAGGCGTCTCCGGGTATACCCAAAGGGAATATTGCTATGTTGTGTGTCGTCGGACATTGACGGTCTGTTCCCACTACTGCAGGAAGAGTATAACTCACTACAGGCTTCTTCGAAGAGGCAAACGACGTGATGTGCAGCGGCGACAACAACAATTGAACTCCCAATGCTGCTGGTGCACTTGGTGCTGTTGATCAATTCACTTATTCTCTGCGTGGCCTCTTTATTGACTCGAAGGACATCGTCGATCGCTGACAGGCCCGCGCACATTCGCTCCTCGAGCTGCTCCACGATTTCGGCGGCGGCGATAACCACACCTTTGCTGTCGTTAGAGAAGCACTGCCGTCTGCAGGGCGATCGGGTCATTGGGGACGTCTGCCAAGCTGGGACGCTCCGGGTACGCTGTCTGGTCGCTTCATTGAGTCCGTGGGTTCCCGTCTTCGTACTATGCTCCGCTGCCTGCGTCGGCTGCTGCGTCGGGGAGATGGAACGATAGTCCGACAAGTCGATCGCGGAGTCGAAATGAGGCCGCGCTCCATGTTCCTCGACATTCATCTCCCTCGATGTCGGACTGGGTGCGATCTGGGGAGCAGCGGAACATCCATCCGGAGAGTCCAACAAGAAGTCCAAGACAGGGAACTCGGACATTGCCCCAAGTACGGCCTCATCAGACAGAGACTGGGACACAGTCCATATGTATTGGTTGAGATGCTCCGAATTGGCGCTGCTGTTTGCTGGCGACACGATAGCTTCGCCCAACGAGTCCCCAGCATCCGGTATGTCCGCCAGTGTAGTCCTATTCTCATTCTGCGGGACTGGTGCCACCTGGCCCGGTTCTGCAGAACCTAGCTGGTCTCTTTTCCTTCTTCCCCTCGTCTTTCCTACCCGAGACTCCAGATAAACGCATTCGTGGCCCAGTGTACGACACCGCGTGCACCCCGCCTTGTCACCGCTACAACGCACTTTGGCCGCATGGCAGCTCGTGCAGGCTGCCCGCAGACGTCCCGGCTTGCATGGTCGCCGCTCGGTCGGAGAACTGTCTTGTGAGTTAGGCTATGCAGGAGTCGATGTGCTGGAGAATTGAGTGAATCTAGAGCACTCACCGTGAAGTGGTTCTATCGAACATCGCGGTCCGGATTTTCTCAACAACTCAAACATGAGGCCAAGTGGCACTTCAGTTGCGCCAGCCTGGCAGAAGTAACAATTGAGCAGAAGGCCTAGCCATTGATCAACTTCTTCATGATGCACGGCACTCTTCCACCAACACGACCTTTCGATCCTGCCTGGGTACCTTGGAGCCTTTCCTTAAGTTCTTTGTGGACAGTTCAACGAGCGACCCCACGCTGACAATCTACAATACCCTTGATTGTTGGTTTTGGCTTTGGTTTTGGCCCCAAAGGTTTCAACCCCCTGGAGAGACCTCGAAGTGTCTTCAGGTGACTGGCTCCAGGGCCGAGCAGAAACCATAAGGCCTCCAGGAGGATGGTGGGAGCACATTGGATGGAGTATCCTGTACTAGTAATTTTCAATAAACGTTGAGCAACGCTAGATCTTGGCTTTGCACTCCATATCATTCTGTTGTACGGCCAAAACCGCGCAGATAGAGTAATCGAGGGATGTCCCGAGCATACGCTGATTTAGCTACATGGATACCTCACAGTCAACCTAGGCCCCGGAGATGTATGCCTCTGTCAATCGCCTGCGTGGGCTATGCGTCCTCGAGTCCTCCCTCGACCTTCCACCTCCGGATGGTCTCAACAACGGTGCGTGCCGCGCCTAGCGCCAGCTGCGCGTACTCTCTCTCGATTTCCTTCGCCCTCTCACTGCCCGGCTCCACATCAGGAACGTGGAGTTCGTAAACAGCAGTCAGATACAGAGCATCTGGTCCATCGTCCTCATGGCCACCGCGAGAGATGAGCATAGTGCTCCTCGCGCCGGAGCCCACAGTAATCGCTTCCGTCTATGCATCCGAACACCACCGAGCGGACCGATCGATCAGCCAACCATCTTGATGCAACAGAGTGACACGAGGCTGAGCATGCGTGCTCCACTTACCAGGAGTCCATCCGCATTCCGCACATCCTGCAGCAGCTCCACCCCCTTGGCCGTATGCACCGCGCCGTTTGCCATGATGAGTTTCCGCTGGAACTCGTTCGCGGACTTGGAGTTCGGCAGGACCTCGGTGTCCGCGACGTATTCGGCGAACAGCTGAGGCTTTTCGCTGCCGCGGTGGAGGCCGCGCCAGAATTCTTCCAGGGTGAGCGTTGGTTGCGACGGGTCTTTGTTGATGGGCACCGAATACGCGATGTTGAAGGTGAACGAGGTGGGTGTAGACATTATGCCGGTATATATCTGAATTTGGTGCTGTGGTGTTGAGTGATCTGTGGTTTTTCCGAATGTGCTACGAGATGCTGCTCGGACCTTCTATATAGTGAGACCCGGAAATGGAGGTTTAGCAGCGGGCCGATTTGGTAGATAGGGCCCGGATGGAAGTTGGCACCTTGGGGCCCCATGATTTTATTATATGTTCGTGTCTACGTTGTATACGCACCAGATGCAGAATTTTCGTATTCTTCCTATAGCCCCAAATCGGCATCTAGACAATGCACCCACAGGATGACCCAACTGGCGGCCTTGCCAGGAAATGGATGGCTAGACTCATCGAGCAATCGCGAGAAGTCTCCCCAACGGTCTTCTTGAAATGGGCCGCATTAGTTTTGATCGTTCGAGTGCGTTCAGACCCTGCATGTTGTTCAAATAGTATTGACTCCCTCGGCTAGTTCGTTACCGTCGTGGTATATCGTCTCTTTTTCCACCCATTGTCTAAATACCCCGGGCCCTTCTTCTGGCGTATCAGTATCCTGCCCAGCCTGTACTACGCCTGGACAGGGGATCGGCATCTTGTTGTGGACAAGCTGCACAAGAAATATGGTACGTCTGGCTTGCAGCAAGTGGACGATGTGTTGCTGACACCATTGTAGGTAAGGTACTACGGATGGAGCCCAATTTGATCTCGATATGTACCCCAAATGCGATAAAGAGTAAGACGCCGGTCAACTTTGCGATATCAGAGGGCCGAACTGAAGTGTTCTGGCAGCGATGTACGGCCCGGGAACCAAATTCGAAAAGGCCATGTTCTACACCCGCGGCCCCAAAGAGAAGCAGTTGCTCGTGGTATGTCCTACTGGCTTTACCCTCGAGTAGCAACAGGCTCTGAAACCCGCAGAACCTAGCGAGTACCACCGACAAGGCCGTGCACGCGCGAAAGCGACGCATCATCTCGCATGCATTGAGCGAGGCCTCGATTCGATCTTACGAGGTGACTATTCTCGACAAGATCCAGCTGTTCTGCAAGCAGCTCAGCGATGCCAGCACTTTCGGCGGACCCTACAAGAATATGTCGCGGTGGTTTTCGTACCTCACCTACGACATCATGGGACAGCTCACCTTTAGCCAGAGTTATGATATGCTGACCAAGGACGACCACCACTTTATTCAGCCGCTGATTGACTCTTATCAGCATAGCCAGGTGATTGTATAGGGGCCATTCGACACCGACACGAGGCATCGGCTGATGAGTTACAGTTAGGGACGGAGCCGAAGTTGGATCAATGGGGCCTCGCACCTCTCCTGTTACTCCGGATCATGGCGGAGAACAAAAAGTTTCGGAGGTACGTCGACGACCAGGTGAACCATCGCATTGCGCTTGAAAAGGCCGGCCAAGGGCCCCCCGATATATTCAAGCTTCTGCTGGAGCATAAGGACAAAGAGACTGGAGAGAGCATGGGATTCAAGGAGCTTTCCGATGAAGCAGTCGTCCTGATCATTGCCGGTAGGCGCTTCTTCTCACCCTGTGTAAATGGTTCCAAACGATTCACTCTCAACAGCCAGTGACACAACCGGCACCGCCCTCTCAGGCCTTTACTTCTATCTAGCCCGCTACCCCGAATGCTACGCGAAACTCAGCCATGAAATCCGCTCCACATTTACACAAGTCGACGAGATCGTCGGCGGTCCCAAGCTCCAAGCTTGCAGTTACATGCGCGCCTGCGTTGAAGAAGCCCTGCGCATGTCCCCCGGCGTCCCAGGGTTCCTCACGCGAGAAGCACCGAGCGGTGCCTCAATCGACGGATACTATTTCGCGCCGAACGTGCAAGTCGCTATTCCCACATGGACAATGCACCGCACCCCCGAGGTGTATCCGGATCCGCAGGTTTTCAAACCGGAGCGATGGATGGTGGAGTCAGAGGCGGAATTGCAGCGCTTACGGTCCTCGTATTATCCCTTTAGCATGGGAACGCGGGGGTGTATTGGAAAGAACATGGCGTATCATACGATCTACTTGACTGTCGCGAGGCTGGTGTTCTTATTTGAGATTGAGTCGCGAGATGAACTTCCCCTGGAGTTCCATGTTAAGGATCATTTTGCGGCGGGGAGTAAGGACGGGCCTTACTTGAAGTTTACGCGGAGGGAACTGTGACGGCATATCCAGCTTCGAAATTGTCACTAGTCATAGAAGCTGGCTTTATGTCTTGACTCTATGTCTTTCTCCTTTGGCTGCCTAGGTAATTTCTAGCTGTTCGCGTAGAGACTTCTCAAAATATGTTCTTGCGCAAAACAACCGACAGCATAACAGACCCCACGCAAGCATCAAGACAAAGAAATGGAATACAGCCACTCACCGGCTTCCCAGTATAGCCCGTATAGGCCCCAATCTAGATTGCCCCCAAGGTTCCCTCTTCGGCCCGTTGGCGGCAACCGTGATATGAACGGTCCGCAAGGCGCTCTTGGCCATGACTCCCCAGGTGCTCACGATGGATCCCGGCATGGTTTGCCTTGGGACACCGGGAGCCGCGACAGGCCTGCTAATAGTACTAGAGGGAGATGGTATCCCTGCGCTAAAAGACTTGAAATATGCTCGTCGCGAAGACATCGCAATGTCGTCCCAGTCGTCAGCGGAAAAGAATCCGGAAGCTGCCTCGAAAGTCAGCCCAGGCAGTTCCAGCCATGAGGGCCATCACCACCTCAAGGAGAAGTCCCCTGGTGTTGCCCGCATCGAGGCTATTGCTGCCTGTCTTACACCTGTGACGCGCACCGTTCTCTTCGCTGGCATCTTCTTCCTTGGATACTCCTTTGGGCTTGACGCCGTTCTGCGCAATGTGTATCAGACCTACGCCACGGCAAGCTACGACGATCACTCTCTGCTGTCGACGATTAACGTTATCCGCACTGTTTTTGCCGCTGCTACTCAGCCGACGACCGGTAAACTTGCGGATGCCTTTGGTCGCATCGAAACGCTTTGCCTGTCAGCCCTTTTCTATCTCCTCGGCACCATCGTCGAAGCCAGCTCGACGGGGCTGGCCGCCTTCTGCGCCGGGGCAGTGTTATACACCCTGGGGTTCACCATTGTCCAGACTTTGGTGGACATTATCATCGCGGATGTCACTTCTACACGCGTGCGGCTTCTCGCCACGTACGTCCCGAACCTGCATTTCATCATCACCGCATGGGTGTCGGGGAATATCTCTTCGGCTGTCTTGGATGGAACTAGCTGGCGATGGGGGATGGGAATGTGGTGTATCATCTTTGCTGTCCTGTTGACTCCTGTCATTGGGACGCTCGTGTTCGTCAGTCGCCGTACTCCCCACGGGGCTGTTAACGCACAAGCATCTCGACGGATGCCGCTGGGACAACTGTTCTGGCAGCTCGACGTTCCAGGGGTAATCCTTCTCGTCGCCTCGCTTGCTCTTTTGCTTACCCCGTTGACCATCGCCGGGGGCGAAAGACCAAAGTGGCGGACAGCAGGTGTGATCGCACCGCTCGTGATCGGATTCTGCTGTATACCACTGTTTGTCATCTGGCAGCTACGCGCTCCACACCCACTGGCTCCCTTCCGCTTCCTGAAAGACCGCGGCGTCTGGAGCCCGCTGGCCATTGCCACGTTCATGAACTTCGCGTACATGATGCAGGGTAACTACCTCTACACGGTGCTTATCGTGGCCTTTGACTTTTCCGTTACGACCGCAACCAGAATCACAACGCTGTACATGTTCACCTCGTTTGTCGTGGGTCCGATATGCGGCCTTCTCGTCTATCGGATCCGACGCCTGAAATACTTCATCGTCGCCGGGACTATCCTCTTCCTCGTCGGGTTCGGCCTTCTTATCCGCTACCGGAGTGGCCCAGGCGGCTCCTCTCGAGCAGGTGTCATTGCCGCACAGGTCGTACTTGGTGTCGCAGGCGGGCTCGCACCATACGCATCTCTTGCCTCTCTTCAGGTTTCCCTGAAGCACGAAGCAATGGGCGTAATGACCGGTCTATTCCTGGCATGCCACAGTATCGGCGACGCACTCGGTAACAGCGTCGCCGGGGCGATTTGGACGCAGGTTCTCCCCTCAAGGCTAGCATCCAATCTATCAATCCAGCCCAATAGTGCCCTTGCGGCGCAGGTGTATGGAAATCCGTTTGCCATCGTTGCTCAGTATCCTATTGGGACCGAGGTTCGGACGGCCATTGTCGATAGTTATCAGTATGTGCAGCGGTACTTGTGCATTACCGGGATATGTCTGTCTATTCCTCTGATTGGGTTCGCGTTTTGTCTACGGAATCCGGTCCTTGATCAGAGTCAGAGCCTGTTCGAGGAGAAGGAAGAGTCAGGTCGCGAGACATTGTCGGGCCGTGATCAGTGAGTTGTGGCAATAGAAATAGCATCGTTATCAGTATTCGAATATGTATGTTCCGGTCCGTACAATCTAGCCAAAGCCTAGGACTGAAAGCTGCACCCGTCCCAGTACGCCTATAGACCGGCCGCCCATTTTTCGGAGTCCGAAGAATACTACTTCAGCTGCTTTTCACTGCCAGTCAGCCCCATCACATACCCTCCACGCAGACCCAGCTGCGAAAGCCATCTTCAACCATGGCGTTCTTTCCACTCGTCCTCTTTTTCTCCGCACAGACTCTGCTGACTGCTTGTGTCATCTGTTACACCACCAAGGGTTCTCTTTGGCGCCCCGCGGTAGCCCCCATCGTGCTGTACTTCGCCTATCAAACATGGCTCGCTCTCGACTTCTTCAACCACAATCAGCTCATGAATCCGATGACGGCCGGCTTCGTCGCAGGCTTCGGACTTCACCATCTGAATTTACTATGTGCGTCACCACTGGACCTTGGCGATATCCAGCGGGATATGATCGCAAACACCAAGTCCGTCAACAAGGACACCATGCCCACGACCGCCGCTTTTCTCAGGGCACTGTACATCCTGACAACCCTTCGGGGAATCGGCACATCACATGAAGTCCGGAACATCAAACATGGGAGCGAATCGTCCGCATCGCGGGCCAGGTTTCTCCTCCACACACTCGTCATTATCGCAGCGAAATACCTGGTCCTTGATATGATGACATTCCAGCCACCCTCGCCCGAAGACACGGATCGCATGTTCGGAGAAGGGAAGGAATACCTGCTCTTTCGACCGGACGGTCTGCCGCCGCCCAAAATGCAGGATATCCTTACCAATCTAGGCGTGACTCTTCTCGGCTGGGGCCCCATCGGCAGTTGGTTTATCGAGGTCCACTATCGTATTCTGTCGGTGGCCTCCGTAGGACTCGGTATCTCGCAGCCTCATCAGTGGCCACCTCTCTTCGGCTCCATTACTGAGGCGCATACTCTCCGGCGATTCTGGGCGTGGGTGCTCCCCATCCTCACCTCCTATACGTCCAAGCATGGCTACCGACTAACCAACCCGCCCTAGAAACTTCTGGCACCAGCTCTTCCGATGGCCGATGCAGGGACTCTCCTCGTTTCTCTGCCGAGATGTCCTCCGTCTCCCCCGTCCCTCCCTCGCAGAACGGTACTTGAAAATAACACTCGTCTTTGCAATCTCATCTTGTCTCCATCTCGCCATCGACGGACGAGCTGGCATTATGCTTCCCCGATCCGGCGCACTGCGGTGCTTTCTCCTTCAACCGGTCGGTATAATCCTTGAAGACGGAGCGCAGGCACTTTATCGACGGCTGCGCGGAGATGCGCCACTGTCGAAATGGACGAGAGCCGTCGGGTATATCTGGACATGGGCGTTTTTGTCACTCGTGGCGCCGATGTATAACTTCCCCCTGTTCCGGTATCAGGACCCGGCAAGAAATGGTGTTCCCGTTCCGGTGCTTAGACCGGCGATGGAGTATTTTAGGGTGAAGGGGTAATCCGTCGAGAATATTGGTGGGAGACCTCCCGCGCCAACGGTTACAGCCTACCGATTGGAGCCAGTAGCTTCTCTACTTCGTTTAGATTGGCGTGTGCCACTATATCAGTCAATCACAATCAGGAATATCCTGCCCTTTTCGCTGAGCAATCTCAACAGCTGAATTATATAGCGGATTATCCTGGGACGGAGGTTCTACTACATGTTTTTTGACGGGTGCGGGACTTATTTTCGTGGTTACGAGGTACCATGGGAGATTCACAAGGTGACGAGGCGAGCGCTATGACTGCATATAGTCTGATTTCTTATCTACTTCATGCAGTGGTCATCTACACAGCATCCAACTGTCTCTCTGGCGGATCGACCAACTCCAGGTTCCGTGGTTGAGGACCACATCTTCTCTGACCAGTCGGACAACATATACGAATGAATACCTGAAGGGGCGTCAAGAGATTGAAGGCCTCGCCGTCCATTGCAGTGACGTTGCGATTGTTGAAAAGGGTCGGGGATCCTGAACGTGCCAACTTTCATCTTGACGTCGCCTTTGGTCTGCGAAACCGGACGCCAAAGAGAGGCGTGCTCAAATCGTGGCTGACGGAGCTGCTCGTTGGCTCCACGCTCTAGCAGAATGTAGTAAATCTCACCCGGGGGGGCCGGGGGGGTGCACGCTTACCTCCCTGTGGGCACTCAAAATTATATAATTATTAGATAAGCACAGTATATTAGAAATTTATAATATCTTATACAGTAAAACCTGTATAAAAGCAACTAATTCAGACCGCCGAAAAAGTTGCTTGTAACAAGGTATTGCTTATAGCCAGGTCCATATAAATATATATTTTACTAGGGGGATAACCCCCCAAGATATATATTTCTACCCTACCTCTACTAGTCACATAATTATTATATAATAATATAATATTTTAGGGCAGATTATTGGCTATTGAAACCCATATTTTCTAATTAAGCTATTTCCTATAAGCAACTTTGTATAGGAGAGGGGTCTTTTCCAAGCGACGACCTTATATCTAGGTTTGTTGCTTATTTGTATGGGAAATCAATGAAAACGCGAATTTTTGTTGCTAATATCGCGGGATTCCTTATATAGGCTGTTGCCTATAAACAGGTTTTACTGTACTCCGTACTCCCTATGACTCGGTTCATAGATCCACTGTATCTACTACCAGTGGAGGTAGGGCCGGATTGGTGTAATCTTGATGGAGCAATCTTCAATGCCCAGGACGATCGTAGGCTTTTATATGGATAGATGCATATCATCTTGGCAGCTTCATCATCAATATCACCACAAATCCAGGAGCTGTTCTTAGCATACCCACCTTCTCTCCATCGAACATATTCCTCCAATTCATCTGGGCTCATTCACACCTTGTTCTACTCGGACATGTAGATCCAGACTACAGTGACTACATAGTGTTCTCCTTTCTTAACAAGCATCGTTCATTACAATATGTCTAGTCTACTCCTAATGATACTATCTCTAGCTCGTCAAGCATCTCCAGCCTCACCGTCGCCAGTAATCCTCCACTCCATCGCTCCATTCGTCCGCGTAGATCTGCGCTATCGACTCGCGATTCCCCTGGGACATCAATAAAAAGCCATGGACAATCTCAGCCGAAAAACGGAGACCGAAGAACCTGTCCCGGAGAACCTGAAAGATCTGCAGAGGAGGATTGCTGCCAAGGCCTCGCCTTACCAGCGACACAAACAGATAACGCAGGAGGTCGTTTAGGAACCGGGACGGTGTCCCCCATCCCCCCGTCGCCCCGGCCGGGAGTTCCCGATATCGCAGGAGATCCCGGGTCCGTGAGCTGTCTGGCATGAAAATCTCTTCAGGTAGAAACGAATCCATAAATACCGCCGTGACTTTCCGGGTGGGTAGCAAATCATTCATCTGCCTTGTGAACAAAGTCCGATTGCATACAACAAGGTAGTACGCCAGGATACACTGCACTGTCTCCGCATACAGTATACTGCCTGTGTTCGAATCTACACCATTCAGAACTGCCTCGGGGGGATACATTGGCGAAGTCGGGGTTTCCCGCTGTGCTCGAGACCGGGCCTGTGCCACGAGGTAGTCCACCAGCACATCAAAGTCAGGCCCGTATGCGTTGTAGTGTACGGTACGATTGAGCACTGGGTATGTGAGCAGATGCTGGATCTCGTCCTCGACTAGCACGCGAACCCCGTCCTTCACCAGTCTGTAGGCGCAGTCCTCAAGAAAACCAGCGGGAACATTGCGGCCTGTCGTCTGGAAGGGCTCCTGATACGTCGGGCACAGCACGGCGCCGATCAAGAAGAGTCGATATATGGAGCGACGTAGGTTCCGCCTCAACGCAGTCCAGTTTGCCCGGTGGCGCATAACTTCCAGACCGGTAACGTCCACCGATGCGTCGGTCAGCAAGGTATTCTCAATGCAGTCCAGCAGATGGTCCCACTCGGAGATGTCTTTCATATCGTCCAGCGTGATGCGCTCGCCCGGTGGGCGTAGGGTGCGCAGCTTTAAAGGGTTTTGGGGGAGACGGCCCGACGCATAACACTTGACGACTTTTCTTGTCGCGCGTACCTGAACGACGTTAGGTTGCATGGAGTCGGATTAGGAAGAGAAACACTTACTGTTACCCACGCATCGTCGAAATTAAGGATATGCCGCTGGGCGAAGGGGTACATGATAGAGTGCATGTCGTTCATGTAGAGTTCGTAAAGCCGCTTGCATGATCGAGCGAGAGATACCAGCTGAGAAAAGCTGTCACACTGCCAAAAGATGAGACGGAGAATCTCATTCGGTAGAGAGTGGAAGGAGGCCATTATGTATGTCAATCGGAGTAACAACTGAGTGTGTGTGGATATGTATGAATGGTCGAGACTGTTCTGAGAATGAGTTGCATGGTGAAGATATTAAGAGGGAGTTCATGTTGTATATAGAATGGTAGGAGCAAAGATGCTGTTTGTAGGCAGGAGCCATGTAGCGAAAACATGGCCACCCGAAGATATTGACTTGGTGACTTGGTATCTCCAGGATGATGTTTTCTTGTCAGTTAAAACATTTTCCTAGTTGGATGCATCGAGATAGATCCTCGCTGGAGCTCATATTTTGAACGTCTGATGATATGTTGGATGTCAGAATAGACTGCAGCCCTGCTTTACAGAAAAGCAATGTTAGTAGTGCCAGCATTGGAGCTTTGTCTTGCATCACTGCACATATTGTCCCATCGCATAGCATTATTGCATATCGCTGGAGCTGTCACGTACTGAAGCTATCATTAATAAACAACTTCATAACTAGAATTTGATGACACAAAACATACTACAGACCCTCCTTCGATCACCCAAAGACCAAGATAATATGACACCCTTGACACATCACAGCCTCCACATGTGGCACATGCAGTACTTGGCGTTGCTCGGACGGTGGCGACAGCCGAATAGTATCTTCAGGCCGTGGATGCAGCCTAGCCAGCTCCACTGCATAATTTTTCCTCATGTCTGGCTGATAAAATTCCCTCTCTCTGAGTCTGCAAAATACGAGGCCTCCCAACGGAACCCCTGACTCACGGCATCAAAGCTACAGCGGCTGTATGGCATGATGATCGCAGCAGGCATCGTCCCATTTGACCGTCCTAGTCTTGGTATGATGAAAACATCCTGCTGATAGCCTCGGAATAGTATCGATCTGCCTGCATCCCAGTCACAAAAAGTCTGCCTGGTTTGCCGCCACCTCGGGGTGCACACCAGGTAGCCTCCCTTGGCGTCTACGCGGGGCTGAACAGCACCCTTTATGAACTGTGGCTAGGTCCTGAGACGGCAGGAAACAACGTTGTTTGCTGAGTCAAAGCTAGAGCCTGGAAACCAACTCACTAGCGGTACGTGCGCTCGCCTTGTCCCATCCTACCCAAACTAACTCCTTCAGACATGGACATCTTCAGCGACTACACCTCCTACAGCTCCCAAGAGCTCTACCGCGAGTGGCGCTGGCAGGAAATCCGCGGCAAAAAGTTCACCGTGCCGCTGTGCAACTGTCCCAACGGCAGCGGGCCCGGCGAGCCGTGGCGGTGGCATGCGCACAGCCGGTGGAAATGCCAGACCTGGAAGAGACCGCAGCTGCCGGAGGGCGAGCCAACGTACTGCAACTGCGACCTTGCGCCGGGGCGGACGCTGCTCAAGTATGATGGACATTGGAAGGATGGGGTCTGCGAGGAGCATTTGCGACGGCGGAGCGTGGATGCGCAGGCGAAGCAGGCTCGCCGGGCAGCGCAGAATGTGGCGAGAGAGAAGGAGCGGGAGAAGAAGGAGAAAGAGCGGATGGATGGGGTGTCTGAGACGAATGCGAGAAACACCTCGGTAGATAGTGGGATGGGGCATGTGGGTGATGGCTGAACAGTTGACTCTTGGGTATACGAATGTCTACAGCACGCTCAGACTGATCAGACATATTCTAATCGCATTAATCTAAGGTATCATTACCTCTAGGCCAAACCCAAACGCCACGATGACTCGCATGAAAGCCCACCCGACAATGTACGCTCATAATCATCACTCATAGAAACGCCCCCATCACATCGACCATCGCATCGCGCTTCTCTCCGCCCAAGAACTCGCCGAACCCGCGCGCATTCAGCACCTTACTCAACCCGCCATTCGCCTCGATCTTGCTCAGGGCCGAGCCCAGATCCGGCGAGTCGGAGGTGATGTTGAGCGACGACAACAGCCCCGTCGTGTTGGAGCCGAGCAGTTGGTGCAGGGTGTTCTTCAGCAGGTCGGCGATGGGCACCTTGGCGGTCATGGTGAGCTGCGACATGACGTCGGTGTAGTAGGGCACCTCGACGCCGTCGTAGACGACGGACTTGCCGACGGTGTCGAGGGTGAGGTAGCCCTGGGATAGGGACTCGCTTTGCGAGCGGAGGACCTCGCCGAGGTTTTCGATGAGCTTGTGCAGGTCGAGGATGCCGTGGACGGGGGCGGAGTGATTGCCGGGGCGCAGGACGAGGTTGTCGATGGTGGCGTTGCCGATGACGAGGTCGCCGCTTTTGAGGTCGAGGACGGTGGTGCCCTGGTTGCATTAGAACTTCGTCCGATGTGTGGATGGGTGTATACATACGATCTCCAGGGTCATCACCGACGGATTGGGCAGCGTCGCGTTGGCGATCAGGTTGGTGCCGTCTTCCCGTGGCGGGAGAATCACGGTGGAGTCTTCGATGGAGAAGCCGCTGAACTTGTTCAGCGCTGGGTGGGTTAGCCGTTTGCAATGAGCTGGCCGATGCGATCGCGACTTACACGTCTGCGGAATGTTCTTGTTCATCGTGATGAAGGACTTCAACTTGCCCAAGAAGGCATGGGTCTTTCCCCGGACGGACAGCGGCGCATGCTCCATGAACACCACACTGTGCACGTACTTGGTCCACTGCTCGACGTTCAGCGGCGTGTACTGGTTCGTCACGCCCAGCGTGGTGTTGCCATGGACGGTGGTGCCGTCGATGTACAAAATGGCGTAGGTGCCGTTGCCCTCGGTGTCGCGGTTGAACAGCTCCAGGGCGATGGGGTCGACGCGCACCGGCACCGACAGCGGCAGATCCAGGGCGGACTGGATGGTCATAACGACCGAGTCCGGGCGCGGCTGCATGACGTCCGCCCTGACGAGCAGCAGGGTGGAATCATCGACGACGCGCTGGGCGATGGCGGGAATGATCAGGGTGAAGCTATCCGCGTCAGACCGGCTGCAATGCAGGACAGTGTCCCATCCACACTTACAAGATTGGCAGGAAGATGGCCAGGAAAATCAGCGACCAGAAGCAATAGCAGCACCAGAACCGCCCCCAGTGTCGACGCAGTTTCTGCGCCCGTGTTTTCTTCCCCGTTTCCAGCTCGACCGCGTCGGCCTTTTCGACATGTTCGGCCCCGTGTCCCTCGCTGTCGAGCGGCCCACGATGCACGCCCAGGGCATATTTGGCAGCTTGGGAGGTAAGGTAGGAGGCCTTCTCCGCCATTGTCTCGAATAGTCACCTATCTACCTGTCCACGGGGGTCGGGAATGGGGGGGAAATGGGTCCTCCCACTAGCATATATAGGAATAGGGGATCGCGACGATCGGCCAAGAATGCAGCCACGATAAGCATCAGCTGTAGCCGAGCAATTGACTGGCGGTTTCCCCCCGGAATAACGAGAATTAAAGAAGGATACGTATCCTCCGCATGGATCGACAACGCCCTGCCGGTGATTGGCATGGGCACGAGTTCACATGCGGGCCCGAATGAGGATCTACACGCACTATCGAACAACCGCGGTTGTCCGCCAGCTTGGGGGGGTCATGATGGAGCAAATCCTACGGAGCCGCTCCACATCGACAGAGTCAAGCGGATTCAGTGCCTGTTTGAGATGCGGGGGAGGGAATACGGGGTGACTTCGGTGTCTATCATTTTTTCCTGGTTTCTTTTGGTTTCTTTGTGATTTGGTGATGCTGCAGCGGATTGTTGCGTAGGGATGCCCTCATGCCTTGATAAACCCGCCACCATCACCACCCCTCCCCCTTGGTTATACCATTTATACCATTTACCATTTCTTTAATAGTCTCCTTGAGTCCCTTTTATTCTTCGAAATCTCAAAATAATAAGAATAAAACAGCATAATGTCCCTAGACGAAAAACACGACACCCTCTCCCAAGCCACCTCCGACCTCTCCGAGACGCACCGACTCGATGCCCTCGACCAGCTCGAGGTCATGCCTCACATCCTGCAAGAGGGCATCCTCTTTGCGGCCTCCGGCTCTGCGCTGCTGCTGCAAGCCGCCATGCCGGGCATCAACAACCGCAGCAGCGACAGCCAAGCGAGCCCGAACCCCAGCAACGGCAACCTCGCCTCCGAGCTAGGCGACGCCCTGCAAGCCTATCTCAGCTACATCGCCTGCCTGGTGTTCGGCACGCGGCAGGAAAAGAAGACTCTCCTCGACCTGCTCGCGCGCGGACAACCCCCCCTCCGCGGCAGCGAGTTCTACTCGACCCACCAGCCGGCGCAGCGCTGGGTCGCGGCGACGCTGTACGCGACCGCGACCGACTTCTACCAGCGCGTCTACGGGCGCGTCAACTACCGCACGGCCGAGAAGGCGTACGCCGAGTTCGCGCTGCTCATGCACTGCATCGGGCTGCAGCCCGGCGTGTGGCCGGACACGCGCCAGGCCTTCTGGACCTACTGGGACGACCAGATCGAGCAGCTGAGCGTCAGCGCCGAGGCGCACCGCTTCGCGAAGGACCTGATGGAGCGCGGCGACTTTCCGCGTTGGGTCGCCCTGTCCAAGCCGTTCCTGCGCGTGCTCACCATCGAGATGCTGCCGCCGCGCATCCGCGAGGCCTACGGGCTCAAGTCGACCGCCGGCACGCGTGCGCTGTACCGCACGACGATGGGATTTTCGGTCGCGGTGTACCCGGCGCTGCCCAAGTCGACGCGGCGGTACCCGTGGAAGTACTATCTGGATGAGCTACGGAAGCATTTGAATGTGGTATGACGGGAAGGAATCGTGGCGTTCGTTTCGTGTATGCAGTTATGCTATTTCTATCTTATATCCATTTGTTTAGACCCTCACAACGCCGAACTCAGCAGTCCACCCAGAAGCTTGGACACATTCGAGACCAGCTAGAGCTGTTAGCGTGCACTCCGACGGCACGGGGTACGAAACTTACAGGCGTCGCGTCCTGGATAAGCGTAGACGTGTCGTTGACAAACTGCGGCGTCAACAGCGTATCCGCATTGTCCAGCAGCCCCTGGATCTTCTTCAGGTTGTCGCCCGACAGCAGATTGGCGAGATTCTGCGCGTTGTCGCCGCCCAGCAGCACGGCCGCGCCCTTGACAATGGTCTGCAGGTCGTCCAGCGTGTCCTGGCTGAGCAGCTCCTTGACGCCGCTGAGGATGTCGGGCAGTTCCGAGAGCAGGCCGCCGCTGCTCTGCGGCGCGCGCGGCACGACGGGGTTGGGCTCGGGGTTGGCATTTGCGCTGGCGAGGGCCGGGGCGGCCAGAACGAGGTACTTGAAAATGCGCATTTTGGTAGATGATTGTGGGTATGGGTGTATGGGTAAATCTACGTGATATCAAGCAATTGACTACTTATATGTACGGCTACGGTCAAATCCAGATAGATTAAGTGAGACCCCGCCTGTGCAGTAGTCACGGTAGTCCTCCGTACGCCTCTGGACCGTGTCTTATTATCGCCCCGGTCTAGTCGCCATCCATGGAAGCACAGTGGAGAGCGCCGACTGCTGGCCGTTCCAGCCTCCGATTCGGGCGATGAGATGCAGCTGCGGCCGGTCTAGCCAGGGAGACTGCCGATCACTGTCTCGTTTTTGGGAGGTCCTCCGGCGTGCAGGGCAGACTGTGCAGGGTCCGAGGCTGTTGCTGCACCGCTTGCTACGGAGTATACTGTACAGCACCGACCTGCATACCATGTGAATCCCTCGTCATCTCATCCAACAGGTCTCTCCGCGGCCTATCGCAATGGGAGTGTATATTAACGCCCCCACGGGGAGGCGAGCGAAAACTCGGATCCAGCGACAACCCCGCAGAATTAGGGCTCCGCTAGCGTTGCAACTGTCGATCCTTCGTGCCTGCGCCATTCGCATCCATTTCCTGCTCTAGCTGGTCAGCCCTCGGACCGACAGACATGTGAATCTCCCCGACTGATTAGCATGTCGGAAACTTCTGCCGCTGCCGGATTGCCTGCTGGGCCTATACAGTGTACGGGGTATGGGGTCTGGGGTACTACGGGTATGGACATCGTCATCGATCACGACAATCGCATTCATATGATCGTCCTCTATCCAGGTTCTTCCGGCCCTAATGTCTCACTCCACTCCCCACTTCACCGTAGCCTGTTTTCCTCTATCGTCGTGGGACATTGTCCATCGGCGATGGACGGTGAAATCCCTCCGCCACCGCATCATACCATCCACGGTCCCCATATCTCGTCTCTCATATCGTCGTATCCCATCAAGTGTCTCATCGTACCCGTAGACTCCATCCAGGGTACTCTACAGTAAAGCCAGTGCCGATCACAGCACCAGCGCCACCCCGAGGACCCCCAGTGCCCCCATCCCGCTCACCAGCACGCCCGCCCCCGTCGGCCGTGCAGCTGTACCCTCCGACGAAGTCGACGCCGCCGCACCACCCTCACCCGTCGTCACAGGCGTCGGGGTCTGCGTAGCAGCCGCATGGGTGGCCGTCAGTGCGCCCTCCCTGAGCTGGGTCTTCACGACGGACAGATAGCTCTTCACGTCGGTGGGCAGACTCTGGTACCAGTCGGGGGTGTTGCCGGCCTTGAACGAGCTGGCGAGTTCTTTCCGCTGCGCGGGGATGATGATCTGCGCGAGCGCGGTGGGCGGCACGTTGTTCACCAGCTCGGCGAAGAGCGAGCGCGGCGGGGAGGCGAGGTTGTCGAGGTTGCCGGTTTGCGAGGGGAGGGAGAAGCTGAAACTGCGTCTGTGGGTTTGTTAGAGGTGTAGATTGAGGTGTTGGACTGGGGTGGAGGATGTATGTACATGGCGTTTCCGAGGGCAGACCAGTCGACTGTGTCGCTGGTTTGGGTTACCTGGGGCGCGGCCCAGGTTGTAGCTGCGAGCGCGGTGAGGAGCCAGGTAATCTTCATTCTGGTGGTGAGTAGGAGTATGGAGTAGGGAGAGTAGAACAGGTGTAGGGTGTAATGGACCAAGATGAGGGCTCTTGTAGTTCTAGTTCTAGTTCTAGGCTCAGGCTCAGGCGTATGCTCCGTGCTACGGCCGGCACCCGAGATCCGATGTGGAGGGCCTTGCGGATCTTGGACCGGTCCATGACTAGACCATGCCATTGCTAACGATTGCTAAGGGCGGAGACTGGCCCGGTTGGCTGCTGGGGTTGTGCCATGGCCAACTAGGACAGGAGTTGGGCTAAGGCCGGTCTCGATTACTGGAAATGGTAGTGCCTGTCTATTGTACTGGGTTACAAAAGACCAAGCCCAGAGAATACAGTAGCCTTCATTGGCCACTACACCTTACATAGGAACGGGACTTGCTGCACCAGAGCATTTCTCAAGCGCTAAGTCTGGTGCTATATGTATAGGTATTATAGATTCCTATCGACTCGCCCAAAAACTCTCCAACTCCCTCACCTGCGTCCCAGTCACCCATCCCAAATCCGCCTCAATGCCACGCAACAAATCCACAATAATCCGCCTCTCCTCCTCATTCTCCATGCACTGCCCCACCGCGTAAAGCAGGGGGATCATATAAACGCGTGCCGCGCTCTGCGGCCGCGCCAACGCAATCCCGCAGATCTCCCGGCAGCGGTAATCCGCCTCCTTCATCAGCTCGCGGTACGACTGCAGCTTGTCGAAGACGGTGCTGGGCGCGCTGACCGCGTCCGCGGGCCGGTTGAGCGCCAGCGCCAGCCGGCCAAAGTGGTACTGCTGCACGGTCGACGCGCACGTCGTCAGGCAGTAGAAGATCTCGGGGAACGGCATGTGGGCGATGTCGGGCAGCCGCGAGACGTCCCTTGGGCGCTCGATGCGCAGGCACGGACGGAAGGTTTCGGGCACGCGCTCGAACCAGGACTGGAATTCGAAGCTGAGTTTCAGCCAGGAGGCGGTGGTGGGGGGCGAGCGTGGCGAGGACGATGTCGAGGGGGTGGAGGGGTCTGAGGAGAATTGGGCCATCTGGTCCCAGGGGGCGGTCTTGGATTCGCTGCGGAAGTTGACGACTTTGTTGAGCAGCCAGATGAGACTGTTCGCTGCGAGGTCTTCTTGCGAAAGAGGTGTCCCGTGGGGTGGCGGGTTGGTTAGGTTGCCCTCGTTGTCGATGGGCAGGCCGGCGGCGCGCCATAGGGTCAGGTTCTGGTGGTCCAGATAGGTCTGGGAGCGGGTGTAGTATGAAGCAAGGTAGTCCAGACGAGCAAAGTTCCAGAAAGCAGCCGTGGCTCCTTGGGAGAATGCGGGAGGGGAATCCGAGAATGCAGTGTGTAGTTGTAGCAATGCGTCACACACGGGCCGGATTTCCGACAGATATCTGGATGCCGGTTAGTATGTGCGAGGGCAAGCGGATCGGTTACGCACGATTGCCAGCTTTCTCCAGGCTCGTCTAGGAGTTTATACATGGTGAGGATCGCGGACGCGGCCAGCAGGTTTTCTGTCTTCCGCCAAAAGGCACTGACGACAGACTCGTCTGCGAGGTTGATCAAGCCAGGGTTCTTCAAATGCCGGTTTAGCCACTGTTTCACAATCTCAACGGGCAACGCGAGAACGTCTGAGCTGGACATGGTTGCATAGGCGTCCGATATCGCTGAGCCCATGCTCGACGCAGCAAGGTAGTAGTAATTCGCAGCTTTCAGAAACCAGTCCACCTGCGACGAGTTCGGATAGCTCTCCATGGTGGAAGGACTAGTGAACATCCCGCTGACGACTGACAACTTTGCGCCCTTCATCCTTCCTAGATGCTTCGCGGCCAGGGCGGCCATAGAATACTTTAGATATTCATCGCCGATAGCGCGCACGGGGACGTATGCACCAAAGAACTTTTTCGAGTCGGAGACGTCCAACCTGCATGCAATCAGCTAGGGCCATTCTCCAGGGCATCGGTACGCACCAGGGTCCTACGATCTCCGAAAAGTGCCGCGTCAGAAACGCCACCTCATGTTCAGTCCCAGTCATAAGCTCCGAGAAGATGTCCTGGAACTCCTCCTTCTCACTGCGTTGCGAGGGACTCCCAGATGATGTCTGTCCATGGGGAGAGAACGGCTTATGCCGGAGGTCGTTGTACGCACCGCCAGAGAGCCCAATCCCTTCAGCCGCAGTCATCGGCGTCGCTGGACTGCTGCGGATGCTTCTGTCGGGGACACTCCGCGCACGGTCGAAAGCCGTGCTGTCCACGACAGGCCGCTCGGTTGCTCCTTGGGCTTGCATCCGGTGCATTGGTTCTCTGCGCACTGGCTCTGTCGAGGCTGCATCCGCGCCATTTGCCGGCGAGGGGACCTGAAAGCCGCGTTCTCCACCTCCCGGCTTCTCTAAAGGAGACGGGACTGCCGGATAAGCCGAGCCATAGGCTACACTCGTACTGGCCGGCGCAGACTGATCTGGAGTTGAGCTCGAGGTTGCTGAATGGCCACCACTTGCCTGGAAACAGGTGAGCTACACTCATTTCGAAGAGAATGATCACGTACACTGCCTAGGTTTTGGCCAGCAGACCGGCTCACGCTCTCCTGATACGGGGCATATCGCCTACGCACAGAAGCGCCCTGGTCTATGAACTTGCGCGTCTGCACATACCCGGGGCATTCGACGCCCGCATTGGCACACCGCTGGCAGCCTGGGCGTGTTTCATCACACTAAGCACCATTAGCCGCGGATCCTCAGCGACAGGCCTGAAGTCAGGCGCCACCAACCTTGAGATGCCTCTTTTTACATCGCTCACAGGCCTTGTTCGACGGTACCCCCGGCATGGTGTCCACTGTAGTGGGGCGTCAGATGGTGGAGAGAGGACCTCGTCGTGAAGAGCAGGCAGAAACCATGCTCTACGGGACCAAGCAGGATACAGAGTGGCGGACCATGTGCGCAGGCAGATGAATTTCAGTCAGATAAGGAAATGCCCAGGAGCTATCTAGCAGGAAAGCTTCTGCTGCAAGGGGCGCTTGGCTGGAATGGACTAGACGAAATGACGGCAACGAGTCGATCCTGACGGCGTTCCTTCGGAGTTGTCTCGGTCTCGTGCCCGCATCAGCATTTTTCCGCTCGTCTATCTATCCATCATTAACGCTTCTATCTGCGCTCAATCCAGACGAAGCTTCTCTTTATCGGTCGCGATGCTTCGAAGAGAATTTGGTCAGCCAAGCTCAGCTCAATGGTTAAGGGAGCCTCCGACAGGACCTTCTGCACCTGCGTGGCATCTCTGTCAAACGTCGACGTCATCGGGAGATGTCTATGGCCTGCCAGATATATCAGAAGCGGAGAAGAGCCGAATATACTATCAATGGATCGGTTAGTATGAGCATAATCTTGAAGGATCCTGTCTAATGCGTCGTAGAATCTGGGAAACCACACAATCTGGTCTGCTCTCAATGCCATAACCCAGACAATCTGATGCCATGCGAGACGTGTTGCAGATCTTACCATCCCGCATGTCTCCCGTCTCCGGGAGATGCTGTGGTGAACGGACAGTTTTACTGTCCATCCTGCAAAGCATATCAATGGGATCGAGCCCCCCCGCAGATCGGCAGCGCCGTACAATCCCCAAGCGCATCTAGGAGCAGTACCCCGAGTACGAGGAGCTCTGTTCAAGTGATGAGTGCTCCCAGCGGGGACAGAATGACGGCCCTTCTAGCATCAGCGGCACGCGGCATGAATAAACCAACACAGCCACGGAGTATAGAACAGCATGAACACCAGCCAAACGACGTTTCCACACCGCCACAATATGATCTGGTGGCGCGCGCCCGGAATTTCCTTCTGGAATATGGAGGTTTCCCGCCGAACCATGAGTTTCGCCTGGACTTGCTTCTGAAACTTGGAACTATGATCGACGAAATCGAGTCCCATCGTTCCATCCACCAAGAACTGCAGGAGCTGAGGGCCGAGAATGCCAGTCTCCGAAGTAACGCTCGTCTGAGAGGCGTCTCTTCTAGCCTGCCAGCGTCTTACCTGCCCCCCATCCTTCCGAGTCCGGCTGGCGCTGAAGGCGAAAAGTCTTGGGATCGCATAATAACAGACCTGCTCTGAATTGGGAGGATTGTTTTGGAATCATTCGCTCCGTATCCAACTCTATCTTCCTAGGTCATGCTTCATGGACATAGCGGCATTATCAACAACCTGCATAGTTCCGAGTGCAGCGACAATGCAGAAGCGTGCATAATCTCACCGCGTCTGTAGTGTATCAGAAACGGCGGGTACAGCAGGTCTAGATGTCGGAACTGTGTCGATTCTATTTGGTACGAACTATGGGTGTTCCCCTGCTCCAGACTAGAGCGATCTGGACATCGCCGGGATGTCTACTTCCATACAGCGACGTGACATCTATGTTGCCTGGCTTGATCAAATTTTCGCAAGTCTCAGTGTTGTTGAATGTCAGCAAGCCAGCCATGCCAATGCTGACCGCGAGTGATGATGTGACGTGGCGTCAGGGGTGCATATGTGAAGCCGCAGCCTTGTAAACAGGCTTATTTGATTCGTTCTCTGCACGAGTAGACGACAGGTCAAATGTCTCTTCGCTTCTGATGTTCGACATGGCAATTTTGAGATCGGGCTGACTCTGCCTTATTTCCACCATTCCATCCCGCCGTATAGACATCGTATAGCCCACGGCTAGGGTTTAAAACCCGCCTTTGGCATCCAGTCAGAGTTCAACTTTCACAAAGCTTGACAAGAAACTCCTGATATCGACCACATACCCGTGTCCAGTTCATGGGCGATACGACGTTAGGAAGATATTGGTATTGGCATCCCGACGATGTCCAAGGAATCGAATGGGCGGTATTGGTTGTTCGCAGTAGTTGTTTCGTGTGTTTGATTCTTGGGTGTTATGTGAGATTCAATGGATGGCCGCAGCAAGCCATATGTACATTGGCTTGAGGGTATTATCTCTGTAGTCAACATAAATATATTCAGCAGAGTGAGAACTCCAAGACAGACTCTCATCTAATTTCCATCGAGGAGGTCCCTTCCTATCAACCACACATAGAGCAATAAACAGTCCTTTCCCGTGAAAAGCGCTTCCTTGATCGTCTGTGGATCTGAAAAGAACGTCGGAAAGACCACCTCCACAATCACTTTCCCAGTCGCTGATGGGCAACACGCACCACCCATTGTCCACGTAACACTTTGGATGGGTAACGAGGGCGTCATGACCCAGCTCTTCACAGCCGATCTGCCTTCTTTCGAGCGCGTACGGTACCATTTGGCGCTGCAGACAGAGCATGGTATCGGTTACCCAGTTCTGTCCTTCGGGGCTCATCCGATCGCGCACCGCCAAAGATTTCGAGCAATATTTGTACCCTTCCCTGATGGGGTAACCAGATGGGCCGCAGCGGTATTGGGGTTCAAGACAGTCCTTATAAAAACTGCAGTCATTTGGTTGGGGGTTGGCGCAGTCCGTACGCGTGAGATCAGCTTCGCTGGTAGCTCTATTAGCCAACTTGACCGTTCACCCAGTCGAATTTGATATGTACCCTGATGCGACGTGGATGCTAACTATCCATCCGAGCAGTAGAAGCAAGTTCATGGTACGCATAGTAGCCATGATCCCATGGACAGCTCCTCGGGCCATTGTAAGACGTGGCAACGATCAACGTATCGTATCACCCCTGAAGCGACTGCAGGGTCACCTGATCCACAATGTAAAAATAGCCCGATATAGATTGCTTCTTCATTTTCTTCCTTGCCTGCCAATTCCACTCCTCAGTAGAAGTTATCCAAGCCACATGGTCAGCAGGGTCCACATGCGAGTTATTCTCGTCTTGTTGAAGGATCTCCCATTGTATGTTTTAGCAGCCTAGAAAAAGAGTCTTTGATGTAGATTCCAAGTCCAATAATCTCTTTTTCTCCCGCCAGACGCCCCGTACCTAATACTAAGGTCGAAACATCCATGGTAGAACTGCCGCCTAACCACTCACAGTGTTGTTCGCCAAAACTAGCCCCAGAACCCGTGTCAGGGCAAGGGACCGATCCGCGGAGGGTAAAAAAGCTTGTCCTCGAGAGTGGGATACATTCTAGGCTGCCAGATTCCCCATGAACCCCGTCAGGACCAAGATAATAGGATCCGGTGTAGATTGTCGATGTTGCGTAGATGCTTCCGAACAATCTGAAACAAACCCACCTTCTAGGACCATGCGGTAGAACGAATGAAAGAGATCAGATGTGCAGATTGCCTTTTGCGCTCCTCAGGCTAAGCCGCCAGGCAGACAAGTATACAACTTCGCCATCCCACATATTGCCCTTTTGGACAAAACAAACCAACCCCTAAAGAAGGCTATTTTTGCCATAGTTCAGAAAATACCTCATCGCTTCAACATACTGTAACTGCATCGTGTTGCCTCCTGCCGGGGTTTAGCCTATAATGTCTATTGATTTCATACCCTACTTCCACCTCTCACTTCTCCAGATACTCATGCTTCTCTCCTGCTTTACCATAGTACAGTGCAATCATGGGCCTCATCCAACGCCATCTTCATCATGGTCTACAGAACTTGCCACAGGAACCCATATCCAAGCTCGCGCCGTTCTCCGCACTCATCATATCCATTGTACTGGTAATATTATTCCTGACTCGTTTCTACCTTCTGGAGGGATACCTTATCCAGCGTCTATATGGGAAGACGTACCTTGAGCTTAGCGAGCTGAACAAACGCGGCTTCATAAACCACCATATAGCCGGCTTCACCAAGATCGTCATCCTCATCACAGCCGCCTACCCTTTTATCGCCATCATTGCGGGACGTGGCACGTATCAGACGCCTTACGCCCACGGCAGTGTGGTCCGGCTGGGCGATATCCTGATCGTCGCCGCCCAGATGCTGGTTGCGATGTATGTTTTTGAGCTGATATACCGCTCCAAGCTCTCGCCCATTGCGGTCATGCACCATATCGGGACCATCATCATTGGCCAGACCGCTATAGCCATCAACATTGGACATGGACGTGAGCCTGACGCCAATATCGAATTCATCCTCTGCTGCGTATGGGGTACGTGTCTTCTGCTTGCGATTTCTAGACAGTTCACGACATAAGCCATGCCTAACACATTTTCCTATATGCAGGCGCCTTCGATATCGTCTCGGAATTCCTACCCCATGTGGCGATTATACTGTACCGCGTTTTTCCGTCGCGACATCACTTCCTCAGCGGTGTGTTCTTGATAGCCTGCATCACAACCGCCACCGGCACGACCTGCGAAACAATTGTGGCCATGTGGCTCTTTGGTGGTCTGTGGAATCGGTGGCGACTGGCGTTCAAAATCGTGACTCCTATATTGCATGTGGCATTTTCTGCGACGCAGATCCACGGGAGTGTCGTGTTCTGGAAGATGTACCAACGACAAAGAAGACTGATGTTGAGGAAGAGGGAGGAACAGACAGGGTTATAGCAGTGGATGGGGTGATATATCGAGGCCTGGACGGCCAAGGCAGGGGTTGGTTAACTCCGTCTACCATATTTCGATTAATAGAATATTTGCTTATTCAATGTATATGCCAGTTATAGACAACTTCTATTCTTGAATCGAGAATAGTACTTGACCTGTTTGATGGAGCAACTATTGAATATGCACCTGCATACCGGACTCACGTACCACCTCATCTATCCCTTTCGGGAAATGTGCCTTGTCAATCCCTGTGATCGCCCATTCTCCAAACCGGGGGCCATGGCCGATGTTACATTTCTAGTTATTTCAATGATACAGACCCCTCACCGGAGGCATTAGTGAGCTGTCCCCTCTTTTCTTATATGTCCAGCCTGTCGAGCAATTCATGTTGGAATTCATCGCATAGGTAGGGAGATACGCTGTCACTTGTATGGAGGACAAGACGCGTGAATGACAGGCATTTCCACCTAAATCTCGTGCCTCCTCAAAGTTCTATCCTCTCACTCTCCTTGTGAGGTTGTGGTAGTCTGGTGTGTGTTCCTCGCAATGTGGGCGAATACACCCATGCGCGCACTCACTGCGGCATTCCTCGCCTCACTCGCGTTCGGACGTGATGACAACAATCCCAACTTCGACGTCCTGGACTTTGTCGATCCACTAATTGGAACCGCAAATGGCGGTAGGTATCACCTAACGATAATCGACGAAGGCGCGAGTACTCATAGAATCCTAGGACATTCGTTTGCCGGCGCGACCCTGCCATTCGGTACGTTACCTGCCCTTTGTCCAAACACGCGACTGACAGAGACAGGTATGGCGAAGGCCGTGGCAGATACAATGGGCGAGAACCAGGCGGGATTCGCAACCGACACGACAAATGTCACTGGTTTCTCGCATATGCATGATTCCGGGACTGGTGGTGTAAGTCACGGCACACAACAGCCCGCACATCCGGACATCACTTACTATCTTAGGCGCCTTCACTGGGAAACTTCCCCATCTTCGTGCACCCTCAATGCCCAGACGACGGCATCAGCAGCTGCAAATGGTCCCAGAAGGAACGGGCAACCGACTGGATCCCCGGGTCCGTCAAGGCACGACCGGGATACTTTGGCATTAGCCTGAAGAGCGGGCTTCACGCTAAGATGACGGTAACAAACCGGTCGGCATTGTACCGTTTCACGTTCGACTCGGACTCCAAGGACCTCAGCCCGCTCGTCCTGGTGGACCTCATGGACCTCCCTCAGTCGCGCAAGGCAGGCCGAGCAGCGGTTGATCCATCAACCGGGAGATTCGCCGGGAACGCCACATTTGAGCCCAGCTTCGGCCAAGGACAGTATACGCTGCACTTCTGTGCGGATTTCAGGGGCGCGCGTCTGCGCGACACCGGCGCATGGGATACTACGCGCGCCACACTCAACTCCACAGTCCTCTCGCTGGACGGAAGCCGCCCTGCTAGCTCGTTCTCCGGGGGTACGTTTGCGAGATTCCACGCGCCGGAAGACGGGGTTTTGCTTGCCCGCGTGGGCGTTAGCTTTATGAGCGTGGACCAGGCGTGCGCGAACGCGGAGAACGAACAGCCGGATTTCGATTTCCCTGCGACGGTCGCTGCGGCGGAGTCGGCGTGGAGAAAGAAATTGAGTCCGATCAGCGTTGATGCTGAGGGGGTATCGTCTGACCACCAGAAGGTGTTCTGGAGCGGCGCCTATCGTGCGATGATCAGTCCGCAGGACTATACGGGGGAGAATCCGATTTGGCAGAGTGACGAGCCGTACTATGACAGCTACTACTGGTTTGTATTTCATCCTTTGGAAAGAGAGCAATCTTCTGACTTGAGCAGTATCTGGGATTCATACCGTGGCGTCCACCAGCTTCTCACGATCGTGGATCCCTTGTCCCAATCACTGATGATACGCAGTCTGGTAGACATCTACCGCCATGAAGGCTATCTCCCCGACTGTCGCATGTCCCTATGCAAAGGCTGGACGCAAGGCGGCTCCAACGCCGATGTCCTGATGGCCGACGCGTTCCTAAAAAATGTCAGCGATGTCGACTGGGCCACCGCCTACGAAGCCGTTGTCAAGGACGCAGAAATCGAGCCGCCAAACTGGGACGTCGAAGGCCGAGGAGGACTCCGCAGCTGGAAAGGACTCGGATACATTCCCAAGAATGACTACGATCCCGATGGCAGGGGCTTGCACACCCGCAGTGTGTCTCGGACTGTGGAATATGCGTACAACGACTTTTGTATTGCGGAGATCGCGAAGCACATGGGCCATGAGAGCGATTACGAAAAGTACACGAAGCGCGCCTCCAACTGGATCAACGTGTACAAGGCCGACCAGAAATCGTCCATCAACGGCGTCGATACCGGCTACACTGGGTTTGTGCAGCCGCGGCTTCTGAACGGATCGTGGGCATATCAGGATCCGATCCTGTGCAGCCCGTTGCTTGACTTCACCGGCTGCTACTTGAATGCCGGCGGGCACGAGACCTACGAAGGAAGCTGCTGGTTGTATACATTGTAAGTACTCCGCCACGCTGGACGGACACACAGGCTGACCGTTGAAAACAGCTACGTCCCCCAGGACATGGCCAAGCTGATTACAACACTCGGTGGCCCGAAAAGCTTCACGTCTCGACTGTCTTACTTGCACGAATCCGGTCTGCTCTATTTCGGCGACGAGCAGGCCTTCTTGACAGTCTTCCAGTACCACTACGCAGCGAGACCTGCCCTTTCAGCCGAGCGCGTGCACTACTACATCCCGTCGCAGTTCAACACCTCCGCGTCCGGCATCCCTGGCAACGATGACGGCGGTGCCATGGGCGCATTCGCCGTTCTGAGCATGATGGGCCTCTGGCCCGTCCACGGCCAGGATGTATACCTGATTACGCCGCCGTTCTTCAAGGAAATCAGCATTCGCAACAGCGCGACAGGCAATGTCGCTACGGTTAAGAATGTCAATTTCGATCCGTCGTACCAATCGATCTACATCCAAAGCGCCAAACGCGATGGGAAGTCGTGGACGCAGAACTGGATCGGACACGACTTTTTCTTGAATGGTGGTGTCCTTGAGTTGGAATTGGGGCCGAAAGAGAGTGCTTGGGGGACTCGCGTGGATGATTTGCCTCCCAGCATGAGCCCTTATCAGCAGTAATATAGCTCCTTGTTTATATCTTGGTCTTTACTACATCTTCTCATCGTGCAAGGAAACAAAGGGTTTGCGCCTTGCAGCAATGAATCAGCCTTGCGATAGTCGGTTGAGTGGAGTATTCACGTAAGATCAATGCCCTACTGTGCGGGGCAAGGGGGCACTGCTGAGGACGAGACAAATATCCACGCGAGTTTCAATAGTCCAAGTCTTCACCCATATTATCTCTCAAAAGAGCACAATATTCTTGAGCAAGGGCTGATGGACCCCCTCAGCATCTCCGCCAGCATCATAGCGCTCCTCCAAGCGACCAACGCCGTGCTCTCCATCTGCTACGACTACAGCTGCGCCGTGAACGGAGCCCCATGGGGCCTGTCCAATCTGATTGACGAAACGCGCAGCCTGCGCAATGTGCTAGAGGCGCTTGTGCGCCTTGTCCACGAGCACAAGGCCGCTCACCTCCCCACTCTTAGGATTTTGTGTCAGCCTTATGGCCCGGTGGAGAACGGCGTCGGGCGGTTGGAAGAGTTGGAGAACCGACTATCGTCGGCAGGTTATAAAGCCCGAGTCCTTTCTCGACGTCGTGCGTTCTTTGAAGCCTTGGCCTGGCCGCTTCGAGAAGCCGAGACAAAGCGGACAACGGAGCAGATTGAGCGACTCGCGAGCACTCTGAGTTTAGCTATGCAGACTGATCAGACGTATTTTACTTTACATTGCTCCTCATTAGTCGGGACTTGTTGGGACTGACGCTAGTGCAGTCGATTGATGCTTGCGATCGAAGACTTGGCCATCGAGAACCAGAATATGACCGCCGAGACGCGAGACGGAGTCGCGCAATTGCAAAAGGCGTCTCTGTCCGTACAAGATGGTATGTACCTCTCATAAGCCAACAGGCCCCTGCTAATAGTGCAGACGCTCGACGCCAAAAAATCAAGGCGTGGCTGGCAGCCCCAGACCCTTCGATAAACCACAACGCCGCTCGCAGCAAACGATACCCTTCCACAGGCGAATGGCTGTTCAAAAGCAAAGAGTATAAAGCCTGGAGGAAGGATTCCTTCACCACTCTTTGGATGCGCGGCCCTGTTGGCTGTGGCAAGACCATCTTGACTTCAGCGATGATCGACAACCTGGTTGAGGTCTGCAATGATGACCCGTCCAGAAGCCTGGCGTATTTCTACTTTGATTTCAACGACCCGTCTAGACGGACGCCGGACGCCATGCTACGCTCCCTGATCTCTCAGCTCATCATGCAACGCGAATCAGTGCCGGCTGAATGGGACAGTCTGTTCTTCGCAAACGGCGACCGACAACCAACCATCGAGGAGCTGCTGTCTATTGTTCGGGAGATGATGCAAAAGCCTCACGAAGGTGGGTTCCTGGTCGTGGATGCCCTGGATGAATGCGTCGATTCTAAGGCCTCGGGGGACGTTCTGGACAAGATCGACCGCTGGGATATCGAGGGCTGGTGGCTGTTTGTTACAAGCAGAAAGAACGCGCCAGGCCTCGAAACAGAGCTATTCTTTAACGGGGCCGTGTTCTCCATCCCCGTATGGCGCGTCAGGAACGATATACATGTCTATGTCCAGCAGAGGTTTGATTCTGACCCGAAGCTGAGACGATGGCAGAGCCGTCCTGATCTCAAGGACGAGATCAGGGAGACAATAGCAAACAAGGCTGATGGAATGTAAGTCCTCCTTATCAAATCGTATCCCCACACACTGCTCTAACTACTCCAGGTTCCGCTGGGCTGCATGCCAGCTTGATGCGCTTGAGAATTGTCTCAACGTGTCAACGCTCCGCCAGACGCTAGCTACCCTGCCCAACTCTCTCGACGACATGTACGCCGAGGCTCTTAAACTTGTACCAAACGAGCACACACAGCTGGGTATCAAAGCTCCTCCAATGGCTCGCATTTTCCACCCGCCCCCTGTACATCGAAGAAATCGCAGAGATAGCCACCGTCGACATAGCGTCTTCGCCAAAGTTCGACCGGGACAGACGACTGTTTGATCCGAGAGATATCATCAACCTCTGTCCCAGTATACTCGTGGCCGTAACCAACAGCTCCGATGGTGACTCACCAGACCCTCCACCCCAGCAACTGCGCCTAGCCCACTTCTCCGTGAAGGAGTATCTACTCTCCGACCAGATTCGAACAAGTGATGTACGCCAGTTCGCCATGACAGAGCAAACCGCCCACGCTACGATCGCCGCGGATTGTCTAGCGTACCTCCTGCAATTCGACCGTCCATACATCGAAGTCCTGGAAGTCGTCCGCTCCTCACCACTCCTTCGCTACGCGACGAACTACTGGCCCGAGCATGTAAAGCGCTCCGAGGAAGAAGGGTACAACAAGTTAGAACCTCACGTGTTAGAACTACTCAACTCGGGCACCGTTTATGCGAACTGGACCGCATTCCTGGAGGGATACACCCCATTCAGCTCGGACGAAGAGGGCCCCAATTCCCCTCCAGACCCGCTATACTACGCCGCTTCCTACGGGCTCAGCCGCGTATGCGAGACCCTGATTCGAAATGGAAGCCCAGTGGATAGCCTAGGGCAAGCGGGCACGGCCCTCGCCGCTGCTTGTTTGTCGGGGTCGACAGATGCAGTGCGTGTGCTTGTTGATAATGGCGCAGATGTCAATGCGAGTGGACCGCTGGGTCCGCCATTGCTACTGGCTGCTGGTAAGGGAGTTGTCGAGATTGTGGAGTGTCTTCTTCAGACGGGAGCGGACATTAGGTATGGGAGTGAGACGGGCGAGACGGCCTTGGTGGAGGCCCTCAGATATGGTCACAAGGATGTCGCTCGCTTGCTTCAGCCTTAGTGGTACTGGCTTTTTGATTGAGTCTTTTTATTGATGTACGGCACTGTTTATATCAAAACTGAGCCTCCGATTCAGCGTGCGCGTTGACATCACAATCGACATCTGCTATCTATCAGGCCACTGAGAGCATAATTTGGCAAATATTTTTATTTTTGGAACCAGAAAATGTGGTGGAGCATTGCTCCTGGAAGCTTGAAAGTCATGAAGTCATACCGGAAACGGCACAAGGAGACCGTATAAATAGGTCGACTTAGCACTAGGAACCAGGATTTCCCGCATCACGTCAATGCGTCGGTCGACGACGGACGCCACCAATTGAGACCGAAACAGGAGGGTAAGGATGACGGAGAGGGAAGGCAGAGATAGAGATGCAGAGGAACAGTAGGCTATTGTGAGGGTTAATAAAGAGATATACCCAGTATCGTGAAATCAAACGTATTGCAAGCCTTTTAGTATTGTTTTAGACTAATCTTCGGGCCGCTTCTACATTGCAGTACACCATCTTCCTAAGTATTTACTGTTTCATGTACGGTCTGGCGTTTTGGATCGCTCCTGATTCCGCCGGAGAAGCGCCTGTATACCCTTTACGCAGCTAGTTAGGCTGCAACAGGTTAATCAAGCGTTAATTGATTGATTAGTATGCTATTCGAACATCGCTACTCATTCCGAAGCAGCGCCGACGTCATCCCAATATAGCGATGTCCTTATAGTATGATATTTTAACCTAACATACGCTACGTAGCGTACATAGCTTGCAGTCATATAGTTCCTGTATCTGCCTCCTATTTTCTCCTGCCAGTTTCCCTGCACTTCTTTCTGTTCTTCAGCTATTCCTTCTTGTTCATACGGCACGCTTAGATAGGAAGATCCATCTCTGTTCGTCCCATTGTTACGGCACCACCAGGGGTCACTTACGAGAGGGCGGCTACGCCAGGCAAAACCGCTGGGCAACGACGACTAACCAAACCCCGCAGCAAGGAGATGCCTGCAACTTGCACACTGGCTTAGCCCGCGGCTTAGTGATCGTGACCTAAGCGCTAAACCCGAACAGGAAAAGCCACAAGGAAACCAAGTATGTATGTACCTCTACGGACTTGATTTTCTAGGACGATCCGTCCGCTAATTAGGACCCGTGGTATACAGAAAGTCGCACCGATAGTAGGGTTACCCACTGTCGTATACCACCCAGCTACTATTGTATATACTATTGGTATATCACGCCTAAGGACGAAAGGATATAAGGATACTTATTACCATATACTTAGATAGTTCTTGTTTAGTTCTTCGCGTTCAATACAACTGTTATTAATAACTATATCGTTGTCACTGCTAGTACAATTCGTCAACACTCTTATTACAAACGGATATACGTATCCTCTTAGTCTTACTTCTATTTTTGCTGCTTCGGGGTCTCAAGATCACTGTGTTAGTGCTCAGGAATCTTATTGTCGTTCACAGGAGTCGCCTCGCTCCTAGGATAAGTATCAGTTACTCCTCGGACTAGTGGATTCTAGTCACCCTCGTGCTTGAACTATAACACTAGCAGGTTACGCAGCTTAGGCGGATCCCAGGGTTTGACACTAGCCTAGTAGTTACTTACTGTAAGCTTTATTAACTGGAAGAGACAGAGCGAGCTAAGTTTAAGATCCTATAAATAAGAAAGAGGATTTATAGTAATAGGCACTCTGTTACACTGACAGCTGCTATAACAACTAAATCTAGTAACTGCTTATGTAAGGCAGGAACAACTGGACAAGGCTCTGGATCTTATAAAGGATTTCATCGCGTGCAGGACATAGGTTCTCGGAAGCGCCGCGTTCAACGCCCCCGGGAGCAGACTGGCAAGCCCAACCGGTTCACGACCCCTGCTTCCCATTTGACGATCATGGCACTAATGGCATAAGGAAGTACCCGAGAACTACAAGATCGTATACAGCAGAGCTTTCTGTTGATGAGCCAGCTGCACAGCAATCTTTCATCTCCCCACAAGAAATATCGTTTTTACCCCTGATACTCAAAAATCGATCTGGCACAAGGAAGCTTCCTGAACAGGTCTCAGAATCATCAGAACTCGACTCAGAGGCTAGGGTAAGGCAGTCGAATCCCATTTTCCTGGGCGTTGCTTTCTCGGCTCAGCTTAAATGGCGCGACAATGGTCCAAAATCTGAGCCTCACTTGCTGAGCTATATCCGAGTCTGGGGGCAAGCACGGAAAGGTTCTTCAAGGTCATTTCAAGCTCTTGGATCTAGTCCCATTGCAAAAGGGACCTATCTGATGTGGAGCTCGATTCGGACACACGCAATCAAAAGCACATCCTTCAGGCTACGGGAATGTCTCGGACACTACACTTCCGCTCTCCGAACCATACCTGCTGTAGATCACGATGTGTTGAAAGGAACCGTCTTTAGCTAGGCTTGGTTATACCGCCATATCTATCCGGAAATCGGAAGCCTTCCTTCCGCTTCATCGTCTCCTGATCCAGTTTACCTCCGAGATCCAAATAGGTTTCTTATGCGGACCAGACGTATATAATGGAAATCTAACCTCTTGGGTGACCCTTATTTGTGGCTACCATCCCATCAAAAGAGCAACACCCTGCTACGAAATGGTTATCACATTGCCAGTTCGGGCTTCCCAGAGTCCATCTCAACGAGAGATTGTATGGTATATCCTTTCATGTCTTTTTGCCTGGCTATTGTACAAGTTTTCTCTCCTGTGTCTCCCGACACCCTTTCACGACATCCCACACAACGAAGGGACCACACGCACCATCTTTGGAGATCTGGCCAGCATGTTGTCTGAAGTCTCGAAGTCGAACGATATATTCACCTGGTTACTGAGACAGACACAAAAGGCAAATTCGCCTCTCTACCAAGTGTTTATTCGTCCATTCGGCAGGCCCTCGATTCTCCTGTCCGACTATTGGGAGGCGACTGATATCGTCCTACACCGTTCTCGAGAATTTGATCGCACACCCTACACTGCTGACGTCTTCTCCGGGGTCTTACCCAACCACCACATTCATATGCCGACTGGTCCTGAATGGAAAGCACATCGTCGGCTGTTGCAGGACCTGATGACGCCGAACTTTCTCAATAATACTGCTGCACCCGCCATATATGACAGAGCCCTGGAATTGGTGGACCTCTGGGATGCAAAGGCGCGGTTGGCTGCAGGCAGACCGTTTTTCGCGGCGGAAGACATCCATAACACTGCTCTAGATGCGGTCCTCTCCTTCTCTTTCGGTGGTGCCTTTCCACACAGCGCGACCAGACCCCAGCTTGAGTTGTTGTCTACCCTGTATATGGAAGCCGTACACAGGAATGACACTCCGCTTGACCGACCAGCCGAATTTCCGCAAGCCAGTCCTCCCGACTGCATCAAAGCTATTCTTGATATTACAGGCGCGTTCGAATACACGAAATCGTCCATTTTTCCACGGCTCATGTGGTTCCTAGCCAGTAAAACGCCTCGTGTCCGCCATGCCGTTCGAACCAAGGACAACTTCGTCCTGCGCGAGCTACAGGGAGCCACGCACCGCTTGGTTTGGAAGGATTCTGACGCTGACCACACATGGGCACAGTCTGCGGTAGACCTTATTGTGGATCGGGAAAGGAAGTACGCAGAGAGGGAGGGTAGAAGTCCAAATTTCTTTGGATCGGCCATTCGAGACGAGGTGTGTAATTGCCCGCCCTGACCTGTTCTTCAAGTGCACTGAGACCGCTAGGTTTTCGGCTTCGTCTTGGCTGGTCACGATACTACGAGCACCACCATCGCATGGGGCATCAAGCTGTTGGCGGATAATCCTGATGCACAAACCAATTTAAGGTTGGCACTTAAAAATGCCTTGTTGGAGGCAGCTGCTTCTAACCGGCTACCGCTATGCTCGGAAGTCATACGTACTTCGATTCCCTATTTGGATGCAACGATCGAAGAGATTCTGCGGTGTGCTCCGACTGTCCCTGCCGTCGACCGGGTGGCGTTGAATGACACCGTGCTCCTGGGCCATTCTATTCCAAAAGGTACCTCGATCTTTCTGATGAACAAGGGAGCAAGCTTTTTCTCGCCACCCCATGAGATTGAAGACGAGAAGCGCAGCCCTTCTGCCCGAGCCGCCAAAAACAAGGGTCATCATGCTTGGGATCCGGAGACGTTGGATATATTCCTTCCTGAACGATGGCTTGTCGCTTCAGAGGAACAAGCAAGTGCAGTGGGGACCGCAAACGTAGTGTTCGACCCCGCTGCTGGACCGGCCATGCCATTCGGAGGAGGTCCGCGAGGATGCTGGGGCCGCCGACTAGCCTACCTGGAAATGAGGTTGATTTTTGCACTAATGGTGTGGAGATTTGAGTTGCTGGGATGTCCAAAAGAGCTGTCGGGATATGATGCTTTCGATGGTCTTGTGCACAAGCCCAAAGACTGCTTTGTCCGGCTCAAGAGGATTGAATCATAATTGATATGCTGTTGAGACTTTAACAGACCTAGCTGGATGGCTGATGTTAACAATTCTATCGTTTGTGCTCTATGGATGCCTGACTTCGGAGATATACCAGTTCCGGACAGTACGACGCAACCGACGCGGCCATGTAGGAGTCCTGACTGTGTAGCAAGGTCGGATAAAATAGACTATTATGTAATATATTAATGGGACTGACCTTCACCTCGTATGTAAACCCTGCCTCCGAGGACGCCTGGATCTCCAACATTGGCTACTCGATGATATCATACGGAGCTTGATATGTCCGGGCTCCGGCGCACACGTGATCTGCTCGGAGGGACATGGATGCGGACTCCGGAGACTTCCTCGAACTCCTCAAAGCCTTGGTCCCTGCTATGTTCCTTCATGGTAGTAAAAAAAAAATAACAGGCACCATGGCAGAATCCCGAGAGTCCCGTGAGGCCCTAGCGGTGGGTTGCATGCATTCAAGACGCAGTACTCTTGTGGAGCTAATCTGGGATAGTGCGATCTCTGTTACAGCAAAAAGGTGGGTTTCCCTTGCAGCTCCAGGAATTTTGTCGATCTCAGAAGTTCCCTACTCGGTAGATAAAATGCGATAAAGGCCAGCCGTGCTATAACTGTGCGGCTTCGAAATCGCAATGCAATCGATCTCGGCAGAAACGCGCAGTCCGCCAGAAAGTCAATGCGTGAGAGACCACTCTAGCTTAAGACAAACCTCAGTGCTGTCTACTGACTCGAGACAGCAATGAGAGAATTCAGGCCATTGATCAGCGATTGTCAGTTTTGGAGGAAACGCTGAGGCACATCAAGTTCGCTCGGCCGTCGCCATGTAATCAAGATCCTGTTCAACCTGCGACCTCGTTCCCTCGCGAAGCAGAGGAAGTGACAGGTGCTGTTACATCTCCAATGATTCCTCGGCAGTCCCTGAAACGGAAACGCACGTTAGATGCTAGTATCGAAGACTCTGCCCTCTATACGCCGCTCTCTGACGCCACGTCTACTCGCGAGAACGAGGCTCGGGCCTTCATCCGCACAGAACTGTCGCGCAATGACTGTTTGTCCGTCAGTCAACGCGCTGTACTTCGGTCAGCCCTGTCATTAGTGGAAAAGCTCTCTCATGGCGCGGGTCCGGCTGGAAATGACTGTACTCTGTGGGATCAGGGTGACGCTCCCTACGCCGAACTCTCGCAGGCCGATATCACACATATCCTCATGAGAGGTAAGACGGTCATCGGGTGGGTTTCGCTATTCTGTGCTGAGTACTACAGATTGCGATGAACTCAGCAGTGGGAACACGGGCTTTCGGTTCCCCGATTTCCCAAGAAAAAGCGCTATAAAGCGGATCGCCTTGGCTCGGTTGGAGGGCACGGTCGACGAGCCAAACATTAACCTCCACAAAGTTATCTTACATTTCCGAATGGCTGTTCTATATCATGCATACACACCGTCAGATATTCGTGAGGTTCCTGTGGTGAGGTCCGTTGAAGATCTGAAAAGCAAGCACTTACATGCGTCTCTGGCTGCACTGAACCGAGTCGGGTTGTTAGCAACTCCGTCCCTGCTCCTGTTGCAGGCAATCATTACTGGAGTACGTGGCACGAGTAGCTATTTCACGAAATTTGGCTCTGACATCGATCCTTCAACAGGCTATCATTATGGCAATTCTAGGAGATGTACAAGGCTGCCACACGCTAACTGTCTCCGCCTGTCGCACTATAGTTGCTACAGGATATCACCTTCTCACTGATACAGTCGCGAAGACAGACGAGGATGAAGAAGCTCGATTGTGCATTGTTTGGTGCTACCACTTCGACAAGGCGATGAGCATGCTCCTCCGAAGGCCTTCAGTGCTGCCGAAGCTACGGGTATCCGTCCTCAATCTCGTGGAGAAAACCCCTATAGATCCCATGACGATTGTCTTTAAGCTTTTCACAGAGTTGGCTCAGGTGCAGGAATGTGCTATGGAGTTTCTTTTTTCACGAGACAAAGGACGCGATGATGAGGCGTTACTTGATGACATTAGTATCCTGCGAAACCAAATGGATGCAATTCATAGATCTATAGACGAGGTAGGTGCTTGACGAATATCATCTGACGCGGACGCTGACAGAATGGAGATCTCGGATTCAATTTCCCACGAGTCTAATCTGGACCTGATCTTACATGTGTTGAATCTAGACTTCACGGCTCATGCAATTGAAACGGCTATCCTTCGCTTGAATCCAAACATGTTGTCTGACGTAACTTCACGGAACACATGCCTCTGCTGCGCCAGAAAGGCGCTCTTATCTTTGAAGAAAATACAGAACTTCGTGACAGGGGAGCGGAATGCCCTTGGAGGCTATCAATTTTACTTGTCATGGTTCGTCTCGCAGTCAAGGAGATCTGATGCCCTTCGCTAACTCATGTTAGGATGGTGGCCACCTATCCTTTATGTCCTCTTTTCGTTGTATTCTGCCACGTTGTCTGCACCGCTAGCAGCCAAGAGTTCCATCTCATGGAAAGCATTGCTACTGGGTTCTCTGGCTTGCCCGCGCCGAACAAGCACATTGCGAAACTGGAAACTCTGTGTCGCACACTTGTCAACATCTGTCGACCACTCATTGTTTGGCCACAGGCCGCTATCACGTCCGTAAATGTTCCTGGATCTGAGGGGTGTCCGAGAGCGGACGGAGGAAGGCTGGAGAGAACTACTCCTAGCCGCGCCGTAAATGACGACCATGATCATTCGAGAAGCATCCAGAAACCTGAACACGCCAGGCACAACAGTGGCCCAGTTCCAGGGACAGATTCACCTGTATCCTTATACGGCGAGGATTGGAATCTTGGTGTTGAAGCTCCAACGGACCCCACATTGTGGGACAACGAACTGATATGGCAGCTCTTTAATTCAGAACCGTGTATAGATTGGTACAATGCCTGTGATTCTATTGAAGATTGGGACGCGGATTCACAGCTGAGGTCTTAGCTGAACGAAAGAGTACTTAGACACTTACTGGCGGGCATATCTTGTCGCCGAGCAGTGCAGGTTGGGCACTGGGCAATACGTGGGCTTCTTAACGAGAAACAACTTGTCTTCCCTTATCAACAAATGACAGTCGAACCTGTTCTTGTAAGCCTTCAGCCATAGGGTTCAGGTAACATGGAGACCATCGGCGTGGCAGTCAGCGCTCCGAGTCCACTGCCCGGAGCCCGGAACCGCCAAGAGTCCGACGGAGGTGCATGGTCAATTGCAGACTAAGATATATAAGGAATGCGAACGCATTCAGATCCCAAAGAGATTTGACTACCAGTTCCTCTACTCTGCATGCCAACCCTTTCATTTCCAGCAGATATCGCCGATTGGGCTGGAAACCGTCTCAACTTTCGCTATGGGTGGTAATTTGAACGACCCTAAGAATGGATAGTGAGTAGAGCCTCTTCTCTTTGCCCTGTATTGAGTGCTCGATTCGACCAAACATCATTTCCGTCTATCTTTAGCCGAGCGAATGTCTAATCAATGTGGTCTTACGGCTAGCTGACAATGTACAAGTTGGTTGGGTGTTCCGGGAGCATTTGGTACGTACGAAACGAGATCCAAAACCGATAGCTTGTTCAGTAAGATGGTCCAGTAGCTCTGGTCTTGTTAACTACTCGTAGTCCGTGCCAGCCCACAACGCGTGGTAACATACGTGCGGTCCCCCAACCGTCTCAGACCTCTGGCCGGCTGCCTACACGCTGCCATTTTCAACGTTGCTCGTCGCTGCAGGCAGCAAGCCCTCTATGTTGTCCCGCCTTTTATCGTTGCATACGTTGCGCTGCTATGGGCAGATGAGAGGCAGGTTTGGTCTGACGAATCCTTATCTGGATCAAGCTAACCATACGCACGGCTAGGAATAAGTACATCAACTCAAAGTCTGGCAGGATTGGCCCAGAGCACAAGATGGAGGGTTTGGGCACCGTCGCTTGAGCATTGGTCATTGGCTTGTTGGTTCCCTTTGATTGAGTCTTACGATTCTCCCGAATGTGGAGATAAGGTGTTGCAACTCTAGGATTGGTCTTAATTCGTACGCAGACATGAGAGTTTAATTTATCGTGCAGTGTTATATCCTTTCTCAATCACTGTATAAATAAAAAGGCAAACAAAATATCTTTCTTGAATCCTTTATTCTCTTTCACAACTCCCGCAACGCCTAAATAAAATTAAAAGGCTATAATTAGCCTTAAGCAATCTGTATAATACTAGTCTTATTTATATAAAACTTTTACTCTAAACTAGCTAAGAAATTAGTAGATTTCTATAGTATTCTTACGCTGGAGATATCGTCGACTTTTAGCATAATTTAATATAGAAATAATCTCTTTATCTTAATAATCTCTCTATATTAATATAATAAAGGAGAAATTATACATTCTTAACTTATATAAAATTTTTCTAGAAATAAATCTGTTAGTATCTATTCTTGGTTCTCTAATTAGTCTCTATAAAACTTAGCTTTAGATATAGCTATAGATTTTTATATATTTTAATATTGGTATATAATACTAGCGCTGTAAAACTATTTTATCTATTTATAAAAGATACTTAGAGTAAATAACTTAGATTATTAATTATATAGTATCAATATATTCTAGGGAGGCTGGGAAAATGACATAACTATTGGAGTGTACATAGGAAGATCTATCTTTGTTCGTCCTATAACACTTCTTGTCCGTACGGCACACTTAGATAGGTACATCCCGCGTCCCAATGCGTGCTGTATTCTTTCTTGAAGAAGTTAGCTCATATTAAGATGCCTGACCTACAGAAAAACGAGAAACGCCGAAGATGCAAGTCCTCTCTGGCGAGAGAGCTCCAGGACTTGATTGACCGGGAAGAGCGGTTCAAGGACAACTACGGCGATTTCGAAAACTCATGGACTTCAACGTGCGTATCACCTCTGATACCTTCCGGTGTCGCATGACTGAATTTCAACGTTATCTAGGCGGATCAATGATGGCTTGGCTAAAGCCCCATCCTTAGAAGGCTCTCGTCAGTCCTTCGACCAGACAGATATGAACAAGAGCGATGGACCAAGGGATGGTAACAAGTCATAAGGGCAAAGAGGAATTGTACTTTGTATGGGGCTATATTGGGTTTCCACGATCTACATTCATAGATACAGTGACGGAAGGAATATACAAACAATCTATTCATTGCTATAACATTCGGGGTATTACCAACACAAAACGCTATCTCCATGACCAGCATGGACCAAACACAACCATATACTCCATCCTCCAGTTACCACTCTAACCGATCGTCATGTATCAACTGTACGTCATACCGTTCATCGCCCTTCAGCACCTTCGCCGGGTCATTATGTGCAGCCACCGCCGTCCGCAGCGAGGAAATCAACCCGGTCGGCCCACTAGCAAATACCCGGGTAGGGCCTTGCGTCGTTCGCGACAAAAAGTCCGACAACAGGCCATGGACGTCGGGATGTGGCGAGCGTCCGTCCGCCCCAGGCGTACCCAAGCAGTGCACCGAGAACGGGCTATCGGCCGTTGCACCTCCCTCAAGGGAGGTCAGCGAGGACGACGAAGGACTGCGCTTAACGTCGACTTCCTTTTCTCCCCGGGCAAAACCCGCATTGTCTGCCGAAGTTGGTCCGCATTCACGGGTTACGAAAATGCGGATCCGGAAATGAGGACACGTCGCGGCCACTGCGCGGAGGGCGTCGATCTCATCACCAAGCCAGTGGATGTTATCCTTGCGGCGGATAATCCAGATGAACTCCACCTGGCTCCGCCGCTTGGGAAACAGGCTCGTCATGGTGATTGCCTGCAGGAGCGGCAGGACGAAGGTGACGCCAGTGCCGCCCGCGATGCAGAACAGGTTGATGTCGTCGGTGCAATGGAGATCGTGGTCCACAATGGATTGACCGTACGGGCCTGAGAGGACTATCGACGTACTCGGCAGCTCGCTTTGCACTAGCGGGGTCCGAGCGATCTTAGCCAGGTCGCCAGTGAGGCCCTTTTTGGCGCGGATGATGTAGGTGTGGTGTTGGGGGGAGAGCCCCGGGACGGTAGCCGGGGTCATGGGGTGCGATTGCCACACGCTGAGCTCTGGGAAACACAGATAGAAGTGCTGTCCGATGTCCCAGGGCTGGTGGTCATGTTTGAAGTCGAGGCGGATGACGTCGCCGTCTTCCTCGCTGGGGAAGGAGACCATCTGCGCCTTGGGCACATGCAGCCCCCATACTGCGTGGGTCTTATCCGAGTGCTTCCCCGTGTGGAGGAGGAACGTCCGCAGGAGGCGGACTCCACGGTCCAGGAGCCACACCGCCAGGGACGCAATCATCCAGCAGGCAAGCTTCGACCAGTGCCCCCAGCATGCGCCGACGTATAGCATGGCAACCACGTAGTGCGATTTGCGGAAGAATTCGTACCCCGTCCAGCGGATGGCCCATTTCGTGCTGAAGACGACCAGGAACGTCAGGAAGATCATGGCGACGATGCCCCAGATGATGTATTGCTGTCCGATGAAATGGTTCCATGTCTCAGGCTGCGGCTGGTATAGCTTTGCTTCGATCACGGTCCATCCGAGCGTGTGCAGTGCGGATTGAATGTAGATGATCCAGCCCAGCCAGCGGTGGAGAAAGTTGAAGTGGTGGTACGGGATACCCGTCAGGAGGGAGAGAAGCGACTCCCGCGTGCACAGCAGCACGGTGAGCGGCGTGAGCGCATAGGCGAGAATCCCGATGCGGTCCGACCACGGGCCCAGTCCCACGCGCGTCGTCCGCAGCTCCGGGTGTCCCTTTACCGGGCTGTACCAAGTCTTGTATACGATTCCCACAAAGGTGAAGATCGTCAGGTAGCCGATGATGATGGCCAGGAGGAGGATGTTGAACCGCGTGGTGTGGCCGAATATCGGCGTCAGAGCCTCACGGAGGAAGTGCCGGTGGTAGATGGATCCGAACATGCGCGACACGCGATACAAGGTGCTCTGGCCTCGGCGCGGACATTCCGTCGCATTGCTCTTAGTGATGCTTCGCGCGATCGGGTTGCAGTAGTGTGCGATGAAGAGGAGCAGGAGAATGCCGAGGATCACTCCCCACATGATGGCGCTATACATGACCGAGACATCGTGGCCATGGTACACTGTGTCCAGGTAGGCACAGGCCCCCGGATCGCTGGTGCATGGGACTTGTCGAGTAAAGTAGCCCCAATGATAGGTGTAATTTCCACCCTCGACGATTTCGTGGGAGCTATGGCGGGGAGACAGCATCTCGGCCAGTCAGCCCCATTGAAGGGGACCAGGCGAGTCTGAAGGGACGAGTTGAGGTTCTGGTGAAGTCTGGAGAGCGCTGCGGGCCCATCCATTTTATAGAGGCCGACCCTCATCTGGACGGATGGGTTCGTGCTGGTCGAGGCCAGACCAGTGGGCTGCCAAGCAAGAAATCTGCTCAAGTGTGACGCCAAGAGTGTCAATTAATATGGGTCCGACGTTCGGAGTCGGGGCTGGCGATGTGAGAGGCCATCAAGTAGTCGCGTGGATGCACACGGAGAAAGGTCCGTCTGCGGTTTCCTCCCAGGAAGCGTCCAAGAGAACACCATGGATAAGTATCTATTCATTATACAGTCCTTGGCAGTCTGCTTCCAACTGGTTCTGGAGAGTTTCGGATAATTTGATCGTGAAGACGAAGCTTGGCACGCTAATCTGACCTACAGCCAATGAACATCGCAGGATTGATGGCACAGCATGGGATCAATCTTATTACTAATATGCTCAAATCCGATCGTCTCCACACCAACACAGGCCAATCAGCAGCAGCCAGTAAAATGTCTTTATCATTTTTTTCTTTGATTGTTCCATCTTGATTGATAAACTGCCCTACGGAGTAGAGGCTGATTCAAGTACTTCTGTGTTCCTTCTATTCATGAGGCTATGCTCAACAGAAGTTATCCATCAGAAGGCCTCATCAACTGCTGCTCCAGAAACCACACAAAAGAGGCAACTCCCAGAAGTACACAGTTCGTAGCCTGTGATCGGCTGTAACTAACCTCTGGATGTTTAGCGGAGACACCCTCTGGCGGAGGGACCTTGCCTTGATCATGGCATCTTGGCTCGTTTATCCCCGACCTTTCGTCCGAGGCATTGTTCTCCGCCTTGTATGACTGTGGCTGGTTTATATTCTCGGCAACAGCTGAGGCGGCCTCGCCCAGCCCTGAATCATGTACCCGTTGTCTCCATCGTTCGAGACTGAAGACAAGGACCGCCACCCCTTCTGCACAGACTGCAACTATCGGAAACATGGTGGCCTCCAAGAGGTACGACAAGACCGTCTCATTCATGAGGAAGTGTCGCAGAAATATGATATACACTGCGAGCCAAGATGCCAGATATGTCGCAAACACGGCAATTCGAAATGCTTGGGGAGACGTAAAGTACCACTGCCCTAGCGACCTGCACCCCGGGATAGCCTTTAGCACGCGGAAGCACATCAAAGCAAATAAGGTCATCCCGACACAATTTAGGAATGTGAAAAGTATAACCTGGGAAACAATGCCGCCGACCCGCTTGGAGAGCGTGAATTGCGCAAAAGGGAGCATAAATGGACGCATGTCCAAATGTGTCAGCCACGCAATTGCCAACATCTCAGCTGTACTCCAGTACTTTCCGGCAAATTTCGAGGTCATGTATATGAGACGAAATGTGAGACAACGGTAATGTGAACATGTCCAGCTTTGTGGGGTGTGACAAAGGACAGCCACAATCCCCGATTCATAGTGTGTGCTCCAACCTGCGGTGGAGCTGTCCCTGTCTACCCCGGGCGATGTCGTCCAGAAGTGTTGTATGCGCTCGCAGAGATTTTGGGGGTTCGAAGTCGCGGTGTCAGGTGCATAACCAGGATTATGGCCTGATTCCTCCTTACTCGTAGCTGTGGCTCCGACTGGTGAGCGGTGCATGGGCAACCTATCTCTCTCGGCATCCCTTTTGCCCATGAATGTCCTCGTAGGCCAAGTCCGGTGGAGCAAAAAGCGCTCAGGCGACTTAGCAACGGCGGAGAGAAAGATTTCCACGTATATAGCCTCCACAATGAAACATGTCACGGTGATCTTTATTCCCCAGCTGCAGTCTGTCAACAGGAGCTTGGTATAACATGGCACAGTCACTACCATCAACAGCCCCCGTCTCCCAATACTCGACCACGAGGTTGGATCAGGAACTCGCTTCTTGCCCGGGGTTTGTGCATCGAAGTATAGGCGTCCAAGAACATATACCGCCGCATGTGTGTCCGTGATTCCCGATAGTCGCCACTTGATAAACGCCAGTGTCGCCTGGACTGTGGCAATGCCGGAAACGAAGGGGGAAAATCTCCGTAAATTTTGTTTCAAGTTCTCCGATAATTGTCTCTGTCCAACTGGTCTGATCAGGCTACTGATAGAGACCGAGAGAATAGCCGCTGTGATTACCCACGCGGTGGGAGTGGTGTCGAGGAACATCCCGCGAAAGACATTCGCCGTGCACGGATGAGATTGAGAGGCCACATCGCGAATTGTTGTTGCTATATATTGTATTGAAGCACACGGAAGTCTTCGGCCAGAATATCATAGCCACCCAATTATATCACTCGCTAAGTATCCCCGTGTTTGGTCGTCGTAGACGCTTTGATGCGATTTGACTATTTTAGCCGACCCGTGTACGAGGCTCAATGGTTTCTTGGATAGTCTTAAGCCTCAACTGGTTCGCTCATTCTTTCACAAAATACTCAGTAAGGGCCTTTTTAATGTGCAGTTTATAACTTTCAGGTGTCGTTCGCCGTCCAGATATACCCCGACGAGGAAACCTCCAGGAACAGTTCTACCTGGGCCGGTGAAACTATCAAAATTACTACTCTACGCCCATCCAGTCGTCAGAATTCTTCCACTGTGCCTCTCAAGCGGACAATGTGGACTTAGTTATGATAGTCAGCCTCCTGCGGTGAGCTTGAGCGCCACATACGTTGTGCTGTTCCACCGCCTTTCTGGCATGTATGAGGGATGCAGCCAGCGGCAAGGGATGTGCTGAGATATCATAAAGCCACCAGAGAGCACAAGTTTTCAATACCATTCTATTGTCGTGCATACGCTATCGAAAAAAAAATGCACGCGAAAAATCTGGGGCTCATCTATGGCAGCGAATGTATAGAACAACATCCGAATTTGGATGTCATTCATGACAATTGGTTCCTTGCGGGTTTCGCATTCTTTTTGAAAAATGCGCCTGGGGATCCCTTGCTTGCTTCGGAGTATATATAAACCCCTCTGTCTGTGTCTGAGACATCTCGGACTACGGTCTTTACTCCCCGTCGATCGACCTCAATATGGACTGGCTCCTAGAGAAAATCTTCACCGTCCCCCAACCTCCACCCAGGGTCCGAACCAAACCAATGCAAGTGATCTGCGTCGGGCTCTCCAGATCCGCAACAGAAAGCCTGAGAGTCGCCCTTGAACAGCTAGGATTTACTCCCTATCACGGCTGGGATCTGGTGTACGAAAAAGACATCGGCTACATCCAAGGCTGGACGCAGCTGCAGCGTCGAAAATGGGAGGGCCCACCTGACGGAGATGTCAACATCACCGCTGAGGATTTCGACGTCCTTCTCGGCCATGCTGATGCAGTCGTCGAGACTCCGGCCTGGTTCTTCGCGTCGGAGATGATCCAGGCCTATCCGGATGCGAAGGTCGTTCTCAACCTTCGACGGGACCTCGACGCGTGGCATCGGAGTGTGATGAAATCGCTCGTGGAAGAAGTCGAAGACCGGTGGTCGGCCCAGATCCTGAAGCGGCTGACTGCGTCGTTCTTTTGGAAATCCAAGTTCTTCTACCAGTATGGCTTCCGGCTGGGCTTCCGGACTCCGTTTCCGGGGTGGCTGCGGCCAGGTCTTGCTTGCAATGGCAAATGGGTATATCGAGAACACTGTAATATGATCCGAGGGCTCGTTCCCAAAGATCGTTTGTTGGAGTGGAGTGTTGAGGATGGGTGGGAGCCGCTATGCGAGGTAGGTGATTTGTTCCGCTCTAGGGAATTCTCTAATGTCTCTTTTTTTGCAGTTCCTGGGCAAGCCATGTCCCGATGGGCCTTTTCCGAATTCGAATTCCCTAGCTGAGTTCAAAGCGCGTCTGGATGGTTTGGTGAAGGACCAGGCCATTCTGGCGCTTCGAAATTTGCTGGTGCTCACCACATCTCTGGCAGCGTTGACAATAGCTGTAGTGTTTGGATCGAGGGGTGGGCTTCTTAGACTGCATTGAGCTCGTGTAATGCTTCAAAATAAGTTCCAACTCCTACTGGATTTATTGATGCACTGTAACCAGCAACGAATAGCACTTGAGTCCGACAGGTTGTACCAGTCAACTACGTACATCGTGGATAGACTCATGCTATACAATAGTCACATCAGACAGCTCATCTCGCTGAAACAAATCCCAAGCTCGTTCAGCAATGTTGGTAGGATTCAGCGATGACGCATCTGGCGAAACAATTCCTCCAACAATCACCATTCCAACATGTACACCTCGAGCCTTGAACGTCTTCTCCAGCGACTTGACCATGTTTGCCTGCGCAGCTTTCACCAGTGACAAAGAGAAGAGCTCGGGGATCGGGTCGACAGGCAGGAGACTGCTCGTAACAAGGATTGACGGTTTGTAGTCCGCGCCCGGGTTATTTTCCCTTGTCTTCAGGAGTAAGGGCATCGCCCATTTGGCTGTCACATACAGTGCAATTACAGAGATCTTGGTGTCCAGTCACTCGTTAGGTCCAGTCTGCAGTGACCAAGGATGGACATACCTGAAAGTCACTTTCAATCTTCTCAGTTTGAAAATCAAAGAACATGCTCTCGCCCACTCGTGCCGGGTTGAAATACACGCATTCGAGCGTGCCAAATGACTCGACCTCCTCCAACGCGGCTTTGAGCTGGTCCATATCACTGATATCCACCTGCCATGTCTTGACAATCACCTGGCGCCCGACCTTTTGTGTTGCGGACTGGATGGCGTCCTTGTCCTGCTGGAGCTGGGATTGGGTCCGGGCAAAAAGGGCAACATGATCGAACCGCTCTTGGGCAAAACGAGATGCCACGGCTACACCGATTCCTGGGCCAGAACCAAGGAGTAGGAGAGTTCTTGAAGTAGGTGCAACCATTGCAAGTGATGACAGTAAACAGCAGAGGAGAGCGCTATGGAAGCATTCTTCCCTCCTCGTGGGGATGATGATCTCTTATGCTTTGGAGTATCCTGCAGGGTGACCTGGCACGTCTTCCGTGCAGACGAAGCTGAATAGTTGCATAGATAATTTAGGGCAATAACACCGACAGGCTAGCGGCCGACATCATCTTGCATCACAACATACAATGCACGGCAGGACCACAGTTACATTATGCCACCGCAAAGTTTCGACAGGACCATTTCTTCATTCTGCCTAGTCAGACGTCCAACTCAACACCGTGAGTCGACACTACTGGCTAGCTCGGGGTAGACGATCCTCCTCTATGGTGCCAGCCTGCAGTCTCACATATCCTGCAGCTCCGAGAGGTCGTTATATCCTCCAGCTTGCCTTCTTGCGGATATGCGGACCGAGCGAATGGGACTAGCGGCCGCACCAGCACTGCACGTAAGCATCACGAAGGCCGTTTTATTGGTAGGGCCTGCGAGGCGTGGTCTGGACAGCTCATCGTTCATACGTGAAATATATTAAATAGGATTGTTGTCCCTCTCAATCAACTAACCCACCTCATTGCTCTTTCCAGACTACCATCCCTTTCACCCTCTATCTCTACAGCATCATGAATAAGCTCTTTCCAAACACAGAATCCCCCTTCATCGCCAGCGCACCCATGTTCGGGTACGCAGATGGGAGGTTGGCAAGTGCCGTCTCAGCAGCCGGCGGATACGGTACTTCCCTTCCTCCAGCTGTCACAGCGGCCATGCGATAGCTAACCCCCAACACGACAGGCTTCATCGCGGGCGGCTACGATTTCACGACCGGATCCACGCAGCTCCAAATGCTAGAAGCAGAGCTCTCAAAGGCCCGCACGCTGCTCGGAATCCAAGATCCAGAAGAGAGCATACCGATCGGCGTAGGCTGTCTGACCCTGCAAACGGACGGCCTCATCGACAACGCACTGCCTATTCTCTGTAAGGCCCGGGTGACGGGTGTCTGGTTGTCCTTCCCCCAACACGGGGCTGACCACGGGCCCATCATCGCCCGCATCCGGAAGCTTCGAGAGACGGCTGCATGGGACGTGAAGGTTTTCGTGCAGGTGGGAACCGTGCAGGCGGCGCGGGAGGCTGTGGAACTACAGGCGGATGTGCTGGTCGTGCAGGGCTCGGATGCGGGTGGACATCAATGGGCTCATGGGGCCAGCGTGATGACCCTTGTGCCTGAAGTGCGTGATTTACTGAGGGAGATGGGGAAGTCGGGGGAGGTGGGTATGATTGCTGCCGGGGGCATAGTGGATGCTAGGGGCTTTGCGGCAGCGATTGGGCTGGGTGCGTATTGACGGCTTGCGAGATGGTCCGATACTTGCTGACTTGTCTGGCGTTTTAGGTGCAGAGGGAGTCGCCATGGGCACTAGGGTAGGTCACCGCATGCTGTTAAGGATGAAGCGATGCTCATGTTGTTCTCTAGTTTATCGCCACGACGGAATGCCCAGCTCCGGACTCGGCCAAGGAAAAGATCCTGTCCACTATGGACGGCGCTACGACGACCATCAAATCAAGGGTGCATGATGTGTTTCAGCATACGGATTTCTGGCATGAGCGTTATGATGGAAGAGCCATAGTTGGGCCAAACTACAAGGATTTTCTGGATGGCGTCGAAAGAGATGAGATAACAAGACGCTATGATGAAGCAAAGGCCAACGGAGAACAGGAGAGAGTGACAATCTGGGCGTACGTCTTCCTTTTTCTTCCTTCATATATCCTTCCACCATGTGAGCATTACGTTGACAGTGGTATAGTGGTACGGGTATCGGCCGCATCAGGGATGTTGTACCAGTCAAGCAGCTCCTGGAAACCATTCGTGCTGAGGCTCGATCGGTAGCGACGCAGATTCAGAAATCACTTACGGGAATATGAATGTATCTCGGCAAGAGCCTTCAGCCTATGCGTCTCAGATAAATTTCTAGATGATCATTAGAGTTGGAGGCTTGCACAAGACAATGGATATCCTACCACAAATCCTCCAATGCCTCCTAGCATAGATCAATGTCTGGCGCAGCGGTCCATCGTCCAGTTGGAACTCGTTTCCGAAAAGCTTCTTCAAGCGAATTGTTGCAAAAATAGCCTCCCCGATGCATACAACTGTGTGCAACGGCACCCAGTCGATGTTGTCCTCCGCAGCCAGTGTATTGAACTTGCAACAGATGTCACGAACCATATTGATGAAGGACTTCAGTGCTAGAAGTGAGGGTGCTGTCGAATAAGATGGGTCTGAATAGGAAAATTGGATACTACGATCAATCCGGAATTGGTGAAGAAGAAGCGCAGCCCTATTTCCATCAGCACGGTTTTCGGCATGATGGTAATGCCTCACATCATGGTCATTGCATTAGCTCCGCATGAAACTGCCCAACCGCGAGGAGTCTGCTCAAGCAGGCGCTCCGCAAACTGGATCAGTGCAGTATCGAGTGCAGTGAACTTCACTGGGAAGGATTGCACATCGTTTGATTGTTGAAAGACCTGTACGTGACCTAACAGACGAGCCGATTGGACTTCTCGGGCAAAATAACAAAGTGGAATCTCAACCGGGGCAGACATGGTGAATTGAGGAATATCGTGAAGCACTCCCTCTTGGAATTGCTCGAGGATGAGATCATCCACTGGCAGGCGAAAGTGATCTGATAGGTCTGCAACGGTATGAGGGGCCTTGAAGTCGGTGACTACCTGATACACAATACTGGCGAATGTTAGTCCTCGGTCAAAGCTTTCTCATACTTGACATACCGATCCAGCAGATATAGTCCAGCCCAGACTCTCCGCCGCTCTTCACCGTCAGCCCAAGCTAGCCGGTCAGTGTATCCACTCCAATCGTCAGTATCCAATTTCAATGCGTATCCTAGGCGTGCACAATTTGCGATGCTCAGGGAGGCGGCACCCGAATCAGAATCACCAGCCTCATGTAGCACGAGTAACAGTCCGCTCTGTACGAGTTGCAAGGAGGGTGCGCGTCGGAGCTGGAGAAAAGAGAACAGGTATTTAAAGAGGTTGTAGAAATGGGACTTCAGATCATTCTGGACACCCCTGTGCATCACGAGAACTATAGCGAGGACCAAGAGGGCTGTCTCCGCAGAAGGAGTATGCTCTAGTTGTGCCACCCGTTTCCGGAACGGTCTCTCCATAACAACAGGTAGCCATGGATGGATGTTTCCGAAATAGGCCGCCAAAGCATGATCTAACGATATGCTCTGTTCTTTTAGGTTTTCAAAAACCAGGCTCACGTATAGTTGATCGAGCTCCAAGGTGAGTGTGGAGGACTTCTCCATCCCCGGTTGCAGGATCCGAGACAAAAAACTCGACGGGTCGCTATCATTATGATCATTCTGCCCGGTACTACTCCAGCTGTAGTTGCAGGATCGTTTTAGCCTTCTTTGCGTTTAGTCCTATTGCAGATCAGAGGTAAGAGAAGAAAACACGGTCTACCTAACGCAGCGAGAGCAGGCCGGCAGTCTTTTGTCGCATTTGCGTTTCTGCTCCCGACATGCAAGACAGACATTGATCGCATTACTTGAAGATGGGTCTGATAGTATCTGGGAGTGGTCCATTGTGATGCGGGTGGGCGTGTTGATATGGTGAAATACGAGGTGAGATCTGGCCGAATTAACCCCGCCAGCGACTACTCACGCTAAGCAACTAGGCCAGATTTGTCAATCGTACTTTGTTCTATTCTCTTCAGCCTGATCATTCTTAATATGAGGTTAGTTATGTACAGGGATTTCCCTCGATATGATACTATCTAGGTACCATTCTCTGATCTAGTACGGCCAACTGGGCGACTTGACCTCCTTCTAGATACAAACACACTCCACCTATTGCAATGTCAATGACGACAGAGAAACGCCCGTCGCCTCCGATCTATAAAACAAAAGGTTTCGCGGCTACGTCAAGCACCGATTAACTTCAGAGATCAACCCTAATTGAGCTACCTGTTTGTTCGCAGTAGCCATGACGTCAGGGTCCCTTGCCATCCAACTGCTATAAATCCAACAACGTGCAACTAGCACTGCGACCAAGTGCTGCATGTTATGATTCTATAAATCAAAATCACATTAACAGCCCACTATGGTCAAAGACAAGAACACCGTGATTGAGTATGCACAGCCCCATACATCCATCATTGCCCGTGCTGATTCGTTCAGGGAGTTCAACGACCTCGTCAACATGACTCCTAACGAGCTCCGGGACTGGTTGAAAGAGGAACAATCGCAGTCTTCCGGATGGAGTAACGACTCGGGAGAGACAATTGGACATGAAAGGTTTGTCTCACCTCGCTGGGTTCTCCGGAATGCTAATCGCTAGACAGTGGACGGAAAATCGTCTCTATCCTTGAACATAATCCATCCAAAGACCCGTCCGGGTACGATGATCAGGACATTGATCATATGCGTCGCGTGGTCGCATACTGTAAGCGACATCTCGCGCAGGAGGAGAAAGCGAAACAGAACACAGAGAGTCGAAGCTACAAGTCCTTGAAGAACTGGGGTCATGATCCGTTGAAGACTTGATATATAGTATCCTTTATTGCTGTTATCTGTAGCAGAATTCGGGCGTACTCACAGATATACTTCGTCAATATATCCTCCAAAGCAAAGAGTCACATAAACGTCTCGATAACCGGGACAATCAGGCAAAAGACATAACGTAAAATGCACCCATCAGGACCAGATTTGATAGGCAATAACACCAACCGGGTGTGGCAAATCGAGCAACTATCGATAGTCTGACGATGTTATGAACGTGTGATCTCGTACGCATCCAGCGAGGCCGTTGGTGCCCATATCAGCTCGACATAACTTTGGTTACGTATCTCAACAGGTTAATCTACATTACCCTTTCGCAATCAGGCTCACTCAACACCCTACATCTTAATCAATTAAGCCAGGAGCAGTTTATCTCAGTGTGCTGATTTGTGGACGCCTGTCCACACACAGGCCCGTTCGCACAGAAATTGCCAGCAGACTGCCATTCCGTGTGGCTGTGAGACATGCAAGGCATATGTATGTTGCACATCATAGGATTCTCGTCATACCCTTCCTCGTCAAGTCCAGATACGTGACTATGCTACATCCATGTGACTATCTGAGTGGCCAAACATGATGTGCGTTGATTTCCTCCGTTACCCTTTCCATCTCCTGGCATATACTCTCAGATGTCCCCGTGATTGTGCTTCGGCGAAACCATAACAAGAGAGAAAATGCTTATTTTCTTGCCGTACGGCTCCTATGCAAAAATCTTCTCGTCCCGTTCGCAACAATAGGGCCCAGTTGACAGATAGGTGGTGAAGAGCCAACCCTACCGTAGCTACCGACTGGAAGTTTATTGAAGACGGAGAGTGTCGTATCGTCGCAACATGCCACGTCGAGCGAGTCACAGCACTGAGCTCCTGCATCCTGCCAAGTGGGTGATCGCTGCAGGTCTACAACATCGGTATCGATAAGCTGCGGCTTAGTATCTGGATGCCGAGCACTATCGCCTGGCTATTTTTACTTTCGAATACCTGCAGTCAACGAAGCTCTATCCGAACGCGTGGCAGGTGTACGCATATTGAAACGGCAGTGCCAAAATAAGATCCACGCATTAAAACTAATGCAGCGCTCTCGACCAGGCAGCTGTTTGTGATGTCATGCGGGCTTCAGATGAATATAAAATAGGTCCTTGTCCCGTCGCCATATACCAAGTGCAAAACATTCTCGGCCCACTTTGAGACCAATCCCAAATCCCTCGCCAGCGCCATGGCTGATACCAACCCGCGCGTCCAGACCTCCACAGACCACCTCGCTCGAGCTACTAGGTCCAAGTACGGCCATGTCCTCGATGACATCACGCATATAACCAGCCACAACACTAACCATGCGGACGTAAAGATTGAGAACTTCATCGGATATTCGACCGTGCCCATGGGTCTTGCCGGTCCACTGCGAATCCACGGCATAGACGGATACAATAACGATACATACGCACCCATGGCTACCACCGAAGCTGCCTTAATAGCCAGCTGTTGCCGCGGATGTAAGGCAATTAATCAGAGCGGCGGCGTAAAGTTCCACGTCTTCGACGATGGCATGTCCCGGGCCCCGGTATTCCGATTCCCTGGCCCAGATGATGGGATTGCTTTCGTTCAGCGACTGCCCGAGCTGCAGCCCGCGATTATCGAGCAGGCAGAGTCCACCAGCCGTCACGCGCGCGTGAAGAAATTAACACCGCATGTCATGGGGTCGGAGGTACACCTCCATTTCGACTACACCTGCGGCGACGCCGCGGGCCAAAATATGGTGACCATCGCTACTCAGTGGGTATGCGAGTGGCTGATGGAGCCAGCCCGGCGCAGGGAGCTCAGGATCCTGGATTATCAGGTCGAAGGGAACATGAGCTCGGACAAAAAGCCATCCTCGGGAAATGTGACGACCCCTCGCGGCGTCCGAGTAATGGCGTGGGCGTCGATATCCGAGACAGCCTGTTGCGATGTCTTCGGCTGCCCGGCAGAGTCTCTCTACGTCGCATACAGACGAATGGAGGCTGCTACTATCCGGAACGGTCTGCATGGAAGTAACGTCAATACGGCCAATGTGCTCGCCGCTATTTTTATTGCGGCTGGACAGGACGCCGGCAGTGTAGCGGAAGCCTCCTGGAGCCATACAGCGCTGGAGTATGACCGTCCGAATCAGTGTCTGAAGGCCTCTGTTTACTTTCCATCGCTCCCAGTTGGCGTGGTCGGAGGAGGCACATCATATCCAACCCAGCAAGAGGCACTCCGGATCATGAAGTGTACGGGATCCGGAGGAAAGCGTCGCCTGGCTGGTATCATTGCTTCCTTTGCCCTGGCGCTCGATATGAGTACACTTGCTGCCATTGGGAGCAACACCTTCTCACAGGCGCATCAGCTCTTGGCACGTCGGCCTCCGGTGGACAGATATGCTGGAGTCAAGTTGTAGGTAAGCAAACCTCATTAGTTAATATTTGTCCGGCTCTTGATTCTGTGCGTATGACCCGGACAAGATTTTTGAGAGTGACATGTTGGATTATGCCGTGTAAGATTGACAGACGTCGGCTGCGCAGAGAGAGATTTATCCTTTTACTTGGTCAATACAAAATCTTTCCTACACTTAACCCTGTCATTTTGGTAGCTTCTTGCCTAGTCTCTATCTGTTAACAGATCACATATTGTTACGAATATAGTACTAATATTGTTCGTTCGCCGCCGTATAGAGAAGATCGATTTATTTTTTCACCTAAGGTGGTAGAGATGGGGTGAGCTGGATGGCTTCATTTTTTTTTAGATCCTTGGTCTACTCGTAGACTTGATGTCGCACGGTTATGTCTGCATCTCCAAGAGATAAGTAGAGCAGTTATGACGGATTTGGAACAGGTATAGAAACAAGGGGCCTTCTGCCCCTTCTTCAATTCGAGGTTCACCCCCTACCAGGAATATGGCGGAGGGTACAATTGTACATACAGTAGCGACAAGGAAATATATATCGCAGGGAATAGAGTATCTGGATAGCTACCTCACACTCTTTTCAACTGACGAACTATACCATACAGAACTGTGGGATGATAGAAGACAATGACAACAACGGCCGTGTTCTTTTCTAATTATCCCTGGTTCTATCTCCATTCGAAAGGATAGTGTTGAGCCACGGGATCAGGCCCTCGCAGAATCATAATAGGACCCGCCGAAATTCCCCAGTCGCTCATCGTTCAACGAAACTTCGTAAAGGAGCTCAGCGACACAAGCCTAGCGCTCAGTTGAGTCAAATCCTTAGCTAAGTCTTTCAGAGGCACAGTAGCCCCCAGCTCCTTGGCAAACCACGTCCGAAATTCCATCTCGATCAACGAGTCGACGCCGTTCGCACGCACATTGAGGCTATCATCGATAGTGTCCTCAGAGATGTTCAGCAAATCGGCCATCTTGCGTCGGAGCGCCTTGTGAATGATTCTTGCCGCCTCCTCTGGGGCGGTAGCGGACTGGAGCTGATCGCGAATGTGAGTCGCCGATTGCGCGCTATGCGAACCGCCAGGACCGGTGTTGGAGAGAGCTGGTGGGAGCTGGGCAAACATGGGATACTTGAGATGGGTCGGTGGCGCCTCATTACTGAGACTGTATGAAGCGGGGGTGCGAAGACCACAGATGAGCTGCGCGGTATCGGGACTCAGGGCCATATGGTGACGTCGATCGATCAAATACTCGACAGTCGCCAGGACTTCTTCCTCAGTTTGTGGATTGGCCATTTTAAACGTGTGTTTCGCCGCGTATTCTGCGTTTTCCGCAATGAAGCCGATCCCTACGACTGCGCCGAGATTAACACTGGCACCGTGCATCCCCTTGGAAACACGGTAACGTGCCAGAGAGTCCTGGAAGTTGTTGCCGGCGTTGTAGTTGGCCTGGCTTCGATTGCCCACAATGCCAGTGATAGAACTCAGCAGCAAGAAGAAATCAACATCCGGCAGCAGGCAGTGGAGGTTCCAAGATCCAGAGACTTTGGGAGTCAGGGCAGTCTGCCATTCTTCGTGTGTCATGGAGTCGAAGGCTTTGTCCTTCAGGACAAAGGAGCATTGTATACATCCCTTGATTGGGGGCAACGTTTCTCGAACCCGTGTGATAACCTCAAGGAGACGTGTCTCATTTGAGATATCACACTGGAAGACATGGCTGGTACAGCCAAGAAGCTTGAGTTTGGCAATCGTCTCTTGTCCTGCTTCGTGGACTGTAGCTGACCGTGACAGGAACACAATGTGCTTGGCTCCGCGACGAGCCAACCTGAGTGCGATGCTGCGGCCGATCCCTCCCAAACCTCCCGCTAGGATGAATGATGCATTTGCATCGAGCTCCAGAGGGAGAAATGGTGGCGGTATGACAGAAACAGGATGAGTGCCCGGAACAAGAGTAACTTTACCGATGCTTTTTCCTGTTTGCAAGAGACGCAATCCTTCCTTCAGCTGCCCATAGTCAAGGACTTGGGTTGGGCGGGCTTCATGAATATCTTGGTTGGACCACAAGTCAATCGTTTCTTGTAACAGCTCCTGGCAGACCTCTGGCCGGTTTTCAGCCAAAGCATTGAGATCCACGCCGGAGAAAGAGACGTTGTAGAGGAAAGGCGTCATGTCCAGCTTGGAGCCAGCCTGCAAATCAAGCTTTCCAATCTCAACAAAGCGTCCAAATGGTGCAACACACTGCCAGGACTGTCGCAATGCTTCACCGCTGAGCGAGTTAAGAACAACATCCACCCCAGCAGGCGCAATGCGTTTGATGCCCGCTGCAAAATTTAAATCACGACTTGAGAAAATGTGGTCGGGGCGAATGTGGAAGTTTTCCATGATGTATTGCTTCTTTTCAAGACTAGAAAGGGTCACGAAAATCTCTGCCCCCTTGGCATGAGCGTACTGTATGGCGGCTTGTCCAATACCCCCGGCAGCGGCATGGATCAAAACTTTCTCACCGGCGCGGAGCCGAGCGATGTGGCCGAGCGAGTAGATCACTGTGCCATAGATAATGGGCAATCCTGCGGCGATTTCGAAGCCCATCGTGTCCGGAATCTTGATAGCAAGCCCGCAATGGACGCGACTGCGTGTGCGCAATGTACCCATTTTGCCGGGCGAAGGGTCCCCCAGGTACATGACCCGATCGCCAGCCTTGAAAGTGCTGACTGACGAGCCTACTCGGACAACTATACCAGCTGCTTCGTGTCCGAAGCCTGGTTGATCAATCTCCCCCATGGCCACCAACAAATCTTTGAAGTTCAGCCCAACTGCATGAACATCGATCTCGATTTCATTCACAGCAAGTGGCTTCCTAGAAATATCTTCATCGGTGACCCATGTCAGAGAATCAATTCCGGGGCTTGTATTGATCAATCGAACAGGTCGTTCAATACTTTCCCAGGTAGACAGTGTCGGCTTTGGTGATGAGAACTGTGCTTCAATGACAGCGCTGGCCACCGTGTTTTTGACGGCATGGTTAGTCTCGATCACTGAATCCCGAATACGATACTCAGAATTGGTATTGCCAGAGTCCTTTGAACACTGATCAAGGAATTGATAACGAAGAACTCGGATCAGTGCATCAACATTCATGTCCGTAGAGGCTGTAGACTCGCCGTCAAGGGCAATCGTGATCAAGTTTAGGTCGTTGCGATCCAGTTCCCAGCGAATGGTACGGATCAGCCCCGTTGCCATTTGGAATTCTGGGTGCGCCAACGGATCGCCAGTTACCCACAACAGTGAGTCGCACGCGGTAACTAGATTCTGGATTGCCTGGAATGTAGTCTCGTCCATGGAGTTCAGTATGGGCTGCTCAGCCTCGAGCAAAGAAATACAGACTCTGCCGATCACATTATCAGCCCGGATGTCATCGATCAGACAGATTGAGTGAGACACTCCTGCAGTGAGCAGTCCTCTGGCAAGCGAGCGAGAGATCTCCGAGTGGGACTGGATTATCACGAGGACTTCGAATGAAGGAGGGGTAGCCTCCAACATTCCGTGACTTGCAGTGGATGCCACCAAAGAGAAATCGGCAAAATCCGGATAGATAGAGCTTGAAGCTTCAAAGTCAACCCCGGAGAACCCAGTATTACGCAGGACCCTGTCCCATTCAAGCTTGTCGGTGCCGCTCTCAGCATCCCAGGAGGCCTTTGTTGCCTCCCGCCATCCGGGCAAAGCACCAAATATGATATTGGCGTGGAGGGACTCCGATCGAACATCCTCAAGAATAAGGAGACGACCCCCTTGTCGCATCAAAGAGTTTAGTCGTAACATCATCTCTTCCATGTTCGGCTGGCCCCGCACAAAGTTATTGACAATGACGAGATCGAAAGGGTTGATCTGGATTTCCTGCTCCGAAGACTTGGCTGTCAAGTCAAGTGCTTCGTATCTGATAATGTCCACCCACGCAGACAGACGCTTTTTCAGTTTCTCACAATGATCAGCTGATTGAGAACGAATGGTATACTGCTCGATGGAATTCTCAGTGCCATCTACACAGAGTGTTTTGAGAACGTGTTCAGCCAGGACTCCTGTGCGACTGCCCAATTCCAGGACGCGAAGGCCTCGTTGGCTCTTGCGAAGGAGAGTGAGGTATTGAGTCAGTGCGGGAAGGATCTTGCCGCGGGATAGTCTGTTTTCATCCCATACTGAGAGGAGGTCGTCCTGTTCATAAAGAAGATACTGTGCTGTGATCTCTCTTCCTAAGATAGACGGGATTGCTGCTCCCATTCTGACAAGAAGGGCGCCGTCGGGGCTCTGGTCCTCAATCTCACGATAGAGTTGCTCTTTCAGGTCAGAGTTTCGAGAATACTCCAGCCACATATCCAGAGAGACATATGGGATACTTTGAGTCGTGACACCAGCGGCAATGGCCCGCAGGAGCTCTCTATACCCTCTCTGATGATCTTCCAGGTTGACATCTTTCATTTCACGAGATTCCCGGAGGCCATCAGTGGCCAAGAGAGTTGAAGCTAGTTGTAGCTGACTGAACCATTTTTGCTGAGCATCGAACGTCTCCAACGGAGCGGGAAAACGTGACAAAAGCTTCTGAAACTCCCGTTTTGTAAGAAGATTCAGATCCGGATACCATTCAACCGAATAACAAGTCCTATTTTCAGCGGCGATAGACTCACTGGATTCGGGCTTGAATGGAGACAGCCGAATACCTGCCAGCGAGATGAGTCTTTCGCTGGGGTTTGCCGGGTCCCACGCATGCACTGTGCTCTCGAAAGCACCGTGCAGAGCATGAGAAGCCTCACTAGTACAACGCAAGATGGTACCGGGGTCAGATGAGAGCGCAGTTGCAGACAGCCAAACGTCTTGGACATAGCTGGGGACACAGCCCCGGCGCATCATTGTCTTGCCCTCAAGGTCATAGATAGATGCAAATGACGCGTGGAATGCATTATCCAAAGTGGTAGGATGGATTAGATGCCCATGCGCGTACTTCTCTGGCATCACTTGAGTGATATCCGGGACGACAATGTCGCCTGTCATCAGTCCTTGTTCTCGATCGCCAATGTTGACGGCGGCTAGATTGCGGAAGGAGGGCCCATGATTGACACCAATCTTTCTGAGATGATCGTATACAGGTGTAAAGTCAACTGGTGCGGTGCAAACATCCTGTCTGGACTGGGCAAATGCCGAGAATTGCGCTTTCTCAGCCTCTTGCGTACGAGTCCCGTCAATTGGATTAAGTGACTTCTTCAAATCTGGAGAGACTTCACCCGTGCAATGCTCAATCCACTCCTCAGTTTTCTGGTTGTAAGAAGCTACCTCGAACCGCTTCCATGCCGTCGACAACGATGTTCTGGATTCCGGCACTGGGTAAAAGGAAAGGCACACCTCTACTCCTTGCGTATCGTCTGGGACCACGAGCATTGCTTTGAATTTGACATCCCTCAGGAAAATCCCGACCATCTCGGCGGGATCAGTGATCTGTTTCATGCCTTCCACAGCCATTACCATATAACCAGCTCCGGGGAAAACAAACTCGTCACCGATCTGAGATCACGTCAGTGTCTGTGCTCATTTAGGCTCTGCATACGGGATGTGATACTTACTACGTGCTCTTTCAACCAGGGGTTCTCTGAGACGCGCAGGAAATGGCGCCAACGTGGGCTATTTGGGTTCCAATCTGGTACTGGGGCCCCAAACAAGTCATGTCGAGGAAACTGTCGCAGACGGATGTTCTTGATCAATCGGCTCTCATAAAGCCCTTGTTCCTCATGGCTGAATGGGTACGGAGGTAGATCCGCAAGCATGCGAGGCTTGAGCAAAGGATTTGCAGACCTATTGACCTTGTCCAGATCAACAGGGGCACCGTGAGCAGCCAGACTCCCTATTGTGTCAAGTAATGTGCCCAACCCGGTATCCTTTCGGCTCAAGGTGGCCAAGTATGGAATCCCTGAGCCCAGACCGAGAATGTCCTTGACTGCACTTTGCATTGCAGGATGAGGACCGACTTCCAGGATAACGTCCACCTGACTACCCTGAACCGAGGAGCCGTCACCCAAAATGGAATCAAAGCACATCGAAGAAACCGCCTTTGTGAATTCGACGGGACCAACCATGCTGTTCGACCAATGCGAAGACTTTTCTGGCACACATGAATCGTCTATCAAGCGACCCGTGAGGGTAGAAAACATATGCACAGTATGGTCAAAGTGCAACAGACGGTTGGACGGCAAGTCACCCACAAGCTCTTCGTATTCCCCCGTGAATTGCTCCATGTGGGCAGAATGGGCGGCATGCTCGACTTTAAGCTTCCGAGTAAAAATGCCCTGTTCGTCGAGCAAGACTTTCAGCGCATCCACCATTGCATCATCACCTGATATTGTATGATTTCGGGGGCTATTGTAGCAAGCGATTGACAGAGTACCGCCTGGCAGTGCTGCGTGCACTTGACTGAGAAGATCTAGCAGAGGCTCTTCCTCAATACCAGCTGCAAGCATGCCGCCTACACGATCTGTCTTCCCATGGAGGAGGACATGACCCCGGTAGTAGGCCACTCTCCACGCACCCTCTCGTGAGATTTTACCTGCGCAGTAAGCTGCCGCAATTTCTCCCGATGAATGGCCCACAACACGGTGAGGCACAACGTTCCAACTGAGCAGAAGGTCAAGCAGCGCAATTTGAACCGCGCAGGATAGTGGATGAGCGAACGCCGATTTGGATATCCTGGAGTCTTTTGAATCCCTTGTAAGCTCCTCCAGCAACGACCAATCGCAGCCCAGTGACTTGAAATAGAGACTTGCTTCTTCGAGGGATTGTCTAAAAACTGGATATAAAAGAAGCTGCTGGCCCATCTGTGCGTATTGAGCTCCTTGACCGGTGAAGACAAATCCAACTCGTAGGGGCGATCGTGACTTGATCGCTTTCAAATGAGGCTTGGATAGCATGTCATGCAATTCCACCAGGGAGCTGCATAGAGCATAGGTTTTCCAAGGAAGTCGCGATCTCCTCGTCGATAAAGTGAAAGCAAGATCATGCAATGCTTGCCCAGCAGAATTTGAATCCAAAGACGAGATGTAGTTTCGGATTTGCGCAAGGACTTTCTCCAAGCTTTTCTCGTCGAAAGCCGAGAAGAGAAGAAGACTCGATGCTTGGAGCGCCTTGGTATTTTCAGGCATATGCCCAGGGCTCGGATTGATGCCATTGACTCCATTTCCGTTGGCCCCAACAGTGCCGGCGACACCATGGGAGCCGTTGGCGTTGGACCCAGCACTATCACTGCCACGAGGCTCGTCAAATTTGTTGAATCCATTGGCACTATTAGTCTGGTATCGCCGGACGGCCTTTGCGACAATAAGTTCAATCTCCTTCTCCGAGGGCACAGTTTCAGCGGTCCTGTGCCGAACAGAGATCCCTCGTTGGTTGCAGTAATGGTATGCATCATCCAGAATGCAGTGTGCATTTGTCCCGCTTATTCCATACGAGCTGATCGATGACCGCCGGATGCCAGTGGTGGGCCATGGAACGCACCGCGTAGGGAATTGGAGATTCCATTCTGGGCGAATTTTCGGATTAATTTTCTTCAGAGTCGCATTTGGTGGGATAATACCAGACTCCAGGAGGAGGACAGACTTGATGACACTGGTGATGCCAGCGCCTCCTTCGAGATGTCCAACATTGGGCTTGACAGCACCAATGTAGAACGGCCGATCTCGCTTCTCAGTCTCAAATGCAGCCGCAATTGCCGTGCACTCCATCAAGTCTCCAGCTTGGGTTCCTGTTCCATGACTTTCGGCATATATTGTGTCCTTTGGGTCCAGACCTGCGGCCACGTAGGTCTTCCTAATCAGTGACTCCTGAGCTGCTGCACTTGGATATGTCATTCCGGGGGTGTGGCCGTCATGATTAAGGCCCGTACCGCGGACGACGGCTCGAATAGTATCGCCATCACGAATGGCGGCTGATAAGGTCTTGAGGATTACTGTCCCTACACCCTCTCCGAGTCCATATCCATCTGCCCGTTGGTCAAATGCCAGGGACTTGCCCTCTGATCCCAGGAGCCCGGAGTATGACATCTTCATCAGATGGGAGAGGTATCCGATCACGCTGACACCACTCACAATGGCCTGTGTTTATCCAACATGGTTAGTCAAATTCTTGCTAACTATTTCATATAGAAAACACTCACCATATCGCTCTCCTTTGCCTGCAGGCTCTGCCTGGCCAGGTGCAGCCCCACCAGACTGCTTGAGCAGGCAGTATCGATTGTAAGACTAGCTCCTTGAAAATCATAAAACCAGCTGACTCTCCCGGAAATCATAGAGTTCTCAGCCCCGGTGGGCCTGTGCTTGAATGACAGTTCTAGATCACTGTTTAGGCGATCGGCGTGGTGGTAGTTGAAGCCGCTCACAAACACGGACGTGTTGGAAGAAATGACATCTTCCATGGGAAGACCAGCTGCATAACCCTATAGTCAGTTCCTATGCTCCCAGTTCATGGCTCGACTATATCTGACCGTTTTCCAATGCGTGATACACATTTTCCATCAAGATGCGTTGCTGAGGATCAAGACTTTGCACTTCAGTCTTGCTCATTTTGAAAAAAGCCGCATCAAACCCATTAGGGCTTTCCTCGAGAAAAGCAGCACCTTTGACGTAAAACTACCATGAAGTTAGTCCTATCTCGGGCACATCAGTGTCTTCTTGACCAACCGATCCCCCCCGGTTCGGGTTAGGGTGATAGAACCCCTTGGAGCTGAGTCTATCCTCTGGGATTGGACGAGCTGCCTGTCTTGCTCTCACGAGAAAGTCCCAGAAAGCCTCTGCGTCTGTGGCCTCATCGGCCGCACGCATGGCCAAGCCGATAATAACCATTGGCTCTGTATTGCCATGGTCTGGTTCAGCGCTATGGGCCTCATGGTGGGTGGTGTTCCCGTTGAGGAAAGGCATTTTGACTAATGGGTTTCAGTCAAAGACTGATGACTATGTCTACATGAGTCCTTGTCTCACAGGCCCATTTGTCTGGATTTATACAAGACCGTCTTAACTCCAGAGGAACTCATGCTTCTACCGCGATATACTCCGGACAGTGAGCCCAGTGCCAAGGCCTGGGTCCTCGTCCTCCGCAACAGTCGGGTTTGTTGCTGTCAGACCACGGAGTATATGATCGTCCACGGAGAAATCCAGACCTTAGGCCAATACCTGGTAAATCGGGGTTAGTCTAAGCACGTGCCCAACCCGGGCTGATAAGGTAAACGAAACAGTCTTACGCCCCATATGCCACTTCTGACGTGCACTCCGACAGTCGCATGCTAATATTGAACGGGCCAGATCTGGCCTCGGTGAACTTCCGCAATAGCCGAGCCCTATAACCGTCTGACACTTTGGCCACGATAGAAGAAGGATCTCGCCCCCCTGTTGATGGCTGTTGAACCTAAGCTTCACTGATCCAGTGCTTGGGCCACCTTTTCGGCGCTAAGCTTTACCCAGCTTGGCGTTCCAAGCCCGTCCAGCGCCGGCGTCTGACATGCATTCCAAAGGATCACGTCCAACTCCACCCACACTGTCTCGTCACGGCTGAAGCGCCACCGGGAAGAGTGGCATGGTACCGATTGAGAAATTGGTGCTCCAGAAGGATGTAGCCGATAGCAGGGTCGTATCTGGGGCGTGAGGCTAGGCTGAAAACCTCCCGTTGAGCGGTATATCCCGCTGACGCCGTGCGTCCACCGAGTGGGTCATAAACAAGGTGAATAAGGTCTGTGTCCAGGCGTGCGGCTGTCCCATTTGCGGACATACCCGATACATGCAGCGCTGCAGAATTGCAGCGGCTGAAAGTCTCTCTACCTGTCCCCCTGGTTTCGTATCCACGGAGATCCGCTGTGATGGCCTCTGCAGGCAAATTATCCGCCAGTGTCAGTAGCTTTCACCTGCACATGTTGCCGTTAGGCCGGTTCAAATGTGTTGTACCCCTGTTCAACACACCCAATCGTTACGAGCTATGATCCGAGATACGAGATAATCAGAGGTCTGCAAGATAGCGAAGCCACCATACTCTGTTCTCAGGGAGTCAACATGGTGACCACCATCTACAACGTTGAAGAACGAGTAGAAGGACCGCCAGGCGCAGTGAGATAGGATCCTTGTGACACACTGGACAGAATAAGGTGAGGCCGTTGTTGGGAAATCAACTGAGGATCCTTGAAAGGATCCTTCAGGGGCTGATCCTTGATTAGGGTCTTCAGCCAATACGAGGCTCAACCCGACCTAATGCATGTATCTATCTATCTACAGCATTCTATAGCACCTCCTTCCGATGCGGCCTTCTCGCTTCCTCACGTCAGCGCACTGGCGACCCCCTGTTCCCACCAAACATGTAATTCGCGTCGGAAGTGCCGAGAACCAAGGCCTCTATATAGCGACGACCGGGGGCCCATGGGTGACACAAGTCCAATGCATCCTCACAGGCACAATGTCTCCCTCCCTGAACGAACCGGAACGACTGAATCGACAAGCTCAGGGCCTGGCCTGCAATGAGTGCCGAGCAAGGAAACTTCGATGTGATCGTGTGCGGCCAACCTGTGGGACTTGCGAAAGCCTCGGGGTCACTTGCACACCGAACAGTGTTCGCCAGCCGCGGGGGCCTCGAAAGGGCTATTTAAAGACATTGCAATCTCGCATATGTAAGAATCGGACCCCGTCTTTCTTGCTGGTCCTGCCTGAACAAGACTGACTGGCCCCATTCCAGCGGCATTGGAGCGCCAATGGAACGGGCAACAGAAGGCTGCGGGGGGTTCTCCGGGGGAAAGCCCGCCGTGTAGTGAGGGAGGTCAAACTCTTCGAGCAGTTTCCGAGTCTACGTCGGATGGGGTTCATGATGAAGACCACGCGAACGGAGCAAGGCCGCCGAGTTCTCAGTCGTCCATTGAACAGCCGATTCTTCAACCGACCGTGTCGCTAGATGGGATATCGGCGTTGCATGGCTTCGCACCCGTCAACAGCCCCTTTGCCTTTGCTCTGCCCGGGACAGACCCGTCAAAGACGGTAGACCTCTTCTCCCACATGGAATGCTTTCCTTCAATGCCGACAAAGCTCGACCCAAGAGCATATGTTCCACAACAACTCACCCCAAATAGCACTATGTCGAACGGCCAGTTTGATTTGCCCACTGACCTCAGCGTCACGTCAGAATTTCAACTGCCCGAACTGATGAAGGCGGATTTGAGTCACCTGTACTTTGACCGTGTCCACCCTTTTGCCCCGATCCTCAATAAGCGGCGGTACTTTGCACGCGCCGCTCGACCGGTGAGTGAGCAAGGGGCAATGACGTGTCTTCAGCATGCCATGTGGACATTGGCCGCGTGGTTGGGAAGCCAGTTTAAGCACATCCAGAAAGACCTCTATATCTATACGCGGGGGCTGTTAGAGAAATGGGAGCTCAATATGCATCCTGGGAATCCCCCCATCGAGCTAGCCCAGGCACGGCTCTTCCTTGCCATCTATGAGATTATGCAGGTCAATTATGAGCGCGGTTGGCTGAGTGCCGGGCGCTGCTTCCGGCTCATTCAACTGATGAAGCTGCATGAGATCGACGTCCCGGACGGGATCTCCGAGTCCGGCATTTCGTTCGGCGAGATTGAGGAACGGCGACGGACGTTCTGGATGGCGTACTCCCTGGACCGCTTCATTAATCTCATCAATAAGATGCCACTTACCCTCAACGAACAAGTGGTACGCATTGACACGACATCCTGTTTCGACTCCGTTTGTTCGTTTCTGCTGACCGAGTGACAGATTTTCACTCGATTGCCAGCACCAGAAGGCGCGTTCCAACGTGAACGGCCAGTACAGACCCAGTTCCTGTCCGAATTCATGGCTGGTGATGATGATTTGCAGATCGTCTCACCGTTCAGCGCCTGCATCGTAGTCATGACTATCAGCGGTCGCTGCCTGTCACACCAGCAGCAATGTATGGTGGAAAGAGCATACGGGGGCATGCCGCAAGATTTCATCACCCGACATCAATGGCTGGAGGGCATCCTCATGAGCAAAGGCAAAGCGATCGTCGACTGCATCTCCAATGATCTGGATGATGAGCTCACAGATCCGATGCTGCTGTTCACCAACATGGCCGCGCATGCGACGACCCTTCTATTGGGGATGACAATGCAGACTGGCCTGTGTAATTACGAGAGCTTGATCAGCGGGTTCGAAGAGCGCGCCACAGAGGCTGCGCAAAAGATCTTACATTTATGCCAAAGGCTCAATGAGTGTGGATATTTCAAGGTATGAGAACAAGCCCCCTGACTGCGCAATGAGTGATCTGTTGTGCATATCCCTGCTGACCCCAAACTCCATCATCAGGTACATCCATTCACGCCCATCCCTCTTGTCTTCTGTGCCGAATGGGCACAAGGACGGAAGAATCAGAACCCCGCGTTTGAGCCCCTGCATAATTCCATGTTGTGTAGTCTGCGGGATCTCAGTGTAGTCAACATGCTGGCGGAGACGTGTTTGGCCAGGTTGAATGATTCTAACCCGCAGATGGAAACGGATATGTCCAAAAGTCAGAGCTAGCTAGTATAGAAGTTCGGCAATGAAGATATAGACGAAAGTAAAAACTGATCATATCATCATATTGTGTGTAGTAGTGACGCCTAGACTTTGGGGTATGATCATTAACATTCAGACTATCTGATTTCTTTTCCAAGAGGCTATCCATGACCACATGTGCCTCCAAGAGATAACGATTTAATCCCCCATCACGGATTCTTCTAGTCGCCGCACCATCTACCATGTGCGCCGGTATCCAAGTTTAGGACGGACGGAGCAGGTCCTAATGGGCCAAATCCTTCAGGAATCCCGTGCAGAATAATCCTTCGGACTTGGGCTACCTGCAGTGATCCTTCAGATTGTGGGTTTCCGCTGTGTGCTAAATGTATCCACGCCACTTCGGTTAACAACCTACTAATTATCTCTACGGACTCTCTGGTGGTGGGTACGGGTGCACTTCAATGTGCCCTGAGAGACTCCGAGACTCCGAGACTCCGATACGGCAGCAATAGAAAGACATCCACAACCCATCGGTCCTGCAATTCTGATCGTAACACAATAATCGATTACTCCGAAGGACTGTAGTCGACGCGTGTTCTGTTCAGTAATCCTTCATCCAGACTTTGTAGCTCTCGATGCCACCTGAAACCACTTCTGCCAGTCACGACAAGTCCTGTAGACGGACGTGAGAATCATGTTGGAGCCTAGTCTCTGCTCTCATTTTCCTCCTAATAATATTATAGACAAAGATATTACCCCTATCTGTTGCAATACTCTTACGTAGGGTAGTTTGTTCACTACTTGTGTTTCCCGCATATCTCTAAGGCCGCGGCTTGCGATCAGATTGAACACCTTGGGTTCGACGGAGACATGGCGTACATCCAGGCATCCTCCACGCAAGCAGTTGTCGTTCTGCTGTTGGTTCTAGTGCTCGTAAGTCGTACAGCCGACCATCGCCTTGGCTGGGACTGACCATAACTAGACCAAGATCTATCGGGTCTACACCGGCCCTCTCGCACACCTCCCTGGTCCTGCCATCTCCAAATGGACGGGTCTGGTCTTGCAAAAGCACCTATTCGCAGGGAATAGGCCACGCTATGTCCAGAAGCTGCATCAGCTATACGGTAGGCGCTCTCGAGGCACAAATTCGACAGGACTAACCACAGCGGTCGTCAGGGCCCATTGTCCGGATCAGCCCCGACGAACTGGACGTGAGTGACAGTGCCGCAGCCAAGAGTATTCACAGGGTTGCCAGCCGATTCTACAAGGGTCGATTTTACGAGCATATCGGCCACCGCAGTCCCAAGACACTGTTCAGCTCCACGGACCCTCAATTCCATGCATACCGACGTCGGTTGCTGGGTGGTGCTATGTCCGAAACCTCCATTCGCCAGCATGAGCCCACCGTCGCCCAGAAAGTCAAATTATGCGTGGACCAAATGGCCAGGGAAGCCGAACGGCGCGGTTGCATCGATGTCTTCAAGTGGTGGTGTTTTCTCGCCACAGACACAATCGGAGAGCTGAGCTTTGGCGAGTCCTTTCGAATGCTCGAGAAGGGAGAGGTCAGCCTGTCTAAGACACACCGGCCCTTAGTTGCTATAGCTGACACGAACTGTATAGAAAAGTCAGTATTCGCGGGATCTCGAGCTTGTTTCCACCTTGATGATCATCCGGACGACCTTCCCGTTCCTATCTCGGGTCGCTGAGTACGTACCACTACCGTACTTCAAGCAGGCGGCACAGTCGGGCAAGCGCATGTTCGGATACGCGTCAGAATCCATCCAGAGGTACAAGAAGCATGTCGAGATGTATGGGGATGGGGTCAGGCCCACTCTGTTCACCAAGTTGATCACCAAAGGCCACCAGGAAGGGAGTCTGACCGAGGCAGAGATCCGACTGGAAGCAGGCGGATATATAGTCGCTGGCAGCGACACCTCGGCAATCTCATTGACCTACCTGGTCTGGGCGGTTTGCAAGAACCCTCTCATCCGAGACTCGCTAGTTGCTGAAGTTGCGACCCTTCCTGAAGACTTTACGGACGACGATGTGCGCGCTCTACCATATACCCGCCGGGTCATAGACGAGACACTGCGTCTGTATCCGGCAGTGCCTGGGGCATTGCCCAGAGCGGTGCCTCCCGAAGGTGCAACCCTGGTGGATCATTTCATCCCCGGGGGTGTCACGGTCTCTACGCAGGTGTACAGTCTTCATCGAGATCCCAAGATCTTTCCCGATCCTGACCGGTAGGCTTTCTGCACGACAATTTACAGAATGTGAAGGACTAACCCGGTTCAGATTTGACCCTGACCGATGGATTGATCCTACGACAGAGATGAGAGATTCCTTCATGCCGTTTGGTGGCGGATCCCGAAGTAAGTGTCCTGCTCTGCGGTTTGCCTCGCAACTGACGGATTATAGCCTGCATCGGTATGCACCTTGCGCGAATGGAACTCCGCCTTGCAACGGCGCATTTTTTCCGTCGTTTTACCAGTCCGACTGTATCGACGAAGGAAGGATTTACGGACGATGATATGTACCAGCACATGTATTTCCTGGTGTCTCCAAAAGGCCATCGATGCTTGATAGACGTTTGAACATGGGAGAATGGATAAGAAAATCAGTTTGATCTATATGATAGCTATTGACAATGGATTATGTGATTATCAAATCATTCCCAACTGCTTTTTGAAGAGCGTACTGGTCTGCTTCATCATGTCATCAACATCGTAGTCCCAAATCTTTCGACAACGCCAATCAATCTCTGCTGCACATTTCGTATGATCAAGTCCAATATCTGCATTCTGGCCCTCGTAGATCTCACCAATGTGCCTGCTGGTCTCCACCAACCAGTGCGCTCGCTCTAGACGAATAGAATTGTAGGTCTCGAGGGCTTTGCGTAGGACCACCGACTTTGGGATGTCGGCCTTCTCAACATCACTTATCTTCAAATAGTCGTACGCATCGGAAAGAAGCTCCGCAAGAACTGCTGCATCTTCCACAGCAAAACCGGCGCCCGCACCGTGATATGGTGCAGCCGCATGGGCCGCATCCCCGGAGATGCATACGCGGCCGCGGACGAACGTCGGTGCCGGGTAGTCGTACGTGTCGAATACAGCCCATCTGCTGAGTTCCTCCGGAAGCATGTCAATGATGGCTCTAACGGTGGAATTGAACCGTTCAAAGGCCTTGACTGCATCGGTCTTGCTGGCGGGCAGGGTGAATTTCTCACCGTCTGGCCACGAGCTGGGATCGGTGACAAAGGCAACAACGTTCAGGAGTTTACCACCGGCCACTGGGAAGGTGAGAGCATGGGCGTCAGGTCCGAGGTACATGTGTCGGGTGTCAGTCTTCTCCTGGCCGAGGGCAGCATAGGCTTTGTCCATGGGAACCAGGCCGCGGAAGGCATATTTGTGGGTATAATGCGGATGGTGAGCAGGTTGATCATCTCCCCCAATGACGAATTGCCGCACTTTTGATCGAATTCCGTCGCAGCCGATGACTGTACAGGGTATCAACATACGTAAAGTGACTTGTGAATAGCTTTGATATGTGGATGTGACGTACCAATATGCGCACTTGCTGTACTCCCATCTGAAAACTTCAGCCGCACCTCACTCGCACCATCCTCATCCACAATATCAACCAGGTTTTTCGAGAATCGCACGGTCCCTTGCGGTAGGCTTTTCACCAGCTCGTCGAGGAAGTCGGCCCGCGCGCAGCCCTCGAACCCCCTCTCACCGAGATACATCTTGTGAACCACCGCCTCCTTCTCCAGGCTCCCGTCCATCCAGATGAACCAGTCGGTGCCATTCTGTACCGTGACCCGCTTGAATGCCGCATGAATCTCCGGATCGAGGACTTTCATTGCCCATTCCGCGTTGGGCGTGAAGCCGATGCCAGCCCCGATTTCGCGGAAACTTCGACCGCGTTCGTAGATGATCGGTTTGATGCCACGCTTGAGCAGACCAAGGGCCAGAGTGACGCCGGCGATGCCACCACCGACGATGGCGACATCCAAGTTGCTTGTAGCGTTTTGATCTGGAATGTAGGATCTCATCTTGAGAGGGTAACTAAGTTGACTTGTGCTGAAGTCGGTAATTGCTTGAGGACAATGTATATATCAAAGAGATGTATCTACATCACACCAGAGCAGCAAATTGAGTGCGTTGGCTAAGAACCAACACGAGAATATCCAACGTGACAGTTGGTTAACAATCTCACCTATCGGAGCACGGGGGATCTCAAGGCTCCGTCTATCAGCCCATACATGAAGACTCCGACACTCATCGCCAACTTCATATCCATACATGTTCGGAATCCAGTTCTCCACTCTAGCTCAGTTGATTGCATCCACTACTCAGGAGTATCCTCAATACGATACACCAGCTTCTCTCCACTCACTTGGCCCTCTCTCATAGCCTGGAACCCGTCCAACACTCCCTTGAGCCCGTCCTTGCCGACTCGGGGAGGATGGACTCGAATCTTTCCCTCGGCAACAAGCCCTTCACTCAGCTTCCAGAACATCTTCGCAAACTCCAGATCCTCGGGCCGCGCCTCAAACTTCCTGGTACCCGCAATGCTGAAGTACTCCCCGAAGGCAGTATAGGCCAGGGTATATTTCGCCTCAACATCCTCGCGCTGATGTTTGAGTGGTAAGAGGTAGGAGACTGTACCGCCGTTGGAACCAATCGCTGCTGCGCAAAGCTCGGCGCTGGCACTTGTAGAAACACAGTCCAGGACATGTGCCAGGGTGTTTTGGGTGCAATCTTTGATCTTCTGCACACAGTCCGGATCGCGGTAGTCGAACGATGCGTCGGCACCCAGGGATTTGGCCCAGTCAAAATGGCGCGGAGAGCAGGTCGTGATGATCTGCGAGCACCCGGACAACCGCGCATACTGTATGGCGAGGCTTCCGGTCGCGGTGCTCCCACCGTAGATGAGAATCGGGAAATTTGCTCTGGCGCGAGACCCCGGCAAGGGGAGCCCCAGGGATTGGTACAGGCCCTGGCCCACTGTCGTGATGCCGACACCCAGGGTGCATGCGTCTTCGTCCGGCATACCATCGGGGATCTGAATGATCAGCATGGTACGCCAACAACGTGGTGTGCTTAATGGAAAGAATATACCTTCATCCCTATACCATCCTTCGCTAGGCAGTACTCTGCGTGGCAGCCGGCCTCCGGCTGTACTTCGCTGCCACCATGTGTGAAGCCCGCAACGCGGTCACCTCGCTTCCAGTCGGTCTCAACATTCGATCCGACGCTTTCCACCACGCCAGCGAAGTCGCAGCCGATCGTTGTTCCCGGAGGGGCAACAAAATCAATATGTTTCCTGCCATCAGTGAGTTTTGGCCGAAGAACATCGCATTATGCTTCTCGGACGATACCAATCGGTTGGGTTCAGGGCCACGGCCTTGACTTTCACTAGGAGGTAGTCGTCTCGGATTTGGGGAATTGGCACCTCCCGGACTTCCGCCTGATGGTCTGCGATTGTCTTGATAGCTTTCATTCTTGCGGGCCCTTGTCTTGTATTCCTGTTAGGATATGCCCGCTAGCTCGGTCGGTATGGGAGAGGAACAAATACTTGGAGGACAAACGAGCCGAACGTGAAAGTAATTTATGTGGGTGCAAGTGATAAGGGGAATCAGAGAGCAACAGCTTCGGGGTAACTCTACGGACTGTGGAATGCGTGCACGAATTGGTTCCAATAATCACCCGTTTAGTGCATTACGGAGAAAACATATGGAAACTCCGATACCCACATATATATAAGCACGACTTACACCCTCTCGTATAGCTCGCTTTACACACGTCTGCCAATGTACATTGTAGCACAAGTCCAAACAATTCCGAATCCATCTCAACGCCCTCCTCTAAGCCAGGGGGATGGGGTTGCCCGGCCCAAACTTGCCCTCTGGATCCCACTGTCTCTTCAACTGTACCAGCCTGGGAAGGTTATCCTTGCCATACCACACCTCCGGGCCTTCATCGCCGTGCGCGTAGTTGATATAGGTTTGCAAACTGTCAAATCCACTAGTGGCGACTAGCTGACTGCGCAGCTTCTTGCTGAAGCGGTAGACGTCGGCGTCGTGACGCGGGCCATCATAGTAGTTTTCGAGGATGCTGTGGCTGGGTGTCAGCGGGCACGAAAGGGATATGACGGTTACTCGGGGCTTGTCTCAAAAGTATCACGAGAGGATCGAAACGTACATGAGGGAGCTGAAGTCACGTCCAGGATAGACACCCCGCTTGCTCTCTGGAACCGCGAGAGTCGCCGTCGTGTTGAACCGCTGGACGACAAGGGCGCTAGTGAGCCACGGCCTGGCCTTCATTATCTCCACGTACTGGTTGAACACCTCGATGTAGGTGGAAACAGACGTCTGCTTAGCGCCGACAGACGGATGGTTGTTATACTTTCCGGTGGCACAAACGCTGGCGCCTGTGCCAAAGCCGGAGTTTTGGCTGACCTCGCTCCACGGAAGGGTCGCGTTACGCCACTGCGTGGGGTTCAGAGCAAGCAGTTGATCGATCCATGGCTGGGCGGCTTCTTGGGTCCCGAAGTAGGTCAAGGAGGCAGATGAAGAAGTCTGTAGTTCCAAGAGTTGTGTTAGAATATGAAGTCGGTCGCTTCAAGATGGATACACGCACCGTTCCGGTTGTCTGGCTATAAGAGGCCGACATAGTAAGGCCCATTTCCTTTGGATAGGTCTCACCCCATGATTCCAGCAGCTGCCAGAGCGAGCCATTGACGGAACCAGGGTATGCAAACTCAGCCAGGACCACATTGCCATTATTAGGGGCATCGAAAATCTCGTACGTTGCTGAGGTGATAATACCAAAGTTGGCACCGGCGCCTCGCACCGCCCAAAAGAGGTCGGGATTCTCCTCGTCGGATGCCGTGACAATATCACCGCTGGCAGTGACTAGGCGGACAGACCGCAGGGCATCGATGACTAGACCGTGGAGACCCTGATAGGGGCCTACGCCTGCGCCGATGGTGGCGCCAATCATGTTAACACAGAACGCATTGCCAACAGCTGGAAAAAATGTGTAAGTGCGATGTGCCACACAAATCTATGACTGAAGGCTAGACTTACGAACCATCTTTCCCGCGTTGTATAGGTTGGTTTCAAAGGCAGAAAAGGAGTTTCCAGGGCCGACGGTCAGTGTATTAGCCTCCAGGTCAAGGACGTTCTCTTTGAAGTTTGACAGGTCAATGTTGACGGCGTGCTTCACGGTAGCAAAGCCCGTTTCGCCGCCATGACCACCACCAGTAGCAAGGAAAGTCAGGTTATATTTGTTGGCAGTTCTTATCTGATCCCAATTAGAAGACGCCTGGCAATGGACAAGGTCGTATGCTTACGATGTACTGCACGTCTTCGTCGGTGGCAGGCTTGATGGTCACCGCGAAAGTCGGCTCTGCCCAAGTCGACCAGCGCTGGACTGTGGTGGTATTATAGTCAGGCTGGCCTGGATAGTGGATGCTCGCATTCGCTGACAGTCCGCCACCAAAAATCTTCGAGTAATTCACGCCTCCGCCCCAATTGCCAGACGTCGATGCAGCCGAAGCCACCAATGGCAAGGCAGCAAGAATCACAGTGTTGGAACGCATGGTTCACGATGAGCTGGATGTGAAAGGTCCGAATAAACTGTAGACATGCGGATGTTGGAAACCCGGCGATGCGTTCGCTTTTAGAAGCAAAGCCAGACTCCTTTAAGACGCGCCGTCATCCCGTCCAACGCCTCGTAATCTCACTCATGACTCGCGTGGGCCATCACATCGGACCATGTTGGATGAAGGCATTAAAGTCCGAATTCATCATCTTCCCCGGAAATGAACCTGACAGTGGCACGTCGCATAGCCCCCTGTGGTGGGATCGAATACGGGTCGATGAGAGCCTCTAGCCGGTGGACAGAGGTGGAGGTGATCTAAAAAGGGGGCTGACTACAGGATTCTTCACGAAATTAAAGAGCTGAGGAGCTTAGCATAGCCATTTAGATAGTAATTAGCTGAATACGAGAGTCAAAGCGGTTGTTAGTGTCCTAGTCCACCGGTGGGAGCGAAATATCTCTGGATATCCCCTCGACTCACGCCTCACTTAGGATAATTATTATTCAAGTTCAGCCGGTTCGGTCGCTGATTCGGGCAACTCCCGTCAGGCAATCTCGAATTTAGCCTAGTCTTATCTTGCTGGTGGTGAACAATCTCACTAGTCCATGTGGGTTGAGGCGCCGGAGTTTCTCATACTCCATTTGACAAGACATGGAAGATAAAGTCTTCCGTTTCATAGACCTTACATAGTGAATGATATTTATTTTCTCGGAATAACTCATAATGCGTCCCATATAGAACAGTGTTCATGGATATTTTCCACCGCGCGGTCTATGACCAGTGGTGACTGATTTCCAGAAACACCGACATCCCGAGGCCATAGATGTACATCACACCATGGGTTACTGATCAACAACTACAGGACATCAGGCCACTATGAACTCCCAGGAACGGTATACTGGAGCCACTCCGAGGATTGATTATGGGATCGGTAATCCCTCAGAAAAGCTCTCTTTTCACGGCCTATTGTCCTTTAGTTCGGACTGAATCAAGTTCTAAGATAACAGGCCTCCATATCCAACACACCGATTCCACAATTGCTGTACCATGATGTCTATCTTGAAACTCGTGAAGGGTGTCCTGTACGGAGAAGGGGAACACCATGAGAAGCCCAAGAAAACACATATCGTCATCATCGGTGCAGGTCTCACAGGACTCCTGCTTGCGCAGGGGCTGCGAAAGCTGAACGCGAGACTGGAGGCAGAAGGCCAGTCCGCGCCCTTCACATTCAGTATTCATGAGCGCGACGAATCCTCGTTCTACCGCGGCGGTGGGTTCAGTCTGACCATCCACTGGGCGCTGCAGCAACTCTACGACATTTTGCCGGAGGAACTCTCCGCACGGATTTTCGAGTGCGTGGGCAATCCGGATGCAATCAAAAACGGTCAGATGGGCTCATTTACCTTTCTGAACCTCCGAACTGGAGAGCCCGCGCTCAAAACTACTATTCCTCCCGGTTGGAAGGGAGCGCGCATGTCGCGAGTCAGGTTCCTACAGCTGCTCATGACCGACCTCGATATCCACTACTCGCACCGTCTGTCGCAGATTACGTTTCCCACCGATAATACAGTTCGGGCTCACTTTGAAAATGGTGATCAGGAGACGGGAAATCTCCTCATCGGCGCAGATGGAGCAAATTCCGTCGTGCGCCGGTTTGTGTATGGCGCGGAGAATTCAAAAAACACCCAATTACCCATACGCATGCTCAATTGCCGCTCTGAATATCCTCTCGAAGAGCTGGAGGCTTGTTTGAGGGTCGATCCGCATCTCTTCCATGCCGGGGATCCCGTGCAAGATGGCTATTTTATGTTCGCTTTTCTGGATATGCCGCCGGCGGGGTCGAAGAACGGCAAAGCGGGCGTGCAGCTAACCATTAGCTGGCCCTATGAGTCGGGCTACTTGGGCCAGGAAGCACCGTCCGATCCGCCAACTGAGCTTCCTGAGCAACTAGCATGGTTGAAGCACATGGCCAAACATTGGGCGAATCCCGTGCATGACCTGATCTACGGTATGCCGGATGATAGCATTGTTCGAGTGATCCGTGTGCAAGAGTGGATGCCGAATGATGCGAATCGGCGTCCGACAGACGGACGAATCACCACGGTGGGAGATGCTGCTCACCTAATGACGTCTTGTAAGTGAATGGCAATCACAAATCTCCTAGGATCCTTATTTTGCATAGCTGTTCTCTTTAATCCGCTAACGGAAGATGGATACTAGTTCGTGGAGAGAATGCTAATCACGGCGTCGTTGATGTGGCCAAGCTACTCGCTCTGTTAGCACCCAGTGGAAACAAACCAACTGATTTGAGGGAGGTTGTAAGCATGTACGAAAAAGAGATGGTCCAGCGATCTCGACCAGCAACGGTCAAGGCCCGAGAGGCTTGCCTGGACGCCAATCACTACTCCAAGATAACTTCTGACAGCCCGTTCCTGTCTCGACGGACGATGCTTGACGAGGAGGAAAGAGGACTTTTGAAATAACCTACAAGATATGTGTATCCTGTGTGGACTTTGGACACGTGCAAGGATCTTACATTTAGCTAAAGAATTAGAATTGTCTTTCTGCATACTTTATATCTTCCTGAACATTGTACCGGAAAGTGATGTAGTGACGATGTGAGGATGTGGATTGTGGATCATCATGGTAACCCATACTACCCGCGCCGTGCCTGTTTCAATTCCGAGTGTATGTCCAGAAACAAGCAATTTGCATGGAGGGCTAGAGTGCCAAGGCCGTAGTTGATATCTAGACCTAATGTATAACGTGCTAAATTAATTATTCGACTGCAGGACGGAGTACTCCGTACCGACAGGCGACTTGTGATACTCCGAGCCCTCCCCGGCTGTCTCTACTGTACGTATTCCCCCCACCCGCGGCGCCTAGCGAAGGAGTTAGACCCATGGATGCCCACCCGATATCCACACGGGTCGTGCCGCGGAGTTTCAATCGCTGATTCGGATTTAGAGGCAAATCGCCAGGCTTTAACGCCGGGCCAACGACAAGCATCAGCAAAAGCCTCGTCCCTGTGGTGTCGTTTTGATTCGGCGATAGGGGGGTTGTCCCCATAGTAGCGCGGGAAATTGAGGTCTTGAACCAGGAACAAAGCACTAAAGCGCTTTTAGCATCGGGCTTTAGGGACTTAAGTAGCGAAGGCGTGATTGGCAGCGAGAGCACAAGCAAGTGCCACAATATAAACCGGTGGTGGGACACTTCCTATCTAGACATCTCATCTCACCATCTGTCATCCCTTTCTCCGTTAATGCTTCGCATATTCAGGTTGAAGAGTCTTATCGGCAGCCAACGACTCCCAAAAACAATCACAAAGTCCGTTCGTCCAACATCCACCATGACCGCCGAGCACGATGCCGCCATTCTCCCCAAGCCGGGCGGTCCGTTGGCCGTCGGCAAGCGGGCCACCCCCGAGCCGGGTCCCAACGACGTCCTCATCGAAGTGAAGGCCGTGGCCTTGAACCCCTGTGATTATTACCAGCGGGACTATGGCATGCCACCGGTGCCAATCTACCCTGCGGTCATCGGAGGTGATGCAGCTGGTGTGGTCGCCAAACTCGGCTCGAGTGTCACGGGAGGCCCTGTGCCTGGTCCCGGAAGCCGAGTCATTGCCTTTGCCTCGTCCTTCTACCAGAACGGCTCCCCCGACCACGGAGCTTTCCAAAAATACGCCCTGGCTCAGTCCGAAGCGGTCATTCCCCTTCCCGACAATCTCTCGTTTGAAGAAGGCGCCGTCTTCCCCCTTGCTGTCTTGACGGCTCTAACGGCTTGGACTACGATCGGTATTCCGCTCGATACTCGGTATACCCCTGCGGATAAGCAAGCGGTCCTAATCTGGGGCGCGTCTAGCAGTGTCGGCTCATTCGCCGTCCAGTCAGCCAAGACCCTTGGTTTTACTGTCTACGCTACGGCCAGTCCTAAGCACCATGAGCTAGTTAAGAAGCTCGGAGCTGATGCGGTCTTTGATTATAAAGACAGCGACGTTGTCTCCAAGATTGTCGACGCCGTGAAGAAGGATGGTGTATACTTGCACACGGCGCACTGCGTCGTGGATGGCGCCCTGCAGCCTACGTTAGACATTCTAAAGGAAACTAAGGGGGATGCCTTTGCTAAGGTAGCGCATTCGCCTGTTCTCCCCGAATGCCATCCGACTCTCGATAACACCCAAATTACTTTCAACTTTCCCTCCATGGACGAGGTGGTGCGGAGTAAGCACATCAAGGAGGTCTTCCATGGGTGGCTGCACCCTGGTTTGAAGGATGGGAAAATCGTCCCTAGCCCGAATATCCAAATTGAGGAGGGCGGTCTCGAGGGAATAAACGCAGCCCTAGACAAGCTCAAGGCTGGCGTCAGTGGTACGAAGATTGTTGTGCCAGTTTAAGGGATCGTCTACCTGGTCCATCTGCGTACAGGAGCACTTTTATACAGAATGCAACTGACAAACAGGGTCGTCGTTAGCTTGCAGCTAGTATCTAGAATAAAGTCAATTCAATAGCTGAATTTCTCACGAAGAAATAATAAACCTATCTCGTTGTACAGTAGGGCTTCTACAGTTTTACTTATCGAGTCGATGACCGGCGATATCTACTGTGTGCATAGTTAGCCTTTTGAGATCTCCATCTCGTTGTGCAGATATATCATCATGGTCTCTCTCTGTGTTGTCAATAAAACCTCCGATCATATAGCTTTGCGAGATGTCCGTTCCGGCCCATGATCCACTCAGCCTTCCCTGCGCGATGCTAGTGATGCTAGTGATGCTAATGACATACGGAATTCAGGGTGTCGAATGCCATGCATAGATGGATAGAGACACGACGAAGCAGTTTCATGCCTGGTACTCTATCTACACCGCGTCTACCCCAAGACCCCGACAATGGCCTACGCACTGGCGTTAAATACAATCTCGATAACAGACATAGCAGTCCCCGCAGGAGTAACCACCGCCTTGACCGAATAGCGCGAATCCGCCCGCTTGACCACGTTGATCCAATCCTTCTCAGATCGCTCGGGCGCATTCACCATCGTCATCATCTGCATTGAGCGGATGGTTGATAGACGCTCCAGCCACATGGGCCCAGATTGAGTATTCTCGGGCCCGATAAAATCGGCAATCAGTACCCGCGCGCCGTCTTTGAGAGCTGGCACGAGGTTCTTCAGAATGAGGACGGCGTATTTGTCTGACCAGTCGTGCAGAATCGAGCGCAGAAGGTAGACGTCGGCGTTGGGGTGCGCATTCGGCTGCAGGATATCCTGCGCTTCGAAGCTAATCCGCGACTTGAGCTCATCCGGAACGCCGTCGTGGAAAGACTTGAGGCCCTCGAAGTCTTGGACAACGAATTCCAGGTCCGGGAACGCCTTGGCCAGCTCGATCGATACATGGCCCGCGGAGCCACCCACCTGTGTACGCCCGAGTTAGCCTGATCCAAAAAGCCAGACACACAGTGCACAAAACTTACGTCAATGACCGTAGCTTTCCCCAGCCCTGCCCAGTCAAACGCCGAGTGCAGGTGGTGGTGTGTCTGCGGGTTCCCGGCCGCGCGGCACTTCATGCCCTGGGCAAACCGTCTCTGCCGCCAGCCCTTGTTCTCGCCCTCGCCGTCGTTGGCAATAAAATCCCAGTAGGTCTTGCCAGGGGCGAATCCAAAGGCACGCCCAATGGCCGAGTCGGCGGGCTCTTCGCTGTCCCCGCAGGTTCGCAGGGTCTCCACCAGCTTCGTATCGGCTTTCCAGACCTCATCCAGGTTGAAGGAGACCCAGTCACGGAGGACCGGGTTGCGCAGGAAGGCAGCCGAGGGCCCGGTGTGCGCTACATAGCCGGGACGCGGCTCGCGGAAGATGCGAGAGGTCATGGCATGTCGGAGAATGCGATGCACGCGGTACTCGGGGAACCCGACCTTCTGGGCAATTTCGGCGTAGGACACCTCGCCATGCAGCGGGACAAGCTCGGGGATGTTGAAATCCACAATGACGTGCAGCGCCGCGAGGTCGTGCTTGATCTGGTTGACTCGATTAGCTTCCTGATCGTCCATAGCTATGCTGATCACATTGGGACATACTCCATCTGAGAATGCGGTAATGCAATCTTCGGGTCCAAGCGCCAGATCTCGGATTGCGTTTGCGGATTCGATCAGAGCCATGCGAGCCGCTTGGATCTTCTCGAATTCTTTCCCATGTGGGGGCGCTGGGGGTGCATCGGGGCCAAACGAAGGAGATGGTAGGTTTGCCTCGGCCAAGAGTGTGCTCAAGGTAGATGCCTGCGCCTGGACTTGGTCTGCAAGGCCCTCGAGGGTTATGGTCTTCGTCATCTTGAATGTTATGATTCAGCTGGCGCAGTTGTCGCTGGTACGTTGGATATGGAGGTTTCCCGTTGTCTTGCTTTATAGAGACTCATTCTGTTTCCCATTGTGACTGCATACACTTGGGGCAATCTGTATCAGTAACTGCATGAGCCATTCACCTCCCCGATGGAGCTTACTTCCTACGGTAGCTAAGGAACTTCTTTTGACCGGAGGATGGATAACTCCATGAACAGCTTCGGGTCGACCGCGGGTGTATCTCGAAACTCCGCAGTGTGACGGTAAGAAACTCCGCCGTTGGGGATCTACCATCGACAGAGTACGGCGGACTATCGACTCCACGCGCTGTTGACTTATATCGAGTGCGGACATAGTCTCACATTCGGAACAGCTATCATAGTCCGAAGCTCTCGATCTCACATCTTGTTTCACGATGACGGCGTTCGATTCGGCCCAGTATGAGGATGTCCTGGGGCAGCTCCCGCGGCTCAAAACATATTCGCATCTGCTCTTGGCCTTTCGTCTTCCTGAAAACCGGTCGCCGGAGCATTTCATCGAATTGATCAAGAGTGCCACTCAGGAAGTGACGAAGGCCTTCCCGTGGCTTGCGTGTCGAGTGGTGCATGAGGGCCGTGGGCCCGGGAACTCGGGGGTCTTCAGACTGGCGCCGTGTTCAGAATTCACCAATTCCCATCCCATTGTGCGCACAAAGGACTGTACAGACCTGTGTCCCACATACGAGGAGATTTTTGCTGCCCGTGGTCCGGTGGCAATGCTGGATGGGGCCATCCTAGCCCCAGTGCCAGCCTTTCCACACATTTACGATGATGCCGAGCTCAACCCTGCGCCGGTGATCGTCCTTCAGGCCAACATCATCCGAGGAGGCCTGCTTCTTGACATCGCAGGGCAGCACAATATTATTGATGGGGGCGGTCTGATGCGTGTCCTGGTGCTTCTAGCGAAATCCATGCGAAGGGAGCCGTTCTCAGCGGAAGAACTGGAACATGGCAACCGTGACCGATCCAAACTCGTCCAACTGCTACAACCCGACGAGCCCATGTTGGACCACAGTCACCTACTCCGTGAGCCTCTTGGAGCGGTTCAGCCGCGTGTCAATCGTCCGCCGGCGCAGTGGCGTTACGTACGATTTCCGGCATTGAAAAGGCAGATTCTCAAGGAACGTGCGATGAAGGATATCGGAGGCGAAGACGATGTCTTTGTCTCAACCAATGACACCGTGAGCGCTTTTCTATGGCAACGAATTTCCGCTGTCCGACTGCTCCGCCGCAAGCGGCCAGATGATCTGTCCAAGTTCTCTCGCGCGCTGGATGCCCGCCGTCCGTTGGGAATTCCCCGAGAGTATCTGGGTCAAATGGGTTACAACGCTACCTGTTACCTGAGCTTTAGAGAGCTTGAGGCTTTGCCACTGGGCCTTGTCGCGTTGTTTCTGCGCGGTGCAGTCAAAGAAGTCAACACGACATATGCCGCTCGTAGCTGGGCGACTTTTATTGCCAACGAGCCTGACAAGTCGAGGATTATGTTTGGTGGATCGTTTGATCCGGATAAAGATCTGGGAGTCTCTTCTATTATCCATGCCACCTTTAACGACGTTATATTTGGCGAGCTGGGCACGCCGAGCTTGTTCCGGCGTCCTTTGTTTCCGCCCCTGGAAAGCTGTATCTATCTCTGGACGCAGACCGTTGAAGGGGATGTCGACGTACTCCTTTGCTTGATAGAGGCCGACTGGGATGCACTATTGGCCGATGAGGAATGGTCAACGCATACTGAGCTTATCGGGTAGATTATCATGCTAGCTTTTCTTCCATTGCTGCAAGTGGCTATCCAGTTCCTACAGATCAAGTAAATACGGCTAGGATAACTCTATAGGTGCACCAATGTCAAAGTCGAACTTCGTCTTCAACTTGTCCCCTCGCACGATTTCAGCCTCCTTGGACACCAACTCCGGTAAATCCCAGGTGCAGTTGATATATCTGCCGCCGAGCCACTCGCGCCTCTTGGACACCAAGAATACCACCGAGTCCCCACTGAGCTCCGGTGTTTCCACAAACACTTGCAAAGGGAGCGTTAGCGAAAATACCTTCCGAAATTTCTGTCCTCAGGAGCCACTTACCATGCTTGTGATGCGGCGGAATTGCCTCCGGCCCTCCCATAATATCCGTTGGACTATTCCCAGGGTGGATGGCAAACGTAATTACTCCCGGGCCGTACTCAGCATTTGTCAGGGTGGTGAGCTTCAAGAGCGCATTCTTGGAAACCTGGTAGCTACTCAACGTCGGGTTGGTCAAATGAGCCCCCACGCTGCAGACATTGACGATGTATCGGATGTCGTCTTTGCTGGCCTTGAGGAGCAGAGGCACAAACGCCCGCGTGACGAGATACGGCCCGCGGAGGTTGACATTCAGCACTTCCCACCACTCCTCGGGGTCCGAGTCCGCGATGAGACCGTACTTCCCCAAAATCCCGGCGTTGTTGACCAGAACGTTCAGCTGGCCGAACGCCCGGCCGACTTCGGTCGCAGCGGCCGCCACGCTCGCTTCGTCGGTGACGTCCAATTTCACCGGGAGAAATTCCGGTGGGTTCACGCATGCCTCGGCGATTTCCTTTGCAAGACTTTCCAGGGATGAGCGAGCTCCCACGGCGATTTTAGATACGCCGGCCTTGGCGAATGATAGAGCCATGGACCGGCCCAGCCCGCGGGAGCCCCCAGTGACGAAGACACTTTTTCCCTGGAGATTCAATAGACGGGGGTCGATCTCGGGATAGGTGTCGTTGTGCACCCGGGTTGTCACCTCGTAGTCGCCTGCGCATTCGATCAGTATGAAGCAGGGGACATGTCCTGAGGGTAGCAAGCACACCTGGGCCACGGAGGATGTTCGGCTGATCCTTGGAAGGGGGCATTTTGTAGTATCACAGGTCTGGGAGAAGTTTCTATCCTTTCGTTGCTACTATCTAGTTGGCGTTTCGGTCGAGGCGTGCAAATTACAATAGTTAGGTGGAAGAGGGGGTTATCCAGCAGTGACTAGATATGTCTCTCGTGGTGTAAGACGGAGTTTCATCTTGAGCTACGTGCGGATACATAACCCCATAGCTATGGCGCTGGTACCTGAGGCCCATCATTGTAGAATCCGGAAGTATCTTTCTTGGTTCTTGTTGTCTCAATAGCCTTCGGTTGGCACTGAATGGGCTTGATTCTTAGTATACTCTCTGCCTTTCGGAGTCTGACATATCGACCCCTTCGGAGTTACTTCCTTCGATTCCTGGCTTCGGAGTATAGCCTCCGCGTTGATTGGCGTGTCTGACAGGACGCCGCCATTGGAGGACTGATCTGTGATACGGCAAGAGGCACGGATCCTTCCACCGCAAAGGGATTGGACCGGAAGCGATATCAGCGTTGGGTCCATGACTTCGAAGACGGCATGGGCACTGTAGCCACAGGACTACGAGTGTGAATCCCCTCAACACACCTCTACTCTGGTCTGAAATTCCATTCACTACTTGGCAAAGACAATGCGAGCCACCATAGATGACCCTCAAGCAGCGTTGCCCCGTATCCTCTGCCTCCACGGCGGCGGCTCCAACTCCCGAATCTTCAAGGCGCAGACGCGCGCGTTGCGATATGAACTGTCCAACTATTTCAGATTTGTATTCGTTGAAGGGCCCTTTGACTCCGAGCCCGGGCCGGACGTGACATCAGCCTACGAAAAGTTCGGCCCCTTTCGGCGCTGGTTTCGGTCAGGACCCCAGCATCCACCCATTGATTCGCACACCGCAGTTGCGTGTATCGAGGAGTCGATATATGCGGCGATGGAGCGCGACGACCTTCAGGGCGGCACGGGCGACTACGTCGCCGTGATGGGCTTCAGCCAGGGTGCGAAGCTCGCCGCGAGCCTACTCTTCCGCCAACAGATCCGTGCCGAGAAACTGGGACAGGCTATGAGCGGGACGAACTTCCGGTTTGCCATCTTGTTGAATGGGCGAGGCCCACTGGTCTCGATGGATCCGGAGCTGGTGATGAACACGGCTCTCATGGATGCGTCGCAAATTGCGTTGGATCGGCCCGTCACGTTGGAGGACCTCTGCCGCAAGGAGCATGTACTGCGTCTGCCCACGATTCACGTACACGGTCTTCAGGACCCGGGGTTGATGCTGCATCGCGTGCTGCTGCGGGAGTATTGCTCGAAGAATGCGAGACTGGTGGAATGGGACGGGGCGCATCGGGTTCCCATCAAAACGAAGGATGTCCTCCCTCTCGTTCATGAGATTTTGCAGCTGGCGAAGCAAACAGGGGTTGTGTTCGCGGCCTGACTTTGTTGCCAGGGCGCTTTCCACTCGATTTCTCTTGGGGTTTTGTTAGATGGGGCATTCTTTGAAACCCCGGGACAGACATGGGGAGACTTACTGGTGTTATTAGAACTTGTTGTTGGTGCCATTTGTCCAGTATATATATAATGTTGAAAAGGGTTTGTTGGTGGAAGAGTGTTACACCAAGGGGGAGATACTATCAGATATATATGGTTGCGTGTAGTTGAGTTGCGTAGATGTATTTGACGTGGATCAGGTCCGCCGATTCAGATATAACTCGGTAGCTCCAATTGCGAAACCCCATGCTACAGTATGTACATATGAGTGGACTGTCTACATGACCCCCCAAACCCCTTCGCATCTCCTTTTGCTCAGTATATGGCTTCATATTCAATTGCGGTATTTGCCGAGAGACCTGATTCTCGCCCCATAGAACAGAAGGACCACGGGGATGGGTACAAGTGCAAGGGCAAATATACCAAGCATATTCGTGGCCCAGAATACCTACTCTCTATCAGTCATATTCATTGTATAATCAACACGGCAATACTCACCCCGAACTTACGGTACATCTGAGGCGCGAAGAGAGGAAACGTTCCTCCGACGAGCGAACGCACAATCATGGTACCCGAGATCGCCGAGGCTGCCCCGGTGGTGTATATATCGATTAGGTACGCCAGCGACTGCAGCAGAATTACCTGCACTCCAACGCCAATCGGGATGCCGGCTAGGATCTGCGGCCAGGGGCTGATGGCCGGAGAAGACGTCCACGCGAACCATAAGAGGCCAATGGCAAGGGACACAGCACCGACAATCATAGGGTGTAATCGGTCTTCGGGGACCAGAGCATTTCCACTGGCGGCCTTTTGTTTAACCGTTGTAAGCGTAGACCACGAGGCATAGAAAGCGCCCACGATGATGCCCGCGCAGATGGATAGCAGCGGTAAGGTGCCATCAATCGCACCGTATCCTCTTTCTTGCACAAAGCTGACGGGATATGCCTTGGAAAGTTAGCTCGAGTAAATCAAAACTACCCCGAATGTACTTACGACAAAGAGCAGATAGATCAGTCCGAATGTAAAGGATATGTAAATAGTCATTGACAGAAGGATGGGCTCTGATACGAGCATGGAGATCGGCAAGGTCAAGTATTTCGTGAGGAATTCGCGAATGCTCACGGGCTTCTCGTCCAATCTGGAATGCAACGCCCAGTCCTTTGTTTCTTGTCGCAATTTCCGGGCATGTCTCTGTTCGACGACGGGCAGATACGTCTCGGGCAGAATGATAAAGCCAGCAACACCAGAGACGATCCCCAAGATCATGGTCGTCCATGCCGTCATCCGCCATCCCATAGCCGTCTGCAACTGAACCTGGCTAGTGATTGCACCGATGCTGGGTCCCACCAGCGTCGTGGCCGCAAAGATGGCCACAGCGACACCCCGTTCCGCCGGTAGCAGAAAATCCGCCAGCCAACCGCCAGTGATCGCAGGGCAGACAGAAGATGTGACGCCGCCGAGGAAGCGGAAAACCAGGACAGTGGGAGCATCATGACCCAGCGCAACTGGGATCTGACTCAGGACAAACAGCACGTACCCCAGGAAGAAAGGCAGTTTGCGACCATATACCTCTGAGGCGGGTCCCATGATGATCGGGCCTGTCGCAAAGCCGAAGACAAAGAGCGACGTCCCCAGCCCCATCGTCTCCGGCTTCACATGGAACTCGATAGCCGTCACTGGGATGGCGGCGTTGAAGGCAGCACTGGCGAATGCAACGACAAAGGTCATGGCACCCAGTACGCTTGCGCCGGCCCATTTTCTCCACCGAGGGAGATTGACGGGATTGAGTGGATGATCCAAGCTACTCAGATCCACGAGCTCGGACTCGCGATGTCCTTCGAGTAAAGGCCGTGTTTCGCCATTGGTGGTTCTAGCGAATGAAGGCATTCGGAACAGAGATTTTTACTTCGTGAGCGATATTTCCTAGGTCCCTAGGGCGTTGGAGCATACTTGAGACTGTTATCTACTACAAATTTGCATACTGTGTTCATGAGAGACGAAAAGGTTGTGTGTATTGAGATGGGCGAAGTAACTTAGCGTGCACGACCTTACAACGTCGGTCCGAGAGAATACCCCGACAGCCCAGAAACTCCGAGAGAGCAACGCCCACCAGATCTATGGGTTACGCCAATCCCAATTCGGTTTGGAGGGTTTTGGCAAGGATTCGGACCATCCGCTCGGCACGCTCTGGTTCATAGAATGCCTCGTTGTAGACCAAATGGAGTTCCAATCGGCCCCGAAACGTCCACAGAAAGCAGTAGGTTTGACGCGTTAGCGTTTCAACTCCAATGTCCACGCTTTGCACTTCCAGTATTGTTCCATTGTGGGTGAATCGTGGGGACACGAGAGCTTCGGCGTCTCCCACGCTGGATATGTCAACCTCGCTTGGTGGTGGATCGGGCGGTGGTGCACCCCGTTGAAGGATGCCAATCAGTTCGACTGCATACTGGCGGCGACATTTCAAGAAATCTTCTGTAATGCCGGTATTATACTCCTTTTCGTACTGCTTCGCATTCTCGATCCATGACTGTGAGGCTGGTACGGGAAACATGTAGCCGCCAGTGTACAACCCCGCCGCATAGGCCGGACCGGAATACGGTGGGGGGAGATGAGGGCGTAGACTGAATCGCATAGTACTGGTATAATGTTTATCGCGGTCATTCGATGAAGCTTCCAGCCAGGTGAGGGCGGCGCAGGACGCGTGTACGGCCGAGAGAAGGCTGATCTTTCGCTCTGCGCAGGCCGCCATGACGGCGCTGGTATCAGCCGTCGTCAGGCTCAAGTGTGCGCTTCGTGTTCCTGCAGGGGCAGCAAGCTTGTCGCCTGAGGGCGCAGTCCCTACCGCCCCTCGTGTGTGCGCCAAGGTCTTCAAACATTCCTTGGTGGCTTCAAGAATCTCGGGCGTGGCCGTAAGGGGTAGATCGAGGACTTCCTCGATGCTCGGGGTTAAGCGACGCCATTCCTCGCCCCATTGAATCGCCTTTGAGTGGCAGCCGACAGCCTTGCATAGTGTGTCCAAGAATGCATGCACCAGCTGCAAGGCTCCGTAGCCATCCGTTCTCCAATGCGCCGCATGGAGAATCACTCTGTTCTCGCCAGGAAGTAGATGAGCGGTGAGATACCTGGATGGTTTTAGAGCGGCAATCAAGTCGTCAGAGGTCGTGCTCAAGTCGTGAATGTGAAATGTCTCGTTTGCCCAGGACGCCAGCTCCTCGTTAGAAGGCGTTTGATAGCTGACGGTGTCTCCTTCAACTGTGCACGCAATGCTAGGGTGGTCAAACCGAAATGCGCACCAGGCGTTGAGACAGTGGCTCGATAGGTCCGAAAGACTCCAGTCTCTATTCAATGTGAATGCCGCTCCTGCTGTGACGGACCAGTGCTCACGGCCGACTTGATGAGATCGATCGCCTATAAACTTGATGAATTTCTCATTGTCGCCTATTGGACGCTGCCAAAGGCCAGGCTTTGTTTCTATCCAAGGCATCTAGAGACTCTCAAATGCCGTTGATAGAGAGATGGCGATGTATGTGTCCCTCTCTGCAGCCGCTATGATCGTCTCATGTATATATGGTCGGAGAGCCTTTATGCGGCGCACCAGTGATGATACGGAAATAAGGCCTCGGAGTTTGTGGTTCTCCGAGAAGTCACTGACTTAATACTACCTCGCTGCGTACAAATCGTGCTTGTTATCCTGGTCTTTCAACCAAGCATCAGTCCTATCCCACGTGCTCATCATCAGAACCAACTTCACTTGCGAAATTCCTCGCAGAATGGGCTCCATCATCAACATCCCCGGACTTCCAGATGGCGAGTTCAGTAATTATGAACAAGTCTATCTGAAGATGTCTAGAGCTTTCAGCCATCTGCAAAAGGAACACTGGGGCATTCACTGCGTCTGCTCAGTCAGTCGGGATTCACCAAACGGGAGCACATTCAGCGAGACCTTGCGCCAAGCTTGGATGCGGCTGGTCGTGGAGTACCCCGGGCTGAGCATGGTCCCCGTGGGGCTGCAGAAGAAATACCCTAGGCTGGACGAAAAAGGTATAGAATCATGGGCAGAGAGTACATTTTTCGTCTCGAGTCGTCAATGCGCCGATGAAGTCATCGGTGAAGCTAAGCCACGAGATCTACCTAGTCTCTATTGGCTTCCTGCGTCATCTGAAGTTGTGCTCTTGATCCAACATTGGCGAGTGGATGCCCTGGGGACTTGCATGTTACTGGATCGGCTCTTCGAGATTTTGGGGCAGTCAACGGTTCCGTCAACACAGCCCGATCAAGTTCAGCCAAACCAGCCGACACCCAGCTTTGAATCTGCCGCGGGTGCTTCCAAGACGGAGGATGCAGATTTGCAAGCTTACGCTCGGGACTACATCGATTCCTTCCACCAGAGGGCTGTGAATGCCGACGGCTTGCCATATCGGGGAGACGCAACCACGCCCCCTTCCACCACCGCACACTGGGACTTGGACTTCTCGGTTGACTCGACAAATGCCATTAAGGATGCGTGCAGGCATCACAAGATCAGCGTGACTGCAGCAATCCACACGGCACTGGCACGTACCGTTTTCTCGTACCTCACGGAGACGGAATGCCAGGCGGGCTACACGACCGTGATGGCTGTCAACATGCGGCCGTATCTTCCTCCTCCCTACAATAGCAAGAAGCATGCTTGTCAGACATTCGTGGCCAGCATCACGCCGACTGTGCCTTATCATAGCGGGTTTGTCGAGTCCGCGCGTTCCTTGACTCACGAATATCGCAGTTGGTGGAGTGCAGACTTTATGCGCTCACTCTGGTGGATCTACGAGTACCACCTTGCCAAACTCTCTGCGCCCCGCCCAGCGAATGCAGCGCCAATGAAGCCTCCGAGTGGCGTGACGCTGAGTAGTCTCGGGGTCGTCGACCGGAATCTTCGAGGAGGTTATGGGCCGAACCTCCGGGTCGACAAGTTTCGGTTTGGTGTGAGCATGATGACACGACAGACGATTCTGTATGCGTGGACGTTCAAAGATCGTCTGACTCTTTCACTAAACTATAACGACGCGTACTACTCTGACTTGATGGCAAGGGAGGTTATGTCTCGAGTTGCATCCCATTTGGAAAAGGGACTCGAAGTGGAGTTGAACACTGTTTAACCACTGACAGAACATATAAGACATTGTGTTTTCCTTCTGCGAACTACTATCTATCCCACTCTTTAACCATGAAATTTTTCATGCAATAATCTACAGTTCCGTCCTCCAGTGTAGGGGAACGGGGTTGTTGACACTGAAGCGCTGTTCCGGATCCCATTTACGCTTCAAGGCCGACAACTTGGGCAATTTCCGCTCACCGTACCAAGCGACTGGGCCCTCATCTCCGCGAGCATACTATATAGCAGAGTTAGTCATTCTAAAGCTTTAGGTTGACGGGTTTCTTGCTCACGTTAGAATAGACTGCCAGTTGGTCGAAGCCACTCGTCTCGACAAATTCTTGTCGGCCCAATGTTGCAAACTCGTTCACAGCATCGTCCAGAGCGCTATCGGCATAGAAGCCTTCAATGTTCCTTTGATACAAAGGATTAGCAAAGTGGGCTACTATGATAGTCCAGATCAGACTTACATGTATGTCTTCACGTCACGATAGGCATAGGCAGTTGCATCGTCCGGCACTGCCATCGGACCTTCATTCGAGTAACGCTGGATCAAGAGCCGGCCTTGGTAGGTCGGGTTCGCATTCCAGAAGTCAACCAGCTTTGAATAGAAGGATTGAAAAGTAGGAGCGTGAATTTGCCTCAGGGCCACGGTGTAAATGTTGATGTGCTGATTCGGGGTGCAGGCGCCGTTGTCCATTCCGAAGAAGCTAAAGAAGGCCGCATCCATCATCTGCTCCGCGGGAATACTGGAGACATTCTTCATTTCTGGCTGCAAAGATTCGAATGGCTGCAAATGAGGAAGTGCCTCCTCGAGCGGACCGAAGAACACAGCATTGACAGCGATCACGGGCTATACAGAGGTCAGGAATTTGCGAGGTACAACGGACTTTCCACGGGCGGCTTACCTTGTTGTTAACGCGATCGAAGAATGACGCGCCCGTAATGGCCAGTCGAGGTGGGAGAGTATTATCAAACTGCTCCAGCACTTCGAAGAAAGACTGGTTGGCGCTCACGGGATAGACATAGTCCGCATTCACGTACACTCCCTTATTCGTGACCTCTGGAAGCCTGTACGTTGCGGAAGTGACAATTCCATAATTGCTACCGGCTCCGCGCAATGCCCAGAAGAGATCCTTATGCTCGGTCTCCGACGCCTTGATGAGGTCGCCAGACGCGGTGACCACTTCCACCTCTTCCAGGTAGTCAACCAAAAGACCGCGCAGGCCGTGGAGACTGCCAATCCCTCCGCCCAACGTGGCCCCTACCACGCCCACGCACGCGCAAGAGCCCAGAGGGAGCTCTTTGCCCCATTCAGCGAGAGGCTTGGTGAGTTGGTGGATCTTCACCGCACCCCCGATGGTGAGACGATCTCCTGCGGCGTTTCTCTCCACAGTGTTGAACTTGCCCATGTCGATGGACAGCCCGTCGAAGTTGTGGTAGTCAGAGATGCCATGGCCACCCCCTGTCACAAAGAATGGGATGGAGTTGGCGTTGGCAATTTTCACAACGTTTTGGACATCCTTGGCCGTCGCGGGCTTGATGGCCCCTGCGCCATATGAAGGCGCTTTATAGTCAGTCCATCTCTGTTGCAACTGGGCGTAGAAATTGGTATCGTTCCCGTAGAGGATCTCTGCTTGTGGTGACAGATATGGGCCGAATAGCGAGGTCAGGTCGTTTGCTGCGCTGAGGCCTAGGGCTGTTTGCAAGATGGCGGAGAAGGCGACCATTGTGAAGGTGCCTCTTGTGGGATTTCTTGGGAAAAACTGAGAGCGCGTCAGAGTATCCTACAGTCTAGGATTAGCTTTCTCTAAGAATAAGAATGAGCCTCTTTGGGGAAGCATGGGCTGACTGTTCGGGGAAATGTGAAGGTCCGAGGTGGAAGTATACCGAGAAGGATTCCAGGGTCTGCCTTCTCCAACTCCGACTTTCCAGCCCTGCTCGGAGAATCTCACTCACCCATGAACAAGATTCCAACCACTCCATCTGGTTTGTCCGGTTGGAGCCGTAGCTCTCATGGTGACATGCATGCCGACGATATCGGTCGATTCAACCCAGATACGGATACGGCTCTACTTGATCTTGTCTTGATGACAAGACAAACGGCACATCACGTCCATTTCCCTTCAGACAGCGTGTATAATTCGATCCTTTTCTTTTCCTTCTATCAGACCATTCGTTAAACATTCACTTTCAACTACGGTCGCGTCTCTTCAACAAAAGACCTACAATGGCTGTTGCCAACCACGAGGAAGCAGAGGCCACGACGGTTCTTCTATTCGGACCCCAGGCTTTGTCATTCACCGAAGAATCCTTCCAGCGAATCCGAGTGGCGCTGAACGATACCGAAAATGCCTGGATGCGTCAGGTTGTCGAAGAACTCCCGGAATGCACCAGCCGGGTTGCTAAACAGTTCCCTAAGCTGCAGGCCACGCCAGCCGCGAAGTTACAGAACAGCTTAAGAGACTGGTTAAGGATTGACGAAGGCGTTGCTCCAGCTGCGTCCAAGAGTCTCCCCAACGCGCTTCTTACACCTCTCGTCGTTCTCGATCATCTGGCACAATATTCTCAGTATGTCCAACTCGCTCATGTTGAGACCGGACTTGGGACCGATCGATATGGCCCTCAATCACGCCCCACCCGAAACCTCGGCTTTTGCACTGGTCTTTTGAGTGCACTTGCTGTGTCCAGTGCATCTAACAAGGCCGAGTTTCGAAAATACGCCGCGGTGGCGGTTCGCCTGGCGGCAGTGATTGGAGCGCTGGTTGACGCTGAAGATGCCATTGGGCATCATGGTGAATCCAAGACCTTCTCGGCGGCCTATCATTCTTCCAAGCAAGAATCGGAACTGCAAAGCATACTGCAAGACTTTCCGGAGGTAAGGAGATGAGTGCATGGCACTACAGGTAATAGGATGCTGATTCTACCGGCAACCTCCAGGCATATATTTCTGTCAACTACGACGAAGGCCGAGCGACTATCACAACATCCAACCGTACAGCACAAGCATTCCAGCAACGTCTCCGAGAGGCAGGCATCACTGCGCAAGCCATCGGTCTTCGAGGTCGATTCCACTATCAAGGTTATCAACAAGACCTTGCACGACTGGTCGAGATCTGCGATGCTACACCAGAGCTCAGACTTCCCGATGTCACCGATGCAGTAATTCCAATCCACTCCCTGTCTGGTGGTGGACTGATTACTGAAGGACGGTTGCATCACATCGCCCTGCGGGAGATTCTCGTAGAGCAATCGCAATGGGGCAAGACATTCGATGCCATGTCGCGGTCTAGCCTCGCCAACACACAGTCATTGTTGGTTTCGTTCGGCTTTGAAAAGTGCGTGCCACCGTCTGCCATGCCCCGGGTTGGTGGGCAGGTCGTCTACATGACGGATCAGCGCGACGCTAGGTTGAGACTTTCAGCAGTCAAGACACCAGGCGAGATGGTCTCTGAAGACGAGATCGCCGTCATCGGAATGGCCATCAAAGTGGCGGGGGCTGACGACGCTGATGAGTTCTGGGATCTGAATCTGACAGCGGAGTCGCAGCACCGAGAGGTGCCAGCAGAACGATTCACCTTTGAGACACACTGGCGCACTGTGGATCCCGCGAGAAAGTGGTATGGGAATTTTGTACGAGATCATGATGCCTTTGATCACAAGTGAGTTAGCTCTGAGAGTAATGAGGTTTTCTTTGGGGCCACATCATCTCACCTCTTCCCTTTTAATTACAGGTTTTTCCAAAAGTCACCCCGTGAAGCGACCACGCAGGATCCTCAACAGAGAATTTTCCTACAGTCGGCCTACCAGGCTGTAGAGCAGTCGGGCTATTTCAATTCGCTCCATGCGGATCGAAATGTGGGCGTGTATGTGGGTGTGTGTGCCGCTGACTATGAGGCGAACATTGCCTGCTATCCGCCGAACGCGTTTTCAGCCACGGGGAATTTGAAAAGCTTTATCGCAGGGAAGATCAGTCATTACTTTGGATGGCATGGGTATGGACACGTCCCTATACCCCACCCTCTACCAGGTAGACGTGAGTACTGATCGGAGTCCACCATAGGCCCGGATTGACAATTGATACGGCATGCTCGGCATCGGCCGTTGCGGTCCATCAAGCATGTAAAGCCATCCAGAGCGGCGAGTGTACAGCAGCCTTGGCTGGGGGCACAAACATCATGACTTCGCCACTCTGGTTCCAGAACCTGGCAGGTGCTTCATTCCTTAGTCAGACCGGACCTTGCAAGCCCTTCGATGCCAAGGCAGATGGATATTGCCGTGGAGAAGGTGTCGCATGTGTCTTTCTGAAGAAGATGACCAAGGCGATTGAGGATGTGAGTGATGGCCATGCACTTCATTACGCGGCGCGCTGACCCTGAACAATAGGGCAACACCATCATTGGATCCATTCGGAGTACAGCCGTGTATCAGAATGACAACTGCACACCTATATTTGTTCCAAACGCACCATCGCTATCCGGTCTGTTTGATGACGTCGTTCGAAAGTCTGGCCTCTCCCCCAAAGACATCACTCTGGTTGAAGCTCATGGGACGGGTACTCCTGTCGGAGGTATGTATAGAGGCCTTCGAGACCAGATCGTGGTTTGGACAGCGAGACTAACGATCCATATAGACCCAGCCGAGTGGGATAGTATTCGTAAGACCTTGGGGGGAAGATCTGTACGATCGGTCCCCATGCCTGTTGGCTCGGTCAAGGGACTGATAGGGCACACGGAATGCACCTCCGGTGTGGTGGCCTTGATCAAAGTCCTCTTGCTTATCCATTATGGGATCATTCCACCTCAAGCCAGCTTCCAGACTTTGAGCCCTGCTCTGAAAGCCACTGCGGACGATATGCTGGAGGTTTGCACCAAACAGACGCCTTGGAATGTCGAGTATCGTGCAGCGCTTATCAACAACTATGGAGCTTCCGGATCGAATGCATCCATGATTGTCACCCAGCCACCCAAACTGCGCGGGAACGGTCCATTCTCCCCTCCTACCGATGGTGGGAAATACGCATTTTGGCTGACTGGTTTGGACGAGCGCAGTCTTCGAGACTATGCTCGCAGGCTCAGCGGTTTTCTCGCATCTAAAAAGATCTCATCGCTGTCTAGCTTGTCTTTCAATGCCTACCGGCAGTCCAATCGCGCCCTTCCGCATGGTCTAATTTTTAGCTCCAGCTCAATGGAAGAGCTGCAGACTCAGTTGACTGACTTCGCTAAGGGGAACGGGAAGCTGTCCGCCACCACACGGAAGCCAGTTCGTCCTGTGATACTTTGCTTCGGGGGCCAAATATCCCGGTTTGTTGGGTTGGACAAAGCAGTCTATGAGTCCATTGGCACGTTGCGCACACACCTTGATCGCTGTGATGCGACGCTCCAGTCGCTGGGCCTCGACGGCTTATACCCCGGGATCTTCGAAAGGAGCCAGGTTGACGACCCTGTCAAGCTTCAGACGATGCTCTTTGCCCTGCAGTACTCATGTGCTAAATGCTGGCTTGACTGTGGCCTTCAGCCAGTTGCTGTGGTTGGGCACAGCTTCGGAGAGCTCACTGCTCTTTGCATCGCCGGCGTGCTCACTCTCAGAGACTCGCTTCAAGTGGTAGCAATGCGAGCTCAGCTCATCAAGAGCAGTTGGGGCCCTGACCCCGGTGCTATGATGGCAGTGGAGGGAAACCTGGCCGACGTCCAGACACTACTAAAGAATGCCGAAAGGGCATGCCCTGAGGAAACACCCGCTACCGTGGCCTGCTTCAATGGGCCCACAACGTTCACTCTCGCCGGGTCTACTAAAGCCATTGACGCCGTGAGTGAATGCATCTCTTCAGTTTCCGTAGTCCGGGGAAAGAAGCTCTCTGTATCCAATGCATTCCATTCGACGCTCGTTGAGCCACTCAAAGACCAGCTTGGACAACTGGCAGAGGGCATGATCTTCGGGGAGGCCAAGATCCGGTGGGAGAGGGCTACTGAGAATCAGACCTCTGCGAACATCGGGCCCGAGTTCTTCGCATCCCACATGCGCGATCCCGTCTACGCCAACCATGCATTGCAGAGACTGCATCGAGAGTTCCCCTCGGCAATATGGCTGGAGGCTGGCTCAAATTCCACCATCACCCGAATGGCAAACAAAGCGCTCGGGTTCCCTGCTGAGTCCTACTTTGCCGACATCAATATAACTTCTGACTCCGCCTCGAATACGCTTACGGAGAGCTTTGTTAATCTGTGGAAGGAGGGACTGGCCATTCCGCACTGGGCTCACCATTGTACCCAGGCACCGGCTTATTCGACACTGCTGCTGCCCCCGTATCAATTCGAGAAATCTCGACATTGGCTCGAGCTCAAGAAGCCACAAGCAGTCCAACTAATTGAGCTGCCATCCAAGGCCCAACAGGAAGAGCTTCCAACGAAGCTCTACACATTTGTTGGTTATCAAGATGAAGGAAAGCGCCAGGCTCGTTTCAGGGTCAACACAATGATCAAGGCGTATGAGGAATTTGTCTCCGGTCATTTGATCGTACAGACAGCTGCAATTTGCCCGGCAACCCTCGAAGTGGATATCACGATCGAAGCGCTCTTCACCTTGTGTCCTGACTTTAAGGCTACAGGACTCCAACCACAGGTCGCAAACGTTGAAAATTTGGTTCCCATCTGCGTGGACCCCTCGCGTGTGCTCTGGCTCGACCTCCGGGCAACGACGTCTGATTTCAAGTCCTGGGAATGGCAGATGGTCAGTACGAATGAAAAAGGTGAATCGAAATCTACGCACGTGAAGGGCCAAATCATATTCCAGTCTGCAGCCGAAGCTCAGGCTGAGTTCTCTCGTTATGAACGTCTGGTTCCTCACCGGAGATGCACAGAGATCCTCAACGACTCGGATCCAGACGACGTCCTCCAGGGACGGAACATGTACAAGGTCTTTGCCGAGATTGTAGACTACTCTGAGCCTTATCGAGGCCTTCGGAAGCTGGTTGGAAAGGGCACCACCTCCGCGGGCCGTGTTGTGAAGCAACGTTCCGGAGAAACTTGGCTCGATACCCATATATCAGACTGCTTCAGTCAGGTAGGAGGATTCTGGGTGAATTGTATGACCGATCGCTCCGCGTCCGACATGTACATTGCCGCCGGCTTTGAATCATGGATTCGCAGACCCGGAAGCACGGCCGCACAGGATGATCCTGAGAAGACTTCCGTGTGGGATGTTATGGCTTGTCACGTCAAAGCTTCGGAAAAGGCATACACCACCGACATCTTCATCTTTGATGCCACCAGCGGGCTTCTTTCTGAGATCATTCTTGGCATCAATTATTCCAGGCTACCCAAGTCCACAATGAGTAAGATGTTGACAAAGCTGACCGCTCCGAGCGAGAGGAGGGCACAGGTTGACTCACCGTCGATGCCTGCATCAATCAATGCACCCCCCAGCGCATCGGAACAGGCACCGGTTGAGCCAGCGCCACAGACAAAAGAATCGGCCCCCATTGCCGAGCCCGGCGCCGGGGGTCAGAGCAACTCCAAAGTCCCTGGAATTGTTGTCGAAGTCCTTGCAGAGCTGAGCGGTGTAGAGCCTGACGCGATCAAGATGTCCACCAAACTTGCCGACATTGGAATAGACTCCCTGGTTGGTATGGAGATGGTTCACGACTTGGAATCCAAGTGCGAATGTTCCTTGGACATGGATGAGATGGCCGAAGTAGTCACCGTCAATGATGTGGTGCAATGCGTTCACAAAACACTCGGTATTGAAGGAGGCTCTGCCGCGCAGGAGAGCGAAGGCAATCTCACACCTGCTTCGAGTGGCACTCAGAGCCCACGAAGTGATCCTGTTTCCGACACAAGCTTGTCCGATCTCGAACAGCTGCCCAGAAAAGAGTCAGACCTTGAACTGCAACTTTCTGCTTCCGACGTGCTGGGTGCTTTCGGAGAAACGAAGAAACTGACCGATCAATTCATCACTGATTTCAACTGCGCGGGCTACATGGATAATATCAACCCGAAGCAAACACAACTCTGCATCGCCCTCACTATCGAAGCCTTCGAGAAGCTTGGGTGCAATCTGCGGACGGCCAAGGCGGGTGAAGCCTTGCCTCGCATCAGCCATGCGCCGCAACATGGACGGTTGACGCAGTATCTTTACGACATGCTTGAGCACGAAGGGCGGCTGATTGACATCGACGGCGACAGGATCGTGCGAACAGCTGTTTCAGTACCACATAAATCGAGCAAGGAGATCTTAGCCAGCCTGGAGGCCGCATACCCAGAGCACGTCTGTGCCAATCGCCTGGCCTTTTTCTGTGGCACACGCTTGGTAGAGGTGCTCGAAGGCAAGCTCGATGGGGTGAAACTGATCTTCGGGAACGAAGAAGGCCGGCAACTAGTTGCAGGCTTATACGGTGACACTCAGCTGAACAGGATCTTCTATAAACAGATGGAAGATATCTTGACTCGTCTGATCTCGCGTATCCCGCGCGACTCCGGCCCGCTGAGGATCCTCGAGATGGGCGCTGGCACAGGCGGCACAACGAAATATCTCGTACCACTCCTCGCAAAACTCGGAGCGCCCGTCGAATACACATTTACCGATCTGGCACCCTCATTTGTTGCTGCTGCTCGCCGGCAATACAAGGCGTACCCATTCATGAAGTTCCACGCTCATGATATTGAGCAGGAGCCCGCGCAAGATCTCCTCGGGACGCAGCATATCATCATAGCCAGTAACGCTGTTCACGCAACCCACAGCTTGACGGTTTCCGCAAAGAATATGCGCAAGGCGCTCCGGCCAGATGGCTTCCTGATGATGCTGGAGATGACGCAGACGGTACCATGGGTGGATATCATCTTCGGCCTCCTCGAGGGCTGGTGGCTGTTCGACGACGGTCGCCAGCATGCGATTTCTCCCGAGTCCCGGTGGGAGAAAGATCTACAATCTGTCGGCTACGGCCATATAGACTGGACGGATGGTCACCTGGCAGAGAACAAGCTCCAGCGCATCATCATTGCCATGGCATCTGGTCCGCAGTATGATCGCCTTCCCATTGGACCTATATAAGCTGGACTTTTAGGCTGACCCAGATATTGCTGCAGGGGTGGGCGGCTTCCTCTTCCAGCGCCGCCGATAGCTCAGTCAACTTCCAACATTACTGAGAGGGCAACCGCTGTAGAGGGGTACGTGGATAGATTTACTTCAGGCTTTGCTATGCAGCCATTGGCATCCGCGCCAGGCACTACGGTCAGGAAAGATAGTGCGCAGTGTGTCCTTGTGACAGGGGCAACGGGGAGTTTAGGTGCACACCTGGTGAAGGAGTTGCTGGGCCGGTCCGACGTGGCAACAGTGATTTGCCTCAACCGACTCAGTCGAGGCACCAATCCCGAGCAGCGACAGTACAGATCGTTCGAAGAAAAGGGACTGAAGCTCGACTCTTCTCAGTCGGCCAAGCTGCGGATCATTGAGACGGATACGTCCAAGCCTCTGTTGGGCCTCAGCGCCGAGCAATATGAGGAGGTTGCCCACATGGTGACTGCTATCGTACACAACGCGTGGCCGATGAGTGGCGCCCGACCACTGCGAGGCTTCGAAGCACAGTTTTCAGTGATGCGCAACCTGATCGATCTTGCGCGCGACGCCGCCTACGTGTCTCAGACCATCACCTTCCAATTCATATCCTCTATCGCGGTCGTCGGTCACTATCCGCTCTGGAGCCGCGAACGCAATGTACCGGAAGAACGTGTCGGTATCGAATCGATTCTCCCCAATGGCTATGGTGACGCCAAGTACGTCTGCGAACGCATGCTCGACGCCACACTGCATAAGTATCCGGATCACTTCCGCGCTATGGGCGTGCGTCTGGGTCAGGTAGCTGGCAGTAGTGAGACGGGCTACTGGAACTCTCTGGAGCATCTGAGCTTCTTAGTCAAGTCGTCCCAGACCCTTCGCGCATTGCCAGACTTCCAGGGTGAGCTGTCGTGGACTCCGGTGGATGTTGTTGCGTCTACCTTGGCCGATTTGGTCTCGTACGCTGCCGCCGACTTCTCCGCCGCAAGCACGGTCTATCCGATCTACCACATCGACAACCCGGTGCGGCAGCCCTGGAAGGAGATGATCTCCGTCCTGGCACGGGCCCTCGATATTCCGCCGGCCAATGTGCTCCCATTCCCGGAATGGGTGCGTCGCGTACGACGCTTCCCTGGATCAACCGAGAAGGACAACCCCGCGTTCAAGCTCATTGATTTCTTGGATGACAACTTCGTGCGCATGTCCTGCGGTGGACTGCTACTCGACACGCGTCATACGCAACAGCACTCGCCCACACTTGCGGCGCAAGGACCTGTAAGCAACCAGGTCGCTGAAGGGTATATCCGGTACTGGAAAAGGACGGGTTTTCTCGCTGGTTAATGCTAGGCTTTCATGTTAGGTGCCTCCTCGTGTATTCATTGACAGATCTCTTGTTAAATTTATAGAATAGATGTGTGCATGCCATGCAAAATGGTTATCACGCTGTCAATTGGTGTAAGAGGCAGTAAGCTCGTGTAATGAGCTTCATCTTCCTGTAAACGCGGGACGGCGCAAGCATTCCGAATGGTTCAGCGTCTTGCGCAAGAACCGGCGTAGTAGGTACCTTATACAGCAATAAACGCCTGTCGGTATTTAATAGCCTGCGATAGATCGAGCTTGATGCTTTGTCCTTTGCACCTTTGGCATGTATCGGAGCTCCGCATCGCTAGCTCCTGGACTAATGCAACCCCCGCCGACAGTCTGTCTTACATCTTCGAAATGTCCGAACACAGCCCCGCTATACGACTCAGGAGAGAGGAAAACAGAGTACAGATGGCCGTTGAAGTCGCTCTTCATGTGGATGTGGTCTATCGGAAACTACCAGGCGGCATAGTTCTAACCCATCCCCTCCACTAGGCACCTAGTCCAGCTCCAAAAACACCTAATGGACTGGCTAATGTCGTCTGCCAAACCATGGACCCAATGTTACTCCATCAGCGGGGCCAAAATGTTCCCCGGCTATAAAACAGTGGTCCATCCGCATCTACCCCGTCCACTATCGACAACCGGTCGCAATACCAAACACAGTACGAGATGCCCTCCAACGAATCCACTTGTCTCGGGTCCGACCGCAATATGCAAACCGCCTGGAAACTCAACGCCAGCACACCGGGCTTCACGCCTAAAAAGCTGCGCGTGGTGTGTATCGGTGCGGGACTCTCCGGCCTGACTCTGGCTTACAAGCTCAAACACGAGCGGCCGATGGATTTTGTCGACCTGCGCATCTACGAGAAAAACCACGAGGTCGGCGGCACCTGGCTGGATAATGTGTATCCCGGGGTTGGATGGTACGTGTATCGTGAGACTTGCGCGTTGGGCGTTACTAACGGGCGTTGATAGCGACATCCCCTCTCGTAGGTTCCTTGGCTGTCTTGTTTGGACGGGGCTGATAGATTATAGCCTCGTACGTGTTTCCGTTCGAGCCGAATCCGGACTGGTCCAAGTTTTATGTCGGCGGTGCGGAAATCCAACAGTACATTCTTCGCACGACCGCAAAGTATGGGCTAAAAGAGCGGATCGTCTTCAACACCAGACTCCTCAAGGCCGAATGGAACGAGGACAGCGCGAAGTGGAAGCTCCAGTTGGAGCAGGACGGACGTGTTTTCGACGATGAGACTGATGTCCTGATCAACGGCACCGGGTGCCTCAGGTAAGTCCGATGTATGGGTGTGAGGCGTCCGCTGATCTCTCCAGTCAGTGGAAGTGGCCCGATATCGAGGGTCTAGATTGCTTCAAAGGAAAGCTGCTTCATAGCGCCCGCTGGTATGAACCCCTCTCGGGATTATTGGAACAGTAGCTGAGATAGCAGGGATCCGGAGTACAATTGGGAAGGGAAGAGAATCGCAGTCATCGGAAACGGTTCTTCTGCCCTGCAGTTGGTTCCCTCATTGCAGCCAAAGGCTGCCAAGCTGGTTAACTACATCCGTCATCCAACCTGGGTATCCGTGAACTTCTGCCCGGACCTCACGAGAGACGGCATGGGAAGCAACTTTGAATTTACTGAGGAAGAAAAGCAGCAGTTCCGAGATGACCCAGAGATGTTCTTCCAGTACCGAAAGAAGGTCGAGCACGGGTGAGACTCCGTCATCTTCCAAAAAGGAAACACACGCTGATAATGTCTACAGAGTGAACACCGTCCTCCAGATGATGATCTCAGGATCAGGCGAACACAAGTTCCTGCACGAGACGGTGGAAGGCCTCATGAGACAGCGTCTGGCCGACAGACCCGACCTCATCGACAAGATGATCCCCAACTACGAAATAGGATGCCGCCGCCTCAGTCCCGGGGACGGCTATCTCGAAGCCCTGCAAGCCGCGAACGCACGACCTTCCTTCGCCAACATCAACCGCATAACACCCACCGGTTTCGAAACCGACGAAGGAGAGGAAGAGTTCGACCTAATCGCCTGCGCGACCGGCTTCAACACCAGCTACATCCCGCCGTTCAAGATGACGGGCCGCGGCGGCCGGCGCTTAGACGTTGAGTGGAAAGACAAGCCCGCCGCGTACTTTGCAACCTGTGCGGCTGGATTCCCCAACTACTTCATTTTTGCGGGGCCCAACGCGCCTATCGGTCATGGGTCTGTGAATCGGATGATCTGGTTCCAGGCGGACTACATGCTGAACTGGGTTGAGAAGATAGCTACGGAGGATATCCGGTGAGTGCCTCAGTTCGGACGGGAGAATAGAGCTGACGGTTGTAGGTCGGTTGCCGTCAAAGACAGTGCCGTCCGCGATTTTAATGAGTTCGCAAAGGAAAACCTCAAGCGTTTTGTGTGGTCCAAGGGGTGTCATGCCTGGTATAGTAAAAAGACTGATGGAGAGGATAACATCGTCACGGCAATGTATCCTGGCAGTCTACTTCATTTTAAGGGTACGTTCTTCCTTTTGCGTCAGAATATCGCTGACATGATATAGTCTATTTGGACAAAATCCGTGGAGAGCATTTCGATATCCAGTACAACACGTCCAATATGTTTGGCTTCTTGGGGAATGGGGAATTGGCATTGGAGCGAGAGAAAGATGGGGACATGGCTTTCTATATGTAACAGGTTGATGGATTTGTTAGCTGTATATTGCATACACCGTGTACACTCGAGTTCAAACCGGCGCCGGGGTCGTATACTCTCTGCGATGGATCCATTGAATGTACGATTCCTTGCAGTCCTACGATTTGGGAGCTTGATGCGAGCATTGAATACCTTTCTTTGGGTCTATGGTAACGCTGTCTGAGGCAGCAGAGACGTGATAGCTTTCTACAGCCATAATAGGAGAGCGGATGATCCGCAGGTAATCAGCGGTAAACAGGGAGCTTAACTCTATCGTGCTACTGTTGAGCGAACTTTTGTTTGTGACTGGAGTCTCCTCCAGTGGCGCAGTCGGATGTGACCCTTCTTAAGGACAAAGGATCAGAAATCATGTAGCCTGGACTATACCATCTATTAGCTTGGTGTTAGCAATGCGCTATTTTTGCAATTGGCTAGAATAGAGGGTACATGCGATCCCTCTTTTCCTTTCATCCACGGGCATGGACAGATATACTATACTCATCCCCGAGTCCTTCCACCACCAAGGCTCATCACCCTCAAAGCCCGGATGATGGCATCTACTCCACGCTCTAACTTCCTGTTATCGCTCTTCCGCACATTGTTCAATACACTTATCCATTCCTCTGGCGATGACCCTCTCCTTGCGCGAGCTCATAGGCTGTTACAAGGGGAACCCTCCCAAGCAACGAACCTTACCTGCTTAATTCCAATTCTTGTGGGTATTATCCTCGACTCGCTAGTGAGTTATCCCTCTCTCAGAATTTCTGGTTCTCTGGTGACTTAAGGCAGCAAGATCCGCTATGTGATCGGCCACGTTGTTATGTCCATATTGATACTCGAAACCGCCGAGGCTCAGACCGACTCCCATGAAACGGGCGGCGAAAAACGGATTTCCATCCTGCCGGCGGCTTCGCCAAACGCTTTCTTCCCTCTACAGCAAGGGCGGCCTCCGTCTTCTTTTCAGTGGTCTCGGAGCTGCGTGGTCCTATTGGGGTGTTCACTCCTTTTTGACTAAACTCCTATCCTCTGTGTTCCTGCGACATAAATCCCTGCAGCCGCTAGCTCATATCGTCTCCTCGGTCCTCCTCGCAGAGTACCATTTCTTCTGGTCAGCTCGTACGATCCTCCCTCGAGACCAAATCAGCCAAGTGAGCAGATGGCGCGACTGGGGACGATGGAAATCCTTGACGATTCCGGCCTTGGTCTATGCTGGTACAGAAACTTGTATGCGTCATATTCCTGCTATCATTGAGGATTCCAGTGGTACGCCCGATGAATATGTGACATTTGCACGGAAGTCGAACATCATCCTGTCAGATATTTTGGTGTCTGTCTTGATGTTGGCTCTTCATCTTGTGCTCCTCCTTCCTTCATATATCGCCCTGATATCAGTCGAGGCGAGTTTCCTTCCTCAATCTTGCGAAACTATTATTCCTTCCTCCTCCTCCAGGCAGCGAGGGGCACGGGTCGGAGAGCTGTTCCCAGCTGCTGATCTACCGCTACAGACCCAGAAGGCGTGGCAGATGATAGGAGCTGGAAGAATATTGTGGTTTCTTGAGTTACATGGGAAGATGACCTTATGTTTGGTGTGTATTGCGGCTGTTGTTCATTCTCTTGTCTACTGCCTTCTTTAGAGTGGGGCTTGTGTACCAATTTCCCTGATTTGCCACCTGATTAACGACTTGGGAGTGAATGTGTCTGTGTAGATAGGAATTTCCTTTCATAAAGGTCATAGAGATAGTCGAGCAATTTCCCCTGTTGTAGGTAAGAGTAAAAGACCTGGGCGCCAGTTTAACCCTTCAGTGTATAGCTCTACAACATTGAATCTGAACATTGAGTATCTTGAAGTAATAGCATGTCACAACATCATGGAGTATCTCAAACAAAAGTCCACCTCAAACAAACAGGCTACATCCAAACGCAGCATACTTCCACCCTGAGAGAGTCAAGCAGGCACCCTTAGAATCCTTGAAACCATCACACCAGCGCCCTCCCGCATTTCCGAATCTGCTTGCGAACCAGCTCCTTCGCAACATAATCAAGCGTCGCCTCCACAATCGGGGCAATCTCATCAGTATCGTCCGGCCGAATATCCGCCATGCCATTGGGCACATCAAACCGAAACAACCGCTCCTCGTCATCGAGCTCGCTATGCTCCTGGATGAACTTATTGGTTTCGGCGTCCGCATCTGGCCCTCGCTGCGGCATGCTCTTGACAAGCCCAAAGAACCTCCGATGCAGCCGTTTCATCGACGGCGCCCCCGCGCCAATCGAAATCATGCAGTTGAGCTGGCTCTCCAGCGAGCCCGACGGCCAGGCGCCCTTCGCCTCGATCCACACGTCGCGCATGGGGTTGTTCCCCTCCAGCGAGGCGTCGTGATATGCGCGTCCGCTGGTCCCGACGGGGATGGGGTCGAACAGCGCGGGCACGGCGAAACAGGCGGCGCACACTTCCCAGACTCTGGCAGTCTTGTAGAGCTCCGGGACGCAGTATTTGCTCGGGTAGGTGGTGAGAGGGATGACCTTTCGGCTGGCGTGGTCGGTCACCAGGGCAAATCTGCGCTGTCAGCACAGCACACAACATGCGATATAGCGGGCTTACACTTTGCACGACGGGTCGGGCTCTCTCAGGAGAGTATCCTCGTCTCGTCCGTGGGTATCGAGGTCGCGCTTTATCATGTGTTCCAGGAATCGGGAGTCGAACTTCGGTCGCGTGCGCAGGTTGCTCCCGATGGGGATGTGGCGCTTTCTGCGAAATACATGAGTGTAGAGACTGCGCACGGTGTGGATGCACTCGTCGATGTCCATCTTGAGGCGACCCAGGAGAATCGCAATCAACCTTGCGGTGCTGTCAGCCGCTTGCACAGACTGGGGTGACTGCACATCGACCTACCCTCCCGATCCAGTCCCGCCGATCATATCGAAATAGTCGCATGGTTTGGGCGAAGGGTCCGCAGTGACCGAAGCCATGATCTCCTTGAGAATGTACAGCGTGGAGATCCCGCGGACGCCCCCGCCGTCTAGGCTGAGGATGTTCAGATTTCGTTCTGCCATGGATGCGAGATGCGATCAACGCACTGCAGGAACACCGGCCGTCGGATGCTGCGTCTCTTATAGAGGGGCACAGGACTGTGTCGATAAGCACAGCCACACGCCGACGCGATCTGCGTCTGCCAACAGCATTGCAGGGCTGGCAGCTCTGATTAGCTGGCACTTTGGTTTAACGGTCTCGTACAGACGCCCTGTGCACGTCAAAGTTTTTGGGATGACGTTGGGCCCGCATTGACGGACAGGAGTGGATGCTCTGGCGCATATGCAACCAGTGGCCAGGATTGTCTCTTGGGAAGGGGAGACACGTGTCGGCGCTTAGTAGGAGGCCCGAACGGTAGATCAACTCCACGAGGTGGCTGCCTGGCCAGACACCTAGGTTGGGAGTGTAATGCCCTGCTTGGGGCTGCTGCGGCCTGAGCTTGATGGCAGGATATGAATTACTATGTTTCTAACACCATAGATGCATTCTTGGGTACCTATCTACTAGTATAGGAGACCACATTATCATAGTGGTCAGTGCACAAGTCGCTGGGAGTCAACCCCCAACGATTCTCCGTCTCCTGCCACACCCGTTCCCCTCCCTCCATTCCTCGTACCAACGTAATAGTCGCTACGTCGATGTTCAAAGTGCCCGCCAGATAATGCAGCGCCATGTTGCCATCCACATCCTGCGCCCCGACTTCACACCCACCCCAGTCCAGCAACACCTGGACGGTCGCCTTCTGCGCCTGTTGCTGGGACTCGGTCATGGGCTGCGGGTTCAGCGCGCTCGGTTCGCTCGGCGTCTTGGACCGGCTAGGGCGATAATGAGGCCGCCAGCGCACATCCAGCGTGCGGATGAGTGAATGCTTTGGGCGGCCCTAGGATTGCCGCCATTTACCTGCCATCCTGTGAGAGGCAGTGATGCCACGTGAAGCAGACTATGCCCCAGAGCGGTTGTCCCGGCCGCGCCCAGTCCGCCGGGCATGAAGCCGGCAAGCCAGCGGAGAAGTTCAGGATCGTGATGCGCTGTGGCGAAGTGGAGAGCATGGACATTGAAGATTGGGGTGCGGAGGTTGGGATTCAGCTGCGGGTGGGAGAGCAAATCAACTAGACATCTTTGAACACCGGGGTCGCTGAGATCACACCGGGAGATGGCGTATGAAAGAGGCGGAAGAGCAACAGTTGGGGCGGCACGAGGACAGTAGTTAGGGGAATATCCACAGGTATCCAGCAGGTGCCTCAGCATCATCACGCGGCCAGCGGCCATGGCTTCATGGACCGGAGAGGACGTTGACAAGGCAGAAAATGGAACGTTATCTTCGTCGTATATGTCAAACAGCCGCCCGACATCCTGTTCTGTCACTGATGCTGCGGTCTTGAGCCAAGCAGACTCCTCTGCTCCAGCCATCCGCAGGATATCAATCATTTCTGTATTGCCCAACTCCGCCGCGACTTCAAGCGAAGTCAAGGGCCTCGGCATCCGCAGACCTTGTCCGGGGACGACAGGCTCCGTCCAGAAATGGGACAAGCCATGGCGACGCTCGTCCAACTCGGCCTCGGTCAACGGGCAAACCGGGTGAGTGATGCCCTCTTTTCGTGCAGTTTCCAGTACAGAGACCCGATATTTACGCTGTCTCGGAAGATTGAGCTGGAAATGAAAATGGCAGCCCCGGGTCCACTCGACCGAGTAGTCCGCCATACTGGACCGTTTGATGCCGTTCGGGTCCGCCCCCGCGGCCAAGAGAAGATGGAGATGGTCTGGTAGATCGGCGCCGATGGCGGTAATGATGGGAGATTGGATTCGACCTTTACGATCCACACTTATATTGGGGCTTAGTGAGCATAGCTTTTGTTTCTGAGTCCTTGTCAGGGTCCTCCGTTGGCTCCATTTGTCGAACCTTTCATAGTCAGCCAATATAGCTTCGAGGATAGCTATGTTAGGGTTAGCTGCAGCAGAGATGACGGGGATATCATCATCAGCAAAAAATTTCAAGGTCGTCGGCCGTGAGGTGGTACATCATGATGATGATGATGATGATGATGATGATGATGGAAGGGTTAGAAGAGGGACAGAAACTGCCAGGAAGGTGGCTCGGGTGATGTGCTTAGCGTGGAGGAAGCATGCCTGAGGCTACAGGTTTCGTATACTGGATCTATCACGATTCAGTCCTGTCCTTTTCTCAATATTTGTGATTTTCTGGTTGGATGTCGTAAATAGGAAGTATTAGTCCTAGCTAAGCCATTCTGATTCACGTCCTGTCTTGTATTTGCCAACCGTCGGCCCATACAGGATGCGAATTCAAGTGGCGTGTCTAGCCTGACTGGAATGCCATTTTCTAGAACATCTCCCTCTAGATCTACAACGATATCTATTCATCACGGGGTATGCTCCGTGCTTATCTGGGCTACCATATCGGTTGACGACTAGGGCACAGCTCTTGAACCCGCATTAATAATGGTGAATATTTGTAATCCAAACTACTGTATTCTCCTATAAAAGGTAATATACCGGGAATTTTGGCGGGATACGACATGGGCATCGTATAGGCTTTTCCTGATTTCAAAGTCTCCAATATTCAGAGATGGTACCAAAGATTTTCCTTACAGGAACAGTAAAATACCCCCTCTTTGAAGGCCATGCTGACGTCCTGGCTGACTGTAGCATAAATGCAGAGCGGCTACATAGGAGGAGATGTCTTATACGAGCTTCTGAGCGTACATCCGGACTGGGAGCAAAGCATCACTTGTCTCGTGCGCAACCCAGCTCATGAAGCACAATTCAGAGCAAGATATCCAAGACTGAGGCTATTATTTGCTACATTTGACCAAACGGCTCTTATTGAGGAGGAAATAGCAAAAAATGAGCTGGTCGTTCATTTTGCGATAAGTGCTGACAATGTTCCATCCGCCACAGCTATTGTGAACGGACTGCGGAAGAGGGGCGGAGGAGTGTACATTCATACAAGCGGCACTGATATCCTGCTGGATCCGGGACATGAAATCCAGAGTACTCCAGATCGAATACATATTTTCGATGATTGGGAGGGGATCTCTGAGCTTACTTCCCTACCAGGTAAGTATACATCAAGACTATCACAACCCTGCAAGCGCTAATACCGATATCTCTCTTAAGATGAGGCCATACATCGCAATATCGACAAGATTGTCTTGGCAGCCGGCTCTCAGACACTGAAGACTGCGATTGTTTGTCCTTCAACTGTGTTCGGAGCCGGAAGGGGCCCTGTCTTGCGGAAGACCGAACAGATGTATAACCTTACCCGGCTTATCCTCGCAAGGGGAAAGGGACTCCAGTTAAGTGACGGGAAATCTTTCTGGAACTGTGTTCACGTCCACGACCTGTCTCGTCTATATGTTCGCCTGATTGATGAAGCCGTATTCGGAGGGGCCAAAGCTTCATGGAACTCCGAGGGCTATTATCTTGTGGAAAGCGGTGAATACTTCTGGGGGGATATCTGTCGCAGAATTACGAAAGAGGCATATAAGCTAGGACTCCTAGCATCGGAAGAGATGATGGTGGTTGATATGAAGGATAGGGAGGTCATGGCACCTGCTGGCCGTGCTGTAGCGAACTACAGGGTCAAAGCCAGAGCGGTGCGGGCTAGAAAGCTTCTCCACTGGACACCCACGCAATCAAAACTCCTGGATGAGATCCCAGAAATTGTGAAAGAAGAGGCGCGTGCGCACGGTCTGTCTTGAGCGGTATCTTGAGTGATATAGCTATTCTTGCACTGTCCTTGACCTGTTTTGTTTCTCTTGGACAATCTATTTAGACTGCGCAGTTCAGTCCATTTTATTTATCAGATTCTGGAAGAGACCAAAATGGACCACTAGTTTCGTTCTTGGACCAGAGTCCTTATTGCCAACGGAACTCCACATATCATTAGCTTGTGATGCCTGATGCGAATTTTGTCCAGTGCCGAACTACATCATGTTCTCTATAGGCAAAGCTACAGTCGTGCCAGACTTTTGAGGCCTAAGCCTGGCTTAGTCCTTGCGAATAGGCTCTATGTGGTAGTGTAGAGGTAGTAGCCTCTCTTGGGATGAAGGAACCAATATTTCGGCATTATTTCGGACCCGGAGCCAGTACCAAGTATTTAATTCCAACGAATGCTGAGAGAGCTTCCAGAAAAAGAACCTTGAGAGGCACGCATACACCTCCAGCCCGTGCATTACATACACATGGACAGTGAACTTATGTAGCTAGAGGCGAATGGAATCGTCGGGTGCTAGTCACGACCGTTTCTCACAGACACTGGGAGTACCAGTCTATAAGAATAGCAAAGATACGAGGTTAGCTTCCATGCAACATAATTCAGATGGTTTTGTATTGAGAGCACTTACCGTTCTGGAACTGACAAGTTGATGGCGACTCACACTGTGTCGGTCCAGTCCAACCTTGACCACCACACTGTCCCCACTTTGTCTGCTGTGGTTGAGCCGCCGAAGTTGTTGTCGAAGAGGTCGATTTTGTGGTTGTAGAAGATCGCGTTGTGGTGGTGGAAGAGGTAGTGCTTGAGATAGCACGCAGCCGGAACATCCGACATCCCGTCGCAGGGATAGACTGCGTAATCGTCCCTGAAGGTCCTGAAACCGATCCCACAGCCGTTCCAAGTAGCATTGGGTTTGCTTGAGACAAACCCGTCGAATAGCTCTGGGCAGTGGCATTGTAAAGCAAAGATGAATGGGCGGCCGCCCCGTCATTGAGAATTGACTGTGCCTGGCTGTCACTGAGTCGAGATCCCCAAAGATCTCGAATCTCAAATTGGGTCGACGGAACACTGGATGAACCAAAGATTTCGGACAGGGTGGCGGATGCCGTCGTGCTTGAGCCTCCGTTATTGAAAAGCACGACAACAACGTCGTTGACTGAGCCACCGGTGGTAGACGCCAGAGGTCCACTCCATAGTTGCACGTTATTTCGTGTCCATCGGTACGAGGCTGCCACTCCCAGCGGATCTTGGTTAACTGCAATGACGGCGGGATTCGCCAGGATGGAAAAGCCGCTGGCAGTCAACTTCGACATATCGTTGCCCATAATGAGTGGACTTTTTGCGGCGGACCCTGGAATCACACGAAGTATCTATGGTCAGTGGAAGAAAGCCAGCAAGTTCAAGCTTCTCATTGTAAGAAAGAGAGGGAAGACGCACACATGCTGAAATGTGCCACATATTGCGCATCGGACATTCCACCGTTGCCGACTTCCAGCATGTCCATATCGTTCCAGCCGCCTTTAGCCGAGTATGAAGAGATCGTTGCTTGCATCGACATGATCTGCGTCACAGAGCACTGGTAACCACCGGAGTTAGGGCTTGGAGATCGGATTAGCGTATGGAAAGACTCTTGCAACCAAAAGGGAGCCCATATACTTACACTGGACAGGTTGAATATGCGGTGTTGAAGCGATCGAAAATGTCTCCTGTGATTCTCCAGGAATTTCCGACTGATGGGCCCCATATCCAAGGCTTGTCTTCGCCCCAATTACAGATGGCGTAGAGAATTTGGCGACCACTTGCAGCCAGTGCTTTTTGCATGACCGCATACCTGCAGGAAGACGTCGAAAGAGTCAGCAGCTTTTATACAACAATCGTCTGAACAATATAGAGTTGCGCTCATACCGAGCAGAGCTGACGGCTTGACTTCCAGATTGGCCGTTGTTGTTGCAATTGTCATATTTCAGGTAATCCACGCCCCAGCTGGCAAATGTGTTGGCATCGATCGTTTCATAGCCCAGACTCCCAGGATATCCGGCGCACTATGGCCACCAGTATGTGAGAAATGGCTTTCAACCGACTTTGAAGGACAGACAGAGGCATATTCAATCGCAAGACCGGGTAAAAGGGCGTAATCTTACCGTTTTCGTGCCAGCGCTCGAATAGATCCCAAAGCCAAAGCCATCTGCATGAAGTTGATTGCCTAGATAGCTCATTCCGTTGGGAAATTTGGTGGAATCTGCTATGAGCGCCCCATTTGATGCTCGACCAGATGACCAGCAGTCATCCAGAATAATGTAGTGATAACCGGCATCTCTCAGGCCAGTCTTTTTGATGAAGCTGGCCGTAGAGAGAATCAAACTCTGACTCAAACTGCAACCAAATGCATTCCAATTATCTGCCAGCGGACGTGGTATCAGCATCAATCATTTGGTAACTTGCGTTCTAGGAGCATGAGCACTTACCCCACCCCATTTGCGGAGTCACGGCGAGTCCATTGTTGAGTGCCGTGACGAGATGGACGAGTGAAAACCCTCCTCCGATGAGGACGGTGAATCTCATGGCCGGTAGACTCAAATGTCAGTACTAAGCATAGATTGCTGAATGTTTGAATCCTTGAACAGAAGAATTTGTTAAGGCCACGGACGAGGAGGAAGATATAGGACCTCCTCCTGAATAGAGGCAATTCAGTCATACTCCGTCCGGTTAAAACAGCAGGCAATCAAAGTAAGTTTGCCTCAAATTAAGGCGTCTTTCCTCTCGAGGCGATGCGCTCCGAAGGCCGTTTCTTTTAGGGTATGAGGGATGTGAGCGTTGCATAGAGAATGCACGTCGTCACAACCGCGGGGCATGAATGGTTTCCCAAATGCCGTGAGGAAAGAAAGATTCTCCGCATTTTCGGGAGTTGGAGGCTCGTGATGAAGCCGATCACTGTGATGCGCCTGCCATGCCATACCCTTAGGGCGGCCCGTAAAGCCTAAAAGCTTGCTCCGGAGTAAAATGTGGAGAGCCGTGATGCCCCCGCCGGGCCAGCCATGTCTGTGAGTGATCATGTATCAGGCATGAGCCTAGACCGGAGTTATGGTAGGGACAGCGGGGCGTTACATGGGGCTACCTGAAGGAAAGGCAGGGAACCCTGCCAATTTGTAGTTCGACTGCAGTGAACTCCTTTCGGGGAGAGCGGAGATGCTTCGACAAAGCCAATCCGAATTGTGCCGAACTGCCTCGATCGATAGCATTGGGGCCCACCTTTACAGGCAATATTGAAGGATCCAGATCCTGTGAGATAGCTTCTTCATACAGGGTCTACTATAGATTTGCTATCGGGAAATTGTCGGCGATGCAGGATGAGAGGAACGGCTCAGTAGCCTCGACTTTACATACTTCCGCATGATCTTTATTCTGGGTGATTTTTGCCGAGTTCTTGGGCAAGGTTCCTTTGTCCTTGCTGTAAATTTCATATGGACTAACGGGGCATGAAGGACTCCATGATTGGTTGTCGCCCTCTTAATGAACTCTAGGGCAGGCGTGATCAAGTGCAATTGTAAGTAAGTGCTTTACTGGACTAGAAGCCCCAACGGGGGTGAAGGAATGAGAAAATACCTAGGTAGTAAAGGCCCCGTATCTTCCATACATCAGTGTATTGACATGGCGATGCATACCTAGGTATCTCAATACGTCCGCCAATATCAGGCTCGCATTATGAAACACTCTAAATACGTACAAACCGGACCACCCATCTCAAGGAAGGGTATATCCCCCATCGATAACAATGTTCGCACCCGTCATGTAGCTAGACGCATCCGAGGCACAAAACACGTAGGCCTGCCCCCGTCAGAACAGTCTCCAATCATACCCAGGTATAGGAAAGACTCACCCCCTTGAGCTCATACGCCTCGGCAAACCGCTTGGCCGGAACCATATCATACCACTTATTGCGCCACTCCGCAGGATGAATATCGAGAATATCGGTAGCGATGAAGCCCGGCGAGATGCAGTTCACTCGACAGAAATCAACCCATTCCACCGACAGACACTTGGCCATCTGCACGACACCCGCCTTGGACGCATTATACTAGCCCCTCCAGTCAGCGCACTCCTCGAGCTCAATCAGAATAAAATGATAACTCACCGCCGCCTGCTTCTGCGGCACGTTCACCAGCGTCGCGCTCACGGACGCTGTGAAAATCACGTTCCCAAATCCCTGCTTCTTGAAGATCCGCGCGCCTGCCTGCGCCGTGTAGAACGCCCCGTCCAGGTTCACTTTCATGATATCGCGCCACTGGTCGGTCGAATAATCCTCCGCGGGCACATTTGTGCAGATGCCCGAGTTGGCGACGACGATGTCCAGCCGGCCGAAGTCGGTTGCGATCTGCTGGATGGTCTTTTCGATCTCCTCCTGTTCGCTGACGTTGGCCTTGTAGGCTACGGCTCTGACGTTGTTCTTGCTTGCGATGTCGCGGGCTAGCGTCTCGGCCGTTGTGGAGGAGTTGTAGATCAGGGCGACCTGGCTGGTTAGTGGGAGGTGCGTGTGGGCGTCGAGAGATCAGACTTACGTCGGCGCCTGCTTCGGCCAGGGCGATGGAGACTTCAAGACCGATGCCACGGGCGCCGCCTGAGAGTGTTAGTAGGTCGCGTACTGAGGGAAGATATGGAGGAACGCACCGGTCACGACGGCTACCTTGCCCGTAAGGTCGAACGCCTTGAGGACGTGCTTGTTCTCGGGTTGTGAGAGGACCATTTTGTTATGAGAGAAGGCAGTACACAGGTTTGGAGCAAGTTCGGACTGTCTGTTGCTTCATATATTTTTCCCCGCGAGGTTGACCCCGCAGCGGAGAACCCCCACGCCGGACAAACACCGGGTCAGTTGATAGACTTGATAGGAGGATAGAGGTCAGATGAATGTATATCTTCTTTCTCGGGTCTGTTGGTGTTGTTCTACTGGTGTACACTGATTCTCGGAAAGGACTGAACGACAAGTTCGGTTGCGTCATACTACCTCGAGTATAGTTGAGGCCGTTGATAACCGAGTTGGGAGATCATATCAGCCAAGGTAACATAGAATACTGCTGGGCAGCACGACGTCTTCAGGTTTTTCATATACATCCCCGTTTGTTTTCGGCAAATCAAGAAGTAGGATATGATCATGTATTCACTTCTCGAATGGAGTACATATACTCTAATCTCGCATAACCACAAACATGCTCCTATACCACCCTCGCCGGCATAATCGTCTGCTGCCCCGACACTGAATGCCCCCCCTCCGAACGCTGCGACCCATGCATTGACCCACCCACAGCATTAGGATCAAAAGACGCCGACCCCCGCGGGCTACCATACGCCCTGAGATCCGGCTGCGAATCGCTAGCAAACATGATCGACTCGCGATCGAAGCGCGGCTCGCTCGTCGGCTGACCGGCGTCATCCGTCAACGGGACCATGGTGTAGGTCGAGCCGGGCCGTTTCTGGGGCATTGCGCCGGCGGCGGCGGCGGCTTTGCGCTTCTTGGCGAGGACCTTGCGCACGCGCGAGACGATGCAGATGCCGATGAAGAGGCTGCCCAGGAGGGTGAAGGTGATGATGGCGGCGATCTTGCCTTTGCGGTTGCGCTCGGCGAGGGCGGCGCTGGCGGTGCTGGTTGCGGTCGCGGTGGATGTTGTGGTGCTTGCGGTGGATGTAGTGGTGCTTGCGGTGGAGGTGGTCGAGGTGCTAGTTGTGGTTGTGGATGTGGAGGAGCTAGTCGATGTTGAGGAACTGGTGCTCGTGGTGGAGGTTTCTGAGGTGGTTGTGGTGGTTGAGGCGGAGGTTGTGGTCGCGTCTGTGGTCGTGGATTCAGTAGTGGTTTGGGAGGTGTCTGTTGTCGCGGCTGTTGTTGCGGCTGTTGTTGCGGCTGTTGTTGCGGCTGTTGTTGCTTCGGTGGTGGTATCGGCTCGCGCGTGGATCCAATGGGCGTAGGTGTTGAAGCTATCGTTGTTGTCGCGAGGAGCGAGAGACGGTGGGAGGGTATTTGTTGGCTGGGCCGGGGCGAGTTGTAGGACGTTAGGGAGTGGTTGAGGCCAGGACACTCCCACCGAGCATACGCAGCCCAAAGCGACGAGGAGGGCGTTTTTCATGATGCTGTCGGTCGATATCAGGCGTACCAGTGTAGTTGAAGAGTAGATAGAAGGAAAGAAAAGGCCAGGACATTAAAGAATCTATCGCACTCTCCCTGGCCCTATTTTTAACCAAGATACTCGTGTACTGCGTCGGCGAAGTCAAGAGTACAGCCTCATCGATAGGAAGTAGTTGCTAGGGCTGAGCGGATGATTGGCGCTCATACTGACGGCCACGCGGCAAGCTCCACCGAAAAGGGTGATATCCATTGCGCAATGGGAGAGAGATTCCAAATATAAACTGGCCGGATGAATCTTCTCGAGGTTCGGAGTTATGCATACCTCAAGAGGCAAGGAAGTCCGACAAGTTGAGATTGGTGTTGGTAGTCATTATAAAGGCGTAACAGATACTCTGGAGTCAATGGATTGATCGAACAGGATGATCAGTGGTCTTGAAGGGCTGAGTAGGAGGGTGGTAACGTTAAGATTGTCGCCCTCACGGATGGTGGATTCGTCCCACGTAAGCTCTTTCTCGCATCTTGGATCTCTATATCCGCGATCCACGGTTCTTCATATAATCTCAGCAGTACACATAGGTATGACTGGGTGTGTCCTTGTGTGGCTCTATATATATAAGAACTGTCAGAATAAAGTATAAGCCCATGCATGCACTCCTTATCTCTTGGCGCTGTGAACAATACCCCATCATCAAGAACAATAATCATCATCCCATTCATGCAGTCCAGCCGAACCGAGGAACTCGGGCTTGGCAGATCCACTTGGTTCAGGAGAACAACGTCGTCTCCTCTTCTGGCTACCATAAATCACCACCACAATCACCCCAACCCGCGTCAATCCCCACTCACCCACATCTGCACGATATTATAGTACTCAATTCAACTCATCATGCCCAACGCCCTCCAAACCACCGCCGTGGGATGGCTCCTCATCTCTCTCGGCCATACTGTGTGTCCAAGACCATTTCGGAGTATATTCATAGTTCCTAACATACACCCGTAGCTCTCCGCCAAAGACTGGCAGAGTCTGCCTAACTTCCGCGCCCTCCCGAACCTGGCCTATACCTGCGCCAAAGCCGGGTGGTACCAGGGTAGTGCGTTCTTCTTGATGACCGGTAAGTCGGAATCGTTCAATGGAATGCACTTGAATTAATATCCATATGCCAGCCCTGATCAACTACCAATGGTCCAAGAATCCCGCGCTTCTGAACGACCCCGTGAACAAGGCCATCGCCGGCCTGATGACCGCCATCGTCTGGGTCAGTTCGGGCTGGTATCTGAAGCGTGGCGTCAACAGCAACGGCGTCGTGGTGGCCCTCATGGGAGCCGTGCAAGCCTGGGCCGCCTTCAAGAACTAATGTAAATATATAGCTACGACTGTATATGAATATGTCAATCTTCCAACCATATGTACACCACAAGGTATCATGTACTCGAATAATATAATACCGATTCAATCCAACGCAAACTCCAACCATGCAGGTCACCAAAACATCAAATGAAATGCAACCGACAGTAATGCCCTCACGGCTTCTCACACGGGTCGTTCGTCGCCGACACCGCGCGCCGTCCCCATCCACTAAAGAACCCGCCTCCCGCCGGCTCGGTCGTCGTCCGGGTCGATGCTGGCCGACTCAGCGACGGACTCGGCGGCTCCATCGTCGTCACGCTGCGGGCCAGGCCGCGTTGCGACGCCCCGCCCACCATCTTCCGCAACCCCTCCAGCTTCGCCTTAACCTCCTCCAGCTCCTGCTTAGCCACTGCCTCCGCCGTTTTCGCATTCACCAGTTCCAACAGCAGCGCCTCCTCCGCCGCCGGCTTGTTATTCTCCGTCGACAGTACCCCCTGCAGCCCCAGACTGCTCGACCGCTTGTTGTACGTGCTCCGCTGCGAGCCTGATCGCACGAGCTTGAGCTGGCGCAGGCCGTTCGCGGCGACGCCTTCGCCTGGCTCACTTGTGGGGGAGTCGGCTGGGGATTCCGACGTAGGTGTCTTCATGGCGCGGAGTTCCCGTACCATCCGCTCCAGCCGCTGGCGATCGCGGTAGCTCTCCTGGATGCGCCCACGCGCCTCGCGGAGTTGCTCGCGCAGCGACGAGTTCTCCTGTTCGTGCTCGTCAATGCGACGAGTCAGGTCGAGGCAGCGGCTGGATTCGACCGCATGCATTTCCTTCCAGTGGTTGAGGTCGTCGCGGAGCTGGTGTTTGGTCTGGTCGATGGAGACGCGCTTGGCGGAGTCGGCAAGGGTAAATCGCGCTTCGGCTTTGCTGACGAGATCGGCGGGGGCGTCCTCTGCAGTCTTGATGAACTCCAGCATAGACTTGGCCAGCAATTGATCCTCCTCGCGTTCTTCGCGCTCCTGCTGCAGCGACCGGGTGAGATCGGCGTGCTGGCGCTGCAGGTCGCTGAGCGCCATGAGGAGATCTTCAATCTGGGTGTGCAGATCACGGTCCTTGTGGGTAGACATGGTCGATTTCGCGCGCGGTTTCTGCGCTTCGGTCGAGAGTTCGGTGGGTGCGGTGCTGGCATCCGAGGTCGATTCGACCGAGTTGAGAGTCGACGTCATGCTCTGCTTCGATGCCGACCGGCGGACTGCCGCGGTGGCGCTGGGGTTGAGCTTGATAGAGTTATGGGAACTCGATCCGGCCCAGAAGCGACCCAGGAACCGCGATGCGGCCGCCTGCATTTGTGGGAACGAAATGCCTGTCGGAATGCCCTGCGATTGGTTGTAGCTGGCTTCAAGCGCTTGGAGGCTTTCCTTGGTCACCAGGGATGTCAACGAGACGAAGTCGTTGACAAAGTCATCCGCATGGCATGCGTAGCTGTGATGATTAGTTGGGTTGTGTGGATGGAAGGTAGGGAGGGCAAGCTTACGTATCCCACAGACTCCTCGACAATAGTAGTTGCATGACATCCTCGAACTCTGCGCACGCGAGAATCTTCTTTTCGTTGCGCTGCATCAGCGAGAGGGCGACCCGCATCAGCGTCTCGCACGCTCCTTCGAGGAAGATGACATCGTAGATACGAAGGAGCATGGGAAGGGGACACGACACTGCAAAAAAGGACAGGAACCATTGCGATACGTAGACTGGCTCGACGTTCAGGGACTCCAAGTGTGCAAATAACGCAGGCCGCAGGCGGGAGAGGAGATTCTGGAACTGGTACACACGGAGATGCAGACCGGAGAGATCAGGGAGATAACAGGTCCGTAGATCATAGTGGTCCATTAGTCTGTTCGATCGGTCAGTGTGTCGGCTGGCGAGATGTCAGGGACGACGACTTACCGAACGAGGACACAAAACGCTTCCGCATCGGTCATGTGCATCAAAAGGGGTCCCACGACAAACCCAAGACCTTGACAGTATCCAATCTGGGTGTCGTACAGACTAAAACATTTGAGGACACGGGCCAGCATCTGCTGTCCTTCCCCGTGCGGATCGCGAAACATTTCCACATTGGGAAAACTGCGGCCGATATCCTTACCGATCAAGCCTTCGTAGGGACTCGTTTCCGTGCAGAGTCGCTGATACTCGGTGAGCAGTGACGCATCGCGCGCTCCAGCAATACTGGGCCACACAACACCTCGCAATGGAGGTGGGACACCTCCACGGATCTTGTTGGATGTCAAGGTGGGCAGACGCTGTGCAGTTTGGGGGTAATCTTGGACCAAGGCCGCCCAGAATTCCAACTCCGTCATAGGGGGAGGAGCGGGTAGCTGCGAATAGCGCAGAGACGACCGCGGATCATCGTTGATCAATCGCTTGATCTGTTTGATAGACTGCGACCGGGAGGGCCGTTGTTGCACATGGCCGGAATGCGCCACTTTCGACAACCCCGACTTGGGGTTCGTGGCGAGCGCATTGTTTTCTTGTTCAAGGCGGGCGAGTAAGAGAGCCGTCGACTAGATTCAAATCAGTTCCATCCATATTGTAAATTGTTTTCTATGGACAATTGACCCACCTCATCGGACCCCTCATTTCGAGGCTCCTGCTCCTCGGACTTCTCCAATCCCTCCCAATCAACAATATCTTGTTCGGTACGGTCGACTTCATCACTGCTCCGCGACGAAGCAGAACAGCTGGGTTCTCGATAGGCCACCGGCTGGAGAAGGGGCTGGGAACGCTCCATGGTTGGGGTGGATGATCTCGTTGCACGTTCTTCTGCCTCGGGATTTTCTTCCACGGTAGGGGTCGTCGCATCGATCGGGGTTTGGGGGATATCGAGGGTGCGCCATTCGGGTTGGGTATGTTCGGAACTTGATTGCAAAGGCACGGTCACCATCGAGTCGGAATGAGCATGCATCGGGGCCATTTGGCCGGGGAGGCCGTCGGGGTGAGGATGAATCGGCGACGCGGTGGACACCTCCATGTCGCCGCGACGGTGTTGATTGGGTTATTGAAGCTTTAATGCGTTCAATTCGAATTCCAGCAATGCATTCCTCGGAGAATACAATATCGAGTGGCTTTCACACCCACTGACAGGGGCAGGCAGGACGCGAGGGGACCGAGGGGTTCACGCGTGCGATAAGGAGAGGTGCAGAAACGGGAGGATCGAGGGGCAATGGTGCATCAGACTGACAGCATTTCTCTGAACGTCGAGGGTCGAGATCGCCTCACTTGGGGATAGGAAGATAATCACGAAAACAGATCCGTGGAAGGAAAGGAGGGAAGGGAAAATTGGGAAGAGACACGGAGTGTGCTGGAAGTCATGATGGTTTGATTATTATTAGTGAGGGCGGAATTAGCCTGGAGACTAGTCGTTCCTAGTCTCAGGGGGGATTTCTCCCCTCTGCCTCCGCTTCTTGTCCGGTGTCGATCGCATCAATAATTCCTCTGATCAGGGACGATTATTGATTTGGACTTTGTCTTGGTCATTTGCAGTTCTTCTCCTCGTGGATTCTTCATGATCATTCAACCCGATAAGAACTCCCCGAACACATAGATCCTCGACAATCAAGAACACCACCAGGGTCATGTCAACGCCTCCGTAATAAAAGAAGGTGATGGATGAATTAGTCCCCGTCGGTCGATCCAGCCGTCTCCACAACGTTAACGGAATCCTGCTAGTCTTACCAATGATGGGTGACCGTCGCGGTCTAGATGTATATCATACCTGTGTGCAGGTGATCTGTCAAGAGCTGGTCTGGGTACTGAGTGCTCCGTGAGAATGCTCCGTAGGCTATCTTACTGCTGCTTGATATTAGAAAGTCTGCGATCTCCTATTCTCCCCTCTCTCCTCTCTCTTTACTAATTCATCAACATCCCGATGCCATGGCTGTCCGTCCTCATTCTTAATCTCCCGTTGTTTGGGATTTCCCCTAAATGGCCGGTCATACGTTTCATGACCGGTTTCATCCCCTGACCGGCTCTCTTATTGGTGGATGTCGACCACGGTCGAGTCTCATTGGATGAAATGTAATTTACATGGTACCATAAATACCGCCCTATAGGGTCCAACCCGAGACCCCCCTCTCCCCCAGGTAGAAATCACCAATGTGTAGGAGTAGTGTTCAACCTCACAAAGTCATTATTGACAGCATTGCAATATCATCGCCTACCTACAGAGTAGTTAAGTAGTAAAGACCGAGAGCCAGGACCAGGGTTCATGGAGCCTTCGCAACAAGCCTCGCCTGTGCAGCCATACGTCCACCCACACGTTCAGCAAAAGCCACAAGTACTAGGCAGCTTCCTATAACGCCAACCACTCATAGCATCTCTTGGGTCTTTATGAGCTTTTAGACTGTACCTCGTCATCTCTGAGAGAGCAATCGCCAGTTATCCTGGCGTCCCATGAATGTCACCTAGTTTCGCATTTCCTGGGGCATCGACTCAGCATCTATTCCTGTGAGATATCATATCTGCCACTGCTTCACTCAGACTTGAGTGTGACATGGTGATTTATATGCTTGAAGATGCTATAAACAGCTAAACAAGATCAATCTGTTAGCGGGTCTGTTTCCTGTTCATATTTTAGGTACCAGCTGAATGGCCGTGATGTCGTCTATGGATATATATTCTGGTAGCATGCTGAGGTTGAACATACTTTAAAGAGTCAACCATATACTCCACACCACGAACAATTCCAGGTAGAGATGCATAGCAATATTTGCTCCTATATAATTCTCCGAGATACATAGAAGTATTGAGACCCATATGAAATCCTGGTGTGATATCAAGTCTCAGAGCATGACGCACTCTTGGTTGTCTAGGGTGACTGACAGACTCTCCTTACAAATGTCTCTGGCTGACAGCTGTCAACCTCGTGAGGGCTGGAACAAAGAAAGATGGACCAACACCAACAGCATGAAGAGCCACTGAAGACAACAAGAGTGAATGGATGATTGTTGTTTGCTTCCCCTCCCCCGCAGCCCTTGCATGTTTTGGTCCGCCTTTCCCCTTTTGGGCGGGAGTGTTTGGGATTTTCCATTTCCGGCGATCTTAGCGCCCTTCGGAGCGGAACAACCTCGATCCGGATGGCGGAAACAGATTCTGCCGACCTCTTTGCCTTCCCCGAGTCGCGCGTCAACAATAGCCAACTTCGCGCCCAGTTCATTATCAATTCGCAGAGGGATTCTTTGTTGTTCTTCCCTCATTCCCTCTTGACTCCCTTTTTCTTCTTCACCCTCGAGGGGTTTTCCTCTTCTCCCCTGATTTCTCCCTCTGTTTCTCTGTCACTCGTTGTGCTTCATTCTCTTTCTTCGCCCGGTATTCGGCTTTGACCGCCTCTCTTTTCATCATGTCGGACGATTCCATGGTCGAGTCCGTCTTTGACGACGAGGGAAGCTCTGACTTCGTTCCCGAACCCGCTCCCGTATGCGTTTCCATTTTTCATGGCCATCCCTGAGACTAATGTCCCGCAGAAGCCCAAGGCGAAGGCGGCGCCTAAGAAGGCCGCTCCCAAGAAGTTAACTCAGACTACCCTCACGGGTAAAGGAAAGGCTGCCGCCTCCAAGAAGCGCGCCAAACCCGACAGCGACGAAGATATGTCAGACGCCGACCCCTTCGACATGGGTGATGACGACGACAACTCCGTGCTCTCCCATACCCCACCAAAGAAACAGAAGAAGGCCCCGGCCACCAAGAAGGGCGGCTCGAAGCCACTCGCAGATGTAGAAAACGAGTCATTCATGGACGGCATCGAAGAATCCAACAACCAGGACAAGGACACCAATGTATCAGAGAAGTACCAGAAAGTAAGTCCAGTCGCGATTCGCTTTTCACGACAGTCACTAACTCATCTCCAGCTCACCCAACTCGAACATATCATTAAACGTCCGGATACATATGTTGGGTCCACCGAACGCACCACGCAGCACATGTGGGTGTACAGCTCGGAGTCGGAAGGCATGGAGTACCGTGAGGTCTCCTACGTCCCTGGTCTTTACAAAATCTTCGATGAAATTGTCGTCAACGCCGCCGATAACAAGCAGAATGACAAGAACATGGATGAGATCCGTGTCACAATCGACCGCGAGTCGGGCGAAATCAGTGTGTGGAACAATGGTCGGGGTATACCCATCGAGATGCACTCCAAGGAGAAGATGTATGTCCCGGAACTGATTTTCGGTCACCTCCTCACTTCCTCGAACTACGATGATACGCAAATGAAGGTCACTGGTGGTCGTAACGGTTTCGGTGCCAAGCTCTGTAACGTGTTCTCCACTGAGTTCACAATCGAGACCCAAGACTCTCGCCAGAAGAAGAAGTACAAGCAGACATGGACTGAGAACATGACGAAGATGGGGAAAGCCAAAATTACCGACGCCAAGGGCGCCGATTACACCAAGGTTACCTTCAAGCCTGACTACGCCAAGTTTGGCATGACCGGTATGGATGATGACTTTGAGGCCCTGGTCAAGCGTCGTGTCTACGATCTTGCTGGAACCGCTAAAGTGGCGGTCAAGCTGAACGGCTCTCGCATTCCTATCCGCAACTTCAAAATGTATATGGAAATGTACACCAAAGCCATCCGGAGGGAGCGCGGTGATATGGGCCCTGCAGGCAAGAACGAGATCATCACCTGCAGCCCCGATCCTAGATGGGAAGTCGGATTTGCTGTGTCCGACGGTGCTTTCCAGCAAGTGTCGTTCGTCAACTCCATCGCCACAACCTCTGGAGGTACGCATGTCAACTACATCGCCGACCAAATTTGCGGCAAACTGGCCGAGCAGGTCAAGAAGAAGAACAAAAACGGTGCCACCCTCAAACCTGCCCAGATCCGGAACCATATCTTCATTTTCGTGAACGCCCTGATTGTCAATCCTGCTTTCACTTCTCAGACTAAGGAGCAGTTGACGACGAAGCAGTCTCAGTTTGGCAGCAAGTGTGTTTTGGAGGAGGACTTCTACAAGAAGATCTTGAAGACTGAAGTGATGACCAACATTCTGCATTTTGCCCAGCAAAAGGCCGATCAAATGCTGAAGAAAACTGACGGCGGTCGCCGTAGCCGCATGAACAATCCCAAACTGACTGATGCCAACAAGGCCGGCACCAAGGAGGGTCATCACTGTACACTCATTCTTACAGAAGGTGACTCCGCTAAAGGCTTAGCCATGGCGGGGCGTGCCGTTGTCGGCCCTGATCTTTTCGGTGTCTTCCCTTTGCGTGGTAAACTCCTCAACGTTCGTGATGCATCCTTCGATCAGATCGCGAAGAACCAAGAAATCCAGAACATCAAGAATTTCATTGGCCTGCAGCACAAGAAGGAGTACACCGACACCCGTGGTCTTCGTTACGGTCATTTGATGATCATGACTGATCAAGATCATGATGGGAGTCACATTAAGGGCTTGCTTATCAACTTCCTTCAGGCTCAATTTCCCAGCTTGCTCAAAATTCCCGAGTTCCTGATTGAGTTCATCACTCCAATCGTGAAGGTTTGGAAGGGCGATCCGAAGAACCCTACCAAACAACGTTCGTTCTTCACTATGCCCGAGTATGAGGCTTGGAAAGAAGAGCATGGCCATGAGCGCGGTTGGGAGCACAAGTACTACAAGGGTCTGGGTACCAGTACCACGGAAGACGCGCAAATTTACTTCCGCGACCTTGACCGTCACCTGAAAGAGTTCCACACTATGCAGGACAATGAGGTAGAGCTCATCGAGCTTGCATTCTCGAAGAAAAAGGCCGACGAGCGTAAGGAATGGCTGCGCCAGTTCCGCCCCGGCACTTTCCTGGACCACTCGGTCGACAAGATCACCTACACTGATTTCATCAACAAGGAGTTGATTCTATTCAGTATGGCCGACAACATCCGTTCCATTCCATCCGTGGTTGACGGTTTGAAGCCTGGTCAACGCAAGGTCCTCTACACCTGCTTCCGCCGCAATCTGAAGAAGGATATGAAGGTGGTTGAACTGGCGGGTCACGTTTCCGGAACTACCGCATACCAGCATGGTGAAGGTTCTTTGCAGCAGACTATCGTCGGTCTTGCTCAAACCTTCGTTGGCTCGAACAATGTCAACTGCCTCGAGCCAAGTGGAAACTTTGGTTCTCGTCTTCAGGGCGGTGCTGACTGTGCTAGTGCTCGTTACATTTACACTCGGTTGTCGCCTTTTGCCCGTCGTGTCTTCCATAATCACGACGATCCTCTCCTCACATACAACGAGGATGATGGTGCCAAGATTGAGCCGGAGGTTTACGTCCCGGTGGTTCCTATGATTCTCATCAACGGTGCTGACGGTATTGGTACTGGATGGAGTTCCTCGATCCCCAACTATAACCCCGAAGATATTGTGGAAAACCTCAAGCGGATGATGGATGGCGAGCCTCTCAAGCCCATGCAGCCCTGGTTCCGTGGCTTCACCGGTGAGGTGACTGCTGTCGGCCAGGACCGCTTCAAATTCAGCGGCATCATCAAGGAAACCGGCGACAAGGAAGTCGAGATCACAGAACTCCCTATTCGCACGTGGACTCAGGATTTCAAAGACAAGCTTGAAGACATCATCAAGGCCGAAAAGACTCCCTCCTTTATCAAGGATTACAAGGATTACAACACCCACACCAAGGTGCACTTCGTCATCCAGATGGATGAGAAGCATATGAAAACCGCTATTGCAGAGGGCCTGGAGGAGAAATTCAAGCTGTCCAAGACGATGACGACTACCAACTTGGTTGCATTCGACCCCGAAGGGCGCATCACTAAGTATGCTTCGGTGGAAGACATCATGAAGGAGTTCTATGCTGTCCGCTTGAAGTACTATGAGCGCCGCAAGCAATACCAGCTGAATGAAATGCAGAAAGAACTGGACAAACTCAGCAACCAGGCCCGCTTCGTGCAAATGATCATCGATGGGAAGCTTGTTATTTCCAAGAAGAAGAAGGCTGTCCTGGTCGCTGAGTTGAAGGAGAAGGACTTCAAGCCATTCCCCAAGGTGAAGGAAGCCGTCAAGGCCGGTGAGACAGAGCCTGTAGTTGAAGAGGAAGAGGACTCGGAATCTGGTGACACGGAAGTGCTGTCCAACTCCTACGATTACCTCTTGGGTATGCCCATCTGGTCTTTGACTCAGGAGCGTGTCGAGAAGCTCCGCCGCCAGATTGGTGACAAGGAACTCGAAATTGACACGTTGATCAAATTGTCCAAGGAAGATATCTGGAAGCGCGACCTTGAGGACTTTATCAATGAATGGCGGTTCCAGAACGACGAAGAAGCTCGCCGCCAGCGTAAAGTTGCCAACATGGGTCGTCGCACGTCCTCCAAGCTCATGACCACCGGTCGCGGAGGTGGCGCTGCTGCAAGAAAGAGAAAGGCAGCCCTTGGAGATGACCCCGATGACGAAGATTTTGCGGCTCCAAAGTCCAAGAAGTCGGCCGCGGCAAAGAAAACAGAGTCCAAGGGTGGTGGTCTTCTCAGTTTTCTGGGCAAGTCGTCGGCTAAGCCTAAGCCTTCTCCCGCTGATGGAGGTGATTCAGACGATGACTTCGATATGGAGATCATGCCCAAGAAGAGCAGAGGAGCACCTAAATCGGAGCCTAAAGCCGATCCCAAGCCCAAAGATGAGGATGAAGATATAGTCATGGAGGACTCCGACATCGAGGAAATTATTCCGAAGAAGAGTCGAGGCAGTTCCAAACCTTCAGTCAAGCCTGAAAGTGAAGATGGGCAAGCTAAGATTGCGGAGGCGCCAAAGAGAGGTCGTGCAGCTGCCAAGCCGAAACCGAAGCCGAAGTCTGAGGACGAGGAAGACGAACTCGATGATGACGACTTCATGGAAATTACCAAGGCTGAGGCTGCTAAGCCCTCTGCGCAACCCGCTCGATCTGGCCGCAAAACGACCAAATACGCCGAACTGAGCGACTCTGATAGCGACAACGGGGATGACTTGCTGGGCGATGTGAGCAAGATGGTCAAGGGTATCGGTAGTACGAATGGCGCTTCGACCTCGGACTCCCGCCTGCTCTTCTCTGAACGCTCTCGTCCTGGAAGCAGCGCGGGCCTGAAGACCACTGCATCGAAGGCCTCCAAAACGTCCGAATTCGATGCCGACGAGACTGACTACAGCAAACTCGTCCCTTCCAACACTCCTCGTCGTTCCCTGCAGGTCAAGCCCAAGGATGCGAAGGTGTCAGATGACAACGAACCCGAGGACGACGATGACGAGCCTGTGAAACCCGCTGCCAAGGGCAAGGCGGCTGCTAAGGGCAAGTCAACCGCCGCCGCGGCGAAACCAACTGCTGCAAAGGCTCGTGGTCGGCCGAAGAAAGATGCTGCCAAAGCCACCACCCAGACTACCCTGTCCCCTGCCGCAAAGGCGTACGCATCGAAGCAATCCAAGGCCACGACGGCCAAGAAGAAGAAGCTAGTAGATGACCTCTCAGACGACGATATCGACGCAATGGCCAATGACATCCTCGACTCTCCCGCCGGAGGCAAGAGGGATGCGGAGTCAGAGGAAGAAGAGCGTCCTACTCGAAAGACCGCGTCTAGACCAGCTCGCCGCACGGCCGCTGCGAAGAAGACGTATGTGATCGACGACGACGATAGTGAGGAGGCTGGTGGAGACTCGGGCGACGACTTTGACGAGGACAGCGAGTGAAAGAAGCGAGATTTATAGACGTTGATCGTCTAGATGGCTTTTTATTCGTGATTCCGTTATATTCATCAGCACCCATATTTCCCGGGCTTTTCGTGTATTTTAGGCGTTTATGCAAGCAATTCAGGTTATTTTACCATATCAATACTGCAGAAGCTCGTTCCCAGTAGAAACATCTTGAGAAAAGGGGCACACCTGTTCTACGCTAGAGATCGGCGAGGAAGAATCTAATTATAATAAAGCATTGAATTACTCAAGCCAGCCTAATAAACAATCAACCCGAACGCCGACCTTCTATCATCATCGCATCATCAAACAATCTGTGACCATCCCCGCGAACGCCATGTAAACCCTGATGCCGCTGGATGCTTAAGCTGACGCTCTCCGTCGCTTCCGCTGGTTCCTCACTACACTCAGAATCTCCTCGTCACTAGCAGTTGCGTCCTGCATGTGCAGACTGAGCAAAGCATGCGCAGCCTTGACCTCGCGCGCAAACAACGCCACTGCACTTGGTTTTTGGTGCGACCGCTTCTCGACGGTCCGCTTCCTCTTGCTAGCAGCGGCAGTGAGGTTCTCCCGCGACTGAGACCGGAACTGGGACGTGGCGCGCAACCCGCCGTCTCTCTCGCCCTCGCTACCGCGACACACATTGTCCCCGTCATCGTCCAAATCCGACAGACAATCCGTCGCCACGCTACTCCCCACCTCGGAGTACAGCGACGATGACGACGAGCTCGACCCGCTCTCCTCGTCACTGCCCTCATCCGTGGGCGAGGGCACACGCACGTTCGCCGCCGCAGGCAGCGCCAGCCGCGGCGACGACACCCGCGAACACACGGCCTCCGAGCTGCGCGGTGTGTTCACCGGCGTAAACGTGTTCCGAAACGGACTGCTCGGCGACACGCAGTACGACTCCGCTGTGCTGAACTCCGACGACGACCCGTACCCACCTACGCTGTCGGCGTAGTTGCCGCGGTGCCGGTGCTGCGCCCGGTGGCTGTGGCTGTGACTGTATCCCCGTGGGATGAGCGCGCGGCGGCGGTGCGTCTCGTCATCTATGGGGCTGGGGCGGTCGTATGCGCCTGTCAGTGGGCGGATGGACGGGGGTGGGAGGGTCAGGGCTGGGGCCGGCGGGTTGGGGGCGGACTGCAGCGCCAGATGGCGGTAGAAGGTCGCGGTTTCGGTGGCTGTCTTTACGATGGCTGGGTCGATGAGCATTTGCCCGAAGCGGCGGGTGCGGTCTTGCGGGTGGATGCACTGCGACGGGAAGTCGAGGCCGAAGATGGGGGTCAGCGCGTAGCGGATGCGCCAGCAGAAGGTTGCTGCTACGGCTTTGGCGGCTTCGAAGGGGATCCAGTAGCCTGGTTTATCTGTTAGAAACTTGCGCGAGGAAGGGAAAGGAGAAGGCGTACCTTGGGCTACGATGGCTCCGCCGGTGATGCTGTGCGAGATCTCGCGGAGGCCAGGGTTTGCGTCGAGCACTTTGGCTGGGGTTGTCTGGGCATGGTTAGCGTTGCTGGATCGATGAGACGGGTCACGTAGACGTTGGCTCACCTTGGAGTAGTTCTGAGAGCGGAAGAGAGGTGTTGTCCGGACGAGGCCGATGTTGTAGTCCCACATGATGAGCCATTCCTTGTCGTTACCGGGGATCTTGAACGTGTATTGGAATACTGGACTGACTTAGCGGGCCTTCTTTTCTAGTATCAGGAGCGGGTCCTGATGGGCTTACCTTCGAAGCTCTCACGCCCGGTCTTCTCCAGGAAGGTCTTCTTGTCGCTGTTGTAGGGGATGTGGCGGGGGTAATCGGCAATGTTGCCCATGGGGTAGATTTGGAATTCGCGATGGCGCTTGGCCAGCTCCTGATCGCGCTCTTCGCAAGGGGGATAGCGGACCTTCCCGCGAGGCTTTCCCTCGGTGAAGACAGCGGCGTCTTTGGCCACTTTCTGTCTCTTCTGCCGGGGAGACCGAGCGGCCACTGCCGCCGTGGACAGGGTGGTCAGTGGCGGGCTGGGCAGAGAGTACTGGACCTGGCTGGGAACCGGGTTCAACAATGACTCTATCGATGCCATGGCTAGACTGTCTTTTCTTCTCGGATGAACCCTCTGGGAGAACTGTGTAAGCTGGGTGTCCAAGGAAGGCTAGCACTTCCACGGCGTAGAGTCCAAGACGAGGGGTGATTTATCAGGCTTTGCGGGTGTCAAAGAATGTGGCTAAGCGGATGTGTCTCTTCTGGAGCTAAGACAACTGAGAAGGAGACGGGTTCTAGAAATTCTAGTAGGTGTTAAAGAAGAGGGAGACAATGGAGGGAGACAAAAAGGAGATGGAACCAGATGTTATTAGAGTAACGGGATCTCAGTTCACCATCTGGTTCGGAGCAATCGTGAGAAAATATAGGAAAAGAAAAGAAAAGAAAAGAATATGGATTTAATTATCAGACGAACGCCAAGAAAGGTCTCCAATCATTCAGGAGAATCGCTCACCTCCCTTTGTCAGGCAGGCAGATGTTCGGCTCCCAGTCTTTCAGGGTGGAGGGACAGCGCGAGGAGGGCGTGATGGTATCTGATGGGAACGGGCTCCCTCGCTGTTTGTTGCTTCTCAGCCTGAGTTGAGCATCCACGTGCAGCGTTCTCTTTCGAGGCCAACGTTGCTGGACCAGACAGCGGTGAACCCCAAAGCTTCTGCTAGACTCTGACCTAGACAACCAGTCTGGACGAGATGTCTTGGATGGGTTGAAGCAACTCGGCATGAGACAACTCTCACCGGTACTTGGACAAAGGAGGCATCACGAGGTATCATCAGATTGGACCAGAGCAACTCGGGCGAGTCCATCTTGCCATACCACATATACCCCTTTGAGTCTAGCAAGTACTCCCTCCAAGGGAGATTTTGCAACAAGCCTTGACCGGCGCTAGGAGGGTAAAAGCCGGTCACAGTAGGGATCGAGATGTTTCCCCATACCAAAAAGGAAAAAGAAATAATAATTAATTTCTGAAATGGGACAGCGAAAAGTAACGCATGTCTACAGCTATCTTTTCGAGGCTTCACCTGCTCCACTTCCCATCTGCGGCTACCCTAGCCAGAAGATGACGCAGGACCAAGAACGAGACGTGGTAGATCACGTTTCAGGGACTCTTGCCACCATGTGGAGGTTCTTGCATTGCTGGTCCCCTAGGTTGGCCTTTCTGCCCTGATCCAGATCGCCATGCAAACAGATGGAGACGGCGGTCTGACGAGAGTCAGCCGAAAAGGGGGCAACCATGGCACCCAAAAGGGTGTTCACATGCCGCTTGGATTGCAATACATCTTCTGATGGCGCTTGTAGGTGTCTCTCTTGATCTGTACGGCTCGTAGACGAAGATATAACTGCTATCGGTATGGCAGTAGTGAATCCTTGTCCAGTAAACTAGACGTCCAGTAGAAGCAGCCGCCAGGGCAACCGGAAGAAAGACCCATCGTGTTCGGACAGCCAATGAACGACTGTATGTCAAGGCGTTGGCTGGACGAGACGGGTATCAGTGAGGTCTGAGACCATCGGGAAGCTGCATGACCCCCTTCATCCTGTATGACGGCCGGCTGCTGTTGTTACCAACCAACGCGTCCCACTGAGTCCGTTCCTACTGGTAGAGAACGAAGCGTTTTGCAAGACATCAGCATGGGGTTTACCAGCCAAGAACACTGGGCACAATATGGTCATCGGAAACACAAATCGAGAGGTTCTCATCCGGCGTGTCAGGGTCAGTCCATCTCCGTCTCAAGGTGCTCCATGACGGCATCAATATGTTAACGCTATACAGTCTAGGCCGTGAGCTGTTACATCCTTGCTCCAAAGGGATGGGGTGGTTCCCTCTCCTGTCAGGCGACTTCGTGGGAAACGTCGGATTAGAGGGCTTAAGTCGACTGAAACTCCCTCCAGGCGTGACACCCGTTCGTCAACGGGGTCGCCCAGTACCGATAAGGACTGCTGCCCAGAGAGACAAGGGAAGCCCGGCCAGTCAGCTTGGTATATGCGTGGGCGAGCGCGTGTGGAGCGGATTCAAATGGCTATGAGCATCAAAGAACCTTCCATGCGGGCTTCTCTGCAGAAAATCCACTCATCGGTGGCGTTCTCGTGAATTGAGGTCTGGTGAATGATTTCTTTGACGATACCATCTCGTCAATGGGCTGGTTCGCAATTGCATTTTCGAACCTTTAGTCCTTTGTTTCTCTGGCTCTTTCGCCCTACCTCCTTAGGTATGCAGCCTACTTTGAGCGGAGAGTAATCTTCATAGCGGACCCGGAAAACGAGACCCTGCAATGGAAGGAATATGGTACTGATTCGTTGGGAATGGTATTTTCGGTAGCGTTGATGGTTTGTAGGTGCCATTCAGCAAACAGATGTTCCTTCACGGCTAATCCTTTCGAAATGATGCCTGGGAATCTAGAAACGGAGAAGCCCAACTTCCGAGACATGGGCTTGGGTCGCAAGTCTCTCTCTTGGGCTGCGGTCTATCTGGCCATCGCTTGCTGCAGAAGACGAGATCCCCAGCAGTCGACAGAAAACCCAAGTAAGCAGTCGGGAATTGGATGCATGTACGCTTGCAGGGGTGATTATGCGTCGAATGTTCCTCAACCCTTGAGGGTTCCTGAATCCCGCCGATGCGGTACCATCCTCCGAGGCTCTCTCCGTCAGACAGGGTTATCGCCAGGTCCTAGGCTGATCGGAAATTCTGCGGCGCCTTGGACGACGGTCCTCGATATGATGTTCAAGAGATGGTCTTGAGCCATTCGACACTGGGCTTTGTTATCCTTGTGCAAACACAGCAAATTATCATTAGTCAGCAAAACGCACCTGAGCCAATCAGGTTGCAAGATTCTCTACTACTCTAGCAAGATATAAAGATACCGTAAGTAGAAAGAAAAGAAACATCTTCACCAGCCCCTGGTTATTAGCCCAACCTCGATTGGGGAAATGCCTCGCTCCTGCACGCCCGTTACTCGGATCGAGCTCCCGGCGTCCGCCGTCGGGATCATCCTTGTCCGCTACGGCATCATAAAACAGCATGGGGACACACCTGTGCAACATGGTCCGATCTGGGGTAAGAAGATGGAGGAATTTTATGCGTCTGTTGTGTTCAGATCTGGGTAGGCTGTCGTCGTCGATGGGTTCATGTTTCCGGGGGGTTGGATTTGCCCCGTCGGTCTATATCTGTCTATCGATGTAGAAACCTGCGACAAGAGGGAGGCTGTATAAGCAACGCATGCCCTGCGGTTTGACTGCGATGGCATCGCGCAATTCTTCCGTAATAGCGTAATTCATAGGTGATTAGGAGTCGACCAGTTTGCCCGCCTTGCACAAGGTACACGGTCATGCAACCATGACTCGCACAACGCATGCAATTTCCTGGGAAAGAATCCTGCGCCGCGGTCGAGAGCTCAATCCCTTTTGTGTTTCCAAGATTGTTCTTGATTCCAGTCATTTCTTTGCATCTTGCCTTTGGGAAATCATGCTCTCGATCTATGCGGCATGCATCGAGGTTATCAGACAATCAGTCACATTTTTATATGCACGAGGTACAACGTCGGAGTCAAAATCATACTAAAATAGAACACGGACGCCTCAAAAGAGCTCCGGACACGAAACCTTCGATGGAATAAAAGAAGATAGGGGAAGAGAAAAGGAGACGGAAATAACTGAATCCCTTCCAAAGAGACATTACCACCATCTCGTCATTGTACACACAGACCGACCCATACCGGGCAGGGTCCTCTCCCTTTCCAGCGCAATTGTCCTACATACCATGCTAGGAAGATTGCAACCTTGCGCAGCGGACTCAGTCTCGCCACCACGATCGTCCAACCCATACATGGAACACAGAACACACCAAGCCAGAAAGAACGGCAGAACCGCCGTTAGGCCAAAAGGGGTTCACGAGTAGGGACGGCCTCGCCGGCCTCGGCGACGGGCTCCTGCTTAGGGGCTTCCGGGAAATCGGACGCCTTGACGGCCGTCTCGGGTGTAGGCTCCTGCTTGACCACGGGGCTGGCGGCCTTGGTCATCCCCGGTGACGCAGATCGACGGGGGGTAATGTACTCCTGAGCCTTGGCGCTATAGTCGTCCACATACTGTTTCATGAGACCTGTCGCATGAGAAGTCTGCTCCTCGGCAAGACCCTTCAGCTGGCTGGCCTGGGTGTTGATGACCTCCTGGGCGTTCGCGATATGGGCATCAATGACTTCCTGGTTGTTCATATACACAAGGGGACCGAAGTAGGCAATGTTGACAGCAATCAGGGACAATCCCCACAGTGGGAGCCATTTGATCAACCAGTAGGCGGAGAACGCGGAGATGAACGCCTGTGCACCACGATTGGTCAGAGATTCCGTTCGCAAAATCGGAGCAAGCACGTACAGCAACAGTGTGGACAATGTTCTCGGCAAACAGAATGCGCTGGAACTCAAGGAGGAGGAAGTCGAAGAGCTGCTCCAAGTCGGCCAGAACCCCCTCCAGAGTATCCTTCGGAATGGTGTAGTATTTACGGGGACGGAACGAGCTGGCTAGGCCTTGCGAGAATACGAGCCTACCACCAAGCTCGGCCGCAGCAGTGACTAGTCCCGGTCAGCACGCATACCTGGACCCTGGTCCAACGCGGGGTATCACCACTCACAACCCAGAGTCACGTAAAGGAACTTGAAGAACCAGCGCAGCAGAGGAAGATACCGGGCGGCGAAGATAAAGGTCACGACGGTCGCATAGGAAATGGCGGTGGCACGAGGTTGTTCCCACTAAACGATGGTTAGACTATGGAAGGTTGTAGTCGAATGTTGCACTCACACTCAGAAGATTATAGAGGAGGGAATGGTAGTCTGAGTCTGGTTAGTATCTCCATGAATTTTCGACAGCCTATAATCCCAACACATACAAGTCAGAGGCTGTCCGGTCGCAGTGGTGGAGGATGGCGAAGAAGACGAGGCACGGAGATCGCGCAGCTCGTTACCGGCACGGGATGCCTCGGATTTGATATGATCGACGACAGGGCCTGTACACATGGCTGTTAGATCATCCTTTGGATTCTCCCAGTCGTGTTCCGCTCTTACCTTGAGTCACAGCATCTTTGATGCCTGAATCAGTCGAGTCAGCTTGTGTAACGTGCATTTGGAGAGCTCACGACTACACATGGGTCAGACTCGATTAGTTTTGATCATTCGGTACGGAATTGGTAGAGCACAATCCCACAATGCAATAAATTGATGTATATCGGGGGTGGTGACTCCATACCTTACTGGAACCATTGGGATCAGGGTAGCTCACGTCACCGGATGCCATGACGGAATGTGTGCGGAACCTTAGGGATCGGTCGGGAATTCGGAAGGTATTAAAGGAAGAAGAAGAAATTTAAAGGTGAGCCCGATCTCGAGGGGAAGAAGAAATAAAGGGAATGAAAGAAAGAAAGAAAGAAGAGAGAAGTCCGTGGGAAAGTGAAGAGGGTTGAGGGGAGAGCAGAAGAAGATAGGAGAAGGTCGGCCAAAAACAGGGTGATGCAATTGACAAGCGAGCAACTCTTTTTTTCCCGCAGCACACGACAGCTTCTTCTTTCTCTGGAACCATTCCGCACTGAGCTCTCCCCGTCCCGATATTTCTCGCCCACTGCTCAGAAGAACTATTCCTTATTATCTGCGGCTGTTCTCTTCTTTCCCTGTCCGCTCTCCAGGACCTGTAGTCCCAGAGCCCCGACAGCGTTGACACCGGCATGTGAAAGCGGCCATCACCCGATATACTGTACACGAACCTCTCCCAACAGCTAGATACAACGTCGAGAAAACAGACACCGGTGGCTCAACGACCTGCAACGGGCTATCAACCGCATTCTCACCACATATGCGCCATCTCACATGCAAGGGAGATAATCACAGCGTCCTACTCGGCTTCTACCATGTTCTTCCATGCTCCCCACTTCTCAACCAACCCTTTCCGACGCACAGGTCTCAGGGAGGGCCTTTCGAAGTCACTCACGGCAGTCGTGGTCGCCATGAGTTTCTTCCGTCTGTGATCTGGCGTAGATAAGGATGCCTAGTGCACCGTCCGACAGGACCGAAAACACCTGAGCTCCCACGATGACATCATGTTCAGAGAGATGGGACGAATTGTATGACCTGGGCCCGAGAGTGGAGTACGAAGCTTGTTGGTTGTATTAGCAAGAAGCCGTAGTCCTAACAATCCGCTTTTTGAAGACTCTGTCGCTATATACGCTGGGGATGGGCGTCGGATAGAAAACGGGTGATCGTTTGGGAAGATTCCAAACAACACGTCGATCGTTGCCTTACCCCTGAGGCAACAACCCCGGGATGCCGTATCGCATCACGTGACCAGGCGGGACTCACGCGTTTCCGATGTTTTGATGCTTCTCGATAGACCCTCCACCCACCATCGACATCCCCATTTCCACCCCACCATCACCGCCCATTTCGATGTCGAGTCTATTCCTACTCGGCTTTTTATAACGGGCCAACTCGCCCTTCCTTTCTTTTGACTGATCCCGCCTCTCCCCGACCCTTCACCCCGGAGAACCGCGTTTGTTTACATCGCCATGGCTGCTACCGGCGCGAGGGTGCGGAAGCCCGTCGGCTCTGCAGCATGGATCGCAACAGAGAAGGAGAATTTTCAGCAGCTGGTGAACCAAGAGATGGAAGAAGTGGAATATCCGGTGCGCCATGAGATGGATTGGCTGAATGAGCACATGGCCGAGATCTTCTCCAACAATCAATTGTCCGTCGCGACCGACATATCCCCTACATGATCGCCCATGCTGACACCCGCATAGCAATTTCACCGAAGCTTTCAAGACGCCCGGCAAGATGAGGGGCAAAACGCCCCGTACAGCCCGAAAGCGAGATCCAAATGAGGCTCGAGTGGTACGTGCCTGCCCTCGACCCCCAGCGTTGTCCTTGACTAATCTCCCTCCCTAGCCCTTGAGTGAGATCTTTTCGGCCTCGCACAAGAAATTTGAGAGCAAGATCGCAGCTAGCCCAGCAGTTCAGCGATCGCCTGCGAAATCAGCTGCCACGACTACCGCCATTCCCACCCCTACCAAGGCTAAGAATGCCACCGAACCCAGCTCTCAGCCTCACTACCCCGATCTGACACAGAACCTCAATTCCTTCCCGCAATACAATACTGATTCTGGCTATCATGGCATGCCGGAAGGTGATGCCGATGAGGACGACGATGACGACATGGTCCTAACGCAGGTGCAACCCGACTCGCAACCGTCAACTCAGCCATTCAACGAGGACCCTTTTACTGCGGGTGATCCGGAGCCACCTTCCTCCGTTGATCGTCGAACAACCAGTGCCTCCTTCCATTCGGCCCAGGAGGAGGTCCGCCAACGTGGAGAGACCATGGAACCCATGCAGGTAGACACAACTCCGAAGCAAGCAGTTGAGGTACACCCTCCACCGCCTCACACCAGTCTGAAGAAAACTATGAAGCAGTCTGGACCGAAGCACAAAGAAGAACCGGAAGGAGCGGCCCCCGAACCACAAGGGGATCAGCACCTGTCCGAAGAGGCAGTTCCGTCACCAGTGAAGCCGTCCATTCCCCAGGCTTCTGAACCCAACAGGGGAAAGAATGAGGAAACTGATGAGATGGCCCTGGACAATATCGACGATATTGGCTCACCTTCCGACGGGTCTACCCCCGAACGGCCCCCGATTCGCAAAAGTAGTCTCACATTCGCCTCTCTTCCTGCACGTGAACCCCTGACGAAAAAGAGTTTGGGCGGTACCAGAATCTCCCGCACGAGTCATGTCGATCTTGCAAAAATTAACAACAACACTGGAATGTCGGGCTATCTAGGGAGACAGACGGGGGGGCATCGTGCAACCCAGGTGGCCTTTGACGAAAGTGCAGCCCAGGCCGATAAGATGGACGTTGACGAAAACAAGGAACAGCCTGAAGAACCCGACGCCAGCAAGCTCCACAACAAATCTTCGACTCAGAGGCTGCATGAGAAGATCAGCATGCTTGGCAAGCTACAGCCGTCGCGGCCAACGAAATCAATTCCATCGGTTTCGGGTCTCTCATCTCAAGTGGCGTACCCTGAACTCCCTACTGCTAAATCCGATGCCAAAAGGGATTCATTGAGCCGAAAGTCTCGCGAGACGCCAGGTCCTGAGCCTTCCAAGTCTGCGGAGAATGATGATTGGATCAAACCCCTGGACTCGCCTTATCGTGTCAATACCTTCAAGAGTCAAGCAGACAAGGAGAAGCGAGCTGGATCCGAAACTCACAATGATAGAGAGATCTCTCTAAATCGCGATCAGAAGATAGACCGCGAAGAGTCTGTGAGACCCAGCTCAAGACACGCACTAGAAACCCTGCGCGGCAAATCCTCGACCCCCATCTCTTCCCCATACCGCCCTGGCCACTACAAGACCCAGTCCGTGCCAAATATAGACCCTTATGCGTCAACGACGCCGGTGGGCTCTCCTCGGCATCATGATGCACCGCTCAGTGCATCGAAGTCAAGGTTGCAATCGATCGTGAAGTCGGCCAAGGGTCTGTTCAGCAACAGTGGCGATACTTCGGCAGCGGCTCGCTTCGAGGCTTCTTCACCAGACGAGCCACGATTGCGTCATATGAACACTGACGTTTCGAGCCTGAAGGAATCAAAGAAGGCGGCGCCTCCCCAGCCGGAGAGTCCTGTCAGACAAGAAGGTCGCAGGACTCGTAGCTCCACCGAGAAGGAAGAGAAGCGCAAACAAAGGGAGCGCGAAGAGCGCCAGCGGGAAGAAGAAGAAGAAGCGGAAAGGATTCGTCAGCAAGAGAAGGAAAGAGCCATTTCCCAAGAGAAGTCATCCAAGGAATATGAAGACCGCGGTGATCAAATCCGCCCGTCAAGCCCACAGAAGGTGCCTCCACAGAAATATTCGAAGGAGCCCGAGCGTACCATCGAGGCTCCCTCTAGGACTCGCGCACAATCGGTATCCCAACAACAGTCACTCAGGCAGAATGATCGTCGTCCCCTCAAGCCTGCCCGTGAAGCTCTACAGAAACCGAAGCCTCAGCCTCAGCCTGTTTCCATTCGTGTTGGCAGTGCCCTTTCCCGTCAGATTCCACTCGCTTCGTCCGCTGTCTCCAGCGTCACAGAGACCAGTGCCACAGCACCGACGCCGGCCTCTGCCACGAAACAGCCATCAATTAAAAAGAAGGCTAGCAACACCTCCCTGCATACATCGGCCTCCAATAGCAGCTTCAAGAGCTCCGTCTCTAGTCAATCACAGAAGAAAGCCCAGCTCGCTAGTGAGCGTAAGCGGGAGCAGGAGGAGCGTGAAGCGCGACGAAAAGAGGAACAGAAGCGCGAATTGGAGCGAAAGCGAGCTGCCGACGAGGCTCGGCGTCAGGAGGCGCGTAGTCGAGCAGAAACGGACCGATGGACACGCCCAACTCCCGAAGATCCGAAGAAAGCCGCGCAGATGCAAGCCATCGAGAAGCGGAGACTGGAGAACGCCCGTAGGCTCGAGAGGCAGGGGAGCCAGCAGCCAGTCGATGTGGTATGTAGACTGCTGGTCGTGTTTCATTATTTGTGCAATGTGCTAACTCTCCTTCAAGGGCTCCCTCCCCCAAGAGAAACCATCGCAAAGCACCCGAGAGTTGCCCAGGCCAGCTTCCCGAATCGGCTCTGTCCAACCATTCGGTCGGTCAATCAACCCTCCCCAACCCAACCCCGCGAAACCACCAAAGAGGGGTGCGGAGGAGGAGGCAAACCGTCGTCCTGCGACGGCGAAACCCGGTACCATGCAACCATCCGGCGAGACCAAGCGCAGGAGGACCGAGGACGGACAGAATCCTGTTACGCGGCCCACGATGGCGCCGCCGATTCGCCAATCGAATATCAGGAAGGAGTCGAATATTATCCGCAAGGTAACGAGCGTATCTCGGAATCGTCTTCTACCAAAGCTAACGTCGTGCCAGGAGCCCACGAAACAATCCATGTATGGCCTTCCTCAGTCCTCTGCACACCAGACTGGATCCTCCATCTTCAAGGCTGCTCAACCGCAAAGGCCTGGACATCCGATGGACATGTCCAAATATGCTAGCGGCAAAATCCCCTTTGCCGAACCGGCCAATGCCAATCCTCAAGCCACATCTCATAAGACTCCTGGTGCCAGTTCCTCGCAAAAGGCGCCGAAGCCTTCCCCGAACTATCCCAACGGCGAGAACATCAACCTCCCGGAGATTGCCACCGACAGTGAAGACGAAGATTCCGATGCAGAGATGCTTCCTGTGCCCAAGTGGGCCCAACCCAAGGAGCTGGAGACTCTTCTGAGACAGCAAGAAGGCATGGAGGTCGACTCGATCTTTGGACCTATTGCGCCATTCTCACTGGAGGAGACTTTCAAGTCCGACAAGAAGATCAAGAAATTCCGCGAGCGTACCAGCAGTGCGAACTGGTCCGGTCCCGACGGGCTCACTCAGGACGAGATCCGCAGGGACCTTGCTGAGCGGCAACGGCTGCGGCTTAACGGGGGCTGGACGTTTGGAAATTAATCATACGACATTCGATCACATGCATTCTGTTTATCTGAGTTAGAGAGTTGGTTTGTTTTGGTAGGGCAGCAGACTTCTGCAGCAATTTGGAGTTGGCATGACTGGACAGGCGTTTTATTACCAGATTGGCTTTTGCTAGATAATTCCCTCGGGAGAATTGCATGAATGCATTGATTATGTGCTTGAGATTTGACACTTCACTGATATTCCCTGTCTGGTACGGCATAAGATCGATCTCCCGGTCCATACATCAAAATGACGGAGAAGTCGTGTCATAACAAGCGACACAGGCATGTCGATGAGCTGGAGAACTCCTCAATCATGCTCGATTTCCTTTAACTCCCATCCCTACGCATGATGGCCGCAAAGCTTTTTACCCACTGCGTATCCTGCGGGTATAAGATAGCCCGCGTGAAGCCAGCAAAATGGCAGTCAAAGTATCGAATATGTGGGTCAAGAAGACCAGACTAATCTCCTTCGCATCTGACATTCCATTGCCAGTATACCAAGCAGGCGAGAAGATCAAACTAATGCGCTCCAGCAACGTGCTGTTCGACTTGGCTGGTTACCCCAAGATGTCGCTTCCTATTGGGCACAAGAGTAATCCCGAGTCCGGGTACGATGGACTTTATGCGGACATTCAGGAAGCCTTTATTTTCCATGCGGTTTGTTGGGATGAGCTTTGTGGCTTTTTTGGCCCTGCAGGACCTGATCTTAAACGGCTCTATGCGGCTTGTATGGAATCGCCCAAGACGACCGCAGGTGCCTATGCTGCCCCCTAACACATCGGCCGGGTGCTGACAAGCCCAGGTATACATGACGATTATACTCCACGCCGATTCCCGTTCTCCGTTGATGGGATACTTCTGCTCACTTCATCGCCACCAAGGCCCTCGATGCGGCGGATCTGGAAACTTCGCAGCCAGTGTCCTAACCGTGCGGAATCCAGCTGGGTTCAGACGACCCATCTCAAACTCCTCGCACTACGATATATACTCGAGCTCAAACATCAGGGAAGATGCAAAGGACGATGCACGCGCATTCTGCGTCTTTCGTACACCCAGTTTCCTCCGCCCGACTCTTCCGGATGTCCAGACATCTTCAGCCGGCTACCCGTCGAGATACGCGGGGAGATCGCACGCTACCTGTCCACGACCGACTTCTTCGCCCTCCGACTGGCGTCCCGTAATATGGCCTGTCTCTTCGAGGACCAGAATTTCTGGAAAAGCCGGTTCTTCCAGACAGATGAGCGGCCCGGCGTCGACCTCATCTTCCGGCAACAGGGCATCAGCACACGGGGCCCAATCGACTGGCGCGCGCTCTACCGATACCGCCCGTGCCATGTCGAACATCTGCAGAGAGCGGCGTACGGCCAGATGAAGCGGTGGCAGAACAACACATGGCTGAGAGAGAGAACGCTGTCAGCTCCCGGCCACCTGCCGTCCCTGCGGGACTTCATGGCCGGGAAGTGCGACGCGTCGGCCAACTGTCCATATAAATGTCGCAACACTCTCTCCCGGGAATCGGTTATGCTCCCGCAGCACGATGTAGAGGTCGCCGTCTGGGTCAGCGGGGATGACGTCGGCGAGCGCACGTATGTGGCTGGCCTGGCGATCTCGTCGCCGGACCAGCCTACCACCTACGTGGGGTATCGTCTGGCCCAGGAGCCGGTCCGACTCCGAGTGCCGACCTTGCAGTGGATCAATGTCGCGTCGCACGATGATGACTCTGGGATTGCTGGGATCGCCATCGCTAATACGGAGCCTACGGAACCCTGGAGTGAGTTGACCTGGGCTGGTCAGCATGAGGGGATGACGGTTGTCACGCACGCGACGGTCAGCCGCTATCTTGTTGTTCATTGTCTGGTAGGTGAGGCGTCGCTTTGGTGTGCATGATGTCTGATCGTTTGATAGGTTGGCAAGCTTGGTAGGATAGAGTGCACTCACTGGTAGGGGGCAGGACTATATATATCTGCGGATGCTGAGGTGTCGAACCGAGCTTGGATAGGCTATATGATGAGTGCTCTGCGGAATACTTTTTCAAGGTCCAATCTTTAGCGATAGCAAGCAAAAACAAAATAAAAAGATAATTCATAATACAAGATTGTCTTACTTGGATGATTAAAAATAAAGGTGCAAAAAGAATGCATCATCCGTGAATCGAACACGGGCCTCATCGATGGCAACGATGAATTCTACCACTAGACCAATGATGCTTCTTGTGATAGAAAGCGGTTTACTTTGCCACTATCAGCAAACACAATCCTCTCCGACTTAACGCTAAACCCGTCTACATGATCTACAGGATACCAACCGAATGCAATATATCCATCTACCTTCTGCCATCCGGCAAGCGTTAGCCTCTACTCATTACACAACAAAACGTGTATTTAACGCGGTTGCCAGACTTGTTGAGATCCGATTGGTGCGCAGTATGATTTAATAAGCAGTATTTCCGTCTCATAGTACTGACACGTGACCTGGGTGTCTCCGCATAGAGACCGGGAATGGCGGAGTATCTGATCTACGGAGTAAACATCTTGACTCTGCGTTCCACATCAGCTTTCATTGGCAATAAACTCACCCGGAATGACTTCTAATTCAGGTATTATGGTTCCCCGGTCAAGGTTTGCGCAACGAAGGGTCAATCAGGCATGTAATACCTGTCGAAAATCAAGGATTCGTTGTGATGGTGTTCGTCCACTTTGTGGCACTTGTCAGCGTCGACGAGAAGAATGTAGTTACAATGATGGCCTTCCCCGAAGAAGGGTGAGGTATGTTGAACTAGATAATTAAATTCTATATTATGTTCACTGACGAATTCCAAGGTCGCGAGTGAAGCCCAGTCAGGGTGTGCGCCCATCGGCATTTGATGGCCTTCCTGCAGCTCCAGAGAGTACAGATCACCTCAGCCCTGTCGCTCTTGGTGAAGAGGATAATGTAGGAGTTACTGCCATGGGCTTGGTCTCAAAATCCCCCAAAGAGAATTATACGACAGCCAAAGAACACTTCGGCGAATCTTCAGCGATTGCATTTATACAACAGCTTCAGGATACCCTGAGACTGGATTCAACGGTATCAAATCGTGATTCTGAACTGCCCCATTCACGACGGCTTGGTCACAAGGAACGGGACTCAAGGCCCTCTCCTGGCATTGAGATTGGCTCACTGCCGCCTCGCGCCTTGGCTGACCATCTTGTTTCCTGTTATTTTTCCAAAATCCATACGCTATACCCATTTGTCCACGAACCTGCGTTCATGGAGGAGTATCAATCACTATGGTCACCGGATGGATCCGCATCAACCAGAATAAAAGCTCGGGGGCTTGGTCTAGGGTCTCTAGATGTCAGCTCGACCACATTCTATTTTGCTTTGAATGTCGTTTTTGCCCTCGGTTGCCAGTTTTCCGATGTTGTACTGGCTGGTCGAGAAGTGACATCTGAGGCATTTTTTCACCTGTGCAAACCAGCCCTGGATCTCAATTATCTGGAAAATGGTGACCTTGCTCTCTGCCAGCTACTTTTGTTGATGGCACACTACCTACAAAGTTCATCGACCCCCAATCGTTGCTGGCATGTCATAGGTATGGCTTGTCGTGCGGCACAAGCTTTGGGTCTTCATTCAGGGGCCGGTGACAAACGATGCTCATTCGCCGAGATCCAGATAAGACGGAGAGTGTGGCATGGGTGTGTCATCCTGGACTTGTAAGTATATTTCAGTCTTCCTCGAGCTATGACACCTCCTAATAATATCCAATTTTAGATCAGCCAGCACCATGCTGGGTCGTCCGGCGATGATTTCTCAAAGGCCGTTATCACCCAAGCCAAAGGCCATCGACGACTGCTATCTCACTGTGGCCGATGCAACTTGCGAGCAACCACCGGGTATTTTCTCGCGTATTTCTTGGTTCGTGGAAACTTTGAAGCTGCACGAGATACTTCGCACAATTCTCTTCAAACTTTACAACAATGGAGGCTTAGAGGCCGTTGAAGCGACTGGTCATCCGACCAATTCACGAAACGGTCCTGATATTCAGAGCATCGCTCAGATAGATGCTGAGTTGCAGGCTTTCAAACAGAATCTTCCGAAGCCCCTCGATTGGGACTTGAAGGCGCATAAAAATAACGGGGAAGGTTTTCTGAGAGAGATGCTTCTTCTCAAAGCACGGTATGTTACAGTCCAGATTGTGAATGCTATTATACTGATCGAGTCTCATGACAGTTTCTCCTATTTGAAAATTCTGCTTTACCGGTCCATGTTGTCACATATGATAAGGGAAAGCAGCCCAGATTCCCGCGGGATTTATGCCAAATACAGCCTTGATTGCTCGGTATACTGTACTGAGGCAGCCATTGATCTTGCCTCCATAGTACACCAAACATGCAATAATGACTTGGCCAGTGTATGGTTCTACAACTTGTTCTGTAAGAGAAAGGGACCCTGCGACGTTCTTATAAACACTAATTGTACCTTTACGAAAGACATATTTACGGCAGCATCGATTATTCTCCTGGCTGAGCTTTCACCATCGATCATTATGGTCGTCACAAAGGAGTCTTTGGTGAAATCTTGGGAGAAATGTTACAGTTGTTTTGACTATCTCAAGCTGTATAACGTTGCAGCAGAGCGATGTGCTCAAAGCCTTCTTTTGATTAGGTCAAAATGCCTCGCCGCTGTATCTGGTAAGTCCTTGATGTTCATCTTCTACAGCGATTAGCTAATACTTAATGAGCAGACAACCTTGGTGATCAGTCTAATGCCACTAGTCGGCCGCCAAGCTCACTTCAGAATGAGCTCGAAAATCCGACTGTGTTGCCAGAAACGAGTGCAGAAATGCCATTCTCGGAAGAATTCTTCGGAGATCTAAGATTCGATGACGACACATTTTTGGATCCATATTGGTTTGAACTTCAATTCTAATGATAACTGAATATCTGGTGCTATGAGAAGAAATTCACTCATCCAAATGCTCTCAGAGTGATGTACTTTCAAGCAGACAAAACAAAACCCGCAAAGAAATCCTTGACTCCATCCATATCATCAAGAGATGTCGCATAGCCTAGAGTGCCGTCTGGCCGGAGGACAACTACCGCACCCTTGGAAGTAGCAATGGAGTATCTTTCATGAGCAGAACGATCCTGGTCATAGTAAATGTTTCCAATTCGTGGGTTTCCAAAGGCGCTGTCTCCATCATCAACACTTCCTGCAGCCAAGGTGATGAACCTGACCATATCCTTCGGAAGTGTTGACTGAAGTGCCTCCAGCATTGGCACCGATTTTGACATCACCTCCCTGGTAACGTCAGGCCTGCCCGCAAAGACAATGATGCACCACTGTCCAGTGTTCTTCGTCACTTGATATAATCGCACAGGGACACGAGATCCCGGAGCCATGATCAGAGCATCCGGTCCTCTTCGGCCGGCTGAGATCATACCCGTTGAAGGGGTTTTGTTGATAGCATTTTCACCATAGCTAATCCCGAGGCCAATGTTGAACAAGTTGGACTCATCGAACAGCTTCGTGAACAGCTCATTGGCATCGAGCAGGGAGCCTTTGTATTTTTCCGGCACCCTGCCTGAGATTGTGGCCGAGAAGTCCTTGTCAAGCTCAATGAGATGTTGCGCAGCCGGACGACGTTCGTCTTCGTAGGTTTGAAGGATTTCGGATCCATACCAGCCTTTGACGACACCGCCTAGTTTCCAAGCAAGATTGACAGCATCGTGCGTACCAGTGTTCATTCCCTGGGCAGCGCCGGAAGAATGAGTGTGGCATGCATCGCCCGCTAGCAAGACTCTGTCATTGACGAAGAAAGCATCGGCCACCCTTTGGTTGATGCTAGAAGACTGTCAGCTGTTGAATCTCTTTATAGCTTAAGACTTTCAAAATACCTGTACAGAGTCCACCATTCGACCTTTTCAATTTCCAAGCTGAACGGCTCCATAGACTTGATGGCTTCTGCTACAGCCTGGTCTTCGGTAAGGTTGTTACCATACTTGGCAAGCATCTCCTCGGTCATTGCGAAGCCAATGCGTTTGGCTCCGTGGTCCAATTGAACCCACAGAACATTTCCATGGGTCTTGGACTCGATAGAGGCATATCCAATGTCTGCGTTAGGCATGTTTGTCTTGAAGTAGCCGTCGATGCGAACCCATTTGAAATTGGTGTGGTCACCTTCAAAAGGAATTCCAGCAAGTCGTCTGACCGAGGAGCTGCCACCATCTGCTCCTACGATGTATTTACTGCCACAGACTGTTAGCATGAAAATTGGCCCAAAAAAATCACCGAAGCGCATAGTACCTCTTTACAGTCACAGCCTCACCGGAATTAACCCGAGTAAGACGTGAAGTGACCTTAAAGTCTCCCTCCATCGAATTGTCGACTGTGAAGTCCTCAAGCATCCAACCAATGAAGAGCTTGCCCCCGATTTTCGAGTACGCATCACGGAACACAGACTCGCTGAACTTCTGCCGGATGTTCAAGCAGTAATCTAGAAAGGTGCCGTGCATGCGCTCATACATAACATGCCAGCCACGCGAAGTGACCTGCTTGCCATCTTTGTAGGTCACACTGTTGCGGGCAACAAAGCCGATCTGATTCATCTCGTCGAGAAGCTCCAGCTGATCAAGCATCTCTAGTGTCCGTGGATAGAGGGTCGTAGCCCGACCATACATAGCTTGTTGCTCCTTGTTATGCTTCTCTGAGTTGGTTTTAGCAAAAATTAATCAAGGTGCCATAGAAGAAGGGAAGCATGATAGTCATGCACTACTCACCCACGACGATGGAGTCAACTCCTTGTCTTGCAAGACCGTAGGCTATGAGCAAGCCTACTGGACCACCACCCACAACAAGAACGTCTGTCTTGAACTCTGTGGCCATTTTGAAGCTTCGTGGATCCTCTGATTTCGAGTAAATTGAATGCGAGTGAATTGAATGCGAGTGAATAGTATAGCCATCATCTGGGATGAGCTCTGTCTCTTATAGTACAGGAATCGGCTGTGTCGGCATGACTACTATCCAAAAATGACCTCTCTCGGGCCGATCATATTCAGTACTATGCAGCATATTGTTTCATAGTCCGAACACCGTCGGAATAGACACGCAAGACCTATACAGGAAGCTGTTTCGTGCTGCTCGATTGATGGTTGGTATTTTCGTATCGCTTCGTAACGGAACGTAACTTTTCACAGGAACTGCAATATTTATGGCACGTAATTTTGTATCGGGAGGTAACAAACAGTGGACCTCCATGGAATACAGTAAGCGACATCATCTTGCAGAAAACAACCTTATGCAAAGAGAGAATGAGACAAGTTTTGACATAAAATAATCAATCCGATGCAATTAAGCGCTAATATGGGTTAGCTGTGGCGGTCGAATTCCAAATAGTGTCCAAAGAAGAGAGGATTCTGACCAGCAATACCTCCAGCTTTCTCTTTTGACGGGTCGTTCTACACGCATTTCCAGTCGTCTTCCTCAATGAAATTTGACACTTTCTATTGTATTTTGGACACTTGACTGCTGAGATGATCAAGAACTTTTGTCATGATTTTAAATCATTGGGATGCCAGTGTGATACAGTGGTGGTTGGTTCGAAAGTGAGAGTCTAGAGACCAGAGAAATCACCTAGTTGATACGCTTCCACTTGTCGGTTTTTGAAAGGTCTTTCTAAAGGTCATTTTAATCGTCTTTCTTGATAGCTTGGGTATAGCTTTTTAGTCTATCATTCCACTTGTGACTGATAAGATAATTCTGAAAGTCAAGTCATAGTTTCAAACTTATGAAACCCCACTGTACTATGCCTCTCTAGCGCCCAAAAATGACTGCAGACAGTTATAGTACGTTTGGAAGACTTGACACTATATACACTTGTTAAGTTATATGCACAGAAGATCCTCCAGTCTGAGCAGCAAAAACGAAACACACAGAATCACAGAGGAAACAACGCACCTCCTTGTCGAGCTGGGCAACAGCGTGCTGGGCACGATCCTGGAATGAGGCCATTGTGTGGGATATGCGATTGAAATTTTCACAATATCTTCGAGGAAAGAGCAGTGAGGATAGCAATATGAACGAGTTATGTATTGGGCTAGGCTCAGGGGGAGGGGTTTAAGGTATTTGGGGCGGATCCGGGGTTGTGTGCGACGAATTTCGTGGGGGACTCGGACGTTCTGAGACAGAGAGGTGCTGTGGAGCCGGATGAGGGCGGTCGTCGGGTTGCGGTTGTGCTTATGGGAGAGAAGGATGCGGATGTGTGAAAGGTGATTGGGGTGTATGGGGTTTCGCCGTTTAGGCTGGGGGATGGTTTAGGGTGGAGTGCATGGCACTGGGTGAGAAGGTCTCTGCATCTCTTTTATTACCACTATGCAAGGTGTTCGTACATACATGTCCACTGCGAGTAGACACCCTCTATCGTACAGTCCAATGTCCCACCTCTAGTCGCACCTCCGGCTCGAGCTCGCTCACATCGTCGAAGCCCTCGTCCATGGCGTCGGGGTTCAGGTTCGCCGCGTCGGGGGCAATGCCGTCTTTGTGTTTGGCTTTATCGTGGGAAACGGTCTTCCACCCTGCGGGGTGGGCCGGGTCTTTAATGTACTCAGACATGGGGAACTATTCTGGTTAGTGGTCGGGCGGCATTATATCAAAAGAATCCAGGCTAATCATACATAGTGATCGTTCTTCTTCATGGTCACAACCCACGGCACGTTGTCGAAGGTGACAGCACGTAGGCGGAAGTACGTGTTGTCCGGGATCTTGCTGACTTCCTGGACGAACGTGTCCAAGTTCGGGGTCGGAACGCCGTTGACAGCAGTGATGAAGTTCGTCGGCGAGAGTCCGTATTGGTAGGCTGGGGAACCGCGACTCTATTCGGAATTAGTACCATGTGTTTCTGACGGAATGGAGTAAACATACCCTTGCGCTGACATATACCTCGCTATGGAGCTTGGAGATCTGCTGGCGGACCGCGTGGTGTGGCTTCTGCAACACAGCACCACAGAACACCACCGCACGGTCCGTTTCGAGATCCTCCGTCGGCACGGTGGGAACCTGGATCTTCATTTCTTGTCCATTGCGGACGATCAATGCCTCGAGGACATCCTTGTCATACATGATATCCAGTTCGGAAACACGGGTGATCAGCTGGCCGTCCAACGTGAGGATAATATCGCCTTCCTGGAAGGAATCGTGCGCCGTGGTGCTGAAGCCAGCAGGGGGGCAGTCGACCTTGCGGACCATGAACAGTTGGTGTCGCGAGGGATTGGCTTGCGTGACGCGCTGAATCCACTCTTCCGACACTCCCATGATCCGGGCCTGGCTCATCTGGACCACATAGCTCTCCATGTTTAGAATGCGCAACTTTGGCATTTCGCCCGCTTGGACCTTGGATGCCACTGGTAGAAGAGCCGGGGTCGCGAAACCGAGATGATACTCCACGTCCTTGTGAGAGGAGGGCGTGCGCTCACCCAGGTAGTTCAGCCAGAGGGCCTGCACGACTCCGTCTTCGCCGACCAACACCCCGTTGGAGCATTGTCCGCTCAAACCTGTGTCGACGGTAATGGCGTCGAGGTTGATCGCCCGATACCGAGGGGCTGATGCATTAGCGGGAATCGACACGGTAGTGATATCAGTGACGGCCGTCTTAGCCACGACAATGCGGAAGTTCTGGTTGAATCCCACGAAGATCGTGCTCTGGCCTTGCTTGATATACTCTGTGCTGAGTCGCGCGCTCTGCACCGGCGCTTGCACCAGGCTCGGATCGTACTGCACGATCGTATAGTTCTGCAAAGGATGAAGGAACACCACCTTAGCGCTGACGATGATGGAGTCGGCAACGGTGACATTGATGTCACAGAGGTCATACGGCACAATGGCTCGCGACACGACCACCAATCCCTTCTCCGCATCAATGACCAGACCAAAGCCAGTCTTCTTGGCCTGCGGGTAACCATCCAACTTGAGGGGCATAGTGCAGGACACGCGCACAAAGCTGCGGACAATTTCTGCCGCCGCAGGTTGACTCACACCATCCAGCTGGATGAAGTTGGCCTTTCTCGGGACGGGAGGCAATGCTGGAATGGGATCCGCCAAGTCGGAGAAGTCCCAGAGACCGGTTTCATCATTGCGGACGGCGAGTCGCATCTTAGGATGCCAGTGACGGTCAATATACACAATGCTGGTGCCTCGCGTGTGGAGATCGCGAATATGACGATACGAAATGACCACTCGAGAACGGTCCGGAATGCTCTTCATGACTTCAACAAACTCTTCCAGATTCCGTGTGGGCCTCTTGTCAACGGAATCAATGAGCCACCCCGACAGGGTGTTTTCGAGTTTGAACGACCCAGCTGCTTCGCACACATACACCCCACGAGTGGCGATCGCATACAGACGGGCTTGTTGGTAGGACAGGTCATGGAACGTGCCACCAGCGACTGTGACGAAGCGGTCGGGGGTGATGGCGTGCAGGTCGCCCACCTCACATTCAAGCTCAACGTTCTGACCACCGCGCTGCACCAGTAGACGCACGGTCTTACCAACACTCGAGTCCAGGATGTCGTCTAACCGGATAAATTGAGTGAGGAGCTCGCCGTTGACCTGTAGGAGGACGTCTCCTTCCTCGAGCTTGCCATCGGCAGGTCCCTCGGGAAGGATGATCTCGGCGACCAGCATGCTCGTCTCCGTAGGGGCAGCCTTGCGGACCTTGGCCTCCCATTCCGGCGTCAACCCCAGCCGGCGACACTCGTCGAATGGCTTAAGAATCCACTGTGTCTGAATCGTCCCACGCGTGACCGGCTCCCCGCGGCGAATGCAGTTCAGCGCCCGCAGAGGACGATCCAGGGGAAGGAAGTAATCAGTGGCAGCGCCGTCCGCGCGACCACCCGCCTGCAGGGCGATCGCGTGGCCATCAATATTAACCACGGGACTGCCGGAACTACCACCGCTGGCCGCAGCGGCAGCCTGTATATAGTTCGTGTTAAAATCGCTGTAACCCTCTCCATACTCTGGCGCATTCCGGTCCAGACGACTGATCACACCTGACAAAATACTCAATTTTTCACCAGCGTCATTACCCACCACCCGGATCTCCGAACCGACACGGGCAGCATCAGGCTGCAGCTTCAGTTCCGTCAACTTCAAATAGCGGATGGCTTTCGGATCGAACTTCAGGATACCAAAGTCGTGCACCGGATCGCGGTATACGGGACGTACGTCGCATTCCTCATGGTTATCGAAAATCACGTACCCCCAGAACGGACCGGGACAGACGACATGTCGATTCGTAAGAATATAGCCCCTCTCAGCATCGACCACGAATCCCGTAGCCTGACTGCTCATCGACAACTCAGTATCGAACGAACAGGTCTGACAGAAATGGATGGACACCACACTCTTGACGACTTCTTCAATGGTCGCCTGCCATTCGGGAGAGTCGGCCGGTGCAGCGGCAATGGGTATCAGATGGCTGGATTCGGCGTCATCCTCCACGTCGTAGACGGTACCATTGGCGGGGGTAGTATCGCCGGGGGTCAAGCTCGAGTTTTCGGGTCTGAGGTGCTTGGCTGGGCGCTCCGCAGCGGCGCTGATGGAGCTGCGCTTGCGCTTCGCGTTGGAATCCCCATTCAAGTCCATAATCGATCGGTGGGGGTTATGCGACGTCGGACGGTGGATGGAAGGATTGAGCGAAGAGAACACTCGAGGCTGACTGGTGTGAGGCGCTCTCGTGAGCGACTGAGGACCCGGGAGCCACTGCACCCACGGACGGAGTGTATGGGGAACGAGCGGTCGTCTGTGGTTCCTGGAGAGACAAGGCGACTGTAGGGGTGTTGTAGAGAAAAAGTAACACTGCTTCTGTCGAGAAAGGTGGCTGGGCAAAGCACCAAACGCCAGAGACGCTGCGACTGCGGCGGGCGAAAGCGATGCAGCGGCTCGAGTGATAGTCGTAGCGATGAGGGATCGATGAATGATAGGCGAGCTCCTTCTGGACGCAGGGAGCAAGGCGAAAGACATTCACAGGACCCGGACGGCCAAGGAGACGGAGAGGGAGCAGGTGAAGAATTGAAGGCGTCAAAGAGGAAGCTTCATTAAGTGAATTTGAACAAGATCAAGAGGATCACCTGCGGCAGTGCCCGATTAGGTAAGGGGCCCGGTGTGGATGCTGATTGGTGGGGGCCCCGTCCAGTTGACTCGATCATTTGATGCTTTTACTACCTGGTAGGTACTCAGGATTTCATTATCAGGCTCTATGAAGTGTAAATTACAGGCATCATCCATTGACTCCGCGCCACTCCGTCGCTCCGCACGTCCCCATGCGTCCGTGTGATCACTCCTATGTCCATCGGGGGCATGTATCCTGCACGATACTTCTATTCTTCTCCTTCATTCCGACAACCCCAGGTTGCGATATCACTAGTTTGACGTTGAAGGACACGGCGGGGACAATGGTGGGCACTCCATGGCAGAGGAAGTCCCGTTTCACTCGCCCAAACCCAAACGGTGTCTGCAGATCGATGATGTGACGCGACCATTTTGGGGGCGAGAGGGGGAGGGGGACCATCCCTGTTCCCGGTCGAGTTGAAATAGTGTGGCTAGCTCGTCATGCCGGGGTAACACAAGTGGCCAAGCCCTCTTATGAGGCCTCGCGGCCTAGTTCTGTCCACTTTGTGTTGACTTGAAAGGTGAGTGAGGTGGCCCTTTGTTATAACGTCTGAATCTGATGTTCTGTGCATCAAACACGACCATTGTCTGCTCAAATCACGGACTCCGAGGCCGGGGAGGGACTAGGGTTGCCATTGCCTTGAACGCCTTGGGAGCCGGGCTGGGGTGTTCCCCCTTGGGCCGAACGAGGGAATAGCTCACTGAGCTTAGTATAGATGTCATTCATGGACTGCATATGGGGCGGTGGAGTCATAATGGCCGGGGCTTGCGGAGGAACGCCGCCAGACTTCTTTGCGCGGTCGGCAATGTTGGCCAGATAAGCCAAGTTCGCCTGTAACCGACGCATACAATCGACATATTCCGGACTCGGCTTCTGCGTGGGTCCTTTCGCGGCGTCCGAGGCCTGATCCGATGACGGGGACGGGTTGTTGGAGTCCTGCGACCCTGGTTGCGGAGGTGGACCGCCTGCCTTGCCGGCGGCTTGGAGATTGACCACTTCCTGCAGGAGCATCGAGTTGATATCGAGGAGGACGGAAACGCGTGCTTTCTCTCGTGATGCAGCGGGGGATTGCGCCGCCGGTGGGACGGCTCCCTGTGTTGTGGAGGACTGAGACATAGCTCTTTGCTGTTGGTGTGGTTGTGTTTGTTGTTGTTGTTGTTGCGACTGGGCTGGGAGCATGTTGTTGGCAGGAATAGAGGTCATATTTGGGGGAAATGATGCTGCGGTGGTCGTCGGGAGATTCGCAGCAGTGGTGGGAGCCGACTGGGGAGGGAGGAACTGGTTCATGGAAGCCGGGATAGGAGGTTGGGAGAAAGGCGCAGAGAAGTTGGCGTGGGGACCTGCTGCGGATGATCGCGTTTTCCCGTTAGCGTCTTGTCCTGCGTGACCACACCATCGAATCTCCGTCCCTTTTGGGAATCACCGCGACCCTCGCCCGTCCGATCACTAGAACTCCTTCAACAGGAAGGGATCGAACTCACCGGGAGATTGTTGGGGGTAACCAGCGGGCATCATGGCACCACCGGGACCGACGGGCTGCATCGGCATGCCCGCAAACTGCTGCTGGTTCTTCGGCTGAGGGAAGGACGGCATGGCATTAGGGTAGTAAGGGAATTGTTGTGGACTCTGCGTAGGCATCGGATAGCCGGCCGGGTGTTGCTGGGGAGGCTGCATCGCGTAACCGTTGGGGTCCATGATGGGAGAGGAAGGATAAAAAAGGAATAAAATAGAATAAAAATAAAAATAGCAAAGGGGAAAGAGGGAGAATCGAATCGAATGGCGTATATTAAGGTAGAACAAGAGAAGAATCGATAGATAGTTCTAAGATCAGGGTGATTTGAGATTATGCCAATGGAAATGGAGAAAATGCGGCGATCCAAACTGCGTCGACAGAGGGACAAAATAGGTAGAGCCGAGATCTAGCCGAAAATCCAATCACTAATAAAGATGGATGAATAATAGTAGGAGCAGTAATAGCAGTAATAAAGAGCGAGTGGTCAAACCAAACGATGGGGAGGGTGAGAGGTGTGTTATTGGACCGAGATCAGAAAGGTCGATGACCGCACGGACATAGCAACGAGCGATCTTTAGAGGGAGCAAGAGAGAGAAAAGACAGCGGAGATGGTCAGGGATGAAGGGTGGACGGAAGAGAAGGAGAGAACAAGAGCAGCCGTGAGAGGAGAGAGAGCGGTGATTGGCTCCTGTGTTAGGATGACTCATCCAGACCACCTTCATCTAGTCCATTCTGGGACTAGCGTAATATAGAAGGAAAATAGTCCCTCCGAGATTACTCTTTCCCGATCAGGCAACATCCATACTCCGTACATCTCCTCTACAAAGCCTCATATCCCGTCCAACCCATCTGAAATAACAGTTCTTCCCAATGAACTGACTCTTTCTGTAACCCCGATATGACACCGAATGCGCCGGCTCGGCTCTCTGATCTCAATTTACTTTCATCGATCCACCCCATCCCGGTCAATACATGACAAAGAGGTGAGAGAACAATAGGTACGATAGATATGATCCTCAGCATATCCCTCGCCGGGACGAGAACTATCTCCCATTCTCTCTTCTCAACTACCCAATCGATCTATCCAGGATCGACATGACACACCTCCCGATTAGCTAGTTTGGAATAAAGTGCCTCCCACCGGAGATCTCCACTCTGTATCCATCCATCCTTCCATCCATCTATCCATCCGTCTCCATCGAGATAGGGGCATGTTCTCGACGTTCTTCGGGTTCAATAGCCGCTCCCAATGGGATGGTTCCCATGCACCCATTTGCTCCGGATACTGTCTCCGTCCGTGTGTTTACCTAGCCTCGCCCCCGGTGACAAGTCATATCCCATCTGCAACTTGTCCATCCCCACTGACACATCAGATGGTAAGCATGCGGCATCGCTGGTCACCGACGCGCGAGCCTGTCAGCGGAAATTTCGGTAAACTCTCAAATTGTTCGCCTTCCAGATCGGTTCGAGACTTACTTCGGACCTACGCGCGGATCGTCGATGGGGAGCCACCAGACGGCACCCGGCGTGAACTAATACCTTGACGAATGCTGTCTGCATGTTCGCTAGGGATGAACTCCTGGAGGGCACTCAAAGCTACTAGTTATGTGACAGCGGTAGATGGAGACGTTCTCTGCCCACTCATCCACCCGTCCATCCGACTTTCTCGGCTCATCGGCGTTCCATCGTGTACGATACGATGGTGTTAGCTGGTAACCACTAATTGGATGGACCCTTCTAACCGCAAGCTAAATATTGGCAATGTCATCCTGAGTCAGACCAACCCTTTACCCTGCAGCCGACTATCTGTCCGCAGCGACAAAGTGGAACGCGTATAGCTGGCAGTCATTGTGCTGCATGGACCCGATTTTACTTCACCGAAGGATTTATATTGACCTTAGATGGTTGTCGATCCGTGTCAACCCCACTGGGTGCCCGTCTACCTATCTATCAATGCTGGGTTCCCACACATCGGGAAAGAGCAGAAGAATGATTTGGAAGAGGAATAGCATAAGGCCCACAAGGAGCTGTCTTTATACGCGAGAGCGAAAGCGCAGGAGGCAAACAGACCAATGCGCGAAAAACTTGAAAGTCCTGACCAATACCGGGTGCTCGTTTCTGGTAGCTGGCTCCGAAGGATATACACCGATGTCTAACCCGGGAGACGTGCTGACGTGCTGCGCCAGCCATACAATCCTTCCATATGCACTGAGCGAACTTTCTCCACGCATTCTATTGACACCGGATGATGGCCCACACCGGTCGGTTGATCATCCGGACAAGAACTCATGCACAAGCAAAGTAGTTTGCTGCAGCCTGGCAGATCATGCTGAGCCACAAACATCGGCGCTCAGCGGCCACTCCGGTGCTTTCGACCGTTCCGTATGGTCTAAGGCCACTGTAGAATTGCTTTTTCTCCTCTCGGAATAGAGCAAAGCTCGCGAAATCTAAACGTATTCGATCTTCCCAAAAGGGACAGACCACTCTATAAGCTTATTATTGGTGGATCTTCCTACTGAGCTCTCTGACAGTCCTCTTCATATAAACGCGGTCTCGTGGCCCTTCTAGGAAAAGGTCCCAGAAACTAAGTCTTCCCTCCGCCAGGCCGTGATTGGTACTAGGAGAATTAAATTGTGGCCGTCGCCCCAGCCCTGTTCTCATCCATCAAGCTTGACGGACCCGAGATCACCGCAGCTCTTGGCTATGGTACAGTCTATCACCGTGGTTTCCTATTAGGAACCTGAACTAACTCGTCTTCAGGCACATACACCTGTTTCGATGGACTCGCCTCTGGATGGTCTGGCATCTATGCATTTTGCCCTTATCTATATCGACGACAGCGGCAAAGTGCGCTTTGAGGCTTCACCCTCTATTGCCAACAGCTGCCAGTCCCTCCTGGCGCCTAACGTTACCGAGTCGTTCTTGCGAGCTGTGGCGCTGTCGAATAAAGGAGGCGAGTCACGGAGTTCATCCATCGATACCTCCAGAAAGAGTTCTCCATCCCCACGGTCACCTTCTATGCACGACAATGGCGAGTCGCAACCGCCAATAGGGTACGTATATATCTGAGGCCCCACCATACTTTGTACTCTGACGCGGCTAACAACCGCAGATACCATGTAGAGAGCCATAGACCCAAGCGGAAACGCATCTCACACGAATCCGTCATCCCGATCAGTATCAACTGCCACCAGAGGACGATGTTGCCGGTTCAGGATCACGGCCTCCTGCGACGTTACTACGAGAAAGCCTTTGAGAGCCTGCAGCAGATCAACTGCAGGATTCTGGCCAAAGCATACATCAAACTGGTGGAGCCCCGGAAGCAGGTCAACTACCCATACAATGGACGAAAGATTATTCAGGGGACCTCGCAGCAGTTTGATCCCGAGTTCACGAAGCCCGCGTGGTGGCCTGCTGGAGTAACTCATAGAGAGCCAGACCATCTATTAAAGGCCGGTAAGTGGAATTCAGAATCTCGTCGCCTTGGACATTTTCTGATTATGACCAGAGCGAATCCGACTGCTTGTTCACATCCTGTGCGAGCTCCGCCATAGCCATGCTATCACCGTGGACAAGCTGAAAGAGGCAGATCAATCGATCCGCCGGCAGATACTACCAGCCGAGCGGTTACAAGTACTCGATGAGATATACACTGTGCGAGAAGAGGAGGAGGCGTATCTGGACGGCCATACTGGTACGAGCCTTCCGAAAAAACGGCCACGCAGAAACTAATATTTCTTAGATGGACGAGCGGCCGTGTGTGTATCGCGGGTACATCTCCCGGATATTATCGAAACGCAGACACTGGGATCTCCGAGTTCAGCGCTGAAGCCCGACATGAACCCGGTGTATCGGAAGGAAGTTCCGGACATGGAGTCTCACACATCTGTCTTCCCTTCCACAGGAAGTTCACCGACTAGCGAGCAGCCTAGACATGCTGAGAAGGAGGCGGCCACCAAATCTAGTAGCAGCCTCCCTGCCACTTGGGACGCCTGTGTCCCTCCTCTTGCCAAACATACCCGCGATAGTGACCCGACATATCACTTGGACATGTCCAGTCCTTCTATATTCCACCAGGATAACGGTCTTGTTGCCCAGAACTTTCAGTTGAAGTATTACAGTGATCATCTTGGTCCGCAGCAGCACCATTCCTCGCTCCCGGTGATGGGGGTCCCAGGACACGATATGGGTGCACACCCATATTACTTTGGGTACCAGCATTGATATTAATCCTTTGGGTATATTTAGCATTGGGGTTGAGGCGTGATTGTTTCTAACTGACCATGGAGACCTTGGACTTGCTGTCTCTTTTATGGCTCTATCTGTTCTTTCGGGTTGGCGGTCTTTGTGTTTGGCGTACCATACTATATAGACCTAATATGGAATCAGATAATCTCTCAGGCGTTGGAGTTTGAGGTGATGAGGCGGATGGCTCTACTGTCTGATCTTTGAGGAAGTTGCAGGTCACGGTCAGGACGACCTCCTGTCCCTAGCGCTTGTTGTGAGGACTGATCATGACTTATTAGTATTAGTAGATTAATTCCATCCCTTACATGAGTCCCATGTGCATGTAAAAGACTTCAGTAACTGTCATAACGCGCGTAATGTTCCATTTGATCATGATCTGCTGCGTCTGCTGCAGCTGATGCGAGGTCCATGCGGTGTTCCTCTGCCAGTGATTGACGTCCCTTATCTTGGGAATATTGGACAGCAACACCCCAAGACCGTCTTCAAGCAGTGACCATCTACATACATCAGCAGTGCTCCTACAAGAACATTATTATTGATACCAAAGTCCCGGCGCAACTGGGCAGCATGACGCTAGATGACAGAGAGAGTGTGCTTGTGGTCCGGGAGGCCCTGCGGCACGAGACCATGAGGTTGGATGAGATACTGCACAAACATGGAGAATATCAGCACTATATATAGGCGGGATAACGGATTAGCGGGAAATACTACTAATATTGATAATAATATAGATATTTATACAGGCAACGTGGGATAGATTTCGGCCTCGCTACGTCAGCTTCTTAGAAGAATTAACAATTGGACATGCTAATGAATAATACCAATAATCCACCTCCTTAGTCTTTTCCGCAAGGGCTTTTTGTTTCCGCCTGGCGTTGTGCGCTCGCCTGCAGCTGCGTCGTCATACCAATCAGCGCCCAGCCCGTTCTGAACCACTCTACGAAGATCAGGCACCGCCAATAAAACTCCCCCAGAGACCGAGACCACAAACACAAAGAACAGAAACGTGACCGCAATTCTGAGCCCCGAGTCCAGCTCGCGCATCCAGAGAACAGCAAGTGGAGGGACCAGGATACACGCGACGATGAGCAGGAATACCAATACTGGTGCAAACCGCGCAAAGACCCAGGCTAGGATAGCTGTATTGGTGATTGGGGCACCGCGGGGTACAGAGCTGTGAGTGCGGATTGCGGTCAGAGTCTTTTGTTTCTGGGCATGCACCCATCCGCTGCGAGTAAGGAAACGGAGGGCGTAGGTCGATATACTCAGTGACAAGGCGAATGCGATGAAATACTGCACAGGAACAGGGGAAGTAAGTGGTTGGATTTGCATGGAGAAAAGAGATGCGGCGAAGGAGAGCGGGATGAACAAGAAAGCAAGCTCCGTTAATCGGGTGATGCTTTCAGCCTCCATGATGGCCCGGTGGCTTTCAACGAACTGCAAGGTACCCGTGATTGCGTTTGAGGCTTCTTTCAGGTCCTGGATTGTGTTTTCAAAGTTGCTAGCGAGGTGGTCAATAGTTTTGTCCTGCGAAGGATCGCCGTTGCCTTGCTTCAGGAGCTCGTTTAGAGAATTTTTGAGCTCTCGGCATAATGGGGGGAGCTGAGCCAGTAGCTTCGCGATGAATGTTCTTTTAACGAGAATATCGTCAATCTGGGCGTCCTGAGATGCAATGGACTGCACAATGTCCCTCTGCACAGTATCTAGAAGCTGAAGGAGGCCTAGGGTATCAGACAAGACGATGCGAAAAAGGTGAATGAACGGCAGATGCCCACAGGATACCGGGTCAGTGGTAGGGATCTGATTCGCGGGATGACAGTTGTCAAGAAGGCATCTCGTCGTAGAAGAGAGGGTCCCGTAGATTTCCTTGAGTCGGTCCTCTCCTACCGTAGAAATCATCGCAGAACTCATATTGAGAGTGAATCGAGGGACTAGAATTTCGTACAGATCCTTAATCGTGAAGTCTGCATCAGCAGGAGGAATGCATGGATCATTAGGGGCTCTGTCAATCTCCGTCCACGTTGCCATTGATGCCCTGGGGATTGCATCTAGTAACATAATAACTTATAGGTGAGTCAGTCACAGCTGGCTCAGTCGAGACGCTTGATATGATTGTCCAAACTTACCATATTGCACCCCGTTTCTCGTAGTCTGGTAGATTGAAACGCGCTCTTCAATCGCAACCAGACCGTCGGCAGCCATCGTGGAAGCGGACAGGTCCCATTCGGGACGGAGAATATTCGAAACAGCATGGACAATGTCAACGGTGAAAGTAGTTTGAGTACGTCGACTACGACCCTCCCCGATGATTTCCTGCCTTCCCGCTCTGACTCTCTCGTATCTCTCCTCGATCTGCCGGCGCCTGAGTACGGCATCAGAGTGCTTCGACCGAGAAACAGGCCGATACCAACGGAAGGAATTGTATGGGGCCGGTAGATTCCATGTATTCCATTGGCCCCGTCGGTCGCGTGTGGTCACGGGGAATCTGGCGAGCTCGTTGTTTATATGATCCAGGAAGAAGTTGGGCTCGATGCGGAAGACCGATCCCAGCGTATGACAGACGAACGAATTGATGTCTTCCACCAAAACGTATCGGGTCTCAATGTTTTCGAGTTCTTCACTTAGCCACTCAACCAGCAGATCGGGATTTTGGAGACGGCGACGAGCAGGGGGCCCGCCAAGGTGAGCGTGGCCATTGCCAGGGAAATCGATGCGTGTGATGGTTATATCACCAGGAATCTCATGGCAGAGAGCATCATATCCAGGAACAGTTCTGGATAGTCGCCGGATATTTTGTTCGTACCAGTCTGTTTGAGCCATTGTTACCCCTCCTAGGTCCAGGTTCAGGCTGACAGAGGGGGGCAAGTGGCAGAGCCAGTAGGTACAGAAGAAGACCATTCGGAGTGGGAAAACAATACATCCGGGGCTACGAGCCAGTAGTACGTATATCTATCCATTCTCTTGACGTCCTGCTTTACGTGCTGCTACCGCCAATTCAAGGGACCCTCATCGCTGTCGTCGTCGAGCATTTTGAGGAGTCTTATGGACACTATAGTGAGCATGAGACCTAGGGCTACAATGAGTTTCAACCCGATGGAGCCCCAGCCTAGGCCCATTGCCACGCTGCCCACGTTACCTCTGACAATACTGTTGAAGGCGGCTTGTGCCGTCGCTGAGTGCGCGACCGCTGCGACATGCTGCCAGAGAATAGCAGTAATGAGGAATAGCACTGAAAGGGATTCGAAAGCCATAATAAGACTTGAGGCCGCCGTTGAAGGCACGGGCGTGCCTTCCATCTCGCTTCCAGTGTCATCATCCATATTATCCTGCCATCTAGGGAACGTGCTCATGCCATAGACTCCTACGAGGGTCATGACAATTGCTATGATTCTATATTCTCATTAGCCTAGGTCTTGCTCGTCACATAAAGGAAGCTGATTTCGCGACATACATCACCACAGAAACGATCACTTCATCTCGAAAGTTGTCCGCAATGGCTAAAATGTTGAGAGGATCTTGAACGCCTTCCACGAGTGCTACAAGCTTCTTTGCCTTTCCACGGCAAATCCAGCTAACAGGATCTCCTCCTGTGTTGGTCGCCATACATAGCCCAAAGTATCCTACCCGAACGGCGAGGTTTCCGGTGGAGCTAATGTTTGCCACCACGGAGTAGAAGGAAGGGTTCGGTACCTCCAACTCTTTATTTTGCAAGCTAGAATTCCAGCCATCATTCTGGTAAGATAATTCCATAAGATATATGTTGCGCATCAGAGGTGACGAGCAACCCGCGACTAATATTGCTGCATTCACATTACATTAGCACTCATAACCAAGCAGAGCCATGTGGCTTCATAAATGGTCTTGCTTACTTACAAAGCATGATCATAGCTACTGTGTTGATGGTCATTAGGATATGGTGAAACCCAATCCTATAGCTGATGTGAGCAAGACCCCCAAAAGGTGGAAATCTTCGGATGCGCCGCCACATGTTGCTCCACCGCGCGCTGCCGTCGTCGATACCAGTAGCATCATAGGAGTAGTATGAGACAGAGCCACTGCTCCTTGTTGATTGCGAGTCTCGCACAATCATGACACTTTCTTCGTTAGTTTCCTCTTCCTCCTCCTGCTCCACTACTGCGTGCTGCTGTCCTACCCGTTCCAGCTCTCCCTGGCCGATCTCGTTCTGTTGTTCATTTTCTCGTCCTTCCTCGTTTCTGATCCATCCTGCTTTCCATTTAGGCGGAAGATGCAATTTCCGTAAGAGCGGCAATAACAACGATGATGGTTGTTGGGCTTGCGAGGAGGTCTCAGCCTCAGCCTCAGCTGGGGCATCCACCTTCTCAGTTCCAGTTCCAGTCCCAGTCTCAGTCCGAGTCTCAAGTTCTGTGATTGATGTTGCCGCCATGCTTGAATGCTAAAACCGGCTGATCGACACGCTTACTTCAATTCGAGAGTGATTGCTCGGATGGATGTGTTGGTTTGTCGATGGTTAGTGACCGCTAGTATTCTGCGTAAACATCGAGCTTACTGTTATGTCAGCCCCCGCTCCGCCTTTTGTCGTATCGTTTCTCTTTGCTTTTTCAGCTAGGTCTGACAGGGAGGGGAGTTGGGAATGATTCGGGGTTCTTGGTTCGTGCCTTAAGGCCACGCTTTGAGGGCTCGCTCCGTTGTCTACCTAACAGCTGCTTCGCGAACATTATACGGAGTACTAAAAAGAATATGGTAGTAGGCTATATCTATAACTATAAAATTAAGAGAGGAAATATATACTATATGAATATAACCTGTTCTTGAATATTAACGTCTAGAATAGGTTTTAATAAAGTTAAAGGTCCGACCCTAAGGTATGGAGCAGCCGCGCAGGCGAGTATCATCTGAGTTGCATTCTCGCAGCCGACTGACATGTCCCGACGTTAAGCGGACACGGACATCGCCATTGAGGTGCTGTTGTCCAGGCAGATACATACTCAGCTGGAGGGTCACATGGGTCACATCCACCGCAAACAACCACCCAGACCGTGGGATCACGTATATAGAATGAGACTCGCCTGTCGGCTCTCTATCGCTCATCATACCTCCAGAACCTCCAATTGACAGGCACCATGTACATGCTCAAGCGTCTCGCGGGCATGCTCGGCCTCCCGGCCACCCGTGCCGGTACTGTCTGCTCTAGGGCCTGGGTATGGGATTGATCAACATGACGGATTCCACACGTTTTACTATGTCTAGGCCATGCAGAAACCATTACTAGCAATATATGTATCCCAAATATACGGACGTCAGGGAACCGTTTTCAATTTCACCTAAGCTATCCACTAAGACACTACTGGCTCAACAATCTCCCCCCCAAACCCCTACAGACACTGCGAGTACCAGTCATTCTGGTACTGACAGGTCGTGCCGCTGACACAGGTCGTCGGTCCGGTCCAGCCAAGCCCACCGCACTGGCCCCATTTCTGCGAAACACCGGTCGAGCCCGAGCCGGCCGACGTGGTCGTCTTAGTCGTGGTCGTCAGGGTGGTCGAGGTGGTCGAGGTGGAGGAGCTCGCGCCCAGGCCGGCCAGGATGCCATTGTAGGCGGGCTTCTTCGCAAAGTTGGAATCCCACGGCAGGGCGGCGCCCTGGCCGGAGAACACGCTCGGCACCCACGAGTACTTATCGGTCCAGTCCCAGATGGTGATGCCGATGCAGCCGGAGGTGGACACGCAGGCAGCCGCGACGTTCTGGTAGTCGGTGGCCTGTTGGGCGAGCAGGGCGGAGGTCGAGGGCAGGGTCATGCGGATGTCGAGCTCGGTGTAGGCGACCTCGACGCCGAGCGAGGTGAAGCCCTTCAGCACGGAGGCGAGGGTCGAGGCGCTGGCGACGTTGCCGACGATGAGATGCGCCTGCAGGCCGACGCCGTCGATCTTGGCGCCGTACGACTGCACCAGCTTCACGATGCGCTGCGCGCCGGTGGCCTTGGCCCCGGCGTACTCGGTGTTGTAGTCGTTGTAGTAGAGCTTTGCGCTCGGGTCGGCGGCGGCCGCGGTGGCGAAGGCGATGGGGATGTAGGCTTCGCCGATGACCTGGTAGAAGATGCTGTTGCGGTAGGAGCCGTCTTCGTTGAGGGCTGCGATGTGGTTAGTTGGGTGCGAGTGGGTGACTGAGTGGCGGGCAGAGCATACCTTCGTTGACGACATCCCAGGCGTAGCAGCGGCCTTTGTAGTGGGTGACCACGTTCGTGATGTGGTTCTTCATGGCGGCAATGAGGGTCGCATTGGTCCAGCTGCCGCTGCTGACTGTCATAATAAGTATTAGCACCTCGCACCTTCAATTGTCTAGATGGGGGTGGACATACCCCAGCTGGGAAGCTGGCTATGCCACACCAGCGTGTGACAGCGGAGCTTCTGGCCATTCTTCTCGGCGAGGTTGGCAATGGCATCACCCCCCGAGTATGAGAAGCTGTTCCGCGACGGCTCAGTGGCATCCCACTTCATCGAGTTTCCGGGTGTGATCTGCCCAAAGTCGTTCGTGTTACTGAGCTGAGATACGTACGCCGTATCGCTCAGTTCCCCGTTATCGGTGGCAGAGCCGAAGTACACAAGGCCCTTGGCCACAGCAGACTGGTGGAGGCCAGCGGCGGAGGCGCTACAATGCTGTTAGTATCGGCGTGCAATTGGAGACGAGGGGACAAACAGGAGAGGCAAAGTGCCAGCCGCCAGGGCTGCAACGAGAGAGTGCATATGCATTTTGGTGCGCTTCAATGAGTGGGATCTCAGTGAGGTCGGGATGGCGATCACATCTGGAGCATCGATAGCCAGGTGACGGTTTATATACAGCCAACAACAAGTCCGTGTCTGAACAGTCGAGGAACCTTACCCCGGACAGAAGTGTTCTTCAGCATGCACATACTCCGTATATTGAAGGGATTTAGCCTAAGCACAGAGCGAATCATGCGCGGATGCAGTCGGCAGAGGTTACCGCATTGGGAAGAAATGAAGCCGGAGCAATTCGCACTAAGCACTCTACCTGCGACGCCGAGATTTTACCGCTTCTGGCCATTTCGACAGCACCCTGCGGATCGCTGCTTCGTACGTTGCGATCGTCGTGATTGTCTCATAATCCCCGTGGGACATCAGCGTTCTACTTGTTCCTTATTTGTTGCAGAGAAAACAAGAATTCGGGATCAGCAGTCGAAACTCCATTCTGCAGGTCAATCCCATGCGATCCCCATGGGGTGTACGGCTAAATGCCGGAGCGCCATCGCAATTTAATCTAGAGTGCCCCGCATGCAGGGCTAGGCGCATCCACGGTCGACAGTCTTCTGCGGAGTATGATATGAATGTATTCCATGGTATATGGCGACCTAAATCATACACGGTAACCGGCCCACGATCCCGCGCGTAAACTATGCTCAATATAGGCTCGCGCACTACGCAGACGAAGCCTCCGTTCTGACCCGGTCCAAACGGCCAAATGATGGCGGAGGGGGATGCTCAGGGGTGCATATCTGCCGAAGACGACACGGCTTGAGTGGTGCGTGCCGCCGGGCCTCGTAACGAGAAAAAGCCTATAGTCGGACGCCACCCACACGTTTTCATACAGAGTGGCGTTCGTCACAAGCCTGAATTCATGTGGTGCCATGTGGCCGGCTAAGCAGACGGACGGATGAACTTTTCCGGGGGACGCTTTCAACCCTGCTGCTCCTTGCGTGCTTTCATCTCGGCAATGAACTTGCCGGTCTTGGAGATGGGCACAACGTAGATTCTGACCAGCTCATCCACCACCTCGACCTTGCCTCCGCTCAGTATCTGCAGGAGGGGAAGCTTCTTGCCGGCCTTGATGAGACCCCCGGTCACCGTTTCCATGAAGCACTCCACGCCCTTGATGGTGTACTCCTGTTTCGTATCCCACGGAAGCGGGAATATATACTCAAGATGATCCTCAATGCTGGTCATTTCGGAGAATGATTTGATGAAGTCCGACTGTGCGTCCATGTGGTAGAGTAGCACGGCGGGGAACTCGAGCATGCTCTCCGGGGAGAGCGGGTCGGGAGCCAGGCGAATCCCAGCGCCCTCCATCTCCGGGGGTTGCGCCGTCTTGCGTGTGCGGATCTGGCGCGCCTTCAGCGCCGTGCCCAAAAGAAGCTTTTCCTTCTTCGCACGTTCCTCCTCGGCCTTCTTCTTAGCCGCGATGCGCTCAACGACGACCTTCCGGTCGGCAATTTTCTGTGCAATCAGCTGCAGCGACTTGTTGTTCGGATCGAGGGCCAGACCGCGGGTCACCACATCCTCGGCCTCTGCGATCTTATCCAGGGCATGCAGCGCGCAGGCGGAACGGTAGAACGCCTTGACGTTTCGGGGGTTGAGCTTCAGAGTCGAAGCGCAGTCGAGCGTCGTAGAACGGTAGTTTTCTTCAACCTAGTTAGCCATGACTCCAAACCGCACCGAGGGCTCAACATACTCAGTTCCAGATTGCACAGCGCACGGTTGATGTAGGCCGCCTCCTCGACCTGGCGCCGCAGCTTGTCCTCCTCCTTCTGGTCCTCGGGCTTGTCCCACTTGTCCTCCTTGGCGAGCAGGACGGCGATCGCCTTGGTGTAGAACTCCTTCGCATCGGCCCAGCGCTTCTCCTTGGCGGCTTCGTTGCCCTGTTCGCGGAAGTTCTGCGCGACGTCGCCGCGGGTGCCCTCGTTCTGCAGGGCCTGGATCGCATCCAATAGGATATTCTCGCCGTCTGTATCACGCAACGTCAGCCTTTTTTCGTGGTAAACTCGCCGTCTCCGCTGAGAAAGTGGACTCACTCTCATCTCCCGCTTTGTTGATGTCGGTCATGAACAGCGGCGTCTTGTTCAGCATATCGGCCAGCTCGTCGGTGGTATGCGTGCGCACGGAGGCCATGTTCGGGGGCATCTTGGGAGCGGTCGGATCTTGTGCCTCCATCTCCTTGAGGCGCTCCTCGTTGATCGGAAAGGCGAGTTCTTCTTCGGCGGGGACGGCATTTTTGGGAGGCTCGGTCGTGGTCTCTGGGGGGGCCTCGTTGAGGTTGAGGGATTCGTCGAAATCGTCGGGGAGCTCTTCTACCTGGCCCATGTTGACTGCAAAGAGAGGATGTATCAAAGAATGCGGGGAGGAAAACGGTGATGGCTGCGATGAAGATGAAGATTGATAATAAATCGGCAGACAAACAGTGCAAACAGGAGGGGAGGGCTAGCCCTATTGCCGTTTTGGGCATACACCTATACGCATCTTTTCTGGCCATCGTCACATCACATATGATCATCTGTATACAGTCTAATTCATTAATTACGTTCAACTATGGAACATATTTGGCCTATAAGGGTAATTAGGTAATCTAAACAGAAATATCAATCCCCCCACCGCCAAACAACAACCGGATGATCTCCAGCGCATTCGTCTTCCGACTAGCCTCCGCCCATTGCACCGGCGTCCGGCCGGTCAAGATATCCCTCGTCCCGAAATCCACATTATGTCCCGCCAGTAGCCTCATCATAGGGAGATCTCCTCGCTCGGCCGCATAAGACAGCGGCGTGCGGCCCAACACGTCCACCGGGTCCGGAGGCGCCCCAGCATCAAGCAACATCTTCGCGACATCTCTATTCCCACGCCGAACGGCTGGAAGCAACGCCGTCTCTCCCACGTTGCTCGTCCTTGCAGCATCCGCTCCATGGCGAAGCAGGATCCTTGCCATGGCGGAGTCTCCTCGCTCTGCTGCATGGAACAGCGGGGTGCGGCCAAGGCCATCTGCCGTGTTCGGGCTCGCCCCATGATCGAGGAGAATCTTAACTATATGCTCGTTCCCGGTGCGTGCGCCGATAGCCAGCGGCGTGTCGCCCGCATCGTTCATGATGGAGACATCGGCATGATGTCGAAGTAACAGCCGTGCGACGGTGAGGTCGCCGCGCTCTGCTGCACAGCCCAGCGCCGTGCGTCCCGCCGCATCGGGCTGGTCTGGATTCGCCCCAGCGTCGAGAAGCATTTTTACGAGCTCGGCGTTTGCGATGCGAGCGGCGCGTATCAACGGGGTGAGTCGATCGTGGCCGGCCGTCTGGTGCGGACTGGCGCCCGCGTCCAACAGGAACCGGGCTATTCGAGACCGGCCGCACACAACCGCCACGTCGAGGGGACACATGTCCGAGCGCAGGGAGGTGTGGATTCCCACCTCTTCGAGGAGGAGCCTCACGGCCCAGAGCTGGTCATGCATGATGGCGCATTCCAGTGCTTCTCGAGTCCGTTCCGGGGCGTCGCGGGGATTCCATCGGCGCAGCGCCGCCAATATGTTAGAGAGGATTTGCTCATGCCCGTTTGCTATGGCTGTCGCCAGCGCCGCGTCCCAGGTGCTAGCAGCGCAGTTGGCACTGCTGTCGTGGTCCAGGATGACCTGGACCATCTCCGTGGATCCGCGCTCCGCTGCGACGGCCAACGCGGGATAGAGGTAGTAGGACGAGGAGTTCGGATCGAAGCCCATGTCCAGGAGGAGCTTGACCATGCTGGTGTCGTTTCTCTTCAGGGCGGCGAAGAGCGGAGCCCGGGTGGGTTGGTTGCTGGGCCCGGATGTGTGTTTGATCACAAATAGCACGTGGGACCATTCCTTTCGCACGGAACGGGGCATGTGTGGAATGGACTGGAGGATCCAGTGGAGGACATGTGTGTAGCCATGTTCTGCGAGATGCCTTATCGCGCTGAACTCGCGATACCGAATGTTATAGCCATAGAGGTATAACAGGAGGGTTTGGTGGTAGCGTCGGTTCAGCCGAACGAGAGAGTAGATGTCGCTCTGCTCGAGGCAGTCTGCGATTTGGATGACGAGCTCATCTGGGAGGATTTCGAAGGACATGGTGGTGCATTGTCGATGTGTCCATTAGGGATGCTTATATGCGAGTCTGCCTTGAGCTTGTTAGGCTTCCGCATGTCGACTGCGCCACAGTAGGACAAGTTTATTCGTATCTCATACATTGGCGCGGTGCATGGTATAGATAACTTTATTAGAACAGGCCACATAAGCCCTACATATACTACCTGATGCACAGCACTTATTCCTCGTAGATGCATCTCATGACAAACCAAAGTATATAACCAGAGACAACCCCAACCACTCACAACTCGCAGCTACGCACTCATACCAACCGACAAGTCTACAATAGACGTCCACCGGCAGATATACTAGACCAGCGATATCGGCCACGCCCCGAGGGGCACGCTCCGAGGGGAACACCTCTTCCCCGCATCATCGGGGGAATGACCGAGCCGAGTCCCAGCAAAGTATAAAACCACCCACAGTATACTCTGGAGCACCATTTACCTCCTCCAGCAACCCACCACATCACCGTAAAGCAACAATGACCAAAACAACCTACAACATCCTCGTCCTCCCGGGTGACGGGATCGGCCCCGAAATCATGCGCGAAGCCACCAAAGTCCTACAAACCTTCACCACGCCAACCCGCGCCTTCGCCCTTCGTGAGGAGCTCATCGGCGGCTGCAGCATCGACGCAACAGGCCAGTCCTGCACAGAAGCCGTCAAGCAGGCAGCGCTGGCCTCGGACGCGGTGCTCTTCGCGGCCGTCGGCGGCCCCAAATGGGACGGCATGCGGCGCGGCCTGGACGGGCCCGAGGGCGGGCTGCTGCAGCTGCGCAAGACCATGGACATCTATGGGAATCTGCGGCCGTGCGCGGCCGACGTGCCGAGCCGCGCGATCTCGCGCGAGTACTCGCCGTTCCGGCAGGATGTGATCGAGGGGGTGGATTTTGTTGTTGTGCGGGAGAATTGCGGCGGCGCGTATTTTGGGAAGAAGGTGGAGGAGCCGGAGTATGGTATGCATTCCTTACCCTTTCCCCCGTTCATCGTGTCTGCGAATATGGATGGGGGTATGGACGAAGCTGACGAGGGCAGCAATGGATGAATGGGGCTACTCCACCCCCGAAATCCAACGCATCACCCGTCTCGCGGCGGAGATCGCCCTGCGTCATGACCCGCCGTGGCCTGTGATCTCGCTGGACAAGGCCAACGTGCTGGCCTCGTCGCGGCTGTGGCGGCGTGTCGTCGAGGACACCATGACGCGCGAGTACCCGCAGGTGCGCCTGGTGCACCAGCTGGCGGACTCGGCGTCGCTGATCCTGGCGACGAACCCGCGCGCGCTCAACGGCGTGATCCTGGCCGACAACACGTTCGGCGATATGGTCTCCGACCAGGCCGGGTCGATTATCGGCACGCTGGGCGTGCTGCCGAGCGCTAGCTTGGATGGGCTGCCGAAGCCGGGGGAGAAGGCAAACGGGTTGTATGAGCCGACGCATGGGTCGGCGCCGTCGTAAGTGCTGTCCTTTATTGAGTGTTGTTTGGTTGCGTTGTGGGTGTTGGGCTGAGCTAAGTGTGTGTGTAGAATCGCCGGCAAGAATATCGCCAACCCCGTCGCGATGATCCTCTGCGTGGCGCTCATGTTCCGCTACTCGCTGAATATGGAGGCCGAGGCGCAGCAGATTGAGGATGCTGTCCGCACGGTGCTGGACGCTGGGGTGCGCACGCCCGATCTGGGAGGCAAGGCTAGTACGGTGGAGGTTGGCGATGCGATTGTAAGAGTCCTGCGGGGGGAGAAGCTGTGATTGTTGCGAGGGCTGTGTAGACGATAGAGGTGCGTTTGTACATTGCCGACAAAGAGCTGCAAACAGGCGGCTCATTGTCTGCAGAGACATAAGTATAGTAGACAGGAGGCTATCTCTGTTACCCACTGTCAATTCTACGTCTGTCTACTGGGTATCTACGCACTGGTAGACCATACGATGAGCGCCTCTCTAGACCTACGACACCTCTCGTCGGAGGAAAAGACCGCCCGCATCCAAGCGATCGCGAAGGAAATCACTGCAACCTTCACCGCTCTCTCCAGCCAAAAAGCCGACGGCATCCTCAGCGCTGAACATGTCGCTCCGATTCACGACATCATCCGCACAATCACGCAGACGAACGGACAGCAACGCGAAGACCTCGAGCGGAAGATATCCCGGTACCGACGTTACACGGTGCAATCGCGGAAGGAGAAGCGGTGGATGCGACGGCAATTCCTGGTGCTGATGCATCGGTCGGAGATGGTGCAGCGACGGTGGAGAGAACGGGTGGGCCGATTGCAAAGCGAGATGGAGGAGATGCGCCGGGAATTTTCGAGCAGAAAGGCTCTCGACCCGGAGAGAAGATGTCAGAAGGCAGTCGAAGACAGCAGACAGGATGATGTGAGACGTGGGTAGAAGTGGCAATCAGATTTCTCCGAGCCCTGGAGGCATATGAAAGTCGTCGCAAGGGTCTTTCTTCACATGTGGATCACCAGTGACGATGGGGCGATATCCGTGGCGACCATGACTTTTGTATGAGTCGGAGTATGAATGAGTCGGATGGACTCGTGCACAACAGGATACGATAACCATCGGAATGTACCTCAACCAACGGCTATTCGAGCGAATCAACCAGACGGGCGAGAAGCCGGCATGCAGACAGTCGGGATCTGGGCATACTTCCGAGGTTGAGCGCTGTTCGGGGCGTAATACTATTGTCCGATGGATGCATCTTTCGCCGTGGTGCTAAGTCGTGATGAATGCGAATTGCAGTGCAGAGATAGATCTCACAACACCGTGATCCGTAGTCCAAATCCCACTAGACCATGACAGCTATTGCTCACTCTGTAGTTGGTTATCGCCGTCGGACAGGACATGCAAATCTGTGCAGTCTGTCGGCGAGACAAATGAACCTCGGCTCATCCATCGCATCGGCCAGTGTGAGGCCAGCGATTTGTGCCGCGGATCCACCGAGTCGCTGTCGCTTCATGTGGCAGATATCCATCGCCTCCGGTTTTATCCCCCGGATCTCCTTTTCTTCTGTCTCGCTGTCACTCATTCTCTCTTTCACTCCTTGTGTATCACGCTCTGTCACTCTGTCACTATCCCCTTGACAGATCCTACCTCGAGATCCCTCCGAACACTTCCCAGAGAATCCAATCCTTATCGGCCGAGATGAGCAAGCCCGGGGATTATGACGCCGTGCGTCGCGACATTGCCGCCCAGTTGAAGAAGCCTGATTACGACGACGGCAGTGCGGGTCCCGTGTTTGTGCGGTTGGCATGGTACGCATTCCCTACCGCTCGCTGTCCAGAGATCCCCTGAGTACTAACAATCGCAGGCACTCGGCAGGCACATACGATCTGGAGACCGACACGGGCGGCTCGAACGGCGCGGGCATGCGGTACGAAGCGGAGGGCGGCGACCCGGCGAACGCAGGGCTGCAGCACGGCCGGGCGTTCCTGGAACCCGTGAAGGAGAAACACCCGTGGATCACGTACTCGGACCTGTGGACGCTGGCGGGCGTGGTGGCGATCGAGGAGATGGGCGGGCCGAAGGTGGAATGGAAGCCCGGGCGGACGGACCTGGTGGACGACAGCAAGGTGCCGCCGCGGGGGCGTCTGCCGGACGGCGCGCAGGGCGCCGACCACCTGCGCTTCATCTTCTACCGCATGGGCTTCAACGACCAGGAGATCGTGGCGCTGGCGGGCGGACATAACCTGGGCCGGTGCCATATCGACCGCAGCGGGTTCCAGGGCCCGTGGGTGAACAACCCGACGCGGTTCTCGAACCAGTTCTTCAAGCTGCTGCTGCGGCTGAAGTGGACGCGCAAGACGCTCGAGAACGGCGTCAGCCAGTTTGTGTATGTGGATCCGGACGCGGAGGAGGGCGACGAGCAGCTCATGATGCTGCCGACGGATGTCTCGCTCATCGAGGACCCCAAGTTCCGCGTGTGGGTGGAGAAGTACGCCGAGGACAAGGACTTGTTCTTCGACCACTTCGCCACGGTGTTTGCGAAGCTGATCGAGCTGGGCATTCGCCGCGACGAGAACGGCGTCATCGTCAACACGGATAATGTCAAGGGCGGGTATGTCTCTGCCCCGAAGAAGAGCAACACGCCCACGGGGCCGGTCAAGGCGCGTCTGTGATTGTGTCTGCTTCTTTTGGATTCGTTTCTGTATTTGTTCCTGTATTTGTTGTTATTGGTAATGTCGCACAGGCTGGATAGAGATAGACCTGGTCGAATAGATATAGACAAATTGTACAAGATATCCAGGAGGTGTCGACTAGGGAGCAGGAGAAACACCTTTATATTTCATTGCTAAAGTAGAATGCGGGGAAATGACAGATGGAAACTCCTTTATTGGCCATGTCTATCTAGTTGCCTTAGTCTGATCCTTCATACTAACATTATGCAGCCATCCATGTTAAATATCTCATGTGTACAGATCGCATTCCAACCATATCACCCTACACCAGTTCAACCAAATCAAACAATCTAGTCCACATACGTACTTAATTTTCTAGGACGGTCGATGCCCTACTCTTCTCGTTTTAGTGCTCACCTTTCGCTGCTTTTTGCTCACTAAGTAGATTTGAGCACGTCCTGAGTACGTCCTAGCTTAGAACGTAGGACAATCTAACTGTCCATCTACACTCTGCCCTGTTTTAATAATAACCAAGGTATTCAAGCCGTATCTGGCCGGCTAACCGGTTAGGTACTGGTCATCAATCTTGCCTACATTCGGCTTTCTATACCGGGGTTCTATTCCGTGCAGGGTCTACTATACATACTGTATTGGTTAGGGTAAGCAATAACCCGCCTCTCCCTGTCAGCTTCCCTAATTTCCGTCAGCGGCCTGGCCTTACTAGTAAGGAAATAAATATAGTATACAGGCTTGCAACGCAAGCAGAAAAAACCAAAAATTAACCAGTGTTATATGGTAGTGCCGCCATTATCATCCATTTAAGATAGTGAGAATTCCAATTCAGGATGATGGATGGAACCCTGGAGAAACATATAATTAAGGAGCACTAGATGTAGATCGGAGGTTCCTTTAAAAGGTGGCAGGATAATAATGGTTGCTTTTGGACTCGGATGAGCTGCTTTGGGTGGGAAAGATCGTGGATGACCCAGCTAATGCAAGTGGCGTTCGCTCCAACCTGGGTCAACATAAAAACCGCAGCAGCCTGTTACTGGCGGTCCCCGGTGCCACAGCCGGTCAGCGTGGGAAGCCGAGTGGAACGAACTGACTAAAAACAAGAGACATTTGCACGTGGTGGCATGTTGGTTATGTCTATGAAGGCCGGGCCAAGCAAGGGGAGTGCAAGGCAGCTGGCTACTCGGTGGTTTCTGCTTGCCAGACATATGAGGGAAGATCCAGGCAAGAGCGGATCGTAGAAAAAGATCGCTCGCATACTATGTAAACTGATTATCACGACTCGGCGGTCTCGTTAAAGACACAGCTCGAATGCGGAGGACGAGGACGCCGCGGTTTATCATAAAGATTACGAGAGTCGGGAATGGGGACGGAAGAAAATAGCCAGGCTTCTTAATGATTTCGTGTGGGCTCTTCGCTCGGGATCTTCAATCCTCAGCGCCCTAAAGACTTCCCTTTTCGGATGATTAGCTCTGTCGCCAAGACACGCTGTTCTGGACTTTATTAGCTCAAATTCCCGAGGTCACTTTTCCGATTTTTTTCCGATTCAGTGTCTGTGGTTGAGATACTGGCCCACCTGGTCGGTGGGTGGAAGGGGAAGCATGGGCTCGCGGGAGGAATCATTTAACAGACCTGATCAATCATCCCTTGCCCACAGAGAAAAAGCCCGTCTGTCACGTGGAAGCAGTGGTGTGCATCGTACTCCAGATTCTAACTGCCTAGTGCCTATGAGGACCAAGACGCGACGCCTCGTGTGGTCTATGGTTAGAATGACCGCGTATACGGAGATCGCACATATCGGCACAGGAACTACTCACCGGCATTCTACGGAGTGAAGTAGAACAATAGGTCACTCCTGTTGAGCCTCCACGGAGGTGGTTCTGAGGAAGAAACTACAACTACAAGGCACTCGCTGAACATCTCCGTCCGCGAGCAAGTTGTAGTTAGCGCTAGGATTTCATTACCTTGCTATTTTGACCCAATCCATATGAGTCAAGCAAACTGAACGGGGCTTTAGATGCTACGGTGGTCCCGTTATGTGAGAACATACATGTGAAGTGAGCAAATTAGTGGGCTTGTAGCCTGGATTCCGTGGCCCCAGGATCGTCCACTTGCTTTTGTAAGTTGATGTGGTTGAGGGACTGTCCCTTCCCCAGACAACGGAAATGTGGGCTGCCAATGATTCTCGACAGTCATAAATACCAGTAACCGTAGTTCCCTTGTCGACTATTCCCTACTTTCAACGCACTTGGACTTCCGGGGCTAGGCAGACCCTGCTCGACAAAGTCTCTCCTAACGCCTGAACAGTAACCTTTCGGACGGGATACAGTATTTGATATAGTACGAGGAAAACTAGAAGGCTTCGCTTGTGAACTACAGGGCAGGTTTAGCTCGCTTTGTCAAATGCTGGCCTCTCTCAGAGATTCCCAAATCCCTCTCTATATATGTGTATGCCCACATCTTGCTGCTCATAGTCAGATAAGTCAGGTTATGGCTTGCTATTGTAACTCCCCATGCTAACCAACTGCTCCGCCATATCCCTCTGTCCCATGATAGTCCCAGGATACCAAACCCCCCAGACGACCATGACTGCAACCATCGGCACGGCATCAAAGACAAACATGGGCCATTCATTCGCCAATAGGTATCCCTTATTTCCCATTGCATACTCAATGACCCGAAACACCGAGCGAACCATAATTAGCGCACTCACGGTATAAAGCGCTTGCAAATGCTTCTTCCACTCCCCTTGGTCTCCCTCAAGTGTCGGGCTCTGTCGCATCCTGCGGCCAAAGACCACCGACGTGATGATAAAGAGCCCGAACACGATAATCTGGACCATTAGCCCACCGATTACAATTCCCTTCGCTGTATCTGCCATCCCGTTCATGGCCATCAGGCCGGCACCGCTGCCCTGTACGAGGAAGGAGATGATATCGCCCGTGACAAAAGTTTTTGTGACCCAGCTTATGCGGATGAGGGAGTATTTTTCGGCGTTGACACTGCGGATAAGTCGCGCGAGAACCATGTAAACTGAGGCAGCAAAGAGAACGGGGCCCAGCAGGATAAAGACGCTTTGGATGCTGTAGGGGAGGAGGTCGCCGGTGCGGTCTGTGCAAGACGCGCGTGAGGCGTAGCCTATCACTTCGACTGCGGACGATTAGAGATGGCTTGGAGAGATGGCTAGGGGGTGAGGGGCCAGCGCGTACATAAGCCACCTATACAGAAGGGAATACAGAACCGGGTGCGGGTCCGCCAGGCTTTCCACACATGGAAGAGGGTGGGAAGAAGAAAGAGGACTAGGAAGACGACGGAGGCGGCGATGGAGGGGACATACTCCCACAGATAATAGTCGCCGGCGTATGGTTCGAGTTTAACCATGCTTCAGAGGAAATTTTGTGGCGTGTGGTGTCGACATGATGCCGACGATTTCCCATTGACTTTATAGTCGCTGGTTCTGGCCTTCCCCAAGATCTATACGCGTAAAGTTCCATCATGGACTTGGCACTCGTGGAAGTGGAGCCTTCCCACTTTGGAGCAGATGGCCCGTGCATACGCGGATTTCTCTCTCCCCCATTCGTCAGCCTCTAGCAGCTCTTTTCGCCTGCCACTTGTTGCGAGCTGCGGTTTTGGTCGGGTGGAAAAGAAGATCACTCCGACAGTATCACTGTCTCAGGCAACAGGTGCCAGTATATGTATCACCGATAGTCCTATTGCCACTAGGGTGCTGTTCCGAGCGAGTACGCGTATCAGGAATGGCACGGCGAGCCCATAAGAAATCTCGAAACGGCTGCCTCGTATGCAAGCAGCGGCATATTAGGGTACTGTATAGTTGCCTCCGATCACCCTGCATGACGATTAACTCCATCGCAGTGCGATGAACAACGTCCCATCTGCTCGAATTGCATCGTCTCGGAGCGAGCTTGCGAATACGGGAGTCGCTCACTAGGGGCGACGACGAGGCCTGGCCAACCTCCCCCTGTACCTCAAGTTCACTCGGCGTCGACGCCTGTCTCGGACGCTTCACTGAGGAGCCCTTGCGTTTCCCCTTCCGACCGGCCGGTAGACATGCTCCATATCGAGCTCTTTCACAACCTATACACGCAAACGCGCGAGACATTTCAACCAGCCAGATCCGCCCCTTGGTTAGAAGACATCGTCAGCCGGTCTATCACAACACCATATCTCGTTCACCAATTGCTCGCGTTCAGTGCGCTGCACATGAGCACAAGCCGTCCCAACCGTCAAGAATTCTACCGCTACTATGCCGCCCGTTTACAGACCCAGGCTCTGTCCACCTTCAAAGAGACAAACCTCGCTGTCACGCATGAAACGTGCGTTCCGCTCTTCCTCTTTGCCACCGTCTTGGGCATTCATATGCTCTGCGACACTTTGATCTATCGCGAGAATGGAGACTTCCATGCCTTCCTGAAGAGGTTCGTCGACTTTTTCCGTCTATATCGCGGTGCTCGCACGATTTTAGGCGAGGCCTGGTTTATGATTGAGGATACACCACTCGCCCCTTCGTTAAACTTAGGCAAAGTCACGTTTACGTTTGACGGTCATCTCAGTGGCGGATGCGCCAAATTACTCGACCTCGTGATTTCGGCGAATCTCGGCGCAGACCTCACTGACACTTACAGGCAAGCAATCGAGTCACTACAAATGTGCTTTAATGTAGCGGAGGGCTCAGATGAGAGGTACGCGCGGATCAACGGTGTGACAGTATGGCCGATTCTGCTGAAGTCGGAGTTTGGGGAGCTGCTGGAGCAAGGACGTCCCGAGGCATTGGTTATTCTGGCGCATTACGCGATACTCCTACATAGGTTCCGGGACTCTTGGCTTTTTGGGGACTCGGGAGTATATGTTATTGTTGAAGCTGGGAAGTGCCTTGGAAGCGAGTGGGAGGAGTGGCTAAGGTGGCCAAATGAGGTACTAAGATTCTCCTGACTGCACACAAGCGTGGGTGGTTGTATTCAAATGCTGAAGCGCCGCTTCCAGGTAGATGCCAGTCATGCGACCACTGCGCTATAGATTAAAAATTTGTGACCTTGTTCAGCTAGCTGACTGCGAGATTTTCCCAAATAGAAGGGGTGAAAAAATTTCTTCAAAGAATTATAGATACTTCCAGCAGCTGTGTAAGCTTCTTGGCTTGTTAGGAGTCAACGCCTTCGTCTTTTGAATTACGTGAAAAAACTTAAGCCCTATATCATGCAACATAACACAGTTTTATATGTTGACCAAATCAGAAATTGCCATTATGACTTCGGAAGAAGCAGAAGCTGCTAAGACAGATGACACAGGTCACAATTTTGAGTTCACTATTTAGGAGTCGTCTTCAATACTTGCTCTCAGCACAAATGCCACAGGTAGATGGGGGTGAGCGGCTCAGTGAGTACACTAACTGCTCATGAGCGTGCGCTAAGGGCTCAGTGAGCGGCGATCTGTGATGTAAAATACTAACTCACTGAGCGGACCCCTGAGCGCCCTCACCAAAGCGGCAGTGTCCCGAAGCGGAAGTCTACGGTCGTCCTAGAAAATCAAGTACCTATTAGGTACATACATCACATCGCGACCCCTCTTCCCCGGAACATCCCCTCCGTTGTACACCGGTCCAATAAAGCCAGGATTGGGCATGGGAAACGCAGAAAACATATCAACGCCCATGGCCATGCCATTAGTAAACGCAAACGGATTCACCGCATAGCCCACCGGCACAGGAGTCGGCACTGAAGGAGTCGTCCGCGCACTCATGATCGGCGTCACGACCGCACTGTCCGGCACATATCCCTCAGCCGCCGCATGGAAACGGTCCCCGCCGTTCGGAAGCACCCGGTTCCACGGGCCAGACGAGGACGCCTCAAACGGACTAGACGCACACGCGGGAGTAGTAGTGGTAGTGGTGGTGCGAGTGTTGGTGCGAGTGCCCCATGAGACATGTTCTTGAAGGAGGTTTCTACCGTTGCGGTCCGCATCCACCATGTTTGACGCCGCCTGCGCTGCGAGATTGAGCACCGCCGCACTGGGATTTTCCACGCGCTCGTAGAACAGCAACGGCACGGGACGGCCCCTCCACCAGACGTCGGGCACCTTATCGTTGGGGTGAGCCTGCGCAACGCAGCCCACTATCGCCCCGTTGCACATGGTGCTGTCGTACACGGCCACGGTGCCGGGGTCGGCTTCGCCGGGACGGGCCTCGGTCCAGTAGAGTCGGAAGTGGTCTTCGAGACAGTAGATGCCGCCGAGCCAGCGGTACGTTGCGGTGCGGTTCTCGCCGTCGGCGTCGACATAGGCAAGGGTCATGTCGACGGTGTGGTTGTGGATCGGCTCAGCGCCGTCGAGCGAGACAACCAGACGTGCTGGCAGCTGTCTGAAGATGCGGCGTTGGTCGATTGCGTCGGAGGCGCCACAGCGGTGACAATCGGCTGTGTAGCGGGCAGCGAACACGCGGGATAGGACGTCCTGCAGCGGGATGGGCGCGGTATGGTCGGCGCGGGACGGACAAAAGACGCACGAGTTGGAGCCGCGGATGATGCGGGCCGGGTCGCGCTTCATGCACGGACAGAAGATGGTCTCCTCGTCGAAGACGTACGAGAACTGAGCAAACGTGGAGGTCGTGGCATTCCAGATGCTCCAGAGGGGGCCGGTGCAGCCGACATGCACGTCCTGCGTGTGTGTCGCGACAATCTCCCAGAAGCGGTCGCGCAGGGCGCAGCTGAGCTCCGTCGAGCAGGTGTCCCAGTTGATGTCGGTGGCTTCGATGAATGCGCGCTGCACGGGGGTCAGGTGCTGGTCCCAGCCGTCTCTGGCACGGTCGATGACGGTGGAACCGGCGTCGAGGAGACGGCCGGCGACGATCACGCAGTCGATGGCAGAGGAGTTGTTGTTCCAGACGGGACCGCGGCCGCGATAGGGATACTCCTGGCCACAGTGGGGGTCGAAGAAGAGTCGGGTTGGGTTGAGCGGGTCGACGCTGAGCTTAAGGCGGGCGACAGCTGGGAAGGAGGCGATGATGGCTCTGGAAATGTCGGAGGCGTCTTCAGCGGTGATGGTGGTAGGTGGCACATCGCGAGGTGCTGCAGATGAGTGACGTTCGACAGCGGGGTTGGCAAACTGCATGATGGTACGTTCGACTGCCTCGATGACGGTGCGCGCACTGGCATCAGGGATATCGACGGTCTCGCGGCCGCATGCGCATGTGTTGACGACGCGCATGGGAGTGTCGGTGGTGTCGGTGGCGTCCGTGTCAGAAGGAGTCTGTTCTTCAGGAAGCTCCATGATGCCGCCAGAGGCTGGATAGAGCATCTGCTCGATGAAAGAGTTGGGGAGCGAGTCTACTGCTTCACGGGGTCTGACGAATCTGGCGTTGGGCTGGGCCTCTGGGTTGGGTGGATGAGGGTAATATCTGCTGATGGGAAGAAGGTTGGGGTGGGCGATGGTGGGAGACAAAAGACGTGGACCCGCGTCTCTGGTGTAGTCCAGCAGTTCTTCGTAGGACGTGGGACGGTGCTGTTCAGCTTGGTTGTAGAACAGTTTCCACAACGCACTGGCGCCTTTGGTAATGGTGATGCTGTCAATTTCCATGTCAAAGCCCCAGCTGTGAAACTCTACACTCTCTTCAACCTGCCGTCGACGAAGCTTGCGTGATTTGTAGACCCCGTGGTAGGTGACTCCCAGAAAAACCCAGTCATCAGGAGGATCTGGGAGCTCACTGAGACGGATCAGAGGGTAGTTGACAGGGGGATCGAGGTAGGAGATGGTATTGAAGGAGATAGTATTGATAGTCATGTTTGCTGTGTGCAAAGAAGAGTAGAGAACAAGAAGAGACAAAGGCAAAAACTGAGGGAGGAAGGGGCTCCTAAATAGTTGTTCGATTCATGATGCTTCACAGGAAGATCCATATAGATCTGTCTGGGCTGGAAGCTCCCGTATACAAGTGACGAGTGAAACAGATGACATAAAGGAAATGCCCGGATGGGCATCGTGAAGAGAGTACAATTCCAGTGAATACATCGATTGAAGGTGACAACCTATTAATTCCACAATGATGCACAATGAACCAGTGGCGGAAGAACAAGACAGTGAAGATGAAGTTGAAGTAAACCAGACCATCACAATGCAATCAGGCTAGTCCTGATCTAGAAAGCACAAGTCGCTGACATAATTATACACTAATATCTCTCTGGCTAACCCTATCCGGTTAGTCTCCCTAAGCGAGCCCTCGCCCACTACGTCCCAAACGGGTTAGCGGCTAGATTACCCGATCCCACAACGGAAAGAAAGCGGACGGATTTCACCTCTTCCTCCCCCATCCCTCTCGCTGTCGACAATCAACTCGCGAGCCCCGTTCGCGCCCATCGCCCATCATGTGTACGTGCCCTCTTCGCCCTGCTTCCCGCTTCAAGAGACGATTCGATCTGGATGGTTTGGAGGTGGTTGGAATCGGTTTATCGGTCGGTCGGTCGGTCGTCGAGACAACTCCAGCGACATCGACACGACACGACACGACACCCGATAGAACGACACAAGAGGAGGAAACTCGAACGCTCTTGAAGAAAACCGCTCGCATAAAATGCACAATGAATCAAAACGGCACGCTAACTTTTTTCTTCGACAGCGCTCGTGTCCGGCGAGAAGACGAACTTCCAGTACATCTTGCGTCTGCTCAACACCAATGTTGACGGCAAGCAGAAGATCATGTACGCCTTGACCCAGATCAAGGGTGTCGGCCGCCGTTACTCCAACCTGGTCTGCAAGAAGGCCGATGTGGATCTTACCAAGCGGTGCGTTTCCTCCACAAGGCAACACAACGCCAACCAAAGAAAAGGAAACTGACAGTCAGAATGCAGTGCCGGTGAGCTCACCACCGAAGAGCTCGAGCGTGTGGTCACCATCCTCCAGAACCCCACCCAGTACAAGATCCCCGCCTGGTTCCTCAACAGACAGCGCGATATCACCGACGGCAAGGACGCCCACGTGCTCTCCAACGGTGTCGACCAGAAGGCCCGTGAGGACCTCGAGCGTCTGAAGAAGATCCGCTCCCACCGTGGTCTCCGTCACTACTGGGGTCTCCGTGTGCGTGGTCAGCACACCAAGACCACCGGTCGCCGTGGCCGCACCGTCGGTGTCAGCAAGAAGAAGGGCTAAACGTCTGCGGGTTGCGGGTATGCCTTTGTCACGTCTTTTCTTTGCATTGGGGGGAGGGGCGATTGTTGGTGTGTGTTTTACGAAATATTTCGTCGGACCTTGCGGCAACTGGGACCTTGGTCCTTAAAAGAATCATACCAATGAATGAAAATTACATGAACACCTAGCCCCTAAATTTCTATCTCCTTGGACATCATCATCTCAATCATGCATAGTTGGTCGAGATATGTACGTGTAGGGTAGATCTGGAACTCTACGTAGTGACCTGAAGCCATTGTATCTATCGACCTGCTTCTGACATGGTATCGATTACATATAGTGGGGCCATGTATGGCTATATGGATTTCAGGTTTACCACGTAGTTCTTAAACATAGCCATCTATCGTATATATTGCTAGCGATACGTATTCCAAGCAGTAATCAACCTAGCCAAACGTGCCTTCTACAAATGTCTAAAACCACTCTCCGCCCAACCAACGGTTGAAGAACTCCAGGCCAGACTCAGGCTGGTCCATCGGAACCATGTGGCCACCGCCGTAGATCCGCATGAAGGTGAAGTTGCCATGAGACTTGACCTGTCCGATCTTCTTGCCGGTGTTGGCATTCTGCTCGATCACGAGATCCTCCATCTCAGCAGAGGCATACTCCTTCTGACCTGGCCATTCGAGCGCCTCAGTCCAGGCCTTGTTGCCCAGCCAGTTGCAGATGTAGTCCGCATCACCGGCGTAGATCAGCACGGGGATCTGCTCCAGGAGACCAGGGACCAGACGGTGGTAGGGCTTCATCCAATCACCGTGGAACAGGAAGTTCCGGTTGATGTCAAAGTTGCACGAGTCGTAGCCATCGACTTCAGCACCGACCGCCTGACGGACTTCGGCCTTGTTCAGGTACTCGCTGACGTAACCCATACCCTTGTAGCAAAGGTTGCTTTCGTCCTCACACTTGCCGCGGACGTCATAGACGTTCTGGCCCGTGCGCTGGTAGGGGCCGATCAGGGCATTGTTACAGTAGATGGAGGCAGGGATGCAGACCCAGGAGCTCTCCGACTCGTAGCAGGACTTGATCATAGACTGGCAACGAGGCAGAGCGTTGTCCATCGACTGGCAGGTGCCCTTGTCCAGAACGGCAGGGTATCCACCCTCACCGCAGCCCATGGGACGGTAGTACTCGTACTGAGTGTAGCCGTCAGTCAGACCGTTACCAATCAAGACCGACTGCAAGTTGATGTTGCGCTTCTTGTGAGACAGGATCTCAGACGCAAAGACAGGGATGTAATGTCCAGCGTAAGACTCGCCAGCAATATGGAAGTCCTGCTTCGCATATTCGGGGAATTGTTTGAAGAAAAGGGTGAGCAGAGCATAGACATCCTTGCCGGCGGCAACGGTATCGCTAACAGCAGAGCCACTGTAGGAGTATCCGACGTTGACGGGCTGGTCCAGGAAGATCACGGACGCGTTCGAGTTCCAAGAGTACTCGTTGTAGACGGGTTTGATCTTCTCGTTGATGCTGCTGGGTCCAAGCTCCATGAACAGCCCGGTGAGAGAAGAGCAACCGGGACCACCGTTCAGCCACAGAACGACGGGGTCATTCTCAGGGTCATTACGCGACTCAAAGAACCCTATTGAAGAGATAAGTCAGTCGACTAGATAACAGCCTAGTGCATGGAAGGACAACTCACAGTAAAACAGATGCTTATCATTCTCGTTGTCATCAAGATAACCCGTGTACTGCTTGACACCAGGGTCGATACCGAGGGCACTGGGGTCGGTCTTCTTGACACGGAGATCATATGCCTCCAGCTTGCCATCAACCTCACGCTGCTTCTCACCGTCGGCGCCAGTCACCCAGACGCCCTGGACATCGGAGCCACGGACGATGTGGTCCCAGTGGGAGTCGGGCCGACGGGTGTGCTTCTTGGGCAAGGAGAACACAGGGTTGTGGTCCATGGAATCCGGGAAGAAGTTCGAGACCTCATCCCAAAGCTTACGAGCCTCATCAGAGAGGGACTTCAGCTGATCCTGGAAGATCTGAAGGGGCTTGGGGGTAGTGGGAGCGGAGGGAGCAACAGGAGCGGCCTGCTCAACCTCCTCCTGCGGGATGCCCAGGACCTGCTGGAACTGCTGCTGGAAAGGGGGAACGGCCGCGGTGGCCGCTCCGACCAGCAAAGTAGCCGGCAAAACTCTCATCTTGATGTGTAGATAGCAGAATCAAGAGGAGATGGAAGGGATGAAGAGTGGTGGATGGGAGATGGAAGGACCTTGGGGTCTAGATGGGGGCAGGTATCTTATCAGCCCGAGGTCTTGTCTCACCAAGTCAAGAGGCATGAGAACCAAGTAACTTACCGATAGTGATGATAAACAAGACAAGCAAACAGTAACTGATGAAGAACCAGCCACCGTATGATCCGGAGATGGAAGCAGAAGAGAGGAGGCAGAGAGAAGAGGAGAAGAGGAATGGCCGGTTGGGGAAACACGACGCAGGCACCGATGACGCCGATAACAGGGCAGCCTATCAGCGGCGGAGGAGGGCAGTCATGCGGATGACTCAGCCGCAGGTGACTCAGCGGCGGCACGGGACCAACGTCATCGCCAAGACAGCAATCACGGGACTGAAGATTTTCAGCCTTCAGGTGTCTTATTATTTTCAACTGCATTCTCAGGGATCATCTGGAGAGACTATCAAAGACTGCCAGCAGTCTCGGCATCGTCAAAATGCCGATCAACCAGCCCTCCAACCAGATCAAGTTCACCAACGTCTCAATCGTGCGATTGAAGAAAGGTAACCCGCACCCGCCCAAGCCCACCCACCAGTCAGCCCAGACTAACAGCAACAGGCAAAAAACGCTTCGAGCTCGCCTGCTACAAGAACAAACTCCTCGAATACCGCTCCGGCGCCGAAAAGGACCTCGACAACGTCCTCCAGGTGCCGACCATCTTCCTCTCCGTCTCCAAAGCCCAAACAGCCCCGTCCGCCGAACTCGCCAAGGCGTTTGGCGCCGACACCCCCGCCGATGACATCCGGCAGGAGATCCTCCGCAAGGGCGAGGTGCAGGTGGGCGAGCGCGAGCGCAAGGAAATCATCGAGCGGGTCGAGAAAGAAGTCCTCGACATCGTGTCCGGGCGGCTGGTCGACCCGACGACGAAACGGGTGTACACGCCGGGGATGATCTCGAAGGCGCTGGATCAGCTGAGTTCGGCGAGCGGACAGATGCAGCAACAAGGGGAAACGGGTAGCGGGGCGGAAGACGGGAGTCGCCCGCGCAAGCCGCTGTGGACGGGCGTGACGGCCACCAAGTCAGCCAAAAGTCAGGCGCTGGACGCGATGAAGGCGCTCATCGCGTGGCAGCCGATTCCGGTGATGCGCGCGCGCATGCGTTTGCGGGTTACCTGTCCGGTGTCGCTTTTGAAGCAGAGTGTGAAGGGGGCGGGGGCCGCTGCGGGAGGTAGTCCCAAGGAGACGCCGCCGTCTGGAGGCGGCTCGAAATCGAACAAGAAGGGGGGCAAGGGATCGAAGAAGTCTGCCCGACAGCAGGAGTCCGACGCAGAGGACGAGTCGAGTGCGGGACCGGCACCGCCCAAGGCACCGGGGACCGTTAAGGACAAGATTCTCAGCTACATTGAGTCGGCCGAGTCACAGGAAGTCATGGGCGATGAATGGGAAGTGGTTGGATTCGCAGAGCCAGGAGCGTTCAAGGGGTTGAATGAGTTTGTGGGCAATGAGACTCGGGGACGGGGACGAGTGGAAGTCTTGGATATGGCTGTCACTCATGAAGAGTAGATCATTCATGTTATATAGAGTTACGGATATGATTGATGATGTTGATACCATTATGCAATTGAGTTTATCTGTGCGTTTATTTGTCTACATTTATAGTGGATGGTGTAGGAGCTAGGACGTGTGTGAAATATATCTAAGTACAAGTGGCCGCCCTGATGTCGAATATATATCTTCACGTGGGGTTCAGTAACTTGACACCCCAACAGATTAATGCTTCCGAGATATATACGACACCCTGAGCTAGGATGAACCATCAGGGTTATACGAAGGTTAACGAAGGAAGAACTGGCGGGGTCGTGATCATGAGATCAGGCATCCATGTCTCCTACCGAATCAACCCCGCCGATCAGACGAATATCATTACTCGTCTCAATTTTGGCTACTTCAGAATCAACTTCACCTCGTCTCGTCGACTTCGTTCATCTTTGCTTACGACCTCTAAAAGACATACCTTCTTAAATCACCTACGGCGCAGCGTCTCGCAACAATCTACATGACCATACCCGTTCTATTCTCTATCGGAAATAGTACAGTACAGGAGAAAGAGTGCGTCTGCGACAGCTCCCATTCATCTTGGGCAGTCAAGTGAGCAACAAGACCACGGGGAGAGCGTCCGACGAAACAAAAAAAGACAATCCTCGAGGGTATACGCTCAAAATCGAAGGCATAGAATCACATCGCTTTGGGACATTATGCTCGTGCATGCATCAAAGCCGTCGGATCGAATAGAGAAGAAAAGAAGAGAAAAGGGAAAAAGCGCGCACCAGTGTCGCAGTCGACGCGGTCGAGACGAAGATAATCAAGTCTAAGAGCAGATCTGCACGGCGTTCAACGCCCGGGTGAGATCCTCCGGGGAGAAAGGCAGGTAAGCACCCTTTGGCGAGAGTGGGGGCGGGGAGATGGTGTGGACGGCCGGGGAGGTGTGTCGGATGGACTCTTTGATCTGGGCGATGGAGTCGTCGCGCAGGAAACTGGGCAGCAGAGTCAACGAACTGCTGTAGCTGTCAGAGTCGACGGCGGTGGACGAGGACGAGTGATGTCCGTATTCGGGGTCGCGGTCGAAGTCGGCAAACTCGCGAGGGGATCCATCTCCCTCGGGCGGTACTGGGTGCCGTCAGCACAGAACTTCTAGGCTCATGCGAGGAAAGGTGGAATGCCACATACTGTCCGATAAAACCGCATCGGGCGCCAGAGCCTCGTCGTCGTTGTCAGGAGCAGACCGCATATGATCGGGCACTGTGGCGCAGGGCGAGAGCGAGAGATCGAAGGAACGAGGCCGGTCGGCCTGAGCCTCTTGGAAGGACCATGCGGCTAATCGACGCTGATGTTCGGGGTCGAAGGGACCCTTGAATTTGGAGCGAGGAATCTCATGGCGCTTGTAATATTCGATCTTGATGCCGGAAGACTCCTTGGCTTTGGCATTGGAGGACTGGCGATGGAACACCTTGCGGACTTTCTGTCGGATACTCATGGTGACCTGTCGTGTCCGGACCGGACTAAAGACGACGCTGCCCGAGGGGGAAGTGCACGCACTGACGATGATCGAACCGCGAAAACTGCGGGACCATCGTTTGGGGAGACGTGACGAGACGAGGAAAGGAGGGGGGAGAGAGGGGAGAGGAGAGGAGAGTGAAGTGTACGGAGAGTAGTCGTGGAGGAGGGGAGACAGTAATAATATGGGGACGGATAGTAAGTCAATTCACCCGTGCTAGTCCCATTTATTTTACCGGGGAAATCCCAGCAAATCCTGGAGTCGGTCTTAAGTAAGTGGCAGTAGGTGGTAACATGGTTTCCCCCGATGATTTCATGGCCGTCGCTTAATCCGGCTATCTTCCTTATCCACCGACCTACTAGATACCAGAGGGTTCTCTGGTTCTCTCCGGACTACTCCGTATTGTACAATCAATCTCCTTCTGATCTTCCGATTCTCCAGATTCCGTCTCGGCCGTGCATCAGACAAAGTCAAAATGGAATTGCCTTCGCCAATTGCTGGACCATCTGGTGGCATGCTGTCCATCCACAGTGCTAGACGGCTGACGGAACAGCGTGGGATGGATGGGTTACACTGCACCGATGGCCACCCATGGATGCAGGAAAGTGGGAGTGGACCGGCCAGACTCATCGCCGACAATTCACCATAGCGGTGGCGGGATTCAACTCCGGTGGAGGTTCCTGGTACTGGTGGCAATCTCCCTGCAGCGAACAATTCCAGAATGTCGGCCAAGCCGATCGGGTAGAAATCTACGGAGTACGAAGTAGATAGATAGTTGGTTCCCGAGAGAGTCTTGGTATCTGGATAGATGAGCTTTAAGTTTCCACTACTAGTAGTAAGTATATTTTAGAGCGTTATCACGATAAGTCGTTAACTACAGTAGTTAGTTAGTCAGTGAGGGTTATCTACTCCGTATGTGGCAATTATTCGCAAGACGCGTCGGTGAGACAGTATTGTAACTGCTCTGGCCGCATCCGGTTGATCCGTAAAACTCCACTCGGCACGGTCTTCCGCCTATGCCTGGTTTGTATTGTCAAAAGTGGCAGACCATTTCAACAACCTGGCCTGCTGGCCCAATGGTAAGGCGTCTGACTACGGATCAGAAGATTGCAGGTTCGAATCCTGCGTAGGTCATTCTTTTTTGCTTCCTTCTATTTTTTCCTACCCTGGCTAATCAACCGTATGGGAAGGGAACCATTAATACCTTTTCTTTGTTCTATTGTTTCGTTCCTTTTTTAATATAGATAGCCCATTCATACCCTCCTCCCTTTGACCGTTCTACCTCTGTGATATTAATAGTCTAAATGATGACATCTGCACCGATCGCCTACTAATGCAGCCACTCCGGAAACAGTAACCATGCAGCTCCAAGCTATGTACCTACATTAGTAGAACTAACTGTTCAGGGACAATCCCATTCTCGGTATGTCTGTTTTCAGTACATTCCAGCCAGCCGGGTACTGATGGTCTCATTCCTATTTGAAGATCCCCCTACCTACCTATACTTGCAAACTAGGGTGGATTAGCATGACGATATACCAACAAGCCCTGTAACACAGCTTTGTTATAGCTATAAGCTCTAGCTTCATGCACCAAGAGTACTTAGATATTAATAACTAGTAGTAGTCCAAAATCAGACAGCTGTTTAGCTGCCTAGCTGCATGATCCATCAAGGCACAAGGGCTGTCAAAGAATCAGACACATCAACCCTTAAGGGCATTCCCATACTTGCGAAGACGAATGCATCAAGCTGAAACCTCCATGCCCCTGCCGACTTAACCCTTCACTGTCGGAGGTGGACGGATTCATCGTCGCCTAGCAGGAGGGAAGGAGGGTGAGACGCGGATTAGGCGGATTAACGTTCGCCGAAATGATTAGGCCTCCGGAAAGAACCTCTCCCTCTCTACATCCCTCCCTCTTCTCTCTCCTCTCTCCTCTTGACTCTCTCTCTCCATCTTCTCTTCCAATCTCACCCACCATCTCCACGCATTCACTCCCAATTGTATATCTTTGTCTCTTTCGCCCCCCACCGGTAAGCCCGTGCGCCCCTCCCCCGGATTCCCGCGCACAACAACCTGTCGTCATCGCTACGTGTCAACTCTCGCTAACCACCAATTCGCCCTGAATAGAGTCGCGTCAGACCACTATGCCTAAGAAAGGAGGAAAGAAGGCCAAGGGAAAGGGAAAGGGCGGCTCCGGTGCCGCCGCTGCGAAGAAGGCCACCGATGTTCAGAACCCGGTGTGAGTCGCGCCGACCCCTCACGCGACCACCGTCCATCGCATCTAACCACGTCAATTGCAGGACTCCTGCCCAGGAGGTCGAAGAAACCGTCACCAAGGACGAGGTTGAACCCACCACCGCGACCACCGAAGCGGGCGACGCCGCAACGGCCGCCCCTGCCACCACCGTTCCTGAGGCTTCCACCGAGACCACTGCTGCGCCGGCCCAATCCGTCGAGGAGACCCCTGCGACCACCGCGGAGGAGGTGAAGGACAAGGTTGAGTCGTTGAAGAGCACCGAACCTGTCACCACCGGTAAGTCGTCCCTCTCCAAACCCCTCGATCGCTCTGGACAGACGCTGACCCGTGCGCGTCCCTAGCCACCGAACCCACCAAGGAGTCTGCCCCCTCCGCTGCCGCCACGACGCTCCCGGAGCGCACCAAGGTCCCCGGTCTCGATGCTGCCACCGTCGATACCACCGATGCTCACGTGAAGCGGCCCCATGAGACCACCCCCCGCCTCCGGCGAGGAGGACAGCCTCCCTCACAAGATGCCTAAGGTCGAACAGACTGCCGCGAAGGCGTCTGGGAACTTCTCGTCCCTGCCGCAGCGACGACCACCACCAAGAGCGGTTTCCAGCCTCAGATTGTTCCGGGACTTGGTGCTGAATCCAACGAGGCGGTGACTACCGTAATTGAACGTCCCAGGCCTGAACTCGACGGCCGAGAAGAGTGTCCCAGGGGCCAATACCACCGCGCCCACCGCAAAGTCCACCAGCGCCACTACCGGGGAAGCTTCTGCCACCGCACCGACGACCGCTCCCACCGCTGCTGCCGCCAACGTTGCAGAGCCCACCGGTCCCAAGTCGCAGGTTCCTGAGATGACTGCTCCTACCGCCGCCGCCAGCAAGGTCGAGGCCCCCGAAAAGGCCACGCCCGTGGCCCCTAAGACGCAGGAAACTCCGGCTGTGACTAAGGATGTCAGCTCTGGCGCCGCCGCCACCACCACCGCTGCTGGAACCACCGAGACCACGGCTCCTGCCACGGAGAAGACCTCTCGGCCTACCACGGCGGAATCCGCCGCTAAAGCTGCGGCGACATCGACCGTGCCTGCTGGTACCGCCGCTCCAGCTGCTCCTGCGACCAAGGCGGAAGAGAGCAAGGTCTCCTCTTCAACCCAGCCCCAGGCTGCCCCTGCCGAGAAGTCGAAGCTCGAGCAGGGCGCGCCGGACATCAAGCAGAAGCCCCAGGAAACTGTGGATAAGACGGAAACCGCCGCAAAGGACAAGCTTCCGCAGTCTCAGTCCGCCAAGACGCAGGAACAGCAGAGCCCTGCTGCTGCTGCGGCAGCTGCAGCCGCCGCGAAGAAGCCGGAGGAGATCGCGAAGCCCGCCGAGGCCAAGACTCGCGAGCCCCAGGCCGGACAGGAGCCTGTGCCCGAGACTGGCCCCGCGAAGTCGACCGAGGGCACGGCCGCCGACAAGACGCAGGAGGCGGCCAAGGCCGAGGCCGAAAAGGCCGACAAGCGGAAGAGCGGTGGATTCTGGAGCAAGCTCAAGCGGATGTTCAAGTAACCGCGTGGAGGTAAGATGAACGGCCGTATATAGCCCTGGGATTATACACGGCGTGAAGGCCCTGATTGCAACTGATACCCGATTTGGAATGGAACCAGACTGGTTCGCAGGCCACCACAAGGAAAGGAAAAAAATGACAATGCAAAAAGATGAATTTGATTTGATATGTATGATTTTCGTGTATGATATGAGAAGGATACCAACGGATGGACGGATGGATGGATGGGACGGGCTGGCTTTGTGTTTCTAGTTGTCGGGGCCTGCGTGGTGTATTCTTAATGGTAATCAGTATTGGTTTGAGCTGAAGGAGCTTTGACCATAGACACACGGTCATTCTATTGTATCATTGTAGAGCTGGCTCCTGCAACAGCTTAACTCCACCAGACTCAGTCTGTCGCCAGCCACGACCTCCACATGCCGAGTGCCGCCTCCGATATGATTCTCCCCACTCGACACGCTCTTCCAGTCTCCTACGGAGTACGGAGTAGGAGAATGTCGGTCTGTCTCATAATAACCTCGCAAGAGAGTCGACGCGCTTTCTCGGCCACATTAGCGCTGGCCACGTCCCCAAACACCCTGGTTGAAAGGATTGATAAAGTGCAGGACTGGTTTGTTGTCCTGGACTAGGCGAGTGATTAGAGGAGGGTCGCATGTCTGTCTGGTTGGTATGAAGACGACTCCTTGAGGAGCCTACGTTGGGGTTATACGCGCCCGCTGTATATTCGCGCATTACCAGGGCACACAACAGGTACAGACCAGGCATCAGGATTTCCCTCAGTTGCGCCTCTTCTCTTCAACCGTGAAACAACTCCACCACGATCCACTTGGATTGTTCCCCTCTTCTGGCGTCACGCCCAACATCTCCCATCGTCATTGGGCCACGCACAGCGGGATCATCGTGGCTGAGACCATCGCCAGCTGGCCCACTTCCATGTTTAGGCCAAGCTTCACCAAGCTCAGATCGGCGAGATGCAGTCCGGAGCAAGTGATTCCCGCGAGGGAGATACTGACGTTTTGAATGGAGACGCTGAGACGCTATTCCGATCATCCATGTGGGCCGAGGGGCCAGCACTGCGGTGTTACGATACTACTACGTGGGCCGATCAGCCACCAAACCCCCATGGCGAGGGATTCCATCCTGCCAATCTGCGCTTGCACCAGGATTGGAGGAGGCATTACGTCGAGCGAGACTAGAGCGCGCGGAGGTATAAATACGCTGCATTGACCGCTCCTCTGCATTGCATTGCATCCCCCTCGGCTCCCTCCACACCACTCCCCTTATCCAACTGTACATTCTGTCTCCTGAACATATCACGTCTTCACCATGGTTCACCTCGCCCGAGTGCACACAGATGCGGACATCTCTCCCGTCAAACGGGTCGACTCCATTCAGCTGGAGACTAACGAAGATGACGACTTTTACTCCAGCGTCTACGGTACGCGCTTTGCGGCCGAGCAGCTGCCGCAGACCGAGATGCCCGAGCGCGAAATGCCGCGGGAGGTGGCCTACCGCATGATCAAGGATGAATTGAGTCTGGACGGGAACCCCATGCTGAAGTAGGCCATCATCCGCCGATACACGCATTCGAGTCTCCATTAACAACCCGACAGCCTCGCGAGTTTCGTCACCACCTACATGGTACCCTACACCCTCAACCGAAGCACCACACTCAAGAGATCCTAACGAAAGCAGGAAGACGAGGTCGAGAAACTCATGACCGACGCCTTCAGCAAAAACTTCATCGACTACGAAGAATACCCGCAGAGCGCTGAGATCCAGAACCGCTGCGTGAACATGATCGCGCGGCTGTTCAACGCGCCGACCAGCGGCGACGAGCACCCGATGGGCACCTCGACGATCGGCTCGTCCGAGGCGATCATGCTGGGCACGCTGGCGATGAAGAGGCGCTGGCAGAACAAGCGCAAGGCCGAGGGCAAGGACTGCTCGCGCCCCAACATCGTCATGAACAGCGCCGTGCAGGTCTGCTGGGAGAAGGCCGCCCGCTACTTCGACGTTGAGGAGCGCTACGTCTACTGCACCCCCGACCGCTTCGTCCTCGACCCCGCCCAGGCCGTCGACCTCGTCGACGAAAACACCATCGGCATCTGCGCCATCCTCGGCACCACCTACACCGGCGAGTACGAGGACGTCGCCGCCGTCAACGACCTGCTCGTCGAGCGCGGCCTCGACGTCCCCATCCACGTCGACGCCGCGTCGGGCGGCTTCGTCGCCCCCTTCATCAACCCCAACCTGCGCTGGGACTTCCGTCTGGAGAAGGTCGTCTCCATCAACGTCTCCGGCCACAAGTACGGCCTCGTCTACCCCGGCGTTGGCTGGGTCGTCTGGCGCTCCCCTGAATACCTCCCCAAGGAACTCATCTTCAACATCAACTACCTCGGCGCGGAGCAGGCCTCCTTCACGCTGAACTTCTCCAAGGGCGCCTCCCAGGTCATCGGCCAGTACTACCAGATGATCCGGCTCGGCAAGCGCGGCTACCGCTCGATCATGGTGAATATCACGCGGATCGCGGACTACCTCGCCGAGCAGCTGGAACAGCTCGGTTTTATCATTCTCAGCCAGCGCCGCGGCCGCGGCTTGCCGCTGGTCGCGTTCCGCCTGAAGGATGAGCGCGAGGGGACATTCGATGAGTTTGCGCTGGCGCACCAGCTGCGCGAGCGCGGCTGGATCGTGCCTGCGTACACCATGGCGCCGCACAGTGACAAGCTCAAGTTGATGCGGGTTGTCGTTCGCGAGGACTTTAGCATGAACCGCTGTGATGCGCTGATTGCGGATATCAAGCTGGCGCTGAAGACGCTCGGCGAGATGGACAAGGCCATGCTGGAGAAGTATACTCTGTAGGTTTTCTGATGTGAAAGATAGGACATTGCTAACGTTGCTAGACACGTCCGCACCCACGCGACCAACTCACACAAGGCCAAGCACAACCATCCCCATTACCAGGGCGAGACGCATTCTCTGCAGGGCAAGACGGGCAAGACTCATGGCGTCTGTTAGATAGTGAACAAACATACTGTAGAAAGATGAAGATATGACCATATGAATGATGCTACTACTCTGAATCTAAAGATGGACATTCTACAATGACTCCAATCTCTCGCATCCTCTGCGCTTCCTCTTCATCAAAGAGTTCCTCCTCAGCCTCAACTTCATCCATCCGGTCCCTCCAATAGCCGGTGAGAAACTCTGGTAGCGGCATATTCAGTTCCTTGTATTTGCCTTCGAATTCGAACACAAGCTCCTCCAGGCGATCGATAAGGTGACGTTCCTCGGATTGAATCTCTGCTGCGTCACATATCTCCTCTTCCTCACCAATATCAGACTGCTCGTCATCCTCACGGCATGTGTGGGTCAGTTGAAGCGTTTTAAAAGTACATAAGCGGAGGATGACTGGAGCCAGAATATCGTGCATCTCTTTCACGCCATTTAAGGCGACAGAGTCGAGGAAATCAAACAAAATTGCAAGATCGTGGCTTGACCCCCAATCTAGCTCTTCAGTTGCTTGGTACATAAGTCTGGTAGATGGTAGACACCCACCAACAGAGCAAGCGCAGAAGCAAGAATCGTGGTGCTCGGTATCTGTCAGGACATCTTTCAAAAGCGTCGCATTGCGAGAGATCACGATTTTCAAATTGCTAGGTAGCTGATTGCTCCAGAAAAGTATATCAAAGACAAACCGGCAACCAACGATGTCCGCGATGTGATGTATTGGTAGTATATCCGTTCCCGAAGACTGTGAATAGAGGGAAGCTCCTTTACCTTGAAACCAGGAGCATATGTCCAGACAACTCGCCAGTTCATTGCTGTCAGATGGGACATACAGACAGCTGATTGGCGAGCGACCTTCCTCAACATTGATGAAGCCAGCCTCATAGAGAATGTCAGCTGCTTCGCAGTTATAGATAATGTTTTCATAGACGGGGAAGAATTCCTGGTCATCAATGAAGACAGTTTCTTCTATACCATGGACGGATTTTTTCAGCGTCTTATAGATGGCTGCCGCGTTTTTCCCGGATAAGTCGTCCATGTCGGCGTGCAATGCGATCTCGCTTAGACCCAACATTTCTCTTGCTATGTTAAGAAGCTGCCGACGTCTCTTGACGAGAGTATCCGCGACCAGCTTGAAAACTTCAATCTGGTCTGATGAGCTGGCTGCTAGTTGAAAGGTCCGCCGAGAAATTGGCCAACCCGCGGCAAGCAAGAGAACAACCGAGTCCTCTTGTGATTGTATAATTGCCTCATTCAAGACAAAGTCGCTTCTGCTAAATGAAGTAAATGATGACTTCAAAATGAGCTCAAGCCCTAGCGGCCATTCCACCATAGTCAAGAAAACGGCATCCTTGACTGTTATCTCTTCTGTATGATGATGATCCAAGAGCCTTTTGAGGTCTACTTCTGACCTTTTCAGGATAGAAATCTCAATCTCCGAAAGCTCAAAGTCTGTCTAGAATTACTGTGGGCTCAGGAAAAATGATCCAATAGATAGTGGCTAGTACCTTGTGGACATAGCTCGTTCACCACGCGTGGTAAAAGTAAGTGAGCTGCGCTGGATGATCTTGAATGAAAGGGTTTTGTGACCTCGCCGTCATTGACAAGCAGATCCAGAACAAGAGATGCAAACTTTTCAAAAGTAGGTGATGTCGAAGACAACATCACAGTTCTACAAAAAAGAAGGTCTAAGGGAGTGTATACCTCTCCGCAACGAGTTTGCCCTTCGTTCATCGGGACATGGTAGATCAAGGCCAGTGTTTTTATGATATCATGGTAGAACGCGAAGTCTACATCATGGATGGCCGGCCATCTACATATCGTAAGCTAATAGCCTCATTAGCGTTTGGCATTGGCACTTTATCCTCCTGCACGCAGTAGCTCACATGAAGTAGGGTACTCCCATCAGACCGGGTATCCATTGGTGATGCCCCTCCGTCCTCAAAAAGTTTTTGCAGCTGGCGCAAAAAGCAATCCGCTGAATGACCATTTAAGCTTAACGTTTCAAGGTTTGGGAACTGCAAGAAATCGTACAACAGTTTGAAAGCCGGCGCATCGTCGGGTACCACCCGTCGAACATCGAAAAAGGGGTGAATAGTAAAGCCACCCGCTCCACTGATAGCATGCATGCTGAATTGTATGAAGAAGCCCAGGAACCGGTTGCAGAAGGTATATCGTCCATGGAAGAGGGTCATTTCTTCCTTATAAAAGTATAGAGGGCAACCAAACCGGTGTGACTGAATCATGGGAAAGAACTTCCAATGTCGAGGTGACCACTGTGGACATGTACAAGAAGCTGTTTTGGACTTTGGCACATGCCTTAGTCGGGCGTGTTTCCGAACTTGGCGGTTGACGGCTTGTTGTTGATTGCAAAGCGACCGTAGTGTTGCGGGAGGTAGTGCTTGTGGACTGGATACTCCTGCTTTCTGGAAGCTCTGGATAGCCTGGAATATCTGTTGTTGCCCATGTTCGATCCGAGTCAGGGTTGTAGAGATATCGGTAGTGCCTGCCGCGATGGATTTGGAAACGGAAAAGGTTAGGGTGGTTTGGTCTTCCAGCCGTTTGGATAATGCCCTGTATAGATGACGGTTGGGAAAATGGATTATTTAAAAGGTATGTAGGAGCGTACAGATTCAGAACCAGCAATGCTGTATCCAGATTCGATTGTAAATTGGACACGGTTTCTGTCAAAGAGATAAGGGTCCCTCGTTTAAACGGATACAGCGCCTTGCGAGCATAGTACCAGCCGCTCTTTTCTATGACGGTTGTCGCATCACATCCGCGGCATTTCGTGAGTGCGTGGGATAAGCCTTCCAGCTCATCCTGGCAATCTTTGATTCGCTGAGTGACGAGGTTCACCTCGTCTGGCGGAGAGTTGAGGGGATTCTGGAGTGGGTTCAAAAGCGTCTCAAGCTGTTGGAGTGTCGAGGTGAGACCTTCTGCCTTTTGGACGAGAGCCTTGGTTTCACGGTCAAACTGGGTGAAGGGCCCGTAGTAGACAGACAGACCCTGGCAGACAGTGATGCCGAGGGAGAGGACCCCGACAACACCAGCTCCGACAGAAAAGGGGTCGGTCATGTTGGAATGTGAGTGCGTATAGAGATGGACAGGAGAATGGAGAGAGGGGTTGTGGTTTTAAGAGCATTTGGATCCCTGACAAGGCCGAGAGTGGCTGTGTCAGCGCCATCTCTCGTCTTCGGAGCTGATGCCACCGACTGACACGTCGGGCAGCCAAATCTATATAGCTGATGGCCCGTGTATTTGGCTATTGATGGAGTATGTACAGTACCTCTATCAATCGCATACCTAGGTCGCAATTCTTTAACAGCCAGATTCGGAAGCCCCATCGAGGCAGCATGCAGAGTCGCTGACTACTTTGCTCGAGACGGGAAGTAGGTACTTATTGATATTGTCTTCTTGAACCGTGATCTACTTTTCAGGAAGGCGGATCTCGATGGCTTCCCCTCGTTCAACAAACTCATCAAACAACTCTCTCTTTACATGTACAGTGTAATTTTCTACCATTTGAGACTGCATTCCCTGTCAATCACTATGCTGCGCCACGGCGCGTAGGCCAGCCTCGTCCAAGGGCTGCTCCTCCTCAGCCTCATCACAAATAAAAGCGGGATCCTCGAAACCACAGGTGCTTTTCCTCAAAACCCTACACACTACCAGAACAAAGATGCCACCGACGGGACAGGACTACGGCGCAGGGCCTCCTTTCCCGGGCCGGACCCTCGGCGAGTCAGATGTCAGTCTCGACTCTGATCTTGATCTGATTCCAATTCCCCAGCAAGAGGACGGCCCTGCAGCTCACCCTATTCCAGATGAGTTTCAGATACCTGGATCTGATCCTATGTTGGCGCCTTCTCAGAGACATTCCCCATCGTTGATGAACAATCATGACCAACGGCAATCTTACGGAGAAGGCCCTCAAGCGAACCCTGCCGAGACCCAAGTGAAGTTCTATTTAGACGCACTCGATGCCACGATCACCCAATCGCAGGGAGAAATTGACCTAGGAGAAATCAGGCGGCGTCTGCATATGATGGTCGTGGGCATTGACTCGTTGTTAGCCAGGAGTCTACCTTCCAACATGCCTCCCGCTCCTAGTCCTCTACCTTGGGATCGGCCCCTTTCTCCTAGTCAGGTAAAGCCAGAATCTGAAGACCTCAAGGCTTCAGAAAACTCGAAGTGCGTTAAAGCTCTCTATCAGTGCCGGCTATGTTCTCCAAGATGCATTTTCGCTACCAAGGCAACATTCAAGCTACATATCACAGTCGTCCATACGTCAACGCTATGGCGCTGCTATCATGAGACTTGTGGCAGGAAGTTCTCTCAAAGAGAGAACTTGCTCGAGCACCTTCATCAATCTCATGAGAAATCAGGCTCCACCGGTAACTTGATCCGTGATTGTCGTGTTCCAAAGTTTCCGGCCTCTTGTGGGATATGCCACATCGGCGTCAACACATTTGACGAATACTTCGAATGCATGTGTGCCCACTGTCGCTTACCACCCGATAGCTCGTCAGGGGAAGATGGCCATGGCTCACTTGTTTCGCACCCTGCACCTCCTGATATGGTCGCTCCGATGACTGGAACATGGTACGAAGCGCCATTTTTGGGGTTAGAAGCCCGCGAGGAAGCGGTATCCATGCAGAAATTTCCTTTCAGCTATACACAAGGGGTGCCTGTGACGCCTTCCATTGGCCCTCGATCAGGTCTATCATTTCCAGATTCCGCATACGGCGGGTCATGCTTCACAGGTTCCGCATACGCCGGACACATGCACAGAGATCAAGAAGTGCCACTTCATTACAATGTTGGCCAGACCAAAGCGATGTTGGAAGGTCTACTAGCAAGCCATCTGCCGGTTGGGCCAGATAATGATGGCAACAAAGCAATGGAATCAGACGAGGATGGCGGGGAATCTGTCTACTCAGAGACGTCTAGTACTTCCGAGCCAGTGAAAGAGGACTATATTGCTGTGTTTGCCGAAGACATTGCTAGAATAACTCGACCGCTTCAGCCTAATAAAGAGGTTTTGGAGAGGATTTTCGAAGTCCTCCCACTTCTTCTCAAGACATTCGCTCTAAGCTTAGGGGACGCCAAATCGAGTCAGATTCACCGGAATGTGATGGTCTTTCTTCATAAGCGCAGAATGTAAGTAGGGGGGAACCTTGAACGATCAAGTGCTCTGAAATGATGCTTATCCTATCTTACCAGGGACATCTGCGCAGCGCTCATGAATCGCTTATGCGAACAGGTCGATCAAGAAGAAGAGGATAATGGCTTCGAGCTTCGAACCTCAGGGAGAATACCCTTGGACGACCAAAGTAAAGTGTCTCCCGAGCGAAGCGCTGAGCCATGTGAGCCACCTGAAGTGGACAATCAATTCTATGGATACATCGACTCCGAGAGAACTGACACCAGCGCGGAGAGCAGACTACCGGAGCTGGAAGTTTATCGATACCTTATCCGAAACAGCCCATCGTACAGTTGGCTTTTGGGTATTCTTCGAAGAGAATGTGTACTTGCGCCATCAGAACCGAACGCCATGGAGCATATTCGAGACACGATCCTCGCTTTCCTCCCTGTCGATCCTGTGGTCAGCAGAAGAAGACCCACGCAAGTATTTGAGGCCTTTATGCTGATAAGCTGGGATCCTGTTGCCTTCTATATTCAACAGGGATACACTGAGAACCTGAAGGATGCAACTGAGCGAGCGATCACCTTGACAGGTTCGCGCCAGTCAACACAAGCCGTTACCTGCAGCGAGTATATGCGTCAGACGTGGCCATCCACGGGAGCTAATATTCTAGAATTGGTGACAAGCCTGGCTTCCAGTGAATACTACAGACAATTCGCCAGCGCAAACCCCGAGGCCGACCATCACGTCGTGGTCCTACCAGATGGTACCATGGTTAAAGCCTTTCGACCACTGCATTACATACGGAAAGGCTCTATTGTATGGATAAAAGTCAGCGGACTGGCTGATTCCATCGCCGAAGTCGGGGAACAGCTTGCGTGGTTGGGGTCTGCTCTTCGCTCGTCGCCTGTTGACTCGGGGATCGCCTATTGTCGACCTTTTGTGAAGCGCTTAAGCGACGGGACAGCGTCAGAGAACCTCGGTCCAGATTCGCCACGCTTTTTTGAAATAGACTTTGATATTCAGACACGGGAAGCCCTTCCAGAGAGCGGCGATGGACGCTGCTGGCATGGGCTCTTTAGAGACCCGGTTGTTGTCGAGGGGTATCCTACGCCCCGTAGGCCTGAACCCGATCCAGGGCTGGAGATCCCTCTCCATATCCTAGCGGGACTTACACAAGCGCGACGGGCAAATACCTTCGATGGGAAGACTGTCCTAAAGGGATTCTCTGTGATGCTCATCCCGACCAAGTTCTCCAACGACATTGTCATGTGGCACATGTTGCACACAGATAAAGACAAGCGTATTCCTTATCGTGAGACGGAATCATTTGCCCCCATCAAACTCTCCAGCACAGACCTGGAAAAATCCAGACACATTCTGGGGTGGTGTTCTGATATGAAGCTTTGTGCCGGTATGTGTGTTGCGAACGAATGAGACAAGAGTAGGGCACTCACGTTCATAGGGACATCCGAAGCTTGTTATACAGTGCAAGCCACTAGACTTCAATATCCTACTGCAAACAGTGCGCTTGCCAATGTTTCCATTTCGATCGGACACCTCATTCGCGGAGGTACTCCATTCAGTATTGGCACCAAGGATCTTCACCCGCGCCGAAGCTGCTACGTTACTAAAATGAGATGGATCTCTCAGAGATTCATAGTCCTCTGGGATGTGGAAGCGAAGCGAGGCTGGCTGGTAAACGGGGCCAGCGCGCTACTCCATCTGCTTCGAGCCTCGCTGGAAGAGGAGAAACGAAGCAAGTTTGGTCGTCGATCGTTATTCAACTCGGAAGAACTACAAGAGGCTGCTGAACCTTATCGACATGAGTCGGCCCTGGATGTACTTCTCAGCGAAGCTAACATGCAACTCAGGATTTATGCTGAGAAAGACGGCTTTATCTATCTCCAAGACCGAGTTGAAGACTTCTATGACCATCTGGAGACGATACTCGATTATCAGCTTCGGTCTGATCATAGTCAAGTCCCTCGGTCATGCTTGGATGGCTGGGATTTCCATGATCTAGCGACAGAAAAAGACCCCGTTTATCCTCGTCGAGCAACGATTGACCCTCAGGGGAAATCCTGGATTGATTTGACAAGCTCCATTCACGCTGTCACATTGCTTGGACGAAATTTTGGGGAGATTATCCAACCTACCAGCTCAATCTGTCCTTCGTGGGCGTCTCTACCGAAGGGAAAGTCATATCTCGCGGTATCTTTGGCCGATCTACGAAGTGTTATGGAAGCATATGGCGGAGACCCTTACGAGACACCGGTGAGACTCACCAATAACTTGGTGTGGTATACGGCGGAGTCCACTGCGATGGAGTGCCGGTGTCTGGAGATCCAGGACGGCAGCCATTCTGACCTTGCCCAGGTTGTTCTTCCCTCGATGTTGAGTGGGGATCTGAATGACAGCTTCATATCGTGTAAGAGAGACCAAGGTGCGGTATTCTTTGGGTTTAACAGCAACCAGCAGTGGTATTGGAAGGACCACGGACATCCCTCGTCGGAGGCAGGAACGGGTCACGTTTCAACTCCTGAGAAGATTCCCAAGCATACAGCAGATAGCGGGTTTGACAGCCCAGGGACGACGCCTTTCCGAGATAGGCAGTGGCTGGGAATGAGTCGACTTTCCGACAATCCAGAAACGACACATCGGAAGTTCACCCCTCTCTCCCTGCCTCGCAGAGAGAGGGGACATTTCTCCGGAGACTATACAGTGGGGATATATGCGCTTGCCATAAAGTTCAGCTGTTCGCGCTCTCTTCGATGAGACTCATCCAGGCTGTATTTCAGATGCGGACACGCATGCGTACGCTCAAGGACGGATTGGAAAACACCGGGTGGTCGCCGCTGGTCTGCCCAAGGGAGGGTATGGTACCACTTCTGCGGCGGTCGTGGCCTGCAATATGAGCCGCAGTTTTCCGTGCATTAAGTTCTGTCTGTTGGTAGGGATTGGGGTGGAGTCCCTTCGAGGAACCATGACATTCGCCTGGGCGATATCGTCGTGAGTACTCCCAGCGGATCTCATTCCGGAGTGCTCGCATATGATTCGGTCAAAGTGTTTGAATCTGGAGAAATTCAACTGAATGCCTGTCTTTCGCGGCCGTCGCAGAGCCTCCTGTCGGCTATCACGGCATTGACGTCCGAGACTCAGGCGCCCCTATGGGAGCTCCAGGGGCTCGTGAAACAAATTACGACATCGTGTACTAAATACGAGTGCCCAGGACCGGAACAGGACGTTCTATTCACTTTGGAATATACACACAAAGAGAACGGGCTCCGTGATAGCTGCGATGGATGCGATTTGCGGCGTCAGGTGGTGCGTATACCACGGAAAAGCACTCCACCTCATGTGCATTACGGGCTAGTCGCATCGGGGAATCAATTGATGAGGTCTGCTCAGGTTCGAGACCAAATGAGCCAGAAGTACGACGTTCTCTGCTTCGAGATGGAAGGGGCTGGGATCATGGACACGTTTCCATCGCTAGTGATCCGGGGGATATGCGATTATGCTGATTCACACAAGAACAAGCGATGGCAGAAGTATGCTGCGGCGACGGCGGCAGCGTATGCCAAGCTGCTTTTGTCTCGAGTGAGGGCCACGCCAGAGTATTGTATTGGCGGTAGTTTTGCTGGGCATAAGAGGAAGTACTGTGATGGTGTAGAGTATTCGACAAAGAGGCAGCTTGTCGAACATGGATATAAAGCGGACTAGGATATACTGTGTATGTGTGCAACAATTCATCCTGATCTTGAAACTGTGTATAAAGGTAACAAGGTAGATTTCGATGGTATTCTAGGAACAATATTATCTCCCCCGATTAGTAGGCCTAATGCATAAGCCATCAGTTAAGTACATTTCCTTCACTCCGGTAGTCCGTCAACCACAACAGTTGCAGGACAAAGACAATGCGATGCCAAACACGACAACCAACATACATACCTAGCTAACAGCTTGAGTTGGAACCCGTCCTTCACTCCACAAGGACAAGCTGATTTAGTAGATCCCAGGAATGATACGGCTGCGAACAATAGACGTATAGACATCCCAGTCGGCACCGTACTTCCTCTTGCACTTTTCCTCGTCGCGTCTCTCCCTGTGGAGGAGTAGAAGACCGAAATACAGCAGAAAGAAGTAAGTAAAAAAGATTCCGCGCCCGCGGACTTCCGGAGTCTGGATAGCCTGTTTCTGCACTTCGCCCGCGCTGTTGATGCTCTCAATAATGGTATAGCCCGCGAGCCCGGTAGGCAGCGAGTACGACCACGACATCAGCCAGTCACCCAAGTAATTGATATGGCGCGCCACTCCCCACCAGCCAGATACCATCAGTTTGGACCCACTAGACGTCTGGATGTATTTGATATGCGCCATGCGTGGATCGCCGGTACGGAACCGATTCTTCTGGTTGTTGGCGCCGCGGAAGATCCAGTATCCCACGCCGGTCACGGCCAGGATCAACAGGATGTTTGTCGCGTCTAGTTCCAGCGGGAACATCGCCAGATACCTTGTCTGGAAGTTGTAAACAAAGGGCACCCAGACCAAGTGTCCGAATGAGAGCATGTAGCCGAACCCGTCCATGATCACGTCCATTGTGGTGAGGACGGCTGGCTCCATGTACAGCCCGTCTAGGACGTAGAAGGCTTGGAATGCGGTGGAGAGGATGATGGAGTTTGTGAGATAGCCGTACGTTCGATATTGGTGGGCCATGTTGGATAGGTTGAGGATAGTCCAACCGAGCAGACCGGGCCTCATCTCACACCAGACATTTATGTCGATTGTTCGTGAAGCCTCATCGACGAATGGAATAGGTAGCTGCACCCGGGGGTTTAGTTCCCGGCCGATAAAGAAGTCGTAAAGGATGTTTCCACTGTGGCCGCCTGGTGCTAGTTCTCTTAATTCGGGGTTGGGTTGACCAGGCTCAGGGACGGAGAAACTTCTCGCATAAACGAAGAGAGCGAGGGCCATGCAAATCATCAGGTTTGCCGTGATGATCTGCAAGTAATGATCCCAAAGAAAGGTCCATACGACAAAATCAGCGCCGTAGACGTATGTGCCCAGGCCCAAGCCACATAGGGTTAAAACGGCGGAAGAAAAGGCTAGGACTCATTAGCAGGTCTTTAGATAAAAATCAATCAGACATGGAATACCATTGAACTTATAGCGGAGGCGTCCTTTGCAAGCCAATTCCGTGCCCTCGACCACCTGCCCAGGGAGAACCACGTATAGGAAGAGACTGAGCAGGTAGTAGCTCAACACCCACAGAGTTACGCGAATATCAAAGAACGCGCGAAGACCCTCATCCGGCCAACCGACCTCTGCCTTTAACGTGGCAAGGGACAATGTCGACGGATGAAGTAGTGACGGAGGAGGACAGCCCGACACATCGTTGCATAGCAAAGTGAAGCTGTAGATAAGAGTTGAGAGGCCAAACACGAACACAAATGCGCCGAGACTGAGAAAATTAGTGCAAGACCTGGAAATGGAGGTACTGGATACAACATACGGGCCACCGAACTCATACCCCCGTGTTTCGGGCACTGGCTGGACGGGGGCTTTGGCCTTCGAGTCCTTGCTAGACGCCATTGTTCGACGATAGAGAAAAGATGTGTGCCTTTGAGGTTCGATGGTTCGGGAGGCACATTTTAAATGCATACTGACACAGGTGCTCCGTATACTCCATAGTGGTGGTTCGAGCCGGAGGATTGCTTGCCGTCGGGGCCCGCGGACACCCTATTCTATTACTATGTATGCCGGAAAAATGAACCACTCGTCCGTGTGGACCACTCACCCGTTGAAAAGGTACCTAGTTAAAGAAAGGTCTTGCTTACTAGTAGGACATTTCTCCTTCCAGGTGCAGGGCGTCATTTCACAGCCCCCGAGGGCTAAAATATTTGACTCATTTGTCCAAAGGAAATTGGAGCTAGACAGGCGAGAGAAGGGAATATGAATTACTGCATAATAGCCTCTAATGCACCTATTTATACTGCATGACTTAGGGTATCAGACCCCATGTCATGAGCAACTCTAGTACGCACCTATTACAAATGGCAGCGCATTAAAGCAAGGCGTGGGAGCCGTCACAGCGCCGTCTTGGGCGCTAAGCAGGGATGAGCGGTCGCTGAGCTGGCTCTATATTAACTTGCAGTTGCCAGTTCAATAAGACGTTTCGAATAAGAGGGGATGCAAGAAGAACCCCTGCAATACCCTGGAGGAGAGTAGCATCAGGTTTCGACTTGGTGTGGAATTTCGGGCTTAATATTACCATGAGCAGCACACCCTTGCTTTGTCGACGACTACTGCATTATGGTGTCGCCATCAATTGTGCACCGGAATCTGGCCCCTGAAAAGTTCTCTATCTGCTCTTTTCTCTCCCACGTCCTCAGCTGCCAATTCATGATTTTTCTCTTCATTGATCGAATTTCAGCTGGGCTTGGTTGCCTACTAGCTCATAATGTGGACAGAGAATAAAGCAGTTATCTATACCACTGCCCGTGAAGATGAGGTGTCCGCAAGAGGTGGAACAGTGCAGGATCGCAAGGATATGTGGCGAGTGGGAAGGGAGCAGGAGTTGAATGTATGTGACATCTAACAGCGTGAGATGTTGGCTAATCATAAGTAGCGCAATTTCCGATTTCTGTCAGTTCTGGGATTTACGGCGGTGTTGATGTGTACCTGGGAAGCAGTTCTTTTGTATGTCCCTCCCCCGCCTGCTCTTAAACGTGGGATAGGCAGCATACTTATCGAAATAGTGGTGCATCCTATGGCTTGATAAATGGCGGCAAGGGAGGCATGATATACACCTATTTGGGGGGTCTCGTCGGATTCAGCTTCGTCATTCTCTCTATGGCTGAAATGGCATCCATGTATTCCTTTCCCATGACTCTCATTCCGAGGTGCACGGCTAATGGACTGATAGGGCTCCAACATCCGGCGGCCAATATCACTGGGTATCCGAATTTGCGCCTCCCAGTTGCCAGTGCATATTGAGCTACATCACCGGCTGGATCTGCGTGCTTGGATGGCACACTGGGATTGCCGGATGTTGCTATACCGTTGCAAACATGATGGTCGGGGTGGTCGCCATCAATTACCCCGATACTTATACGTACGAGCCGTGGCATGTCACTCTGCTGGTCATTGCAGTGGCGCTGGTTGCTTTGCTGTTCAACACACTGCTGGCGCAGAAACTCCCCTTGATTGAGGGGATGATTCTCATTATCCATTGCTTTGGATTCTTTGGCATTTTGATTCCTCTGTGGGTGCTGTCGCCAAAGCCAGACGCATCAGATGTCTTTGGATCTATTGAAGATCGAGGCGGCTGGGGAAATAACGGTCTTGCTTGTCTGGTTGGGTTGGTCGGACCGATTTATGCCCTGATCGGTATGTCAACTCTAACCAGGATGCCTGAGGTGTGATCTGCTGACAAGAAGTACAAATCAAAGGTCCTGATTCAGCCGTTCACATGTGTGAGTCTAGTCAAATACCGGCGCAGTATAGACAACTGATGCGATGAATAGCCGAAGAGATCCGTGACGCGTCCCGAGTGCTCCCCCTTGGCATGATCTGGACTCTCATTCTTAACGGCTCTACCGGACTTGTCATGATTGTCACATTCGCCTTCTGTGTCGGGGATATTGACCATGTGTTGGAATCTCAGACGGGCTTTGCATTCATCCAAGTCTTCCTCAACTCGACAGGATCCGTCAGAGCAGCCACTGGGATGACGGTGGTAATCATGGTCATGCAGTTCTGCGCTGCCATCAGTAATGTAGCCACGACATCCCGCCAGATCTATGCATTTGCACGAGACAAGGGCCTTCCGTTCTCCAACTTCCTGTCAAAGGTGGGTACATGTCATAGCGGATGATGGAATGGTGTTAACGAGAGACTCGCAGGTTAACCCCACTTTCACCGTGCCCTTGAATGCTCTATGCGTGAGCTTGGTCATTGTTTCCCTTCTCTCCCTGATCAATATTGGATCGTCCGTGGCCTTCAATGCCATCATGTCTCTAGGCACAGCAGCTCTCCTTTCCTCGTACATCATCTCCATCACCTGTGTTCGAATCCGACGCTGGCGCAAGCAACCTCTACCTCCCGCCCGCTGGAGCATGGGACGATTCACTCCCTTTGTCGATACAGTCTCCATTCTTGTTCTGATCGTCGTTTGGGTCTTCAGCTTCTTCCCTCTAACCGCGCACGTCAATCCGACGAACATGAATTGGGGCGTGGTGATATTCGGTGGTGTGATTCTGCTCGGCATGGTGCATTACCAGTTACGTGCGAAAAAGGTATATAAAGGGCCGGTGACAAGAGTGAATGTGATGACCGAATGATGATGCGAAGGTCAAGTTTGAAGATAATATGCCTGTCTCGACCATGGCTTTGTGGAGATGCGTAGTGAGGGGTCTGATCTCAACCGCAGCGACGACCCCGAGGACTGCGCTGGAGAGAAGGAGTAGTCCAGGAAATATCGAAGTCATGGCGTTTGAGCCTCGCAGGACTAACATTTTCAGGGCACACCCTTTATCATGGACCCTGGGTGGACACGACCCCTGTTATGTATGTCATAAATGCGTCGATTTAGTCGGGTCGACTAGCGTAGACCAACTAGTCCTTGTGGCCTAGGAGGCAGCCACATCCACGATCAAGAAGCTGCCGGTGGGATATTGCTCGCATGCTTACAGGTGTACTAATTGGGCGATGCAAAGCTCATCCCCTGGACCCACGCACGGATCATGATAAGACTGTAGATCTTTCCGCGAAGTCCGAACTTGTTTCAAGAATTATAGGAGCCTAGTTGAAGTTTTAGCGAATTATTTAGCCCTGACGGATCCTCTGACGCCAAGCCGAACTCCCACCCACCTGTTGTTCATCTCACAACTACTGGATACGGCTCAGCATAGCCTGCATAATGGGCGCCATTGTGTCTAGCATCCAACGGGTCTATCTCGATTTGAGCGCCGTCATCTCGGAGCTCAGTCAGACTAAACACTCCTTTGACTCGCTTCTTGCTCGGCTCTCGATGGTGACACCTCCCGTGCCAAATCCATCCAAATCCTACTGGCAAGAAGATCCACCATTTCCCAACCTCGTCGACGTCCAGTCGCCCGAGCTGCCGACGACGGCAGACATCCTCATCATTGGCTCCGGTATCTCTGGCGCAAGTGTGGCGTATACGATCCTCTCCCAGTCGTCCAAACGCGGGATCTCCCCGAGGGTTGTCGTTTTAGAAGCGCGGAATCTGTGTAGTGGCGCTACTGGGAGAAATGGCGGCCATATCAAGTGTTCACCGTATACGGAATATGCAGGGCTCAAGGCAAGATTTGGAAGAGAGCGTGCGAAGAAATTACTCCATTTTCAGCGTCGACATTTGGCCATTCTGCTTGAGCTCGTGCAGCAGGAGGAAGACCTGAAGATTAGCGAGGCGCGAGAAGTTCAGACAGTCGATATTTTTACCGACCAAAAGATGTGGAATGAAGCGAAGAAGATGGTGCAGGAGTTGAGACAGGATGTCCCTGAGATGGCTGAAGACGTTGTGGTTCATGACGGCACTGAAGCGTGTGAAGTGAGTCCCATCTTTACACTTTCTCGATTTGATGCCTACTAAATCACATAGGAATTACACATCGACCCCCAGTACTGCTACGGCATCATCACTTACAAGGCCGGAGCACTGTGGCCCTATCGCTTGGTTACCGCTCTCTTTGCGTCTCTTCTCTCGACATATAGCTCTACCTTTTCCATCGAGACCAACACCCCTGCAACTGATATACACGTCAACCCCGACAATCCCAATCGCCCGTTCAACGTCCACACCCCCCGCGGAGAGATCAATGCGACGCATGTTATCCATGCAACCGACGCATTCGCAGCGAACCTTCTCCCCGGATTGACAGGCAAGATCTTCCCCATGCGCGGCCACATGACCGCACAAGAGCCCGGACCCCTATTCCCCCAGCTCGGCGGCGCACGGTCGTGGAGCTTCATCCACCGGCGCGGTTTCGACTATATCACTCAACGTCCGGGGACGGACGGCGAGCTAATGGCGGGCGGGGGCGTGGTGCAATCCCCCGAACATGGACTGGATGAGTTTGGGGTTTGGCGAGACGACCGAAGCAGCTACGCGATCCGCGCCTATCTGGACGGTCTCTTGCCAACGATCTTTGGGGCTCATAATTGGGGAGCTGACCGAGGTGCCCGGGTGAAAATGGCCTGGACGGGATGTATAGGGTTCACGCCGGACTTGTTGCCGTTTGTCGGTGTCTTGGATCCGAGGATCACGCAGAGGGAGATCCCGAAGACGAGCTCGAGCGAAGGTGCGAGACCGCCTGCTGAGTGGATCGCGGCGGGCTTTCACGACGGCATGGTCTTCGCTTGGCTGTCTGGAGTGGCCGTTGGCTTGATGGTAGTTGGAGAGGAGGATGAAGTGGTTGAACCGGCTCCTGGGATACCAGGGGGGAGAATCGCCGAGTGGCTGCCGGAGGAGTTGGTGTGCTCGAAGCAGAGGGTGGATGGGTTACATGCGTCGAATCTTGCAGCGCTTCTGTGAAAGTCTGACGCGATTCACTCCTAGGTGCCAAAGTACGTATGACGGGGCAACGAATGCGGGCCAACGTATGTTCCAGTAGGGATCTATGATCTCCAGCCAGTATGGGGTACGATGGGCAACAATGTTGCCCATCGTACAGCACGTGGCTGCACTATAGTACGTATAGTACGTGTCTGTGGATATATAGTCAATAGCTTCATTCAGGTAGCTAAGCTATTTGTCCTTTATGTATCATTTTATAGTAACAATGAACATATATCTCTTCGCCTATTATTTGATTTGATCAATAAAGACGTTATCTATACATAGACCGTGTTCTGGGATGGTTTGTGGTGTGTTGGTGGTATACATATGCTCATTGTTTACACAACACACAATAACCTCATTGTCTCACCAAACACCACACCATCTCCATAGAATCATACACAACAACGAGAACTAACAGATACACATCATTCATCTGCTACATACCTAACAATATCTCCAAGACGAAGAATGATAGCGAGCTCGTGTTGGCGCCAATGAGCGGCTGACTCCTCCACTTCTCCTCTTTCAGTCTTCTTCATCTCTTCATCATCTTCTCTTCATCTCTTCATCTTCTTCTTCCTTTCTTCTCTTCACTTCATTATCCCCTTTCTTCCCTTCTTCCTCCGCTTCCCTCCCCATGCCATCCTTTTTCCGCCGAAAACAACCGTCTCGCGACTCGCCCGCCTTTCGTTCTGTCGAGCATCTTCCTCCCCCCGACTCTCTCGACCCTCCGTCTGTCTCCACCGTCAACACGAACAACACGGACAACACGAACAGCCACGCTATAAATCCTCCTCCTGCCCAACCTCCCTCGCACCAGCACCATTCCTTTCTTCGCCGATCGCGCAGTCAACGCCATCCCAGACCCGTCGACCCCGACCCGGTATTCAAGATCTCTGCTGCGCCTCCCCGCATCGTCGATGCTGACCAGTCGTGGCCCCCATCGCCTGCGCAGCCCGAAGATCAGGAGAATCCCCGCCGCTCGCGTCGGAGTCTGTTCACCTTTCACTCCTCGCCTCCCTCCAAGGAGTCCGTCACATACCCCGAGCGCAACCAGTCGTTGAGAAATCCCTCGCCTGGGCCGCAGCGTCGTCAGCGTCCATTGTCGGTCGACACCAGCGACCACCAGCCGCCCTCGCGATCTCGAGAGCATGTTCGATTAGAAAAGACCCCTCAGTCGCCGATGCCGCAGGACGCTGCTTTCTCGCATGACCACGCCCGTCCTCCCCGTTCGCCCCATCCCCCCCTCATCCAACGCTCCCACACCGACTCGCTAGAGACTCTCTATCGCGCCTCGCCCATTGACCCGCCCGCGCCGCGTCACCCCGCCGAATTGACCCCCGGCCAGCCCCCGACCGATCACATCCGGCCTCCCTCCCGTCAGTCCGTCGGTCCGCCGTCCCCGTTGCGTCCTTTGCCTGTAAATACCGACGGGGCCTCCTCGAGCGCAATGTCCGATCGTCCCTCGGGCGGTGCCCAGGGACCGCCCGCGAACCAAGGATCCGCCCAGGAGACCGGCTACCGCAGCGGTCCCGGCCAGACCTCCGAACCGGGTCGTAGTACCCCGTCCAGCCAGCGCGGCCGCGACGAGGAAATCGAATTGAAAACGGTGTTGCAGAAATATGACGAGCTTCGTGCGTTCCACAGATAGATGAACCCCCGACCCCGCTAATGATTCTATAGAAGCAAAATACTCCAAAGTCAAACGCTACTACTTTGAAAAAGATGCCCAGGTGCAGCATCTCCAGAATACAGTCGCCCACCAGCGCATGGCGGTGTCGCGCACCGTCCTCGATGACAACGAGTACGCCAACCGGTTTGGTCGACTCGACGGCGCCATCAAGGACCTCGCTTTCTCCATCCGCAAAGACTGGGCCCGCATCCCGCCGTGGTTTGCGGGGTACGTCAACGAGGACGCCCACCAGGCCGGCACAAAGGAGATGATGGCGATCGGCCGGGCGGTCATGAGCCGCTGGCTGGTTGAGGAACTGTTCGAGCGGTACTTCCACCCGGCGCTGGACATGACGCTGAGCCAGCAGCTTAAGACGATCGAGATGAACCTGCGCCGGCAGCAGGGGAAGACCTACACTGATGAAGACAAGGAGAACGCCATCGCCCGTATTTCTAACTGGCGCCGCACCACGCTCGACGGGCTTCCTGATGCGCTGCAAGGGGCGGCTGCGGATGAGCACCGCACACAGCTGATCAACCGGCTGGTCGATGGGCTGGTCGCCACGCTGACGGCGCATCTGTGCGATCCGCCGCCCGCGGGGCTCGACAGCGCCGCGCGCATGATCGTCGAAAACGCCGTCGGAATTGTCGACAAGATTCCGCTGGAGTCGCGCGACATTTGCGTCGAATACGTGCTGCCTGGGACCCCGATCCAGGAACTTACGATGAAAGTCGAGACCGGCATCAAGCCGTTGGGAGGGGCGGATGCGCGCGCGTCGACCGACCAGGAGCGGGCCGAAGGAGACGAACCGGCGGAGGGCGAGCAAGAGAACCGCAGCAAGCGGTCAGTGTTCAGCGCGTTGATGAACCGGGGGAGTCGGGCTGCGCCGACAGAGGACGCCGGTCGTCCGGAGGAGCGAGGGCCGCCGCGCGTGCGGCTGGCGACGTTTGTGTTGGCGGAAGTGCGCGGACGGGGTCCGATGAATGTGTTGGTCAAGGCTCCTGTATATGCGATGGAATAGGATACATATCGATTGCTCAATGAAGTTGTGACCTATGTACTGTACTATGTACAACTAGAGCGGCGGAGGGTCCAAGTTCAACCCCTCGACCGTCAACTTGAACGCATCGCTGCGCGAGTAGCTGCCGGCGACGTCGAGATCGAGCCGTCCACGCTCGCAGTCTTCGATGTCGATCTCCGAGAAAAGCAACCCATCCCCGACGGCAGTCTTATCCTGGACGCCGGCGTCCGGCTCGTCGTCAGCCGACACCTCCCAGATCGGGCCGGCGAGGACCTCGCCCTGGGGGCCGACAATACACGAGCCGCCGCGGCAGACATACTCATCTAGTTGCGTCAGCGTATCCTTCCAGATTTCCTTAGGAACCGACACATACCAGCTTTGTCATCAACCCTGGCCTCGGCCGGGGAACTCACCCCCTCCGGCCAAACAATCTCATGCGGCCCCTCATGCGTGACAGAGTGCTTCCGCTGGATCCCGCGCGCAGGACGCTGCGCCGGCGCCGCAGCCACACCGGTAATCCACTCGGGCAGCTCGCTCTTCCGCACGCACTGGTTCGCACTCAGCACAAACGTGCGCCCCTCGAACGCGGCCGTCCGCATCAGCGGCAGCCAGGTGTCGCGCGCGTCCGCCGTCGGCGCGCAGTAGATGTTGACATTCTGCGCGTACAGACTCTGCCGCAGCAGCGGCATGAAGTTCTCCCAGCAGATCGCCGCCGCGATGGTCACCGGCACGCCGTTGAGATGCGTCGTGACTGCTTTCAGGGTGGAGGGGGAGCCCTGCGCCCAGACCAGGCGTTCCGAGCCGGTCTGTCACCTTGTCATTAGCAATCTCTCCTCCAGGGATTAAAAATGGGATGGGATGGGATGGGTACATACAGGCATAACCTTCCTCCTCTTCCCTAGACACCCCCTCAACGGATCCACATAAACGACCGCGCAGTACAAACTGCCGCCCGCACGCTCAATCAACCCAACCACAAGGAAGACACCCGTCTCGCGCGCAACCCTTTCCAACGTCTCGCGCGTCCCGTCCCCCCGGTAATTCCGCCCCTCCGCCACCGGCAGCCGCCGCTGCACCCAGTCCTCGCCGGCCCCCGCCGGCGTGTCCCCCAGGTCGACTGCGTCGTGGAAGTAGCGCAGGAACTGCTCGCGGCCGTGTGCGCGCCGCGCGCCGACCTGCGCCCCGAAGTCGCATGTGCGCGGGTACCCGCCTAGGTAGGCTTCTGGGAAGAGGAGCAGGTGGGCGCCGCGCGCGGCGGCGTGCGTGGCTATGCGGGTGAGCGAGGTGAGGGTGTCGGAGAGGGTGGATTGGGTGCGGGATTGGGCGACTGCGAGGGTTATTTTGGGCATTTTTCTTAATGTACCTGTATGGAGTGGGATGAATGGATGGTTTGTGTTCTGCAATGGTTGGAGAAGGAGGAAGTTGTTGAAGAATTGAAGGTGCGGAGTAATGTAGTAGTCGGCCGATAGTTTCAGTGGATGACGGGATCCGGCTCAAATGCCGAGCGGGGTGACAGCTTACTACTACTGCTACTACCACTGCTACTACCGTACTTCGTAGTTTAAATACGCATCGCTGACATGTCTATCTACATAATTTACACCAGACGCAGCAAAGGGTATCGCGCCTCGCTAACAAGATCAAGATACAAAAACCAAGCACAATCTACAACCCGTGCGCCGTCGCAGCCTGCTGCAACACACGCGGCCACCGCGAAATCAACTCCACATCGTCCAGCGCCCCCTTGCCCTGGTTGCGCACGTACTGCGTGCTGGGATCGATGCGCGGCTCGTAGTCCCAGATCGACGGCGTGCCCTTGATCAGCGCCGAGTACACCAGCCGCCGCCGGCGCTGCGACCGCAGCACGTCGTCGCGGATCGCCTCCAGGTCCCAGCGCGCGTGCACCTCCTCCGTGAAATGGGCGAGGAGCTTGGCGGGCTCGGTGGTCGCGGGCAGACCGTGGGCCAGGGATTTGGCCGGGCTCGGGGCGCGCGGGAACGGGAAGGCGGTGCCGTTGCGCTGCGGCGCGGGCGAGCCGCTGGGCGAGTCGGCGGGCGTGGGGAGGGCCGTTGGGCCGGTGGGGGTTGGCGCCGCTAGAGTCTTCACCGGGGGTGCCGGAGCGGGAGCTGCGGTCGGGACGGTCAGACCGGCGACGAGGTTGACGGTCTCGCGCGGGTCGGACTCCAGATAGAATAGCATGGGCGGGTCGATGAGCGAGTAGACGAACTTCCAGCGGCCGCGGCGGATCATCACGACGGGCGACTGCGTGCCCTCGGCCATGTACTCGCCCAGCACGGTGTCGGTCTTCGGGCCGTCGGCGTCGTCGCCGGTGAGGTAGGGCAGCAGCGAGACGCCGTCGAGCGGCAGCTCGCGAATGAGCTGGGCGCCGACGAGGTCGACGAAGGTGGGCAGCAGGTCCATGGTGGACACGTTCTGGGGCACGCGCTTGGGGGCGAAGCGGTTGGGGGCGTGGACGATCATGGGCACGCGGGCGGAGCCCTCGAACCAGGTCATC